GGAAGGGCCAGTTCCACTGGGGAATCACTACCAAACGCAATCCGGCTTCCCTGTTTTACAAATGTCTGCCACGCGTATGCGCCTCTTAGTCGTGCTGCGCCGATTCGATCTTCCGCCATGTTCTTATCACTTGTGGCATGGGTTGGTTGCATTGATGGAATGACCCCTAATTTGGCGAACAACGGAATGTCTTCAACTGCAACAACCTGCGCGTGTTCAATCCGGTGTCGAAGTCGGTTATCCGGAAACTTTGTAAATTAACAGAAACTTGGACGGACTGAACGATCCGATCGCGTGGTCGTTGTCGTTGTCCTCTCCTACTTCGTCTTCGTTCTCCTCCTCCTCGAAAGGAAAGTGAAACTCCTTCTCCAGCATCACTTTCCGTAACACGCGAAGTAACAGTTCGTTTTCACTCATCAGCGCGCGCTCTTTATCTTCATCTCTTTCCTCGCTCTTATTCGTAGTATTGAGGGAAGAATAATCGCGAGAATACCGCTCGCGCTTTAACGCGTCCAACGCCTCTTCGAGCGTGGCGATGTGCGCGTCGATGTTTCCGTGTCCGTCGCTCATGAGTAGTTTTCTTTTGGGGGAAAAGAAGTGAAGACAAAGTAACGCCCTTGAAGCGGTTAAAGTCGATGTCGCGTATGCGCATGTATACGTACTACTTTTAAAACGATTTTGTTCTTTCTTTCTACGATAAATAGTTGTTGTTGCTACGTGCTACGATGATCATCACATGTTATTGTTGTTCGTATTCTTCTATTATTCCTACCCCGACGCCGCTCTTGCGTTTCTCTCGTTCTCGCTCATTCTACCACTCGTCCTCCGACTCGTCCTCCTCGTCGAACGCGCTCTTCTTCCTTTCAAACGTGATGCTCCCAACCTTCTTCTCTCCAATCCCGCTTTCCGAAACCGTGTTCAACATATCAATGAGCATTTGTTCGGAAACTTTCCCGAGTTTTCCTTGTCGAGAGGCGTTTAAAATCATCCGTTCCACGCCTTGCGCTTTTGACGGTTTCACCAGTTTTACTCGCGCGAGTCGTTCGCGAGCGTTCGGTTCTAAAACGGATGCGAGAAAGGCTTGCCGTTCATCTTCTAACTGTTGTTCTTGGTTGAGTCGTTCCGATTGTTCTTGGGCGGAGGTTGGGGCGTTGGTGAGATCTATTCCTTGTCCTCCTTGTTGTTGTTGCGCTAAGGCTAAGGCTTGTTTCGCTCGCGCGTCGTCCTGGAATGATACACAGAAACGGAAAGAAGTCAACACGTTTCGCGGGGAAACAAAAGGATTCACGAGAGAGATATTTATATATATAAAACGCTTTGCGCAAAAACGAACCGCGTGTGTGCGTGCGTTCACGACGCGTGGAAATCAACAAACGCGCACCATAATAATCCTTTCTTCTTTGTTCTTCGTCTTCTTTGCGCTTCTTTTTGAGTTCTGTGTGTGTGCGCTCTCGCTCTCTCCGCGCGCATTTCAGTGAGAGGCAAAACGAGGCGAGAGACGAGAACGAAAGCGAAAGAACTGTGCACTGCATATGTTTAGGGTTTAGGTATTCGAGCAAAGGGGGGGGGGAAACTTTGAAAGAGAAAAAACAAAACACCTACCCCCTCAAAACACCCATCGAGCGCTTTTGCGCACTACTATTTAGGATATTTATAATAACACGAGAGCACTACATATTCATATGATTCCAAACGCTTTGCACGAGCCTTTTTATGCGGTACGTTTGCTCTCTTTTGTTTTTATTGCATATGTAACACGCACGCGCGCGCGCGTTTAGGAGCACATTCATTAATTCTTGATTGGATTTGATTTGATTCGCGCTGCTAAATGCTGACATGGTTTATTTACTCTCTCTCTCTCTTTCTGTTTACAAAAACGCGCTGATTCAGGGCATGCAATGCGATCCAATCGGGAACCAATCCTCTCTGTTCTTCGTCTCGCCGGATAAAGTTGTTCGACCGAATAAACGACACGCCTCGTCGCAGATGATTTTTGAAAACGATGAAAACTTTGAGGGAGAGGAGAGTAGAGAGAGAGGAGGCGTTTTGTTGAACTCGTCGGCGAAAAGATCTCGGACGACGCCGTGTAATACTACGACGAACGGACAGAGTAGATTTAGCAATGAAGCGATGCTTCAGCAGAGCGCGAAGAAAGCGTACGATAGACACGCGGCGATGTGCGGGATTCGGAGTCCAACGGTTTTGACGTATCCGAGGACGGAAGCGATGGACGCGGAGCAACGGCAGCATCAGTATTCTAATGAGTCATCCATAGCGGCGTTGAACGAGAAAACAAATATTGGGAGGGTGTACGTGCCACCGTCGAAGCGACTACAACATGGGCAGCAGCAGCAAAATCAACAACCACCGTCCGGCATTACGAACATCCCACCCCCGCGGAAATTGAAGCAGTTTCCGGCGCCGAGAGCTTTGTAATAAAAGTCGTATGTATTTGTGTACAAGTATATAAACTAGTATCATGAGATTAAATCAGAGATACAGCGCCGTTCGCGAAATTCATCAACGCATCATCGCATCTCTCGCGCTCGAGTAAGTCGTCTTCGAGAGCATCAAACGCGAACATCCACGCGGCGTCGCATACGCCCGACGCTATCGGGAAGGCGTACTCGTTTACTTTCTCTTTACTTTCCTCATCCACTTCTTTTACTTCGCATCCCGCGACGCGATATTTCTTGTGACCAGATAAGCTCGGCGTTGGATCGATGGTCACGAGTTTCGGCATTTCGCTCGCTTCGTCGATGACAAACGTCAACTCCAAAAATACCGGCGAGCGCACCCGAGCGTGTTTGGCAAACGTCCAATCCCCTATGACGTTCGCTGCGTCACCTACGTGAGAAAGAACCGCTTTTGCGATAGCGTTCGTGGCATTGAATACTCCATCTCTGGTCTTTTTCCAGTTCCTAAAATCGTTCACGAAATCGTTCGCCCACGCGTCGATTTGATCGAATGGAACCTCCAGAACGTCTCTGTTGCCCAAATCGCCTCCGTCGCCTCGATTGGTTAAAAATCGAGCGTTTTGCTGGTCAAAATCTGCGTCGTCATCGGCCGAGTAATCACCTTCTTTTGAGGCAAACGAAACAATAAACCCATTGGAACGCATAATTGCGTGAGTCTGAGAATCTTCGCGACGAGTGTTTGGAACGATAGCGACGACGGTTGAGAGCGAAAACTTCTTATCGTTCTTCGACGCGCGTTTTGCTCGTACGATTTCTTGCGCTACGAGATCCGGGAACTGAAATTCTAACTGTTTTGGAATGTCTTTGGACATGCTTTGTTTCGCATCGTCCCAAGCATCGATTGCGGAACGAATGCGTTGTTTTGCATCGCCGATATACACTCTTTTCTCTGGAACACCCGCGTAGGAGCGGCATCCGCCTTTCAACACGATACCCGAAGATTTTTCTTCTTCTTCTTCGATCGTTTCTTCCAAGAGGGACGCGATACTCTCTCGGGTTAAATACACCGTTTTTGGTGCGAGAACTTTCAACGGCTCCAAAATATTTTCGTACACGTAGACTGCTTCTTCCAATTTCTTCCACTGCGTCGGAATGAGTTTGTGAATCACGAGTTCAATTCCTTTGTAGTACCCAGTCACGTCGAGCGCCACGCCCACTTTACTCTCCGTCTCTCGCATGGATTTTCGAGCTTCAGATCGAAGCATCTCGAACGCACTTCGTAACATAGCAAACGAATCTGCGTCGATATCACCACTCGTTACGCCGACTGCGGCTTTGAAAAATAACGGTGTCACGCCACCGCCGTTTCGAAGTGAGAAATCAAACAACGCCGACGGCTCGGCGTCGTGCCCGAGCGCGTCCAAATAGTAGCCCAAAAGTAACGCCAAAACTGGATGTCTTTGCGGTTCTTTAAACTTAGCTTCTGGACCACCTGTATATGCCGCGCGAATCATCTGTACTGCGTTCGTCACCTCGCCGCGAGTGGTGCCTAATAACGATGCCAACGCGATCCAACTTTCGCAGTTATCGAACGAGATATTAATCCCGGTCGCGTAAGAAAGCTCAGCGATGTTTGGAACCCCGAGCGACTCGAAGCAGCTGCCTCGAAGCGAGTGCGCGATGAGAAAGTTCTGTCCGTACTTCAAAGCATTTTGTATCGTTTCAATTGATTTTGATATTTTACCGAGACGCAAATACACGATGGCCACTTGGAAGTGTAACTGATAATACTCCGGTTCCATCGCGAGCGCTTTGTTACACAAATCGAGGTATTCATCGTACATCTCCTTCGTGATGACAAAATTTTCTCCCGCGTTGCCATCTTCGGATTCTTTCGGGTTCATGAGTTCCATCGCTCGATCGACGAGTTGTTTCACTTTCGGATTTCTATCTCTCGCTTCCGCGTCCAACTGCGCTTGTCCGACGGCTTTATCCTTCTCCTCCTCGGTTTTGTTCTCATCGCCTTGCGTCCTTTTCTTCCACTCGTTCGCTTCTTCGTCGATCGACTTCAACTCTTCCATCTCTCCCATTTTCTCTTTCGAGGCGTGGATTTTACCCTCGAGTTCGTTCACAGCCGCATCGATATCTCTCTCTTCGGTTTTATACTCTAAAATCTTTGCCTTTGCGCTTTCGTACGCCTCCGCGGCTTCCTTAAACTCCCCTAGAGCATACAAAGCTTCCGCTTTCCGATAACTGCCTTTGTGCCAAACCGCGTCTTCTTCTTCGCACGCGGCTGCGATTTCCAAGGCTGTTTTCTTCTCGTTCGCTCTCAACAAAGCCAGCGATTGATTCGCCATCAGCGACGCTCGATCTCTTCTTCTTCCTCCTTCTCCTTCGCTCGTCTTTTCTTCTTCGATCTGCAAATTCTCCAACGCTTTCCCGAACCATCTCGCGGCGCGTTTGAACTCGAGCCTCGCGAATGCCTCCGTGGCTTTCGTTTTCATCGCTAACCAACCCATTTCCTCCTCGCATTTTTCTTGGTCTTCTTCCCTTTCCTCCTCTTCTCCGTTCACCACCCTCCCGCCTTCCTCCTTCTCAAACGAAGAAGAAGCGTTTTCCAATCTCGGTAACGCATTTTCTTTCTCTTCTAAAACTCGTCGTTTCGTCTCCTCGGTCAGCTTCAACACGTCGTCGAAATCGGTCGGTTTCGGCGGTAACAGCGGTTTCTTCGATCGTCGTTGCCACGCGTACATGTATTACGATTATATGCGTACGCGCGCGTGTATATGTCGTTCGCTTTGCGTCGTGGTCTGATCGTTTTTATTATTCTTTTCTGAAGACACATGAGACATGTGAAAGATTTTTTGAGCGACAGACTGCCAAAATTCGCTTTACATTTTCTCTCGATTGTTTTTAAGATGAAGCTTTCGTTCGCTCGCAAAGAGGACGAGGCGCTTTTATTCACCGCATCGTCTTCTTCGTCGTCTTTCCCTAAAGATGGTGGTGGTAATATTCTCGCGATTGGCCTGTGCGACGTCGCCGGCGCCGGCGTTCGCGCGTTGAAATCTCTGACCACCAGCAGGGAAAGCGGCGGCAAACAACTCAAACGGAGAGATTTCGAGTTGAAGTTTACCGACGAGAACGGGGGAGATTTGGTTGGAAAGATGATTGGAAATAAGAACGGCGAGAAAGAGACGGACAAGGAAGAGGAGGAGGAGGAAGAAGAAGACGATATCAGCGCGTTGGAACGAGCGATTTTCGTGAAGACGAGCGACGATGGCGAAGCGTTGGAAGATGCTCCAGCTGTGAGTTTGGTACAGTTTACGGACGACGCTGAGGAGAATAACGCGGTCGTGCTTTCGTGCTTGGCGATTAACATGATGGTACCGGAACGAGACGAAGCGAGCGCGTGTCACGCAGTGGTGAGGTTTGTGAGAGAGCATTTAGAAAATTGCGCTCGGAAGATTGTTTTTTGCGCGGCGATGAAGCTCGAGCGAGGGGTGACGCGAGGCGACGCGGAGAAAGATGTCTATTGTTTCGGTGAGAGCGAGACTGTTGAGAACGAGAAATTAACGCGATTGGATGAAAAGGCGACCAGAGTTCGCGATGGTTTGTTGAAAGGTCTCATCTCTGGCTCTCGATGTGCGTTTGGGAGTGAAAACGTGTCGGGTATCGTCGTGCCCGGGTTCGCGGTGCCGAGAGTGGGCGGGAGCGAGATGGAGATGGAGAGTGGCGAGACCGCGAATAGATTAGAGCGAATAGTAGGAGAGACGTTTAAAGGGTTAGGCGTGAGTGCGAGTGGGAATGCGAAAAACTTCAGAGCGACAAAGACGTGGTGGAAGACGAAAGAAGGCGCGAAATTTATGTCATCTATGTTTATGTAAAACACTTAAAATCTATTATAATCTGACTCTCTTTATTCTATCTCACTTCTTACTTCGGCGGTGGGGGCGGTGGAGGTGCGTTGACTGAATCGCCGGGCGGAGGAATAAAGTCGACGCCGGGCACCGGAACTCGCAAGACACCGGATTGCTGCGAAACTACCATTTGCGGGGGTATTTGTGGTTGTTGCATCATCATCATCATTCCTGGTGCTGGCGCACCTACGTTCATCCCACCCATAAACGCCATCTGTCCAATCGGAGGTTGAATCGGTTGCTGGTGCTGGTGTCCGGGAAGTTGATGTTTCGGCACAAACCCCTCCCAAAGTTTCGACGCCGAAACTCCTCCGCCACCCTCTTTCTCCTTTCTTTTCCTCTGTTTCGGATTCTTCTTCCTCTTCGCTTCCGCTTCTGCCTCGTCGTCGCTAAACTCGCCGTCGTCATCAATCTCCTCGTCGTTCGCCCCGCTGTTGTCGTACCCTTTCGAATACAACTTTTCTGGCATCAGCGTCTTTTTCATCGATCGCACGCAAAATATCTTCACGCCTACCGTCATCTTTTCCGGCGCGTTCGCGCTCTTACACTTCTTCTTATCGTACCGCATGGTATACATCGGTTTCGTGATTGGTCCAAACACCTCCTCGACAAAACCCAATCCAAATCTCTCTTCCGAACACAACGGCGTGGTTTCGTCCAGAGGCGCCTGGTCTTCCTTTTCGCTCGCGACGACGCACACGTCGCCGACGACGGAAACTATCTGACCCACGAGTTCAATCTCTTCCTCGGCACCAATCTCAGGCACGTCCGGCATCTCCGGAACGTGGTTTACGATTTCATTTTTGGTCCTCGGCGGCGAAATATTCGTCGCGTCCACGTCTTCCTCGTCGGCTTTTTCTCTCTCTCGTCCAGTTTCTTTAATATCTTTCAACCAATTTGGAAGCTCTGCGGCGTCTAAGATTTCCGCGTCGTCGTCGTCCTCTGAACTCGACCACTCCGAACTCGACGACGAATCCCCACCTCCATTCCTTCTCTGTTCATCTTTCGCCAATAATTTCTTCGCCATCGCCGTCTCCTCGTCGCCGAATTCGTACCCGTCCGATTCTTCTTCTTCTTCGTCGTCTTCCCCTTCTTTTTTTTCCCCATCGTCATCATAATCTTTAACGTTTTTGTCGTACACTCCAGCCGCTTCCGCCGCCGCTAAAATATCCGGGGCCGCTGTTGATGGTCTCACGGTGGTGCTTCCTCCCGTCGTCGTCATTCTCTTTCTCTCGATCTCTCTTAAAGTGTGTCTGATATAAATATAACGCACTCCTCTCCCTCTTCTTTTTACTGTCGTCGTTTTTGTTCAGTTTTTGAATTTTTTCTCTTCTTCAAAAAATGGTTTAGGGTTACTTAGGGTGTACGAAGAAAACCAGGCAACCTTCAACACAAAATTTCTCTCTTGACATTTCTCTCACTCTTTACTTACACTCGCGTTATTTACTGTTTTTCTTTCCCAAAACGAGAGAGAAAACTAAACGCCTTAGCTGACTGTATACTAAACATTTCGCGCGGAAGATAACAACACCTTTACCACGCGCGTTGCTGCGTCTGTTTTTTTCTTTTGGAGAGCAAGTGTTGTTGTTTGTTGTTGTTTAAATCGAAAATTATTGGAGAGAGAAGATAATTGAAAGAAGAACGTTGGAAAGAAGACTCCTCTTGAAGAAGACAAAGAAGAACTCAAACGATCGTCTGTCTCGGAGATTTTAGAGAGATAAAACGCGTTAAAACGCACGAGAAAGAGGAGGCATTTACCACGATGTCGTCTTCCAACGCTTCGTTCCCGGGTTCGGAAACCTTGCTCGATTTTGCGCAACCGTTCGACGTGACCGTTTTGGATGCCGTCGTCAACGCTTTTTATTCCCCGGGGGGGAATCCGCAATTACGAGCGGAAGCCGAGCAAATCATGAAGCAGATGCAAGAGCACGAACACTCGTGGACGAGAGTGGATGGGATATTAGAGCACTCGAAGAGCGCGAACACGAAGTTTTTCGCATTGCAAATCTTAGACTCGGTGATCAAGTTTCGGTGGGGATCGTTGCCGTTGGAACAGAGAGAAGGGATTAAGAATTTTATATCGAACTTGGTGATCAGTTTGTCCGGGGACGAACAGTTATTTCGGAAGGAAAGAGCGTACGTGACGAAGATTAATAACGTTTTGGTACAAATTGTCAAGCACGATTGGCCGCACAGATGGCCGAGTTTTATTCCGGATTTAGTCGGCGCGGCGAAGATGAGCGAGTCGTTGTGCGAGAATTGTTTAAACATTTTGAAGCTCTTATCGGAGGAAGTGTTTGATTTCTCGAGAGGGGAAATGACGCAGGATAAGATTAAGAGTTTGAAGACGAGTTTGAACGCGGAGTTTGCGATGATTCACGAGTTGTGCGAGTTTGTGTTGACGAATTCGCAGAAACCGGAGTTGATTTCGCAAACGTTGGTGACGTTGCACGCGTTTTTGACGTGGATTCCACTCGGGTACATCTTTGAGAGTCCTTTGTTGGAAACATTGTTGAGGTTGTTTCCGAACCCGACGTATAGGAACGTGGTGTTGCAATGTTTGGCAGAGATTGGGAGTTTGCTCGTGGACGCGCAATACAACGGGAAGTTCGTGGCGATGTATACCGAGCTGATGAACCATTTGGCGACGGCGTTGCCGAGGAACACGAACATTCCGGAAGCCTACGCGAACGGATCGGACGATGAACAAGCGTTCGTTCAAAACTTGGCCATTTTCTTCACGCAGTTTTTCAAAGCGCACGTGAAGTTGTTGGAAACCACGCCCGAGTTGCAAAGCGGCTTGTTGAACGGTTTGGAGTATTTGTTGAACATTTCGTACGTGGACGAACCGGAAGTGTTTAAAGTGTGTTTGGATTACTGGCACGCGTTGGTGTGCGACTTGTTTCAAGCGAGCGATTCCGGAACTGGCTCGGGTGGACAGGACGGTTTCCCGAATGCGGTTGATTTCACGTTTGGCGCGCCCGCCGGCGGCGGAGCTCAACAAAACGGGTCTTCCTCTGGGTCGCAAAGACGCGCGTTATATTCCGCGCCGATGAGTAAATTGAGAATGTTGATGATTTCGAGAATGGCGAAACCCGAAGAAGTGTTGATCGTGGAAGATGAAAACGGAAACATCGTGCGCGAGACGTTGAAAGACAACGACGTTTTGGTCCAATACAAAATCATGCGCGAGACGTTGATTTACTTGGCGCACTTGGACCACAAAGATACCGAGCAACAAATGTTGGAAAAGTTGAGCAATCAATTGAACGGCCGAGAGTACACGTGGAACACGCTGAACACGTTGTGCTGGGCGATTGGAAGTATTTCCGGGTCCATGCAAGAAGACCAAGAGAATAGATTTTTGGTCACGGCGATTCGAGACTTGTTGAACTTGTGCGAAATCATGCGAGGGAAAGATCACAAGGCGGTCATCGCGAGTAACATCATGTACGTCGTCGGTCAGTATCCAAGATTTCTTAGGTTACACTGGAAGTTTTTGAAAACTGTGGTGAATAAACTGTTCGAGTTTATGCACGAAACCCACCCCGGAGTGCAAGACATGGCGTGCGATACGTTCTTGAAAATCACCATCAAGTGCAAGCGCAAATTTGTCATCACGCAAGTCGGCGAACACGAGCCGTTCGTGGAGGAGTTGTTGAGAGGTTTAACGAACACCATTCGCGATTTGGAGCCGCACCAAGTGCACATCTTTTACGAAGCCGTCGGACACATGGTTTCCTCGGAACTGAACTTGGCGAAAAAAGAGGAATACGTGCAGAGATTGATGACGCCGCCGAACGAAACGTGGAACCTCATCATGACGCAAGCGAGGCAATCGAGCGAGAGTTTGAAGTCGCAAGAGGTCATCAAGAACATCTTAAATATTTTGAAAACAAACACGCACTGTTGCATTTCGCTCGGGCAGCCGTTCCAAAACCAAATGAGTTTAATTTACGGCGATTTGTTGAACGTGTATAAACTCTACTCGGAGTTGATTTCAGCCGCCATCGCGGAAGGCGGACCATACGCGTCGAAATCCTCGTTCGTAAAACTCACTCGCTCTGTAAAAAGAGAGTGTTTGCGATTGATCGAAACCTTCGTGGAAGGCTGCGAAGATCCGCACTTGGTGGCGCAACAGCTGGTCCCGTTAATGTACGATCCGATCCTGGGCGATTACGCGAGAAACGTCCCGGACGCGCGGGACGCCGAAGTCTTATCACTGTTCGCCGCCATCGTGAAGAAAGTAAAAGGTGCGATGATTGACGAGATCCCGAAGATCTTTGACGCGGTCTTTGAGTGCACGTTAGGGATGATTACGGTAAACTTTGAGGATTATCCGGACCACCGTTTGAAGTTTTTCTCGTTACTTCGTGAAGTGACCAATCATTGCTTCCGCGCCATCGCGACGTTATCGCCTGAGCACTTGAAGTTGGTCATCGACTCCATCGTTTGGGCGTTCAGACACACAGAAAGAAACGTCGCGGACGAAGGGTTGCACTTACTTCTCGAAATGATGAAGTACTTTCAAATGTCCGAGTTTTGCAACGCGTTTTATCAATCCTTTTATCTCACGTTGTTATCTGAGATTTTCGCGGTGTTGACGGATGGGTTCCACAAACCCGGGTTCAAGTTGCACGCGTTGTTGTTGCAAAACTTGTTCACCGTCGCGGACTCGCCAGAGAGATTGACGGCCTCGTTATGCCCGCCGGAAAAACAAGGTCAATACTCCTCCAACGCGCATTTTATCAAAGACCACGTGGCGACGTTATTAGCCGGCTCGTTCCCGAACATGTCCGCGGGCGACGTCGAGCGATTCGCGAGTGGCATGATGGAATATAAAAGCGATTTGGTCCAGTTCAAGAACCACTTGCGCGACTTCTTAGTCGCGAGTAAACAGTTCTCGACCGCAGATTTCGCAGAAGAAGAGAAAGCTAGGTTGGCAGAGGTGGCCAAGGAACGCTTAGCGGCGGTTCCGGGGATGATTGCGCCGAATGAATTAAACATGGACGACGACGAAGATTAAGAAGAAAAAGAAAATCTAAGCGGCAGCGAAGCTTACATATACTACTACTACTACCACTAATACTAATAATAAAAATAAGATTGAATAAATAGACGCTGCTAAAAGCTACGGCACATTCATACTAATATACAAACTAATTACAACACTTTATCGTACTTCTCCATCAAGTCTTCTGCGGCTTTGTCGTACGTTTGCTCCTCTAAGTTTTCCAAGAACAACTCGTCCGCGCCGCCTTGATCGGCCCCTTTTCTTTCACCGCTCTCCTCGTCGAAATCGTTTGGTCTCGAACGTTTCGACGCTTGGTCGTACGCGCGATCGTAATGGTGCACCAAAATCTCCTCCACGAACTGATCCCACTTCTTCTCCGCGACTAGACTTCTCCACTGATTGACGCGTTCGTTCCCTACTCTCTTCTCCAACACTTGCAATTTTTCCAACAGTCTCGGAACTTCCGTCGTCTCGAAGTGCTCGTAATTTTGCCTAATCCATTTGACCCGGTGTTCCATCGGTATGCTCAATATCGTCGCTTTACCTTCACCCATTCTCTTCCAAGTCATCGTCGGTATTTGCACTTTACCAATCATCGACGACTCGCCTTCCACGAAAATAACTCTCTTCTCGTCAAACTTTCGCATCTTATGCGCCAACCTCGAATCGAACATTTTTTGACTCGGTTGCCCGACGAATCCATTCTCTGGATCTTCCCCTAATACCGACCCTCTGTGTTCAGCGAAGCGCTCTAAATCAATCACTTGAGCACCCCGTTTCTCCAACGCGTCCAACAACTTTCCCTTCGCGCACCCGGTCTTCCCAGCGACGACGTGGTAACGAAACTTTGCCGCTTCCTCTTTGAGATACTTCAAAGTCGTCTCTCGATATTTCTTATACCCGCCTGGAACGTAAGACACGTCAAAACCGATTCTCGACAGCACGTGCGCTAACGAGAGCGACCGTTCCCCGCCTCGAAAACAATACACGCACACCTTCGTCGTCTTCGGAAGATGTAAAAAATGTTCCTCTAAAATTTTACTTAGATTCTCGCTCGTCAATTTCGCGCCCAGCTTTTTCGCCTCGAACGGGTCGACTTGGACGTACATCGTCCCGATTTCTTCTCTCTGCTGATCGCTCAAGACGGGCGTGGAGATGGCGAACGGGACGTGGTCGTCTTTGTATTCCGAGGGCGATCGGACGTCGCAGACTAAATCGTACATTTCCGGGTCGAATTCATTGCTTTCCACGAGCGCTTTTTTGATGCGAGGACCGAGGTCGAGGTACTCCGGCGGGTAGGTAAAGTTATCTCGGCGAAGAACGTCTTCTTTGCCAGAGGAGGCTGTCGTCTTTGTCGTCGTCTTTGTCGTCGTCGTCGCAGCTCGTCTCGACCACCACGGTAGCAGGAACGCTCGGTTTCTCTCGCCGTTGTTGTTGTTGTTGTTGTTGTTGTTTCCAATTCTATTGTGCCGCCATGACCAAGACGACGACGACGACGACGATGACGATGATAAAGAACAAGTCGTCATCGACGGGGCCATTCTTAATAGTGTCGTCCTCGTCGTGAAATAACAGTAATAATAAGAATTACAGCTCCTCGGGACGATTTTACCGCGTTGCAACCACCCCCAGTGCGGCATATAAAGTGAAGAAGAGAGAAAGAGGAGGTTTTCCCCTAAAAAAACAAACAAAGAAACGCCTTTTTTTTCGAGATCATCAGTTCAGTTTTGTTTGACCACAAGAAGAAAAATAAAATGTCAGCGGACGCCTCCGACGACGAGGACGATGGGAAATCGGGTGCGACCGTCGAAGTCGACGGAGAACAGGTGATTGTTCGAGTGCGATGCGCTGAATGCGTGAAGAAAGGCCTCACGACGGAGGCAGATGAAAATGAAAATCTTGGACAGTTTTACGAGTCGCAGTTGCGAGATGATTTGCTCTGCGCTTCGCATTACTTGGAGGAATTGAGGACGTTGGAGAATAACTACGTCATGAAGATTGGTAAGAATTGATAAAATGAGTTGTTGTTAATATTGTTAGTGCAATTGTAATAATATTACTCGTCGTCGTCGTTCTCATCGTCGTCTTCTTCGTCTTCTTCTAAATCTAAAACGATGAATCGGTTCGCGCCGATGCGCACGGCGGCTAAACCTCGAGAGGTCGAACATTCGATTGGACCTACGGCGTTCGGAGGAAGGCGGCGACACTTGCGCTCGTCGTCGTCCTCTCCGTCATCGTCGAATGTAGCCACACCGTCGGCGAGAACGAGAACGGCGGCTTTGTGACGGTTAGGATTTTCGCCCTCCGCCATGTCTTCTTCTGCTTCGTCTTCTTCTTTGGGAACTAATAAAGTGAGCGCACGACCGTTCGTGTATTCTAAAGCATCGAGAGGTTCGACGGTTTCGTAGTAAAGCTCGTTGGTATCGGTACCCATATCGTCGCTACTCATACCAAAATTAGAAGCAACGACATCTTTACCGAACTGGCATCCGTTTCGAACGGCGTCTCGAAAGCTTTCTTGAACGGCGAGAGATCCGGAACTTATAAACGTGGCGTTGGCGCTCAACGTGTCGCACTTCTTCGTTTGGTCGTCGACGTCGCCATCAATCGATGAATTGCTACCAGGCGTTGCGGGGGTTGCAACAACGTTTCCTTCAATCGTACCGCTCGTTTCGCGAAGAAAGTCTTCGTCCCATGTTTTCAGGAGCGTTTCTAAGCAGTCTCGCAAGCCGCCGTAGCGAATACCGTCGTCGTCGCCATGTCTCGACAACTGCATTTCCAACCGATCCGTTGATAACTCTGAGCTTCGTCCCAGCGCGTCCATTACATTTTCTACATTCGCTTCCGGTAAGTTCGGTACCGCTGCTAATGGAACGCCTGTTTCCATGCGTTTCTGCGCGCGCATTAGAAACGCGAATATCGCGCGATTCCTACTACCAACCATCGTACACGCCGTCGTCGCGTCGTGGCACGCCATACACGCCAGCTCGACTTCTTCGCACAACTTATCCAACGTTTCTTCTCTCAAACCGAGCGGTTTCGCGTGTTTTTTCCACCTGGACAACCCTCTTAATTCTCGCAAGCGACTAAACGCCACCGACAACGCCGGAGCGACTTTCTTCACCAAAACGTCGTGCGCGACGTTCGTCTCGTGGTCTAAGCGCCTCGCGCGTTTCTTTAACTCGCCCGATTTACACCTCACACCGAAAAAATCTTCTAAACCGCGATCTATGATGCCTGTTTCGTACAACGAAAGTGCGTCTTTACAAAAAATATCGCAAAACTGCGCGCGGAACTTCTCGTCCGCGATGATTTCACTCATGGATGTTTTCTTCTCGTTCTCGTCGTCGTCGTCGTCACCTCGCAAATACGACGCCCCGGCGCTTAGTTTACCCACTCTCTTCGGTTTCTCCGTAACTATAAATCTTTGAAAATCTGGGTCAATCGACGAGATGGCAAAATCAACCACCGTGTGGTAAAACGCCGTCTTTAGCGCCGCTTTCCATCGTTTCGAAAGCATCGCGACCGAGCTCAAACACGCGCTCAAAAGCTGACTGGTGTGCGCGGCGTGTAACGCGAAATCGTACGTCGCTTTCACGCGATGTTGTGAGAGCAAATCAAATGACAACATCGCGTACGCGTTGCCATTTACGCGAGCGCAAATGGCGTTTTTCTCTTTCGATACCGACACCGCTTCCACCGCGGATTTCTCTTCGTCTTCGTTGTTCGTCGGTACTTTTTGCCAAAACAACGGAAACGCGCCAAAACCAAAACACGCCACGTTCCCGCTCACATCTCCAGCCACTAAAACGTTCATCTGGCTCGGCGGTGCCTTGTGATCTAAAATCTGGTCTCTGTTCCAAGCCTGTTGGTCTTCGTCGATTTCCCAACGCTCCTCGTCCTCGTCCTCTTCGTCCTCGTCCTCCTCGAGCAAAACGTCGTCCTCTATCGTCTCCTCCACGTCCACCCCTTTATTTCGTCGCACAAACCCAAAACTCTTCCCACTTTGACCGCTGCTCTTCCCGCCTCGCATCATCGCCAACGCGGCGTTCGATACGCTCAGCTTTGGCCGAGCGTGAAATTTGCTCGCCGACGAGTCGTCGTTGAAAAGCAGCGCGGCGGTGTTGTTACTCCCGGACGACGACGTCGCGTGGCTTCCACTCCTCGCCAACGCTTCGAACTCTTTCGTCAACTGCGTGTCTGTTTCTTTGTCCTCAGCTATGCTCCCAACGACGCCCATCCAACACAACGCGGATATTTTCCTCTTCCCGTCTTCTTCCTCTCCTAATCCGTCGCAAAATCTCTCCGTCATCCGTTCCACGGTCCAGCTCGGATACACCGCGCCTTCCCCACCCGCGTGGTTGTTCCCATTCTCCACGTGAAACAACTCCACGTCTCCGTTTCTTCGTCCCACCGCTAAAATCTTCCCGTCTTCTCTCCACGTCAAGCACGTGCACTCGTTCCCCGGGGAGACCGTTCGCCACAAGCGTTGCCAGTCGATGCGATGTAAGGACAAGGCGCCGTCTTTGGTGGCGACGGCGATGACGTCGATTTTGGGGTTGATTTTTATGGAGAGGATTGAGGAGTGGAGGGAGACGTCGCGGAGGACGGTGAAGGCGCGGCCGTTGTTGCTTCCACTCTTCGGCATAGAGAGTGTATTGTTACCGTCGTGATTGCTCTTTTCCATACAAATACTGGAGACTTTTTCGAATTTTTTCTCTTCTTTTCTTTTGAAAAAATACGAGACTCTCTCTCTCAATACACTGTCTCACAGGGACGGGTAAGAATACTTGGACGGGGAATACTACGGACGGGGAATACCTTAACTTGGACGGTACGTTACGTCACGACGTAACTCGGACGGGTAATGCACTCGATTGCTTTTCCACATAATAATGTAGACTTTTTTTCGATTTCTTTCTCTTTTTTTCTGTTGTTTTTTTGTCGCATGTGTCTCGCATGTAATTAAAAAAAAAGGCGTTACGTTATTTCATAGTATATAATATTCTCTCGCGAAAGAAAGAAGAAGACATGGCTTCATCGCGAGTTAAAGCGTCGACAACGATCGCTTTGAGCGTGATCGAGGACGTTTTGACGTTGGCGACGACGATGGTGGCGTCCTCGATCGCGTTTTCGATGCGATCGATCGGTTTTGTTCTTCTCAAGTCCCCTCATGTTGTCCCCGTTTTTAAGAGGGGAGCGAGAGAGAGAGAATACGCGGAGATCCGCGACGAGGAGAAGCGGTTGTTGGAAAAGGAAAAAGAAGAAGAGGAAGAGGACGACAGTGCGAGTTTGAGGAGGATTGAGATGGAGTTTGCGGTTCCGAGAGCGCCGACGGTTGTTGGAAAAGCGAGGGAGATTCTCTTCCAGGAGCAGAACGAAGAAGACGCGAAGCAGCTCGAGGCAAAGTTGGTGAGCGAGTTTGCGATGTCGGCGAGCGTGTTTTATCCTGCGGATGCATCGTCTTCGTCGCTTGAAAATACCGTAGTTCTTCTCAATTGTACCGGTGGTACTCAAGAAACTTGGCGAGCCTCTGGTGTTGTCGAGCGATTCTGCGAGAAAAAGAACTGTTCGGTATTGACGTTGGACATGAGAGGTCAAGGTTTGGAAACCGACATCGTGGATTACGACTCGCTGCGGGTACTCGCGATGGACGTATTGGCCGTTCTACGAACGATTCAGGAAGACAAAAAGAGGTATAAAATTGGCGCAAAGATGCACGTCGTCGGATATTCCATCGGAGCAGGCGTGGCGATGTGGATAGGAGTTCTCCTCAGTCCCAATCGAAGAGGCGGGGAAAGACTGACAAGGCCGAAAGTTGACTCGATTTCTCTGTACGGCTTTACGTCCAAAGGCGTCATCGCCGGTCGAAAGAACTTCATCGATCGAGTATTAACGCAGGCATTCGCTACGGAAATGTTCGTCCGCGCTTGCGGCATTCGCGGCTTCATCGGTCTCATGCGACTCGGCATTCGACCAAACTACGACGCGCTCAACGCGCAAAAGATGAACGTCGACGATTTAACCCACTACACCTGCGACACGAACACCCTGGACGGGTTCGCCTACCAAGTTAAATCGTGGACAACGTTCGAGTTATCGCGCGATGAAATCAAATCCATCGAAATTCCAACATTAATTCTCCACTGCAAAGGCGACGAGCGCGCCGGCCACAAACGGGAACACAAACGCTTCGACGCGGAGACGATGCCGAGAGGCGAGTTTCTCCAAATCCAAGGCGACTACAGTCACTTGTGGCCGTACGAAAATCCAGAACAGTTCGTACGCGTCGTTGAGGAGTTTCAAAACCGAGCGTCTGCGAGGAGGTTGTAATAAAAACGTTTATTATACCATCGCGACGGATGTTTTTCCTCTTTTTCTTCGATTTTCTCTTCTTCTTCAGTTCTTCTCCTGGCGGCGAATTCTTCACTCTGAGTCACACTTTTGCACTTCGTTTTACAACAACGCGAAAAGAACTCTGATAAAGCATTATTATTCAGGAATGGCGGACGACGACGCCAACGCCATGATGCGGAACATGTCCAAAGCGGCCACCGCGTCGAACCTCCCTCGAGCGACGCGGGTGAAAAACAAATCCGCCGCTGCGATCCAAATCACCGCCGAACAAATCGTCCGCGAAGCGAAAGAGCGACAGGACGACACGTACATCGCGCCGAGGCAAAAGATCACGAACAACGAAGAACTGTACGAGTACCGATTGAAGAAACGGAAAGAATTCGAAGACGTGATTCGGAGAACGTATTGGGACAGCAAAGTGTGGACGCGATACGCGCAATGGGAGGAAGGCCAAGGGGATTTCGCACGAGCGAGAAGCGTCTGGGAACGCGCGCTGGATCAAAATTATAAAGAAGTCCCGGTGTGGATAAACTACGCGGAGATGGAAATGCGAGCTGGGTTTGTGAATCACGCGAGGAACGTGTGGGACCGCGCGTGCTCTTTGTTGCCGAGACACGACGTTTTGTGGTATAAGTTTACGCACATGGAAGAGACGATGGGCGAAATAGCGGCGTGTCGAAACGTGTTTGAGAAATGGATGAAATGGGAACCGAGCGAGTTAGCGTGGAACGCGTTTGTGAATTTTGAGATGCGGTATAAGGAGTACGATCGCGTGCGAGATGTGTATCAGAGATACGCGCAGGTGCATCCGTCGACTAGAGTGTTCGGGAAGTGGGCGAAATTTGAGCAGTATCAGAAACACGACAACGAAAATTGCAGGAAAGTGTTCGAGGCTGGGATTGAGATGTTGAGCGAAGAGGAAGACGTGGACGATTTGTACGTTCAATACGCAAAATTTGAGGAGAAAAATCACGAGTATGAACGCGCGAGAGGGATTTATAAGTACGCGCTGACGGCGTTGCCGAAATCGATGCACGACTCGATCCGGAAAGCGATGATGACGTTTGAGAAACAGTTTGGCGACTCGAAAGGCATTGAAAATGCAGTCGTGGAGAAACGAAGACACGAATACGAAATTTTAGTCGAAAAGGAACCGATGAATTACGACCATTGGTTCGCGTTTGCGAAATTAGAAGAGGAGAACGGGGAGTGGGATAAAGTTCGAGAGGTGTACGAACGCGCGATTGGGAACAAACCGCCGGCGAACGAGAAGAGATATTGGCGACGATACGTGTATCTATGGATCAATTATTTCTTATTCGAAGAGTTGGACGCGAAAGATTACGACCGTGCGAGGGAGGTTATGCGAGAACTCTTGAAGTTGGTCCCGCACAACGAGTTTTCGTTTTCGAAAGTGTGGATCATGGCCGCTAAGTTTGAATTGAGAAGGAAAAAATTAGACGCGTTTCGTAAGATTATGGGATTAGCCATCGGATTAGCTCCGAAACCAAAAATCTTTGACGCGTACATAGAGGTCGAGTCTCAGTTAGGAAACGTGGACCGGTGTCGATCGTTGTACGAAAAGTCGTTAGAGTTGAACCCGAGAGATTGCGAGAGTTGGGTGAAATACGCCGAGTTGGAGAAGGATTTAGGAGAAACCGAACGCGGTCGCGCCATTTTTGAAATGGCAATCGAACAACCGGCTTTAGACATGCCCGAAAGCTTGTGGAAGGCGTACATTGACTTTGAAATTTCCATTGGGAACAGAGTCGAAGCGAGAGCGTTGTACGAGCGATTGTTAGAGAAGACGGAACACGTGAAAGTTTGGATGAGCTTTGCCAAGTTTGAAAACAAAATCGTCTTGCCGCCTCCCGAGGACGACGAGGAATGGGACGAAGACGAGGAGACTGAGGCGGAAAGAAGAAAGCGAGAGGAGGCGCACGTGAAGAAAACACCGACGGAATCGAAAGAAGCTCGCGAACAAAACGCGAGAAGGGTTTTTGAACGCGCGTTGGAGGCTTTGAAAACGAACCAACCCGATGCGAAAGAGGAACGGGTGATGTTGTTAGAGGCGTGGAAAGTGTTCGAGGAAAACGCTTCTGGCACGTCGAATGAAAAGAAAGAATTGATAGACGCCGTGGACAAGAAGATGCCGAAACGCGTCAAGAGAAAACGTCCAATGTACACCGAAGACGGCGAAGATGCAGGGACGGAAGAGTATTACGATTACGTGTTTCCAGAAGAAGCAGGCGCGAAACCAAACTTGAAGTTGTTGGAAGCAGCGTACGCGTGGAAGAAACAAAAGCAAATGGAAACGTCCTCGTAAAAAATCTTTCTGTTCGCGTAGACAAACAACAATATTTGCAGATTTCTATACTTACAACATAGCGCAAAGCGAACTACCTACTAGTAATACACAACTCTATCCTTCTAATAACTAATCTCTTGAATTCCAATGGTGCGACCACCAGTTAGGCGTTCCAAATTCGCACTCGGTGAACGCTTTCTCTTCCTTTTCTCCTCCGTCGCCGCTCTCGTCGACTGTTTCAATCGAAACGCCTTCGCTGACGTTTTCCACCTTTGCAAATCTCACCAACGCTAACCCGACGCCGCCACCTCGAGAGGCGACCACTTTCCCAATCTCTTTCCCGTCTTTTTTCGATATGACTATCCCATTTATTTTGACTTCTTTATTTTCATCAAAAACAACCGGAACGACGCCTTTCCTCACTTCGCCTTGAAACTCCGCCCGCGCCGTCGGTTCTTGGCCGACGTAACAACCCTTGGTAAAAGAAACCGCGTGTAAATGCGTCAACCTCGATTCCGCCGGAAACCGCTCGCCGAGTTCCAAAGACCCTTCCGGCACGCCATTCGCGTGTCTCCAGTTCGCGTACACCTTCTCGTCCAACTCTGCGTCTTCCTCCGTTTTCTTCGTAGCGTCAAAAACTATCCCGCGTCGTCCTAATCCAAACCATCTCGGATCCGCCGGTAAGAGTACATTTCCACGACCACCACTATCAGCATAATCGGTATCAAACGAAGGTGGCATCACGCGTACGCTCAACTCCTCGCTCGCGTCTTCCACTGAAACGTCCGACCGTAACTTCCTCCGCACTATTTGCGTCAACAACGTCTCTTTGGCACGTTGACACGAGTCAATCAAAATCTCATCATTATTTCTTCTTCCACCATCATCGCTTCTTCCTCTCGTCAAGAACACGTCCGTCACGATTCGCCCTTTCGGCGTTAACATCGCCGCGTACATGGTATTAGTATTATTATCGTCATCCTCCAGAAGTAAATCGACGTCGTTGGTCAGCAATCCTTGGAGTAACTTTTTCCCGTCCTTCCCGGTGAGTCGTACCACCGAGCGGGATTTCCCGAGGAACACGCCCTTAAAACCACCTTTAAGGCTCTTCGATTGACCAGAACTGCTCATCGTCGCGTCCGAGCCTCCTCCTCGAGCGCTTCTCCGAATGAACGCGTCCAGCGTTCGCGCGATCGCGCGTTCCAGAGCCGTCGTCGCGCTGCTCGAAGAAGCCGCCAAAGTCGTCGTCATCTCTCTTCTCTCTTTGTTTTTGAAGAAACGTCGATGACGAATTTTGAGAAAAAAAGAAAAAATTTGAGAAAAAAAAATTTTTTTGAGGCAAAAAGAGAGGAGTAACCCTTTACGTACTCATGGGGTACTCTCTCACGTCAAAATGTGACCTACCTTTACGCACTCACGGAGTCAAAGCGCGTACTCCAAAACCCGAAAAAAAAAAAAATTGAGAGACGAGAAAAAGAAAGAAAGATAAAACACACGTGTATCCGTTCCTCACTCTTCTCGACCGAGAAGATGATGCACAGCACACGCACGAACGCTTCGATGCTGTGCATAAACATCACCCCGAAGTTCGTGCGGATACGCCGAGGCGTTGCGTTATCAACTCATTCGTCGTCTTTGCGAAATTGTCAAATTTTGTCGTCAAACGCAGAGAGAGGAACGAAAACGCAGCGCCTTCTTCTTAGTGGTAATCAAAAACTCGTAATTGATTCTTCGACGAGCGATGATGCTTCGATGGGAAGCCATTTCAGTCGTCGTGCACGTCGTCACTTTTCCTCTCCATTCGCGAGGGTTTCCGACAAGCGGAGACACGCGCTCGTCACTTCCGCATCCTCGAACAACAACAACAAAATCACGAGTGCAAAAAGTGGTTTGAACAGCACCAGTGGTGGTGAATCTCGTCTCCGCGCGATCAACAATCCCTCGCAGCAGCGAGAACAACAAGGGTTAGCGGACGCACTCGCTGCGGGGAAATCTGCAAAATCGCCGCCGGGGTCGTCACGAGGACAAGAAGAAAAAGAAATGATCGACCAGACGTACGAGTTGAACGGTAACAACTTCGCGGAACAAACGATCGCGACGCCGTCGGATGGACCGATCGATGTGTTGCACGCCTCTTCGAAGCAGACGAAGAGTTGGCAAGCGGTGAGGAGAGCGGTGACGACTGGGCCGGTGCAATCGAACGCGTTGATTGGAGGGACGCCGTTGATTGACGTGACGAGCGTGTTGAGTTTGAATCCTTCAAAGGTGAAGATTTACGCGAAGTGCGAGTATATGAATCCGAGTGGAAGCATTAAGGATCGAATTGCGAGTTATATTTTACAAGCGGCGATTGATGCTGGGGATTTGAAGGAGGGGATGACGGTGGTGGCGGCGACGAGCGGGAACACCGGGAGCGCCATCGCGGCGGCGTGCGCCATTCGCGGGTTTGATTACATCGTCATTACGAATAAGAAATGTTCGATAGAGAAGATCGATAGCATGAGAGCGTATGGTGGGACGGTTATTGTCGCGAAGAGTGGCGTAGCTGCGGACGATCCAGAGCATTATCAAAATATCGAGAACACGATGGTGGCGGAAAATCCGGGGAAGTATTTCGGCGTGAACCAGTACGATAACTTGAACAACGCGTTGGCTTACGAGGCGACGTTAGGGCCGGAAATTATCGCGCAAACGAAAGGACTCATCACGCACTTTGTCGCTGGGTCGAGTACGGGTGGGACGCTGACGGGTACCAGTCGGTATTTGAAGGCGGTGAACCCGGAGATCAAGTCCGTGTTGGCGGATCCGCGAGGGTCGGTATTGTGGGATAATTTCGTTAACGACGTTCCGGAAAACGAGTTAATTGTTGGTAAGTGGGAGATTGAAGGCGTCGGGAAAGATTCTATTCCGGGTGTTTTGTCCTGGGACGTCGTCGATGGCGCGCAAAGAGGAGACGACGCGTCGAGTTTTTACACGTGTCGCAAAGTCGCGAGAGATTTGGGCGTTTTAGTTGGAGGCTCCGCCGGGTTGAATTTACACGCGTGCGCGGTCTTGAGCGGTAAAATCGACAACGGCGTCATCGTGACCGTTTTGCCAGACTCTGGGGTGAAATACCTGTCCAAGATTTTCAACGACGATTGGATGAACGAGAAAGGATTCACGGGCAAGGAAAAGAGTCCCGAGGATGGAGAAATCTATTGGCGACCGGGCGCGAACGATCCGTGCGAGAACCAAAAGAGTAGCAGAATGTTTCCGATAAACGCGTGCTCTTTACAACACGACACGAGAAAGCAATGCAACGACGACGAGTTGAACCCGAGAGAACAAACGGAAGCGGAGTTGAGATTTTTGGAAGAGACGGCGGCGAGAATGGTCGAATACCATCGTCAATCCGTAAAAATTGGCGAAGAACCGGTAGTATTGATGAATACTCCGGAAAGCATTCGAGCGATGTTTTCCGAAGCTGGCGTTGGGATGACCTTTGAGCACCAAGAACCGGCGTGGAGCGAGCAACAGTTGAGAGACGCCGTGACGACCATCTTGCAAACGTCCGTGCGTTCATCGTCGCCGTTATTTTTGAACCAATTATACGCCGGTGTCGACCCGGTCGCGTTAGCCGGCGAATGGGTCTCCGCGGCGTTGAACTCAAACGTGCACACGTTCGAAGTCGCGCCATCGTTGACGGAGATTGAGAAATCATGCTTGGAGAAAGTCGCGCGGTGTTGGTTGAAGACCAACGACGGCGTCGAGACTCCCGAACACGACGGTTTGTTCGTCCCAGGTGGATCGTTATCGATTTTATATTCCATCTTGTTAGCCAGAGACGTCGCGGACTCTTCCATTCGCAAGGCTGGCATGGACAGAAATAACAAGTTGGTAGCTTTTTGCAGCGAAAACGCGCATTACTCGTACAAAAAATCCGCCATCGTTACCGGTTTAGGCGAAGAAAACTTGGTCGCGGTGAAATGTCTGCCGAACGGTGCCATGGATCCGGGCGCTTTGCGTGCGGCGATTGCATCGGCCATCGCGGCAGGCAAAACGCCGTTCTACGTCGGCACGACCGCGGGTACAACTGTTTTAGGCGCTTTTGATCCGTTCAGCGAAATCTTTGACGTCGTCGACGAGTTTCAAAATGCCAACGGGAAATCGCAACGCATTTGGACCCACATCGACGGCGCGTGGGGCGGTGGTGCCATGCTTTCCAAAGAGCACAATCATCTCATGGACGGCGCGGAACGCTCGGATTCTTTCTCTTGGAACCCGCACAAAATGCTCGGCATGCCTTTGCAATGCTCGGTGTTTGTCTGCAAGCACGCCGGCTCTTTATCTAAAGCGAACGGCGCCAAGGCGGAATATCTCTTCCAACCGGACAAGAATAACTCTGGCGCGGACTTGGGCGACCGAACCATTCAGTGTGGACGCAAAGCAGACGCCGTGAAGTTATGGTTGGCGTGGAAATTGCGAGGCGACGAAGGTTTCGCCAAGTGCATCGATCGGTCCTTTCACTTGGCGAAATTCGTCCAACTCGAAGTTGAAAACTCGGACGGCAAGTTCGTTCTCGTCCAACCGGCCCAATGCTCCAACGTCGGGTTCTGGTACGTTCCGCCGCGCTTGCGCCCATTCAACCGGACAACTGCGACTGAAGAAGATTGGGCCGAACTCGGTTACGTCGCTCCAAAGTTGAAAAACGCCATGCAAAAAGCCGGCGACGCCATGATTGGCTTCCAACCCATCGCCAGCATGGGCTACGTCAACTTTTTCCGCCTGGTGTTACCGAACCCGAGACACATCACGGAAATGGATCTGAGAGCGATGTTGGATCGCATGGACACCTACGGCCAAGAATTTTAATAATCATCGGAGAAAACAAATGGAGTAATTATATGTTATGCATCAAAGAGAAGAGAAGAAAGAGGAGGAAATTTTGCAAGCACGGAGGGTGGCTTACGTTTGTAAACTACTATAAAAATTATAATACACGAGAGCGGATTTATGATGATGTTTACGCAATCATCGAATCAAATCAATCAACGAGAGCGAGAGAGAAGAAGGAAAGCGATAAAAAGCGCGCTCTGAGAATAATAATAGTTATAATAACGAATAATAATACGAGAATGGTCATCTAGTAGTACACGAAAAGAAGAGTTGTTTAATATAATAAGTCATCACACACGATACTTTTAAAGCGAGAAACGAAGAAAAAATCGACACAAAATTTTTCAAAATTCGAATAAAATGCGCGTGGATTTAATCTCCGTCTTCTGGCACAACCTGGAAGGCGAGAAGCACAACGAACCGATTCTCGCGTGTTCGTTCGATCCTTCTTCATCGTCTTCTTCGTATAAACGTCTCGCGACCGCTGGAGGCGATAAGACGATAAAGATTTGGGACGTTTTGGAAATCGTCGACAAAGTGGAGGAGGAGGAGGAGGAGGAGAAAGAGGACGAGAGAGAAGCAAAAGTAGGAGAAGAGCAGACGCAAAGTCGCGTGGAATATAAAGAAACGATCACTCGACACGCGGCGGTGGTGAATTGCGTGAAGTTTTCTCCGGATGGCGCCGCACTCGCGTCGTGTGGAGACCGAGGCGAAGCGTTCGTGTTTGAGAAGACGACGACGACGAGAAAGGAGGGAGAGGAAAAGAAGACGGAGACGACGAACAACGCGCAGATGATGGTTGTCTCTGGCAACAGAACCGAATCTGATGCTAAACAACAAGGAGAGGAAGAAGCGCCTTCTCTTTTTAAGTGCAAATGCGCGTTGCGTGGCGGAACGGCGGATGCGTTAGATTTGACGTGGTCCGCCGACTCGCAGCTCGTCGCGGTGTCGTACATCGATTGGCGGACGATTATTTACGACGTCGCGAATGGTGGGGTCCCCCTGATTGCCTTCGAAGGTAAAAAAGGTAAATGCGCGTTAGGTGCGAGCAGTGGTAACGGACACACAAGTTTTGTCCAAGGTGTGACGTTTGACGCGTTGTCAAAATGGATAGTTTCTGTGAGCGCGGATAGGACGATGTGTGCTTGGTCTTCGAAGAAGGTTGCGATGAAAGCGAAGAAGGGCGAAAGTCCGATTGCGACGAAGAAAGTTTGGACGACGAGCTCGTTCAAGTACAGCAGCTGCGCGAAGAGCGCAAAGTCTAGCATAGATAGCAGCAACCAAGGCAACGAAAACAACGATGCGTGTTCATCGATGCTCTTTCACGACGACACCTTGCCTTCGTTCTTTAGACGACCAAGTTTCTCGCCGTGTGGTTCGTTCTTAGTCGTGCCCAGTGGTATACTCAAGGAAAAGGTCTCCGAACACGGCGGCGCGAAGAAGAGTGAAAGTACGGACTGCGCGCACGTGTTCTCTCGAGACGATTTGACGCAACCGAAAGCGTCCCTTCCGTCACTGAAACCGTCGACGTGCGTGGCGTTTTCGCCAAAGGTGTTTAAACTGAGAGGCGTTAAAAACGATGACGAATCAGTTGCTTCCACGAATCCTTTTAGAGGATTAAAGCACCGATGCATATTTTGCGTGTGTACAATTGATGGAGCTATGGTGTATGATACCGAAGTTGCTTCTCCTGTCGCCGTCATTTCAAACGCTCATTACGCCGCGGTCACGTGCGCGACTTGGAGCGCGGACGGGAGAACTCTGGTGTTGTCCAGTAAGGATGGTTTCTGCTCGTTTGTTCGATTCGACGAAGGTGAATTTGGCGAAGAAGTCGAAATGCCGAAACTTCCCGCGGAGACTGAAGTAGTGGAGGAGGGGAACAAGGAGAACGCCACGATTAACGGCACCGCCGCGGCGAAAAAGCCAGACCAAGCCACGGTGGACGCTCTGTTCGCAAACAATAAAAGTAGCACCGAAGATACGAATAAAGGCGTGGCGCAGACTGGAAGGCGAATAACACCGGTAGCGATGATGTAGAATATTAGTCAGCTAAAAACATGCACTTGTGGAACTGTAAAGAATGAACGCTCTGAGATTTCTCATTTAAAAAATATTTGGATCTACTAGTCGCTTCCTCATCCTCTTCTCACTCTCACCCGCCCTCTCTTTACTGCTTGGTTGTATTATATTACTTTTCTCGTTTTAATTGTTTCGTTTCATTTATTTCTCGGTTTATTATTCGTTTTTCTTTCTCGTTTTGTTTTCATTTTGGTTTTGTTTCAGTTATTTCTCGTTCGTCAAAGACAATAGCACTCCTTTCGAAAGCCCAAACAACTCAACTTCTATTCTCTCTCACTCTTTCGCTTCTCACATCTTTAAAAATATTTCACACACATAGACACCGAACCTCTCACGCGCGCGCGCTTCCACCTCTCGGCGTGCGACGTTTCTTTGGAGTTTCCGGACGATGTAACGAATCCGATTCGGTTGAGCCTCGCCAACCAAACATCTTCTTCATCAAGGATCCTACGATTGTGTTCTTCTCACTGTCTTCGTTATTCGCTCTTGCCGCCGCACTTCGCGACGCGCGCTTATTAGCGTTGAACTTTGGAGTTCCACTTCTTTCAGCGAGCGCCATGAGTTCGACGTAGCGTTCGTCGTCCGCTTCCACGTACTCCAAACCGTACTCCAAGACGTCCTCCAACGGCTCGAAGCAAATCGTTAAAGGTTGCGTCGTGGCGAAATCCATCTCCGCCTGCGCTTTGCGTCGTCTCTTGGATGCTGCCGGATTGAAGCACGCTCGTCGTCGTCGTCTTTTCTGCGCAAGCGCACCGCCACTGTTCATCAGAGCATTTTTTCGCTCTTCTTTTTCAGCCTTTTGGCGTTTCACCGCCGCGGCATCAAAGCAAAACAGGTAGCGATCGCGCTCAGCTTCAGTGGCGAGCTCTGGACGTTCACGAAGTTCTTTTGAAGGCGTCCAGTAAAATCGCGAGAGCAATGGACGACCGTTGTTATGAACCATCCTCTTCTGATACCAGTAGTGATGAACAGTCAAAACGACTTCGCAAGACGGCGCGTGCGGATACCTTTTTCGCAGCTCTGCGAAAGCTTTATCCATACTAGCATCATGCTTCATAACGAACGGCTTCGGACGAATAGAAGCGCCTGGAGAAAAAAATGCTTTCGCACTCGTATTTTTTTGGGATACTTTCACGGTCAAGTTCATCTTCTTCTCGAGCAACGCGCGATCGAAAACTTCCTCGGTCTCCGCGAGGGAGGACAAGGAAGATTTCGAACCGCGCGTCACGCGTTTCGTTAATCCAAATTTGAGACTGCCACCACCACCACCACCACCGAATGCATCGAATGCGTTCGAGTTTGTGTTGATCTTCTTGTCGCTGTTTGTGATATTATTCTTATATTTCGTTGAATTGTTGTTGGTGTTGTTTTTCTTGGTCTTTTGTTGGATTGGCGTTTTCAGCTCACCCGCCCCGACATCCACAGTCGAGGGAACCCATTCGGCGGCGCGACGCGCCTTGCGCAACTTCAGCGCAGCGGCGGACTGCTTCGCCGAAGCAGCTCGCCCTTCCAAATGGACTTTCGTCAAAGATTTACTATTCGTATTGTTTAAACTTCTTGTAACTCTTTTGACGACGAGATCATTGCTGGACCCGTTTCCCGACACGTTTTCCACGTCAGAATCGTTTATATCCGACAACTTTTCCAGTCTCGCCAAGTGCTCATCATCGGAGCACTCGGAGGAATTTTCAGAACCAGAATTAATCACACTTTTGTTCAATTTCGATTTCGCATGTGTTGTTGTTGTTGTTGCAGTTTTCATTTTCTTCCCGATGAGACCTCCGTCGCCGGCAGTGACGTCGTTTGTACTCGGAGTTTGAGGGAGAGTCACGCAATCGTACGTCGCGTCGTTGGAATTTTCACCGCCATTCATAATCACACCCCAAGTATCGTACTTATTCGGCAGACTATGTCTCTTATCGTTGCGTTTGTAGTGCGGCGGCGAAACCAAAAACGCTTCGTGCATCGGTTGGTCTGACGTCCAGTGCAGCGCATCTTCCTCCGTCGACGGCGAATAACATCTACCCAAGACGATATCACACGCGGAGTTCGACGACACCATACTCGACGCGCACCAGGACGCTTCTTCAAAGACGTCGAAAAGTTTCTCCACGTGTTCTTGCGTCACACCGTCTTTACCTTTCATCTCCGCTTGTTTACCTCCTTCTGCTTCTCCTTGCTTTTTCTGGTCTTTCTTTTTCATCATCGCAGTATTCGTTTTCTTCTTTTCTTTCATGTTTTCCGCAACAAACGCGTCTCTTTGGGATTCGAGCCATTGCAAATCTTGGTCGTCGCACTCGTACGTCGCCGCCGCGGTGTTCGGACCAAACCTCGCCGCGACGACTCCGCCATCCGACTTGTGATACCCCTGCGGCGGCTTGTACGCTTTCCCATCGTTCATACTCGCGTAATACTGCGCAGTTTCCGCTTTACCAAACTGTGGCACGTGAATATTCTCAGTTTTCGCAAACGGATCTTTATTAAAGCCTTGGATGCGCGCGTTCAACTCGCGTTGAGAAACCTTCTTCTTATTCCCCTTCGTCGGCGTAGTGTTCGTGTCATTTTCTATCCCGTCTTTATAATCAGCACTTCCTCTCTTCGGTCGATTGCCATCGCCTTTCTTCTTGATTTCTTTTTCAGCCTTTTCTGGCCTCGGCTCCTTCTTCACGCGAGGTTTTTGCTGAACGTTTCTCGTCTTGTTTTGTCTTCGATTGTCTCTGACGCCGCACGCGTTGCACAACGTCTTCGGTCCGTCCGGACCGTTACGCCATAAAGGCGTCGTGTGCGTGTTACAGTGCGCGCATCTTTTCCCTGCAATCCCAGTCGGCGACTGAGTATTCGCCATCTTTACTTTCCTTTTTCTCTTTTTCTCGCCGCCGCCGTCAACCGAGCGCTTTTAGAGGACAGAGGACCGAGGACAGGGGAGGGGCACTAATCAATGTTCCAATTCTTCTCTCTCGAGCGAATAAAAGCACTTTCTGTGTGAATGCATTGAAAAAGAAAGAAGCAAAACGTAAGTATTCGATATGAGGCGTATAATGGCATTCGTTTTCGAGCGAATATCTCAACCATTCGCGCTCCTCGCGCGCGATTGAATTCAGAAAATGGGACAAAGGGCAGGAATTTCGACACCTCTCAGGCACTGCCCGATGAGGCATTCCGAAGGGCACGCGCGCGCATCGAATCGCACGCAGTGCGCCTAAACGCGACGGCTTCGTGCCCAAAAAAAATCGATTTACGAGTAAAAGAGTCTAAATTCTGTTCAATTCAAAAGCGTAAACGCAGATCCACGTACCTTCTCGCCCTCTTTTCTCACGTTCAATGCGCGCACAAAGAGAGGTCCGTATAAAAAAAACAGAAGGACGCTCTCACGGAAAGTCGCCTTTTTCTCTCGCCTAAAAGAAATTAAAATCCCCCTTCTCTCTCTCTCTTTTACGCTCTACTCTTCTCAACGCGAATTTCCTCTCGCCTCTGCGCTGGAAGTTTTCGACGAGAAAGAATCTCTCTAAATCTATTCTTCCTTCCTTCTGAAGAAGAGTATTACGTAGAGAGAGTCGTCGACGCTCGACGTACTCGCGCCGTAGTGATTTTTTGTGTTGATTTTTCCTCCTCTTCGTTCCCTTCTTTCCGAAACGACAGAAAAAAAAAATCAGAGAGAAAAGGAAGGTTTCAGAAGGGCAGTTTTCCCACCAAAAAGAAGAAAAATTGTCGAAAGAAGAGACCAATAAATATGCCTTCCGAAGGGAAATTAGAGGGGGAAAACGCGCGCAAACACAAACTTCTCTCGATCAATAAAACGCCCAACAACACTTCCTCTCTCCACCAGATGTCGGGATTTTTTGCCTGCGCTCGTGCTGTTCTGTACTTTTTTTCTTGCGCTCTGTATTTCGAGACGGCTGCTCTTCTTTGCTCGACGATGACGACCCGACGACGACGATGGGAGGAGAGAGGAAGCCCTGCCTCCCTTTCAAAGAGAGAATATTTCTTCCTCATCAAAGGATGCTTTTTTTCTTCTTTTTTGCCTTTGTGCAGGTCTCGTCGTCGAGATATTTTCGGAGATATTTTTCAACGACAAAAGAGAGCAAAAAAACTCTCCTTCGCTTCCCTTTCCCTTTTGTCTTGGGTCCAAGTCTCTTTAAAGAGAGCTCGAGAGCTTCAACAACAAAAATTCAAAAAAAACGAGAAAAAGAGCTCGAGAGAGAAAACCAAAATCATTTCTTTTCCCCACAACAACCTCACAAATACTCTTTCTCTTTGTTCTTCTGCGCGTGAACGATGGAAACGATGAATACCACCACAACCACCAACAAGAGAGAAGGCGACGAAAAGGACTTCGAGGAGGAGGAGGACAAAAAGCGCGCGAAAAAAGACGAGTTAGAAGAGGACGAGTTGGAGACGCAAGAAACACATCCTTGGAGTGCCAACGAGGAAATCTTGGAGGAAGAGGTGTACGTCCAAGATTTAGGCAAAGTCTCCGACGACGTGAAAGTCGTCGAGGCGGAGAAGAAAAGTTGGAACAGGAAGCCTTTGGCGAGACCGATCGATGGTCAAACGGATTCTATACGTGCGTTTTGATTTTGTGTTGTTCACTCTTATTCTTTGAAACGCGTTGTTCGTATTCTTTTTCTTTGTCCTCTTCGCTTTGCGCTTTGGGAGATTTTCAAACTTCATAACTCACATTTTTTGACTTCTCGAACAGTTTTTCAACAGTTGGACATCGATTACATCATCGGCCAGCCGCACGAGATGCTCGGCCAGGAGAGACGGTCGAAGGGCCAGGCGGCGATTTTGCGAATGTTTGGCGTGACCGAAGACGGCCACTCGGTGTGCGTGCATGTGCACGGTTTCAACCCGTATTTTTACTGCGCGGTGCCGGAAACTTTCACGGAGCAACACATTCCGGCGTTTTTGATGTCTTTGAATTCGCAGATGATGGCGCACCAAAGGTCGTCGAATTCGGCGAGGCATTTCGCGCTGGACGCGCATTTGATTTTAGATAAACAATCGCTCATGAATTTCCAACCGAACGGGAAGAAAGGACGTTTTTTACGCATCATCATGATGTTGCCGACGCAAGTGGCGCAAGCGAGAGGGATTTTAGAAAATGGGATACACGTGGACGAGTTGCACCAAAGCGCGTTAACGTTTCCAACGTTTGAGAGTAACATTTTGTACACGTTAAGGTTTATGGTAGACAGAGCAGTTGTCGGTGGGAACTGGTTGGAATTACCGGCGAAAAATTATCGCGTGCGTCCGCAACAAAGGAAAGCGAGTTATTGTCAAATCGAGTGCGACGTTATGTTCGATCGATTCATCTCGCACGCCGCGGAAGGAAAATATTCAAAGTTGGCGCCGTTCAGAATTTTGTCCGTCGATATCGAGTGCGCTGGGAGAAAAGGTTTCTTCCCGGACGCCGAACAGGATCCGGTGATTCAAATCGCCACGCTCGTCACCGAACAAGGCTCGGATTCGCCGATTATTAAAGCGATTTGGACGCTAGACACGTGCGCGCCAATCGTCGGCGCAGAGGTGAAATCGTTTCGAGACGAGCGGGAGTTATTGAGAGACTGGGGTAAGTTTATGCGCGCCGTCGATCCAGACATGCTCATTGGCTATAACATTGTCAATTTCGATTTCCCATATCTCATCAAACGCGCGCAAACGCTAGGCGTGCAAGATTTTCCGTATTGGGGGAGAATTATCGGGAAACAACTGACGATTAAAGACACGACGTTTAGTTCCAAAGCGTACGGGACGAGAGAGTCGAAAGAAATTACCATCGAAGGAAGAGTTCAATTTGATATGCTCCAAGCGATTCAAAGAGATTATAAACTTTCGAGTTACTCTTTGAACTCGGTGTCCGCGCACTTCTTAGGCGAGCAGAAAGAAGACGTGCATCACTCGGCGATTTCCGAGTTACAAGCCGGGACCGCGGAAACCAGAAGACGTTTGGCGGTGTACTGTTTGAAGGACGCGTATTTGCCGCAACGTCTGTTGGATAAACTCATGTATACGTACAACTACATCGAAATGTCCAGAGTTACCGGCGTCCCGTTGTCCTTCTTGTTGGCGAGAGGACAATCGATTAAAGTCATGTCACAGCTGTTGCGAAAAGCCAGACAACGCGGATTGATCATCCCAGCGAGAAGAGACCGCGGAAACGGTCCGAACGCGCAATTAGAAGGTGAAGTCGCGTACGAAGGCGCGACTGTTTTGGACGCGAAAGCTGGGTATTACGAGCTTCCAATCGCGACGCTCGATTTCGCCTCTTTGTACCCTTCCATCATGATGGCGCACAATTTGTGCTATTGCACGTTGGTCAAGCAACACGACGTGGCGGATTTACCGCCGGAAGCGTACACGAAAGCGCCAACCGGAGATGTTTTTGTCAAATCCACGCAGTTCAAAGGTATCCTTCCGGAAATTTTAGAGGAACTGTTATCGGCGCGGAAACGAGCGAAACAGGATTTAAAAAAAGCGACGGATCCTTTAGAACGGGCGGTTTTAGACGGTCGTCAGTTGGCGTTGAAAATATCCGCCAACTCCGTGTATGGCTTTACCGGCGCCACGGTCGGTCAGCTTCCGTGTTTGGAGATTTCCGCCTCGACGACGGCGTACGGTCGTCAGATGATTGACCACACGAAGAAATTGGTCGAGGAAAAATACACCACCGCCAACGGGTACGAAGGCGACGCCGAAGTCATATACGGCGATACCGATTCCGTGATGATTAAATTCAACTGTAAAGAATTAAAAACGAGCATGGAGTACGGTTTAGAAGCCGCCGATTACGTCTCTGCGACGTTTACGAAACCCATCAAGTTAGAATTTGAAAAGTGTTACTGGCCGTATTTGTTAATCTCCAAGAAAAGATACGCCGGTTTACTCTGGGAAAACAGCGAAAAGTGGACAAAAATGGATACCAAAGGCATCGAAACTGTGCGTCGCGATAACTGTCTGTTAGTGCGCCAGGTCGTCGAAACGTGCTTGACGAAAATCCTCATGGATAGAGACATCCCTGGCGCGGTCAAATACGTCCAAAACACCATCTCGGATTTACTGATGAATAAGTTGGATTTGTCGCTTTTGGTCATCACCAAAGGTTTGACGAAAACCGCGGACGAATACGCGGTCAAAGCGGCGCACGCGGAGTTGGCACAACGCATGTTCCTTCGCGACCCAGCGACGGCTCCAGTTGTTGGCGACCGCGTCGCATACGTCATGATTAAAGCCACGAAAAACGCCAAAGGGTACGAGAAATCCGAGTGCCCGATTTACGCCATGGATAACAACTTACCCATCGATCACAAGCACTACTTGGACAACTTCTTGACCAAACCTTTGTTGCGTTTGTTCGAACCGATACTACAGAACGCCGCATCTGTTCTCCTCTCTGGTGAACACACCAGGTCGATCGCGTTACCTACCCCGTCTTCCACCTTGGCCGGCGGCATCATGCGCTTCGCGAAAGTCCGCCCGTCCTGCGTCGGTTGCCGCGCACCAATCACGGACGAAAAGCTCTCCAAATCTTTGTGTAAACACTGCGTGGAAGACGAATCTAAACATCTCCAAAAAGCGTTAGTCACGGTGAACGAACTCGAGAAAGACTTCAACCGTTTATGGACGCAATGTCAAAGATGTCAAGGTTCGTTGCACCAAGACGTCTTGTGCACGTCGAGAGACTGTCCGATTTTTTACCGAAGAAGGAAAACGCAGAAAGATTTGATCGAAGCCACGACCACGTTGAAACGGTTCGATTGGTAGTCACTTTACCACCACGTCAGCGTGTACGCGTTTGTAGTTATTAATAGTACTCACACAAACATCCACGCGTCGATATAATAATCAATTCGTTCGTCTTTTCTGTTTTTTGCTCCATTTCTCATAAAAACAAGGCACAGTCCCCCCCCCAAAACACCACCAACATTACCACCAAGAATGGAGGAGGAGGAGGAAGATGGCGCGCCTATCCCTTCCTCTGCTCTGCTCGTCAACCGTTTCCAGCTCCTCGAACTCGTCGGTCGAGGGACGACCGGCGTCGTCCATCGCGCGTTAGATGTGCTCAATAACAACGAAACCGTCGCCATAAAGTTAGTGGATTTGGAAGAGTGCGAGGACGACGTTTTGGACATTCAGCGCGAAATCAACGTGTTGGCGAACTGCGATTCCCCGCACGTGACGAAATATTTAGGCTCGTGGTTGGTACCGAAAACGAGCACGTTAGCAATTGCGATGGAATACATGGGCGGGGGATCGGTTCAGGATTTATGTCGAGAGACGCCGTTGGATGAGCGAATCGTTCGAGTGTTGATGCGAGACGTGGTGAAAGCGTTGAAGTATTTACACGAGGAAGGAAAAATTCATCGAGACGTGAAGTGCGCGAACATTTTGTTGAACGAGAACGGGGAGGTGAGATTGGCGGATTTTGGGGTGTCCGGGCAGATGACGCAAACGATCGGGGCGAGAAGGAAGACGTTTGCCGGGACGCCGTTTTGGATGGCTCCAGAGGTTATTCAATCGAGCGGAACCGGCGGGTTTGACGGACCGAGCGGGTACGACGAGAAAGCGGATATTTGGAGTCTAGGGATAACGGCGATTGAAGCCGCGACTGGGTCGGCGCCACACGCGCATTTACATCCCATGCGAGCTCTGTTTGTAATTCCGCAATCGGCGCCGCCAGAGTTGCCGTATACGGAAAACAACGAAGACAACGAAGAAGACGGAGGAGTGACGTATAATTTTTCGGAGGAGTTTAGAGATTTCGTGAAACAGTGCGTGAAAATGAACCCCGAGGAGAGGCCGAGTGCGGAAGAGTTGTTGAAGCATCCGTTTTTAGAGGTTGGCGGTGTGAACGCCGCGGAATCGGCGAGTAACGACGCGAGCACTAGTACTGTCGGGAACAAGACGAGTAACGGGGAAAGTAACAACGCGAGCGCGGAGGAGCGAGAGGAAGTGTCGACGATAATTGCAGAGGCGAAGAATGGCGCGGTGAATTCAGCAGAGAAGGTCCGACGACAGACGTCGAGTTTAGCGTCAGAGTTGACGGCACCGCCGCCGGACGCGTCGACGAAAGAGGAGAAGAAGGGTAAAACGCGGAGAAAAAAACCGCCGCCTCCGTTGCACTCGCCGCCGCGACCAGATCGCGTGAACACCAAGAAGGTCGCAGAGAACGAAGAAAATGACGTAGAAGTAGCAGAAGTAGATAACAAGAAGAACAGCGCAGAAGAGAGAACAACACCGTCGGAGAACGGTTCAGAAGAAACGGCGACGACGCCGAGCACGCAAAAAGAAGCAGACGAGGACTTTGCGAGTAGTCCTCGGAGCTCGAATCATTCCACGATGTCTGGCAGTCAAAAGTCAAGACCAGAATCGTCGATCGGGAACTCGAGTTGGGATTTCGGTTCGGGTGCATTAGGCCGACGGTACTCGAAGAAGTTGCAGGACCAACAAAAACAGAAATCGCCGACGGCGAGTAACTCGAGTTTGGATCCTCTCAGTCCAAAATCGCGCTTCAAACTCGACGGGAATGAAGCGCTTCCGAGAACGAGTTTGTTGTTGAAAAATCACGTGGGAGACGCGCTTCGCGATTTAAAAATTCCGAAGCGTGAAGCCGATGCTGTATTTTCTGCGCTCGTGGGGATGGAAATTGCAGTCGCGGGAAGTATCGATGCATTTTTTAACTCCGTTTACGAAAGAAGCGTAGCGAAGGATGGAAACGATGATCACGCGTTGTCGAGGGATAAAGAGCAGTCGTCGGAGAGAAGCGTCTTGGCAGAATACTTACTCTCGCGTTGGCGAGACGATTTGATCAGAGAGGAGGTTGGGTATTATGATTAATAGAATTAGAATTTCATATAATTTTGCTTTGCTATGAGTGTGTATAATACAAAGAGTTTACTAATAACCACGTCTAGAGAACGCGTTATACATCTGTAACATTTCCGCCGAAGGTTCTGGAGACGCCGTGGAACTTCCACTCGAGATGGCCTTTTCTACGTGTCGCATGTAAACGGCCTCGATTTCCGTCTCGTTCTCGTCTTCTTCTTCAAGCGCGCATAACGCCGCTTCTCTCGCTAAATTTGCTAAATCTGCGCCGGTGAATTTCTCTGTCATGTCACCAACGCGTTCTAAGTTGACATCCGGCGCTAACGGCGTTTTACGAAAAGCGCACGCGAGGATTTCCGCGCGTTCTTTACTCGTCTCGGGCGCTTTTACGAATAAAAGGCGATCGAAACGACCGGGACGAAGCAAAGCTTCGTCGACTAAATCTGGGCGGTTCGTCGCCGCAATGACGGCAATTTTTTCTGCTCGCGAAGAAGAGTTTAACCCATCCATTTCAAGCAACAACTGCGTCACGACCCGATCGTAGACGGAACTACCTTCCGACTTTGTTTCGCCGCCGCCTCGGGAAGAAGCCAAACCGTCAATTTCGTCGATGAAGATTATCGACGGCGCAACGCTTCGAGCGCGTTTGAAGAGCGTCCTGACGGCTTTTTCGGACTCGCCGACGTATTTCGAGAACAACTCGGGACCTTTCACGGCTAAGAAGTTTCGTTTCGATTGTGAAGCGACAGCGCGAGCTAAAGTTGTTTTGGAACATCCGGGAGGTCCGTATAACAAAATACCGTTTGGCGGTTTCGCGCCAATCTTCTGCATCGCGTCTGGATGCGTTTCCGCCCACTCGACGAGTTCCTTCAACGAGTTTTTTGTGTCGGCCTGACCACCGACGTCGTCCCAATTAATGCTTGAAATCTCGACGTTGATGTCGCGCATGGCCGAAGGCCGAGCGCGATTCTTTGCGACGATAAAATCTTCAATCGTGACGCTATCATTCGTGGACGAAGATGGCGACGTGATTATATCAGTAGTCTCGTCGAGTTGCAAACTGGACATCGCTCCCGAAATATCGTTACCGTTACGTTGTTGATCAGCTATTATCCTGCGCATGGCATTTGAGGCGGCATCTCGAACGAGTTGCGCGATATCAGCGCCGACGAATCCATGCATCGTCCACGCGGTTTCGCGAATAATCTCCTCCGTCAAATCGTGCTTAATCGTTCCCAAGTGTGATTTCAAAATCTCAAATCTTTGTTGCGGATCCGGAGCGTTTACTTCGAGTTCGCGATCAAACCTTCCCGGTCGTCTCAGTCCAACATCAACGGCGTCGGGTCTATTCGTTGTCGCCAAAACGACAATGCCGTCAAGATTAACGACGTTGCCATCAAAAATCTCCGTCAACGCCGCTACCGCTCGCGTGTTCAAATTTGATTCCTCTCCTCCTTTGCCGGAACTACCGCCAGAGTTTTGGACGTTCTCGCCTCTCGAAGGACAAAGCGCGTCGAGTTCGTCGATCAAGACAATCGCCGGTTTCGCTTTCGCCGCCGCTCGAAAGACTTCACGGATGGCCTCTTCGGTTTCACCGACGACAGAGCCGACAAGCTCAGGTCCATCGACGACAAAGAGCGTCGCGTTTGACGTCTCGGCCGCGTGTCGGGCTAAAAGCGTCTTACCAGTCCCGGGTGGACCCCAAAGCAAAGCGCCTCGAGGCGGCGCGACGCCGCACTTCTTGAAAAGGTCAGCGTTGACCAGCGGGAGCGTGACGATATCTTTTAACGCGACGATATGCGATTCACATCCGGCGAGTACATTTCTGGTTCTACTTTTATTAAGAGAGGACGATGATTCAGATTTGATCGAAGCGCCTGGGGCACGAGCGCGGAAAACAGCACTGCCGATATGGTCTTCTTCATCCTCTTCTTCTTCTTCGTTGTTGTTGTTTTTACCGTCTTGGCTCTTTGCATTGGTATCACTTTCATTCGCGTCTCGGCCGAGCAATTCACACGTTTCGGTCTCCTCGTCGATCTCACCTATCTCGTCATTACTAACAAACGCGTTCATATTCTCATCACCCGTCGTTGTCATCGAAATCACTTCAAACAATGCCGAGACGCCTAAAAGCGGTAAACGCACAATCTGCCCGACGCGATATCCGCGATCGCGTAGCGCGCGCAAAGCTAACATCTCCAACGACGATAAATCATTTCTAGTGGTACGTCGATTCCTCGCGAGCGAGTCTCGCAACCACGCGCCTTCCGCGCGAACCGCAAACGCCGCCTCCATGGCGTATAATTTCAACGTCACCTTCTTTACTTTCCTTAAACCACCCCTCGTCGCTTTTCGCACGCACACAAGCGCATCTGCCGGAGGACACCCGAGCGAAAGCCACAGTCTCCTAGATAACGACACTTGCGATTTCTCCAAAGCCGAATGTACTGCCGATTTCCCTGGAACAGCAAACCGTCCATCGCAAGCCTCTCTGACGGCATCGTCGGGCGCGGCGACGTCCAAATCGAGCATCGCCCCCGCCACGTGTCTCACATCCAAAGCTTTCCACTCGCCTCCTCGAAACCGCTCTCGAACGACGTCTTCGTCCTCGGCAAAAACACACGGTCGCTGCATCGCCGTTCCTCTCTGATTCACTTTTTTCATCATCGCGCTCTCTCCTCCTAAAGCCTTCGCCACTGGCGTACCGAGCGTCGCTTTCCGCTCGCCGACGACGGAAGCGACATCCGCGTCTTCTGGCATACAAAACGTCAACGTATTCCCGAGTCCAGCCTCTGCGCCACCGCCCGGAGTAGTCAGAGCACCACCACCTCTCGGGGTTGTTTCTTGTCTCGTCGTCGCCATCACGGAGATTAAAACGCGTTCAAAATTTGAAATCCCGTTCTTTTTCGCGAACGCTCGCGAGATGAACACGTCCAAAGAGGCGTCTTGTCCTTCCTCTCGTGCGTACACATTCGCCGTCAAATTCGAGCCGAAATCGACACTCGGCGATGACGATGACGATGCCCCCTCCTCGTTTCTTTTCAAGCGCCCGAGGGAAGAAAAGCGCGACGACGAGGACGTCTTTTCCTCCTGCGTTTCCTCCGCATCCTCGGCAATGGTAACGGCGGTCATCTCTCGAGACGCGTGAGAGGGAAACGAAGGGAAATTGGCCTCGAATTCGCCGTCGGCCTCGCCAGTCACGGGCGGCTTTTTCTTCCTCTTTTGATTCCCCATTATTCTCGCGATGATACCGTTCAGGAGTAGTAGCAGTGGTGCGAGGAGTATCGCGCGGTGGTCGACGATGATGTCGTCGGAATCATCTCTCTTTGTTGTTCAAGCGTGCGCGAGAGAATTAGTTAATGAAGGGGAAAAGAGAGAGTTAAAGGCCTTATGACGAGGTTGCGCACACATGTTTGAAGTTACATAAAACTAGCAAAACCTTCTCGATGATGATGATTATACTCGAGGGGAAAAGGTAAGGAAACTCTGTGAGAGCGAAGCGCTCGAAAGAACGTGCGTAAACGGCTTTTGCGAAACAGCGCGCTACGCGCAAACGTTCTGTTTTCATGTTCTGTTCTTTACGAGGGATACTCTCGCACTTCTCTGTGCGGCGATGGCGCTTTCGGATTCCCTCTTACGTAAAATCTCTGAAACAATTCCACGGCTTCGTCTTTGAACAAACCGCCGACGCACTCGTACGCTTTCGAGGAGGAGGACGAACCGTCGTCGGCCGTGTCTGATTGTAAACACGAAGGCAAGCCGCGCATCTCGTGGACGCTCAAACACGTCCCGCCGCCGCCAAACTTATCGTTCGCGCATCCAAATATGACTTTAACTCGCTCGAATGGGAGTTGTCCCAGCATGGACGCGCACATGATGCACGGTTCGCACGTCACGTACACATCCAACTTCTCCGGATGACGACGTTCATATAGAAGACCATCACCGTCACCATCACCAACACCAACACCATCACCATCACCCTTCTTGGTCTCCAAAGTCCTCGTTAAAGATTCCAGCGCGACAAACTCCGCGTGTTTCGTCCCGTTCCTCGTCTCGTTCGTTTTATTCCTCCCCGTGGCGATGATCTCCTCCCCGTTCGCAAAGACGCACCCGACTGGGACTTCCCAACACTCGTACGCGTTTTCCGCGAGCTCGAGCGCTTTTCGCATGAGTTTTTGTTCCAATTCGGTGAACGAGGACGTTGGGCGCATGAGAGGCGCATTCGAAGAAGAGGGAGAAGAAGCGGTGAGACTGGTGGTTTGGGTCGCGCTCATGGTTTCTCTCCCTCTCGTCGCGCTCTCTTCATCTAAAACGGGTCATCTCCTTCGATGACTTGAAGTCTCTCATCATCAACAAAGTGGCGAATTGCATTGGAAACAATCCACATTGTAAAGCGCGCTTTGAGCGGTACGTCATAAAAGTTACAACGCGCGATTGAACGAATAGAATAGCAGTAACAACGAGAGCAATGAACAACAACAATCCAGCTGAATTAGGATACTACTATCGCACGGAATCCGGGCAAGAAAAAGGCCCGTTCGATTACGCCTCCATGCAATCGTGGTTCTCCGCGGGGTACTTCAAATCGGATCTGAAAGTGTGCAAAGGAAGAGGCGGGAAAGTGCGAAACATCGGGCAAATGCTCGTGCAAGACGCGCACTTATACGGCGTGCCTTCACACATGGTACAAAACGTGATCGCACCGAAGTATGGTTTAGCGGAGAATCCGAGCACAATTGGGAACGATTTCGTGAGTGGAAGTGGAATGAGAGAAGGCTCGGCGAAAGAGCAAAGATACGCGTCGTACGCGAACCAACCGACGAGTTTATCCGTGGAGAACGTCACGGAGTGCGTGACGAGAGTGATTGAGACTCTGACGGAGATATTGCCGTTGGTGTTAGAGGGTGGTTTGCGAGCGGAATTCGGGGACGAGATGTGGGCGGATATGACGTCGACGCCGCCGCCGTGGAGTTTCGAGCAAAGCGCGAGGGAGTTGAAGAGCCATTGGAATTCGATTTTTTCATCCATGCCGAGAAGAAATAAAGAGTTTGAAGTTTTGATGGATTGTTTGTACAGGAAGAGGAAGGAGGGGATGTATTGTTTACAAGTTGGAGAGGCGAGAGCGTTGGCGGAGGCGGCGATGCAAATCATCGAAGGGTGTCCGAAAGATTTTCCCGAGGCTGTGAACGCCAAGCTCGCTCGAGGATGGGCCGCGGTAGAGGAAGTCAGGGAAGTTTTGAAACGGTGACGATGAAATACTCACGCATGTCCGCTTTTTTGTACTACTACTACTACTACTAAAATACTTAGGTTTTAATGATGTAACTGTGTGTTCATTTTGATACATATATACTAGGAAGAAGATTTTGCTACTGGTACGCTTTGCTAATTTTATGTTGTGATATGTTTTTTCCGCATCAAAACATTCGCATCACGGAAGACGACGAGGCGAGTGAGCAAGCGCGAATGAAAGGCGGTGGGACGAAACGAGTCCGTCGTAACGCGTGTTTTCTACCGTTTGCTTTTCTACTCATCGCTCTTGCTGCCGTTGTCACCCCTTGTTGTCGTTGTTGTTGCTGTTGTTGTTGTTGTTGTTGTTGTGCCATCGCCGCCACAGCGTTGCTACCGGTACTCTTAATCCCGCACTTCTCAATCGTCACCCTCTGAAACGTATCCCCTTCTTGTCTCGCATCACCTAACTTTTGCAAAGAATACAATAAATCAAATCCACTCACGACTTGCCCGAACGCCACGTGCTTCCCGTCCAATTCTTTATTCTTCGTATCGAACGTAATCATAAAGCGGCTCCCGTTCGCGTCTGGTTCGTCGTCGTTATACATGGTCAACACCCCCGGCCCGTCGTGCTTCAGATCAAAATTCTCATCCTTAAACAATGCATCCTCGTATATCGACTGTCCACCGGCTCGAACTTCCGGCAGCAGCTCCGGATAGTTGAAAAACTCCGGATCGTTGGCGTCCCAGACGACTTCGTCCAAGTCCGAGATGTCCCCACCGACGAGCCAATTTCCAGGATACACTTTGAACTTCGTTCCGGCGTAACACTTATACTCGACTAACTTCAAGAAATTCTCCGCCGTGATTGGACACAGGTCTCGCTTGACTTCAACTTCCACTCGACCTAAGTAATACCCACCCGCGACGATGTCGAAAAACGCGATTGGATTTTCCGCTTTTGCCTCACCGAACGGATTTCGATAATCAGGAAGTGGAGTAATCGCCAACTTTTCCGCGCGTTTCATCCGCGTTTCCCACTTGACCGCGTACACGCCTCCAGGGGCGAGAGGGAGGATGGACGGGATGTCTTTTCCTTTGCTCTCGTCGTCTTGAGGGGTTGGGTTTCTCGCGGACATTTTGTTTGTTCTTCAAACGGGGGTGAATAAAAGGGTGCGCTTCTCAGAAAGAGTGACGACCACGAAAGAGGAAGATCTGGAAAATGCGACGAATTTGTTTTGTTTTTCTCTTTTCTCTTGTCTCCGGGGTCGTCATTTTTATTCGCTTTCAGAAGGTACTCTCAAAGACTGATAATACAACACATACAAGTACTAGGAAAACAAATTCTTACTCTTGTCGCTTGGGATCGCGTGCACGTCTAAAATTTCTCTCGTGGATTGCTTCGCTTTTTCGTTGTCTAAAACGACGAGCGTTTTCATGTCTAACTCAAACGTCAAATACTCCTCGGAGCAGGATTCGACGAGGTCGACTAACTGTTTGAGATTTTTAATCGGTTTGCCGTTGAATTTTTCCACCGCGAGGTTGGAGAAATCCTCGTAGCCGATGTTGATTTCGTGCGCTAAGACTTGCGAGCATATCACGAGTTCTTGGTCTGGTTCGGTCATATCTTTCAAGTACATTCGCGATAAGAGTTGAACGGGAGCGTCGTACTCCCAGTCCTTTCCAAACTCTGACTTCAAATACGGACACGAAACAGTCGTAAATACGAGACCGGCGATGATAAAATATTCCGGCGTTTTACCTTCCATGTGTACTGGAACTAATCGTTTCTTGTTTTCCATCGGGACGGAGAATTTCATCGGTTTACCGTCTCGTAAAATTTCTATTTCTGCGTTTTCGCCGACGAACTTTTTGGACACCAAGTGGGAAAACGAGATACGTTCGCCAGCTCGAAACGGAACAGTACCGTCGCTCGCAACGGCAACGCCGTCAAAATTTTGCAGCACGTCGCCTGTTTTCAGTCCAGATTTTGCAGAATTTGAGATTGGCTCCAATTTTCGTAACAAAACGCCGCTTTCGCCTTCGGGGACTTTCTTCGATCTCTTCAAATCGGCGTTTTCCAATTTTTGAAAGTCGCATCCGAGCGCCGGAAAGCCAGTGTATCTTTTATTCAACTCGTAGTCTCGCACGAAATGCGTAATGACTGGAGTTGGAATAACGTATCCGATATTTTCGGCATCGTCGTGTTTTAAACTCTGAAACGCGACGCCGCACACCATCCCTTTAGAGTTGAACGCCGGTCCTCCGCTGTTGCCGCTGTTAATCGCCGCGTCAATCTGTAGACTCAACAATTCAGTCGCGCCGTGCGCGTATTGAGTCACTTCGACTCTACTCACAACACCACTCGTAACAGATATCGCAACCCCACCAATCGGGTACCCGACCACGGTGACGCTATCTTGCAACTTTGGCAACGCGCCCAACTTCAACGGCGTGATGTTTTCGAAAAACTTTTCGTCTTCCACCGATAACAACGCCAAATCGCACTCCGTTCCAATCGCCAACACTTTAGCTATAAACTTCTTATCCGACCCTCTCTTTTTCAACTTAACTTGCGTCGAATGCTCGACCGAGTGCGCGTTCGTCAATATCCGTTTCCCTTCCACGACGAAACCTGTGCTCGTCGAAGGCATCTGCCTTTTTCTTTGCCACGGCAAAGAATAGTTTGGCTCCGTGTGCACCGCGTAGACTTTCACCACCGCATCGAACGTCTCGTTTCGAGACGCGTCGTTCTCGTCGTCTTCCAGATTTTGTCCTCTTTCCTCGTCTCCGTCGTCCATGAGCATCATCATCGACTCCGGGGAAATCGATGGTTTCACATTTTCCATCATCGCGACGGCGCTGTTGTTTCGTTTGTGTTTCTTGCTCGCACTCAAAGAGAGCGAGTTCGGGGAGACGAGCGGTTGCGGCGACCCGGGGCGCGCGTCGTGGTTCTGCGCGCTTCGTTTCGAAGTGTTGTTTTTCGGTGGTGGTGCCATATTTTCGTACGTGCGCGAGTGTGTGTTCTCTCTTCTGCCCTCCCGCACACAAACGAGTATCTCTTGCGTCCAAGCGAGAGTGTGAGGTACTAAAACTCGTGGTGTGGTACCAAAATGATATTTTCAGAAAAATTCATCCTCCTTGTCCTGTCAACTGCAAACCGTCGTCAATTTGACCCCTCGGGAGAAAGAGCTCGGATGATTGATTTTCGGAAGCAGCAGTTGTTTTTTATGGACCCAAAAGAGAGTGTTTTAATATGGGTTTCTTTTTCCCCAGTTTTTCTATATAGTGCTGTGTGAACGAATCGAAAACAGGACACCTAAAAACGCCGAAGAACGGCCAGAAACGATCGAGTCGTCGCAATCCTTGCACAGACTCGCGATCGAGCGATTTTTTAGACAGAGTTCGAACGCGCGCGCACGCGAAGAGGTCGATTCGAATCTCGGCATTTTCCTCTCGAAAATTCATCTCTCATCGGGTCCCCCGGGGGAAAAGGCGGTTCAAATTGCATTCTGCTAAAACACAATGACGAGCGCGCACGAGGACGAACAACAACCCCCGCAAACCGCCAACGACGCGTTGGTGTACGTGCGAACGGTAAAACTGCGCTTTAACGGCGACCAAGGCCACGTGTACGAGGCTTTTTTGGACGTCATGAGAGACTTTAAGAGCGGCAGGTGCGTGTTTCTATTTCGTTCGTGTTTCAAAGAGATAATAGCCCCCCAAGAGAGAAGAGACATCTCTTGAATCGAGAGGAGACAAGCCCCTCAAATCGTCTTCTTTTTACTGCTTGCTGCTTTTATTTAGAGGCTGCTTTTCTGCATTATTTCTTTAGGCTGGCCCTTGCTCTCTCGTTAGGTTGACTTTTTGGACGACTCACCGAAAAAAAAAACTCTCTCTTTTCCTTTTTGCTTTTAAAAAACAAACGCACAGATACGACACCACGGACGTGGTGAAACGAGTGAAGAAGTTACTCAAAGGCCACGAGGACTTGTTGGACGGGTTTAACTGTTTTTTACCAGATGTGAGCAGCAAAATTTGCGTTTTCTTTATCCTCTCTTCTCTTCTTCTTTTGTGTGTAGACTCTCTCTGTTCTCGAGCGCGTTTTGAAGACGGCGGCGAACTCACCATATCTCTCCTCGCAAACAACTACAGGCGTATAAATACGGACGACACGCGGTTAAATCTGCGCAGGTACGCAGATTCTTTTGTTTTTCTTTGTTTTTTGTGCTCTCTCGCGTGTGTTGCGTGTTCGTCGCATCGTTCGTTCGCGCGTTTGTGTGTGTGTGTATGTGCACACATTTATTAACAAACAAACTCTTTCTAAAACAACACAGATCAAAAAAGAAAAATCGGACTTCAAACGAGAGGACTCGGCGAAAACGCAGCAACAAAACAAACAGCAACATAATAGCGAAATCAAAAAAGAGGAAACGAACCCGAACCAACCGACGATAAACGGAGGATACAACCTTTTGAAGCGAATACGAGAGATTTATAGCAAAGACGAGAGACCGTATAAAGCATTATTGACGATGTTGATTAAGTTTCGGAACCAAGAGACGACGACGGACGAGGTGGTGAAGAATATAGGAGCTTTGTTTTTTGACCATCCAGAGTTGTTTACGGGGCCGGATTCGTTGGAGTTTTTTATTTCAAAGAACACGACGAAGCCGAAAAAGTGTCAGTGGTTCGATTGGGCGCCGAGTAAGCACTTTGCGTACCAATCGCCGGCGTTTAGATTGATCGTGCAGACTTTTTTGTTGTGCGAAATGAGGCACAGGAGGAAGCCGCCAGATTTAAGACAGATTCGATTAGATGGACATCAAATGGATTCCTCGGACGAGGATTACGATTCAGACGAAGAAGAGAGTTCTGACACGGAGGAGGATGAGAAGAAGGAGAAGGAGAGTGGGACGTTACGGGACGATCAGATTCCCGAACGATGGGACGAGGAGAAGAGCGGGCCGAGGATTTTGAGTCGATTTGAAAAGTTGACGTTAGAGCAGAAACCGCAAGACGAGGAGTATTGTTGGTTAGATACGAAAGCAGTGCGAGAGAAGAAAGCGAAGGAGGCGGAGATGAGGAAAGAGAACAAACGAGGTCGTGAAGCCGAGCGCCTTTCCCGAGAGGCTGGTTTACCGGAAGATTCAGATCGAGAACTCTCGCCGCCGCCGCCGGAAGGCAAAGCGAGAAAGTCCAAACGCATCGTCGAGAAAATCCAAAAAGGCATCATCTACGACAAATACAAACACTTGCACTCGCCAATCATGTCCCCGGGAAGACGACGAAACAACGGACGCATGTCCTTATTAGGTGGAGGTGGTGGTATTCACGGGTGTTCGGTACCAAACGACATCGTCCCGAAGAAGAACGTCAAGTTAAACTTGAGCAGAGATTTAGAGACGCAAACGAAAGAGCAAAAAGAACGACCTGGGTTACACTCTTTACCGTTAAGCTGCGTGGAGTTGATTTTAAAGCACTACGCGAAAATCGAAGGCACGGAGGAGCTGACGGCGATACGGAACAAGCTGATTAAGAATCTCGAAAAGAACAAGTAGTAAAAAGCGAAGAAGAGAGAAAGAAACCGCGCGAATAGCACGCGACCGCATAGCAGAGACAGTTTCAACGTTTGAACAACTTTAGCCACTATCTCACACCCGCAAAGAAACGAACGAACGCATTATAGAACGCAGAGAACAAACAAGAAAGAACGAAATCGCGAGGCAACACAGATAGATCCTCTCTGTTTTCTATTTTCTTTAGTCTTTCTTTCTTTCGCTATTACTAATTTACATCGTATGAAACGAGGGCTATAATAGACGGATCTCTCTCTCTCTCTCTCTCTCTCACGAATACGCGCTACTCTCGCGCAACACTTTTATAACTCACTTCTCTCTTTCCTCCTCCTCACTTTTATCCATCTCGGCCACTAAACGTCGTCATCATCGTTTCGTCTCTCTCTCTCTCTCTCTCTCTCTCTTTATACGCGTACGCATTAATGCCCCCCAGGATTGAGAAACTTGCTCGCTTTTTTATCCTCGCTCGTAATCGTCGTCGTCGAATACGTGACCGCTGCACCGACGAAGGCGAAACCGGCTAAAAACGGCCACATTTTCTTCCCTTCGCGAGCGGCGGTGCGCAAGAATGATTCGGACGCGTACGGCATGTTGTTGATCTTTTGTGTTTATTTCTTTATTCGTGTCTCGTTAATGTGGCGGTTTGTGATCGTTTTTTCTTAAAAAAGACTTGAGTTTTTGTCAAATTTTTGAGTTTTTGCTTGAGTTTTTGGGCTGTTTTTGGGAGGTTTTTTAGAGGGAGAAATGAGACAAAAAGCGACACAAAAGCGACGAACACAAAACCGGTACATAGAGCGCTTTTCTTCGGGTCGTGGAAATGAGTGTCGAGAGCGCGGCAGGAACAAAGTTTCGGGAGTATTCGCACCTGATAAAAGTCCTCCTCGTCGGTGACTCCGGGGTCGGGAAAAGCTCGTTACTTTCGAGATTCATCGACCCGGACACAGATTTAGAGGACATAAGTACGACGATTGGCGTTGATTTTAAACTGAAGTACGTGAAGTTGAAACAGACGAACGAGACGGTGAAACTGACCGTGTGGGATACGGCGGGACAAGAACGGTTTCGGACCTTGACGTCGAGTTATTATCGAGGCGCGCAAGGCATCGTATTCGTGTACGATATTTCGTCAAAGGAGAGCTTTGAGAGCGTGGAAAACGTCTGGCAGAAAGAGGTGGACATGTACTCGACGATTCCAGATGCGATTAAAATCGTCGTCGGGAACAAAGTAGATAAGGAAAACGAGCGGAAAGTGAAGAAAGAAGACGCGATCGCGTTCGCGCGGCGCAACGGGTGTTTGTTTTTAGAGTGTTCGGCAAAGACGAGAGTGAGCGTGAAGGAGATATTCGATGAGCTGTTACAAGCGATCGTGGAGACGCCGAGTTTGTTGAAAGACGGACCGAGCGGGAATAGTAAAGGAGCTAGAGGAGGAGTTGGTGTGAATTTAAGTGAAGCGAGAGGGGATGGGAACATTGTGACCAGGAATTGTTGCTCTTAGTGTAGATGATGACGATGAGATGTGCGCGAGAAGAAAAACAATGATAGACGCGGCGTCGCGCCGCGTAGGAGAGCGTGTAGTGTGTAACGATAATAATAATAATAATAATTCTACTATATACTTTTGTTGTGTTATTACAGATTATATAAGTGTGCTTATGTTTGTTTGTTCTGTCCGGTTCAGTTAGACCGGATTGGCAATCAAATGTTCAACCTTTTTAATCTTCGAGAGCAAACTCAAGTCTAAATACTTCTCCCCGATGCCAACCGTCATCCCGCCCACAATTCTCGGATCTACTTTTGTACTCACAATCACCTTCGAGTTCGCTGGCACGTGTCCCTTCAACGCATCCGTCACATCCGCTAACATCGCCGCATCCAACGGTTCTGCCGTTGTCACCACGCACTTCACTTCCCCTCTCGACGCCATGCACAACTCCTCGAAGCACTCTGCAATTTTCTCTAATTCACTCAATCGACCGTTTTCGCCAACAACCTTGATAAAATTCGAGGTCGTCTCTGAAAACTTTCCACCTTTGCAAAACTCGTCTAATCCAGCCAACTTTTTCTTTCTCGCCATCGTCGGATCTTCCATGAACTCTTTGAACTTTTTGTCCGAGTTGGCGAGGGAGACGATTTGCTTGATTTCAGTTTCCACCGCCGCTAAGGCGGATTTCTTCGCCGAGGCGGTGTACAACGCGGAGGCGTATCGAGCGGCGGTACCGAACAATTTCAGTGGAGGCTGTGGTTCGTTGATCAAAAAAGGAATTATTTCGTATCGTCAGTTCATGCGCTCGCGAAGAAAAGTCAAATAAACTCATTTCTCCTTCTCTCTCTCTCTTTGCTTTTCAAGGAGAGGGAGAAAAAAGAGCGTAAAATAAAAAATGCCAATCGAAACCACCGCTCGATCAAACGTCGCGATCGTACAATTACAAATCAAACGTCGTAAACGCGTACCTGGTACTTAGCATCATCCGCGGTCGACGCGGCGGCAAAGTTTCTCTGCAAAAATAAAGAGTATTTCGGGTCAGTTTTCCATTCATTTTTGAGTGATGCTTTCAAATTCGCGCTGCCTTTTTAGAGCGAGAAAAAAAAACGATGAATGTAAAAATAGAGAGATGCATGCGAACGTAAAACCCTCACCATGGACCCGTTCGCGAGTGCGTTGCGCATTTGCGCGTGTCTAGAGACCGAAGTTTGTGCGATTTTTCGTAACATGGTGTGGTGTGTGTGCGCCTTTACGAGATTACGATTGCTTTTTTTTATGATGATTTTTCATCCTCCTTTCGCAGAAGACAAGAAAGAGCGAAAAAGCTGCGCTCTCTCGTTTTCTGCAACCAAAAGTGCTCATAAATTAACAAAAAAAATGCTTGGATTTATCACGAACAGACTTCTGAACGCGCTGAATTGCACGTACGCGCCGTACGCGTCGTGCAAAGCGTTGATGTCCGTCACTCCCGACGATGACGTGAAATGGTGAAATTTCCTTCTTTCTCTTTTTATTAGTATTGTTGTTATAAACAAACACCAATTTAAAATTGGCGGGGGAACACAATTTCCAATTTCGCGAATATTCTAACTACTAACGATGTTCTTCTTCGAAATATGATGCGCGCACGAATAACACAGGTTGATGTATTGGGTCATCCACGCGATTATCACCGCGTACGAGAGCTACGTGCCAATCAATCCGATTCCTTTATGGGCAGAAGTGAAAGCAGCGCTGTATTTTTCCTTACTTTTCGATGGGCCTATTCAGACGACAATGGTGTTTAATAAAGTTGTCAAGCCATATTTTTTGAGATACGAGAAAGTGCTCGATAAACATCTGGCGAACTTACCGGAAGACGCGAAGAAGTACATGCAAAACGTGAAGGATTCCGATGCGGTGAAGAACGTGATGACGATGACGAAAGATCAGGCGGATAAGTTGATTGCCGAGCACGGTCCGGAAGTTATGGATAAAATGATGACTATCGCTCGGATGCAAGCCGACGGTTCGCTCGAGAAGAAGGTGAAAGAGACGCTCGGAGGGACGAAGAAGGAGTAATGCGTGTGCATGAAGTCGTAAGTGTTTTCAATGAGTTTTACAAATAATAAATAAGGTTATATAATCTTCTTCTTCTTCTTCTTCTTCCTCCTCCTCTCGTGTGTTCGAGATATGTATTTATTCCTCTTTCCGTCTTCGTTACATTTTACAGTTTGTAGTACAAACGGCTTTTCAGCCGGTAATGTTTTTTTATACACGTCTTTCCTCGTGTCTGCCTGCGCGTGCGTTCTCTCTTCTCTTCTTTTCTCGTAATACATATCGACATCCTTCTTCGTTCCAAATCAATCAATCAAATAATAAATAGTTTAATTCATGTTCGCGATGTCTCTCAACAACGGCAAACTGAACGCCTGTAAGTGCGGGCACACGGCGTTTGCCGAGGGATACGGCATACCGTTCCATCTTCCGATGTATTTCTCCTCTCTCCACGGTCGATGAATGCCAATTTTCTTGTAGTATTGAACCAGCGAATCCAAACACTCCTCCCCGTTTGTTCCATCTGGAACGATCATCTCGTCGTTGCAAAAATCTCTCACTAAATACAACGGATCCATGACCAACAACGAACGATTGTCGTTCACCATGTAATCAGCCATGTCGATCATCTTCAAAGGAATCCCGAGACCGAAAAATCTCGAGTCCAAAATCGTCATTTTCTTGACGAACAAACACGCGCCCGTCGTCCACTCGTCATTCTCTCGTTGTAAATCGCTCAAAAACGACACCATTTGCGACGTCGCGTCCATGGATAAATTCAACAACTCGCCGGGCGAGATATCGCCGTACCTGCCTCGCGAGCTGTCGTGTTTACGAAGCTTCGTGCACTCCATGACGGCCGCCACGGAGGTCTGGCCGCCGCCGGACTCTTCCACGAACGATAACGTTCCCACCCACTCCGTTACGGTGATTCCTATTTCCGCGCTCGCGTTCTCAGTCGACCATTCTTCCGCCGCCGACGAAGAGGAAAATCCCGTCGAGAAGCCGTTTTCGCACTTAAACTCTAATTCCATTCGTCCTTCCTCCGGGGAAAAAAGTTCGCCTTTCACCAGATACGGTTCCACCGCGAAGGGCGGTGGAGGAGGAGGAGGAGGAGGAGGAGGAGGGGGAGGAGAAGGCGCGCCGACACCACCGGGGACGACACCGCGCGCTTGCGGCTGAGTCCCGGTTAGAGTCATCGGACTTCGACGCGAAAGAAAAGGGACGAGCACCGGCAATCCCGTCTCTGGATCAAAGTCCTCCCGTCTGGTGCTCGTTCCGCGCGTCGTGCGCGTTTCCCTTTCCCCAGATACTGTTGGGAATGCACTTTGGGGATGATGGAAATATCTCGCGCGTTCCGACCACGCCTTGTGTAAATTATTCGCGATTTCCAAGTAGCACCCGTCGCCGAACGTATCCTTGTGCTCGTCGATTAACGCCATGGTCCGTTTCAGCGGGTCTTCGTTTTCGTTCGACGCGCCCGACATGATGAAATGAATGGAGAGAAAGAGCCGCCTTTTTTTTCTGACACAAAAAATTAATTTTTGGATAAAAGATATTTTCTCTCACAATTTTAAGCTCCTAATAAGTGATGGCTCTCGCCGTACTCTTGGTCCACAGTTTTCACGTCGCAGTCTGTGTTAATAATCGGCGCTTTCCGCTCCTTGTTGCTCTAAAGACTCTCGTTGTTGTTGTAGTTCTTTCCAAGCCTGTATCGGGTCGGCTTCGTTTTCTTTTTCTTCTTCTCCTCTCTCTGCGATTATTTCTTCGGCTTTGGCTTCGATGACTTCTTCCGCTTCTTCTTCTTCTTCTTTCACGCTTTCAGATTCGCTGGTGGCTTCATCCAGAGGCGGTTCTTCTTCCTCTGCTATTACTGCTGCTGCGACCGGTTCCGCGCTCCTCGGGACACTCTTTTCTTCCTCTCCTACTTTCTTTTCTTCTTGTTCTGCTACTCCTACTTCTTCTTCTTCTTCTGTTTTTTCTCCTTCATTTATTTGCATCGCATTCGTATGGGTCCCTGATCTTGCGTGCTTGCCGGAGGTAAAATCGCTGGTGGTTGGAATCAAATTTTCCTTCTCTTCCTCGACCAGTTCTTCTACTTTGTTTTGTCCAACTGCGCCCGCGACGCCTCCTCTTTTCGAGGACGCGCGCGCCTCTGATTTTTCTGAAGACTTGAACATCTCCGCGAACTTCGCGTCGTCCGCGATGCCAAAAATAGCTTCGCCAGCCATTTGGCACGCGGAACCTTCACTATCCATATCATCTCTGGTCAACCCGCACGCTTCACAAATCGGTAAGTGTTTGTTCGACCACGGCTTGTAGGCGCCTTGTAAACTAAAGCCGTTGTCTTCTAAATTTTGCGGAACGCCACCGTGTCCGAACCCTCTTTGAGCGACCATATCGAACGTCGATGCCGTCACTTGGATGTTGTGGTCGGTTAAACCAAGGATGTACGCGTCGACGAAGGACATTACGAAGGGATCTTTGCTATTGATGTTAACATCCGCAGGCTCAATCGGAGGAGCTCCTTCTTCGTCACTGCCGTAATCGTCGTCGTAATCGTCGCTCAAGACGTCGTCGTTAAATTCTGGGTCAATATGTTCGTTTGCACCGTGCGCTGCGTGATGAAATTCGCACGTGCCAATGCATCCGACGACGATATCTTTCAAATCGGTCAACTCGGAGGTTAATTTTTTCAAATACGGTGAATCGGTTGAGACATACAAACCAAATTTCCCTTTACCTTCCGTGGCGCGATCTGTCGCCGCTTTTTGCGCGGCTCTTCCGATGCACGTAAAGTACGGGGATAAGCCGGCATCATTTGGTTCACCTAGCGTGAAATAATCACCGCCGTTGATTTTCGGACACGACTCAGATATAATGGTATCCTTATTCGTCCTCGTGAATCCACCTTTTTTAATCAACGCGTTGAAAGCGTCGAATCGTTTTTCCGCCGATCCGGTCTTCAATTCTCCGATACTCGTGCCTGCGTTTTGTAACAATGCGTCGACGCTGGCAACCTTTTCCTCGAACGTGCCTCGGCCATCGTGTTGGTCCAGTGTCGAAGGCGTATTTTCATTCGACCAATCGCCAGTACGAATGTGGACTGCGCCGACGGCATCAAATTCTTCGAATTTGTTAATGTACGGCATTAAAACGCTCGCGAGTCGATCTGTTGGTCTCGAAGTTAGATGCCACAAACATCCTCGTATTTTTTGGTGCGCGAACTTGTTTTCATACGTCGCGTAGTTCGCTGAGTTGAAAAATTCTTTCGTGCCTTCCTGCGGTTCATTGAATAACGAAACTTCGAGCTTCTTCGCTAAACGAATATAGCCTAATCCAATCACCGCTTGAGCGACGTCCGCGCAAAACTCAGTACCAGCTCCCGAACTTTCACCGCCACCTTCCGTGGCGCATGACTGCGTTGACCCAGGAATCAATCCATGATCCTGTCCGGATGTGTGTAATTTGATTTCAATCCAAGGATGCGCGTTCATGAGCATATTTTCTAGCATCCCGAACGTTTCGTTCGTAGATTTCGAGAAATCATCCGGGGAGATGACTTGTTTCGGGCCGCGACCGATAGATTCAAAGATTCGCTTACGCGTTTTCGTGTCCAGGTTCCAGGATTTACCGTTGGGAAGTTGAAAGTACAAACCCATGTTCGCTCTGTCTTGACACGTCAACGCTCTCGTTTCTTCTTTGCACTGCGATTTATGATTGACTTCTTCGTTCAGGAAGCTCCAATCTTCGTGCTCGCCTTCGTGCTCCATGTCTCGAAGCTTGCGATCCTCCGCTTCCTCTTTATCGGCTTGTGCACGATCGGCTAATTCTTGCTTCAATCTATTCTCGCGCTCTAACTTAGCTTGTTCGGGATCGCCTTCATCCGCCGGCGTTTCGTTGTTGTCATTGTTATTCCCGCCATCTTCACTGGCATCATCACCATTTGCGGCGGGAGCATCGCCACCCTCTCCTGGCACGACAGAGCTGCCGACATCATCTATTGGTGATAATTCTTCTTCGTTACCGTCAACGACGCGATGATCAATTGGGGGCATCGCGAGATCCGCGCCAGCCATGCCAGAAGTACGTCCCGCCAAATCGCGTTCGCGGTCCTCCAAATCTTGCATAACCTGTGGCCTAGGACCTAGCGGCCGTCGTAGTTCTTTCAACCGCTTCTCTGCCAATTCGTGGCGATCGTTTTCGTAAGTATGAATTCTGTTGCGCTGAGATTGCGACAACTCTGCTTCGCTCGAGGCAGACCCAGATCCATCCAACGCGGTGCCTTCCATCGATTGATCCAACGCCTTCTCTTCCTCTACCAGAGATTGTCGTTCTTTCTCGCGGCGCATCTGCATCTCCTCTGGCGTTTCTTCTCGAGAGTCGTTATCCATGACTGTACTTTCCTGTCTTCTCTCCTCTGCGAGTCGCGCTCGTTCTCTGTTTGCCTCCATTTGCTCACCTCGTATCATCTCCTCTCTTTCTCTCTCAAACATCTCCTCTTGACGTCTTTGCGCTCCCTCGTTATCGTTCAACAACGACGTCACCGCCTCTCGCTGCAAAAGCTTTCTCGACGACGAAGATAACCGTCGACTGTTACTCCTTCTTCTTAACTTTTCCATCGTCTCGCTTTCATCTTGACCTTTGCTCGCTGCCATGACGTTCTCTTCCTCTTTATTCCTCTTCCTCATGTCTCTTTTCACCTCTCTCCTGGCTTTAGAATCAAACGCCCTTTCCTGGACGAATCGCCCGTGCTCCTCGTCGCCGCAATCCGTAAACCGAACGTACACCGCTCTCTCCGAGGCCATCCCCCAGGCGAACCAGGCTAAAAAATCGCCGAGATAGTTCCCAATCCCGTTCGCGCGTTCCGAGCACGACGCGTCAATCGTCAGCACCCGTTCGTTCGTCTCGTACAACTTCAACCATCGGTCTTGGTGCGCGCCGAAAATCGCGTCGCAGTGCTCGGAGAATCGCTCTAAATCGCGCTCGATCGTCTTCTTTCCCCAGAAATCATCATGACCTTCTCCTCCGTTGTTCGCATGCTCATCGTGCACATCAGCAGCAGCAACACCAACACCGGTACGAATCACCGCCTCCAAAGAGAGGAATACCAAAACCACCAAAAACAGAACAGAGCGCACCACGCGAGAAGCGCTTCTCATCATCTTCGAAACCGCGCGCGTCCTCGCGTCCTCTTCTTCTTCTTCTTCTTTGTTCTCTTTTCTTTGTTCTCTTTTTGTTGTGTTGCGGGGAAACGTTTTGGTGTGAAACCTCAGAATATCTGTTTACGGATACGCTTTACGTACTTTACTAATAAACGAGGAATAAAATCGAAAGAGGAGAGACAGACAGAGCGCGGAGGTGAGAGAGACGGACGTTTTCTGTCTCGTCTTTCTTTTTGAACAGAGAGACGACGCGTTGGACGACGCGAAGCTTTTCTATTTATTCGTCGCGTAGTAGTACGGAAATGACTGATGATGACGGCGACAAAAAGCGAAGCAAAAAAGCGGATGTGAAGATGGATGATGACGACGACGGCGGCGGGTCTCCCACCATCCCCACGGAGATGAAACACTTAGCTCGTCTCACGTGGCCTATCGTTCTCCAAATGGGGTCGCAACAAATCATGCTCGCGTGCGATTTGATTTACGTCGGGAGGTTAGGGAGATTTGAAATGCAAGTCGGTTCGTTGTTCACGGTCTTGTTTCTTTTGTGCTGGTATTTCTTGGCGGGGTTAACGTCGGCGATGGACACGCTGGCGAGTCAAGCGCACGGCGCGAACGACGCGAGAGCGGTGAAAAGTTGGACGCTTCTTGTTTTGTTAGTGAACACGTTGGCGTGTTTCCCAGCCGCGGCGTTTTTGTTCAGCGCGGAAGCGATCGTTGGGGACGCGTTGAAACGCCCGGACGCGGTGGCGAGAGAAGTCGGGAGAGCGTGCGTTATTTTATTCCCGGGGTTATGGTTTATGTCCTGGAGTTTGGTGTATCAAAAGTATTTGCAAATGCAGGGTAGGGTGAATCCGGTTGGAATAACGAGCTTTATGACTTTAATGTTGAACGTTGGATTAAATCAATTGTTTATACACACTTTGGATTTTGGTTTAAGAGGCGCGCCCATCGCGACGACGATTTCAAGGTTGGCGAATCTGATATTTCTAGGGATGTACAGCGCGTCGAGAAGTTTAGCGTACGAAACGAGAGAAGATAGGAAAAAGGAGTGGGAAGAGTGGATACAGGCGAAGAAAAATATCACCAAGAAGATGTTTCAACGCGCGACGAGTTTGTGTTTTCACGGTGGTTTGATGCTCGCCTCGGAAGCCTGGGCTTTTGAGGTGACGGTAATCACGGCGAGTATACTAGGAGAGGTGGAGCTGGACGCGCACAATGCGTTATTATCTGTGTGTGGGTTAACGTTTATGACTGGTCCGATGGCTTTCGGTATCGCCGCGAGCATCCGAGTGGGGAATTTGTTAGGTATGGGGAAATATCGCATCGCTAAAACGGCTGCGAGTTTATACATCTTTGTCGGTTTGACGTGGATGACGATATGTTCGGTGCTGATTGCTATTTACGCACGACATATTGGCAACGCGTATACGGATGGAGATAAAGATATCGCCGATTTAGTGGTTGTTTTATCGCCACTCGCTGCAACCTTTCAAGTGTTTGACGCATTGCTTGGGATTTGTAATGGCGTCTTGAGGGCGTGCGGGAGGCAGAGAATTTTGGCGATAACAAACATGGTTGCGTTGTGGGCGGTTGGCGTGACCTTGGGCACGTCGCTCGCGTTTGCAACTTCCTTGCGCGCGAAAGGTATTTGGATCGGTTTAATGGGTGGTGTGATTGCCAGTGGGTCGACGCTGGCAGTGATGGTATCGCGGGTGAATTGGCGGAACGAAGCCGAGTTGGCGAAACAATCCGCGGTAAACGTGCACAATATCGATGACGAACAGGAAGAGAAAGTAGCGGCGGTTTGAGATCAAAGAAACCGCATGAAATAGTGGTACCCATGCTTTATAGATTCGTAGGCATTTCGTTTTTATGACAATGATGACGACGTTACTAAGTATTTATTGCTTACTATAGCAGCGGAGCATAAACACACACTCAATCACAATTTAAGCGCGCGATTTTTGTTGTCCTTTACCCATGGTCTTCACCAAGAACGCGACCGCGCCGGCCCCGATCCCAATCGCCGCAATTTTGTTCTCCTTCAAATTCGCCAAAGTATTCTCCAAAAACGATTTCTCGCCGCCACTCTTATCTCCACTCGTCTTGTCTTGTTTCTTTGCCGCTTCCTCGCGTTCACGAACGATTTCCGCAATCAACGGATTTTTATCCAACTTCTCCTTGGCCGGCGTGAACGTTCTCTCGATGAACGACTTTCTCTCGATTTGCGCCTTTCTCTGCGGCGTCGGAACTTTCGGTTGTGGCTGATATTGTTGTTGTTGCTGCTGCTGAGCATATTGCGGCTGCGACTGTCTGCTCAACGGCGACGGTTGTCTCGTCGCGGCCGCAGGCGGCGTCGGCGCCTTCTTCGCGTCCGGAATCCTCGCCGGCGACGTCGCCTCCGCGATCACTCTCTCCGTCTTCCCCGGACTGGCTTCCGTCATATTCTTCGGCGACAATGACGACGACTCTATCGCGACAGATTGTGGTGTCATCGACAATCGCTTCCCTCCCGGAGACGGCGACGCCGCGCTCTTCTTTTCTCCTCCTCCTCGTTTAAACATATCTGAATCCACTTGATCCGCCCACGCGCTCCCGGGTTCGTACGGCGCTTTCCACACGTACTCCGGCGTCTTTTCCACGTCTTTGCCGTTACTCTTCGTCGGCGTCGGGAAAGATTGGAGTTTTTCCAGGGACGCCGCTTGTTCCGGCGACGGTAATCGAATCGGTTTCGACGGCGAAGGGGGAACCCCCGGGCCCGATTTTGGCGTCATCTTGTTCGAATCATTCAAAGGCTTGGGAAGAGTCGTCGTCGTGCCAGTGGCACCACCAGTCGTCGTCGTCGTCGTCGTCGTCGGAGCGGCATTGCCGACTGCCTTTTGCGCCCGCTTCTTCGCTTTCTTCTTGTTCCCTTTGGCCATGTTTATTACGTAATAAAAAAGTATCTAAAAGTGTTCGTAACAATGACGACGGTTTTTGAATTTTGGAGCTGCTTTGCTGAAAAAAAGATCGATCACAAATCCAAGGAGAAAGCACCAACAACATTTTTTTGCTCGTACTAGGGGTACTCTGTACAACATTTTAATAGTACAACCACGCGGAGAAGAGATAGCGGAACGTACAGAGGAAGAGACAGAGATAGAAGACGAGGGTATTCTAGATCTCGATCTCGTTCGCCTCCTTCGGCGTCTCGTTCTAGATCTCGGTCTCGCTCTCGCTCGAGAGAGCGGTACGGCCGAAGAGGTTTCGTGGTGAATTCGTTTCTTGTTCTCGTTCTTGTTATCTTTGCTGCTGCTTTGCGAGCGCGTCTTTCTCTTGCTGATTACTCCCGCCGACGCTCACGCCCCACACGCCGAAAGATTTTTGCTGCGAAGGCGTGAGTCGACCACCGCCACCGTCTTCTCCGGCATCGGATACCATGACGTTGTCTTCCGCGCACTGCATTTGGGGCGTCCAATCGGCCATCCTGTCGCGCTCGTAGAACCGGGAGGTGTGGACGCCGACGTTGGCGTCTTCGGCTTCGTCTTCGGGTTTGCGTTCGGCTTCGCCGGTGTATTCTTTGGCGGCGAGACCGCGGAAGATGGAGGGGAACATGGCGGTGAGCGAGCGGTCGGGCGTGTCGGTGCTGTCTCCAGCGCCTAAAAACCGCTGGTTGAAGAGGTCTCTGTTACTGTAGGAGCGGTTGAACCGTTTTTGTTTCTCCCGCGTGCCGAATTCGATTTCGTCTTCGAAGAGTTTTTTGAAGATTTCCGACCAGTCGCCGTTATTTTCCGTATCCGCTTGGAAAGAGGCAGTTTCAAAGGCACGCTCGAGCGCGGCGAGGGCATCGCCCGGGTGACGAAGATCACAAAAACGTTTGCTTTTGTTTTGTGAGCGCGAGCGAGGGGAGATTTCCGGAATAGCTTCCGAGATTGGCGTGAACACGAGCTCCTGTTGTTGCCGTTGCTGATTCTCCGGAGGGCCGTCGCCGAGGGTAATTTTCGAGACGTTTTCAGTGGCCAACTGATGTCGCCTCCTCCTCTGTTGTTCCAGCAACATGGCTTGGTTTTCGTGCGGCGCACCACCAGTTTCAAACGCTTTTTGAAAGTACGCGTGGTGCGCAATCTCCTCACACGTCGGTCGGCGTCTCGGGTCGAACGCGAGCATGCGCGTGAGTAAATCGAGCGCGTCTGCATCTACGCCGGAAAATATTTGGTGCAACATCCCGGCCCGTCCGGTCATTTTTGACAAGTATCGACGCCATTTCTCCGCGGGTAAACTTTCAATATCAAACCAACCAGGCGTGCCAATCGTATCGAAATACTTGTCCAACTGCATGGAACGTCGACTGTCGTCGCTTTCAATCTGTTCGTACGTTTTAGGGGTTTGGAACACCACGAACTCGTCGTCGAATTGAAAGAGCGGTTGCACTTGCAACTTTTTGTTCAAAGCGCCCGCGGAGTGCATTTCGCGTCGCAGAAGCTCCGCAAATATGCACCCTAACGACCAAATATCCACGGCAGCGGTATACGCTCCAACGCCTGAATTCATCACAACCTCTGGCGCGCGATAACATGGCGTCGCAACGACGCCTGTTAAATTCGAACTCCCAAACGTGCCGCTTTTCTTCATTCTCTTCGACGGCGAAGAGGATGCAATCTTCCTCCGCCTTTCTGTTGTTTCTTGGTCTTGCATCATATCTTCATCTTCTTCTTCTCTTTTTTCTTCTTCTTCTTCTTCTTCTTCTTCTGACGTCCATCCTCCGTTTCTCTCCCCTCCTCTGTCTTCTTCGCTGTCTCTCCACCCGCCTCTCGGCGGCGCGCCTCTCGCGCTCCCGAAATCGCAAATCTTAATCACTCTCCCGCCCTCACCAATCGCTCGTAAACTCCCCAATAACGCGTTCGCGCTCTTCAAATCCCTGTGCCAAATCCTATTCTCGTGCAAATACCCGCACGCGCTCACCAACTGTTTCATCAGCGACCTTACCTCCTCGCCGTCCATCTGCCCGCGCAAGTTATACAAGTCTCCGCCTTCCGCTAACTCGAACGATAAGTACACGTCCAAACTCGTCGCCACGAACTTCCCGCCTATAAATTTCCTCGCACCCGTCGTCGCCGGTTTCACGAACACGTCCAAAAGTTCCGCCACGTTCGGGTGCGACACTCTATTCAAGGCGACTATTTCCCTCAGAGTCCTCTTCGCGTTTTGTTTCGAATACAACGCGTTTCCGATGCGCTTCAACGCGACGAAGACTTTGTGCTCGTTATCGTACGCTTTCACCACGGTACCGTACGAACCCGAGCCGAGTAACGCGATTAAATGGTACCGCTCGCAGTCCACGTTCCAGAGTTCCGAGAAGACTCGATAGGACGAGAGGTCGTTGGAAAGGACGATGTTCTTCGGGTCCTGGATTTCCTGTCGTCGTTTTGCTTCGTTTTCTTCTTCCTCCATTTTTGTTCTTCGATTTTTCTCTGTTGTCTCTCGAGATGTATAAAAGAGAGAGAGAGAGAGAGTACTCGCGCGCGGTTCTCTCTTCTTTTCTTCAAACTCTCTCTCTCTTTTCAACAAAGCGCAATGTAAAGTCTCTCTTTCTTTTTCTTCTGCTGCGTTTCCCCTAAAAAAAACTTCATCTCTTGGTGTCGCCTCTGTTCTTTGTTTAGGGTATCAAATATTTTTTTTTTCGAGGCGCGATTTTTTTGGGTTCGTTGGTTTTCTTTTCTCTCTGGAGCTAATCCTCGTTTTCTTCATTTTACACTCGAGAGGAGTACACTCCTTCTTCTTCTTCTTCTTTCAAAGAATCATCGTATATAGAAAGCTTTCTATTATTGCGAGAGTAGTTCCTTTTTTGTTGCCTTTCTCTTTTCTCGAACAGACGCGCTTCCGTTTTCTTGAACAGACGACCTAAAGAAGAGAGAGAGAGAGAGAGAGAGAAGCGTTCGATTTGTTTTTAATATATTTAAAGCGAAGAAGAAGAAGAAGAAGAAGAAGAATCAGAGAAGAAAAAAAGAAGAGATGAAACAAACGGAAGAAAATGAATCCGTCGTCGGCCCGTTCGTGTTTTCCAACTGCGGCGCGGTGTCCGTGCACAGATTCAGAGAAGAAGAGGAAAGCTTCGCGAGAGGCAACGAAAGACAAACGAGCGTATCCGTGAGATACGGAACGATTGTACACGTGGACGATGAGAATAAGTTAAGAGCGTTTGATGTGGACGAGGTTGGGAAGGAAGTGATGGGACTGAAAGGGAGGAAAGAGAGCGAAGCGATACTTTTTTCATCCTCGACGTCGGACGAGAAGAAGAATGAGAATACTAAAGGTGTCGTAAAAGGAAACGTGAAAATAGTGAGCGTGAAACCGAGGAGCGAAGATGTCGTCGCGGTCGTTGTCAGCGATGGAGACGATGACGTCTTGGAGTTTTACGACGTCGTCGGTAAAGGCGCGCTGAAGAGACGAGAGGAAGGTACTTTTACGAAGACGAAAAAGGTAAAACAGTTCGTTTGGGAGGAGAAAGAGGATGGTATGAGCTATGTTGTTGTCACTGAAGGTGGAACGTTGATTCGGAACGGGACGGAAGAGGTGGCAGGTGGAGGCGTTGAGTGCGCGGCGTGTCATCCAAAGACGAACGCGTTGGCGTACGCAAACGCAAAGGGCTCGGTATTCGTCGGGGAAGACGTTGTGAATTTGAACGACGTAAAGCGAATCGAATCGATTGCGTTTCCAAACGAAAACAGCGACGATTTGGTTTTAGTTTCTATATTAAACGGAGAAGATGAGTGCAGATTGCTTGCGTTGAGGAAGAAGGACGGCCAGTGGACGGCGAGCAAATTAGGCGGAGGGTTCGATATCGATCCCACGCAGGACGCGGCGACTGGGAATCCTTTGCACGTCGTCCCAATTAATGGTTGGGATGTCGCTTTGTGTGCGCACGCGCGCGCGTGGGATAACCAAGTGCTTCTCGTGTCCACGTCCGCATCAGAACCGTGTCGCGTTTTAGAAATCGACGACGATAGGTGCTTTTGCACGATCCCTTTAGCTTTCGACGACGAGAATAATTTTGTTTCTGGCGTCGCGGTGGATTACGGCGCCTCGTGCGGGGCCATGTTGAACCCATCCGACGGCGGTGCTGGTGACTTACCCCTAGGACCGACAGTTATCCTTTCCACGTCGGATGGACGCATCGCATGCTTTCGATTGGCGTGTTTGACAGATCCGCCCGGGTATAGGATTGAAAAGACTCCCAGAGAAGAGCCGGTAAAAATACAAACGTTGGCGGCACCGCAAAAAAAAGAAGATGAAGAAAAAGTAGAAGCTCCAGCGCCGGTTAAAAATTTGTGGGGTGCGGATTTCTTGGCGAAAAACAAAGCACATCAGGCGAAAGTTCAAGAAGCTATCGAAGAGGAGGAGAAACCGAAATCGGCGTTTAGCTTTGTTCCACCCGCAACGGGGGATAAACCTGCATTTAGCTTTGGTCCACCCGCGACAGGGGAGAAACCTGCGTTTAGTTTTGGCGTTCCTTCGACGCCGGCGGCAGACTTGAAAAAGGAAAACGAAGAAAAAGAAAAAGAAAGAGACAACGTCCCGCCGCCAACTCCAGTACCAGATCCGACGCCACCTAGAGCAGCGCCGCCATCAAGAACAACACCTACGTCCGCAGTTCCTTCTTCTCCGTCCGCTCCTACCTCGTTCGAAGCGCTCGCGGATGATCCTACGAAACTCTTGGAGCAACTCTCGCTTGGTAAAATCTCAGACGTAGCTGCGGCGCGCGAAAAGTTAAAACAACTGTTTTTGAAGGAGCACGAAATCGAAACTACGCCAAAGCAGAAAATTTCTGCAACAAGTAGCGGAGAGGCGAGTACTGCTTCACCAGTTCCAGTGATGCGGTCTATAGATGTAACAAAAATCGCCGACGATTCGAAGGCGTTAGCGCCGATGGACCCGAAGGCTTCGCCATTACCTTCTTGGGGTAAAAAGTTGGAAGGTGTTCCAAAGACCTCAGCCGCTTCAGGTGTGAGTACGTCAAAAGATATTGCAAATGCTCTCAAACTTATTGCGAATGATTTCGAAAACGCGAAACTTGAGTGCGACGCTATGTTATCGGACTGTAACGACGCGTGCGATGCGATTCAAAATGAAAATTCTGCATTCGCTGCGAGCGCGAAATTTTCAAAAAAACACTTTGATATTTCTACGCAAGCCAGAGATTCAGCTCGAGATGAAATCCAGGAGACGAAACGCGTCGCGAGGCTACAAAACGAAGCCATTGGTGAACTTTGGTCGCGCGACCGCCAGAACGAAACCATGCGATGTGAACTCGAAAGTCTCATCGAGGCTGCACAAGAAAATCTGGAGAAGAACCAAAATCAAAATCCCGACGACGAAGATTTGACTGAAATCGTCGATTTAGATATGGAACTCCCAACAGGTTTGCGAAAGTTGAAAGCTCAGCTGCGGCGAGAAATGGATGTCATCGCGCAAGGAGCGGCTGATTTCGAAGTGCGTACAAATCTCGCCGAACGCGAGAAGAAGCGGCTCGATCGCATCAAGAAGGCAGCCGGGAGCAGCAGTTCAAATTCAGTCTTGACGATGAATCAGAGTCGCTCGCAAGAAACCACGAGAGCGTTGAAGGCAGCAATCGAAACGCAGAAAGAAGTCATCGAAGATCAGAATGAACGTTTGGAAACAACTATTGCGGATCTCCGCGAGTTTGGGTACGACGCTGACGTGCGCGTCGGGAAGGATGGGAGAGTTGAAGTGAATGCGATTGAAACTCCCGGTAAGCAACGCTTAGCGGCGTTATCGTCTGATGTGATGTTTAGCACGCCTGGAACGGCCTCGAGAGGTAGAGGTGACGATAATCTCGGAGTGGACGTGCCGACGACTTCGCACAAGGAAGCTATGGATCGCGCGATCAAAACGCTCGTCAAGCAACCTCGAGTCGTAGTCTCTGAAATGAAGCGAGACGTTTTGAAGCAACCGCTTCGCCGCATAGAACCGCGAATGCCTCCGAAGCGCATCGAGAGAACAGTTTCTGCGCCGCCTGTAGTATCTGCTTCTGCTTTTGCTCCTGTTTCTGCCGCGAAGAAAGTGGAGGTTCCTCCACCGCCAGGGGCGGCGGCGCCGGCTAAGGCACCACTCTTCCCGGCGTTCTCAGCACCTGTTGCAGCGGCACCGTCGAAACCGAAAGAAGCGCCGAAGAAAATGGAAGTTCCTCCGCCACCGTCGTTGACTGCACCTTCCTTGGCACCCAAAAAAATGACGAACGAGGAAGAGGCAGCGTCGAAGAAACCTTTGTTCCCGAGTCTTTCGGCGTCGTCGGCCCCAGCTGCTCCTGAAGCAGCGACGGCATCTAGCACCGCATCCTCTGTGACTCCAGCGAAACCAGTGGTGAACTTATGGAGCGCAGACTTCATGGCTAAAAATAAAGCAGACCGAGCGAAAATTCAAGAAGCCATTGAAGAGGAGGAGAAGCCAAAACCTGCATTCAGCTTTGCGCCATTGTCGACGAGTAGTGGTGGCGACAGTAAGCCGGCCTTTAGTTTCGGCATCGCTAAAAACCAACCCGAGAAGAAGAAAGAAGGAGAAGAAGAGGAGAAGAAGGAAGAAAGTGCTGATGATACTACTACTTTTCCTGCTCCTCCCGTTGCTTCTGCTCCTGTAACGCTGGCATCCTTGGCGCCGGCGCCGGCGGTGAAACCGCTCGGCTTTGGAACTTCTTCAATTGCAACGAGCGTCCCGAAATCCAAAGCATTCGGATCTGTCGAAGAGTTAAAACTGGATGATAGTAAGGAAGGAGAGAAGGAAGAGGACATTCAGTCTTCACCGCCACCGTTACAACGCGCCGCGGCGAGTGCGAGCTCTGAGAAGACTGTGTTCAGCTTTGGATCGCTCGCGACGGCGGCGCCAGCAAAGAGGAAAGAAGAGGGTGAAACGTCCGCTCTATTTTCAGCGCCTCCAGAAACCCCGAAATTGGCACCTCCGTTGGTGCTTGCTAAGGAAAAGGAAGCTGCTGAAGCTCCGGTGACAGACGTCGCGTCGAGCTTTGGCAGTTTCGGAGGTTTAGGTTCGACGACATCAACGTCTGCAGTAGGTGGAATTTTTGGTAAGTCTGCGGTGCCTACGTCTACTACTACCGTGGCCGGTGCACCAACGGTGGCACCTGCGTTCGGAAAGCCCGCCGCTTCGGTGGCTGGTGTACCGGGTACGGGTACTTTTTCATCGTTTGGTAGTGTGAATCCGCCTGCGTCTACAGGAGCCGTTGCTACGAGCACTGGTTTTGGATCTAGCGGTGGTGGTGGTGGTGCAGCCGCGCTCACTGGCACGCCTGGTTTTGGCCAAGCCGCAACGATTGGTGGAGGCGGAAGCGCAGCTTTTGGCACGCCCACTTCAACATCTTCTTTTGGTCAACCTTCAACGAGTGGAGGCGCGGCAGCATTGACGGGAACTCCATCGTTCGGCCAAGCGGCAAAGATTGGAGGTGGTACGCCTGCGTTCGGCTCTTCAACACCGCAGAGTACTTTCGGCCAAGCGGCAGCGACTACTGTTGCCGCCGCTACTGCCCCGTCGACGCCTGCTCCGACGTCTGGTTTCGCTGCTTTTGCAAATAAACCGACTGGATTTGGTGCCGCCGCGGCGGCTTCCGGCGGAGGTGGTTTTGGCGCGCTGGCGAGTCAAAGTGGTGGTGGAGGTGGTTTTGCGCAAGCCGCGCAACAAGCGTCTTCTAGTCCGTTTGCGCAACAAGCGCAACAGCAAGGCGGTGCTTTCGGGCAAGCGTCTAGTTTTGGCAATCAGCAGCAGCAACAACCACAAAGTTCTGGGAGTTTCGGGCAAACGAGCGGTTTTGGACAACCTTCTGCTGGTTTTGGACAACAACAAGGTACCGGTTTCGGACAACAACAACAAAGCACTGGATTCGGGCAACTACAACAACAAAGCACTGGATTCGGGCAACAACAAGGTGCTGGATTTGGACAACAACAAAATACCGGATTCGGACAGGCTTCTGGTTTCGGGCAAGCTTCTGCTTTCGGACAAGCTTCTGGTTTTGGCAGTCAGCAACAAAAACCTCCCGGACAAACTTCCTCCCCTGCGTTTACTCAAATGCGACGATAGAAACATTAGAAACATTAGATATAAGTTAATAATACTGAAAAATAGATTCAGAATACTAGAGAACAATTCACGCTACTACATAGTATGACATAGCTATTACATATTTCTTTCGGCTAACTCTCCGTGCAACGGCGCGTCTAAGGATAACTTTTCCGAGGCGATCCACGGATACGTGTGCTTTATGGTTTCTACGATTAACGCGTACACAACCTCCTCGCCTTTTTCGCTAAAATGCAACCCGTCCGAAAAATACGCGCTCAAATCCCCACCGCCTAACTTTTCAAACGTATCGAACGCGTCTGCCACACCTACCCCCATTTCTCTCGCCACTTTTTCCGCCGCAACCGCGTATTTCTCAGTGTGTTGATAAAGTCGATCCGGCGTATCGAACGCCGTCGTCTCCATCGCGTGTTGCACCCGGTCCTTTTCAATAATCGGTGGTGGCGTGATGACAATTCTCGGCACGTTCTTATACAAATTCAATATCTCCCGCATATTCTTCACGTATTCTTCGAGCGGAACCGCGTATTCGCGCTTGTGATTCACCGCGGCGTCGTTCGCGCCGAGAAACACAACCACCAGCGTTGGTTTTTTCACAAACAATTTCGGTTTCCTTTTCATCAAATCCAAAACCCATCTCGTGTTGTACCCGGAGTACCCTCTGTTTATAACATCCGCGCGTCTGACGTACGAAGACGCGAGTTTAGACACCCATCCTTTCTTTGAATCGTAGCCTCGTTGCGTCAGCGAGTCTCCCACGAGTAATATTTGTCGTCTGTTCCCCGCTGCATCATCGTCAGAAAAACTCGTCGTAAACTCCTTCCATTTGGTCGCTAAAAAGTACCCGGTCATGGATGCGAGCGCGGCGACGACAAATCCGCCAAACGCTCGTTTATTCCGAGATGATACTCTCGAGGACTTTTTCGTGTGCGTCGATGCTCCAATTTCGCGATCGGCGACCATATTTGATGTGTATATATAAAGCGTCAGTCTAAAATGAAGTGAAGAAAATCCCCTAAAAATCCCCTATAAAAATGACATCTCTCTGCGCGTCTTCAGCGCATCACAACACCGGTCGTCGCGTTACCACCACATCTCGAGCAAACAGCAACGGTTGTCGTCGTCGCGTGGTATCATCCTCGCGTGCTGATGCTGATGCATCTAGGACCGATGATGAGGACAAAAATGAAAGAAGAAAAAGAGGATTGGAAACGAAGAAAGATTCGAGCAGACGCGCTTTCGTCGCGTGTTCTGGCTGCGCTTTCTGTTTTGCCGCTTCCTTTTCGGAGGCCGCGCGAGCGTTTCCAAAACTCTTAGACTTGAACGATGAAACCGTCGAGGACGTGAACTATGTGCTCGATCACAGGAATCAGCGGACGGACAAAGTGTTTGCCAAAGCGAGTGAGTGTTTGTGTTTTTCTTCTTTCTTTGCGAACTCCCTAACGAACTCTTTCCAACTAACTCTATAACTCTTTTTACGCAGTGACAACGATGGCTGGATACGAAAGCGTCATCGAAGAGAGAAAGACAGAATTATTCACGAGAGCATTTTCGAACAGAACAGGGAAGGTGGACGTGGTTGAATTAGGCGCGGGCACCTGGCCGAATGCCAAGTATTACGATATGGTCGCTTCGACGACGAATTTTGGAGTGAGCGTTGACGTGTACGGCGTCGATCCGAACGAGTACATGACTCCGTACGCGCTGGAGAATTTTGAAAAGGTGAAATCGGATAAGGTGAAATACGAGCCGTTGCGTGGCGTGAGCGAGAATTTGCCGTTTGAAGATGGTTCTGTGGATGTGGCGGTCGTGTCGCTTGTTTTGTGTTCGGTGGAGGATCAGTTGGCTTCGTTGAAGGAGGTGAAGCGCGTGTTGAAACCCAAGACGGGCAAGTTTATCTTCGTCGAACACGTGTTGAGTCAAACGAACGATAGCTTGAGACGTCAGCAGGAGGCATTGACACCGATGCAGATCAAAGCTGCGGATGGTTGCAGATTGAACAGGAAGACAGGCGAAGTCATAAAGAAGGTGTTTGGCAGCGAAAACGTAGACTATGAATACTTCGATTTGGATGGGTTTTGGGTTATAGGATCACAAATAGCCGGTATTGCCAGCGTGTAGTACGATAAGATGCACACAAATATTTATTCCTCATTGCACGGCTAAGGTGTGTAAATATCTCTTCAGCTCTAAAAATGGTTGCTGCTGTTCGTCCGTAGTCTTTTTTTCCTTTTTGCGTTCGGCATCAACGAGCTCCAGATTTTCCTTCAAAACCTTCGATACTTCGATACGCCGAGCCTCACTTTCTTTCCTCAATTGCTTACGTAACTTCTCAACAGTTTGTTCTAATACATCGTTCCGTTTTTGGACCGCAAGAGCTGCTTCTTCCGCGCGCGTCAAGTGTACTTCGTTCTCCTTGATGTCTTCTTCGCGAGCGTATCGGGAATACAGTTGCACAACGGCATCTTTCAACGCTTTGAAGTCCTCGTTTGCTTTTCTATCCACCACCTGGAACAAGTCGCGCTGGAATCTTTTAATCAACTGCTGCGATTTTTCCGCGTTTCTACGCTTCAACTTTGCTTCTTTGCGAAAGCTCTCTCCTTTGCGTGTTGTTTCTTCCAACTCGCCTTTGAGAGCTTTCACTTCTGCCAATACTTTTACTATTTCTTTATCCTTCAACTGTAAATGTTCGTTCAAATCGTTCACGGTGCGCTCAAACTTTGGTACAATCTCAGAATCGACTTTGACGAGTCTCTCGGAAAGTTCCGTCAGTTGAGAGGAGAGCTTCCGTTCTGATGCAATCTTCTTTTGCATCTCGCGAGTCGATTTTTTATTGTCTTCTTTCAAATCACGTATTTCAGCGTCGCGTTCTACTAAAGTTTGTCTCGCCTTTTCCAGCTCTTCTTTGAGCACATCTCGCTCGCGCTTTGCTAACGAGGCCTCTTCGCGCATTAATTCTTCGTTTCTGGTTGCGCTTTCGCGAAGCTTCCGTGTTTTCGCGTGCTCAATTCGTAACTCCGCAGAACGATGGCGCTCGTACTCCACGTTTTCCTGAAATACCTTTTTCAAATTTTCAATCTCTTCGTCGGCGTCTTCTTCAACTTGGCGCTGCGTCTCTTCGCTAATTTCCTTCTCTGTGCGAATTTCTAATTCTAGCTGCGCGATTTTATGCTGTAAAAGTCGCGTCTCTTTCTCCAATTTCGCTTCCGATTCTTTGACGTACGCCTCATGGGCCTGCACCAATGCTGAATTTTGCTCGTCCCACTTCGCAATTTCCTCATCTTTCACGACTTTTAAGTTTTCAGTCTTCTCAAACTCTTTCGCGAGTTTACGCCTATACTCTCTCTCTTTGTGTTCTTCGCGTGTTCGGCGCGTTTCGTCTTCGCTGCGCGTTTTCTCTTCAGTTTTTGCCCTCTCCTCCAGAAATGTTTCTCGCAACCTCGTTCGCTTGGCGATTTCTCTTTCCAGATCGTTCTTACGCTGCGTTTCTAGACGATTAACTTCTTCTCGATTCCGTTGGTCGGACACTCGACGCTCGTATTCGTGTCTGGCGCGAAGTTCACGAATTCTTGAACGGAGATCTGCTATGCTCTTCTCCTTTTCAAGTAGGACGAGGCGCGATATGAGCACGTCGTCTGGCGCGTCAGCGTCGCTCGTATCTTTTACGCTTCTATTTTTATCAAACCGAGGAAGAGGGTTATTGAAATTGAATGCACCGGAATCAGATTCTATAATAATCTCGAATGCAAACATTGTTCCGTCCGAGGCACACGCGAACACTCTCTTCTCAGTATCGGACGCACATATGGATGTAATTTCCCGATTGCTCGCGCATCGATATTCACGAAATTCTCCGGTCAACGGAGTTGTGTATACCCGCAACGCACCGCAGGATGTACCACATACCAGGAGTCGAGATGAATGCACAAAGCACGCAGATGTTAGAGTAGTTGCTTTTCGTCGCGAGACCATTCTGCTGTGCTCCTCATCACTTCCGCTCTGGTCGAAAGTCGTTCCGGCTGTACCGTCACCGCCGCCGTTACAAGAGAGCGCTGACATGGATGAAGAGATTTCAAATTCTCGGCACGAACCTGCGCCAAACTTTTCACCGTCTAGCTCTTTAATTGTTCGATCGCTTCCAACTAAAAACACGCCATTCCCGAGTTCTTTCGGCAGAAGTGCGACGTCGTCGTATCGACACCCCTTTCTCGCGTGTTCTGCGTTTCTCTTGTGTTCTCCAGATAAAGCATCAACACCGTGTAACTCCCAGCGATAACAGCAACCGTCCGCACCTATAGTAACGACATTTTCGTCGTCACTCGTCCATTTTACCCGTCTAACCTTTGACGAGTGTCCCCGAAGCGTCGACACATTTGCGCCTGTATACGTGTCGAAAATCTTGGCACAGTTACCATGCGCGGCCACAAACTTGTGTCCACCGTGTGCGAAACTGACATCACGCACGTTCTTCAATGGAAACTCGCGAGCTTTTTCGAGAGTGTCGCGGTGAATGTAGAACATGCGGAGTTTATCGTTGAAGCCAACGAGGAGAATATGTCCGGACGGATGCAATGCTACTGAAAGTGGCGTCTCTGGGAAGTGCTCACAAAGTTCAAGCGCACAGCTAAAAGCCGACGACTCTGTAGACGTGCTCGTACTAGAGCCGCGATCTGACGACTTTGCGGTCGTCTCTGAATGCACATCACTGGTCGTCAACGCGGTAGAAATGCCACCAAACAACATTTTATTCTTCTCTTTAGTAGACCAGATACGAACGGCGCCGTCAGTGGAACACGTAGCGAGTATCGGTTTCAAAGCGCAATGACTTGCACGCGAGGATGGAGATGGAAGCACAACGTTGTGCGATATCATATTACCACCACATGACGATCTGTTGGCATCTTGATTAAACGTGGAAGAAAACGATATCGTCGAGTTTGTCGCACCGGGTAGTTTCGAGCGTTCAGAAGCTGTGACGCTGAAGTTTTCCCGCAAAAGTACTTGGAACACGTCACTATGCGCGGTACCTTGCAAAGCGCTCTGTTCACAATCGCTGGAAGCTTCCTTCTCGGTCGTTATTTCCCGAACCGATGCGTCTGTATCTGAGACTGCGAGAGTGTAAAGCTCGTTCGTTGGATGGTCCATCCACACGATAAGAGTTTCGCCGCACGGAGAGACGTCCGCAGAAACAATCGCTCCCCTTTCAATGATCCAACGCACTTCTTGCGACTGACAAATACTAGTATCTGTAGTATCTTTGCCACAAACGTCATCGAATTCTGTACCATCACGCGAGTTGCAGTTGCGATTCTTCACATTCTTCTCATCGACCGCGTCTTCATCTACTCCGTCTACCTCACCTTCTTCTTCCTCTTCTTCTTCTTCTTCCGGACTATCTTCATAGGCTTGGTTTTTCCTACGAACAGACCAAACTCGGATTTTACCGTATGGCTCTTTACCTGCGGTAATCTTTCGATCGGCATTTCTGTTATACACGGAAAGGCTTCCGTTAGTTCCGAAAATACAAAAACCTCGTGCGCCGATGGCACATACACCCGTTGCGCCAATATTGTAGCTATTATTATTTTGCGCAAAGCAGTTTCGAATAATAAATATCGGTTGCGATTGTTCTAGTATCAACGCTTGTCCACTTTTAAATGCAACAACGACTCTCTCTCCGTTTCCTTTCTCTAACCACGCGTGATCGACTGGTTCATCTCCTTCAAAGGCTTCCCCGAATGGTATTGCGCTGGCGAGTTTGATAACGCCCCGACTCCCCGACGCCGAAGATGCGGCATATAAGTCAGCCTCTGACTTTTGAGGGAGCTTATACATTCTGATCACGCTCATAGCGACAGCTGAAACGGTATTTCTCTCGCGTGGATGAAATTTAAAACTCGCCGGATTGGAGTGTGACGTTGAATGGTTGCGTTGACCGACGCTTATGCGCGGCTCTGGAAGAAAACCAATCACGTGCGACACGTTCGACACCGACGAGGACTTTTTACCCGCAGAGAAAATATCAGAGTAAGCAGACGACGCAGGAAACGGATTGCTCGTCGACAGTTCTTGATTACTATTGATATCACCGTCGTTACTGACGTTGGTGCGCTTCGTCAGATCCGAGAAAGTCCACGAACGCAAGGTCCAATCGTTCTCGTCCGAAACTCTTTGCACTTTCGCTACAATCGAAGCTCCATCGGTTGAAAAACACACCTCCGTGAACGCATACTCACCGAAACATCCACTCATCGAAGCTCCTGTTGCACTGGAAGAAGAGCTCGAACTTTTCTTCCCGTCTGTCCCGATCGCGTCTCTCAACGAAAACGTTCTCAACCTCGCGCGCCTTTGCGTCTGTCGATGTATCGCGCACAACACAATCGACGGTCCTATTTCCTCGTCTCCACTCTCTGCAATCGCGAGTAAAGAAGCATTTTCGCCAGTAAACGTGATCGGTCCGGAAGCAGAAGCAGAAGAAGCAGAAGCAGAAGATACTCCCGCCTCCCTTCTTTGTTGACCGCCTTTTCCTCTCTCCTCTTCCTCCTGCTCCAAAAAGTCTTCGCTTCTCTCCCTCGCGCTCCCACCCCCAAAACACTTCTTCGCCGCGATCGCGGTCACTTTCCTCTGCCCGGGCGTCCCGGGTACGAACGCCACTTGCCTCCCACGTTCGCTCTCCACCAACAAGACGCCGTGACCAACCGGAAACGCGCAAAGCGCGTCGTCCAAGAACACAATCGAACGACACACCAAATCGAACGACATCGGCAAACCAAACGCGCCGGACGGTGCCACGCGCGCTTTTACCACGACCGCTCCTCCCGTCGTTTCGTGGTCTTCACGACCACTGCGACTGCCTTCTTCTTCGCGTTTGGCATCATCATTTGCGGCCATTGTATTCGTGCTCTGTTGGGGTATTTTTACTAGATACAGAAAAAAAAGTCTCGAGTCTATTTTTAGTCGTACTCGCGTATTTTAGAGAAAAAATCTTAGTAAAATAAAACGAAACCTCCGCAGTTTGTTGCAACACGCACAAAAAAAGAATCATGTTACGAACAACAGTTTCCCGTCTCCTTCGGCGGAACGCGGGAGCCAACAACGCAGTATTAGGATTAGGAAGCACAAGAAGAAGCATCTCGATAAGTTCAGATGAGCAGATGAAACTGGAGCAAGAAATAAACGCGACGTTCGCGGAAGCGAGAGAGGAAATCGAAGCGGCGATGGAGAGCGTCGGGACGACGTATTTCAACGACGACGCGGAAATCGCGAAAGAATTAACCAGAGATTGCGTCGCGAAGTACGAGGAGTTGTTGACGAAATGCGAGGGAGAGGCGGGGAGGAAGGAGAAAATTCAAAGGAGCATGGGATTGAAAATCGAGCAGTTGAAAGCGGAGTGTAATTTGATCGATACCGCGCACGATGATTAGATTTAGAGAAGAGAGAGAGAAAGAGAGACCTGTGGATGAACATGTATTGATTGTAGTATAAGAAACGTAATGCGATGAGAGTGTAATAATTTGATCGATACCGCGGGCACGACGATTAGCTTTAGAAGAGAGAGAGAGAAAGACCTGTGGATGATGTGATGTATTGATTGTAGTATATAAACGTAACGCATATATTGCTGGTAAAATCTCTTTTCCCGGGGGACGAAAACATATCTTCACTTTAAAGAGGCCTCAAAAGTACGCGCAATAATGTCTTCCGTCTGCTTTTCTTTGCGACGAGCGGCGATGTCATCGTCCTCGTCTCCCTGTTCTTGTTCGACGATCGTGAGAGGCGTGACCTCCTCCTGCTCCTCCCTCGCTTCTTCTTCTTCTTCTTCTCACCAAAAATGGATAACAACGACGGCTTCGTCGTCGTCCAAAAAAGGAGGGACGAAAGTCGTCTGCGCCGCGGAGAGCAGCAGCAGCGGTGGTGGCAAAAGTAGATTTAAACGACGCGACCCGGACGCGAAACCTCCCCCGGCGCCGCTCGGGTCCGGACCACCGATGACCTCGGGAAAAATCTCCGAGCAAATCTTGGAAAAAACGAGAGAAGAAAATCCAGAGGTGGAAGTGATTCCGTTGCAGCAAACGCGGTTCCAAGGCGTGGCGAACATCGACGACGAATCGAGCGAAACGTCGCAATCGAACGTTTTGAAACGAAGAGCTATACTTTTCGCCGGCGACGTGGCTGCATTTTCTGTGTTCGCGACGATTGGCCGTGCGAGTCACGGGGAAGGTTTGAACCCGATCGATATCGTCGGCACGGCGTCGCCGTTTATTCTCGGCTGGGCGGCGGCGTCGTATTTGTTAGGGACCCAAGGCGCGTTCGGCGACAGCAGCCGACGGAGCGGCGTGGATAAACTCGGAAAAATCTTACCCTCGGTTGGGAAAACCATCTTACTCGGCGTCCCAATTGGCGTGATTGTCCGTTCTGTGGCGACTTTCCACGTCCCCGATATCTCTTTCCTGTTCGTTTCGCTCGGTTTCAACGGCGTCGCTTTGCTCCTGTGGCGCGTCAGTTTAAGTTCGGATATTCGCGTCGGAGGAAACAACGGAGACGCGACAAAACCGCGCACCAACAAAAAAGGGAACCCGCTCGAGTTTCTCTCCTTGTTGAGCGGTTTAGTCAAGAGATGGTAATAATAGAACGTAACAGAGTGTAAACGCAAGTGTACTAACATAAGATATCTGAATAGCACTTTTATTCTGAAACTGAAAAATTGAACACAACAAGACAGAAGAGAATCCTCCGGTGTCGTCGTCGTCTCTTTCTCTCTCTCTCTCTCTCTTCTGTTATTGATTATTTGAACGAGGAAAACACACGCAAAAAGCAGGCAAAATACTCTCACACATAATTGCCTCTTTCCCCGGGAGAGAAGCATTCGTTTCCTCACACTTACTCCTCCTTCTTGAAAGCTTACTCGAAAGAGAGTGCGTGTGTTTAGTGCGCGCGCGCAGAGAGGGTAATAATGGGGTCTTCCTCTAAAGGCGGGAGCATGTCTTTCCAAGAGGCGTGCCAGGTGTTAAACTTAGACCCGAGAGAAGCTTCGAGCAACCCGAATGCGGTAAGATCCGCTTACAAAAAGATGGCGTTGGAGTTTCATCCGGATAAACATCCCGGGGCGAGTTCGACGCAAACGTCTTCGTCGTCCAACGCGACTGGTAAGAAGTCCTCCGGTGGAGCGAGTGGGAAACCAACGAGAGAGGATTTCGAGAGAAAGTTCAGGCAAGTCGTGAGAGCGTACGATGCGTTGACGAGACGGGACGATTCGGACGATTCGGAGTCGGACGAGGACGATTTTGGAGGCCCGAACGGCGATTTCGACGGCGTTTTTAAGAGTCCAGAGGACATGAGAGATTTCGCGGCAAACTTTTTCGAGTCGTTTTTCTTCGGCGGGGGGTTCGCGCAAGGAAGCAACGGGCCGTCGGGGAGGAGTTCGAGGAAACGACGATCTACGCATTCTGGTGGAAACGCGAACGCCTCTTCGGGTGGTGGAGGGCCAATTATCAAAGAAGTCAACGACGACGGGGAGGAATATTCGGACGAGGACTCGGACGATGACTCGGACGACGACGAGGATTACGACGACGATTGTTCGGACGATGACTCGGACGACGACGATTACGGGAGTCATTCGGACGATTACGATTCAGATAGAGACGGGTCGGATTCGTATTCGGACGACGAGGACGGGTACGCCTACGCGGATTTGAGAAAGTTTTTCGGTAAACCTCCTCCCGGATGGTCGAGCAAAATGGCCGCGCACATGCAAGCGAGCGCTGAAGCGATGGGGGATAAGAAGATGAGCTCGAAGAGCGCGCAAGGTATGTTTGACGAGTTGAGGTCCGGAAGCCGAAATAGCAGTAAGAGTAACAACGCGAATAGCGGCGGGTCGAGTAGATATCCTGGAGGGAGAGGCAGTGGACGTAGAGGCGATAGCGGCGGCGATGGAAAACGTTGGTTCGACTCGGATGGGCCTGATTTTGGACCAAGAGGCAGTCGAGGCGATGGACGAGGCGGACGTAGAGGCGATAAAGGCAACAACGGCTCGTTCAGAAGATCGCACAACGATAACCCAAACAATCGAGATTACGAAGATCAAGATGACGATCAGTTGTTTGAACACTTGGAAAAGATGAGGAAAGAGGCGGCAAAGTACGCCGCGGAAATCGCCAAGAAAGAAAACGAGAGAAGAAGAGCGTCGGCGCCTTTAGAAAAGCTGCAAAGGCCTACTTTAGTTTCGAGATCGGATAATACCATCACATTGAACGTGTATCGACACAAGTCGGGAGGTACGTTACCGCCGGATAGATGTTGGGAATTGAGTTTGAAAAGGCACGGCGATAGAGATTATACGGTGTATGCCGCGGTGAGGGGTAACCCGGTGGTGACCGTGTCGGATCTAGTTCCTGGAACGCGATACTCGTTTAAAGCGAGAGTCGGCCGCGTGTCCTCGGAGAAGGACGGCGAGGACGGCGATACGAAATCTAAATCGACCATGGATGTTCTCTCGGAAACTATTTTTTCGTCTTTGCGAGACGGCGCGGGAAGTATGAAGGGCGTAGAGATTATATCAGAGAAAGATGTCACGGAATGGGGCGACTATTCTATAGAATCTGCGTACGCGACTTCCGGGACGGCGCCGAGGGAAACTTCAAAGAAACACGCCGAAGAGGAGAAGGATACTCAAGAAGCAAACGTTTCAGCTCCTGGTCAAGGCAAAAAGGCGAAGAAAAAGCAAGCTCAGAAAGAAAAGTCGGAACAGGAAGCTTTGAATAAGAAAAATGCGGAAGATGATGCGGCGAAAGCTATAGACGAGGCCCAGCAAAGACGCGAGGCGTTGAAGAAAGCGATGGAGGAAGCCGCGGAAAGAGAGATGGCAGAAATGAACGCGATTAAGGAGAAGCTCGCGAAGAAAGATGCCAGTCAAAACGCAATCGCTTCCGTATCTTCGCAGACGAATAATCCGAATGCTGCTGTTTCGTCGACTTTGTCCAAGAAAGCCGCGCAAAGGCAGAAGAAGAAAGAGAAAGCGGCTGCGGCTGCGGCTGCCGCGGAAGAGGTTGAATCTGACGAAGCCATGGCAAGACGTTTGCAATTGGAAGAGCAGCGCAGATACGGTGAAGCCGGCGCAGACGCACCAGCTGGTGCAGGGTTTCAACAAGCTGGCTCGGTTAAGAGTAGCGGCAAGAGTAACGCCGCGGAATCGTGGGCCGCCGCGCCGGCTATGCCGTTGCCAAAAGGACAGCAAAGATCGGCGGCGTCCAGAGGGTATTCAGCGACGTCACAATCTGGGTCGTACGAGGACCGCTTCGCGCCACCACCGCCTCCTGGTCCGCCACCACCCGGTCCTCCACCGTTTGGTTCGCCCACGCGAAAGATGGCACCGCCACCGGTACCTCCCGGACCGCCTCCTGGAAGACCTCCTGTAGACGCGCAGCAATCGAGAGCAGACATACAGCCTCCGCAGCAGCCACCGCAGCAGCCTCCGAGACAGCCACCTCCGCAAGTACAGCAGCCTCCGCAACAGATTCAACAACTACAACAGCAGCCTGTGCCGCCACCGTCTAACTACATGAATCTATCTTCGACGGTGTCTGCTCAACAGCAGCAGCAAATAGGTATGAATGCGCTCAACGCGTATAGTAGTGTTTCTCAGCAACCACCGCCGCAACCTCCGTCGCAACGTTGGAACAACGAAGGACCTTCACTTCAGCAGCAACAGCAACAGCAACGCCAGACGCAGCAATACGGCGCGCCGTCGTCGTATCCGCCGCAGCAACAGCAGCAATTGGGTGGTAACGTCGCCAGCGTTGTCTCCGGTGTCGCCAATTTAGGTTTTGGTTCTTCCCAACAACAGCAACAGCAACAGCGCGCGACATCGATGTTTGATCAACAGCCTTCCTATCAGCAGCAACAAGCCTCCTCAGGTTATGGACAGCAGCAGCAGCAGCAACAACAGCAGCAACAACAACCGTCCTACTTGCAGCAAGAGCAACAACGCGTGCAACCAACCTCCTCCTGGGATCCGTTGATGGGCAGTTCCTCTTCTCAACAACAAACCGGAGGCGCCTCCGCTTTTGGCCAATCCCCTCCTCAAACGCAAACCTCGCGAGGTCTCGGCGCTTTCGGCAATTACGGCGGCGCTTTCGGAGGCGGCGCTTTCGGAGGCGGTGGCATCGGTTCCATCGGTGGTCCCATCGGTGGTCTCGGCACCACCTCCTCGGTCGTCGCGCAAACGCAAACGCAACTCAGCCCGGCGTCGCCGCGCACGCAGCAACAGCAACAAACCGACGGCCAGTTTTTGGAGAACTTGGACAATTTGTTCGATCTCATCGGAGACTGATCACGAGAAACTGCTACTACACATATATTTTAATACTAACAACAGTACGAGAGAGAAAGAGAGAGAGAGAACCTACGATTTCTTCGCACGTTGATTGTTTTTTCGCTTCTTCTTTCACTTCTTTCACTTCTTCACAACTTTCCTGCGCTTTGTTGAGTTTACTCCTCCTTAAGACGAGAGATATGTCCCAACCTCCTCCTCCTCCTCCTCCTGCGCCGCTGGCAACTTTAGACATCCTCTCCCCGTCTTCCACGGACACGTTCGAAATCGGGTGCGAGATATGCGTCACCGCGCGCGTGTCTTTTCCCCGACCAACGAGAAGTTCAGTAACGAACACGTACCGAAGGGAGGTGTTGTTCCCGAGATACCTTCGCGTGGAGATGGCGTACGACTCATCGTCGTCATCCTCCTCATCGTCGTCGTCGTGGATGATGCCTCTTTCCGCCGCGGTCGGGAGGCGATATAAACACGTCGGGAACGCGTCCTTGGACGACGAGCGAGAGAGTAAAGCGACGTTTTCGTTACGATTCAACACGCAGGAGTTATCCTCTGGCACGTATTCGATACGGTGTTTACTCCCTAAGGATTACTTCGAGACATCTACGAGTTCGATGAAAGAAACGTCCTCTGCAGACCAAACGGAGGACAGAGACGCGATGAAGAAGAAAAAAGAGGTACATAAAGCGTTACTCGTGGCGTCGAAGAAAGAGGTGCAAGTGCACATAGCGCCGACGTTGGAGTACGTGAGGAGCGGCGCGCACGACGTGAAGTTTCGGTGGAACGCGAAGTCGCTTCCACCGAAGGTGTACGAGAGCGTGTTGAGTAGCAGTAGCAGTAGTAAAGGAAGAGAGAATGGGAAGGATGGTAGTAGTAATGATAGTAGTAACGGTAGTGGATGGAAGCTCGCGTTAGACGTGCAACCGGCGTTGAGAGAGAACGAGAAACTTTCGGAAGTCGTTTCGGACGCGTTCGTGTTTGCGGCGAAAGCCGGTCATTCCGTTTGGGTCGTGAAAGGGTCTCGAATCATGTACGAAATAAATGCGCAGGAGTTGATTGAGAGAGAAAAAGTGATATCGTTTCCACCGAGTCGATCCGGCTACGCCATCGCATTAGCAGCGTTTAATTTGGATAATAATAACTACGAGAATTCCGAACCGGCGGTGACGACGCGTCGAGTGTGGGTAAGCGCAAACGGGTTAGAAGTTTCCGCGAGTTGTACGAAAGATGCGAGAGAGGTCGTGGTTGGCGACTCGAATTACGCACCAAAGCGTGGAACGTCCGGATCAGTTATTCAAGAACAGATGGAAAATTTAGATTTGCAAAAACCGCCGGCGCCAGGTAAAGACGAGGTGTCCAAGCTCGATAGACGACAAGATTGGGTGCCAAAACGTCAAAACACAGATGTTGGGTCGTCGACAGCTTCGACATCTTTCGCCTCTACGTGGCAAAAAGAACGCGGAGTGAACGTGCTCGTGTTTCGTTTATCGGATGGTGCCATAGAACACGATGTCACCTTCGATACGATCGGATCGAAACGAACGGATTCGAACGCGTCGAGAGCAGCCTGCGAAGCGTTAAAGTTGGCATTTTCACCGTCCGATGGTGCATTTGCAAAATCTCGAGATGGGCAGCGGATACTTGGTGCGCGAATGGTAATTGTTACCACGTGCGGTACTTGGGCATTGAATGCTGCTGAATCCGGAATATCGGATGCGTTGCGCGAGATTTTTGTCCATCGGTTCGGCGGCGACGTCGCGCTCGCTTCGCGGGCTATTTCGGACGCCATAGGGGGGGATCCGAAAAACGCGTCCGCAATTTGCATGGCGGCGATATGTGAGAATAGTAACGAGCCAAATACTTTCACCTCTCGTTTTATCGACGCTGCAATCAATAAAGGTAAAGATCAAAGAGCGTCGATTAAGATTCGATTCGCGTTTGCGAGTCCAGACGGGTGGTTTCCGATGATGAGGAAGCTTGGGAATATAGGTAACGATAAGAACGTATTTTTCAGCGGTACTGAATCCGCGGAACTTTTGGGTAAAACATCGAGTCCGGGATCTACAAGTGCGACATCCTCGAGCGGCCAATCGAGTGCGGATGATAAAAAGATGCAATCGTGGGAGGTGTGCGGCGTATGGGCAACAGAAAACGCGGAGGAATCAGACGACGACGGAGAAATGGAAAAAGCGCAATCAGATGAAGATGGTATGAATGAAGTTGAGGACGACATCGACCGGATTCTTCTCGAGCTTGACGCAGGTTTAAATGGCGAGGAAGAAGAAGACGGTGATGATAGTAAAAATATAGCTTTAGAGAAACCGAAATCAGATCTAGGCGTGGTTGATATTATCCCCGAACAAAGGGAAATTGAACGCCTCGAGTCGCTAAAGCTTCGCGCGGTCGTTGAAGCAGTAGAGCCGTGCCTCTTTGCTGCGGCTGAAGATGAAGACAGAAAAACATCGAAAAGCACTCGTGCAAGTGGAGAGCCCGAGTTTGTCAAGATTCAACCAAATTACTTGGTACAATCCGCGCAGCTCGGTTTCGGCGGCGAGTTTTCACACTCGAACATATTGGCGACGCCGTTGCTTAGCACATTAATTCATTTCGCGCGACGACGCATGCGTCGTTTTCAGTGGAATGCGCTCAAAGCGAGCGAGTCGAACGATGCAGCGAGTCAAGTCTCGGCGCGAATTGAGCACTGGATGCGAGAAATATCGAGAAAACGCGAGAGCGAGTATTCCGCGAAGCTCGCACGTGAATTCATCGCCGCCGGTACGATTGAGTACCTTAGCGATCGAATTGTACATCAGATTGATGCAGATGGAAAATTAAGAATCAATGCACACGAAGAAAACATACGTACATGCATCAGAACGCTCGCGGCGTTTTGTTTGCGAGACAACGGTGCGCATCTAGCCGAAGCGATTCGTCGCGACTCGCTCGAGGCAATCTTGCGTTCATTTCTAGCCTCATGGAACGGGTTTTTAGGTGCTGATTTAGACACAACTCCGCTCCTGAAACTCGAACGCGTTGTCGAATGGCTCGCCGCGAACGACTTGAAAACGTGTAAAGTGATCATGGCCTCGACGTCCTCGTCGTCTGTATCTGGGAAGAATTTTTCGGAGAAGGACCCGAAGCCGAAGCATCGCAGACGAAATTCAAGCTTTGCTGAAAGCACGGAATGCTTCGAAATGAGTTGCATGCGAGCACAGTTTCCAGCGATGCCAGATAACGAAGGTATTTATGCGGCGTCTCTTCGAGTCATCGAGCTCGAAAAGCCGACGCATAAGAAATTCGATGGTTTAATTCAATTACCTAGCAAGATGAGGAGCGCAACAGGAAACGGGTCAGCGCCCTTATCACCTCTCGAAACAAAAGCGCTCTCTCGGTTAGATTCTGGCTGGCACGGGGAAGTCGATCCAAGAATACCAACGCCACCCACCAAGCAAGCTGCTGCAACTATCGCCGAAGATTTATCTGATTCCGAAAGCGATTGGCAAGACGTCGCCGGCGAGCACTTGTTGAGCGAAACGAACGACACAGAAGGGGATAAAATGTCCGCTTGCTATAAAGGCTCAGTGATTGCCATCAAAGCCAAGCGCAATGATTGGGGCTCTTTTTGTGAAATCATGCGACAAGCGCCGCGTTTAACGTGGCTTCTTCAAAACGCAGGCGCGAAAGCAGTCTTTTTCGTCTGGCCGAAAATTGCCGGTGAGAGTGACGCTCGGGAAACGATTCAACCTCTCATCGCAAATCCAAACTTTGAAAGCTCCGAGTTGCACATTCCAGTCTTTGTCGTTCCCGGCGATGTCTTCGCGCGAAACCACGAGGGTGCAAAAGCTGAAAGTCGTCGACGACACCAACTCTTTGGCGAAGACTGCGTGATTCGCATCGACATCCCTGCTTTTGAGAGCGAAGACGGGAGCACGAATCAAGTGGCCCGCAGATTACGCAACGCGCTTCTGTTAGCGTTGAAAGACCGGGATGCGACGAATTCTGACAACGCCGCTTTATTGAGTAAGAAGACTGCACCGGAAGGTGGCGTCCTCGTCGGTCGATGCTATAATCCATGGAACAACCCTCTCTCGTCCAAAGGGGTTTCCCGCACGTCGTCGATGGATGCGCTTTCACCTACCTCGTCATCTGCATCCATGTTCGACCCACAATCTGCGAGAAAGTTTCGCAAATGGCGCGTCGCGCAACGTATCGTCAACTCCTTAGGCTCTGAAGATTTAGGCATTCGCGCGGAAGCTTACGATCTGGACGAATCGGAAACAACGCCAGTGCGCGTATTGTGCATGGATGGTGGCGGAATGAGAGGATACGTCACGGTTGTTATTCTTAAACGCATCTTGGAAGCTACTGGCGCGTGGTGTGTTGGAGAAGTGTTTGATTTAATCGTCGGGACTTCAACTGGTGGTATCATAGCTCTAGGAGCAGGCCTCTTGCGCATGACTGTCGCTGAACTCGACTCTTTATACGAGCAAATGGCGAAAGACGTCTTCAAACCGGATTCGTACGTCTCGCTGTTGACGAAAGGTCCCGGTCACGTGGCAGCAAAATCGTTCGAAAACGTATTACGCAACGTCCTCGGTGACGATCCGGATGAAGAAATGTTTTCCGTCGGCTCGCACCAAAGATGGTTCCGTTCTGCCGTGCCTGCACCTAGAGTCGTTTTGGTTTCCTCGTTAGTTTCGAGAAACCCGAGTTCGTTGTACATGCACCGATCGTATCGCCGCGAGAACCATTCGCCATCAACCGTCGTTGACACATCGACGTCAGGAAAAATAAAGAAGAAATCGGAGTTAGATTACGCCGGTGATTACAGAATTGGTATGACCGCGGCGTTACGCGCAACAACCGCGGCGCCGTGGTACATGGAAGAACTCATTTGTGAAAAAGAACTCGGATACGGAAGTGTAGAGATGAGCGAGAAACTGGGCTCTTCTTCTTCTCCTTCTCCTTTGACGTCTTCCGCGGCTACAACGACCACTCAAGCCATTGGCGTAACATCCACATCTTCAGCGGAACACCACAAAACTCCATCCTCTTCGAGCTTGGGTCCAAACGATATACTAAACGACGATATACTAAACGACGAGGACCTCGACGACGACACGGAAAAAGCCAGAGCCAAAGCCAAACGAGGCCAACTGCACGGTGGCGGCTTGAACAAACTCTCGCCGCTGGAAAGCTCGCGAACGCAACTCCGATTCATCGACGGCGCCATATCGTGCAACAATCCCGCCGCTGCGGCTGTGTTTGAAGCCAAACGGATATTCAACCCAAAAAGGCCTCTCATCCTCTGCTCGCTCGGCACTGGATATCCCGTCGCCCGCGACGTCCCCGCCACTTACGGCGCCTCCTGGGTCACGAACGTCGTCAACGCCACTTGTGACGTCGTTCAAGTTGACGCGACTATCCGTCACGTCCTCGACGCAGACAAGGACCAATACTTTCGATTCCAACCGCAAGGCGAGATTTTCAGCTGTGCGCTCAACGATACGAGCAAAGAGACGGAGAAAAAATTGAAACAAACCGCTTTGAAATACGTCAACGATCTCACTCAGAGGAAAGAAATCGAACGGTTGGCGACGTTGTTGAAGAAACCCAGAGTTATAAGGAGGGTGTAGTATTTTTGTTGTTGCCCCGTGAGAGGAAGTTGCGCTGCGTTGTAATAATTCAGTATTGTGTAGGCATTTTTCATCATCTTTTTCAAACGGCACATTTTCAGCGAACGAAACAAATGATAACAACGATGATAACAACGACGAGAAGCTAACTAAACGGCGAGCGCTGCGACGAGAGAACAAACAAAACCTCGCCGCGCATCTCTCTCTTTTACACACACACGCAGCATGTTCTCGCTCTTCCGCCAAGGCTCCATCCGGCCTAAAAATCAAAACAAAATCCGTCCTCTTCCCATGTCCTACCCGAAGCAGCACGATAACAACACAAACTCAATCTACGCGTTGTTATCGTGGCGAGGATTACTTCTGACCGGGTCCGCGAACGGAGAGATTAACGTCTGGGATCCGTACACCGCGCAACTGGTGCAGAAACTACGCGGACACGAAGAAGCGGTATCGTCTTTGTGCGCGTTTGAGGATGATTATGTCGCCAGTGGAAGTTGGGATGGGACGGTGCGAGTGTGGGATACGAGTTTGGCGCAAGCGGTGGCGGTGTTGACTGGGCACAGGAAACCAATAAGCTCACTCGTATCGACTTTGAGCGGGAGTTTATTATGCTCTGGGAGTTGGGACGGGACCGTGCAGTGTTGGAACGTGCGGGCGGATCGCATACAATTTACGCTGAACGCAAACGGCGGGAGCGCGGTGAATTGCTTAACGTTTTTTCGGGACGAAAGTATGCTCGTGGTCGGGTGCGGGGATGGTGTTTTGAGGGTTTATTCCACACAAAGTGGTCAAAAGATGAACGAATTGAGAGGAGGGCATCACGATACGGTTCGTGCGGTGGCGACGTTTACGAACGATAACGAACACGTGTTTAGCGCAGGGAAGGACGGGAAGATTTTCGCATGGAACGTAGATCGAGGAACGGCGACGAATATCGTTAGTTCTTCGGATTTGCCGCCGACATCCTTGGGTTTGGATGGTGTCAATGCAAATAGCAATAGTAATAATAATAGCTACATCGCGCACGATGGAGGCTGTTGCGCGTTGCAAGAGTGCGGCGGAGGAAAATTAGCCTCGGCCGGGTACGACGGATCCGTGAAAATATGGGATCCCGATTCGCGCTTGTTCGTAGCGCAGTTGGATGCTCACGTCGGCGAGAAAGTCTGGGCGTTATCGTATGATGAGAGGATGTTGCAGCTGTTCTCTTCCGGCGATAAAAACATTTTCGCCTGGGACGCAGCGACGGCGTTTGAGGTAGAGGAAGACAGTCGAGACGAGTCTGAAATTGACGTCGAAGGGAGGAGTATGTCGGTTGCGTCCCGATCAGCATCGAGAGCTGATTTACCCAGAGTCATGTCAAATGTTTCGAATATGTCTGGTGGGTCAGCAAGCTTAGCGAATTTGCACGTTCACCCAAACTTTGCGGCGAATACGAGCGGTAATAACTCGTTGCAAGGCTCGTACCAGAATCTCTCGAATTTAGGAATAGGGCACTCCGCGTCTGCATCAGCCAGTAGACGCGGGTCACTGACAGATTTGAGTGGTATAGTCGTTTCTGCGGATGTCAGTGGGTATAACTCGCAATCTTCGCAACCGGGTTCGGCGACGAAATCAGGGAGACGGATGAAAAAATCAGACGTTTTGAGAATGGAGTTGGAATCCGCAAACACGCAGTTAGAATCGTACGCGAAAGCGTACGAGGATCAAGTGCAAAGGTATAAAGATAGTGAAATCACAAACGAAACCTTGCGCAAGCGCATCACCGAACAGATTGCAAAACTCGCAGACGCAGAGAAAAGCAAACAAGAATTAGAGGCGCGACAGAGCGCGCTGCTTGAGGAGGGAATGGCGCAGTTGCGAAGCGAGTTTGAACGAGAGAAATCTCTAGCTTTAGATGCAACGGAAAAGGAATCGAAAGCACGGTTTGAAGTCACTATTAGGGAAAGAGAAAATGCCCTCGCGACACTCCGTGAGGAGTTGCTACAGTCCAACGCGAAGCTGGAAAAAGAACGACAGGAAACGTTTTCTCGACTCGAAGCGCTCGAAGGAGAGCGCTCAAAGAGTAAGCTCGAAGCAGATTCTTTACGACAACTCAACGAACGCCTTTTGAAAGAGTACAAAAAAAGCACGACAGAAGAAGAAACGCAAACCAACGAAGAAGCACGCACGATTAAAAAGCTCGAAAGCGAAATCGAAAGTCTGAAACGCGACCGAGCGCAATTTGAGATAAACTCAAAAGCGGCGTACGAGCAAATTTTCGCACGCAATGAAGCGCTCGACGCGGAGGTTTCCCGATTGACAGGTACCCTCGAGAATGCGTCAAAGACCATCGACGCGTTAAAAGTAGACGTCCAAACGGCGAGTTCGCAAACGAATGCGACACGGAGCGAATTGGAAGCCTCCTTTGCCGAACGTGAAAAGGTTTTGCGACTCGAGTTAGAATCCAAAACGAGCGAACGTTTTGAAGCCATCGCCTCCGAAAAATCGACTTTGGAAGAAAAACTCGAGCTGCTCGAAGATGCTTTAAAAGATACGACTGAGAGCATGCAAAAAGAGATCGAAAAGGCAAATGTTGATCGAGAATCGGAAACGAGCGCTTTGAAAGAAGCGCTTGGCGACGCGCTTCGGGCGAACGAAATCGCGAACGTAGAAGTTGCCAATGCTATAGCGGCGCATCACAACGCAGAAATGAAGTTCGAGACGGAAACAAAAAAGATGCAAGAACGCGAAGAGCGCATGAAACAAGATTTAGAAACGAAACCGGACCCCGCGGTTGTGGCAGTTGTCGAGGAGGAGAATGCGGCGTTGCGTAAACTCGACGAGGAGCAAAAAGATAAAATTGCACATTTGGAGGCCGAATACCAACGCGCAAACGAACGATTGCGTGAGGCTGAAGAAGACCGAAGAAAAGAACGACAAGGCTTGGAATCTATCGCGCGCGACCTTGAGAAGAAACTCGAAGAGACGCGAGAAAAGAGGAAAGAAGAGATGAAAGAGAGTCAAGCGGCTCTTCGCGAGTCCAAAGATCGATTGCAGAAAGCCGACAACGACGCGCACATGTTACGTTCGGATCTCGAAACCGCTCAAAAACGCCTCGAAGATGCCATTCAAAACGTAGATTCGACGGAAACTTCCCTGGAATCGAAATATCGACAGGAGATTGAGAAACTCGAGCTTCAAGCGAAGACGCTCCAGCGAGAACTCCTCGATTCGAAAAATGAAACCGAGAACGCCTTGGAATCTGCCAGTCGAGCCAAAACACAGCTCACGGATGCTAAGGAAAAATTTGCAAAAGCAGTTTCCAAAGGGAAAGGATTCCAAGACCAAGTTTCAATGCTCCGAGAGACGCTCGAAGAGGTGGAAGTTCGAAGCCGAGAGGCGGAGCGCGAAAAACGCAATGCCGAGGCGGAGAGAGAACGAATGTTGCGAGATTTCGAAGACGCAGAGTCGAGAGAAGTGCGCGTGAAAGATGCGTTGAACCACGAAAAAAAGCGCACGGCGAGTTTGAAAGACGAACTTCGAGAAGCGACAGAAAAGCTCGTCGAGTTTGAAACGTTGCTCGAAGAAGAGACCAAAAAGCTCGGCGAAGTCGAAGCGAAAGTGAAAGCGGAAGAATTTGCGATGGAGCGTGAGCGTGCAAATGCGAAAGACGCGAAGCGCGAGTGCGACGAGATGAAAATTGCCTTGAAAGTGGCCGAAAAAACTGTCGAGGAGATTACAACTGAGCGAGACGAAGTAAATGTGCGATTGAAAGAAACGGAAGTATTACTGGTTGAATCTGAGAAGCACGTGGAAGACGCCGAGACGAGGGTGCAAGAGGCGAAGCAAAGTCTCACGCAGCTCAAAGCGAGTTTAGATTTTGCAAATTCGAGATCGAAAGAGCTCGAAGCGAAGCTCGTCGAAGCAGAAGAACAGGATTCACCGACGCGTTTATCGACGGCGGATTCCGCGAGAGAGGAATCTTTGAATCGAACAGACGCTTTGGAGATGGAGTTGGGCACATCCAAACGTGATTTAGCAGACGCGAACGAAAAACTCAAAGACTCGCTCGAGAGAGTCGTTCGGCTCGAAACGGAAGCAAAACGAAGAAACGAGGAATACGTCGCAGCGTCGAATGAGGTTGAACGCTTGGAGTCAGCTGTGAATGAAGCCGAGATGAAGATCTCGAAATTAAAAACTGAAATCGAAACGTCGAGTAAGCAGCAACAACAACAACCTGCCTCAACTGCTGCAGTTCCGTACGATAATAGCATCGACGCGCAAACTGAGGACGAGAAAGATGCCGAAAGTCGCCGAGTGCGTTGGCTCGAGCAACAACGTCTCCAAGCTGCAGAATCGCGAGCTCAAAATCTTGAAATCGAGTTGCAGCAACTTCGCTCCGAGGCAGAAGCCGCTCGAGTTGCCGCATCGGAAGCGTGGGCGGTTGCATCCCAAGCGGGTGTTTCCCGACAGCCTGATACCGGTGGTGGACCTGAGTCGATAGCACCGTCGTCGCCCGGTGGACGCTCGAGTTTCCACCCGATGGCTTCGCGGAGCGAGTATCAGTTTGGTGGTGGTGGTAGGCAACACCAAGCAAATAACCTTGCCTCGGCGCTCGAAAAACAGAGGTACGAGATGAAAATTGATGCATTGAAAGTTGACGTGGAACGGTTACGTCGCGACCGCGACCGCGCGCGTCGTGAACTCGAGCGTGGTAAAGCCGCCGCGAAAAATGCCGTCGCGCAAGTTGTCGAAAGACTACGCGTAGAAGTACACTCGCGTGCGATTGCAGAGAGAGAAAGAGACGTGTTACAGTCCGATTTAAAACGCACAATGCGTCAAGCGAACGACAGACTAGAGCAAAAGACGAGAGAAGCAGCGCGGGCGCACGAAGAATTCTTGGACGCCAAGCGGAAACTCGAAAAGTTGAAGCACGAAAAATCACTCGTCTCTCGCGCGGTGGAAGAATTGCACCACAATCAAGACGCTGCTGCTGCTACTGCTGCGAATACAGTCACAAACCCAACCTCACCTCGTCCACCGCCTGGAACGAAAGCGGCAACGGCCTACGCCGCGAATCATCAACAACACGCTCCTTCTTCTTCTCAGACGAGCGTTTTCGTAGTCACGAGCGAACACGTCAAAATTCTCGTTGGAATGATTCTCACGATGCTCTTCACCGTGAAGTTTTTGAACAACGGGAATGTAAATGGCGCCGCGGAACTTTAAAAGATTATGATGTATACTAATAGTAGTAGCAATGATAGTACTAGCACTTACTAGATGACCTTGTTGTACAACAATTTAAGAGAGAAACTGATCTTTTTACATAAAAATTTCGTTTTCAATCGCCTCGATGGATATCTCTAGCGGCGGACTGCGCATTCGCCAAGGAAATTATATCGCACACCTGTGTCCGCATCGGCCGACTCAACGCGTATATCACCTGGTCCGCCACATCCTCCGCAATCATAGGATCAAAGCCTCTGTACAACGCCGCCTCTGCATCCACGTCTCCTTTAAATCTCGTCATGGTAAAATCAGTCCTTACCGCGCCCGGACTCACGCTCGACACTCTCACTTTCGAATTTCTCAAATCGTGTCTCGCCGATCGCGTAAACGCATCCACCGCGTGCTTTGTCGCGCAATAAATGCTCCCACCAATATACGCCTCGTGTCCTGCAATGCTCGAAATGTTCACAATATGTCCTCTGTCTCTTTCTCTCATCCCGCTCGCGAACGCTCTCGTAAACGCCACCACGCCCATGATATTCGTATTCACCACCGTCATCGCATCCGAGATTGAATTCGTATCCACGGCTTCCGTCCCTAACGCCAATCCTGCGTTATTCACTAAAATATCCACCTGGAATGGAACTTTTTCCGGTATCTTCAACATCTCCTCCTCGCTCGTTTTCGACACGTCCAACTGCAAAGGAAAAATTGTCACGTCTGGATACTCGGTTTCCAACTTCTCTTTCAATTCGTTCAGCTTCTCCACGCGTCGAGCGACGATGCAAACATTCACGCCACACTCGGCTAAACGTTCGACGATGGCTAAACCGATGCCTCCACTCGCGCCGGTGACTAACGCGCCTCGGCCTTGGAGCGAACAAAACTGATGACGTTCACCAGTGGTGCGTAAATTGGTCGCCATCGGATTGGTCAGCGCCGGTCGACGAGAAACATCTTCTTTGTCGGACATAATCAAAAGAAAGAAAGAAAGAATTAAGAAAGAGCGAATCTCTTCTTCTTCTTCTCGCCGACAAAAGCCTCTCTTCCAAGTCTCTCTCTCTCGTCCTTTCTGCGTTCTCTTCGCAAACAAAGCAGCTTTTGGTGTGTGTTTTCTCCAACAAAAGTGAGTTGAGTGTTTCCCGAGACGAACGAAAAAACTACCTTTTTTTCACTCAAATCCGTCTCGACCACCAGATGAAAAAAGAATCCAAAATCTCTTTTTCGTGTCGACCCGCGAGCAGTTCTCCACCGTCGAAACGAAAAAATTGTCCTCCTTTTTCCCGCCTTTTCCTCTGTTTGATCTCTCTTCGTCTGAAATTGGACCGCTAATAATAAGCTGGATAGCTGTTCAAAGGGAGATTTGGGCACGCGCATATTCCTTTCTTCACAAAAAGCGCGCGCACATACAAACCCGCACAACTCGAGAACACACGCACACAACACACGCTCGAGAAAGAACAACAGAGAAGATGTCTTTCGCGTCCTCGCATTTGTACGGTCGCTTTTTGAAGTATAAGGTGAAGCAAAGATGTTCTTTTTCTGATGATGTCAAGACGACGCTTCGACGAAAAGTCGTGAACAACGTCGCTGCTGCTGCGACGACCACCACCACCGATCGGGATGATGGTATCATCGGGATCAGGAGACAAAGAAGAAGAGGTGGGTTAATTGCCACGAAGTACGCGTTGGCGGAAAACGGCGTTCTCGATGGGAGCGACGAGCTCTCCGTGAATACCAACCCGAACCAGTGGACGTCCATCGAGTCCGGCACGGTGCAGAAAGCTGGTTTCGTCAAGCCGGAGAAGTTTACGAAAGATTTTTCGAAACCGATGTCTATTCCAACTGAAGGAATTGAAGCGGCGATTCGAGTGATGGAATCTGGGCGTGTTTTTCGATACTGCGCGACGTCGGCGGAGACGAGTGAGGTCGCGCAAGCGGAGGACCAGTTCGCGGAGATGGTTGGTCAAAAATACGCAATCGGGGTGAACTCGTGCTCGAGCGCGATTTTTATCGCCATGTTAGCCACTGGAGTGGAACAAGGGGATAAAGTTTTGACCAACGGGTTTACTTTTACCGCGCTGCCGAGTTGTATTTTAAGAATAGGGTGCGAACCGGTCTTGGTGGAATGCACGGAGAACTTTACGATGGATTTGGATGATTTGGACAAGAAGGCGGGCGAATCCGGCGCGAAGGTTTTGTTGATGTCGCACATGCGAGGAAAGGTGTGTGATATGGATAAAGTGGTTGCTATTTGCGAGAAGCACGGGATGAAGTTGATCGAAGATTGCGCGCACGGGTGTGGGGTGAGATACAAAGGAAGACAGTTGGGCTATCACGGGGTCGTCACGGCGTACTCGACACAATCCGATAAGGTGATCAACTCCGGCGAAGGTGGGTTTATCACCACGGACGACGACGATATCGCGGCGAGATGTTTGTACATGTCTGGATGTTACGAGAGAAGGTACAGCAAGCACGCGCGCATGCCACCGCAGGAGTTGTGCGAGAAGTACATGTTGACTATGCCGAACTTGTCCAGTCGCATGAACGAAGTTACCGCCGCGATGATGCGCCCTTTAATTGCCAACTTGTACTCGGAACGTTTGCCGAGATACATGGAAAGATGGTTGTTGATCACTTCCGTCATCGATTTGATGGCTGGTGAGTACGTCAGCGTCCCAACCAGTGGCCCGAACGTGGAAGATGTTGGGGACCATTTGAACTTCACTTTGAAGAACGTCACGGAGGAAGAAAACGCCAAGTTTCGAGAGATTACCACCGAACTCGGTGTGAACTTAGGCTGGTTCACCTCCTCCGTTAACGCCCGCTTTCACAAAAACTGGGAGAAGTACGGCACACCGAAGTACGATTTACCGCAAACGGATAAAGTTTTGGAATATTCGTACGATATGAAGATGCCGCCGGATTTCGAAACGGAAGATTTTCAACACATTGGACACGTCATCAGTTACGCGGTGAACAAAGCCAAAGGGTTGTGCGCGTAAATTTATGAACGTGTAAAGAAAAGTGTTGAAAAAGCCTCGTCTTCTCGCCGCAAGAGAGAGCATTAATAATATTCGAAGCAGAGACGCGTATAATCTAATATACTCTCTCGTTTCGACGTTTTCTCTCCTTCCGTGCGCGCGAGCAAGATGTTGTTTGTATTTTTAACATCAGTATATATTAAGGTCATGTTTATTAAAAGAGAGAGAAAGAGAGAGACACGAAGTAGTGAATGAATGCAGAATAAGCAAAGAAGAAAAAGAACCACCACCTCATCATGTATCGCATGGGCGTGTTTGTTGGAAAGATTATGTCTCATATTTGTTGTTGTAAAAGCGATTGCAGATAATTTTTATATTGGTTTTGAAACTAAAACAACACACACACACACACACACACACACACACACACACACACACACACACACACACGCGCTCTTCATAATAATAGCGCTAAGCAAACGCAGTTTATTTCTTCATCTTATCCATGAACATTCCAACAACGCCTCCTGGATTGTTCATCCCGCCGTTTCCTTTCATCAACTCGTTCAAAGCGCCGACGACGCCTTTCGGTTCGTATTTATCCATTAAACGTTCAAATCTTTTATCATCTCTCAACAGCGCCACGTCCTTATCGGTGCGTAAATATTTGAAATCATCGAACCCGTTCTCGATGGATAACTTCAAACACTCCAACCCATCGTCCACTTCACCCATTTGCGCGAAACAGCACGCTCGATTGTAGTGCGCCGCTAAAATCTCAGCCTGACTACTTTCTCTCGCTTCGAACCCGGCCGACGGCCCCGCCGGCGCCACTTTCGCCTTACGAAAACGAACCGGACCGGTGCCTGGTAACGTCAACGCCGCTCGAAACGCCGTCTCAGCTTCTCGATACTCTTTCTGTTTGTACAATTTCATCCCTTCGTTTATGCCTTCCGCCGTCGTCGTCGCCGCTCGATTTACCTCTTCCTCTTCCTCCTCGTCATACAAATCCAAACTCTTCCCTCCTTCGCTAATCCTATCCCCGACCATTTGTGGCACCGAAGCGCCTTCCATCCCAACAATCTTCGCTAAATCCGCGTCGGTGAGCATCTGCACGTCTTCCACGTTCGCCACGATATCGTTGGCAAGTGCAAATCCGTCCTTGTTTTCCGGTTGGTTCCACGTTAACGGATCCGACGGGTCGAACGATGATGGTTTTGCCGCTCGAAGAAGAACACGAACGCACGAACGACGAGAACGAAAACGGTGAGACGATGACGCGACAAACGTCGTCGTCGAAGCGCTGGTCGCGTACATGATCATGATGACGTGCAAAGAACGGTTTCGTGTTCGTCGCCGTGTTGTGCTCAAAATGAAGAAAATGTGTTTACTTCGTTCTCTCTCACAGACGATTTTGAGTACAACTGACAACAAATAGCTAATAGCTAAAAACACGCTTTCGTATAAAAGGCGCGCGAAAATACATACTCTCTCTCTCTCTCTCTCTCATTTCGTCTTCGTCCTCTTCCCTTTCCCGTTTTGTTTTTCTTATATATATTGGTTTGATGATAAAATTTTAGTGTGATTATAAATAACGCTTCCTTCGCGTTAGGATGGCGTATCGGCGAGCGCAGACCATCGTGCGAAGCGCATACATTTTCTCTTACTTTTCTTCCGACATAAAGACGTAATAACGATACTTTTCCGTCCTAGAACAGACAGCACTCTCTCGACATTTACTTGGCCAAGTACCCAAAGTACACGTAGGCTGTCAAAAACAACGCCCACGTCGGCCAGTCGAACGTTTGCGCTTTGTGGCAACAATACACGAAGTACGTCATCGGGAGCGAGTTCAATTGGCAGAACAACTTGGTCGCTTTTTGCGACGAAGAAGCCGCGACGATTTTCCCGACCGCCCATCCGAACGAAAAAGTGGCAAAGACCTCCTTCCATTGAGAGAACGACTTCTCCGTGACGCCAGACGCCGGAAGAATCGGCATCAAGAGCTTCCCGAACGTCTCCCACGGCGCGAAGAGCGCGGCGAACCCGTACGCGATGACGGTAAACGCGGAAAAGAAGAGGAACTTTTGCGCGTTCGTTTTCATGGAGAAATCAATCTTCGGGGTGGAAATCTTCGGGATGGAGATGAAGGACTTCTTGGAGGCGGTGGATCGAGTGGAACGTTTGGATGCGGCCATTTTGTTTTTGATATCGTATACTTCTGTTTTTTGGTTTCGTATCAAAGTTTTGAGGAATTCAGAAATTGGAGAGAGAATTGGTGAATACAACAACATACGCACGCGCATACACACACACAGAGAACAAAAAGCAGAGACCCTTCTACCCTTCGCGCGCGAAAAAAGAGGCACATACCCGTGGTCGCATCAAGAAGAAGAATCATCGTCGCGCGAAAACGAACACGGACACAAACTTTTAACGATGGAAATCCGCTCCAATTCAAACCCCTTTAAAACTCTCTCTCTTTGCGAGAAAATGAGTTCAAATTCAGAATTTTCAATCCGATGAAATTGTTTGTCTTTGCGCGAGTCAAAAGAAGAAGAAGACAGACGAGGAGAAGACGAAAAGCGAGAGAAGGAAAGAGAGAGAGAAAAAGAGAGAGAGAGCGAAATGTGAATACTTCTCGACGATACCATGTGCGCGTACCTTTATAGAAATTTGAGTGAGGAAATGCCAATTCAATTTTTGAAAAAAGAACTCCCCTAATAAAAAATAACGGCTCTTTCTCAAGGGCAGCCGTTCATCAGGGCAAAAAATTCAAAAAAAGTAAAGCGACTGACAGACGACACAAATAAATTCGTATCAAACGTTAGCATCAAATCAAATCCTCTTCTTCTTCGTTTGAGGAGAGATAGAAAAGAGAGAGCGCAGTTTCTGAGAAGAAGAAAGAATATGGCGCCGGGGAACGTGGCGAATCGTTTGTTGGGATTCATATCCACGAACTTGAAGAAAACAAAACGGCAATCGAAGAGACTTTCATCTCGCTTTGTTGTTGGGAAAGATGATGATTTTGAAAAGGAGAATTTGAATCTTTCGCGTTCGAAGTCTTTGTCCCCGAAAGAGCGGGAGACAAAGACGACCGAGAAGAAGCGCGCGCGCGATGATGCCTCGGTGGTGCGCGAAATGCGAGAGTACTTGACGAAGCGGGTGAAAGAGGAAGACGGAGGAAAGCGAGATGAAAAAGGGTACGTGGAATACTTGGAATACTTCGAAGCCGCAGAGAATGTGGTTCGAGAGAATGAGCGATTGCGGGAGTTGCTCGCGAAGAAAAACGGCGGAACTGAAACGGACGACGAAGATGTTCCCGAATCGGGAACGAACGCGAGTGAAGAGGAGCGGGAACGAGATGATGTGAAAGCATCAACAGAAGGCAAAAAAAAGGAAGAAGTGTCGCAGCCGCCGAGTAGTTTGTGGAACGTCGTCGTACATAGCGACGACGTATTCAAAGCGCACATTCTTCCGAAATTATATGGAATGCGCACATCTTTCCAAAGTTGAACGGGACGGATATGAAATTCTTGTGCCAAACGAATCCAGAGACGAGAGCGTTGATTAAAAGGAGTGATGTTCACTTACAAAATAAGTTTAAAGCGATTGAGATGTCGTCGATATCGACGCTGCAGTGGTCGTGGGAGCGGAATGTGAGAAAAAATACAGGTGAAAATGTTTGGTGGTATCACTCTACATCTTTCTGCCATAAACTTGCTCAAACGAATAAACTCGAGTTGCTCAAGTGGGCGCGAGAGGAGAAAAATTGTAATATTTGGGATGCTAAAACAACTGTTGCGGCCATAAAACAGGGCAACGTTGAAATGCTCAAGTACTGCCTCGAGAATGATTGTCCAACGTCTTCCATAGTGTGTGAACGTGCTGCTGAAGACGGCCAACTCGAGTGCCTCAAATACTTACACGAAGTCGCCGGAGTGGAGTGGGAAGGGCAAAAAAAAGGTGGCTCACTTGCAGCAGCTGCGGCTAAAAATGGACATTTGCACATACTCAAATATCTTGTGGAGAAAGATTACGATATTCCTAGGCCAAGAGCGTGCGATGAGGCTGCCGAAAATGGTCATCTCGAGTGCCTCAAATACTTACGCGAGGTCGCCAAAGCGCCTTGGGATAAGAAAACTGTCTTAGGTGCAGCAGAGAACGCTCATCTTCACATCCTTAAATATCTCGTGGAAGGAAGATATCCATATTTTCAAGCCAGCGCGTGCGCACTGACTGCCAGAAGTGGTCATCTCGAGTGCCTCAAATACTTACACGAAGTCGCAAAATTGCCTTGGGATCACGAAACTGGTGAAAGTGCAGCAAGTGGCGGTCATCTTCACATCCTTAAATATCTCGCCGAGCGCAAGTATTCATGTTGGTTGAGTTGGGGTCATGACAGGGCGTGTACTCTCGCTGCCCGCGCAGGTAATCTCGAGTGCCTCAAATTCTTACGCGAAGTTATGAAAATGCCTTGGGGTAAACAAGCTGGTGTGAGCGCAGTAATAGGCGAAAACCATAACATACTCGAATATCTCTACAAGAGTAAATATCCGCATTTTACGGCGGAGATGTGTACACAAGCTGCCAAACAGGACGATGTCCCAGCTCTAAAATACTTGCGCGATGTGTGTAAAGCGCCTTGGGATGAGGAAACTGGTAATTTGGCAGCATGTAGCAGGGACTGGGAATACGAGAAGAAATATGACGCATTCAACTATCTCGTGCAGTCCAAGTTTCCATATTTTACGGCCAACGCGTGCCTCAACGCGTGCAAAGTTGATAACCTCGAGTGTCTCAAATACTTGCTCGAAACCCTCAAAGTGCCCATTCACCGCGACTGCGTTAGAGAAGCGCGATACGCTGGGTATCCGAGCGACTGTTACCACTATCTCAAAAGTAAAGGCTATAGAGAGCCTGAGGTGTGAATCGATCGATTTTTTGGTGAAATTTGCCTAGTCATGCATTCAAAAAGGCTTCAAATAATATTTTCGTCTTCATTACAAGTACAATTTAATCAACGCGTTTGTTTTTTATATCTCTTTCTCTCTCTCTCTCTCTCTCTCCTTTTCTCCCCCTCTTTCTCTTTCTCTCTTTGATGTATGTATAAGTTTACGTACCTGGTACCATGGTATCGTTTTTATTGCATGGACCAGTCGCCGCCACCGCCGCCGGATCGAGAGCCGGCGGAGGAATAACCACCTTCTCTACTGTTTCCGCTTCGGGAGGAATATCCACCGCCACCGCCGCCGCCGCCACGGTCTCTGCGTTCAAAACCACCACCGCCGCCGCGGTCTCTGCGTTCAAAACCACCACCATCTCTGCGTTCGAAGCCTCCGCCGTCTCGGGAGGAATATCCGCCGCCGCCGCCTCGATCGCCGCCTCTCGAAAAGCCACCGCCAGAGAAGCGTCCGCCTCCGCCGCGATCTCTGGAGAAACCGCCCCGACCACCGCCATCTCGGGAGAATCGGCCTCCGCCTCGACCTCCACCTCTTGAAAAACCGTCTCGGCCTCTTCCGCCTCGGCCTCCGCCTCTCCCGCCACCGCCAAACGCGCCTGCTCGGCCTCCAGAGTCTCTCGCGAGCTCCGGTAAGACGGTCGCTTTCGTGACTTCAAAGCCAGCGATAGTACCCATATCCAATAGCTCTTGCGCGAACTCGTAAGAGACGTCGAAAGCGGCGCCATTTTTCCCAGAGTTTCGGGCGAAGAATGTGATTTTACCGACACCTGAGGAGAGTCGGCGGTCTTTGTCGCCAAGGGTGGCGAGTAAATCACGCGCAGAAAACGCGGGCAAGTCACCGTTGACATCTTCAACAATCATTGTCACTTGACCTGGGGAGCCAGTGAGCAACGATTTTGGCGGAGGCGCCTCGGTGTGACCACTGAGCGCGGCTAAAGCTCTCGCAAGAAGCTCTTGGGCTCTGCGTTCAATCTCTTCCTGGGACGTCAGTGTTTCATCTTCAGTTTCGGTTTCAGTTTCTTCATCGTCGTTAGTAGTCTTTTGTTGTACGTTTCTAATCATATCTTTTGCCGCGGGTAAGAAAAATTCCAGGACATCTTCGTCGACCGCGTGAATTCGGTGTTCCGCGGTGGCAGCCGAAGCAGCCATGACTTCCGAGGAACTCGGAGGATTAATTTCTCGAATGTCCGCACCGGTAAACCGTTTTATGTCACGCAATCTGTAAAACTCTCTGTCCGTGTGCAACGCAATCGCGGTCCCTTTCTTTCCGGCTCTCCCGGTACGCCCGCATCTGTGTACGAACGATTCAGTTTCGTTCGGAAGTTCGTAGTGCACGACTAAATCGACGTTATCGACGTCCAAACCTCTCGCCGCAACATCCGTGGCGACTAGAACCGAAAACTTATCCTGGCGAAAACGTTGCAAAGTTCTCTCACGTTGCGCTTGGGCGATATCGCCGTGTAAAACCTCCGTCGAGACTCTCTTCCCTAACGACGCGGTGACTTCGTCCGCGTCTCGCTTCGTTTGCGTAAACACGATGGTTTTGTTGCCTTTTGCGTGCACCGTAACCAAATCCATCAACACAGCACATTTCGATGGAAACGCAACCGAACAGGACATCAAATCAATATCCTTGTTAATCTTCCCGGTATCTTCTCCGACTAAATCAATATTCACCTGGTCCACCAAGAATTTCTGTTGCAACTTCTTCACCCAGTGCGGCATAGTCGCGCTGAACAAAAACGTTTGCCTGTTCTTCGGCACGTCTTCCAAAATCGTCTCCACGTCTTCCTCGAATCCAACCGCGAGCATTTGATCTGCTTCATCTAAAACGACGTGTTGCACTCGAGAAAGATCGAGCGTACCTCGATTCAACAAATCCATCACTCTCCCCGGCGTACCGACGACGAAATCGACGCCTCGGCGTAACTTGGACTCTTGCGGCCCAATCGGCGCGCCTCCGTACACGGTCAACGTCTCAAACGACGGCGCCAACGAATAAATCTCTCTCTCGACTTGCTGCGCCAATTCTCTCGTCGGCGCGAGCACGATACACCGCGGTCTTTTATCTCTCGACCCTCTCCTCCTCGTTCCTTCCCCGTCCTCATCGCCTCGATTATTTTCTTCCTCGTCTTCTCTCAAAAACTTCTCCACGATTGGCAAAGAAAACGCCAGCGTCTTCCCCGTCCCAGTCTTTGCTCGCGCCACGACATCTCTCCCACTCTGCGCCGGTTCCAACGCGGCCACTTGAATCGGAAACAACGTTTCAATCCCTTTCTTCTTCAAAGCGGCGATTGTGATCGGGTGTAAGTTGAAGTTGTTGATGGACGTCGGGTCGGCGTCCACGGAGACTTTAATCGTTTTCTCGTCGATTTCTGCCACCAAGACGTCTTCATCCTCTTCATCCTCCTCGTCGTCGGAGTCAACGACGAAGTCTTCCTCCTCGTCTGCATCGTCTGCGTCCTCTTCGTCGTCGTTTTCGACTTCAGCACCGGATAAAGAAGCCGAAGACGACGAGGACGACTTGACGAACAATTTATCCACTTTTGCCACAATCTCTTCGTAATCGTCGTCGAACTCGGGCATATCCGCCGGTAATTGCAAATCGATGTTCTCCGGCACGACGTCGTCGTCCGTGCTGGACAAGATCGCTTTACTTCTCGTCGAGGAGGAGGAAAAGCTCGTCGTGCCAAAGCATCGTTTCGTTGTCGTCGTCGTCGTCGTCGCATCTTTTCTCATCCTCACGTGCGCGTAAGAATACGAACACGGGGAGGAGGTTATCGCCCCGGCGGCTGACGGCGCACCCCCACGAGTGGACAAAGAAATAATCGTTCTTCTTTTTCTTAAACGTCGCGCGGCGGAGGAAAGAAAAGCGCGCGTCGTCATCTTCTTCGTCTCAAAAGATGACGACGATGCTTTCGTCGGTGACGTTAAAGTGAGTGCGGGAGATGGAGCAGACGAGAGGAGGAGTCCAACTGCGCTCTGCATTTCTCTCTTCTTCTTTGTATCTAAAAACTGCCGCTTTTTTTTTGTCTCGAAATTTCTTTCGAAAAAGGACAGCTTTTTTGTGTATCGAAATTTCTCTGAAAAAGGACAACAGTTTCCCACGAAAAAAAATCTTCACTTTTCACACCCTCTCTCTTCTTTGAGAGGGGTGCTTCTAATTAACACACACACGCGCACGCACAAAAGCGCTCGTTTTTGTCGTCAGAGAGTGTTGCTCTCTCTCTGCCTGTCTGTCTCGCATCTAAAAGTCTTTTCGTCGTTTTCGTCGCAAAAATGACGACGACACGGAAGAGAAGAGGACGAGGAAATGATGGAAAATGTCGACGCTTCTTCGTTTCCTGGTGGTGTCGTGTACTTCTTCTTCTTCTTCTTCTTCTTGGTGGTGGTGGTGTCGCAGCCGAGGAGGAGAACGACGAGGAGGCGAAACAACGACGATCGAAACTGTACGCGTTGAAAGTGAAATCGATGTTCGAACACGCGTTCGAAGGGTACAAAACGTTCGCCTTCCCCGCGGACGAGTTAAAGCCAGTCTCAAAATCAAAGACGAACTCTTTGCAAGAGTTGGGCGCAAACGCGCAAGATCAGAAACATTTTAAGAAAGAGTACGATGGGTTAGCGATGAGTTTAATCGAGAGTTTGAGCACATTAGCGGTGATGGGGAATAGCACGAAGTTTACGAAAAGCATCGATTGGTTGTCGAAACATTGGCCGGAGCGGTTGGAGAGGAACTATAAGGACTTGCGGGTGAACGTGTTCGAGGCGAATATTAGAATTTTAGGCGGGCTTTTGTCCGGACACGTCTTAGCCGGTGGGAACGAAGGACTGAGAAAATGGAGCAAAGAAATGTACGGAGAAGCGTCGATGTCGGCGTCTTTTAATTCCGTGTGTTTCGGTAACGTCGGAGAGGAAGGGATGTATAAAAACGGCGAGAGGAGAGAGTACGACGGGTCGTTGTTACGAATGGCGAGGACGTTCGGTGAGATGCTTTTAAAATCGTTCGAGGAAGACGATGTGAATAAGGTGAATAGAAAGGTAAAGAAAACAAAGTTACCGTACGGATGGGTGAATTTAGAGCACGGGCCAGTGAGAGAAAAGCCAAACACGAACGTCGCGGCGATTGGGACGTTGGCGTTAGAGTTTGGGACGTTGAGTCGATTAACTGGAGATAAAAGGTTTGAAGAGAAGGCGAAAGAGGCAATGGTAGATGTATGGAGTCGCAGAAATGTCAGGACGAACTTGTTAGGGTCTATTATTAACGTTGAGACGGGTAAGTGGATCGATTCTGTCGGCGGTATTGGCGCGAACGGCGATTCGTTCCACGAATACGCGTTGAAAAGTTACCTCATGTTTGGCGACGAAGAATACCTGGAAATTTTCGTGCCAGCGTATAAAGCGGTGATGAGGTATTACCATAAATCAAGCGGATGGTTTACCGACGCCGAAATGAATACTGGGGACGATCGACATCATCAATTGACGGCGTTACAAAAATTCTGGCCGGGACTACAAGCCATGATTGGCGACGTCGATCGCGCTCGGTCTTCGCACACGTTAATGATGAACGTCTGGGTGAAATACGGCATGTCCCCGGAAAGATACATGATCGCTGATGACGTTTTACACTCGACTGAACGAGGGTACCATCTTCGACCGGAGTTATCGGAATCGACGTCGTTTTTGTATAAAGCGACGCAGGATAAGCGATACTTGAGAGACGGAAGGATTATCGTGGAAGATCTAATCAAGCACTCGAAAGTTCCGGGTGGGTTTACAAACGTCGACGACGCTCTGACGAAGGAAAAAGGCGATCACATGCCGTCGTATTTTCTCAGTGAAACGTTGAAGTATTTGTACTTGTTGTTTACCGATTTTCAGTTTTTCAAAGTCGACGGGTGGAGCCGAGATAGTCAGACCCCGACGAGCAAAGAGATTGTGTTTACCACAGAAGGGCATCTGTTGCCGGCGTATCGAACGTGTCCGTACATACAAGACGAATCGAATAATGTGGAAAATGTGGTCGAGAAACGAGCTCGAGAAGTGGGCATTCGTTTGGGTTTCTTTGCGAAAACAAAAAAAGGAGGAGAGAATCTCGAGAAGAGAGCACCGGTAGAATCCGACGGGTGGGGAATAGTAAATCAAATCGAACAAGGCGAAGACGATGCAACGCAAACCGTGTTAAAAACGCTGGCAAAAATTGCTGAAGCTAACAGCGCACGCGAAGAGAAACGCGTGAAGCAAAGAGAAGAGCGTAAATTAATGGGCGCTGAGGGAGAGTATGAGTGGTCGGATTGGGATGACGACGACGAAGATGAACAAGAAGGAGGAGAGAAAGGAGAAGGGCACGCAATTCCCGACGAACCCGAAGTTCGAATCATTGGATCAGACGACGATAGTAAATCGCCGGAAGAGCGCGAAAAAGCTCGAAAAATTCGCGACGCGATCTTGAATCACATAGAAGAGCAACAACGGGAGGTTCTAAAGAAACGAGAGGAGGAACAAAAGCTCTTAGAAGAACAACGATTGGAGCAAGAACAAAAAGCGCAAGAGAAAGAGGAGAAACGCAAACTGCAAACGGAAAAGCGACAGGAGCAGGAGCTTCGATTTCAGAGACAACAATTGCAGGAGCAGAAAGCAAAGTTGGAGATGGAGGAGTATCAAAAGAGCGTACCGTATTCGCATCAATTTTTGTACCGAGCGGATGTTCGCGAGAGGTTTAAGAAAACAAAAGGAACGGACTCGGCTTGTCACGTATTGGATGAGAACACGGACCACAGCTGCACGATGATACTAGAGTGCGGCGTCAATCCAACCTTGTGCTCGCAACGCGTCTGCGACTCGTCTCTTGGATCTTGCGTGTAGAAGAAACTACACATTTTAGATTTTAGAACAGACTTTTAGTGCTTATAGATTTAAATAATAAAGATAGAGCGCTCGCGAATACATATTACTACTACTACTACTACTACTACTACTACCATTGCTACTACTAAATGAATCTTTCCATGAGAGCCTTCTCAATGGCCTCAAAATCTGCCGTCAATGCCACGTTCATCAGCGGTCTTTCCGTCCACGCGTTTTCAAACGACCAATTCTTTTCGCCTTCTTTGTCCATAATCACCATCCCTCTCGCGAACGATTCCGTCGCCACTCTTACTCTCGCCCTCGTCCACTCGAACATCTCCGGGTGTATCACCGTCATCACGCACACGCTGTCGTGTTGCAACACGCCTCTGAAATTCAACGATTTGATGTGATAATTCATATAAAATTGACTGGAGTTGAACAAAAACTGTCTCTCTTCATCCGTCAACGTCTCCCGACCTTTCACGTACTTCGTGTCTCTCATTTTGATCAAATTCTCTTCCGTCATCCTCACGTTCATCGTCACATCCAATCCAACCGCATAAATATCCACTCCGTGCGTCCCGTACAACTCATCCGCCGCCTCCGCGTCGGCGTACACGTTCGCCTCCGCCGCCGGATTGACGTTCCCGCTCACCGTATACGCGCCCCCTAGGTGCACCACCGAACGCAACATTTTCGGCAAATCCTCGTATTCTCGAAACGCGTTCACCACGTTCGTCGCCGTGGCTAAACATATGATCGTCACTTCTCCGGGATACGTTTTCGCCAAGTCGTACATTAATTTCGCGCTGCCTCCCGGGTACACCTCCACATCCTCCTTCGCCTCCAAAAGGTCCTCCTTATCCTTCTCGAAATCCCCGAACCCATCTTTCCCGTGCACAAAATCCGCGATGTGTTCCTTCTGTTTCCCATTCAATGCTTTCTTCGACCCTTCCGCGACGTACACGACGTCATCCTCGTCTCCCTTCTCATCCTCGCTTCCTTTTCGCGACCCGGACGACTTATATATCCTCAACAACTTTTTGCAATTCTCCGTCGCTTTTTCCGTTCTTACGTTCCCGAACGACGACGTCAACGCGAGCACTCGTAACTCCGGCGCGCACGATAAGGACATCAACACCGCAAACGCGTCGTCAATCCCCGGGTCGGTGTCGATGATCACTTTGATTGGACTCTTTCCTTGTTTTTTCGCGCGCGAGTCTGCTTTTGCCGGCGCGTTCGTCGTCATCTCGAGAGGAGTTTCTTGCCTTTTTATGGAGAAATTTGACCACGTGTGCCTCATAAAAGAGCGCTCTATTCGAGCTCTATTCTTGCACGCATCGGTCGTCCTCGCGCGAGCAAAACGCAGAAAATGAGAGGAGGAAAAGAGAAACTTTACTTTATTCTTCTTCTCCTCGTCTTTTTACTGCGCTTGAAGTCCTCCTTTTCCTCTCCTTTTCATTTTCGAGGGGACGTCCCGTACGTTTCGAATCTGGACTTTTTAACACCAAATGCGACGTCTACTTCGTCTTCATCTGTCCTCGCGGACGGGACTTTAACGCTCACGGGCGACCACGTGACGCCGTTTTTCAACGCGATCGAACCTCTCTCGCGAGCGAAACGGTTTAGTTTCTCCTGTTCGGTGTTTTTGTTCGACGACCGGGATAATTACGAGAACGGTGGGGCGTTGATTTCGAGGATGAGTTCTCCGGAGCATCCGGCGTTTGCGCTGACCATCGAACCGCCGTCATCATCATCAATTTCTGGAAAGGAAGGAGAAGACGAGGACGGGTCGAGAAGTTATGACGACGACGGGGTAAACGTTGCAGAGAAAGGGTCCGCGGTGTCGTTCGCGATGACGTTTCGGAAGACGCACGCGGTTCGCAAAGCGACTTCGTCTTCGTCGCCGGGCGAAGTGGTGGCGAGTTTCACGGTGAGCGGAAAGTCGAGGAGAAGATTGGTAGCGAATAGATGGCACCACGTGGCGTTAGTCGTCGGCGAAGACACGGTCGCGTTTTATTTAGATGGTTTCGTGGACGTGGAGTATAGGTTGCCGCCGAATGCAGGGTCGACGCAGAGAGGCGGGTTGTTTTTGTCGCCGCACGCGACGAATTCGAACTCCTTAGACGACGCTTTGTCAATTGGTGGGGAGAGCAGAGGAAGACGAAGGAGGAGGATGTCGACGTTGAAAGCGAGATTTGAACCGCCGAGTGGTTTGAAAGGGTTAGTGCACGGACCTAGATTAAGGATGGTGTTTGACGAGGACGAGGGCGAGGACGAAGAGGCGAGCGCCGAGGAGTGCGACTGCTACCACGAGGAGGAGGAGAAGGAGGAGGAGGAGGAGGAGGAGGAGGAGGAGGAGGAGGAGGATGTCGAAGAGCAACGTTGCGACAGCAAAATAACAGAACCACAGACTTGTTACAGCGGTGACGACATCCCCCGCACCCGTCGAGGCGACAGAAAACAACACCAATCCCAAACGCGAATCGACGATCCAACTGCGTGGTATTACGAAGCGCAGTGGTCCAAATACGAAGCCAGACGCGTAGGATCGGGCGGCGCGGGAAATGAAGATCCGGACAATCTCTTTCTTTCTGGAAAAGTAGAAACGTCCGGGTTCGAGAGAGAAGCCATATTAGAATCTCGCAACTTGGAAATTTTAGAGATGATGTCGTTCGATCCAGAACCGATTCCACACGACGAGAGCGGAAATACCGAGGCGACGACGAGCACCCAACAAGAGGAGATGAAAGCGCTAAGAAGTGAAAGCGAGGAAGAAAAACCAGCGAACCCGGGAGTGTTGGGAGGAAAAAGCGACAAGAACGTTGAGAACGCCGAGACAGAAGCGACGGATGGAGATGATGTGACTTCGTCGTCCGAAGACGCCGCTGCCACGCTCGCGGCGACTTCGGTCTCGAGAGACCGCGAAGAGTATTTCAACTCGCTCAATACGAAAAAGAAATACGCCGAAGCAACTCGAAAGCTCGCGGACGAAAAACTCGCGCTCGCCTTGTCCAATTCTTGGAAACGGCAAGAGGAGATAAAGGTTATCAACAGGAATAAGTTATTGCGAGAAGCGTTAGATCTGTACCGATTAGCCGCCGCCGCTGGAAGCGACAAAGCGCGCAGAGCTGCGGCTACGTTGCTTTCGCACGAGTACGTCTACCGCGCTGGCGGTGGATTCGTATACAAAGGCCAGAATCCAATCGATACTAACAAGCTTAACGAAGTCACCTCTCGGGAGGAAAGCTCGTCTCGAGCGGCGTATCACAGATTACGAGGCGCGTACTTAGGTGACCCCGCGATGCGTCTATCTGTTGCCGTGGACGCCATGCGACGGAAAACCTGGGGTGAGAAATCATGTTTATTCGCTTCGCAATACCTGTTCCTCGCCGCCACGAAAGCGTACGAAGATTACAACAAACCATCCGGGCAAGTACGCATTGAAAAACAGCGATTGCACGATCGTTTGAAAGTAAATTTCGACCCACACGCCGCCGACGACGTAGTCGTCGCAGTGGACAGCGATATCGGGGCAGCCAACACGGCTGGTGTCGATCGACCGGACGAAAGGGCGTTATGGCTCATGAACAACGCGCAAGGCGGCGACGCGAACGCGATGGTACATTTGGCCAACGCGCATTATTGGGGGCATCGAGGTTTAGTGAGAAACTACGAAGCGGCGGCAAACATGTACCAGCAAGCGCACAACGCCGGGAACGTTCAAGGTACCGTTGGTCTTGCGAAATTAATGTTGAAAGGGGAAGGCGTTGGTAAAAATTTAACCCAAGCGATGGAGCTGTACGAGGAGGCTGCGGAAAAAGGTATCGCGGATGCGTACAACGGATTAGGATTTGCCGCATTTTACGGCTCAGAGGGTGAATTTGAAGCAAATAAAACGCTCGCTTTAACGTACTTTCGAAAAGCAGCCGCACTTGGCTCACCTGATGGCATGGTTAACGCCGGGTTAATGTTTCGAGGCGGTATTGGCGTCGAAGGCAACAAACCGAACACGTCGCTCGCGTATACATACTTCCGTCGATGTGCGGACATGTTCCCTGAACACATCTCGTGTCAATACAATGCCGGGTCTCTGGAATTGAGCGATGTCACTAATCACAATCACCGGTTGGATCCCGAGGCAGGTCAAAGCGACTCTCGGTGCATGATGGCTGCCCGAAGATTGCGAAAAGTTGCCGAAACGAGTGCTTTTAATCAAATCGCGGAATCCGCTTTGAAAAGTTTTCAAGCGGGGAATTTTAGCGAGGCTCGATTCAAGTACGACGTCGCCAGCGATTACGGCGTCTCGTCTTCCACGCATAATTCAGTTTGGTTGTATGAAAAAGCGTTCCAGAAATCGAATAAAGAGAGCAAGCCGAACGCACTCGCCAATAAAATGCTCTTTGGTGGCGAAAGGAGAAGTCCTCGCCTCCCTCCGTTTGTGGCAAACTATCTGAAGCAAGCGTCCAAGAACAAAATAATGCGTGCAACGGGTGGGTTCATAGGCAGTCATGAACGTCTGCGGAGAGAATTCATCGCGGCGGCGAGGAAGCTAGCGCACGATCCATCGGCGACGACGAACGAACGAACGTGGGCGCACTTGAAATTAGGCGACGCGATGTACGAGTACTCTGCTGGGGAGCATCGAGATTTGGCGAAATTGGCGTACGATGAAGCCATCGATACGTGGAAAAGAGCGATGCAATATAGAAAGAAGAGGCGATTTATAAACGGAGACGGTGACGTGGAAGAGGAAACACAAACGAGAACTCCGAGGAGAATGTCAAAGCGTCAGTCGCGTTTGAGGCAAAAGAGCAGCGCTTTGATGAAACGTTTTTATAACGCGTTCCTTACGCAACAAGAGCAAGAGCATCAACCAGAAGAAGAACAACATCAGAACGGTATCGAAGACGAAGCGAAACTCGAAACGTACGAGAAAAAAGAACGCGAATGGACGCGCGAAGAGCGCGAACGGAAAGAACTCGAACGCGGTCGCCCGGATCGCGGACACGACGACGAAGACGAACTCGACCAAGAGGCTTTGCATGCCGGGGCGCTCGTCGCCAACGCTTTATACAATTCCGCGTGGCTCGTGCTCGAAGAGAGCATCTCGAGCGGCGATGGGAAAAAAGTGGACGAATCGCTCTCCTTAGTATCGGAAATGCTTTTCGATGCCATCGAGATTGGCGGTTGGCGAGCGTTCATAGGAGCTACGCCGCCTTTAGTCGCCGTCGAAGCCGCGAAAATCTACCGAGCGACCAAAAAAATCATTCAGCACGTATAGATAGTAATAGTCAATGTAATATATATATTGGTAGATTAGCATTAAGGCAATAATGTACGCTCAAATCAATACTGTCCGGGAACGTTGTTATCGAACTCGCCCGTGAACAACTCGTCGCCGGTTTTCAAATCTCTCCCAAACGGATCCCACGTCTTCTCCTTAATCAACGCGTTCCTAATGCTTTGCGTGTACCTCTGATCCTCAAACCCTTCTCTCCCATCACGCCTCAACGAATCCCTAATCGGTTGCATCTTCTCTTGCTCCCTTCTCATCTGCTTCCCATCGATCGTCAACCCGGCTTCCAAATCGGCGCTAAACGCGTCGTTCACGTCGGGCATCAAATACGCCACGCAGTCCTGTTTCCCTTGTAACTCCGCGTGCGCTTTCTTCTGCTTCTCCTTCAGCGCGCCCCATCTACCTTTATCGTCCATGCTCACTTTCGGTAACCGCGCGTCCGCTTCTTGCCGTTTAAAATACGCTTCTCTCAACATGTGCAGCGCTAAATCTCGCGAGCACTGATTCTTTTGGTCATTCACCCCCGCGAAGCGGTTCCCCGTCAAATCGCTCGTGTACACTTTCGTTATCCCGTCGCTAAACTTGCTCACGCCTCTTTCCTTCAAAACCGGAGAAGAAGGTGTAAACGCGATCGCCCCGATCGATAACACCACAATCGTGTACAACGCCAAGAGAGCGACGTTTCGAATCGTTTGAGAGTTGTTCGAATACGCGTCGAACATCAGATTATGGAAATCCGTCCCGTTCATTCCGGAATTGTTTTTGATGCGTTCTTCCTCTTCCTCTCGGAGAGACGACGCAGGTTTGCGCCCTTGGTACGCTTCCGCTATCGCCATGATGAAAACAAATAGCGCGTTCGTTGGTCAGAACCCTTGGTCTTCTTCTTCTTCTTCTTCTTCGTCGTCGTCTTTTTTGTGCGCGTGTAAGTTGTGTGCGGAGGACGTACTTGTAACACAAAATTTGTGGCGTTTCAACACAAACACAAAGAGAGAGATTTTTTGGCAAAAAATGACGATCGTTTTGATGAAAAAAATGACAAAATTTCTCGTTTTCACTCTTCTCTCCTTTTGAATACTTTTTTTTTACACATCGTCTCGTAATAAGAACCTCCTCCTCTGCGTTAAAAAGCAGAGTCTTCTCTCTCTCTCTCTCTCTCTCTCTCTCTCTCTCTCTCTCTCTCTCTCTCTCTTGAATATCCACGTAAACTTTCAGCTTTTGGCGATTTGTGTGTGTGCGTGTGAAAGAGAGACGTTTTTCGTCGCGTTCGATATATAAACGCGCGTTTATATTTATATAAAGAAGAAGACTTTAAGAAAAAGACTATAAGAGTAGGAGTAAGAAGCGCGAAAAACAAATCGAAAATCAAAAATGAACGTCGACCGAGAAGAACCTCCTCGGCAACCTTTTGCAGCGGCGAGGATGCAAGCGGCAAAACAGGATGGCGGGGCATTCGTTCCGACGTTAAACGGCGGGTCGTTCGCGTCCACGCGCGTCCCGGTCGTGCCGTCGTTAAACGCGCGAGCGATTGGAGATTTGGTGAAAAACTGGAATCTGAACGCCCTCGCTCCGAGCGGCGTCAACGCTGGATCCGCGACGGCGATGAACAACGCGAAGAGACAAAAAAGCAATGGGGGTGGCGCGACGCAACAACAACAACGAGGGATGCACGCGATGGTGAAAGTTATCGACGGTGAGTCGATGTTGGTGAACAGGTGTTTGAACGAACGCGGGCACGTGAAAACGTCGAACGAGGTGAACGTGGCGTTGATTTTGAAAGAGTTACCGGCGCACGTGCAAGCGCTTTTGATGGCGAACGACGAGGAGGAGGCGAAGGAATGGCAACGGAGGACGATGTCGGTTGTGAGCGACTTAGAGAGGGAGGAGGAAGAGGAGAACGCGTTCGGTTTTGGAGAATATTTGATGAATAGTTTGGACGTTTTGAAGAGAGTCGTTTCGCTTCGGTTGTTGAGGAGCGTGAAGCATTATTTCGAGAAGATCGGGTACGATCCGACGCCGGCGGTTTTGAACGCGGTTTTGTGCGTGTTGAGGAGAATATCGATGATGGATACCAATTTTTTTTCAGAGAATAACGACAACGACAAAGACTCTAGTAATACTAGTCTCGAGCTGAAGTGTGGGATTATGAAGACGTGCGTTGACATCGTGACCGGAATGTGGGAACAGGATTTGGTCAAATGCGCGGCGGAGTTGGCCACGTATCCGGTTCCAACGACGATAGCGCAAAAAGAAAACAACAGAAATGGAAAAGAAACTTTTCACGAGGAAAATATGCTGATGGCGTTTTACGATGCGGCGTATGCGATGACGAGAGAAGTGTACGCGACCATCGACGACGAGAAGCGGAACATCAGCGAGACGGAGGAGTTTCGCGCATTTTTAGATACGTTTGCATCGTTTGCGTTTAGCACGGAGATTGTGGAGTACGCGCATCATTCTGGTGGGAAATTGGAAACGATGAGAATGGTTCGATTGGCGTTAGCGTTGCTACAATACGCGTCGAAGGAAAATAGCAACCTTGGCGACACCGAACTTTGGACGAGATTGTGGTACACCGCCAAAGGCGCGCAGTGTTTGAGAACGATTTGTACCGCAGATGTAGATAACGAAAGCGGAGAGACTTTGTACGACAAGTATTTGCACGATGTGGCGTTAGAAACATCAAACGATGTCGAGAAAGCAGCCAATGTAGTCGCTCGCGATTGCTTAAAACTCGCCACGGAGTGCGCGGCGTTAGCGTTTGCGCAAGCGTTGGACGCGGTGTATCCGAAATACAACGCGCCTGCATTTTTTGGAAGCTTCGGTATGAATGGGAACGGCGATTCGAAGAGATGGCGAGTGTTTGCGACTTTAGCGAGGTGTTGTGAAGTGCTTTGCGAAGACTCCGAGGTTAGAGATGCGGTTATATCCGCGCTCATCGTTCCGTTGGCAAAGTTTATGTCGAACGTCGTTCGCGGACGAAGCGGCGACGGGAGCAAGAAGATATTCCCGAAACCAGCGGGTACGTTCTTCGTCATATTCGAGGAGGTGCGCATTCGAGGAGGCACGCAAAAAGCGACCGAAACGGTAAAACTGGCGTGGATGTTCATCTACGGAACGATCGCATCCGCGCAAGCCGCACCTTTCATGAAATCCAAATCCTTTGGCAAAGAGTTCGCTCTCCTGCTGAAAGACGCCTCCTCCGAAAATCCCGACATTCACGGCGGCGCACACACCGCCGAACACGTGCGCGATTTACTGAGCGAGTTGCACGATAACGTAAAATCTTTAGTCGGCGCTGAAAACTCCAAGTTATTCGAAACCTTCTTGGCGGAGTTGTAGTAAAAGTATGATGTTTGATATCATCGCTAAGTAGTATGCGCTAAGCGTCTCATCTCAAATCGACTATCGGTCTATTCTTCAACCTCCCAAAGGTATCTCTCTTAAAGTTCGGTCCGAACAAATACGCGTACGTGCACCCTCCAACTAACCCGCCGAAATGTGCCCAGTTATCGACTCTCGCGCTCGTCGCGCCATACACCGCGTTAATCATTAAGCTCGTCCCTAACGCGTTCAACTGTTCCTCCGCGCCGCTCCCTAACACGTCTTTGTGTCTGTACAAATACACGGCGAACGCTCCGGCTAAGCCAAAGATCGCCCCGCTCGCTCCGACGGCTGGATATTTGCTCATCTTATAGCTCGCGATGTTTCCGCTCAGTGCGCTCAGAGTGAACGCGGCGTACGTGTGCGTTTTGCCGAATATCCGTTCCACCGCGCTTCCGATGGCGTTTACGCTGTACATATTGACGAAGAGGTGGACCAACCCGCCGTGTAAAAACGCAGACGTGAGGAGTCTGTAATACTGCCCGTTCGAGACGTTTTCGTTGACTTTCGCGAACGCCGCGGTCGCTTTTTGTCGCGTTAAGAGTTGCAACGAGTACCCCGCGAGTAACGAGAGGAGAAGCGCGTCCGTGGCCTTACGTTTCGGGTCGTTCGTGAACGGTTCGTTCTTCGAGTTGTTGTTTCCGTTTCCGTCGTTTCCAACGATGCCGACGGCGTTGGTGTGCCTCTCGCTCCGAATGGAATTCCGAGCAGCGCCTTTTCCTCCTCTTTCTCCTCCTTTTCTTCTTCGACCGCGAGACGACGAGAAACCGATGGAGAGAAACGTCGTCGTCGCGCGCAAGGTAAACGTCCCCATATTGTGTGGAAATCGCGCACCTTTGGTCGTCGTCGCATTCGTCGACACGAAAGGTCGCATGGTTTGTGCAACTTATAACTGTGCGGGCGAATTGGATAAAAAAGATATTCTCTCTGATGGAATCTCCATTTGTTGTCGCGTGCGCTTCACGACTCGCGGAAGAAAGTAATACCGCACAAAATGTTTGCGACGAGGACAGTTCCATCGTCCTCTCTTTGTTGTCGCGCCTTGTCTTCTTCATCGCGAAATCGTCGTTTTCATCTTCGACGCGAGATGACGACGACGACGATGATGCGCGAGCAGCGACCACGCGTTGTCCGTACGACTCAAGCGTCGAACGATGAAGACGCGTCGTCGTCGTCATCGATAAAAACGACTTCAAATCCAGCGTTGAAAGCGGCGTGGTTCGCGTCGGAACAGTTCGGGAAAGCGATTGGTGGTGGTAAGAGTAACTCTTCCGCGACTGTTCTTGAGAAGCAGGAAGAGAACGTGATGACGACGAGAGCGGAGACGATCGATTCGTTGGCGAAAGATTACGAGAAAAATTACTTCATAGGAGGCGAAAGCGAGATGAAAGCGTACTCGAGTTCGTGCGTTTTCGCGGACCCGTTCGTCTCGTTTACCGGGTTAGATCGATTTAAACAAAACGTTGGGAACTTAGGGACGTCTTTACGAGACGTGGAGTGTAAGGTGTTGAAAACGGTGGATAACGGGGTTGGGGGTGTTATTTTCTATTGGAAGTTTTCGGCGGTGGTTGACGCTTTGCCATGGCGACCGAAGTTAGCCGCGAGCGGGAACACGACGCACGTTTTAGACGATGCAAATAAAGTGGTGAAACACATCGAAGCGTGGGACGTGGACCCGTGGGTGGTTCTGAAGAAACTGTTAGTGCCGGCGTCGAAGTTACCGGAGAATAAGTGGGAGCTCGGGATGCTGGCGGTATCGCAGCGAGATGGCTTTGGCGCGTTGCAAGCTATTTCAGAACCCGGGGTGAAACTGTTTGCGGCGTTATTCGTCTTAGAAAAGTTACCCGGGGTAAACTTAGGTGGGTTTGAGGCGTTTACGTCGTTGATGCTTGTGGCAACGGCGGTTACGGAATTTTGGGCGCTGCTCATTTCTTTCGGTGTCGTGAAGAAGTAATATATTTCTGCGTTTGTTTTGCTCGCGTTCATTTTTAGTTGCTATCTATACATTATGTTATTAAAAAGTGTTGTGTGTCTGTGCGAAAGGAAGTTATTTTTTTCGAAGCTTTTTGCGCGTACCGGCGCCAGTCGTTTCCGCTTTTCTCTTCTCCGCTTTCTTCGGTTTCGCTTTTTCTTTTTCCGCTTTTCCGCCTTTCTCTTCAGTATCTCTAAATCCAATATTTAAACCGCCCGTTTTCTGCCCGGGTGGTTTTCTATCCGCAATGGTTTGCTGCTTCATGCTCGCTCCCGCCGCTGGAAATCCATCCATGTTACTAAAACCTCCTCTATCTGCCGTCGTCGGCGTCTGCGGAACGTTCGCTCCGAGCGCCGGCCCCGAAGCCGTCGCCGGAGGTAACTGAATCGCAACCGCTTTACCCGCCTGCACTAACTTCTCGTGCGCAGAGGCTATCTGCTTTCTCAAAGTCAAATACACGCCGCACTGCTTTCTCAAACGCAACCAACCAGCCACGGCAGCTTTGGTTCCATTTCTTGGTTCCGGACATCCCAATTCCTCCACCGATTGGTCCAACCGTTTGGCGTACCTCGGTCCTAAACCTGAATTCGGCGCATCTCTCCCTGCAATTTCCGCCGCTACTTCCACCGCCCTCTGCGATCTCGGGTACACTCCCGGCTGCACGTCGTCTCGACTCGTTTGCGTCGTCGTGCACGGCACGCCGTGGTGCGGCATGTCGCTTTCGAAATCCTTTCTGATCTCCTCAATCTTCGCCCGCTTCTCGTGCGCGGCAAACCTATTCGGTGCGAACACCGCTTGCTGTCGTTGCAACAACGCGTGCGTCTCAGCTCGTCTATCGGACTCAATCTTCTTCACCTGCGCCAATATATCCGCCTCCTCCTTGTGCGCCACGTTCGTCCTCGCCAACAACGTCTCCAACGCTTCTTTCCTCATTAACTCGTGTTGCGGATCAAACGGCGTCTTACAAATCAAATTCGCCTCCGCTTCTTCCTTATTCGACGCCCGCGCTCTCACCAGCGCTCTGCACACTTCATAATATCGAGTCTTCATATCCTCGATGCTTCTCTCGCACGGACTCGCCGTGCTCGACCATCGATCTTTAGCTACTATGAACCGTAAATCAAACCTTCGTAACATCTCAAACAAATATTCCGTCTCTTCTTTCGACCAAGGTTTGAACGCCAGTCGGTCGTCATTCATTAAACTCTCCTTGTTTTCTTGATTCTCGTCGTTTTCGTTCGTATCATTCTCGGAAGGTTTCTCCGCTTTCGTTTCCTTCGAATCTAAATTCGCGATCCATCTCTCGTACTCTCGCTCCGTAAACTCCGGCACTTCCACTTTCTTGTTATACTTTGCAAACGCGTAATCGCCTCCGATATCCACGCCGTACCCGGTCGCTTCTAAACCAGTCCCTGGTAAAAGTTTCCCACCGGTACCCGCCGCACCATCTTTCCCCCCCGTCGCCGCCGCCGCGCCGATATTCTTCTTCACCCAGTGCTTCAACATCAACCCATCGGTCCGGGCAGAATTCCGAAACGGCTGCCACGACCACGAGACTTTCCTCGCGGAAACTTTCCTTTTCGTTTTCAAGCCGGCGTGCGTGGGGACTAGCGGTACCAACGCGTCCACCATTCCTCCTCCATTCGCTTTATCTTCTCCTCCTCCTTGCGCATGAAGACCTTGCATTCCGCCCTGAGAATGGCTCGATTGGTTTCCCCGAACGATTTGCCACACCTCTCGGCTCATGCCTTTCGGTTTGACCTCTTTCTTCGATTTCTTCGTTCCTAAACCACTCGCGTTAGCGTTTGGGTTCTCCCGCGGGATCCCGAGCATGTCTTTGAAGTCCGACATTATTATTCTGATGTGTGTGCGTGTGAGAAGAAGTGCGTGTTGATCTGCCGCAATTCGATTTGCCCTAGAGAGAGAATTGGACATTTTGAACTCAATTTGTCCTCATTTTTAAAAGGTAAACAGAGCTTTTCGAAGCGATTAAGAGCAATGGAAGGCGCGATGACGTACCTGGAGAAGTACGCGGACGGTGAGTGTTGGTGACTTTTATTACCTTTTTTGTATTTAGGAAGAGGAGTGTGCACCACGTTTGCATCCTCTCTCTCTCTCTCTCTCTTTGCGAATTGGACATCAGTTCTCTCGATCCATTTCTCTCTCACTCACACACACACCCTCTCTCTCTCTCTCTCTCTCTCTCTTTACCGAAAACAGTCAATCAAGACGTCCCCGCGGAATTCCAGCGCATACTGAACACCATGGCCGATTTGGACCACCGAGTCTCGAAAACTCGAGACGCCATTCAAGAAAAAGTAAACGAGTGCTTAGAGCTCCCTGGGTTACACTCGCGAGGCCTCTCGAAAGATAACGAGACGAAGATTTTAAAACTGAGGAAAGATATCGACGAGTCGCACGAGCACGTGGAAATGTTATCGAAAGAGAAGATACGATTAGCGACGTTAGCGCTGGAGATTTTAGAGAAGAACGTGATGGTACAACTCGACGAGGACTTGGAGCGATATCGGGAGGAGTTGAAAGCGAACCAGGAATTCGGCGAGGAGGAAAAGTTTAAGAGTAGCAATAAAGCGATGGATATGGATATCGGGACGCCTACGAGAGGACCGAGCAGACAAGGTTCGAGAATGGGTGGTGGTGGGAACAATTCGAACGAAAATTTACCGGGATTAGGAAACGAACAACCAGCAGGAGGACAGAAGAAAAATTTACAGATTGGCGATTTGGTCGCCGCGAACATCGGCGAGTTGAACATTGGCCCAGGTGCGCACGAGTGGATCGTAGGAACCGTGTTTCGATACATTCCCGCGACGGACGAATACGACATCGTCGATGCCGACGACGACACGAACAAAAATAACCCGAACAACAAGAACATCGCCAGAGGAAATAAAAAAGGAGGCACGAAAAACATGAAGAAAACTGGAGGCAAAGAATCGAAAGAAACCACCTACCGGTTATCCGCGAAAGCGTGCGTCATCGCGCTCCCGAAAACCGCAAATCCGTCGCACGGCGCTACAAATTTCGACGACGGCGCGTACGTCTTAGCAGTCTACCCTCAAACGACCACTTTTTATAAAGCCAAAGTCGTTCGCAGCGCGTCTCGCATACCGCCGAGCGGCGACTACGGCGAGTTTTTGTTAGAATTCGAGGACGACGGCGACGTGCCGAGAAGGGCGGTGCCGTTCAGGCACGTCGTCGAGTGCCCGAAGACCATGTAGCTGAACCGTTATGTTTTTATTAATATCGCGTACGTAGTATTGCTATTCCTTCCCCGCGAGTACTAGTTCGTATTAATAGAGTGAGCTGCGAACAACGTTTCCCGTTTCCCTCTCCTCCTCTAAACTAAAAAAGTACAAAAAAGAGGAGATCGTTTTTATCAGACACAACGACGCTTTCTTGCGCTCGCAGTCCCAACGCGAAATTTGAACCAAGCAAAATAGTCAAACGTGGCCAACTCAGCAGTTAATTCTTTTTCCTCTCGTTTCCCCTGCGTCAGAAAAAACGCGCGGGAAACTCTCTTTTGATTTTGAGAGCACAACACACAGACACACACGTTACGTAAAAAGTCTCAAAGCTCGCGCGAGAGATATTTCTTCGTCGTAAAGCGCGCGCAGAAGCGCGCGCAATTTGTCGCGCGTGCGGGAAAAAGCCGCGATTCGATTCGTCGCTTCCCGAGAACGAGCGATTGGTTTAAACCGTTTGAACTCGATTTGAAACGAACCGCCAAAACTTTAGAGAAAAGAAAATGGCGAATCAAAGGTACGCGCGATCGTTTTTCACGCGAGCACGTCCTCTATTCGAGTCGAGGAAAAGTCGTCGCGTTTGTTTCGACCGCTTTTAGGCGCGGATCTGCACTCTGCGCGCGCTTAGTCGTCAATCTTAAATCTTCAAACGGAGAGAAAAGAGTTCGTTAGGACGTCGACGACCGAGGCACCTTTTTTCTTCATTCCGACGGTTCGATTTTGACCTCGTTTTTGCTCAGAAAATTCTCTTAAAATACTCCTTTTTTGCACCAAAAGACTGACTTGTTTTTCTACACAGCAGAGACGATCATCTCGCGAATCCGATGGCGATGATGATGATGGCGGGACCGGACGCGAACAATGCTACTACCGCCGCCGCCGGGACGAATAATGATATCAACTTGGTGAGACCGACGGCGTCGAATACGACGACGTACGCGAACGCGGCACCGTACGGCGGTCAAATGCCGGGGCCGAATAACTACTTCGGGAACCCGTTTTTTATGTCGCAGATGTGGAATAACGCGGCCGCGATGATGAACATGAATGCGGCGGCGGCTGCGGCGGCGGCAACCGGGAACTTTCCGGCGATGATGGGAGCGATGCCGCAACAACTCCAAGGACAACCGCAGCCGATAACGGCGGCGGCGGCGACCGGCTCGGCAAAGAAGAATTCGACGACGAGGCTTCGAGACATGACGAAACAAGCGAAGAGTCGTTCGGATAACTCCGAAGCGACGAGTCATAAAGAGTCTCCGCTTTCCGACGACGAGGTTGAACATCCTCAGAAGGAGAGACGGCGGCACAAACAGGAAGAGGAAGAAGGAGAAGAACAAGACGCGAAAGATCATCAACCGCAACTGGCAAAACCAGTCGTGGACGATTCGTTACCAGAACCGTGTGCGAACAAGACGTGTGCATTTTGTAGGACGCAGAAAACGCCACTGTGGCGGAACGGTCCTTTTGGTCCGAAGACGTTGTGTAACGCGTGCGGCGTGAAGTTCAAACTCGGAAAGTTAGCCGGCGACGAGGATGGTCACGTGGTGAGTGTTATCGTACCGAGACAAAAGCGGCGGAAGAACGGGTCGGCTGGGACGGCGAGTCATGCCGCGGCCACGGCGGCGGCGCAAAACGCGGCAACTTCTTCGGAGGCGGTTGGCGCATCGAATACTGCGACTGCGATGACGAGCAGCAACAACGCCACCGCCTCCGCGACGGCTCGATTTGCGGCAGTCACGGCGGCAAACGCGGCGAGAGCTGGGTTTTCCAACGCACCGTTGAAAGTTCGTCACACCGTTCACACAAAAAAAAGCGCCGAGCCAAAAGTGAGAGGTATCGTCGGCGGATGGCGTCCGGAAATGGGTGGTCCGATGCGAGTGTCCTCTCCTTTCGTCGTGGCGGATTACGACGGCGCCGTTTTACTAATGGTCTTAGCCGGCGAAAACGACAAAACAGCTACTACTACTACTACTACTACCGTGAGTAATACGTAGTGATTCCGTTTGTCTGTGTTATTTGTGTACAATAAAAGTTAAATCAGAAGAAGAAAAGTTTTGGGAAGAGTGTACGTTTTATATTTTGTTTATTAAAAAAAAGTCGTCTTCGAAGATGCGTGTAAAAGAAGAAGAAGCCACGAAGAAGTGTGTGTATATAATATGTATATGAGCTTTCAAAAGCAGCATCAGACGAGAGACGCGATTGTGTTTTTAAATATATCAACCTTTTAATATTAGTGTTTGTTTGTAAAAAAGAGTGAAGTAACCGCGAGAAGTTGCGGTGCTTTCGTAAGATTTATATTATTATCATTCATCCTTCGTGTTGTCTCAATGCAAACCCATAAAGTGATCCATGGCGACGCTCAGCGCCGCCATGGTTCCGCACCCAATACACGCCGCCTTCGGTCCAGCCCTAGCGGCCATGGTCCCTCCGGTAAAACACCCCGCGTACGCGCTGTTGTAAATATCGTGCCTCGCTCTCGTCTGTTCGACGACGCACTCGCTCCCGGCGTACAGCGCGCCAAACGCCGCGAAGCCTTTCGCGTACGACCACGACTTCGACGCCGTGCTCCTCGCCGTTTGTTTCAAAGTCTCCGCGATTGACACTTTCTTCTGCGTCATCGTGTGATCCGGCGCTTCAAACGCCCCGAAAAATATCCCCATCGCGATTCCTAAAACCCCCCCCATAACTCCCGACAACGCCGTCTTCACCACGCAATTGTTCATCACGTCCCCTTGCATTTGCTCTTCCGCGGTTGGAATCTGTATCGGTGTGTACGTTTTCGCCGCTTTTTCTTTCTTTTTCTTCTTTTTCGTCTCTTCCTCGATGTCCTCTTTCGGTTTTTTCAGCAGATAATCCGCCGCATCTTTCAGCCTTTCGATGTTGTTATTGTTGTTGTTGTTCTCCTCCCCGTCGTCCTTTCTTGTTTCGATGGATACATTGGACGATGATGTGCTCGCCTTATTCGCTTCTTCTTCCATTCGCGCCGTTTTATAAAACGCGCTCGAAAATTCCCTCAAAAAGTAAAACTTCTTCTCGTTTTCCTCTTCGTCTGTTCCTCCCATCGTGGTCTCTCTCTCTCTCTGTCTTACTTACGCGCAAAGCGTAAAGTGTGCGTGTCTGCTATAAAGAAGGACTGCTAAATACGAGAACGAGGGGAAGAAAAATCGAAGAAGAAAAAAATTTTGTCAAAATCTTATTAAAAAAAAAAGAGGTCGTCCAAAACGCGTTCTCGCACGAGAATGAAAGTTGAGAATTTGAGACCCTAAACAGAAAACCAACTTTGCACGAGAGCTTGACACGTCACCCCTTTCCCGTCCCCTCCACGCGCGCGCGTTGACTGGGGACCGCGCGCGCGCGAGAGGTGCTGAAAACCGCGCGGATGCACCCATACACCTCATAAAACGTTTGCAGGAACTCGGAGCTGGAAAACACGCGCTTTTTACGTATTCTCTCTCTCCGTTTATTTTCTTCGTCGCAAAAAAAGAAAAAACTGGAAAATTGGGGGAAAAGAAAGAGAAAAAGAAAGAGAAAGAGAAAGAGAAAGAGAAAGAGAAAGAGGTTTACCCCGCGAGCAACTCACGACATCGAACGCGAGAAAAGATAAATACGAAAGGAGAAATATGAACGAAAACGATTTGAGTGATTTGGTTTTCAAAAACAAAAAAGAGTGGGGGTTCCAAAACAAAGCCCACACGTGCAAAAAGTGCACAAAAGCAACCCCCGCTTCCAAAAAAATTCTAGTTTTGCAAAAAAGGAGTTGCGCCAAATTTTTTTCTCATCCATCGGGGGGCAGCTCTTTCAAAATACAAATCAAAAACAACCACTTAAATTAAGTGATGCACCGATCGCGCTCCGAATGTTGCAGACAGAACAACACCGATTGATTTAATAACGGGAGGAACTCCAAGACGATAGCTTTATAGTGGACTGGAATTGATCGCTGTTATTAGGCGTCGAAAAAAGGAAAATCACTTTAAAAATCAGAGAGAGAGAGAGGTTGTTTTTTAGGGGTGGGTGTTACGAGCGATTGGACTCGGAAAGATGACTTTGAAAGAGGAGGAAGAGGGAGAGACTTTCGAAAACGATGTCATCACGTCTTCTTCTCCTCCTTTTCCTCCCGAAAGAAGAACATCTTTTTCTTCAGAAGCAGAGGTAAGCGCGTTTGTGCGTGTGTTTGCGTTTTGTTTTGATTTCTCGGGAAACGGTCTTTTTTCCAATCGGTTTCTCTCTCTCTCTTTTTGTTTGTGCGTGTTTATTATATATATTTATACTCATTGTCCGTTCTTGTCTGTGACAGAGGAGTCCGCGAGGATTTGGTACGAAACGAGATACCGCCGCCGAAGAGGAGGAAGAGGAGAGAGACGACGGAGATGTCGCGAACGACGACGTCGACAACACGACGAGTGCGAGTAAAAACTACAAAGAAAAGTACGCGAAAGCGAAGAAACGGAATCAAAAGTTAGAGAAAGAAGTCGAGCGATTACTGGAACGAGAAGAAACCGCCAAGCGGAGGTTCGACGAGCACGTCTCGAAGACGTCCTCGGTGTATACGCAGAGAATAGAAGGTTTAGAGCATAATTTACAGAGAGCGGTGTCGTCGTTTACGGAAACGAAGAAGCGGTTGGAAGAAGAGCAGAGATTTAAGGAAGAGGCGGAGAGGAAGAAGAAAGAGTTTGAATCGCAGAGAGACGAGTTGAGGGATACGCTGAGAAGGGAGAGAGAGAACTTTGAGAAGGATGGGAAGTTGCTCCGTTTCGCGTGCGAAGACGCGACGAAAGAGTTGGAGATTGTGAAGCAAAGTTATCGCGAGGAGAAGCAACACGACGAACAGGTGATTCAGGGTTTACGGGACGCGTTGGATGCAGTGGTCGCAGAAAACGAAGAGAAGAAGAAGGTTGGGGAGTCGACTTTTTCGCCACCGGCGACGCCGAAATCGAAACCGCCGGCGACGCCGCCGAAATCGCCTTCAGTCATTTCGCAATCGTTTCAGATGGAAAAAGACCAGTTGGAATTGGAAGTGGCGACACAGAAAGAGTTGGCAAATCAAGCGAAAGAGAAAGCTGAAAGGGCGATTAAGACCGCGCGAGTGGCGATGGAAGCCGCGGCAACTCGAGCAAAGACAGACGGCGTTAAGATTGAAAAGTTGGAGAAGCAACTGGCGGAGGCGAGAAGAGCGAGCAACGATGAAACATCAACGACAACAATGTCTGCGAAAGAAGACGATGAAAACGAAAACGACAACGACGACGACACTCCTCCTACTACTACTAATGATAACGAAGCTCTCGTCGAAGAATTGAAAATGCGAATAGAAAAATTAGAGTCACACTGCGCGGACGCATCTGCTGCAGCGACGAACGCGGCGGATGCTTTAGATGCAGCCAACGAAGAATTGGCGATTGAGCGCGAAAAGTGTTCGTCGCTCGAACGCGAAATGTTAACGCTCTCGAACGATTTCGCCATACTTACGGAGGCTTTTGAAAAATCGCAATCGGAGTTGACGATGCGCGACGAGAATTTAGCGGCGTTAGCGAAAGAGTTGGAATTATCCTTAGCGCTGAATTCAAACGAAGACGCGGGCGGCTCGGAGAAGGATAACGCGCTCTCGACTATAGACAAGAAGAAGTACAAGAAAAACGAGAAAAGAGGACCTCTGTCGGATGATGAATCCTACGATAGCGACGAGGACGAAAACGATCTTTCTATGACTACCGGGAACGAAACCATGTCCAGTCTTCGCGCGGAGCTTAGTTCTTTGCGCCAAATTCACGACGCGACCGAACGTCGCGCGAACAACTACGCCGAGCGTTCTAAATCCGCAGAGCTCGCTAGAGATTCGGCGCTCGATGAACTCGATTCGTTGAAGCGCGAAAAAGTGAGACTTGAGGAACGTTTAGAATCCGTCGAACAAGCGCAAACGACGCCGAAAACGCCCAAGGTGAAACCAGCGCTCTTGAAAGAGCTCGAGCAAACAAAGTCGAGTTTACAGAAAGAAATCGAAACTCTCGAGGGCAACGCGGAAGCGCTGAGTAAAGAACTCGCTGACATTGAGAAAGCTAAATCGAGAGAAATTGAACATTTGCAGAAAGAACTCGAGCAAGCAAAATCAAACGCGAAGAAGGAACTGAACGAGACAAAGAAAGAGACGGAAACACGCTTGTTGGCGCAGATGGAAGCGCTTCGCGACGAGCTCGTGGCGTCCAATCAACACCGAGAGGAGATTAACGAGCAAAGAGAACGAGCTGAATTGGACGCGAAAGAAGCGGTGACGCGATATGCCTCGCTCGAGAACGATAAGAACGGAGTTATTGCAAAACTCAACGAAAAAGTTGAAGCGCTCGACAAAGAGTTGAAAGCAAAATCGGAGGCGTGTAAGCACGTCGAACGACAACTTGAGATGGCGACGCAGGCGCAGAAAACACAATCGAAAACAGCCGCGAAAGAAGTCGAAAGAGCGTACGCGAAAAAAATCAAGGACCTCGAAAACGAAATCGCCTCGACGACGAAACTTCGGGACGACGCGGAAAGAGCAAAGAGCGATTTAGGTGCGGAGATTGACCGCATAAAGCTGGAGTTCACGGCTTATAAAGCGTCCGTTTCGGATAAAGAGCGCGACGAAAACCTCAAGCCGACGACGGCAAACTTCTACGAGAAAATGCAAGCTATTCGTGCAGCTGAGGAACTTCGAGCTGAACGCAACGATCTCGCGCAAGACCTCGAAGACGCTCGAGCCGATTTCATGCGATCAATTAGAGAACAAACGACTCGCGCGGAAGAAGCCGAAGCCGCTTTGGAAGACTCCAAGTTATCGGCGAAGATTGCAGCGGACGCGGCGAGAATTGAGTCGATGGAAGCAACGAGCTTGGCGAGAAAGCACGCGGATGAAGTCGCACAAGCGAGAATAGCGCTCGCTGATGCTCGAAAACACGCCGCGGGAGCCGAGAAACGCGCAGATGTTGCCATCGCGCGCGTCGAACGACGATGTAAAGAAATTGAAGCGCGGACGGACAGAGATGTGGACAGACTGACGATGGCGGTCGAAACCGCCGAGAAAGCGCAAAAGAGCTCGGAAGAGAAAGCGGCGCACGTCGACGCCGAATTAGCGAACGCGAAAAGTCTCGTCCAAAGGTTAGCCGACGGTTTACGCGACGTGCGTCTCAAGAAAGAACAAGTGGAGAAGGACCAGCAACACGTCCAGCGAGAGCTCGAGGACGCACTTTCCAAACTTAAAGCTTCGAAACAGTTCGAGGTAGACGCGATTAAATTTTCTGGACGAATCAAAGAACTCGAAGCCGAAGTGAAAGAGTTGATCATTAAAGCCAAACGCGCTGAGGCGGCGATGGCCGAGGCAGAAAAACACGCCGAACACGCCGAAGAGGCGTTCGATAAGATTCGTCAGCTCGAACAAGAAGTTTCCGATTTGGACGCGAGACGTTCTCAAGCCGAGGCGGCGTTGAAGACAACTTCTGGGAATGCACCCGAAGCGTTTCGCGCGTTGGAAACTGAAAATTCGCGTCTTGAAAAGCGAGTTAAACAGACGTGGCAAGCCTTGCAAGGTGCGCATGCGGTGGCGGAGCAAACGAAGCACGCGGCGAGAGACGCGGTTCGCACGGCAAGACAAGCGGCCGCGAGGGCGGAAAAGGAAGCAGCTTTCTATCGCGACCGCTCCGAAAAAGCCGAAGCGGCCAAAGTCGAAGCCATGCAACGCGCAGACAACATGATCAACGACGCCCAGCAGCAAGCGGACGAATACGCGAACGAAAAGTTGGAAAAGGAGAAGCGAAAGTTACAAATCTTGGAGGAGAAGTTGCGTGAGGCGCAAATGTTTTCAAAGAAGATTGTTTTACCGAAAGTGAAAAGTCCTCCGAGGGGCTCAAAGCTTCGAGATTTACAAAGTAAACAAGAAGATTCGTTCATTCCTTCTATGCCAAGAATCAACGTGGGTAAGAAAGAAGGTCCGCCGAAAAAAGTTGCGGCGAACGACTCGAAGAAGACCACCGCGCAGTTGGACGACGAAATGGCCTCGGCGGATTTAGTCTTGCAAGAATACCTCACGCGATCGCGCGAAAATAGCGTTCGCTCGTCATCGCCGCGTTCTATAGGATAAGAAAATGCTATTCTAGCTATTGTATTATTATATTAAACTATGTAGCGTGCTATTTTACGTCTAATTTTCCCTTCTATAACTCCGCCGCGTTGGCATCGAACGCCACGCCACCTCCCAATGAGGATGTTTTTTTCCTTCTTTCGAAATTGAAATTCAAGTCCTTCGATCTGAATACGCGCAAGTATAACACGTACACGAGCGGTAAGAATTGTATTGTCGCGACAATCAAGCGCAAGTAAAACATTTTCGGTGATTGTTTTCCTCTTTTTACCGATTCTTCGTCTTCGTTCTCGTCCAGAGAATAACTATCGCTGTTATTATCGTTGATGCCATTATTTCCGTTTTTAGGCAATAAAGACGCCACGTCCATGACCTCTTTCGCGATCATTTCGCCCAGACTCTCTACTCGTAACTTACGTCTCGCCATTTCTTCCCCGCCTTTCTTCGAGTTCACGACGATTTCCTCAAACGATACCTTCTCCCCTCGCTGCTTGAAAAACCTTTGACATCCTCTCCATTTGGACAATGCCGTCATGACGTCTTTATCTTCCGCATATTTTTGCACGCTCATGAAATTTTCCATTACGTCTTCCACCGCCGCTCTTATTCGTGGTTCGCGCATGCTCGATTGAAATGCTTCGTCTTCGTTCGCTTGGACGATAAAACTGAGGCGTTCTCTTTCCTTTGCGAGCGATTGTAAGCGAGCTTTCTTTTCTTCAACGCTCCCTTCTACCGCCGTCGCCTCTTTTGCAGTTCTCTGCTTTGAATACTTCTTCTCTTTCGCGCCTCGTTTCAACAACTCATTCTCGCACTCCTTAAACTTCCCCGCCCTCGCTAATTCCAGCGGACCAAAACTCTCTCCGTCTTCGCCTTCCTCTGAAGCTCCGTGAATATCTACCTTCCATTCGTCGCATAAGAATCTCACCGCGTGCGCGTTCCCTAACCCAACCGCCAACATCAACAAACTTTTCTTCTTCTTCTTCTCCATTTTCTCATTCACGTCGATCGTAAAATACTCCACGTCCACGTCCTTCACTCTTCCTTCAAACTGTTGCTTCGCGATTTCTCGTCTCAATCTCTCCGCGACTTTCGGAAAGGTTCCCCAATCCGTCCTCGCGCACGCGCACTCCACCATCGGAGGTAACCGAAACCGACCTCTTGGAGTTGACACGTCCGCAACGGATACCTCCCCATCCTCACTCAAAAACAAGAGCTCCTCCAAACACTCTAAACTCCCAATTTTCGCGCACATCGACATTGGCGTCTCCTCCGCGCTATCCGCGTGGTTCACGTTCGCTCCACATTTACCAACTAAAACTCTGACCACATCCACCCGATCCATCGCGATTGCGTGGAACAAAGCCGTCCTCCCGTCACGCTCGTCCTCTCCATCCACCTCGCATGCAAATCTGAGGATTAAATCGAGGCAAATTTCCGAGTGGTTGTTCCTCGCCGCGCAGTGTAAAGGCAATAACGAATGCATCTTTCCCGTGCCGAATTCGTCTTCTTCCCCTGCTGATGATGCGAAAGGAAGTCCCACTTCCGCGCCGTCTGTGATGGCCTCTTCGAGTAAAAGCCGATCGCCGAACAGGCACGCGTTCTGGAGTTTCTCGTTCGCGCTTTTGAGTTTCTTTAGTACCATCTCTCCCCGTTTTCGTTCGTCATCATCGGTTTCCGTCATATTCGTGTGTTTTGTGTCGTTTTTCCCCAGAAATCGTCTTTGTGAAATTCGATCAAATTGAAACACACATAACACGCGCAAAGACGAACGCTTTAAAAGAGAGATCGACCTGCCATGAGTGGTGGTAACGGTGGTAACAATGAACCAGTGCCGGACGACCACATGAAATCGACCGCAATCGGCCCGCCTTTAAACGCGAACGTGATGACCATCCCTTTATTCCAATTGGAAAACGGCGTGGCATTGAAAGAAGTGAAAGTGTGTTATTCCACGTACGGGAGATTAAACGAGGACGGAGATAACTGCGTATTAGTCGGACACTCTTTGACGAGCAACTCAAACGTGGACGAGTGGTGGTCGGAATTTATAGGAGGCGGTGAGGGTGAAGGAAAAGAGGCGAAATGTTCGTTGCATTTGGAGAAGGATTTTATAGTGTGTTGCAACTACATCGGGTCGCCGTACGGAACGGCGTCGCCGGTTTCGGAAAATCCGGAAACGCCGGGGAAGATTTACGGGAGTCGATTTCCCGCGCCGGTGACGATACGAGATAACGTGAATTTGCAGAAGATGGTTTTAGATCGACTGAAGGTGACGAGATTGTCCATGTGTATAGGAGGATCGATGGGCGCGATGTTAGCGCTGGAATTCGCGGCGAGTTTCCCGGAGTACGTCGAGAAGTTAGTGTTGATTGCTGGATGTGGAAAGCACACGGATTGGGCGATTGGGATCGGTGAGGCGCAAAGACACGCGATTGTGAGCGATGCGAACTTTGAAGGAGGGGATTACGATGTAGAAACGGGCGGACCCAAGGACGGGTTGGCGACGAGTCGGATGATGGCGATGTTGAGTTATCGAGCGCCAGTGAGCATGGACGAGAAGTTCTCGAGGATGAACGTGGAAGGCAAGGAGCATCCGGTGAGAGGAAGTGCTGGAGGAGAAAATGAAAAAGAGAACGACGACGATGACGATCACGACAAAGCGCCGTCGCGAGAACGAGAACAAACGCAACAGAAAAGAAAATCCTTCGACAACAACCACGTCCCGTATTGGCAAGTCGAGAGTTACCTCCAATACCAAGGCCAAAAATTCATCCAACGATTCGATGCCAACTGCTACTTGCAGTTGACGTACACTTTAGACTCCCACGACGTCTCTCGAGGGCGAGAAAACGGCGATTACGAGCGAGTCCTCTCGAAACTCACCCACGATACTCTCGTCGTGGGCATCCTCTCTGACGTCTTGTACCCGTTTGCATTACAGCGAGAACTCGCCGATTGCATGCCAAACGCGCAGTTGTATACCATAGATTCTCCTCACGGACACGACTCGTTTTTGATTGAAATCAACTCATTAAACGAGGTCATTCGCAGATGGCGGAACGGCGAAAACGTGGAAGTTCGAGATCCGTGTGAATCGGTCGCGTTATTAGAGGAACAACGAAATAGAGAGCGTCGCCAGTCCTCCTCAGCAGATCACGCACCCTCCTCGACGGATGTAGAAGATAGCGAAACGCTCAAACGCACCGTCCGCGCTTTACGAGAAGAACTCGCAAGAGTCCACGGAAATCTCAGGGCGCAGACCGCTCGAGCGGATCTTTATTTACGCAAGTTGCAAGCGCTCACCGACGACGAGGGCGAGAATAACGGAAAGAATAGCGAAACGAGCCGACAACGAAACAAAAAACGAGCGGCGAATACTTTCGCGTCTCCCCACGGAGTGATCGTTCTCAGCGACCCGGGATACTTGAACGAAGGATTTTCGCCGATAGCTAAAGCTTCTTCGCTCGGCGCGCGCGGTCCAGTATTCGGTAAAATTAAGGCGAACGATACTAACGGCGATGATTCGAACAACAACAACGGCACATCGCACGCTGGCGTTTAATAATTCATCAACAGTTTCGAGAGAAAGAATATTGTATCATGATTCGCGCGTAGTAAACGCAAACGCCTCAAACTCCTTTTGAACTCTTAAAGTTACTCTTTCTTGTCTGCTCTTTTTCTCTTCTTAATTTTTGAAATTTCAACACATTCTTTTCGTCGAAAGTCTCGTCGTACGTGTGCGCGCACACGCACTTTTAAAAGAAAGACAGACAGTGAGAGAGAAGCATCATGTCTCCGCCTTTTCCTTTACCCGGTGTTCGAGCGGAGGATCGATCGTCTCAGCGACAGGAGGAACACAAAGGAGAGCAATTACATCCCGGGAAAAAGAGAAATTTGGACGCACTTTTGATGATGCAGAAGAGGAAGAAGAAGAGGCTCGTTGAACGCGTCGGAGAAGAAGAGTGCTTGAGTTTTAACGACGACGAGGAGGTTTTGAACGACGGGGTTGTCGTCGAACGAAGCGACGATAACGCAAAGTTCGAGAAGGAAGAGGAGAGAAGACGAAGAAGAGAAAGAAGCGAGAAAAAATCGCTCGTTTTGAAACGTTGGGCGAAACTCGCGGAAGATTTGGTTTTGTTGCGACGACGACGAAGCGGAAGGAGAAGCGAAGATAACGAAGAAGAAAAGGACGAAGAGAAGATGAATGGTACAGGCGAGGCAAGGTTTGAGCGGCTGATGCGGGTGGCGTACGCGTACCGATGTTCGGTGAAGCAGAAAAATGAGAGACGCCGTCGACGCGGTTGCGGCGGGTACGGTGTGAGCGAACGCGGACTCCTCGCGCAAAGACGGGCGATGCATAACACGGTTTTGCACGGGATTGCAGAGCGATCGATACATCTCGCAGATAGCGCCGGAGCGGAGGACGACACGGAGGAAGAAAATGGTCGGATGTTTAACGCGGCGCTGGCGAGACAGTTCCAAGAGTTTATGCAGGTGCGAGGCGTCGTACCGACGATTGAGTTACCGGAAGGTGACGAAGCGGTGCAAGAAAAGATTACGTTAGCCAAAGAGTATGCAAGACGGGAAGGCGCGACGATGCGTGCGACGAGTCGAATGTGGTTGCCGAGAGATCAGACTGCGCAGTGGACGGGGAGCGTAGAGAATGTATTTTCGTGCGTAGAATTTGATAGATTTAGCGGAGGGAGGTTTTTGGCGTGCGGAGGGGGAGGTGGGACCGTTTCGGTTCATCGAACCTCAGATATGAACCAGAAAACGTCAGATGGAGACGGGAGTTCGTTGCTGTCGAGCATATACGCGCCGGTGTATAAGAAGTTTGTGGCAGATCCCGTGGATGGCATTTCATGGGTGAAAGAAGGGGTGTTAGCGACAGTATCGAAGAGGAGCGATAGGATTACATTTCACGACGTTGAAAGAGGATTGATGGGTACAAGTGCTCCTACTGCACCAACTGGATCTTCTGCTGCGGCGTTAGCCGTAACATCAACGGCGACAACAACAACAACAACAGTAAGTAGTCGAGCGATGCCAACATTAACGCAGTCTCCTTCTCCTCGATTCCTCGCGTATTCGCAAGGTTTAGTCGTCAGTCCTGTGTACAACGTTACACATCCGTCCGACATAAGAGATACGCTTGGTATCACCTCTATTGCTTCGTGCGACGATGGGAACCGTCTTTTTGCCGCCACTGGTGTTGGGAGCGTCTTCACGTTTGATCTTAGGCAGCGCGTCGATCACACGAGACCGGTTGCCATTTTCAGCGCTCCTACTACGGGTAATCTGAATTGCGTGAATGTCACGAAAGACGGTCAACTCGTCTGCGCGGCATCTTCTTCGGGCAGGGTTGTTTTATGGGACGCTAGGAAAGCAGTCTCTACGCATGCGACGGACCATCGCGGATTTACCGGGATAAAACCGGACAAAGAGATGTGTTCGTGGAGCGTGTCCAACATGTTTTCAAAAATCCACGGCAGATCCTTCGCGAGTAAATCGGAAGTGTATTGGGTAGACTTCGATCCGAAAGATTATTCGCGCGTAGCCTTTCACTGTTCCAATGGACGCACCGGCGTAATCGATATGAAACAAAACAATCACGCGACGTCGTCTCTCGGGGTTATCACGCACGCGCACTGTCCACCCAACCCGTGGACGTCAACGGCTCCAACGCGCATCACGCGAGACGAAGCCGAGCGTTTCATTGGCGCCGAAGGTGCGTGGGCATATCTTAACGGCGACAGTGCGGGAATGGCGACGCAAACCGAAACCGAAGGTGCCATCAGCTCGCAAATCGCCAAATGGAATGGCCGAGACAAACGCACGTGTTCGTGGTCCACGGACGGGCAAAAGTTAATCGTTCCGAACGTGAACGATTCAGGTATACTCATCCTAGACGTCATGGCGAATAACCCGAAGTCGTATCAATGGATTGATGATGGAACGGTGACGCGGGAGTCGACGACGGTGAAACTGTGGAATGAGAACGATGATGACGCTCACATCGACGAAGAAGAAGGAGCGAACGAGGAGCGGGAGGACGAAGAGGACGAGTACTACCCCGGCTACGGTCACAAACCAATCGCCCCATCTTTGTCTGATCAAGAAACCATATTATCTGCCGTCGCCGTGCATCCAACGTGTGACTTTGAGTACTGCGCCGGCGGTCCGAATACGCTGAGCTACTTTCGTTTTGCCACGCGTAGTTTTTGATAGATTGCTTTGATATTGAAGAATAATATATAGATAGATATGTATACTAGGTTGAAAGAGCTTTCTCCCTCTCTCTCACTAACAGCAACTACTCTTACTTCCACCCTTCGCGGTCTCTCTCAGCCTGACTGTCCCGCCACCCCCGCTGTTGTTACTATTGTTGTTATTCGTCTTGCTCTCCCCGACGCATCTTCTCGCCATCGAGCTAAACGCCTCCTCCACTCTCAACCCACTCTTCGCGCTCGTCTCAAAAAATGGCACCCCGAACTCTTTCGCCAACGCCACCCCTCTCTCTTTCGTCACTTTCCTCTTCGAATCTTCGCAATCGCACTTGTTCCCGATCAAACACACTTTCGCCGCTTCGCTCGCGTGCGCTTCAATATTCCTCATCCAGTTCCTCACGTTCTCAAAACTCGTCTCATCCGTCACGTCGTACACTAACAAAACCCCGTGCGCGCCTCGATAATACGCCGCCGTGATCGTTCGAAACCGCTCTTGCCCCGCGGTGTCCCATATTTGCATCTTCACTTTCTTCTGGTCTAAGTCTATCGTTTTGATTTTAAAGTCGATGCCAATCGTGGTTATGAAGGATGTCGTGAATTTATCGTCGGAATAGCGAAGGAGGAGGCAGGATTTCCCGACCCCGGAGTCGCCGATGAGTAGGAGTTTTACCAAAACGTCGAACGGTTTGTTGCTGCTCTTCGCGGATGCCATTCTTAAGGTGGTTTGGACTGCTTTTTGACGGTGGTTTGACTCGTGTTGCGTTGGTTCGTTTCTGAGGATTTGTTTGACTTTTGAGCGAATTTTCCCAAGCGACCACACTTAAATTCCCCTCAGCGAGAGCTCTTGTTTTACGCACAGCGCGGCATTTAAAAGAGAATCGAGGGCGGTTGGTCGCCTTGGATCTCTCTCTCTCTTTTATCTCTTTTCCTCTCTTTACGCGTTAAATCTGTCCTCCGCTCGTCCGAATCGTCGTTTCGGAGCGCAAAGTGTTGGAGACTAATCAATTAACTCTCGCCTTTGTTGTGTTGTTGGAAAAGAGTAAACGCGTTGTTATTATATCATGTTGCACGCGCAACTCATCGGCTACGGCTGGGCATTCTCCGCCGCCATCGGGAACGGCATTCAAGATAACCTCCGGAAATACGCCACGAAATCGATCAAAAACCCACTGCACGTGGTCGCCATGATGGAAATGTTAAACTGCGTGACGTTGTTCCTGTTTGTGTTTTGTACCGGACAAGGCGAGTTAATATTCGGGAAGCGAAAGCCACTGTTTCGACAGAAAAACGAATCATCGAGGAGTTACAGCTATGAAAACGACGACGACCAAATCGCGCGCACGCATTTAATCGTGCTCGCGTCGATATCTGCGCTGATTAAATGCGTCGGGTCGGTTGCGTTTCAGAGAGCGTTACAGTTGACGCCGATAAGTTTGTGCGCGCCGTACATGGCGTTTACGCCTTTGTGGTTGCTCGGTCTGTCGTTCTTTATCGTGCACGAAATTCCGAGCGCGAGAGGAGTGTTTGGGGTGGTTGTCATGACGGGAGGCGCGTACGGGTTGAACAGTGCCGCTGCCGGGAGTGGAGGAGGGGCGGCGGCGGGGGCGACGACGACGGCGTCGGGGGCGTCGACGTTAGCGGAGTTAGAGGTAGGAATAGACGAGAGGAAATATCATCGCGAGGGAGGTGCGAAGAGTCGGAGTAGCGGTTTTAGCGGGAATAGGAGCGGTAGCGACGGTAGTATGCTGATGGTTGAGAATAGTACTAATAGCGGGGCGGGCAACGATGCTGGTAATATCGTAAAAAAAGATGGCGTGGTGAGAACAATTCGCCGAGCCGTTCGGGAGTCGTTGGGAAAACAGGCGTCGGCGTTGAGAAAACAACCGGGAAGTTTAATCGCATTTGGCGTCGCTGGTTTGTGGGGGTTAACGAGCGATATCGATAAGCTCGGGAAGAACGCATCAGCTCATGCTGGTGGATTTATCGTGTACGTGACGCTGCAGAGGATTTTTATGGCCGCGCCGTTGGGAATGATTACGGCGGCGTTAAATCCGGAGGCGTTTGGGTACTTGAAAAATCCAAAAACGCTTTCGATTATATTCGGCATGGGTTTATGCGAGTTGTATACCGTGGTTGCGTACTTGCATAGTTTAGAGCATTTGTTTACGAGTTACGCGGTAGCAGCAAAGAGGAGCGGGATCTTATTGTCCGTGCTAGGTGGAGCCATTATGTTTAAAGAACCGATTGGGGATCGATTGCCGTATGTTTTCGTGATTATCATAGGCATGATGTGCATCATTCTCGCCGACGAATATTAGAGAGAAAAGAATAGAGAAAATATTATTTTTTCAACGCAGTAATAGCAATAACAACTCAACGCAGTAATAGTAATAACAACATAATGATGATGATGATTAGGCTAGCTATTCTCTCTCTCTCTCTCTCCTCTCTGTCTATCTCGCTCTACGCATAGCATCTAACTCTCTCTCTCTCTCTCTCTCTCTCTCTCTCTCTCTCTCTCTCTCTTTCCTTCTTTCTTTCTACAACTCTTCGATCAAGTCGTACCGAATCAACTTCGTGTGCGAACCGACGACGGCCAAGGAGACGTAATACATGATCACGCTGAAAGCGACGCCTATTAAGCCGACAACGATGGTGACTTTCTTGGCAAAGAACATGACGATGAAACAACACACCAAAGGTGGCGCGCAGTATAAGTGAAGCCATATACCGTCTAGAGGTACTCTGTAAGGCCTCTTCATCGCGGGCGCGACTTCTCTCAGTTTCAACAACGCGGCGAATTTCATCACCGTCGTCGCGCAGTAAAACCACATCTCCAACTCCGCGAGAACCTCAAACGGAACTAGAAACAACATTGTCATTAGAACTGCGTTCATGATCATCGCCGCGTACGGATTATTGTTCTTTGGGTCGACTTTAGCGAAGATTTTCGGTAAGGTTCCCACCACCGCCATGCCGTACGTGATGCGACTCGTCGTCGACAACAGCGTGCAGAGCAAACCAACCGTACTAATCGCCGCTCCGATTAAAAACACCAACTCCAAAGCCGACCCGCCAACGAGTTTTGCCACCTCCGTAAACGTTCCGTCTTCCCATTTCGTCGGGTCTGCCAATACGGAGTACCCGACCGAAATGCTCAAAAAATCAATCAACAGCGCCAATCCCATGGCGGTAAACATCGCTCTCACGAACGTTTTGCTCGGATTTTTAACTTCCCCGGCGCAACTTCCCAACAAATCGTACCCCGCGGTCGACCATAACAAAATAATCAAAAATGTGTGCCAATCCGGTCCGAACGACCCGTCGGACATTTCATGTTGCGGCACGATTGTATCCTTCCCGAAACACGCTTCGAAATCCAACTTGGGGAATCCAATCACCACCAACGCGATGAACGGTCCTAAACTCGCCACCGCAAACAACACGCTCGCATTCGCTACCATCTCCATCCCGTACATATTTATCGCAACGACCAAACCCATCAACACGAGCCCAAACGGCACCCTCAACTGATCGTTATACATCTTCTCCCTCGCTTGCCCAAACGCCGGTTCGAGGTAGTCCAAAAACAAAACCGCGAACAAGCCGCCTTCAAAGACTCCCGAAATCAACGACCAGTGCCCGTTCAAAAACGACCAAAACGGCCCGAACGCTTTATCGATCCACAAAATGTGTCCTCCGTTTTCTGGTAATGCCGAGGACAGTTCCGCGGTCATGAGCGCCAGCGGCGCGGACCAAAACACACCAGCCACGAACACCATCAAAAGCGTGATTTTCGCCCCGGCTGCACCCACGGCATCTTCAAACCCGTACGGCCCGCCCGCGACGGAAGAGAACGCGAAAAGTACCAGTTTCCCGAACGTTAACGTTCGTCTTGTTTTTGCATGCATTAAATGTTCGTTAGTGTTGTTCTCCTCGTCCTCCTCGTTTTGTTGTTGCTTCGTCGAGGTGACTACAAGCGAGGCACCGTTCTCCTTTTTTTCCCCGTTGCTGCTCATAATGACGAGTTTTTTTTCTGGAAAAGACAGACAGACAGACAGTCGCCTCTCCCTCTCTCTCTCTCTCTCCTTAAAACAGCCGAAGAACGGCTTCGTGAAAACCCAAGAGAAACGCAGACGTGCTCTCTGAGGTTTAGACTTTAAGAGCGAGGATGAGAGATGCGATAAAAAAACTGAGGAGGGGAACTCCTGTTCTTTTCGTTCTGCCTTTTGTGTTCGTTGACATTTTTTTGCTCTTCTTTTTTCGATGAAATAAGCGAGTTAAAACGGTGCCAAAGCGCTTTGATGATTGTGCGCCAAAAAATTTTCGCCAAATAAAGCGAATTCATCAAAGCGTTCATTAAAACAAAGCGCTTTGAGATTTCACCATCCCATATGGTTTATTTAAAATCGACCTTTTTTTCGCCTCTGTGCAAAGTTGCGATTTTTCGCCACAACAAATCGAACACTCGACGCAAAAAGAAGAAGATTGAGCAGAGAGCAAATTTAGTACAGAGAGAGGCGGAGAGTTTTTAGACGCACACGAAGAAGAAGAAGAAGAATACGAAGATGGCATCCATGGGCGACGACCAGGAGGAGAACATCGAGATGTGGAAGATTAAGAAGGTATCACATATATATGTATATAGTTTGTTCCTTTCTCTTTTACTTATTTTTACTCGTTCGTGAGAGAGTTTTCGTTTGCGCCGGCGGATGAGACGAGAGAGAAAGCCCCGAGGAGGAGGAAAAGATGCGATGGCGTTTTGTTCTTTTCGCGCCTTTTAAGGCCCTTCCTTTTGAGTGCGCGCTCTTTAACCCCGGACGCGCGTGTCGTGGCGTTCGAATAGTGATTCTCTCTTTCTCTTCATACCGGTGTACTTACCTCTCGCGCGCGCACTCGTAATCATCAAATAGTTAATCAAAGGCTTGACCGAAGCCCGGGGAAACGGGACGTCGATGATTTCTCTCGTCATTCCACCGAAAGGGCAGGTGAACTTGGTGAATAAGATGCTCACGGACGAAATCGGGACCGCGTCGAACATTAAATCGCGGGTGAATCGCTTGTCCGTGTTAAACGCGATCGGGTCCGCGCAAACGAGGTTGAAGCTTTACAATCGCGTGCCCGATAACGGGTTGATCATATACACCGGGACGGTGTTAACCGACGAGGGAAAGGAGAAAAAAATGAACATTGATTTTGAACCGTTTAAACCGATTAACACGACGTTGTACATGTGCGATAACAAGTTTCACACGGAGTGTTTGCACGATTTATTGGCCGCAGATCAAACGTACGGGTTTATTATCATGGACGGTAACGGGACGCTGTACGGGACATTGTGCGGGAACCATCGGGAAGTGTTGCAGAAAATTACCGTAGATTTGCCGAAAAAACACGGGAGAGGGGGTCAGTCCGCATTGCGTTTCGCGCGTTTGCGTTTAGAAAAAAGGCAGAACTATTTGACGAAAGTTGCCGAGTTGGCGACGCACCATTTTATCACCAACGATAAGTGTAACGTCGCCGGATTGATTTTAGCCGGTTCCGCGGATTTTAAAAACAGACTGAGCGAGGCGGATGTTTTTGACGCTCGATTGAGCGCGAAGGTGTTGAACGTCATCGATGTCTCCTACGGTGGCGATAATGGATTTTCTCAAGCCATCGAGCTCTCCGCGGACACGCTGGCGAACGTAAAATTCATCGCCGAAAAGAAACTCATCGGTAAATTTTTCGATCAAATAGCGCAAGATACCGGCAAGTTTTGTTTCGGCATCAACGATACTTTGAATTGTTTGGATATGGGCGCGGTCGAAACCTTAGTCGTTTGGGAAGACTTACCGCACGAACGCTTAGAACTCATCAACTCCGTCACTGGAACCACCGAGGTGAAAATTCTCACCCCTGAACAGCAAAAAGACCCGAAACACTTTCACGACGCCGAAAATAACCAACTGGAAACGACGGAAAAAATAGCCTTCAGCGAATGGTTGGCCAAAGAGTACAAAAAATTCGGGTGCCAGTTAGAATTCATCTCGGACAAATCGCAAGAAGGAAACCAGTTTTGCCAAGGTTTCGGCGGCTGCGGAGGTTTGCTGAGATACCAAGTCGATTTGGACGCGTTCGAGGTCCCCGACGACGTCGACTCGGACTCCGGATTCGGAAGCGACTCGAGCGAGGCGTTTATTTAAATAAAACACACATGTATAACAGTCATCACCGGAAAGAAAGAAAAAAGTAAGAGAAAAAAAAGAACAGAAACAAACAGACAGACAGATAGATGGAGAGAGAAAGAGGGAGAGGAGAGCGCGCTTTCTCTTTTTAGTGTTGTTGCTTTATAATATTATTATTAATACCACAGTTGTTCGTAGTTCTTTTTTGGAGAGTAAAAATCTGCCACATTTTGCCTCGTTTGAACAAGAAAAGGATAAGACATTTCCAACGGTATTTCCAATTCTTCATTTTATCTCACGACGCGGTTTATTATACATACGCTTTGAATCTGCATCGTCCGCGGTAACAACAGCAACAAGAACAACAACACGTACCACCAAGGAGATTTATTTAAGAAGACGACGAAGAAGAATGGTCGCCGACGCGGTTCACGAGCTCCCTTCGTCTATCATTGTGCACCCAACCAGAGGTCAGCTCCACCACACGAACCCGCTCGTTCCGGTGGGATGGCAACACCCGCAAATAGCGAGTAGTTCCTGTACTAATAAAGCGTTCGGGTTGGACGACTTCCACGACTCGTTGTTGGAAACGATTTTGTCCTTCATGGACGCGGAAACGATCTTACTGACTGGGCAAACCTGTAAGCGTTTGCACGCTTTGTGCGAGCGAGAGGAACTCTGGGCCGCTTTGGTGAACACGCGCTTTGGCCACCGGCCGAATCGAACCATCGTGAGTTCAGAAAAGCATCAAAAACAGAAAAGGAATGGAGAAACTCTGGAGGAGGAGAAGCGGTTTTGCATCGTCAAGCGCTTGAGCTGGAAAATGGTGTACAAGAAACACCGAGAAGTGTTGTTCGCTCTGTTTCGCGGGAACAGCAACGGGCGCGTGCAACAATTCGGCGGGGATTTCTTCATCAATCACGCGAACGAGCTGGCATTGCCGCCGTCGAATTCGTCATCTGCAAATGCCGTGATGATGATGGCGTAGGGAGTGCGAGTAGGAGTACTCTCTTACGCCGCGCGGTATCCTTAAAATTTTGTGTAATTAAACTCTCGTGTACTTTCAGACTTGTATTCTCTTCATAGGCAAAGCGCACGAAACACACACACGCACGATCAAACGAACGCACAAAGAAGAATGAATCTGACGGAAATCCTGGAGCAACACAACGCTTTACTCGACCTCGGTCGCGAACACTTGGAAAAACTTTCCTCCTCGTTCCGTGAGGCGTTCGATAAGAGCGCGTTTGAGAACGCGAAACAGAATTGGATTGGATTTTACCACGCGATTGATTGGAAGACAGATCGATGGATATCCGCGGTTTTGGTTTTTCATTTGGTCTCGTTGATGTGCGTGGTGAAATGGAGACACTGGGAGCAGTTCCAAGTGAGAATGTTCGTCATATTAGGCGCGTGTAGCTTTGGAGCGGAACGGATGAATGGATTTTTGTCCAAACGGTGGGAGATGTTTAGCACGCAAAACTACTTCGACGAGAGAGGCGCGTTCGTGTCGGTGATTTGGAACGCGCCGTTGATGGTGAATTTAGTGATTATTTTAGTCAACTTTTTACGGTTAACGGTGAAGGAGATGGTGAAGATGAAGAAAGCGCAGATGAAGAGGAGATTTAGGGAGAGTCAAAAGGAATCGGGAGTCGGCGCGAAGAAGAAGAAGACGAAAAGAGAGACGAAAAAGAAGCAGTAGTATTTAGGCGATGTAATAGTTTGTTTAACGATAATATAGTTTTAGGGATGTGTGTGTGTGTGTGTGTGTGTGTGTGTGTGTGTGTGTGTGTTTATTTATACAAGGGTGATTTGAATTCTGTGTCTATTCTTTTCTCTCTCAATCTCAATCTAAAAAGCCTCGCGATCGCTATCGTCGATTAAGACGCTCACGTGAGTTTCCGTTTCGTGCGCTAACTTCTTAATCTCTTCGAATCGTTCTTTCGCGTTCGGGACGTCTAAAGACAAGTCCTCGATTAAGTTTCCAACTCTCGTAAAACCTTTGGTCATTTGTACCGCGGACACTTCTCCTGAATTGTTTAAGACGTGCAATAAACCCAACAGAATCGCCGGCGCGTTGGAATCTTTATCGCTTTCAATCATCATCACCAGCGCTTTCTTCACCAATTCGTGGTGGAAGAACGGTTTCGCTAAATCGTGCAGCCTTCTTCTCGCCTCGGTGACGTCGTGCGATTCCAAGTACTCTTTCAAAAGCATCTCCAACTCCGTCTTAGCCTGCTCGTACGGGGTTTTATCGAAATGTCCCCACGCGTGTAACACTCTGTCCGTGGAAAAGCGCTGCGAAATTTGCTCGCTCGCTTTACTCGCCACCGTTTGCGCGTCTGGACCTTGGCACGTCGGGTCTCCGGCTAAAGTCACCTCGGCAAACTTTGGTGGCAAAATATCGTCCACGACACCTCTCGCGATGAACGTCGAGATCGTTTCAATCGCATCCGGAACGTCCAATTTTAAATCGTGCACGCTCGCCGCTAAATCGACGAAACCTCGCATCATTTGCTTCCCGGAAATCACGCTCGGGTAAAACGCCGACAACAACGCGCTCGCGGCTTCTTTTTCTCTATTTCCTCTATCCAGCGCCATCGTGATTAATTTCTTCACGAAAAAATGCTCGTACAAAGGCTCTTCCAGTCCTCTCAATCGTAACCCAGCCTCGGCGATGTCGTTCGAATCAAAGTATTCCTCGATCGTCGCCTCGCTCGCCATCTTATACGCCTTCACTCGGTCGTACGCTTCCGACCCTTGAATCAACGTCTTCTCCCTGAACACCGTCTTCTCCGCATCTTCGGTGGAATCGTAATTCGGATCGCCTTTATCTAACGCGTACACCGGACTCTGGTCGTCCACCAAAACGTTCGCCGCGCTTTCGTCGCCTTTTCGTCCTCGTCCGGACACTTTCACTTGCACGTGCTTGTGGCCTTTGTGCCAATCCAACCATCGGTTGTCGGTGATTTCCCCGAGGGAAGGTTTTCGCCCGAACGATGCGAGCTCGCGCTTTTTGATCGTTTTCTCGAAGATTTTCCGTTGGTCCGCCGTTAACATTTTGATGAGACTTTATATCGATATTTGTCCTTTTCCCTATAAGCTTTAGAGGTTGCCTTTCCGTATCTAATTTTCGCCGCGAAGAATAAGACTGTTTCTTACGTTCTCGTTCGCCGCGAACCAACCAACGCGAAAGAACGAACGCGTTTAAAGTTTTCTCTCGGTTTTGTTCTTCTCGCTGTTCCGCGCAAAGACGATACTGTGTATTCTATATATCGCAAGAAAGAAAAGGCAGAGAGATTGATATACAAATTCTCGTTAGGGATCTCTCTCTCTCTCTAATAAGAAACTCTCTCTTAAAACTCTCTCTTTCTCTCTTCCCTGCTTCTGAGAAGAAGAAAAAAGAATAACGACGATAAAGGAATGAGAAAGATTAACACTTCACGAACCACACTTTTAGGTCGTTGTCTTTCCTTAAACCGCGTGTTTGCGCGTCTCGCCTTTGTTGCGAATAAAATGGATCGCGTAAGAATTTTTTTTTGGAAATGCACTAACACCCTAAATTATTGTTCTGGATTTCCTTCGTCTTTGTAGAGCGCGGCATAATAATAAAAACAGAACGCGCGAATAATAGAAAGACAGTCTCGCGACAACAACAAACGACAGAGATTACCAACACGCCACGTATGCCTGTGATTCCTCGTTACCTTATATTCCTCTTCCAAGTCGTCCTCGCTTTCTGCTTCATCAGTTTTAGTGGTCTTCATCAATCATCATCATCATCATCGTTCAATTTCGTTCAAGGGAAAACCAAACTGAACATCAAATCCAGCGGCATCGACATGGTCCACGCCTCGCACATACTCTGCGCATCAAACCGCACGTTATGCGAAGATATCATGGAATTACTCGAACCATTCGCCGAGGACGATTTATTACGGCCGAAGTTAGAGCGAGGGTTCGAAGAGCTCGCGAGGAAATTCAGTCGCTGCCCAACTGGGAAGAGGAACGGAGGGGATTTGGGGTACTTTCCGAGAGGGGAGATGACGAAGGATTTCGATGGTACGTCTTCTTTCTTTGCTGCTCTTCGCGTTAATGCATCGCTGACCTTTACGCATATCCTTTCTTTCATTACTTTTAATATTTTTATTCTTTCAACGAAACAGCCATCGTCTTCTCGGAACTGGCGGCGCCGTTGCACAAACCGGTTGGACCGCACCAAACGTCCAACGGGTTCCACGTGATCATGGTCCACGACCGCCACTTGGCGGACGCGGAAATGCGCGAGCAAGCGAGAATTGCCACGGAAGAAGCCAAGAAAAAACGCGAGGAAAGTTTCAAAAGAAACATGAAAAAAGAGCAAGGGAAGCAGGAGAGGAAAGGCGCGAGAGCAAACGCGAGACAGGGTGAGAGAAGACCGCCGGCGAGTTCGAAGCACCGCGCTGCGGTGGGTTCGCACGACGAGTTTTGATGTTTCTCGCTCACTTAGCGAGAGAGAGAGAGGGAGAAAGAAAGAGAGCTGCGAATATTGTCGTTTAGTAATAAGGACGATGCGTTGTAATAGTATTATATTTAAAGAAGAAGAGGCGAAGAATGGTACATGCGTACGAGCACATTCCTCTCTGTTGGTTGTGGATGAAATCCCCTAAAATTTCCCCCAATCTTCACTTCAGATATCAACCGAGAACTTCCTTTCGTTGTCATCATGTGGCCGCGTCGGTAGGGAAAAATGCTGCAACGCAAACACCTTTTTCTGTTGTTCTTGTTCTCGTTCGTAATCTTTCTGTCGGAACACGTGCAATCGAACGACGACGAGAACGATTTCGATTGGGTTTCCGACGAATTCGCGGAGCGAGAGAAACAGAACGACGACGATGCCCAGTTCTCGTTTAAGGATCCAACCGTTATCGTTGGCAACCGCGGGGTGCATTCGGACGATGTCCTCAAATATCCACTCTCAAAAACGTCCAAAAGGAAAGATAAACTTCAAGTGAGCGAGTGCCGCGCGTGCGATGTTTCCGGACTGAAAGTCGGTTGCGACCAAGCGAAATATATTAAACCGTGCGGTATCGAAGGGAGCTACGCGCTGAAGTCGTCGTATTTGGAGCACAGGGCGGAGGAGTGCGGGGGTGGGGGCAGAAATACGAAGATACCGTTGATGGCGAGTTTCGTCAGAGACGTTCGCGCGACGGCGACGGAGTACGCTCTCGTTTTAGATGGGACGAGACGGTTTTTAATCGAAGCGTTTTGCGTGAGAGGGAGGACGAATGACTGTCGCAGGTTTCCCAGGCACGCGAGGTGTCCAAAGGAGATTGTAGAGAGTGGTACTGGTATGTGTGCGTACGGCAGATTGCTCAATCAGCACGAGGGGACGTTTACGGACGAAGATCTGGATAGTTTTGGAGAAGAAGCAGCCGAGGCGGTCGTGGCGACGATACATTGGGAACTGCCAGATTTTCGCGCGTGCAAGGACTTAGAGGTGAATAAAAAGCGAGACGCGAAGGCGAACAAATTGAGAAATTTGTATGACAAACCGTACGAAGGAAGGAGTATCGAGGCGCCTATTCAGGTAGAAACGACGGTTGGATTCGAGAGGAAAGAGAAGATGTTTTTAAAGTTTACCGTCCAGAAAGATGTGGAGAATGCAGAATATAATGTCGAGCACAAGATATCTCCTTCGCAAGTAGAGAAGATCTTGAACGCGCGGTGTCCAGCGACGCTGGCACTCATCGCCGATGCGTTTCATGAAATCGGCCCAGAATGGCGTAAGAAGAACGCTTTTCGAAAGACAAAGATGGACGATACGCCGGAGTATGTAACTAAAGAAGCGCAAAAGCTGTGGGCAAAACTAGGTAAGAAAACACACGAAAAGGCCATGAAGGCAAAGAAAGATAGGGATAGAAAAATAGATAAGTCGGGGATGACGCAAGAAGTGAAGGATGAGCTCGGTCACGATTGGTGGAAACAAATCGCAAAAGGCGCGCCGAGTAGGAAAACGGTATACTGGCAAGATTCTCACCCTGTGTTTGAGTTCGGTTCCTCGACATACTTGGAACCACCAGAAAGACACATACTTCGAATGGTAATAGCTGGCGTACCGCGACGAATCCGCGCGAGTGGGGAACAGAGAACTCCTTACGGGACGTTATTCGTCGCGACAAGGGATAATAGGGATACGAGTTTAAGCGAAGAGTACCAAGCGGCTTTATTAAGGTCTGCGTCGAAGTGTTTGCGAGAGACCAACTTGCGAATAATCGAGATTAATCCCATACACAGGAAATCACACGCAACTGACGACGTCGTATTCCCTTTGGAACCGCCGGTTGATTGGATAGAGAAGGCATCCGTATACGAAAAAACGGCGAGTGGTGGCGTGCGAACAGAGATTGATGGCGACAGAAACACATACAGAGGTGGTCAAAACGTCGATTTGGACTGGGAGGGATATTCTATCGATGGAGGATCGCATTTAGGATGGAGTTCTGTTTCTATCCTGCTCACCTCGGATATTACGGGGAAGAATATCTCAAGCGAAGAGGTTCGCGCGATGTACGGCGCGACAGAGACAGAGTACGAAAGGACGGAAGAGTTTAAAGATAAACGAGGTAATCGACGAAGCAGAGCAGTCAAACTTCGATGCTCGCCTCCCAGGTATCAAAGCTTAGCGCCGTGTTTAGGCTATGCGGAGAAACCTTCAGTCTTTCGCGTGTTGGATAAAAATAAAGGCCACGACCTATTGTTGAAACACGAGCGTGTGGATGTAAAGACGGCGGAAGCTATGGGAAGTTTTGTATTCATCCTTCTCGCGTTGGCCGCTTTCGCTGCATTCTTTTTCATCGCTTTGACCAGAGAGCAGAGATTTGTCGTTTGGGCGATGGCGAAAGCGCAAAATATACAGTTGCGAAACAAATTGGCTGCGCTGGTTGCGAATAAAGAAAGAAGAGAGAACAGAGCGGCGGCGGCTTCAAAAAATGTCTCGGTTTAGTTTAGTTTAGACAGCTTAATTTAAGGTACCTACTTCTCCTTCTCGTCCTCGTCATCGTCGAGAAACTTTTTGAGAAAGTCTGGCGCTATGTTTTTAATCTGCTCCTTATAATCCTTCCCTATGCGATCACTCCAGATTCCCTTCGAATATTCTCCTTGACCAGTGAACCAATCCGGCCTTGGAACATCCGGTAGAGTTGGATCTTGCACGATGGTATCATCTAATTTTTGCGCCACGCTTTCTAACCGTTCCGAAACGAAACCCGGGAGTTTCACTTTGATCGTGGAAGTTTCTCTTTCAATCGAGCCCCTCGCGACTCGGTCCGCTTCGCTCGCGATGCGTTCTAATCTCCGCGCTAACGATGCCGCCGTCACCGCGTAATTCTCATCACTCGTGTCGCACAACCACGCATCTCTCAACACCTCCCACACGCACTCATCGTAATCGCCAAACTTTTCCTTCAAGAAATACCTCGCCACGTCGTAATTCGGCTCCGCCTCTAAATACTCCCAAATCTGACCGTCGAAATCATAATTAAAGAGCGTTTCAAACTGTCTCGTCAACGCATCGGCCTTTGTAGACAAGGACGGTCCTTCTCTAGCCAACGCGGAAAAAATGACTTCTGCCCAGACCTTTCCCAACGCTCTCACGTCCCTCGCCATGTCCTCATCCGATGGGTCTAAAATTGCAGCGCCGAAATTGGCCAATCGGAACCTCGTGCCAAACTCACCTCGCTCCTCAAAGGCATCTCTGTCGTCGAACGAGTCGCAAAAGATTGTGCCAGCATCGATACCATTATGCGCCACTCCATTGGAGTGGCAAAATGCAACCGCTCTGGCCGTTTGTCGTATAGCAGACCGAATGTACCTAAACCTCAACACCGTCGGATGTGTCTGCACCCTCTCCACTGGCGGCCAAAACTTCGTTCGCCCTTCCCCATCGTCCTTCTGCTTCGCCGACGCGTATTCCGATAATCTCTTTAAACCAACCCATTCTTGTGCTACGTAAAAAGAAGTATTCCCCCCATCCTCATCCCTGACTTCGCTCTCGCTCGCCCCAGCAGCGAAATACGCAACGCACCTCACAACCGGCAACATTTTCTGCGACATCTGCCCTTGCCCTCTCCCATATTCATCCACAACAATATCTGGCCTATCATCAGACAACAAACGTTCATACGCATTCACCTCTGTCTCCGCTAATACTTTCACCGACGGAAAATACTCTTTTATCAACACCTGCGGCCCAGTCAAAGAGACCAAAGGATCCCCTGGATATCTAAAAAGAGGCTCGCCGGAGGACCATCGCGCGGCGTATAAAACCATCGCGCTCGAGCTGCTCTCGCTGCTCGAAGAAGATGCCGTCATGGCCTTTATTTCTCCGTCTTCAGTTCTCGAAATGGAAAACGACGAGGAAGGAGACGACGAGGACGGTTCACTTCTCGAGATGGAGATTTTCCCAAGCACTTGGAGCAACTCAAAATCAGAAGCTTCCAAACGCGTCGCGGTAGCTTTGACGATGGTTTCAATTCCTTTTCTCTCGCGATACTTTGTTCGTCGTTTGGTCTGGATTCTGCTGTTGCCGCCGCCACGCGACGATGAGCGCAAAGTTTTAGAAGAACAACAAGGAGAAGAAGCTCGCATGATTGCTTCGTTTTGTTTTGCTATACACAAAAGTGACGACGTTTCAATGCCAAAATTCTAGGGGTTGTTTCAGATTTAGTATTAGATTTTACGCGTTGATCCTCTCGATGATTATTTATTATTAAACTCGTACGCTAAATGATTGTACTCTCTTTCTACGTTTCTTCTCTCTCTTTCTCTCTCTCTTTTCGTTCTTGTTTTCTTCGTTGTGTTATTATTTTGGATTGTTCATGCACCTCTTCTTGAGCGAGCGGTTCAAGCACGTGCGGCACTTGCCGCATCGCGCGGTGGCGTTCCAACTCGTCTTCTTCAGGTGCAATCCAGACTTTTTTAATTCTTCCTCGGACAGCGCTTCGCGTTGGTGGCCGCCCGATGCTGAATTCTTCGGCGGAGTTTTGGTCGACTTCGCGTTTCTTTCCTCGGCGGTAGAGGCAGCGGATCGGAGTTTTTTTATTTTGTTCGCGCTCGATTCGTTGTCGTAGTTGAAGGTTCTTTTCTTCTTCGCGGAGCCGCCGTCTTGTTCTTCCTCGCTGCCTCTCGGCATAGGCTTTGGAGGCGGCGCGTAATTGACGTATGATCGCTGCATCTTTTGTCGATAGAGTCTGGCTAGTACTTTCGCGTCGTTGTTAGCATCCGTGCCCGGAGCGTTGAAGTTCAACGCATTCTCCAACATCAATTCGACATCATCGACGAAGTCTTCGAGGTACTTGTAGTACCCGCCGATAGTGCGTGAGATTATGGTCACCAAGTCGATTGGGTTCGGGACGTTTTCGTAGTACTCGGGCATTTCTGACTTCTCCGGTAAGCGATAGAAGTATTCAATCAACCGCTCGCCTTTTTGTTCGCATTTATCCATGTACTGGCAGACGCTCAAGCAGCTTGTGGCTTCAGTGAGATCGATCGGTTTGAGCATATCGTGAGATGCAAAGACCCACGGAAAAGAGACGTCCGGAATGTCTGGCGACATGCGCCCGGGTTTCTTATTCAACAACACCGTCTCCGTTTCATCCTCGTCTTTGTACTTCAACGTGTGTTTGTTTTCCTTCGGGTCGTACTTTAAAACGTTCGCAGTATACCATTCGCCATCGTCCCAACACACGATCACGCGCTTGTTTACTAACTTTTCGCCAAAATTTTCCCCTTTCTCAAACTCAAGTTGCGTCCAAGTGTCGTTCTGGAATTTATCAATCGCTGCTTGGTCTGGTTTCGGCGTCGCGATGAGAATCGCAGCCTTGCGAAACTCCGGACGAACGCTAAAATCGATGTCTTCCCAAAACTCCGTGTTGTCCACGCTGGTTTGATCAAACAGTTCTTCCATGACTTTCACAAATTCTGCGACGTTCTTAAAACCTTTATCTTTGCACTTTTTCGAGATTGCGTCGAGCTCTTTCATGATGTACGTACACGCGAGTAACCCTTTCTTCGATGGAGGCGTTTGTGTCGTTTTCACATTTCGAATTGCATCTATGGCGTACACGCAACGTTGCGCGATGACGTCTGTAAACGAATTAGCGGAGTCCGGAACAGGAGAGTTTGTCAAGTGCTCCATCGCCGAGATAGAAGCCTCCTGAATCCGCGCTTTCTCTTCCATCGCGATGATGTGCGCTTGCGCCTCCGATTCTACACCGCCCTCGGTTGTTCCTTCTTTCTTCGTACTCATGACGAATCGAATCGTTTTCGGCTGAAGGTCGGATCCATCGCCTCCTTCATTCTGGTTATTTTGATCATGTTGCTGCTGTTGTCCTTCCTTGGGAGATTGGACCGCGTCGCCCTCTCCCTCCAATTTTCTCTTCGCCAATTCCATATACTCCTTTTCCATCGCCAATCTCTCGGCCTTCTTCACGTAATATGTACCCGTCTTCTTTTTTTCCACGTGCGTCGGCTTAATCTTTTCGTCCGCGATGGCCTGTCGCAACGCTCCTTCGTCCAACATGAGAGCAAGTTTCCATCGCGCGACTTTTGGGTTTTGCCAAAGCGAGTAATCTTTCCCAGTTTTCTCAAATACCATCCTTTCGAGGACGTCTCTCGGAAGTTCGAGATGCGCGGTGGCGTAAAACGTACCCGGCTCTGCGCGTTCCATGTCTGGAAGCGTCGGCAAAAGGCTCACTCGTCCACCGGTGTGCGTTTTAGACTCTCCTGCTGTTGATTCGCTCTTTTTAGAAGCCTTTTTCTTTCCGCGTCGCGCGGGGATGCTTCCTCTCGCTCGAATGCTGCCTTTGGAGATGATATCTTTGAAGTCTTCGATGTCCATGCTCTCTAGCTCACCAGTCTCGTATTGTATTTCAACTTTGTTGCTGAAGGCGTCTTCGTTATCTTTGTCTGGACCATCATCATCATCGACAGCGGCTTTTTCTCGTTGCGCGTACTCGTCTCCGAACTCTCGATCTTCGCAGCACTTGACAATTTCCCCGCGATACCAGACTTCGTCGTCTTCCCAAAGCACTTCGACTTTGCAGCCCGCAAGGTGCGTTCCGATGTCCTCGTAGGTGATCGGTATGGTTACCGATTGTCGTCCGGGCGTAAAACCTGGATTGAATCCCAAGTTTTTCTCCTCCGCGCGCGTCCAACCCCGAATCTTCGTTTCGTAGATGTTCATGAGGAACAGAGGACAATCGGTGTCGTTGATCCAAATCGGAACAGGTTCTTCTTCCTTCTTTTCCTCTTCTTTGGTTTCATTCTTTTCGTCGCTTGTCGGTGGCACGGTAATTGCCGTTGCAGCACTTAATGGATCATGAATAGTTACTCCAGCTGGAGCGGCGGCTACAGCAGCGGCCAGAGCAGCGGCAAGGTTATTGCCTTGCTCTTGAACTCCATCGCCTAGCACCGACGCTTCCGCGCCTTCCGTTTTCACCGGCGAAGGTTGCTTTTCAGTCAAGGAGACAGCTTCTTGTCCTCTTAACTCCCCTGCTTCTGGCGGCACTTCCTCCATTTCCATCTTTTCAGCCGCTGGCGCTTCTTCGACTTCTCTTTTCTCCTCCGCTGGTGGCGCTGGGGCCTTTTCGACTTCCGTGTTCTCCTCCGCTTGCGGCACAGGGACATTTTCGACTTCCGTGTTCTCCTCCGCTTGCGACGCCGGGACCTTTTCGACTTCCATCTTTTCCTCCGCTGGCGGAACTGGGACATTTTCGACTTCCATCTTCTCCTCCGCTGGCGGCACAGGGACATTTTCGACTTCCATCTTCTCCTCCGCTGGCGGCACTGGGATTTTTTCGACTTCCGTGTTCTCCTCCGCTGGCGGCGCTGGGATTTTTTCGACTTCTTTCTTTTCCTCCGCCGCTGGCGGCGCAAGCGCTTCCTCCGCGTCCGGCATCTTCTTGTCCTCCTCCATTGGCCTCGCCGAATCTTTCTCTCCTTCTTCCACCTTCGTCGGAGATGCCTTTGAGGGCGAGTTTTTCTTCGAGTCGTCTCCCCCGACTTTAGGCACTGGCTCCAATCGATACTGCGCCAATACTGAGCCCGTCGTCGGCCATTTCGCGAAACGCTTCTCGACAATCTCCAGTTGTCTGAAGTTGATATTTCTGTGTCTACCGTCGAAGGAATTGGAGTGGATTTTGTGAAACATCGGTGATTTGATGTGATCCCAGGCTATGTGGTGATCGAAGAAGCGCAAGAGTAATCCCAAGTACGCCGCCGAAGAAGCGTTTTCAACTTCGGCGATCCACGCTGCTCTCATAAGACGCGACGGTTGCGGCAAACCTCGACCGCGCCAACCAATGCGGTAGTTCACCACACGCTCTGGTAATATTGATTTCACCCCGCCATTTCTCGCGCATTTTCGAAGCGATTTGATGGGAACGCGCTTTCCTCTCAACACAAGCGCCAATGGCGCGACTTCGGAGCGCAACGAAGAAGGACCAACTTTTTCAACGCGGTGCTCCTGCTCTTTCTTTTCAAATTCGAAAATCGAGGCGTTTTCTTTGATTTCTTGAGCATACCATGCCGCTTTCATCGCAAGAGGACGAATGCTACTCTCTAAGAGTAAGATCCACTTTGCCACGTCTTTGAAAGTCGATGAACCTCTTAAAGACGTGAGCCATTTTTGGCGCCATTGATCACCAGTTACCGTTTCCGTACCCGCCCAAGGACCGTCAAGTAAGCCGCACAAATATCGCTCCATGTGACACGCTTTTGCCACGACGTGGCCGAGCTTATCTTTTGCGAGATGGTCTTGCCATCCAGGTTTTATAGGCGGTTGTGGAATAGGGTATGGAGCAAACCATTGGTTGACGAATAACGACGTCACGCGACCCCGAGCGGTCTCGCCAGTCGCGTTCGCGAGCGCAAAGACTCCAGCGTTCGCGTACTTATTTTGGTACGTGTAGCACGATTCTGTAGTCGTTTTCGTCCCCATCGTCGCCGCCAAAGGTGTTGATGGTGCTGCTGTCGGAGTATCGCCGCCGACCTTTTCCACATTCGCTTCCGCCGGAGCTACTGCTAACAAAGAAGATTCGTACTCGATTTTGGCGGCGTGCGAAAGCGCCAATTTTCTGCGCTCTTCGAGCGCGCGCTCCATTTCTGGATCGTTGAATGGAATCGGCTCTTCTTTGACCACTACTTTTGGTTGCATAGCTTCTTGACGAGCGCGCTGTTCTTCGGCAACTTTAGTAGGAGAATACGTTTCCGTCTTTTTACCCGCGTTTGCTCGTCGGGATCGACCCGACGTCGGCATCACTTCCTCTTCTTCCTCTGGTTCTTTCCTCCCACCTCTCTTTCTTTTACCCCCTCGAGCAGAGGAAGGTGGAGCTTCCCTTTCATCGTTATCTAAGTCCGACCATTTTTCATCGTCGTGCTCCTCCTCCTCTCCGGAGTCCTCCCCGTCAAATTCCATTTCATCTATGTCTTCTTCCTCTTCTTCGGATTCTGCGTAGGTGGGACCAACGATTTTGTCTTTTTCCCACTCCGGTAAAGTCTTCCCGCAATCTCCGAGCCCAAATTTTTCAAAAACTTGGATTGGATCGGCACCAACCTCCGTAACTTGTTGACCGCGTTTGAGAGACGCTTTCGCGTCTTCCGAAGCGTTTCGAATATCATCCAAGTAAGCGTTCGCTTCTTCGAACGGTTTTCGATCTATCGCGAGTACCTCAAATCGTTTCCACTCGTTCTCTCTGATCGCCGCGTTTAAATCGGCGCGACCGCTTCCAAACTTTTTAGGATTCATCCCTCCTTCGAGCTTAGCGACGCCGTCCTTAGCAGAAAAGAAGTATTTTCTCCCTAACGCGTCCCCATCGGTTTCACACAACGCACACTCGGTTCTTAAAAACGGAAACGCCTGCGCTCTCAACTCCTTGTCGGATCGAATTTGTTCCGGAACAGCGACGCACTCTGGACAAAACCATTCCGTCTCCGCGAGCGCTCGGTTGGTCGGTTCACCGGCACACACCGCGTGGAATGCCGAAGGACATCCGTCGCAACACACCAAAGAACCCGATCTGCCGCATACCGAGCACATATCACCGTGCGTATCCGCCGCCGCCGCTAAAGCTTGTTCCAGAGATTTTACCGCGCTCGCATTCTTTTCGACGACGTCGTCTGTTCCGGCAATGTACCACTCGTCGCCATCCCATGTGAGCATGGTATCGACGTCTTCCTTTTTTATCAGTTTCGATTCGTTTTCACCAGGAAACTGAACTTCCATTCGACCCAACGCACCGATCGGATTGGTGATGCGTCCGCACCACCATCCCCCACCCTGGTAACATTCGACGACGTCGCCGGCAGATCTGATCCATTGCGCGCGCGATTTCTTATCCATACGGTACGGATTTAAAGGTCGAACTCTAGGGAATGCGTCTCGATCGTCGTCGGCACGGTTGGATTGTACCCGCTTCTTTTTTGCGCGTTTACTCCGCCCGCGATTTTTCTTTCTGGCCAACTGCGCGATGCGCATCACTGAGGCTGGGTCTAATTTTTTGCTCGTCAACTTCTTGCGACGTAATTTCCAATCGTGTGAACGCACGTCTTCGAGCGTCACCCACTCTTCCAATTTGTGATTACTCACGTCGCTCAACAACTCATCGTAACGCACGCGAATGCGGTCGCCGGCGGCGGCGATGACGACGCCCGAGTACCAACTCCCTCGAATTGGATGTTCCATACCGTACACTTCAACAAGCGCCCCAATTTTCGAAGTCAACAAACCACCGTTGGCGACTTGGAACTCCCCGGCTTCTATCAAAACTTCTCGAGTTTCCAACTCGTTGCGAATGACGTTGGTATCGAGAGTTTCATCGACTAAGAACTGTAAGAGTTCGATTTTTTCATACACCGTCGCACCGTAATACCCTCCGTATCTGTGATCCGCCCAGTTGCATTTTGGAACGTGCCTGTTGCCTCGTGCACGAAGCCTCTCCACGAGTTTCTTCGCGTACGCCGGCCAAGTAACGATGTCGAGGTACTTAAAGCACTCGTCGAAATCGAGCGAAGATCTTGGGATTGTCGAGCCATCGTCTAAAACGATAACCTTCGTCGAGCCCGTTTTAGAGAACACTTTTTTATCTTCCACATCGACCAACTGTCCTCCGCCGTAATAGGCATCCGCCTCGAGCACGTCCGTAGCCAAAACTCTCAGAAGCGCGGCGTGCACTTCATCGACGACAGCGTTCGGTTCTCTTTTAACTAATCCTTCGTGAAGCTGCTTCAAAGTCATCGGCGAAAGTTTATACGCTCTGGACAACGACGTCAAAGTCGAGTGCGGCGCCAAAAGCATGCCAAGCTGCACATTCTCGTCTTCGTTCACTCTCGCCGCCGTTTCCGCGTATGCACTGGATATCATCGATTCTGGATGATTGCGGATCAACGAAGGCCTCTTGGCGAGCGCGAGTCCTTTCGGACTCTTACTTTCGTCGTCTTCTCCTCCTTCCCCAGCCGTCACCATCTCCGAAGATGACGTCGCTTTCACCGTCAGTTGCCGTTCCAACCTCTCCTCTTTCCTCCCTCTGGACCACCTCTTCTTTATCTTCACCAAATCTTCTCCGATACCTTTTTCCAACTCCTCGTTATAATATTTCGGCTTCTTCGTCTCCTTCTTCGCCGCGGCGGACGCCGCCACCGTACCGAACACCTTCTCCTCCTCCACCTCTTTCTCCGTCATCGGTACCGGTCGTTCCTCCTCTTCTTCTTCCTCTATCAACGACACTCCAATGCCTCCTCCGTTCCCATCTCTCATCTCTTGCTCTTTCCGCTCCTTCTCCTCGCGTTCTTTTTGTTGCTCCAACAAAAGCTGTTGCCTGCGACTGGTGTGGACCACGAAATCTGGATTCACCCCTTTCGGCTTTAAAAACCGTTCCGGGTGTAACCTCCTCTCCTCTTCGCGTTGCCGTCGTCTCTCCTCCTTCTCCTCTTCGGTCATCTTCGGTCGGCACTTGTTCGCGCGTGGTATCACGTTCCCGTCTTCGTCGTACTCTGGATCGGGCTCTTTCCACAGGCCGTGTTTTTTCAGCATGTATTCGCTCATCGGGCCTTTTTTCGGAGGCCGGCCTCGACCGGCCATTTTTACAAAAACAGACGAAGAAACACCAACACCACTCACAAACGCGTCCGTCTCGCCTCTCTCTCTCTCTCTCTCTTTCCGCGCTGTCAAAAGAACCCGGTTTTGATGACAAGAGAGAAGCGCGCAGAAGTTTTGAAAAATTTCTGTTTTTTTTTTTTTGACCCAGGACTGCTTAAACCCTACTTGAAAGCACTTGAAAAGGGAAAAAAGGATACGAAAGAGGATTTAACGGAGGATTTCCCATTGCAAACAACGATACCATTCTTGTAAACCCGCGCGCGAGAAGAACGTAACATGGAGCGCCGACCTCCTCCACCGTCGGATAACACCGGAGGAGGTGGTGGAAAATCGTTTAATAATACTAATAATAATAATGAGAACGGAGAGAACAGCAGCGGTGGTGGTGGAAACAATAATAATAACAATACTAACGAGGGAGAGACTGTGGACGTGTTCGGAGGGGACGTCTGGTCGTCCGGAGCGGTTTTGATTGTCGTGCTCGCGTGGATGTTTAAAGCCGCGACGGAAAGGTGCACGTGTTAGAGAAGGAGTAAGAGGAAGGAAAATGTCCTCCGAGGAAGAACGCGTCATCTTAACGCCTGAACTGAAAGCGAGGATCGAGAGGAACAAGAGAGAGGCTTTGGAAAGACTGAAGGCGAACGAGAAGAAGCTTTCTCAACGAGCGCGCGTGCACGGCGATAGGATTCGGAGAGTAAACGGTGAAGACGCCAAAAATAACGTGGCGAATGGACAATACGTTTTGTATTGGATGCAATCGTCGCAACGCGCGCGATATAACGAGGCGTTGGAGGTGGCGGTGGAGAGAGCGAACGCGCATAAGAAGCCAGTCGTCGTTGCGTTTGCGTTGACGTGCGACTACGAGGACGCCAACGAGAGGCATTATAATTTCATGGTGAAAGGGTTGTTGGATGTCAAAGAAGGTTTGTCGAGGCGGAACGTTCCGTTTTTCTTGGTGACAAAGAAGAAGAAGCGGAAGGAGGAAAAAGAGGACGCGTCCGGCATTCCAGAGGCAATTTTATCCCTATCCAAGAACGCGATTGAGATCATCACGGACTGCGGATATTTGCGAGTGTTGAGAATTTGGCGCGAAACGCTCGCGCGTAAAGTTTCGATACCAATAACGGAAGTTGAGACGGACGTGGTTGTTCCAGTGTTCGCGCACTTATCTTCGCGACCAAAGCTAGACGTTTCTGCCGCATCGTTTCGCGCGTTCGCGTTGCCGAAATCGTTCGAGCACACGGAAAATGTGCCAGATTTGGAAGAAATTGTGCCTTTATGGAACGCCGAAGATGTGAAAAAAGCTCGCATGTCGGTGATGGATGTGCTCGACGACAGATTTGCGTTCGTCATAGACGGTAGAATCGCATCTTCTTCGTCGTCGTCGACGCCTTCAACATCCGCGAAACAAACCGCCGATGATATCTTGTCCGTTTTAAAAACGGAATTTGGGTTGAAAGAAACGCCACATATTCCAAAATGTGACAAATATCACATCGGAGGCGAAATCGAAGCGATGCTTAAACTCGACGCGTTTCTCGATTCAGTCGTATTGCGCAAATACGGTGAACTTCGTAACGACTGTTCGCTCGGACTCCAATCGCATTTGGCGCCCTACATACACTATGGTCAAATCTCCGTTTTACACGTCGCCAAACGCGCGCGAAGGTTTGCGAATGCACACAAAACCGATGAAAAGATTCAAAAAAGCGTCGAAGTCTTTCTGGACGAACTCATCATTCGAAGAGAGTTGGGGATTCAATTCGTAGTAAAAAAAAGAGAAACCTACGATACGTTCGACGCTTTGCCTATTTGGTGCATTAATACGCTCGAGAAGCACAAAGACGAAAGGGAGACGAGATATACGTACGAAGAGCTCGAAAAAGGACAAACGGACGATCCTTTATGGAATGCCGCGCAAAATGAATTGCGCATCTCGGGTAAGACGCACAACTACACGCGAATGTATTGGGGTAAAAAAGTCGTCGAATGGTTTCGCGATTCGAGAGAGGCGTGGACTGTCTTGATGCGATTGAATGATACGTATTCTCTCGACGGTCGCGACCCGAATTCCTACACGGGCGTAGGTTGGGTGTTTGGACTCAACGATAGGTCGTTTCCAGAAGCTCCGATTATGGGTGAGGTTCGACGAATGTCCATGAGCGGGTGTAAAAAGAAATTTGGCAAAGCCATAGACGCGTACATCGATCGATGGAACGGTCAACGAGAGAAAGGTGGTCGCCAGGTTTCCATCGCGAACATGTTCAAGAAACAGAAGACACGATGATGCTCGACTTTGATAGACTGTACAGATAGATATAGTGATACACATAATAAAAATACATTGTAAACTAAAGTTGCTATTTTAAAACCGTAAATTGGATGGTATTTTACTATATGCGTTTTTTGTTTATACTCTTAATTATTGGCTCCCAATCTCTCGCGCTCGCGCTTTTCGTTTATCGCTTGTTCTCGCACCGCTCTGAGGAATTCTTCATCATTTATCGGTCCATCGCACATGGATCGATTCATTCCGGCGATGGTCAAAAAAGGCAACTTTCGGAGCGCTCTGCCGCTCATTCCCTCCGTTGCAATCACTACGTCCTTGAAAAGGTTCGAGTCTTTCGCCATTTCCAGTTTGGTTGGTGGTAATATACCTACTCGCTTGAGCTCATTAATCGACGAAAGTAGGATATGACCCCTAGCGGCATCTGCAGGATTGCCGACGTACATCTTCACATCCGCGCGATCGATAAACGCCACATCAATCGCATCGGTCACGTTACTCGTCGTCAACACCATCGCGTTCTTCTTCTCCTTCAAAGCGTCCAATTGCGTCAACAACGCGTTCACGACCCGAATGGCATCCGACGGTTCCGCCCCAGTCGCTTTCCTCGCCGCCGCCAACGACTCCACTTCGTCCACCAACACAAACACAAAGGTGTCCTCGTCGTCTGTCAACTCTTGGATCTTCTCGAACAGTTTAGAAACCAACTTACCGCTCTCCGAAAACCATTTGCTAAAGAGCGAGTGCGCGTTGATTTCCACAAAGACGGGTTCCGAATACGTATCGAGCATCTGTATCGCCAACTTCTGCGCTAACCCTTTGCACATGGTCGTCTTCCCAGTCCCAGGAGGTCCGTGTAACAACACCACTCGATTAAACGCCACCAGCGACGCGTTCACGTTCAAGTTGCCAAACTCCAACGCCGTCCGCGCGTAGTTTTTCAAACGCAACTTCTTGCCTTCGTCTAAGTACAACGAGTCCCAATACTCGCTAAACTCGCGACACGGCAACGCGTACTCCTTATACGTGGCTATTTCCTCGTCGTCTTCTCGTTCCTCTCCGGCGCCGTCTTCGTTGATTTCGTGCACGTGTATGCGAAAATCAACCTCGCAAAACATCAATTGCATGCCTTCGCATTCGCCACTCGCGTCCCAATACGTCACGATCTTCTCGCAGTTGTTCCTCAAAAACGCCAACAACTCGTCGAAGTCACCACACCACAACGGTCCCAACTCTTCTGCACGCAATGCAATTACAATGTCTTCTTCCTCTCGGGAATCATCTAAATTGATCTCTTCATCCGCACGCACCGTCGGCATGCCTGAACGTTCGAAATACTCCAAAACGCGCTTTTTAACCTCACTTTTCTTCGCAATTGAATCCCGTTTTAATCGCACCTCCACGTCGCACCTCATATTCTTCAACTTCCTCTGGTGTTGGTGTTGGTGGTTCTTGATGATGATTTTGTCCTCGTCTTCCCAAGTGATGTTGCTTTTTCTCTTCCTATTCTCCAATACTAATAACGATTCCTCCTCCTTGTCAACATCATCATCAAAAGCGAGTGCGCAATTACCGCCGCTTTTGAACCCGTTTCCGTTGTTGTTGTTGTTGTTGTTCACTGTGGAAAGAGCGTCTCGTTTCGTCGTCGACATCATCTTCAATAAGATTGTGTCGCTTAAATAAAAAGAGAGAATTTTTGAATTTTCGTAAGATTGTTTAGGGTTTTTTTCTTAAGGGGAATTTAAGGTTTCGCAAAAACCGAAAAACGAATTCTGCATTTCTCTTCCCTAAATTGCGCTTGCTCTCTCTTCTCGTTGGAGTGTTCACAACGGTTTAAAAGAACGCAACCATGCCACCGCGCAGAAAACCAACCGAACGGGGGAACCCGATCTCCCGCGCCGTGAAGGCGGTACAATCGCAAGCCATGAAAATGGTCGGGTCGCAAAGTCCAAGAAAGGTACGTGTTTATATTTTTTTTCAACTATCGATCCGTTGGTGGAATTCATTCAATTCTCTCGAACCTTAAATCGAGCGCAATGGAACCTTAAACGCGACGACGGGTACGACGACGGTTCGCGATGCGAAGTTTCTTTCTCCCTTCTCTCTTCGTAAAAACACGCTGACGTATTTCTTCCACTCGATGCGCTTTCGAACACATAAATACTAGGAAGCGATCGGGTCCTTCGATGAGGACGAGAATACCATCGTGCAGACGCAAACCGCCTCCCAGGGGGGCGGACAATTCTTGTCCCCGCACCAAACGCACTCGCCGAGAGTTTTACCGGTCGTCCCGATGCTCCCGCTCCCGAGAGAGTACCGGTCGAGAGACGACACGAATCAAAAGGAAAAACCACCGGGGTGGATTCAACGCACGTGCGTCGGGGAAAACTGCGTTAAGAGGCAAAAGAGCGGACGGTATCTCCGCAAGCCCGGGACGGCGGAAGGCGACGACCAATACTTGTGCTTCACGTGTTGGTCGCACGACCACGTGAAGAACCAGAACAGGGAGTGTTTCGTGTGCGCGCGTCCAGATGCCGGCGGGTGTTGGTATAAGAGCAAGTTGCACGAAGGGAAGGATTTGTGCACTCGATGTTACGAACGCGAGAGAAGAGAGCGTTTGCAAGCGAGCGGGACGTTGAAGTGCTGGTGTTGCGGCGCCCGCCACTCGAGCTCGAAATGGAGAACGAGTAAAGACAAATCGGAAGGGAAGAAGGATTTGTGCAACAAGTGCTACTTGAAAGAGTGCAGATCGACGAAGCAGGCCATGGAGTCGGGTAAGTCGTGCTGCGTGTGCTCGACGCAAATTACCACGGAGTGGAAGGAAAGCGCTTACGCCAAAGACGCGAACGGCAAGCAGGATATTTGCGACCAGTGCTTTCGAAGAGATCCGGCGCACGCCGGAGCGGCCGCGGCCTCGTTGGAAGGTTAAACTTTTGATTTGACGACGAGCGACGAAAGAAAGAAGAGGAAGAAAGAGAGAAGGAGAAGAGAGAGAGAGAGAGAGAGACCCAGAGAGAGACCGAGTGTTGTTTAAAAGAAGAACACGAGGCTCTCCGTTTTATCATTTTGTTTTACTATGCGTTTTATACTGAAATTTTAAGAATACACAACACACACACACACTACTTTTACATGGCTACCTACGCTACGCTTGTTTTTCGAGCTAACGTGCTTCCTTTCACGTCTATTCGTTCGCCGCTCGGACCAAAGTTATCCCACAATAGCCCCCAGGCTTTCCAATCCTCCTCGCTCGGGTTTGGCTTTTGGATTCTCGAGACTAAAGGATCGATCAGTTGGTGCGTTATGCGCGTGTCTTCGTAAAAATGCACGCGTCCTCTTTTGACTTTTATTGATCGCATCAACGCAGCGTCGGCGAATTTGGAGCTGTATAGTAACAGCTCGACGTCTGTTTCTCCTAAGAGGGTCATATCGACCATGGATTTCAACCACGCGCTTCGGGGGTCGCTGGCGATGCACGAGTCCGAGGCGTCGTCGCAGACGCCGGTGTTGGAGAATTTCACGTTGCCGAAGGAGCCAACCGTGCTTAAGACTTCCGTCCCGTTCACTCGTAAAACTTCCAACGCTTCCGGGGAATGTAAGATGGCGTTGATGGCTGGTGAATCCGTCGTAAAAAACAAACCCAACGGGTCGCTTTCTTTCAATCGGACGTCTCTCATTAAATCGGCAAGACATTTCAAGAAGAGCGTCAACGGCGCCGAGCCGGCGCCGGCGTCTTCATCGTCGCTCCCCCTCGGCCAACTCACACTGTGTTCATCTTTTTTAATCGGACACTTCGGTTCCGGATATGTTCTTTTCGTTCGTTCCGTCGCTAAAAGTTCGTCAACGGACGCTAAGTCTGCCTGTTTTACAACTCTTGGAACATTCGTCGGCGGTTCGACTTGACTCATATCCGCAAAGCCGGTGCGAATGTGCGCGCCGACGATTTGTTTCCACCCTCTTCTGGACATTTCCTCGAACGCTGGAAGCATGGCTATTTTTAAATGCTTCCTCGGCATCAACATATGCGTTCCAAAACACGACCCTACTCCGCACGCCTCGCCGCATTTGCTCGACGTAAAATTGTTCTCGAAATTCGTCGCCCAGCGATAGGACAAACAAATCCCCCAATCGGACGGTTTCGGATGGCACCAGTGGCCAAAATTCGTTTTGATTCGAATGCGAGCGACGCGAGCGGCTTGAAACTTCGGGTGTTCCATAGTTTTCACGATTGAATTCTCATCCGGTTCGGCGTAAAATCCACCTTTATACCTTTCCGGTTGCTCGTCGCCGATGTACGAGCCCTTTTGACTCCACGTAAACACCGTCTCCTCGAAATCGCCTTCCTCGAACAACTCTTTCTTCGCACGTCTTCTCTTCCCCTTATCCCACTTCCAATCGACATCGCCGTAGCCGATGAAATAATCTCCCAAATCAAACTGGCACTTCCTCGCTAAATCCTCGTACGTTTTAGAGTTCTCAATCTCGTCGCCTTCCGAGACGCCCAATCCGTCGCACTCTGCTTTTTGCGTCTTGACGTACGCCGCTCTCCCTGTTGAAACGCCGATGATAAACAACTCTTGATAATGTTGCATCTCGTCTCCGATGCCGTTCTGATAATTTTCCGACCAATCAATGATGACAATCCTGTTCGTTTTCAAATCTTCGTACCTCGGTTTCAACATCTCTTGGAAATACGTCTTCACTTCTTGGCACTGATTTTTGCTCAATCCTATAGAACCGTCCCGTTTTTGCATCATGTAATCGAACCGCTCGACGTCTTCGAGATCTTTCGCGGTGAACTCCACGAAACTTTTTGGCGTCAGGTCGTCTTCCGCTATTCGTTGCTCTCGTTCGTCTCCTTCTTCTCGCGGCGCTTCTCCTTTCGTCTCCTCTCGTTCAACGCTCGACGCCGCCGCCGGTTGTTCTCGCTGTTCTTCTTCTTTTATTTCTACTTCTTTCGTCGTCACATCGATAGGCTTCTCCTCTTCCTTCTCTTTCACTTCATCCATCGTCGTCGTCGTCGATGGTGTATCGATCTCCTTCGCGCTTTCGTCTTCTTCCTTTCCTACTTCTTCTTCTTCTTCTTCGATATCTCCAAACGCACCACCACCACTGTCCTCGGAGGAGGACTCATCGCTCGGCCGCTCGTACTTCATCTCCTCCACCTCGTGCATGATTTCTTCCTTCGTCGTCGTCGCCGTCGACGCCCGCAGCACGGAATCAATCAACCCGAAGCCCGGTCGTCGTCGTCCTCGGTCGTTGTCCTTCTTCTCGTTTTTCATCAAATCGAAAGCGTCGTCGTTTTTTTTCCCGGCCTTTCTTTCATCAACGAACGCGAGGTTGTCGATGCCAAAGACACAGACGACGAGCACGCACGCGAACGAGAGAAACAAAAACGAACGCCTGAGACAAAGTTTGACAGTCTCGCGCGCAGGTCGGGATGATTTAATTACGATGGGTTTTATAGGGAGGAGGACCATTTTTGTGGTCGTTTTTTAAGTGCCTTTTTGTGACGACTTTGACCTTTGCAATGAAAAATATTCGCGGGCCGGCGGGCGTGAATGCGCGCTCTGCGTAGTATATATCATTCTTTGCACGTAGTAGTATTACAAGTTTCAGGGAGCGACGGACCTCATGCCGAAAGCGTTATCGGAGTCCGATGATTCGGCGTCTTCAAAATCGTCGTCTCCCTTTTTCTCCTCTTTGTCTTCTTCTTCGCCTTCGCGCGGACGTTTGGTTCCGGTCGGAGTGTGTGACTTCTTCTTCTCTTTCGTTTCGTTCTTCGCGACCGTGTTAAATGCACCATCGTCGTCGTCCGAGTCGTCGTCGTCTGAGTCATCGTCAGATCCAGAGTTATCATCATCATCATCATCATCATCATCGTCGTCGTCATCTTCTCCTTCTTCAGATTCCTCGCCTTTGAAATCGTCGTCCGAGTCGTCGTCGTCGTCGGAATCCGAGTTGACATCTTGGAGAATATCTTGCGTCGTGTCCTCTTTTTTGCTACTTCTCTTTTTCATTCCTCCATCCTCTTCGTCGTCGCCGTCGTCACCCTCCGCCGGCGCTTCCTCGCATACCATTGACAGCCACTCTCTCACCGGCAACAAATATTCCTTCGAAATGTTCAAAAACTCGTATTCGACGCCGTCCAATTTACACGCTAAATCAAAATTGCTCGACCCTCCAGCTTCCGCTCTCATGATCCGTAACTCGTCCAAATCTTCCACTAAAGTCACAATCGCCGGCCGTTCGAGAAAAATCAAATGTTTCCTCAGCAAAAACAAATACCCGTCGTTGAATTTCAACACGCACTTCACTTTCACGAACCCTTTGGTGTACTCTTTCACACCGCACGATTTGACGTAACACCTCATCAATCCAATTGAATTTTTCAACGTATCTTCTTCGCTCAAGTCGTGCTCGCCAACCGTAAACGCGTCTTTCACTTCTTTCTCCGACATGGCGCCTTCGCCTCCTTCGCCGACGGTCACTTTCAATTTTTTCTCCGCCGCGGATAACTGCGCCCTCGATTGCCACACGATAGCTTTAATCCCATTTTTTACCGACGGTAACGTCACCTCCTCTTTCAAAGAAACCACCAAATATTGCGTCCCGTTCGAGTCCTCCGTCGGTAACACCGCGAACGTGGCCATGTTCTCTTTCCTCAGCAACAAACTCTCCTTCTTTTTCGGATTGCAGGAATACAACAAAATCGAAGACGAATTTCTCATCTTATACACGTCAAATTTCCCTCTCGGCGTGCTCAACGACACGTCTCTGGTCACAAAATCGTACTCGTTTGCTTTCGGCGGTTCGTCAAACGTCGTCGTCGTCTGAATCGTCGTCGTCGCAGCAGTAGTCGTCGTCGTCGTCGTCGCAGTCGTCGTCGCATTATTTTCTTCTGAGAGAGAGAAAAAAAACTTTGCCAAGGGAACTAAACTCGTCGCCAAAGCGTCCCTTTTCTCTCGATTTTCCAAATCCGCGATCTGTTTCAAAGGCTCTCGCCAAAGTTTTCTCGTTTTGTCTTCGTCTCCTCCTCCTTTCCGCGACAAAACGGCCGCTTCCAAGGCCTCCATGATGATGATGTAATGATGATTTGATATGTGATGTATATATCACAGAGAGCAAAAGAAAGTGAGAAAAGAGACGAGAGAAAATTTTTTGAATTTTTTTGTCTTTTTGTGACCAAAAAAGTGCAGTTTTGACGAAATTTTTTCATCGAGAGTCTTCGATTGATTTCAGCCATCGAATAATAATTCCACACAACAACAACGAAGAAGCAGGTCTTTCTAAAACCACATCATCATCGAAAGAAGAGATGGGGAAAACACCGGCGCAGGAGAACCGCCTGAAGGCGAAGAAAGCCGGGATGTCGCACCAAGACGTCCTGGACGAGAAGAAAAGAGAGGACTCCAAGTTGAAAAAGCTCGCCTCGGCGAACCAGTCGTTCGGGCAAGTGAAAGGCGCGGCGATGAACACGAAACACGCGAAGGAGATGCAACGTTTGAAAGACTTGAACGACCCGACGACGAAGATTGGACGAGAACATCTCCGGGCGCAAAAGAAAGCGGCGAAAGAAGCGCAGGAGTTTCTGTTGAGAACGAAAGGGATCGACATCAAACAGCCGGAAGTGGCGGAAGGCGTGGATAAGAAGACGGTTTTGTGCGAGTTTTTTAAGCACGGATGTTGCGCCAAGACCGGGGATAAGTGCGCGTTTTCGCACGATTTGGCCATCAACGAAAAAATCGCCAAGAGGAGTTTGTTCGAAAACGTAGATTCCATCGACGATTGGGATCAGAAGAAGTTAGAGGCGGTGATTCAAAAGAAACACGGGCAAGAGGTGAATTCGAGCAACGAGACGCAAATTATTTGCAAACACTTTCTCGACGCGGTGGAGAAGAAGTTATACGGGTGGTTTTGGCAGTGCGCGGATGGGAAGGATTGCAAGTATAAGCACAAGTTACCGCCCGGGTACGTGTTCGCCGCGGATATTCGAGCCGCGGAGTTAGAGGCTATGAAGAATAGAAAAACGGACCAGGATCTTTTGAGAGAAAAGTTGAACGAGTTAAAAGTAAAAGGTGGGACTGGGACGCCGGTGACGTTGGAGAATTACTTGGCGTGGAAGGAAAAGAAAGTCGCGGCGAGGAAATCGACGGACGAGGAAGAATTGAGAGAAAGGCACAAGAAGAAATTGTTCACCGGGAAGGAGTTGGTCGAAGAAATTACGAATGATACGGACGATAAGACGGAAGGCGAAGACGAGATTACGCGTTTGTTGGCGGAAAGAGCGAAAGCGAACCAAGAGAGCGAAGATGCGGCGAGAAAAGAGGCGGAGGAGAACTTAGCGCGAGCGAAAGAATTGGGTGATTTGTACAACGAAGATATGCTTCCGGACGATGATAGAGGCATGATGGACGATTTAGAGGAAGATCTGGTTGTTCCAGAAGGTTGGTCCGAAGACGCGATCGCACCGAATGTAGTTGCTGGTACGAGAGAAGCGAAGGAAATTATGAGCGCGTTGGAGGTCCCCGAGCAAAAAGGTATGACAGAAAAGCAAAAGAAAATTCTCGAGGAGAAGAAGAAGTTGGAAGAAGAAGGCATTGCCATCGCACAGGATACGAAGAAGCCGAAAGATCCGGACGATATTTACAAACCTCAGACAGAAATTCCGGATGAATTCAAAGATATGGACGAGTTAGATCCGAAAGCTTTGGGCGAGGCCATAGCGAAGAAACGCGCGGCAGAGGAAGCCGAAGCGTCCGCGCTGATTTTACAAGTCGCCGAAGAAAAAGCGAAAAAAGAAGCCGCCAAGGCGGAAAAGAAAGCAGCGAGAGAGGCGGAGAGAGCGAAGAAGAAAAAGTCAAAGAAAGGGATTAAAGGCGAAGACGAGGAGGAAGAAATTACGAGCTTGGAACAAGCGATTGGTAAGGCGGAAATCAGCGGCATCTCCAAAGCTGGTTTGAAACGAACCGTCACCGGCGTTCTCTCTTCGCAAATTGCCGCCAGAGATATTAAAATTACAAACTTCTCCATGACGATGAATGGCAGAGTGTTAATCGACGAATGCGATATTGAGTTGACCATCGGTAGACGATACGGTTTGATTGGGCAAAACGGCTCTGGAAAGACCAACTTTCTCGAGTGTTTAGCCATGAGAGAGGTGCCAATCCCAGATCACGTAGACATTTATCACTTGAAAACTGAAGCGGAACCGTCGGATAGATCTGCGATTCAGTGCGTTATCGACGAGCTCGTGGAAGAGATGGAACGATTGAACAAGTTTGAGCAACATTTGTTGGAGAATTTCGGCCCGGACGACGAGCGCTTGATGTCTTTGTACGATCGATTGGAGGAAATTGATCCATCCACGTTCGAGGCAAGAGCGAGCGAATTGCTGCACTCGTTAGGTTTCTCCGCGGAAATGATTGATCGTCCGACGAAGGACATGTCGGGGGGGTGGCGCATGCGCGTGGCGTTGGCGAAAGCGTTGTTTGCGACGCCGACAATCTTGTTGCTCGACGAACCGACGAACCATTTGGATTTAGAAGCGTGCGTGTGGTTAGAAAACCACTTGGCTTTGTACAAGAAATGTTTAGTCGTCGTTTCTCATTCGCAAGATTTCTTAAACGGCGTGTGTTCGCACATGATTTGGCTCACCGATGGCAAATTGAAGTATTATTCCGGGAACTACGACACGTACTGTCGCACCGTTGAGGAAGACAACATCGTCCAACAGCGTAAATACGAAAAAGAACAATCTGATATTAACCACTTGAAAGAGTTTATTCGATCGTGCGGGACGTACGCGAACGCGAGAAAGCAAGCGGAATCGAAACAGAAAATCATCGATAAAATGATCGCCGCCGGCTTAACTCCGCCGGTGCACAAGGAGAGAACGTTTACGTTCAATTTTCCGGATTGCGATAAGGTACCGCCGCCGGTGTTACCGTTCGACCAGGTCTCGTTCGCGTACAACGGTAAAGAAGAAAATTACTTGTACGACAAACTGGATTTAGGCGTTGACTGCGACAGTCGCGTGGCTTTAGTTGGACCGAACGGCGCCGGTAAATCCACTTTATTGAAGCTCATGACGGGCGAGTTGACTCCAACCAAAGGTTCGGTCTCTCGACACTCCGCTTTGAACATCGGTAAATACCATCAGCACTCCGTCGAAGTTTTGGATCGAAGCAAAACCGTTTTGCAATTTTTCATGGATACCTATCCAAACGTCCACGGTAAGTTTAAACGAGACATTGACGAATGGCGCGCGTTTCTCGGAAAATACGGCATCGCCGGTAAACAACAAACGACGCTTATTGGTGAACTGTCCGAAGGACAACAATCTCGCTTAGTCTTTGCGATGATTTGTATGGGCAAACCAAACTTGTTGTTACTCGATGAGCCTACGAATCACTTGGATTTAGAAGCCATTGATGCGTTAGCCGAAGCTATTAAGGTGTACAACGGCGGTGTCATTTTGGTTTCGCACGATTTCCGTTTAATCGACCAAGTCGCGAGAGATATTTGGGTGTGCGAAGACAAAACCGTTCGCAGATGGGACAAAGACATTCGCGAGTACAAGAAACACTTGTCTAAGAAAGCGGAAAGAGAGGCGAAAGAGAGAAAGTTGGCGAAGAAGTAAGAAGATAATATAGAGTAAGAACGAGAAAGAGTATATAAACATTGACCATCTTAAAAAACGACATCATTGAACGTTATTATTATTATTATTTTAGCCGTTCTTTTAAACGCGTATACAAGAACACAACTTGAATAATACACATCACACGAATACATTCTAATAAATACTAAACTATCGCGCGCAGCACTCTACTTCTTCTACATCACGGCAATAACAACCACGATCGAAACGCCACGATGCACCAATCGATGCACCCCAACATCGCCGTAAACACACACAAACCGACTAAAATGACCATCGCGTTCCCGCACACGTCTCGCCCGGTTTGCTTGCTCAAAAGCACCGCATCGGGCCATTTCAAAAGTGGCGCCGCGTTTTTCGCGTTTTGCACTTGTTTCTCTACCCAACCGATGCATTTTTTTATACACCACAACATGCCAGTGCCTTCGTTGTTTGCATTCGTCTCGTCGTCGTTGACGTACTCACCGTTACCACCCGACGATGTTCCTTCAAAACTCCTCGGGGAAATCATCGTCGGGAAAGAAGACCTTCGTCGGAACAAAATTCTCGTCGGTGATGGTGGTGTTACTGTTCGCCCGTTTTTGTCTCCTCCTCCTCCGCGAGTCGCAGTACACCGAACGATGTCGTGTCGTCGTCGTCTCCCGCTTTGTCTCGACGACAGCGACGGTTGGAGAACCCCGAGAGCAAGAGCAGCGCGCGTCATGTGATGTGCGTTTTTGGAAACACCTTTAGGGGAAATTGAAATGACGAAAGAAAGCGTCAAACGCCTCACAAGAAACATGTCTTCATCCATCGCGCCTCGAGCATCGGTACAGTTCTTCCGCCACCAAAGCGCGAGGAAAAGAACCAGGAGGAGGATGGGAACTTTCGTTTCTTCTTCGTTCAGTCCGTTCCAAACGAAACTGGGGGCAATGGTGTACGATTCTGGGTACCGACAGTTGTTCCGCCTGTTGGGATATCCCGGGTGCGAGAAAGAGGCGGAGGAAGTGGTGTCCATCTTAGCGAGCGAGAACGAACGAGCGATGCAGTTATTGGACGTGTCGTGCGGTCCCGGCGTGGTGACGAAAAGTATCATCTCCTCGAAGATGTTTGCGAAAGTTTACGCGCTCGATTTTTACGAGAGCATGTGCGAACGAGCGAAAGAAACGTTCGAGAGAGAGTGCACCACTGGGAACAACAACAGTTACGAAGTCGTGCGAGGAGACGTGTCGGATTTACCGTTCGCGAACGAAACGTTCGAAAAAGTGTCCTCGACGGCTGGAATGCACTGTTGGCCAAACCCAGTGAAAGGAATGAAAGAAATCAAAAGGGTGTTGAAACCGTCCGCGAGGAGCGACGAAGACGATTGGGGCGTTTTGTTCAGCACGGTCGTGTTGCCGCGGAAAGGCAACGAGACGAGAGAGACGTACAAATGGGAGACGAATAAGCCGTTTTTGGATCGCGAGGCGGTTTTGGATATCGTGAGAGAGAGCGGGTTCGACGAATACGAAGTCGTGATGGAAGATAAGGCGTATATACTCGTCAAAGCGCGGTACTTTTAGGAGGTAGAAACTAGTTTATGAAGAGAATGTATTTTAGACAGACACACGCGCGGCGCGAAAATTATTATTCGTTGACAATCTCATTCAAAGCGTCGGTAATCGTTTCGTACTCGAATCGATATCCTTCTCTCAAGAGCTCCTTTGGCAACACTTTCTGTCCTTGCAACACTAACGAGCTCCCTTCTCCTAAAAGCGCTTGCAACGCGAAATCTGGAACCGGCATCCAACTCGGTCTCCCTAACTCCTTCCCTAACGAGTTGGTCAAATCCCTCATTTTCACCGGAAACGGCGCAGTCGCGTTTATCGCGCCTTTCAATTCTTCGTTCACTAAACTCTCCCTAATAATCTTCACCGCATCTTTCCTGTGAATCCACGAAAACCACTGACCACCGTCACCAATCGGACCTCCCATGAAGAGCTGAAAAGTAGGCAACATCTTCCCCAACGCGCCTCCGTCTCTATCTAAAACAATCCCCAACCTCACAAACACGACTCTCGTCTCGCCGTTCGTCATCTCCTCCGCCTTCTTCGCCGCCTTCTCCCACGCTCGACACACGCTCGATAAGTAATCCTTCCCCGAGTTGCTCGACTCATCGAACGTCTCCTCGTCGCTCGTCCCGTAATACCCAATCGCGCTCGCGGTCACCAAAACCTTCGGCCGTTTACTTTCCTCCTTCACGTTCGCTATCGCCGAAACCACCGCCTCGGTCGCTTTCACTCGGCTGTTCATGATTTCTTTCTTCACGTTCTCGTCCCATCGCGTACTGATTGGTTCTCCGGCTAAATTGACCACGTGCGTGGATCCTTTAATCCCTAACGGCCATTTCGTCGGTTCGATTAAGAGTAGCGTTCCTTTCGGTAACGTTTCCGGTTTCAATTTTTTCTTCGCCTGTTTTATCGACCGAGTGAGCACTCGCACCTCGTGTCCGTCTTTCAGTAAACTTTCCACCAGTTTCGTGCCGACGAACCCAGTCGCGCCGGTTATGCTGACCACCATTTTGTTCTCTGATTCTTCTTCTTTATCGTCCTTCGCCTTTGCGTCGCTAAACGACGCGACCAAAACACCACCCTTGAGTCTTCTCGTGCCTCTCGTTCGCCTCGACGACACGTGAGACGAGGACGACGAAGAATCAACAAAAGAAGAAGAAAACGAAGGAGAAGACATCGAAGAACAACCCCGCGCAAAGCTCATCATCGCTCTTGCTGTTATTCTAAACGACGACGACAAAAGAGAGAGAGAGAGAGAGAGAAAACCCGGGCGCAGAAGTGAAGAGTGCGGGGTGTTTTGGAGAAATTTGTGATGTGATGTGAAACTTAATTGTGTAAACTTTTTCTCTCGATTTTTTCTCTCTGCTGCTGCTCCTTTTCATCGAGCGCTCGCCGACGGATGCCGATCAAAACCGCCGTTGCCATTTTTGATGTTGCCGTATTTCGCAAAGAAACCACCATCATCGTCGGCAGTCGGACGGTTTAAATCGATTTCGTCGTTTTCGGAGGAAGAGGAGGATCCGACAGAAAACGATTTCAACCACGCGTGCCGCAACGCGTCGTCCGGGGTCAGCCTCTCCTCCGGGTCCCACTCGAAACACCTTTGTAAAAACTGCGCGAACTTTATCGAGCACCCTCGCCCGAGCGCTTTTTTGAGGCCTTCGGCGGCGAGTTTACGACGCGAGGCTTTTTCGCGCGCGGTTTCGAAGGGTAAGAATAAAGAGGACGACCCCGAGGACGGCGCCGCCGGGGCGGTTGTTTTTGAGGTGGTTGTTTCGAAGTCGTCTTCGTCTTCGTCTCGGTGTTGATGATGATGTTCGTTTTCATTTTCTTCGCCGTCGAAGACATCGGTTTCGACGGGATCGTTCGCGCGATCGGCGAGAAGTCGGCGGCTTTTAACGCCCTTTTTCGTTTTCATCGGCGTGGTTGGGACGACGCGCGAAAGCGAGGCGCGCGCGTGGGAGTCGTGTTTTTTCATGCTGTTCTTCGTTAATTCGTCGTCAAAGTCCGAGTCGGACGACGTCTTTCTAGATTCCTCTTCGCGTCTGAGTTTGTTAAGAAATGCGCTCGACGGTGCGCCCAAGGTTTCTTTTGCCAATTCCAATTGTTCGGCTTCGTCCGTCCCGGGCCAAATCGGCGAACCTCGTTTGAGTTCGGCTAAAACACACGCGAATGACCACATATCGATGGATTGGTCGTATTCGCGGTCGCGAAGCATGACTTCTGGTGCGCGATAGAATCGAGATTGGACGTACGGGTAGATGCGCGGGACGTGGGCGAAGCACGAGGAGCCGAAATCGATGAGTTTGACGCGAATGTTGTTCCCGTTGCCGGCGTCGTATTTTTGAGTCGAAGAAGTGAAACCAGCGCGCGCGGTGGAAGGGTAAGATGATACCTTTGAGAGCGGATTTACCGACACCGTTTCGCTCCTTCTTTCGAGTAAAATATTCTCTGGCTTAACGTCGCAATGGATAATGCCGAGCGATTTGAGAAAGGACAGCGCTCGAGCGAGCTGTTTGGCGACGGTTTTGCACACGCGTTCCGAGGCGCCGGTGAAGCGCTGATCTACCATCCACTCGTACAAATTGCATTGCAACAACTCGAACACGATGCAAGCGTGCGTTCGAAAGTTGAAATGTTCAATAGCTCGAACGACGCACTCCGCGTTTCGTTTCATTCGCGCTCTTTCTCTTTTTTCTTCTCTTTCTTTTTCTTCTTCGTCCTCTGCGAGACCGATTCGAGCGGATTCAATCGCTTCGAGCACGGCGAGTTCCGTCCTTGCTTGAATGCGATACTCTTCTTTGTTCTTGATTATTTTTATCGCCACCGAACGCTTTTGTCCGGTATTTTCGTCGTGTGAACGCACGTCGTGGTCGACGCACTTCACCACGCGACCAAACGTGCCGGATCCGAGCGTCTCTTTCACCTCGAAGCGAAAGGCGAGATGGTCGCCCGGGCGCGCTCGATAATCGCCTTTGGAATCCGTACGACTCGTGGTACTCTTTATCGAGGATGTTTTCCTTTTCGTCGACTTCGATTGCTGTTGCGCAAACGCAGTGATTGCGCTGAGTCCTCCACTTCCTGTCGTTTTCTGCGTTTTCGGTTTGCTTCGTGGCGGAGGTAAATAAAACACGCGAAAGTCGTTCGTTTCGTCGTTTACGCGCGCGTCTAAATCCCGCACGTCTTCCTCTTCCAATCGCTCTTTGTGAAAGCGTAGCGCGTGATTCGCCGACATCGACTCGCGTATGACTTTAGCCTCCATCGTTTCCTTTCCATCGATGATAATAACCGGAGCATCTTTAATGGTATCCTTGCCCGATGATGGTTTCTCGAAAAGTAGTAAAGCGTCTTCTTCTACTTCTTCTTTGGCGGCGGCGGCGATAGTTTCTCGATTGTTTGACTTTGACGACGAAAAGCTTTTTTCGAGTTGATGGATTGCCCCGGCGATGACGTTCATATTCGCGTACTTCTCGTGCTCTCTTGTGGTTTCTCTCGCGGTTACCGCCGCCGTCGTCGTCGTCGTTCTCTTCGCGATTTTCCTATTCTTCCCGTCTCCCTCCTCTTTCTTTCGCGCGGTCTCATTTACGCTACCTTTCCCTCTACCTCTCGCCGATTGCGGCGGCTTTCTCGGCGTCATCGCTGGAAACAACTTTTCCGATGGACGACGATCCCTTTCAATCCTTTTTTCTTCCCTGTCTTTGACTTCACTCGCCTTCGTCTTCTTCATCTTTCTCGCCCCGTTCTCCTTCTCTTCGCCTTCTCTCGCCTCCACATCCTTCGTCGTCGTCTTCGTCGTCTCCTTCTTCTCCCTCGCGCCTCCTCCTCTCGCCGATGCCAACACCTCCGTTTTCCTTTGCAACTCCTTCTGCGCCTCTCGCGCGCGTTTCATCGCGAATTCGATAGAGCTCCTCTGACTCCTCCGCTCAGGCGATGGGGAGATATTTTTTCTTTGACTCCTTTGACTCTCAAAATAATCCACCACCTGTTCCGTTGGCGCTCGTTTTCCTCGCACTTCCTCCGCGATAAACGCGAAGATTCTTTCACTCGTCTCACCACCACCTCCTCCACCACCTCCTCCTCCTCCTTTTCTTCCGTCTCTTTGCAGCGCGACTCGCGTAATCTTTCCAACAGAGATGAGATGAGATGAGATGAGATGAGATGCGCTTTTTTTTTTCTCGCAAAGGAAAAAAAAACGTTTCTCTCAATAATACAACGGAAGTTCTTCGCGCTTTCTTTTTTGCTCTCTCTCTGTCTCTCTTTCTCTCTCTCTCTCTCTCTCTCTCTCTTTGTGCACGTAATTTTTGAGGGGAGGAGAGAGAGAGACTGCTTTTCTGCCGCTGTTCTTTTGCAGTCGTCGTCGTCTCTTTCGCGCGGCTGCGTCCTCGCGTGTCTCTGCTCTTTCTCTTTTCTTTCGTTGTCTGTCTGCGCGTGTATCTTTTAAAAGAAAGTGAAGAAGAGAAAAAAGGACGAAAGAGGAAAAAAAAGACAAAAAAAAGACGGACCTTTTTTTCTTTCTCTGAATCAAATTTTTCTACACAACACACTACGCGAATACGAAGAAGACGAGCGAGAGGAGCACTGCTACTGCGACTACTACTTTTACAGAGAACGCGCAGAAAGACTTCAGACGGGCAGATATTTTCTTCTTTTCCTCGCGTATGCGATATTTAGTCGCAGAGAGAAGAGAAAGGAGAGAACGTTTTAAGAGCGACTTCTTGGGGAAAAAAGATGGAAGAGGGACATCGACATCATCAACGAGACCGTGTAAACGACGAGGACGACGATGAACGCGAGGAAGAAGAAGAAGAGAGGACAGGAGGGAGAGGGAGGAGTAAGTTTAATCTCTTTGCGTTCGATCGCGGAGGAGAAGAGGAGAAAAATGAAATCACCGCCCAAAACGCAGACTTGGTCAATCGAGTTGCGTTGGTCACCGGGTGCACCTCGGGGATTGGAAAACAGGTGGTTTTGGATTTAGCGTTAGCCGGGGCGAAAGTCGTGTTTGGATGCCGAAATTTGAAGAAAGCGGGAGAGGTGAAACGGGAGATGATGGAGAAGTTTCCGCACTTAGATTTGGTGGTGATGGAGGGAGTGGCGTTGGATGTATCGAGCGGAGAATCCATCGCGAAGTTTGCGCAACGTTTTAACGAGACGATTGGCGAGTTGGACGTGTTGGTGAATAACGCCGGCGTGGCCTCGGAGAAAGGGTACGAGAGAGAAACTGGTGTGAGTAAATTAGTGTGGACGAACTTTTTGGGGCCGGCGGTGTTGATGCTGTCGTTGAACGAGAGTTTCCAACGCGCGATTGGTCGGCGGCAGTTTGCGAATTGCGTCTTCGTCGCTTCGGTGTGTCATCGCTTCGGGAAGATCGAAGGCGCGGATATGTGCAACAAGTTTTTATACAACGAGAAGTTCGGGTCGTATTCGGATACAAAGCTGGCGTGCGTGGCGTTTGCAAACGAGGTGGAGTATCGATGGGGGGCGAGAGGAGTGCGGTGTTCTAGCGTGGATCCCGGCGCGGTGAGAACGCCTATTTTCAGCAGCGTGAGGTTGTTGCGGTTTTTACCGTTGGCGTGTTTGAGGAGGATGTGTTACGCGCCCGCTGAGGATGGCGCGAGAGCGGTGACGATAGCAGCTTTAAATCCGTTTGCGCCTCAGAACGCGAGTTTGAACGCGACGCCGCAGATGCGAAGGATGGATCAAGGAGCGAGGCATTTCAGTCGAGGGTTGTTCGCCGGTAGGTTCGTGCAGAAGTACGGACCGGGGAAATTCCCGTCGTCGGTTGAGGTACGTAACAGTGATGGTGATGACAGCACGCCGCAATCCCTGGATGCCTTTTTTCTCAATCTGCGAAGATTTCGTTGGCACGTGCACGCGTTTTTTTTCGCGATTGGCGTCATTGCGATTTCCTTAGTCGATTGGCCGTTGCGTAAATTTTTCAAAGGACAAAAATTTGACGGCACGAAAGTGGTCGAGTCCTCCGAAGCATCTTACGATCCGGTTTTAGGCACGGAACTGTGGGAAATCGCGAAAGAATTTAGCGGCGTCGTTGAGCCGGCATATGGCGAACGGTTCACCTCCAACGATATGTTCTCCGAGGAATTTCTCGAACAGTTGTTTCCGAACGAGTTGAGCATGGAAGAACATTTGAAAATTATGGAGGAAACGGCGACGAATCTCGGGATTGAAATGAAACATATTGATGCGACGAAGTTAAGGAAAAAGGACAAGGGGGATAGCGATGCGAACGACGGCAGCGATAGCGATGGTAAATCCATTAAAACGAAAAAGAAGAAACATAAGCGAAGCGGGAGTTTCTTTCGGCGGTCGCAAGAGAATTTAACGAAAATAGACTAGACTCATAGAGAAGGTACAGGGTGCGTTGTGTGTCTATAAGTACCTACAACGCGCGTTATGAATAAACCTTATGCTAAAACTAAGCGCTCTGTTCCAACCCACCCTTTTCGGCCAAACACTTCAACATTTCAAAAATAAAGGGGATGTAATTGTGTTTCCTCCTAATGTTCTCGTCTCTCCAAATTTCCTTCCGTTTCATTTCATCTTCAATCTCGTCCGTCAACTTCACGATACTCTCGTTATCTCCACGTTCAGCGGCCTCTCGTAACTCTCGTCTAAACACGCTCTCCTTCTCGTTCGTTACTGCCAACAAGTTGAAGCTAATCTCATCCGAGGCGTATTTCTGTATGCGCTCTTCAATCGCTGGAACCGCTACTTCGTGCCAATTTTCCTTCGAACATTCTCCGTACGCCACTGGTTTCGGTTTCAGACCGTCTAATTCCCACATGCGTCCACCGTGATGAACAAATGCGACGAAATGGTACACCTCGTCGCCGTTCTTCGCCGCTCGCTTCCCTTCGTCTACAATCGGCTCCGGTCTCGCGAACGCGTTGTGCGCCGCTCGAATCTTCTCGCTGTTCGATAACGCCAACCCTTTCAACTCCGGTGGAAAATCTGCGGTGAACTGTTTAAGCTCTGTGAGCGTCTCACCGATTGTTTGCTCTCGTTCTTTTCCTTCCGCGTCTTTGCTTCCTCCGTCTTCGTTCCCGAACGTTTCCACGTTCAACAACACCCCTAAAATCGCTTGCGTCGCGCACGCGTTCGTAATCACTTGACTCGCGAAAAATAAACTCTCCGGCGCGTCCACGTTTTCCACCGCTAACGCGCTCGTCGCGTCTATATCCGTTCTGTATTTGAACAAGAAGATTAATCCGTGCAAGTGGAAGCGGCGGTTGAGCGATTCGAGATTCGAGAGGTCCCAAAGTTCTTCCACTTGGACGCCTTTGACGCCGATTTGTTCGACGAGGGAGGTGAACACGGCCGGGTCGGATTCAATCGTCGTCCACTCCATATTTGTCCTCGTTCGCGCGTAGTAATGTTCTCGCTCGCTTTTTCAAGTACTGGATGACGAAGAACCCAACCGTGTGGAATGTTTTGTTTTGCGTATTCAAATGTGTTTGTATTTGTAAGGATTTCTTGTACACGAGTGAGAAATTCGCTTTAAACGTCTAACGAACGCCACTCGTCGTCATCGAATAGATGATCAAAAAAGTATTCATTAATGTACATTACAAATGGATGTCTCGTAAAACGCATCGTGTTGAAACTAAAAGGGGGACAATTATGTATAAATATATGTATAGATTTACTTCTTCTGTTGAAGTTGCGGTTGGTCTTCGCCGAACGACATGAAGAGATTCTTTCGGTCGTCGCTGGAGATGTATTGCTGGAGCTCGTCGATGCCTTGCGGCATCAGCGGGGACTCTTTGAACGAAAAAGCTCCGACTGGGCCTCCTTTTAACGGAGATTTGTTCGAATTTGGCGTGAGCTTTTCCGCGGAATCGTTCGGGACTTCAACCGGGTCTCGCGAGCGGCCTCGGCGTTGTACGTCAGATATCGAGAAGGAAGAATCGACGTTGGTATTCTTCTTGTTTTTGTTGTTTTCTGTGTATTCTTCTTCGTCTTCCTCTTCCTCGTCGGAAGAGACATCGTCCTTCTCTTCGTCCACGTCCACGTCTACGCCAAACTTGGAGCCAATCGATAATAAACCGTTCTTTTGCCTATCCATGATGTCTTTAATGAACTCTCGTTGGCGTTGCGATTTCAATTCAAGTTCAATTTCGCGCTGTCGAATTTCTTTTTGTTGGCGTTCGACTTCTTTTGCACTCTCGACGAGCGTATACTCGCGTTTCTTGTCCATCTCATCGCGCGTATGCAAACGTTCTTCGAGCAAATCGTTGACGCGTTGCAACTCTTTCAAATCGTTCACGGCGTTTTCCAAAGCCGTCTTGGCATCGCCCAATTCGACATTTACCTCGTCTATCTTCACGAGCACTTCTTCCGGACCGGTGTATCCGTAACCGCCAAACGAGGCTTGTTTCTCTCCCGAGCGAAGCGCTCGAGTTTCTTCTAACAATTCTCGGTGGGTATGATTCAACGCGAGAAGCGAGTCCTCGAAATCTCTCGATCGGCGATCACACAATTTCGCATACTCTTCCGCCGTTCTCGCCTCCTCCAACGCTAAGTTGTATTTTAAACGCACGTCTTCGTCCGATAAATACATGACGTTTTGGTCGAGACCGACGAACGCGTCTACGGCGCCTCGGCGAACGGCGGTAAGTTTGTCTTGCAACGCTTTGTACTTCCCGCTCGCCGCGCCGCATCGCGTGGTGAGCTCTTTGTTCGATTCCGTCAAATCGTTGCACAAGACTTCAAACTCTTCGAGCTTGACGTCTCTGGCCACGATCGCAGCCGCGTGCTCCTTGGCCAATTTATCGAGAAACTCCGAGTGATTCGCTTCCATCTTTGCTTTTTCAATCAACAAATCGTCGTATTTCTTCTTCTCTTCTCTCAAAAACGCCGTCTCTTCCATTTGTTCGTTCACAATCGTCAACTTCTCCTCGCACTCTTTCGTCAACTTGTCGCACTTTTTCTCCTTTTCCTCGCACGTCTTCTTCACGTCGTACAGCTCTTCGGAAAGTTCTTTCGTTCTTTCTTCTGTCTTTTCGTCCGCCATTTTCTCCAACTTGCGTTCGAATTCCAACGCCTGTTCTTCCACCGTTTTCTCAAACTCAATCGTTTTCTCCTCCAACAGATCTTCTGCTTTTTTCGCCCTCTCGTCCGCAAGCTCCGCCTGCGCTGTGCGTTCGTGACACAAAACTTTCGTCCGGTCGTACTCTTTCAACAACTCGTCCTTGGCTTCGTTGTCCGAAATCAACGCGTCCACGTTCTTCGCCATCTCCACGATATCCTCCTTAAACCTCTCCTCTCGTTTCTTCATCTCCGCAACTCTCTCCTCTGCTTCTTCCTCGCGCTTTTGCAACGTTAAAATCGCTTTCGCCGCTCGCTCGTGTCTCAACGTCATCTCCTCTTTCTTCGCCTCGCTTTCCTTCAGATTAATCTTCAACAAAAGCGACTCCGCGGTGATCTCTTCCAGTTGCATTTTCGCCACGCCTTTCTCGCGAATCGCCACGTTTAGCTCGTTCGTCATTCGCGAGACTTTCTCTTCCAGGATTAACACGTCCGCTTCTCTGGATTTCATCGACGGGACGTTTAAACTTTTCAACGACGACGGCGCCGCGGACGACGCGTTGTTATATTTTGCCTTGAGTTGCTCCAACATCACTCGCCCTTTCGAGATGGAATCGTCGATGACGTCTTTTCCTTCGAGACCACCACCATTTACACCAGAAGCTTCCGCGACTTTCTTTTCCTTGACACCGTCTGCCTCGATCGTTGTTCTCGGAATCGATGAGTCAGCATCCGCCGTCGATAAAGAAGTTAAAGAAGAAGAATCATCACCGATCGCTTGGGTATTCCCTTTGCCGAATGGTAAAAATCCCATCGTCTTTACGTTAAGTACCGCGCGATATTTTTTATCTCTTCACCCGCCACCGATATGTATGAAGCGCTTCGTTCTCACTCTCTTCTTTGGTGTCTTCTGTGTGTATTTCGAATGCGCGCAGGAAAAGCGTGCGTTGTTGTTGCGTGTGTTTGTGTGTCGTAAATTTGTTTTTTCCCTTGTACAAATGTGTCGAGATATCAATTTTTAGTGTTGAGATTTTTCTACAAAATATACGGGAAATGGGAGAAATCACCATCTTTGACGCTCTCTGGATGTACACAGAAGATACTAAAAAGAAACGATGCGCTTCTCAGTGATGTACGCGGAAGAGATCTCTCGATTCGTCTCGTTTTTTTGTGATTCTCGTTCGAATTGATATCTAAAAGAAGTCTTCAAAGTTGGCCAATGTGAGCGAATTTGATGTGTTTTCTGCGATTAAAAAAAAGAACGTTGAACGCGTTTTGAACAGTTTGCTCCTCAAAAACTTTCGACACGTGCCGCAGATTTGTACATAAAACACGGGCACACGACGCAAGGGTTAAAGGCGATTTCCGGACGAATCCTCGTTGCGTATTTTCGAGAGGAAGAGAGTAAAAGGTTTGGGAATTTCGGGTTTATTGAAGCGCGTTCGCGTCGCGAGAGAGGGATACACGCGCGCGTACATTTACGCGTAAAAATATATTCTCTGCTTTCAACGGCGAATTTGTCCTCGGTCTTGTCATCGCGATAAACTTAAATTCGTATCTTGAACGGGAGCGCGTGTAGCGAGTAACGACGCGAGGAGAAAGGAACCAAAGACGAAGAGAATGTCCGGGTCAAAGTCTCGACCACAGAAAGGGTCGTCCGTCGAGACTTCGCCGATGACTTTGTCGTCGCCGCAAATACCGATGGCGGGGTCTGTCCAACACCAAGAAAAACTCCGAGTCTGTCAAAAAGTCATCGAACAGTTATGCGAGGATTGGCCGGAGTTGAACGAGGACGGCGAGAGGAAAGCGAAAGTGCACGATTTAATATTGAGGTTACCGAGACAGTACGGGTTAGACGCGCACCATTTGGAGGATATCGAGACGCACGTTCGGTTGTTGGAACGAGCGTCGACGAAAGATGCGCCAGTCGTGCACGTCAGAGAGGTTTTAGTTGGCGGGGAGGAAGAAGAGGAAGAGGGCTCGGAAGGAGAGAGCGATACAGACATCGGAGGGAAGGAGGAGGAGGAGGACGCAAATAGAGAGGACGTGAGCATGTCGTCCGCGAACGAAGAGAGCGGACAGTCGGCGAGATATAAGTCGCAAGCGAAAGCGATATTGCAGCAAAATCATCAACAACAACAGTTGCAGCAAACGAGAGGTTTGCGAAGGCCGATATTCGGGTCTTCGTTGACGCTGAGTTCGTTTCAACCCGGGTCACCCAGCAGTCGAGGTGGAAGTATGAGTGGGAGAAGCATAGATAATAACACTAACAATAGAAATAGCGTAGAAGGGACGTATGAGATTGCGGTGTGCGGAGGGAACAAGCCGAGGACGTTGTCGAGGATATCGACGACTTTGTTTGACGTCGGGTTGAATATTGCCGAAGCGCACGTGTTTTGCACGTCGGATGGGTTTGTTTTGGACGTGTTTGTCGCGCAAGGGTGGCGTGAGAACGATGCGAAAGGGTTGGAGGCGATGTTGCAAAGCACGTTTGATCAGTTTAATTGGGGCGATGCGGTTTCGTCGAGAAAACTACAACAACAAAAAAAAAGCGGAGGCGCGGTGGATTCTGCACCGGCGCATCCGAAAAGAAAATCAGAAGATGTGAGTCAGAAGAAGAATAACGGTAGAGATAGACGCGCTTTAATCGACGATAGAAGCGTTTCGCCCATGCCTTCCGAGTGGGAAATTGATGAAAAGTTGTTGACTTATAGCGAGAAGATTGCGCAAGGCGCGTTTGGCGTTTTGTATCTCGGACAGTATTGCGGTCAAGAAGTCGCGGTGAAAGTTCTAAAGACGCCGAAAAACGAAAGTCACGACGATTTGAAGAGAGAGTTTCAGCAAGAGTTGTCGACGTTGAGGAAAGTGCACCATAAAAACGTCATTCAACTCATCGGCGCTATAACGAAAGGACCAATGTTGTGTCTCGTAACGGAGTTTATGCACGGCGGTTCGATGTTGAGTTTCTTGCACAAAAATGCGCCTTTGAAGTTGTCGCAAATCGTCAAGTACTCCACCGGCGTCACCTTAGGTCTCGATTATCTCCACAAGATCAACATCGTTCACAGAGACGTGAAAACGGCAAATCTGTTGATGGATGAAAACGACGTGGTGAAAATTGCCGATTTTGGCGTCGCGAGGGTCATGGCGAAAGACGGAGTGATGACGGCTGAAACTGGGACCTATCGATGGATGGCACCGGAAGTTATAGCGCACCAAGTGTATAATCACAAGTGCGATGTCTATTCGTTTGCGATCACGCTCTGGGAACTCGTCACCGGTGGCGATATACCGTATTCTGGATACACTCCTCTCCAAGCCGCCGTTGGCGTCGTCCAAAGAGGCATGCGTCCAACCATCCCGCAAAGTTGTCACCCGGTCCTCGCGCATACCATCCAATATTCCTGGCAAGCTGATATGAACACCCGACCGGAATTCGAGCAAATCGTGGAAATGTTGAGAGACATTAACGTCACCGACGACGGGAAAAAAGATGAAAACAACGGTTTGATGTCTCGATTCCGCTCGATGGGGTTCGCCGGAAGTAAAAAGAAGCAAAATAAAGAGTTGAAACAATAATAATAATAATAATAATAATACCATGGGGATAGATAGATAGGTAGATAGATAGATATACCCGTACCTTTGCGTTGTGTGAAATATAAAAGCATTGTGTATTGAAGCGCGTACTTTAAAAACCGACCAACGAGAGAAGGAAAAAGGACCTTAAACGGAAAAACATCTTCACATCCCTTCACAACACATCCTCTCTTTATTGTTTGGATGAACAACAACCACAATCACAAAGTGCCGGAAACCTCGTTCTTCCGAATTTTAAACTGGGAGCGGTACGTGCCGTACAACTCTAAAATCGCGCTCGTCGGGACGATCGTTTTGACTGGTGCGGTTGCAAACATCGCGCTTTCTGTTTGGGAAAACAATAAGAACATACACAAGAGAACGAAGAACAAGAACGAGTGAAGGGTGTTAAAATGCCAGAAGCTTTGTTTCGATTGGTCGATTCCAGCGGAGATGCGGTTGACTCTCACCATCGGGGGCATCATCGAAAGAGAGTAGTATCGCCGATATCCTCCCCGCACTCTTCACCGAAACGAACGATGATGATCAACAGGAATAAACAAACGCAAACGGATGCGAACAACAACAGGAAAAGAACACTCCAAAACGTGGAGAAGAAGCGAACGAAGCGGACGCGAGAAAACGTCAAGAAGTCGTACTTAACCGTCGTGCTGGCGATATTGGCGTACAGATTTTTCGTTTTTGCCGGGAACGCAATTACCGGGAACGCGAGTCAGTTAGCGGTGAATGAATTAGAAGCAAACTTGAGAGAGTTGAACGGCACCGGGTTACTCGCGCGAACGCGGATGGAGGACGCGGAGAAGCAGATTGCGAAATTAAAAGGCAAACGACGAGGGAACCGAACGCCGCAATTCGTGACGGATTTTATGAGTTTAGACGAAAAGTACGAGATTCGGTTTACTTTGAGAGACAGAACTCGACGCGGGTGTCGGAGAGCTTTAGAGACGGCGAATAGAGTCGGCATCGAGAAAGTCTCCGACGTGCCGATGAAAACGCCGAGGATGGCGTACGATTTGGTGTTTGGGACGATGAGAAAGACGTTCGTTTTGAGATCTTTTGCGGACGGACTCGAGAGCTTTTTGATAGACGTGTACGGGTCGGTGATTTTAGTGAGGCAGTTAACCGTGGATCGTTTATTGTTTGAAAAAATGAACGCGGAAGTGTACTTTGATAAAATACGCACGTCGATGAAAGAAAACAAGGAGAAAAATATGGAATCGATGTTTCATTCAACGATAGGGAAGATGATAGTACTCGCGATTGATACTTTTACAAAGGCAAAATCGAACGCGTACGCGTTTTGTGCGTACGTGGAACGGTTTGAGAACGTGGCGACGCCAGAACCGCCTTCGAAGAGGACATGCGAGAAGGAAAAGATCGCGTTGGAAACAGCCAATCGTCTCTCGCCGTTTGCGGATAGTCTCCCTGTTTTTGACCGAACGTTTGGAGCATGGACCGCAAAGTGTAGCTCGAGGTGCTCGGAAGGGTTCCAATCCAGAGTAGATTGTAACGGCGACGTTGAGTTACGTCGGTGTAAAGGGGAAGAAACCTACGGGTGCGACGGCGTGTGCGGCTCGGGCGCCAAACTCGATTGCGCCGGCGCGTGTCAAGGCGAAGCCGTCGTAGACACGTGTGGCGTGTGTGGTGGAAGTAACCGAAGTATCGGGTGCGACGGCGTGTGTTTTTCGCCTGTCGTCTTGGACGATAAAGGCATGTGTTGCTTCACCGAAGATTTAGAGGTGCACGACACAACGTTAACGAAGAAATGTTCTCGCACGCATGAAGAAGCGACGCTCGCGAAGCAAAAAAAGATGGAAGAAGAGGCGGAAGAGAAACGAAAGAGCAAACCAAACTCGTTCAAGGAACTGGTGATGCAATTTCGCGACGCGAAGACGAAACAACGCGCCGCGTACAGCAACTTTTTCCGGCTTCTCGTCGCGATTCGTATCACGTGCGAAATCGCGTCCAAAAAAGTCGGCCGCTCCATCGCTAAAGTCATGCGAGGGCACTTCAAAGCCATCCTCTTCGTCTTTAACATCTTCTTCGGGAGTTACATGCGGTCGTTCGTAGGCTTCCTGGTCATCATGCTCGTCGCCGTCGTAACCGTCGACCGTCTTTTCACTCTCGGCGTCGTCGAGCGGACTTTGGACAAATCCAAAACCGCCCAAATGCTCGCCAACCGCTCGAAGCTCAAATCCATCGAGGACATCAAAAAGCTCGAAAGAAAGCTCGAGAGCTTTAAAAAAGAGGCGAAAACAAAAATCGGAACGCTCTTCGCCGTCCTCGTCCGGATATTCGACATCGTTCTCGCCAAATCTATCGTCCTCTTCTGGAAATTGAAGAACGCGCTCGAAGAGTTTTACGACGCCACCGACCTCGCCAAAAAACGCCGACGACGAAAAAACGAACCTCCTCATTCTCCTCCTCGTTCGTAGAATAGTAATAAGCGAGCGAAAGGTCCAAAAAGACCGCCATAATGTAAGATCCGCGCGTGATTAAATCTGTGTATTTATAAATGAAATCTCAATATTTTTTACTTCTTTCCTTCTCTCAAAAAGCGCTTTTCGTCCTCACTTCTTCTTGGCTCTGAAACGCATTCGAATGACCACCAATGACCATCACCGCCGCGGGCACCTGCGCACCACCCAATCGTAATAAGTATACGTAAACATACACGGAATATTTGAGAGCGTTAAATAATCTGTAAGAGAGATTGAGAGTAGCTTTCGAAATGGAAAAAGAAGAAACGAACGCTTTGGAACGACTTGACGGCGACGACGGAAACGACGACGACCGCGCCGCCGAAAAGAATACTAATCCACTCGCTTTAGCACCGACGACGCTTTCGACGACGACGGCTTCGACGAATACTCCTACGCCTACTGCGGTAGGAGAAACACTCGTCGGCCAAACCGCCAAATCCGCGCAAATCGACCTTTGGTTGCAACAGACCTTATCGAATTTGCCGGTGCAGAGTTGGAACGTGACGTCTTTAGGAGGAAATGCAGAAAAAGGGACGGGGACGACGACGACGACCACGGCGAGCTTTGAACGGATGGCAATTGCTCCAGAACGCGTGGAGGCGTTGAATGGACCGATTATGCGCGTGGATAGGATCGATGGGGAAACGGTTGATGTGAACATGAACTTGCACTTTCGAGCGCACTTTGGGAAAGGACAGTTGGAAAATTCGACGACGAGTTTGTCGAACAACAACAACAACAACAGCATCGTAGCGGCGGCGGTGGCTAACCCCGGGGGTTCTGCGAATTTCGGCGCGGAAGATCGGGTGCAGAAGAAAGGAGGCTCGACGTTGGCGTTAGGCGAGAAGGCACACGATACCAACGACGCGAGCGGAAGTTCACCGAGACTCGTGGAACTGAGAGGAGACGACGAGGAGTTACACGCGGCGACGACGACGACGACGATGACGTCAAATATATCCGCCGTGGACACCTACGCGAGCCCGGTGGATGGGAGATACGCGGTGGCAAGGTACGATGGGGACATCGAAGATGGTGAATCGCGTGGATTCTTATACAGCGAATATAAAGGGAACAATGATAACAATAACAACAACGGCGCGTCGACGAGCGAGCAAAAAACCAACGCGCTTTCCGAAGAGTTTCGCATAGATGCCAAGAACGTTCGCCTACTCGAACGCATAGCCGTCGGCGGTTTCGCGGAAGTCTTTCGAGGCTCGTATCAAGGCACGTTAGTCGCGGTAAAGCAACTTCTCGAGCGCGGGAAAAGCGTTCGCGAAAAACTAGAGAACGAAGTGCAAACTTTGGCGCGTTTGCGACATCCCAACCTCCTTCTCTTCATGGGCTACGCTTTAGAGCCCCCTCTGATCCTTACCGAGTTCATGCGTCGCGGCTCTTTGCACGGCATCTTGAAATCCGACGAGTGTTTCAAAGTTGACGGTTTGCGGTGTCTGAACATTACCATGGCCGTCGCTCGAGGCATGCACTACCTCCACACTCGATCGCCACCGATCCTCCACTTGGACTTGAAATCTCCAAACATACTCGTGGACGAAAAATGGCGAGTCAAAATCGCCGACTTTGGCATGTCCCGCGTCCGCTTCTCCACCTTAGCCTCCGCGCGCTCGGAGTTCCACGGCACCCCGGAATGGATGGCCCCGGAAATGCTCCGCGCCGAACCGTACGATGAACGCGCCGACATCTACTCCTTCGGCGTCGTCTGTTGGGAGCTCTTAACCACGCGAACGCCTTGGGACGACTTACACCCCATGCAAGTAGTCGCCGTCGTCGGTTACTCCGAGCGCAGACTCGCTTTACCGACCGATTGGAACAAACGAAGAGAAGCGCTCGTCGGCGCGTCGTCTCAGAGACAACTCCCGCTCACCCAAGCGGACGAGCTCGCGTTCGACTCCATATCGAACTTGTTCGAAACCTGCGCCGCGAAAGACGTCGAAGCGAGACCGAAATCGTTCGAGTTTATTTTACGCTCCTTGCAAACGGAAATGAACGCGTGGCGACGGTCGTTACCTTCTCCTTCCCCGGGGAATGACAAAAAGGTTGAGACGGGAAAACAAGAAGAGAATCCTAAGAGCGACGAAAACGGTTTAAATGAGAGAGAATAATAGAACACAGACAGTAGTAGTAGTAGTAGTAGTAGCAGTAGTAGTAGTGCGAAAGTACTCGACATACTAATAAAGCACGCAGAAAGGAAATCAAAAGAAAAAATGTTCAAAAAATGTAACCCTAAACGTTTTTTTTTGTCGAAGCGATAGGGGGGAGAGAATTTTTGCGACTCTTCGGTGCCTTTTATTTTTATCATCCCGTTCAAAAGACCCACACACGAACGCACGTATTCTTTGTTGACTTGCACTACTTTCGTCGATCGCGCGGTGTAAAGCGCACGCACGAAGAGGAGGAGTAGATCTCGGCACACTCCGCGTGCGACGAGAACAGACACGCGCACACCAAAACTCGTTCTCGCGCGAAGGAAAAATCTCTTCTTTGGGAATAATTTCGTCGAACACAAACGAAAGCGTTGGGAAAACGAGAGACGGAAAAAGCTTCTCGTCTCCTTGACCTCGTGCGCGTCAAAGTCGTCTCGAGAAACAAAAGAAGACCAAGAAAAGGAAACATTACAACACGTACACGTATAAAATGAGGGACGTGTCGCAGCACATGATGCGCGCGAGCACCTCTTTCGCCGAAGGTGCGTTTCTTTTCCTCCAAGAGACGCTCTCATTTGAGTGCAAAACCAATTGTGCCTCGAGCGCTGCACAGTCAGAGTTTTGCTCTTTTTTTGGGTGTTCGCTCGCTTTTTGTATCCCCCTCTTAAAATTTTAGAGATGAAAGAGAAGGGGGGAGAAGAAGAGGTGTCGATGTTTCCGCGGACAAAACGTGTTTTCAGCACCACGAAATCGAAAGAGAGGAAGAGAGGACGTCGTTTTTCAGCACTGCGCGATCGAAAGAGAGAGAGAGAGAACGATTCGAGAGCGTAGAATACGTATTCTTATTTTTTCTTTCAATTATTGACCCCGGTTTTCTTTTTCCCCTTTGTTTTGGAACGCACCAAAAACGCGTTTCAAAAAAAAACAGATTTCGACCCGATGATGATCGTGAGAAAACCAGACGCATCCTCCTCCCCGTCCTCCTCCTCGCCGAGTAATAGTAGTAGTAGTAATAGTAAGAAGAACAAAAGAGACGGCGAGAGCGGCGGCGGCGACGCGGGTGGCGGCGGTTCGCCGGGAACGTCGTCGTCGATTGGACGAAGGTTCGATCGAACCAAAAACGCTTCTTCAAAGACGAATAGCGTGCGCGACGTGGGGACGCCGTCTTCGTCGCCTTTGTTTGGTCACCACCAGAAAACCGGGTCCTTTGGAGGAGGTAATAAAGTCGCCGATCCGATTTGGATCGACGACGATTGCGAAGTGGACGACGAGTTTTGTTTCAGCGACGACGGGTTTACGCCAGACGCGAAGAAACGCCGCAACAATAACAAAGGCCAAGGTAAAACGGTTTCGAACAACGAGGACGAAGACGATGAAGAGCTCTCCGGGTCTTTTAAAAGAAGAGAAATTGAAAACGAACGGAAAATGGTCAATCGTCTGTGGGATAAGCCGACGACGTCGGAAGATTTGTTGCACATCACCTCGCACGTGCCGGTAAACAGAACAGGGAAAGCGGCGCCGAAAGAAACAGTAAATAAAACGAGCGCGAATACTAAAACGAATAAAAAACACAACAACAACAAGAAACTTCAACAACGAAAAGAAGAAACAGATGAAAAGAAACAGAAATGGTTTTACACCAAGGTGACGTTTGTCGCGGTGATTTTGAATTTTGTCGTCGCTCTGCCCTCGTCGGTTTTCACGCAGTTACCGTCCGTGTTTACCGGCTTGGGCGTCTTAAAAGCGTTGGATTGGTTGTTTCCAAACTCGAGAAAACGTTTGATGCGCATATCGCGAAGGATTCGTCGGGTGAAATCGAGCGTGAAAAATCGAAACATATCGTTTCCGAGTTTGAAATTTGCTAGACTCGGGGTGAAATCCATCGCGAATATCGCGCGTCGAGGCAGCGTGAACGCGATGAATCGCGTGTCATCGAGAACAAACATCACGCAAAAATCTGAGTCGTTTGAAAATCTGATCAAGGAGGGCCAAAAGAAGAACGAAACCGGCGACACGCTTTCCGCGGTGAAAATATTCACCAGAGCGGTGGAACGTCAACCGATGAACCAGTTTGCAAACATCGCGCTATCGAAATCTCTTTCCGACCGAGTCTTTGAACCGGAGATTTTCAAAAACAGAGTGAAAGCGAAAGCGTTGGCGGACGAAGCCGTCGACCGCGCGCAGAAAGCGGTTGAAATCGACAGAAACTCGTGTCAAGCGCACGTGTGTTTGGCGGTTGCGTACGGTCGCGCGCAAATGTTCTCCAACGAAAACAGAGAAAAAGTTGAGCTCGGTAAAATGCTCAAAGAGTCTCTCGATAACGCGTTGAAGATTGATCCGAACGACGACATGGCGTTGCACGTAATGGGTCGCTACGAGTGGTCCATGGCTAACTTGAACGGCATCACCAAAATGTACGTGAAGATGATGTACGGCGCGCTCGCTCCTGGTTCCGCCGAAAACGCCGAAAAGCTCTTCAAGCGCTGCATCGAACTCAGCCCGAACCGATTAATTCATAAAGTCGAGTTGGCGAAAATGCTCTTCGATTTGAAACGCTACGACGAAGCGCACAAGTTAGCTACCGAAGGTCGCGTCTTACCGATGGAAGACGTCAACTCGGAAATCGAGCGTAAAAACGCGGACGAAATCATCCGAAAATCAGCTCTGAAAATGACTCGAAGTCGAAGTTCCATGATGGGCTTTGGAAGTAGCTCGGCGCTTTCCAAGAAGTTGAAATCTCGGACGCCTTTGAAAGACACCAGCAACGCGGATTTGCAACAACAACAACAACAACAACAACAACAAACGTTGGCCGAGGCGCAACCGCAGCGACAGAACTGAAGCACACACGTTTCACACAACAAAAAGTAGATTTAAAATGTATAGAAAACCCCACATAACGACACTATGAACAACACTAATACCAACGAGTTTGTTTCTTCTTCTTCGTAATATCGATTGCGCCGCTCGACAAAAGCGCTTTTTCCAAGCAAAAGTCACCACAAGGAGAGATTTTTCTCCATTTTATGGGTGCGCTTAACACGACGTAAACGACGACGAACACCGACGACGAAAAATCGTCGCGTCATCGTCGCGCAAAAGTTTGAGGAGAAAGAGAGAGCGCAGAAGATAAAACTCAAAGCCCTCTTCTTTTCTCCGTTCTCCTCTCAACGACCACAAAGAAGAATCAGTCATGCCGCCAAAGACGCAAAAGAAAAAGAAGTCTCTCTCGCACGCGCAAAAGATGCTTCAAGCACAAAAAGCGAGACCTGGAGAGGGAGAATTAACGACGACGACTACGATGCGAGCGACGCAATTGTCCGCTTTACAAGGGATGGCGACGACTGTGTTTACCGTGGACGCGCTGGATTTAAAATCCACGAAAGTGCCTTCAAGAGGAGGAGGAGGAGACAAGAAAACGAGAGGCATTGGCAGTCGCAACGCGCATAAGAAAGGCGTACAAACGACGTTCGCGAAAGAAGCGGATTACGACGTGGAGAGACGCGTGAAAGACGCGCGAAGGCCAATCGGGACAGCGCCGAAAGCGTACGAAGAGTTAGACGTCGTCGTCGCAAAGACGAAGAGCGCGACGACGATATCCGATGGTGCGATTATTGTAGAACACCAAAGCGTGGAGGCGATTGATTTCATGCCGCGGCGACCGAAATGGTCGCGAAAGGGCGACGCGAAAGAGACGAGTAAAAACCGCTTGCGATTGAGAGAGCGAAAGGCGTTCGCGAAGTGGGCGAGACGGGTGAAAGAAAAGATGGTGGCGAAAGGCGGGTATCCGCCGGCGTTTGAGCAGAACTTGGAAGTTTGGAGACAGTTGTGGCGAGCTATGGAACGAGCGGACGTGATTTGTTGCGTTTTAGACGCGAGAAATCCTATGTTGCATTTTCCGGCGGCGATGTACGCGCATGCGACGAGGGTTCATAAGAAACCGTTGATTTGCGCGTTGAATAAGATCGATCGAGTGCCGCGGGAAGCCGCGGAGAAGTGGAGGAAGTGTTTATTGGAAGGATTGCCTGGATTGGACGAGGTTATAGGGTTCATCGCGGTCGAACAGGACGAAGACGGGATGAGAGAAGAAGAGGAAGGAGAGGAAGAAGAGGAGGAAGAATTAGACGAAGAGGAACTCGCGAAGAGGGTGTACGAGCCGACGCGAGAAATGACTGTCGGTAAATCGGCGTTAATTTCAGCGGTGAAAAGAGTCGCGAAGTACGGGAAGCGGTGGAAACACGTCGTCGAAGATGATCCGCACGAGGACGTGGACTCGCGTCTGCATCGAACGAAGACGAAAAATTACGCCTTTTTCGAAGACGAGTTTGAGAACATTCACGGCGAAGACGACGAGGGAGATGACGCGCCTAAAGACGAGTGCGTCGTTGCGCTCGTCGGACATCCAAACGTTGGCAAATCTTCCATGATTAACACTTTGCTCGGTCGTAAAGCAGTCTCAGTGAAAGCGACGCCTGGGCACACGAAAACGTTGCAGACGTTAAGGTTTGCCAAAGGCGTGTGGTTGTGCGATTCGCCTGGATTAGTCTTTCCTCGAGTCGACGCGAGCTTACCGGAACAAATCGTCGGTGGTATTGTTCCGTTACCGATTGTACGAGAACCTTACTCATCGTTACGTTGGCTCGCCGAAATGCGAGATGCGTGCAAAGATCGATGGAAAGCGTACGCGGACAGCAAGACGTCCAACGAGAAAGATCGTCGTTTAGCCGAAGAACTATCCAAGACGCTCCCGGAAACGTTGAAAATTTCAGCGTTGCCTACAGATTTGTACGACAGCGAAGTTTTAGAATTACGAGACGCTTCGGACGTTCTCGAAGGGTTTCTTCCTTGGTCACCGTTGTCTTTAGCTCGCGAAACGGCGTTGAAACGAAAGCTCCTCGTCTCCGGCGGACGACCGGACGACCGCGCGGGAGGCGTGATTGCGTTGAAACGAGTTTTGGACGGTAAATCACCGTACGCCGTTCCTCCACCAATAGATATCGTCGCGATTAAAGCGAGGCGAGATTCGGCTCACGCACCGTTCGCGGACGAGGACGTGAACATCGAGAACGAAGAAGGCTTCGAAGAAGAATTGGAAGAGATGAACAGAAATGATAACGGACTTATTCTCGCAGAAGATGGGGGTGGTGGTGGTGCTCACGATGCGCTCGATTTAATCGATTACTTCGACGACGAGGATCCGTGCTTTGATCCAGCTCCAAAGAAAGTGGATATCAAAAGCAACGACGACGACAGCGACGAGAGCGAAGGAGACGAGCGGAATAGTAGAAAAGCGGGGCCTTCGAACGCATTCGCGGCGCTTTCATTGGAAGAAGACGATTAAAAAATTAGTTAGAGAATAGAATTAACTTGTTGTTATAGGTGGATTAGTATGCTGGGGAGGAAGTGCTAGTATTATATATTTACTCGGTACCGTAGATGTGACGTTAATGCAAAATCTGCTTTGCAATCGTCCACGTAACCGTGACCAACAGCGCAATCTTCGCGAAATCGCCGCCCGTTTTCTTCGCCGTTTTCACAACGTTCCCAATCAACGCGTACAACGCCAACACGCCAAACCCGACCAACGCAGCTTGTGTGGCCACACTTCTCACCTCCGGCGGTAACACGCTCGCGCCTTCGTCCAACGCACCGACCGCGCCGCCAACCTTCCCGACGACGTCGTTCACGTCGATGTTCGTCACCCCGGACCCGACCGACTCGACCGTCTTCGTCAACGCGTCTACGCTCAACGCCCCGGTCGTCTTATACGTCACCCCGGCCGCGGCCACTAACAGCAACAAAACTGGTGGTCCCCAACCTAACGTTGCCTCTTTCGACCTCGTAGGAATCCGCCCGGTCTCTTTCCACGATTGTAAACCAACCTCGCCGAAGAAAATCCCGCCCGCGGCGCTGTTAAAGTCCTTTCCGAGCACCACCTCTTTCGTCTCCTTCCTCGGTTTCTTTTTTGCCTTCACCTTCTCTTGCGCGTTCGCCGCGTTGAGTTGACTTCGATAGTCTTGCAACCTTTTCTCGCCTCCGGCGAACCCGCCGACGACGGCGTCTCTCCCGGTCTCGCTCACCAACCCTTTGTTCCTCTCCTCTAATCCGTCTTGGTCTTTAATCCACTTGCCTTGTCCGACGTAATATTCGCCTTTCTTACCAGCTCCTGAACTCGCCGAAACGCTCAAAATCATTCTTCGCCTCTTAGTGTTAAAGGTCAGAGTCGTTTTCGTCCTCTGAATCGTCTCTGACGACCGAGAACTCAAACTCAAAGACGGAGAAGATACGGCGGAAAATCCGTTCGTCCGCATCGTCATCATCTTTCCTCTTCCTTTCCTATTCGGGAGGATATGCCGTTCTCTCTCTCTCTTTCTCTCTCTCTCTCTCGCTCTCCCTGTGTTTCGCTTTTGGTCGAAGGAGTGTTGCGTGAACTTCAAGCGCCGAGGAAAAGAGGAAAAGGTTTACTCGAGGTGTGACGATTTGTGACTAATCTTTTCCCAAGGACTGACTGCTCTTGGGAAAAATGGCGAATTGGCTTCACAATCTCTCCTTCTCTCTCTCTCTCTCGGACACAAATGGCCGCCAAAACACGAAACGGCCACGACGAGGACGACGACGAGTCAGACCCGTACAAAACTTTGGGCATTTATGGCGACGAAGAATTGTGCCTCTCGATCACTCGCGCGGAGATTAAGAAAGTCTTCCGCAAATTGGCGTTGAAGTTGCACCCGGACAAGAGGCCTTCGCAGGAACGCGAGCGAGCGGCGAGTGAATTCGAACGGGCGAGAAAAGCGTGCGACGTGTTATCGAACGACGAGGAGAGGCAAAAAGTGGACGAGAAGTTACGCGCGAAACGTGTAAGGAAACGAGAGTTGGAGAGAGAAAGCCACCGGAGGAAACAGTTGAGGGAAAAACTGGAAGCGAGAGAACGAGAGGGAGAGAAAAACAGAGACGACGAGGAGGCGCGAGAGCGGAAGAAGAGAAAGTTAGCGAAAGAGTTGGAGGTTTTGAGAGGGAAATACGAGGAAGGTGTGAGCGAGGAAAAGAAGCGTGCGAGGACGAACGACGCCCCGGCGAGGGCGGCGGAGGCGGAGGCGCTGGACTTGCGTCGCGCGTTGAAGGCGGCGTGGCGGAAGCCGCAGAATCCAGCGAAAGAGAAAGACCACGACGCACCGAGTTTGTTTCGAGCGTTCGAGAAGTATAACGCGGTGGATGTCATATTTCGAGAGATTGCTGACGCAAAGAAACGGAAGAAGAAAGGGAGCGCGTTTGTGATTTGTAAGACGAGAGAGGACGCGGTTCGCGCGAGCGAGGAGAAAGACGGGATCGAGTGCGACGGCGGGAGGCCGCAGGTGTTTGTGACGTTGGCAAAGACGCGAGCGTTGGAAGAGGCTGATGCGATGCAACGGAAAGAGGAAGACTTCGAGAAGGCGAAAGAAAAGAAAGCACCACCACCGCTACCACCAAAAACGGAAGATTTTGAAAAGGACGTCTTGGCGCGGATGCGAAAAATCGCGGAAGAGCGAAAGAAAGCGGCTGCCGCTGCTGCCGAATAATTTTGAGCATAAATACTTTATTAGCGAGCTGAAATGCACTAGAACAACCTAGCTTTTACGATAGAACTAGATGAACAACAACAACGATGCGTTATATGGTAGTGCGTATTCTAAATTAATCTTTAACAATCTAAACAATTTTCTCTCCTCTTCCACCTCCTCCACCTTTTCCGCGATATCATCGTCATCACTTATGTCCCATCGCGTGCATCTTCGTCATCTCCCTTGCCTTCGCCAACGCCTCGTCCTCGTTATCCCTCCAGTGCTTCGCAATCCTCTCGTCCAAAGGATCGTCCGGGTTCGGCGTCGACAACAGCGCCTGCACGCTCAACAATATCGTCCGAATCTGCAACGCCGGCGACCACTTCTCCTTCAACACGTCCAAGCACACCCTCCCGAGTTTATCGATGTTCGGGTGATATATCTTTGTCTTGAACAGAACTTTCGGTGGGTCCATCGGGTACCCTTCCGGTAGGAAAAGTTCCAAATGGAAAATCCCGCCTTCGTACGGCGAATCCGACGGCCCTTCGATGGACACTTGAAAGTGCCGCACGTTCTCCTCGGACGGAATCGCCGTAATTCCCGGCACCGGTTCTTGGAGCAAACGCTGGGTTTCTTTTATGATTCGGCGAGGTAAAGGCGACGACGACGATGCCATCTCGCCCTTTTGTGATATTTATTCTCTTTCGCAAAAGTCCTTTTGCCACTGCTCCTAAAGCTGCGCCTAAAGCTGCTTCTGAGCTGCTTTAAATACGTGCAGTTACGTGCGTATTCCGCGTATCAATCAAAGCGCGCGATCAATCCAACACTTCTCCTCGTTCGTTCAAAAGAGATTGAGCGGTGTGACGTGGGAAAGGTCGAAGTGTCCTCCCCCTCCTCGCTAAAGGTGATGCGATTTTGCCTCGACGACGACGACGAAGATTGGAAAAAGAGAGATCGACGACGCGCGACGACTTTGACGCGAAAGAAGAGAAGAGAATCTCACTCTCCTCGAGACGAAGGCTCGGAAGAAGAAGAGAGACGCACGAACGCGTTTTTTCTCTCTAAATCTCGCTCTATCACCACGGGCGGCGCACTGGTGCGTGTGTGCTTTTTGCGTGCAAAAGTATACGTAAATTGTGAGGACAAAGTCTGGATGGCGACTTTGGTACTTTTGGTGGTACAAACGCGTCGTCTACGTATATGTGATCTACTTTCGTTTTACATTTCTCGAGGACGACGTAAACGACGATAAAGAAGTTCGCTTTTCGGCGTTGCTCTTCGCTTTCTTTTCCTCACTTTTGAGTCTTTTCCGTTCAACTTTCGCGAGATGTTGTAACGTCTTCGCCTTGTCGTCGTAGTTTTCGCGTTTAAGTAAAATTTTTGCCAACGCGCCGAGGTGCGCGACGAACGCGACGCACGCCATAGCGGTGGCGTTAAATGGCATCGCGCCGTCTGGAACAGGAAGTATTACCGTTAACGCGTCCAAGAAGTGCGCGAAGTCGTTTTTCTCGTTCTCGATTAACTTTTCGAAGAGCGGCGATTGGGCGAAGCCAAGCTTGGCGTACGCGCGCTCGTATCTGCCGAGAGTATCATTATCACTCTTGTCACTGCTGCTTTCTGCGCCCGGTGCCGCTGCAGAGAACGCTATTGCCGGCGGAAATGTCATTCCGCGCTCTGCATCTGCCTCGAACAATTCGAGCGGTAAAAATATCTTCTCGAAATCAAATCTAATAGTCACCGAATCGAGCCCGCGCGGTAACTTAATCTTCATCTCGAGTAACTCTTTACCCCAGGAAATGTCGCTCACTGCACTATCGTTGCTAATGATAGAACTATCATCACCTCCTTTTGAACTTTTTTTCGAAACGACCTCGAACGTGTGTCGAAAGACGCGGACGTAATCGGGAACGGGGTGGAATATTCTCACCACGGTATCGCCTCTCGCATTTTCAAATCTGGACACCGAAAGCGAAATCGCGCCGCGAATACTCCCGGAACCGAGAATGGCGCGGGTGATGGTGACTCTCGGAGCGTCGACTTTTATAGACGAAGAGGATGTCGATTTCGCAGATATCTTCAAACTACTGAGCAACTCTGCAACGCTACTCTTCTTACTTTCTCTCAAATCCACCGCGCGCACGTCTCCATTACCTAGCAGCGCGTACACTCTCGACATCTCTTTCGCCGCCGCGCACGCTTTCACATCGTTTCTCTCCCTCGCCATTTTTTCTATCACCTCTCTGCTCGCCACTCCCGTCATGGACAAGGAAAATCTTCCTCTCTCGTACGACGCTCCAAAACTAAGAAAATCCACGTCCGCGATCAACGCGCTTCGTTCGCTTGCGATGATGTTCGCCACCCCTCTTCTCCCGCCGCACGGCAACATCTCAAAAAAGCTCGCCACGTTTTCTACGCACGCGATTTCTTTCGGATACGATTGAAACAAAGTCGTCGTCGTTGATCTATTCTTCGACGCTATCTTTCTACTCCCAAACTCTAATCCATTCTTCTTCTTCTTATTCTTCGTCATCCCTCTTCCAACTTCGTAAAATCTGGGCAAACCTCTCTGCCGCACGTTGGCTCCTGCGCAAAACTTCGCGCCAACCGTGTTCGTCAATCTCACCCACCCATCTCCCTTCTCCTTCTCGTACGCATCATCATCATAACCATCATCATCGTCGTCGTCATCCTCTCTGCTCCAAACTCCGTTCACGTGCATCCCGAGCGCGCTCGACATCTCAAAGTTCATCGGCTTCCTCCCGAACGCGCCGGCGTCTCGCCATCGGCCTCGAGTAAAACCCACCGAAAATTCCTCCAACATCAATCTCCTCTTTCTTTTCTTCTCGTTTTCGTCGTCCTTTTTACTCGAAGACGATGTTCGCTTTACGCTGTCACGTTGCGAAAGTCTCGCTATTGCTCTCGGAAAGGTTTCTAAATCGTTCGTGTTCGTGTTCATCATCGTCCACGAAAACAAGGACTGGAAGAGAATGCCATCGGGTTGTTTCTCGCTCTCGTCGTCTTTCTCATCGTCGTCCTCGTCCGCAAAGTTCGTGGACGTGGTAAAGTTCCTCCTTGTCCTCCTTTTCCGCTCCGGACGAGGAAGCGGCGAGACGAAGAGTACCTCCTCGGTAAATCGTTCCATCGTGCCTCCTTTCGCAAAAGCGCGAGCAAAAGCGGCGCAAGAGGCGAATAAAAGCAACGCGAACACAAACGCTCGCATAACTCTCCGTTCTCTCTCTCTCTCTGAAGCCGTTTTTGATCTCAGAGTGACACACGACTGCGACGACTGCTACACGAATATGTGAAGCAATCTGAGCAACACGATTTGTCATCACAATTTTCCCCCCTACTAAAGAGAATCTCATTCACGTCACGCTTCGTCTCTCTCTCTTTGTCTCGCATCCATCCTCGCATCAAAATGGATCTGCGGAAGGCGCCGAGCAGAGGAGGATTCGGAGGAGGGAACGCATCATCGTTCTTTTCGCGAACGACGATAATGATCAACAACAAAGAAAAAACGAATAACGATTCGTTCTTGGAAGAAGCGGAGGATGATTTGAAAGGGGTGCGACGTTTCCTTCGTCTCTCCGATAAAGACGAAGAAGACGAAGAAGACGACAGAGAGAAAGAAAAAGCCACTCGGACGCCCGAGGAGGAAAACGAACAGGAGAGAGACGTTCGCCGGTTTCGTCGACGCGGGAAAGGAGGCGGCAAAGAAGACAAAGAGCGAGACAAAGAACGGATGATGAATGTCTCCTCCGAGAAGAAGAAGGCAAAGGAAGCAAAAATTCCAATGAATAGACCTGCGAAGCATTCGTCAAAATTCGAAAAAATCCAGTCGACGACGTGCGTCTTCGCGGAAGACGACACGTGCTTGAAAGCGTTGAAGTGCAAAGAGTTAGGCGTCCCTTTATCGTACACGTATAGTAAGACGAACAAGAAACGTCGTCTTTCGTATCGGGTGCCGGAGAATTATCCGAAGTTTGCCGGACGGCGGTGTTGCGGGACGTGTTATTATAGGTGCGCGGCGAGGGAGACGATATGCGCGTTCGCGAAGGACGGGACGTGCGCGGTGGCGAATAAACGGGAGAAGGACGGGATGAAGGTGGCGTTTAACTATTTGAAGTATCGCGTGCCGAGTAATCACGAGAAGTACCCGGGGATGTGGTGCTGTAACTCGTGTTATTACAAGATTCAAGCGAAAGGGAAGTTGTGCGCGTTTGCGAAGGAGGGGACGTGTTTGATTGCGAAAGAAAAGGAGGAGAAAGGGTTGGTTTTGGAGTACAGCATCTTGCCGCAAAGAGTGCCGAAGACGCATCCGAAGTACGGCGGGGAGAGATGCTGCGAGACGTGTTATAATCGGTGTCTTGTGAAAGGAAAGGTGTGCGCGTTCTTGGCGAGCGGGGAGTGCGCGTACGCGAAGAAGCTGGGCGTCGCGGGGAAAGGCGGCAGCACCAATAAGAACAAGAACGAGAACAAACGAGCGAGAGGAGAAAATCAAAACGGACAACAAGAACAAGAACAAGAACAAGAACAAGAGTTGGAGTACAAACGCTTCCACCGCGTACCAAAAGACCATCCGAAGTTCGCCGGTAAACTCTGCTGCAACCCGTGCTACATCGCGTTCAAAGCGGAAGGCCAAAAGTGCGCGTTCATGGACGAAGGCAAATGCAGCTACGCGAGAAACGTGCGCAATCACGGCATCGCAGAGGTTGTGTACAAAAATTTGACCTACCGCGTGCCTGCTTCGCACGACACGCACGCCGGCGAAAGGTGCTGCCGAACGTGTTACAGAAAATGTTCCGAGCACGCGAAAGAGGTCAGATGGGCGACTGTTTTGAGCAACTTGTTGGAAAAGAATTGAAGAAGAACGAAGGAAAAGAGGATTGAGAGAGGATGAGGACGCAGAGAACGCGTAAGAACGCTGGTGCTGAAAGAGCATCATCATCACTGAGAAGGAACATTGAAAAGATTGAGAGAGACAAGGCAGATTTAAAAATACTACTTTTTACGTGACAGACAAAACACAACACAATTTAACAACAACAACTATCACGCTCGCTATGTTGTGCGCACACGTCGTCCCAATCACCCGAAAACCACCCTCGTTGTCGTCCTCGTCCTCGTCGCGATTATCATGTTGTCGAACGACGCAAAGAATGCGTATAATATCATCATCAGCAACTGAAACTAATGGAAAAGAAGAAGACAAAGAAGCGAATTCCATTTTATCCAATCGCCGCTCGCTCGTTCTCAACTCTTCCGCCCTCCCGCTGTTCCTCGGTGTACTCTTCGACGTCGGAAGCAAAGCGCCGAAACCGCAGTTAGGCGTGCAAGAATTCAACGGAATCAAAAGTTTAACGCTCTGTCCCCCGGATTCGGTGAATTGTTTAAGCACAGCAGAAGAAATGGGTACGTCAAATTGGTGATGGTGTTCGTTATCTTCTCTCCACCAAAGCGCTCGTCTGTCGTCGTCGGGACGCGATGGCATTTTGTTTACCCTCTGATGATTTACTGACGTTTATTACCTTTCGCATTATTGCTTTTCTTTTCTCTTATTATTCTTGCACAGGTCAAGCGCAAGCGTACGCGCCTCCGTGGACGTTTAATCCTCCCGAATCTATTCGCGTGTTGAAACAAACAGGAGTCTACGACGTCGCGACGGCGAAAGACCAACTGGTCGATATCATCAAAACCACCGACTGCGACGGTTTTACCGCTGAAATCACCGAAGAGTACGACGATTACGTCAGAGCTACGTACACGTCCCCTACGTTTGGCTTTGTCGACGACGTGGAGTTTTGGTTTACAAGAGACGATCGATCGACGGTGGAATACTCCTCCCGATCGAGGACGGGGAAAGACGACGGCGGAAAGAATAGGAATAGAATACGAACGTTACGGAAAGCATTGACGGCGAAATACGATTGGGCTTCCGTTGGCTTCTAGTAGAACTCGCGAGTTGTCAATGAAACAAATATATGCATCCCCGTGTGTTAGTAGTATAACACGATCGATCATCAAAAGTGCTCACATTTCATCGCGCGCTTTTCTCTCAAATCCTGCTCGGGAAACATCCGAAAGGTCGCTTTTCAGAATTCCGAAACACCGCATTATTACGACTCTCGCTTGCGCATCACACGTATCTCTCAAGAAAACAAACACGAATAAAAGTCTTTTATCATGAGCGTTCCTCCATCCCCCGAGCACTCTCAACACGGCGGGAGCGGCTACCCGTCCCCGATGTCCTCTCCTTCTCGCGGAAATCAGAGAGGCGGGTCACTCCGGGGAAGTTTAGAGTACTCTCGCGAAGCTTTGTTTCCGGAGTTGTTGGTTCTGCAACCGAGCGCGATCGTGGATCACATCGCGGTCTCCTCGCGAATCGAGGAACACGTGGAGGGAGAGATTGGCGGGTCGAGACCGATATCTTTGCAGGAGTTGAAACAAACGCTCGCTGGTTTGGGCGAGTGGAGCACGAAAATTGGTGGCAGTGCCACCAACGTGTGCTCGGGTTTAGCGCACGGATTCGAAGTGAACGCGGGCGTGATCGGCGCGTACGGGGACGACGAAATGGGCGACTTCTTCGAAACAGCGATGAAGCGAAATAAAGTGAACACGACGTATATGATTAGGAAAGAAGGGAGGCAAACTGGAAGGTGTTTGTGTTTGGTGCATCCGAAAACAGGGCAGCGAACGATGAGACCCGCGTTTGACGAAAACTGTCGATTGTTAGCGAAGGAGATTCCCGAGGAGGCGTTTAAAGGGACGGTCGTGAAGAATGTCTGGATGCGGAAGTGGGTAATTTTAAACGCGTACGCGTGTTACGGAGAGGATGAATTGCTCGAACGCGCTTTGGATACCGCGGAGATGCAAAAAGCGAACGTGTGTTTCCATTTGAGCTCGTTCGAGTTGGTGAGGAAATTCAAAGATAAACGCATTTCGGAGTGTTTGCGCCGAGAGTGCGTAAAGATTGTCATGGGAAATGAAGATGAGGTGACAGAGTATGGAAACGGGGACTTTGAGAAAGGCTTGGAGTTGTTGATCGCGAGCGTGGACATCGTCGTCGCGACATTAGGTGAGCGAGGATTGGTCGCATTGGAAAGGAATCGGCAAAGCGGAGAGATAAGAAGAATTGAACAACGAGCGTTTACACCGCCAATGAAGATTATCGATACAACTGGCGCTGGGGACGCGTTGACGAGCGGGTTCATGTATGGCATACTGAGAGGGAAGACGTTGGAACGGTGTTGCGAGATCGGATGTTTAACCGGCGCCGCGGTTTGTACAGTGTTTGGTGCTGAAATCGACGAGACCGGATGGACGTTCGTTTACGACAGAATGTTTACTTTAGGCGAACGTGATTTATCTGGATTTACCAAACGCAACGATTCGGCGATCGCAAAGTTGGCGAGAGGCTCGGCTAAAGCAGTCCGATCAGAACTATTGGAGTGTTTCGAGTTGATTGAAAAGTGGAAGCGAGGTATCGTGTATTACGGGTCGGCGAGGTTGAAACCGGAAACGGAAATTTATAAACAATCGAAAGATTTATCGAGAAGATTGGCGGAACTATTGGGCGACGTGACGACGTGGACTGGCGGAGGCCCGGGAATGATGGAAGCGGCGTCTCTAGGCGCCAAGGAGGCTGGAAAAGTTGTCGGTGGTATTCGGATTGCGCGCGAAGCTGGAACGAGCGTGAAATCGACGAAACAAAGTTATTTAGATCCGGATAAAGAGGTATATTGCAGATACTTAGCGCCGAGAAAAGTCGCGCTCACGGATGCCGGGGTGCGGAAAACGAAGGAAGATAAAACGGCTTACATCTTTCTTCCCGGCGGATTAGGTAGCATGGATGAATTTTTTGAGCTGTATACACTCGTTCAGTTGAAGAAACTGGGCAGCGAACACAAAGTGCCGATTATTCTGGTAAATTACGATGGTTTTTACGACTGTCTTTTGACGTTTATCAAAACAATGATCGAACAAGGCACCGTGGGAGAGAATGACATAACGTTTATCACGTGCTTGAATACGAACGACGAAGTCGTCGACTTTCTCAAGAGCTTCTATAGCTTGTGATCTATATTGTAACTATATTAACCTAACTAAAACAACTAATTCATACTACACTTTTTCATGCCGTACCGACCGGAAATTCTCTCGCCAAAGCTCGGACGTTCTTCTCGTCCACGAGCGGCATAAGATCAATTCGTCCAGTACATCCTAAACTTATTCTCAAGTATCCCCACGCGTTCTCAGCGTTTGGGTTTAGCTCTAACGCTCTCAAATAATACGCCACAGAGGCCTCATATCGTCCTTGGTTCGCAAATCCAATCCCCATATTCGTCCACGCGCGAGTATAGTTCGGTTTCAAATCGAGCGCGCTTCGATAAGAGGAGATTGCCTCGGAACTTTTCGCCGCGTTGGCTTTGGTGGCGCCAATTTTGTTATGTAAACGATGGTCTTGCGGATTCAAACGTGCGGCTGTTTCAAATGCCCGCACGGCTTCATCGTAGTCTCTCGTCAAGTGTGCTAACACGCCAACCACGGCGTGAATGTTTGCATTTTGCGGTTGTAATCTGGACGCTTCTCGGAACGCGTCGCGGGCTTCGTTTTCATCCATAATATTTTTACTTTCTACCAAATGCGACACGCCCTGTTGTTGACGAAGCCACGAAACGGCGTGTTGAATAGCCTCTGTTTTCTCGAGCTCGTTCGTGTGACTGACGGCGAGTTGTAAAGCAACTTCGGCGTCGAGAGGGTCGAGTCTGTGCGCTTCTCGCATTGCCGCGATGGCGCGAACGTCGTCATCGTTTTCGGCGTGCGCTTCGCCGAGCAATCGCCACGCTTCTGTGGTTGAGCTCTGTTGCGTCTCTGGTTGCTTCACTGCGGCTTCCAATGCTAACGTTGCCTCGGATAAAACACCACTCTTGACGAGATCCTTCCCGATTTGAAGCGCGTTCACATTCCCGTCGTAGGGGTTCGGATGCGTAAACACGTACGCATTATTTTTTTCATTGTTCATCACTTGCGCCGCGCTCTCGTTCCACGCGGAATCGAATTGATTTGCGTATTGCGGGTGCGTTTGCGTGAATTCATTCGCCCATTGTTCCGGTAAACTCGAAAATTCGTTCGCCCAATTCTCCGCGGCTTGCGCCGAATTTGTTTGTTGATGTTTTGCTTGCTGCTGACGCAACGTTGATTGAAACTCGTTCGCCCATCGCTCGCCGCCACTAATATTTGCACTTTGAAACTCCTTTGCCCAATCCTCGCTTTCCACGTTCACTTGACGCTCACCGTTGACGGTTCTTAAATCGTTATCGCGAACGGCAACTTGTCCCGAGCCGATATTTTGCATAAGCTTCACGAAGGACGAATTTACAAATTTCGGATCTTGCGCGAGCGTTCTCGCCAACTCCGCGCTGTGCATTCTCGTCTCCGCGTCCACTCTCGTTTCTCCTCGATGCTGTTGCTGTTGTTGATGCTGTTGTTGATGCTGTTGTTGCTGTGCGAACTCGTTTGCCCATTGCTGCGGCGGATTATAGCCGTTCCTTTGCTGCGTAAACTCATTCGCCCACCTCGCGTGCTCCGCACCACGCATCTGCTCGAACTCGTTCACCCACCGAGCGCTTGCACCGTTAACCATCTGCCCATTTTGTTGCATTTGCCTCTGAGCGAACTCGTTCGCCCATTCGCCACCGTTATTCCCCATCATCATTCTTTGTTGTTGTTGTTGTTGTTGTTGTTGTTGTTCTCGCTCGCGCGCAAACTCCCCGCCCCAATCCTGTCGTTGTTGTTGCTGTCGCATTTGCATCTCCATCATCGGCGCTGGCGTCATCAAACCAACTTCGTTTCTTTCTCTCATCATCATCGCGTCTCTCTGACGTTGCTCTGCCATCATTTCTTGTTCCCGTCGCCACGCTTGGTCCATACTTTGTTGTTGCTGTTGTTGTTGCACTAATTGCCTCTCGTACTCTCTCTCCATAGCCGGCGCGACTTGCCTCGCCATCACGTCCGACCGCGCTCTCTGCTGCTGCCGTCCACCACTCATATTGTTCATTCGTCTCTGCCTCTCCTGATCTGCCGTCCACCGTTGCTTCTGCTGTAACGTCTCGCCCGTCTCTCGGTCTCGTTGCATCTGCTTTTCCCGAACGGATTCGTTTCCCATTTTTCCCGAAGGGCCGCCGAATAAGATTTGATCGGTCATGCGCATGATTGGGTTTTGAGAGACGGAGGAGTGAGACGGGTCGTCGTCCGGGGCGCACCCGTCCGGGGTGAGAAGCAAGTCTTTGAGGAACATCGAGGGGGTGGAGGAGGATGGGTTGCCCGACATCTTCTTTAGTTGTGTTTTTTTTTAATTTACGACTGCGCTTTTTAGTGTGGATGTCAAGTGCTTCTTGTGCTTCATTTTTGCGCGTGTATTACGTAGTACTCTATCACAAATCACTCGCAGGAGGCAAAAGAATTTTAGTGGTTTTTGTTGAACTAAAGCAAAACTAACGCGACGTCTTTCGGCGCTAACGTCTCTTTCAACTTCCAGTTGTACAAGTAATAGTGCAAATCGCCGTCGCCGATGCCAAATTTAAGCGTCTCTAAGAACTGCGCGTTTTCGGAGACATTCAGAGCGTTGAAGACGTCAAAACCGTTGTCTCGGGCTAATATTAACGCGTCTTGGACGAGATCTTCGATGTTTTCGGAAGTGGCGACGTTGTAATAGCAGTACGCGGCTTTGAGTAAGACGTTGTTTCTCTTGGCGTTGCTACCGCCGGAAGACGCTTGGATGACCGTGGAGCTCAAGTTGTAGAAGGAGCAGAAATCCGTCGCTTCGTTGGTGCGCTCGTCAATTTTTACGTAGCTATACACGACCTCGTCTCTCGGGACTAACCAGTGTCTCACGTCTTCCTCGTTTTTCACCGGCGCTAACTTGAATTTGCTAAAATACGAGTTCAACAATCTCGTCACCGTCGGCACGTCCTTCGCTTCCATCTCCCTCAATCCTTGCACGCGAATTTTCTTCGGCATGGCGTAATGTTCAATCGTTTCCGCCATGCTCATCCCTCTCCCTAACTGCGTGAACCTTATATCCACCAACTTCTTCACGTTTATCGATCGGTGCCAATACCTTGCTTTCGCGCACGGTTTTGGTAAAACCACCCCAGCCGTGTACGCCGCCTGCCACACGTCTTTCAAATTAATCCTCCTCGTCACTTCCCTAATCAAAACCGGCGCAAAGTTTTTCCTCCGCAATTTCTTGTGCACGCACAAAAAGTTAATCTCCGCGACTTTCAACCGCTTCCCGTTCGCGCTCACTTCCGCCGGAATGCCCGTAATCAACGCCACCAACGTTTTCGTGCACGAAATCCGAATACCTACGTGCCAACTCTTTTCGTACCCGGGCGGCTGCAACGCCCACGAGACAAACTCCGGCGCGTACGCGAACCGGAACATCTCGTCGTCATCTTCCACGTAATTGTTCGCGAGCAACGTAAACACTTCGTCTCTGCCTTCTTGCGTATCCACGTCCACTTCGTCCCATTCGTACCCGGGCGGTAAGTCGTACCCTTCTTTCCTCACGTTCGCCGCCGTCTTGGACGGGTCGTCGATTGGACCATCACCATCGTCTAAGTCGCCCTCGTCGTCCTCGCCCTCGTCCGCGGTTTTGGCACCGGCGTCCTCTTTTCCTCCTTTTCTTCCTTCTTCAACTTCTTCGTCTTCTCCCTCCTCCTCGATTTCAAACTGCGGCACCGGTTGCGTGCTCCAAAACTTATGCTCTTTCCTCTTCTTCACATTCCCTACCAGTTGTTGTTGTTGTTGTTCTCCTCCTCCTCCTCCTCCTCCTTCCATCAGAAGACTTCTCTCCATCGCTTTTAGAATATCTCTCAGCGCTTCTTTCTCCTCCGGAGTCGTTCGCGTCTTCCTCTTCTCCTCTTCATCTTCTCGTTTCTTTCCTCCCGACGATTCGAATCCTCCTCCTCTCGGGGACGTCGCCGCTTCCTCCTCGTCCTCGTCCAAAGTGGCGTTTTCTCTCATCTCTTTTCTATTCTCTCTCTCTCTCTCTCTCTCGTGAAGAGCGCGCAAAAAACGATTGAATCGAAAACACGCACAAACAATGCGACGCTCTCTTTATGTGTGGTGGCAAAGTGGTCTCGTTTTCTTCTTCGTGTTCTTCGTAACGCGTCGTCGCGTGCGCACTCTGATCTGATTTTTGTGCGGGAAAAATGGCAGCCACGTTTTGGAAAATCTCTTCAGTGAAAAACGCGCTCAAACGCACGCATTTCTCGGGAGCACATACGACACACAGAGGAGGAAAAGAACAGAGAGATACCAAATGACGTTAAAAACAAAGAAATGGTACGAAACCAGAAACGCTCTGATCCTCGCGTGCGTCCTCTCGGTCGTTGCCTCCGTCGTCGCGTTCGCGCAAATCGGACTCCACCTGAAACATTACTCCAACGGGAACCACCAGAGACACATCTTGCGCATCATATTCCTGGTGCCAATCTACGCTTTGTTATCGTTCGCGGCGTTGATGCGACCGAAACATTCGTTGGATTTAGACACCTTTCGGGATTGCTACGAGAGTTGGGTGGTGTATAACTTTCTCGCGTTATGTTTTGAGTACGTCGGAGGCCCGGGAAACGTGCAAAATAACATGCAAGGGAAAGAGTTGCCTCCGAGCGTGTGGGCGTGCGCGAGAGAGTCGCAACAAGTGGACGGGGCGTATTTGAGGAGGAGTAAACAGTACGCGTTGCAGTTTGTGTTTTTAAAACCGTTTTTGAGTTTGATAAGCTGGATTATGCACATGCGAGGGCAGTACGGGGATTCCGCGATTGATTTTAAACGAGGGTACGTGTACGTGTTGTTCGTGTATAACATCTCGTATTCGTTCGCCTTGTACGGGTTGTTGATGTTTTATCGAGGCGCGTACGATTTGTTGAAACCGCACAAACCGTTGGCGAAGTTTATGTTGGTGAAAGCGGTCATCTTTCTGACGTTTTGGCAAGGCGCGTTTATCGCGTTAGCCGTGGCGACTGGGGACGTCTCGAGTTCCGAGGAAGGACGAGCGACGCAGGATTTTTTGGTATGCGTGGAGATGGTGTTTGCGAGTGTTTTTATGCACATTGCGTTTCCATACTACGTGTACGCGAATAGATCTGGGGTGAGTAGATTTGTCGCGAATGTCGGACACGCGTTGAGTGTTGGGGACGTTTTAGACGATACCGTCCATCAGTTCGGGAGGACCTATCAGGAGTACACGTTGCACGGAGCGCACGATAACAGCAGCGGGCAAGGGCAACAAATGGCGACAATGACGAGAACGTATGGTAGAGACGATAGAGACGGTAGGAAAGGTGGAGTGGAGGTTTTAGAAGGAGAGGTGAATAACAACAATGGATTAGAGAACATCGTCGTACAAGAGACGTCGCCGTACACGTATAGCATATCGACGCCTTCGCCGACCAACGCCGCCAGCGGTTCGAGAACGAACGTGTTTACGAACTATGACAACGATAATAGTAATCCATTTTCTACCACTGGGACGACAACTCGAGGGGGAGGAGGAGGAGGCGGTGGTAGTGGAAGTGGTGATGGAGGTGAGGACCAACCGCCGCCGCTTTTGAATTTATAAAATAGAAGCGTATAATATACACACCAACCATTTGTAATATCTCGAATATATTGTTTTAATTAATACAAATACAAAAACAAGCGCTTTCTCTCTCTCTCTTCTCTTTCGTTTCAACACGTTCTTTCTCTTTCTCGTCATATGCTTTCTCATCATTATCCTCAATCTAAATAAAACAGAGTCACCATCCTCCTCTGCACCTTCGCCTCTCGACACGTGTCCAGCAAAAGCGTCGAATCGTGAAACGCGAAACAGATAACCTGCCTCACTTTACTCACGATGACATCATTACATATCCTACTCGCCTCCAACAATGGCAAATGATCGTTCTCCGGACACTCCTCCACTTGACTCACCTTCTCTAACAACTCCCTCGACTCCGCCGGTTGCTTCGACAGCGACTGCGGCAACACGACGGTGAGCAGTTCCGGCCGTTCCGCTCGCAACGACCCGCGAATCACCGCCGCGTTCGTCCCGGTCGCCCCGGATGTAAAAATATGATTCCCAGTTAAACACAACGCGTACGCCAAGATCTCGATTAACTGTTGGTGTAAAAAACCCATGTTTCGCGTGCCGAAAAATCCAATCTCTTTCGGGCAGTCTTTTTGTATCGCGATGAGTTCTTGCAAGTAATCGAGCTCGGGAAACGAACTCCCCATCATCGGACGGTCGTCGTCGTCGTCTGAATCATCTTTTTCTAACACGGTCATCCCAGGCGCGCCTCTGTTTGTTTTCGGTTGTTCCTCCGGGGGGACTCCCCCGTTCCTCGTCATCTCGCGTGCACTCTTTTTCTCCGCATCATCATCCGTTTTAACAACCGCTTTTGTTCGCGTCGTGAAGACAACGCTCCGATGATGGATTCGTCTCGTCGTCCTCGCAGTAAACCTTCGAGAAGAAGAATACGAAGAAGGAACGACGAAAGGTGTAGTAAACAGCGTCAAAGATGAAGTCATTTTCACGTGCGTCGAAACGAACCTTGTTTTCTTCTGCGCTCCGCAGCTGCGTAAAGAAGAGGATGTGCAATGAAGCATCGATCGATCCTTTTTTTTCCCAAGAGACACACGTGAACTTTTTTTTTCCGAGAGTACCCACTACGCACTTAAACCCTAAATTTGCAAGTGCTTCGTTCTTACTCTTGAGTGCTTACTCCTTACTCCTGAGACCGTTACACAATTAAAAAACTCGACACACAATCGAACGGCCGTTTGTGTTTTGCGTTCTCTACTTCTCTCTGAGAATACCCGAACAACACGATCGAATAATGGGGTTCCGCTCTGCCGTGACCGAGGTGGCGAAGAACATCGTCCTCGGTGCACCGTCCACGCTGAAAAATCATCGCGCACAGAATCACCAACGAGGAAAAAACGGACGAGACGATGATGAGATGGAACCGTTCGATTTTTCCCACGAAGACGAAGCGCAAAGATGCATCGAATTGCTCGAACACCTCTCGAACGCAATCTTACCGGAAGAGACGCTCGAGGTGTTGAACCAACTGAGAGATTGCGTGCGAGAAAGCAGAACATCGCAAATGGTCGCGGCGAAAGTTGGCGGCGTGGATGTCATCTTTGAGTGTTTGTTGGAGGAGATGCAAGAGAGAGGAGCAAAGGAGGAGGAAACGAGCGAACAAGCGCACGCGGCGCTGGAAGTGTTGGTCGCCGCGATGACGACGGAACACGAGGAGGATTTGAAAATAGTAAAAGAGAGGGAGATGTTAGAAGAGAAGGCACGAGGGAAGATGATGATGGGGAAGCAGCGCATTGGGAAGGAGAGGCGAACGGCGAGCGAGATGAATCGAGAGGCGCTGGCCGCGAAGAGCGCGAACGTGTTCAGCATGTTGCAAATGATATCTTCGAACGATTTTTACGTGAAGTATCACGCGACGCAGATTTTGTGCGCGATGTCGAGCAGACGAAACACGAGGAAAAAAGTGCAAGAGGAAATCGTAAAGTCGCCCGGAGCGTCGGAGGTGCTCGTGAATAGTTGTTCGCCGAGGAAAGAGAAGAGCGAGGTGCTGAGAAACGAAACGTTGCTTTTATTGGCGAGGTGCACGAAAGGGCACAGCGAGATTCAAAAGTTAGTCGCGTTTGAAGGGATGTTCGAAGTTGCGTTTGATATCATACGCGCGGAATCGTCGGGAGACGACGCTGGTTTTGCCGGAGAGAGCGTTTCGAACGGTTTAGACGGCGGGATTGTCGTGCAGGATTGCTTGGAATTGTGTAATAATTTGATCAGAGGAAACGCGTTGGCGCAGTCGTTGTTTCGAGAGAACGGGTGCGTGGGGAAGCTGGTGCAATTTTTTAAAGGGTTGGAGAGACGGATAGGATCGGATGTCGCGGCGGCGGCGTACCCGGCGCAGAAAGCCGCAAACGCCTTGTGCGCTTTAGAATCCGTGTCTTTATTAGTCGGCGCGGTAAACTTACCGGAGGAGGAAGATAGTGAATTTTCGCAAGACGCGGAAGCTAGAGAGATAATTTTATCGAATTTAGAGGATAACCGAGATACAAACCGGGGAGAATTAGCGGCGAGAGGTGGGATAGAGGCGTTGTGTACGTGCGCGCTCGGGAACGGCAAAGTAGAATCAGCAGCCATTCGAGTGGCGGCGTTGCGAGCTTTAAGAGACGCGGTTGATTACCACGACGCGAATCAAGCGAGATTATTTTCCGCGGAAGTTACGAGAGAGGCGAGGAAAGGGAGCGGCGTACCCGAACCAGCTTTGTTGGCGTTGGGGCGGACGGCGTTGAAGGCGGAGACGAAAGCGGAACGAGAAGCGGCGCTCATGGCCTTGGAAAGTGCCGTGAGAGGTAACACGGATGGACAAATCTTACTCGTGAGTACGTTAGCGCCAACTGGGTTGGGTGGATTTGACGACGGACAAAACGAGAACGAAAATGACGGCGGCGATGACGATTTCGCGGGCGAGACGAGTTTAGGCGGCTTGTTCGCGCGCGCCATGTTGAGAGCGACGTCGACATCCTCCTCTTCTTCTTCTTCTGCGGGGAGGTTTATCTCCGAGGACGAAAAAAAGCAGCAGTTTATAGAAAGCTACGCGAGTACGATTGCGTTGAAAGCGATGTTGGAAGATAACGAGGACGCGAAGATGCGCGCATTGAGGGTTAACTTGCAACCGCTTTCGGAAATGGGATCGGCGAAATCTGCGGAACTTTTACTTCCGCGATGCGTTCGCTCGCTCGCCATCGCGCAAAAAATGGACGACGCGAATGGATCTTTACAAAGTGCCATTTTGCGTTTACTCATCGCGTGGTTGAGTGATTGCGCTTTAGCCGTGCACTCGTTTGTCACCTCGGACGCGTCGCATCTTCCAACCTTGAGTGATTTAGCTAAATACTCTTCGTTAGAAGACGTTCGTACGCTCGCGTGCGTGTGTTTAGGATGTTGTTTGGCATATTACGGCGAACAAGATTACGCGATTGCATCTAATGTGCTCGACGTGGTTGCCAGACGAATCGGAACGAACGATTTTTTAGCTACAATTGAACACGCCACGCGCACGGACAACTTTAAGAGAGCTCTGCTCCCGCCGAAGCCGCCGCCAACTGTGACGAGAGCGACCGCGGCTTCTTTACTCGCGGAATCGACGTCGTCGCCGAACGGAGGTCACGATCAAAAGACGGGTACCACGAGTAACAAAGATTTCAACCCGTACGATTACAGTACGGCTCACTTTATTCAGCGCTTCGAACCGGAAGTGCGCAGAGCCATCGTTCGATTATACGGCGGCGATTCGACGAAGGATTCGAATGCGAGCGGTATGGGTGGTATGAACGGAATGCAAACGTCGCCGTTCGATCGGCAAGAAGGCGAAGACGCCGAATCGTACGCGAAGAGATTAAAATCGACGTGCGAACAGCTGGATAACGAGTTACGCGTGGTAAGACAGAGAAACAAGACTCTCGCTGAAACCGTTGCAAATACTCGCGCGCACGCAGAAGCGCCGGCGACCATCGCCGTTGCCGCCCCGCCGGCATCCCAAGTAGTGGTAGGACCATCACCTTCCCTCGCTCCTCCTCCCCCTCCTTCTGTACAACAACAGCAGCAACATCAGGACGACCCTCGCATTGCACAGCTCGAACGCGAAATCAAACTCAAATCAAACATCATCCGCGAGAAAACCGAAGAGCTCAAATCGCTCGCCTCCGCGTATCAAGCCGTGGAAAACCAATTCACCGAAGCCGAAGAAGAACTCCAATCTCTTCGCAAAGCTCGAAGCGAAAACCAATCCGACGCGGAAACGACCGCTCAGCTCCTTGAAAATGCCAAAAAAGCCGGCATCGCCCAGGGATTGCGCGACGCCGAAAGCGAGTTCTCTTCTCGCGAAGACGCCACGCGCGCTCGACTCGACCTCGAGAAAGCGGAAGCGCTCAAAGATTTACAAGAAGAGATGGACGACTTGCTCGAGGTTTTAGGCATGGAGGAAAAACAAAAGGAGTTTCTCTTCCGAACACTCGTCGAAAAGGGAGAGGATATGGACACGTTGGAGGAAAAGTTGGAGCAGTTGACCGCCAACATCGAGGCGGATGAAGGCGACGAAGACGAAGAAGAGAAGACTATTTAGAGCACTCGTTTTGAGAATTTTCTTTATAAATAGAAAGACGCGATAGAGAATAATACCACACGACACATAACGCGACCACACACCAGAGCGCACACGACGAACAGATCAGAGACAAAGAGACAAAGAATATAGGAGAAAAACCATCACGCATGGGAGGATACTTTACCACTCTGAAAGAGAAAACACTCAACGAGACGTTTCCGTTCGTGAAAGCAAAACTCCACTCCGGGAAAAAGAAAACGTTGGATTACCTTTCGTCTTTGTATTATTCGAAACGTGCGCCGATTGAGAAATACGGAGAGGAATGCGAAGACATCGAGAAAATTTGGGACGGGTTCGTGGACGCGTTCGTGGGGACGTTACACGCGCAAGGCGGCGCTGGGTGCGCGTCTCGCGCGCCGTGTTTTTCTGATGGTGATGACGGTAAAGGTGGCGGCACGAAAGAGATTGAAACGCGCAACCGAAGAACGGCGCGAGAGCGAGTGGTCACCATCGGCGACTTACACGGGGACTTGGAGCAAACGAAACGAGCGTTTCGAGCGTGCCATTTGACAGACTCGAAGGATAAATGGATCGGGGGTAAAACGACCGTGGTGCAAGTTGGGGATCAACTCGATCGAGGACCGGACGAAGTCGCCGTGATGTACTTTCTCGAGAGAGTGGCGGAAGAAGCGGAGAGGAGTGGTGGTGAATTAGTGAGGATATTAGGGAATCACGAAACGTTGAACATTGCGGGTCGGTTTAGGTACGCTCAGAGGGAAGGGTGCGCGGATTTTACGAGATGGCGCGATCGACAAAAGATTGGAATGGAGTTGAAGAAGATGTGCTTCGGGAGCGAGAAACAAATGGAGAGAAGATATCGGAAGAAGAAGCAAACGAATTGGTGCGCGTACGAAACCGGGGAGAAGAGGCACGAAAAACTTCCGAGTTGGATACGCGAAGACGACGTGCACTCGATCAATCGGTGGAAGGCGGTGTGCCCGGGAGGCGAGTTCACGAAGCGGTTTTTCGCCGGCAAAAATGTCGCCGAAAGAGTCGGATCGACGTTATTCGTCCACGCTGGCGTTTTAGAACATCACGCGTTGTATGGGTTGGAGAATATAAATAAAGATATTCGAGAATGGGCAAGCAACGCGGAAAATCCGAGAGGCGTGCCTCCTTCGCACGTGCAATCCGACCAAAGCATCGTTTGGGCGAGAGATTACGCGCACACGGAGGAAGAGAGATGCGACTGCGCCAAGTTGTCGAGGGCGTTGCATTTTTTACCGGGCGTGGAGAGAGTGGTCGTCGGGCACACGATTCAAAAAGGCGGCGGAGGTGCCACTGCAGCCTGCGATGGGAAAGTGTTACGCGTGGACGTCGGCATGAGTCGAGGGTGTGGCGGAAACACGAGCGAAGGCGTGGAGATTTTGAACGACGGGGAGAAAATTACCAGGATGGTGGACGGTCAAGGACGACAACCTATGACTGGCGTAGAAAGTCGATTCCAGCCTATTTCGTAGGAGGGGCTTTATTCGCGAATCAATGATGAGCAGGCGTATGCATATTCGTTATTTAGCTTAGTGGTTTAGAAGTTTATAGTTATATAGATGAAATTAATAATGTATACGTGTTTGCTATTACGGATTTAAACAAGCCGTACCGCACGTCGCGACGACTTCAAACTCGATCGCGTTATTGTCCGCCGCCGACGGCACGCACGTCGGCCACACCGTAACATCATTATTCACAAAGCTATTCGGGTTCGACGTCGTCGTCAATGCACAGGCTTTCGCGACCCACGGATACAACCCGCGCTGACTCGTCGGGTACGTCATCCTGGAACTATCGCCGTATCGAAAGTTGCCGATAAATTTTTGCGGTAAAGACCGGTACTTATATCTTCGCATTTGCACCGCGATGGATAACAACGCGCCAAACAAACCGGCGACGACCGCCCATAAGGTCAGGATGAAGCACACGTATTTCGCGATTTCCTTCGGCGGGGGGAGCGTGATCGCAGTTTTACCAATCTGTTTAGAGAATATTTTAGAGGAAATTTGTGAGAAAAAAATGAATTCTTCCCAAAAAGAGAGACTTAAAAGACGACGAAAAGACTCTCGAGGAGGGGAGCCGAATTTGTGCGGAAAGTCAAAATCCGACTTTACGCGCGGAAAGCGTTCACGATCCCTCGAAAAGAGCCCCTCCTGATGTACTCGCCGCATAATTTCATCAAATACGAATCATTAGGCGTTCACAACGACCCGCGGTGTCTTTTTACACTTCGCATGTGTACCCTCTTGTACCCATCATCATCGAGTGGGAAAGTCGCCGGCGTCGTTTGGTACAAAAATCATCAATTCGGTTAACAAAATGGTTTTTAGATAAAGACGCGAAATGCGCGCACATTGACGCGCTCGCGACGAACGCGCGATCGATTTAAAAACTCGAACGCGTACCTTGACCATTTTTATCTCCGTTTATTTTCTTTTTACGCGCGTTTGTGTATAAAACTTGACCTCTCGCTGTGTGTATGTGAATACGACGCAGAGATAAAAGTGAAGCTTTTCGGGGAGAACCTGAGAAGAAGAAAAGGAATAAAAGGTGCGAGAGCGCGCGTGCGGTCGTTCAAGAATACGCATCATCATCATTGGCTACTACAAAAGTTTAATTGCGTTCTATTCAACTCCGTTGCTAAACGACGAAACTCTCTTTATCGTCGTGTTTTTACTACCGAGTTTGTTTCTTCAAACTCGCCACGCTCGCCTTCCACAAGCGTTCGCTCGCCGCGGCGAGGACCTCGCCTTGGAAAGACTCCCCGTCGCCTCCTTCTTCTTCGACGACAAACTTCAACGGCTCGCCTTCCCAGTCGGTCATTTTACCCCCCGCGCCTAACACTATTGGCACTAACGCCATGTAATCGTACGGTTTTAAATCCGCTTCGCAGACGATGTCGCAAAAACCAGACGCTAATAAACCGTACGCGTAGCAATCGCACCCAAACATTGGGATTTTCACCTCCCGTTTCAACCGTTCGTATCGAACTTCGTTTTCGTCGTAAAACATGAGCGGCGTCGTCGAATACATCAGCGCTTCTTTCAACTCTTTCTGTTCGTCTCCGTGCACGGAAACTGGATCCCCGTTAAATGTCGTTTGCGTGCCCTTACACCCGATCCATCGTTCCTTCAAAACCGGTTGTTCCAACACGCCGAGGACGGGTTCGCCGTCGCGCAACAACGCGATCAAGGTCCCCCACAACGGTTTCCCCGTGATGAACGATTTCGTCCCGTCGATTGGATCAAACACCCATAAATACTCGTGTTTCTTATCGTCGCTTTTCTTCTCCAAACCTAACTCAATCCCGTGTTCCTCGCCGAATATCGCGTGCGACGGATATCGACGTTTCACCAACGTCCGCATCGCCGTCTCCGCGTTTTTATCCGCCACCGTCACCGGACTCGCATCGTTTTTCGTCTCCACGCCTAGAGAAGTTTTTCGCCAATATTTCAAGGTTTCTTCGTTCGCCGCTTCTGCGAGTTCAATTGCGAACGCGGTGAACTCCTTTTGTAACATCATCAGTTCTTTACTCTCATCGTCATCATCATCATCATCATCATCGGTTGTTTTCGCGCGCGTTCGACACCGCATCGTCGCCCGATGTTTTCCTCCTCCTCTTTCGATCACACGCCTCCCTCGTTGAGAACATCGCGTTGCATTTTGGGGCGTAAAAGGCAAAGATGCCATCCTCCTTCGACGGATTTTGGTCTCTCGTGGCTTCTTCTTCCCCTCGTAAAGCCGGTTTTAGTGCGCTCGAGTGCGCGCTCCAATGAAGACACGACGAGTCGTTTCCTCAGTAAAATCACACAAATCCCAACGACTCATCACATGGACACCAACCGCTTATCGAAAGAGCTGCGAGAAATTGCCTCGGACAAAGCCTCCGGAGTGTCGGTGGAACTCGTCGGGGACTCGTTGGCGCACATGCGCGGGACCATCACGGGTACGAATATCATCTCTCTCTCTCTTTGCTCTCTCTTTTAAGGTGTTTGACGTGCAAATCTTTCCCAAGACACAGCGGGAAAGTGGTCTCTTTGTACCACGCTTTGGTGTGTACGCATTCGTTCTCTCGTCTGACCAACTCCTGTTGTACACACCGTAACGTTTAAAAACAGGACCATCGGAAACGCCGTACCAAGGCGGAACGTTCCTCGTGGACATTCACATCACGAACTCGTACCCGTTCGAACCGCCAAAGATGAAATTCTTGACCAAAGTGTGGCACCCGAACGTCTCCTCGCAAAGCGGCGCGATATGCTTGGACGTGCTGAAAGATCAGTGGACGCCAGCGTTGACGATTAAGACGGCGTTGTTATCGGTGCAAGCGTTGTTAGCGGCGGCGGAGCCGGACGATCCGCAAGATGCGGTGGTGGCGAAGATGTACGTTTCCAATCGCGCGCAGTTTGACCTGCAAGCGAAGGAGTGGACGGAGAAGTACGCGAAGGAAGGGCAGAAGGTAGAAGCGGCGAAAGATCCGAAGGTTGTGAAGTTGATGGAGATGGGTTTCGGGGAACAGGACGCGGAGAGGGCGTTGGTGAAGTGTAATTTTAACCAAGAGGAGGCGTTGGAGTATTTGTTGGCGCAGTGAGTGGTGAGTGAATACGTAGCGAGGCGATAGTATTAGCGAGGCGCTTGGAGAGAGGGAGACGCGGAAAGCGCGTGTTTTTATCTTTTCCGGCTGTACTATTATACATTTTTAATTAAAAGTAGCGAATTCATAAGCATAATAATAAACACGCACGGACAGTGTTTATACTTCTTCTTCTTCTTCTTCTTCTTCTTTATTAATACGAACTCATGCCGTTGCGGACGAATTCGGGAACGGAATGGAACGGCGTGAGCGTCTTATTTTGTTCCATCATTTCAGCCACGTATTCAGCGTATTCGATTTTGTCTTTCAACTCCTCCGGTAACTCGTGCGTCGGCACACCGTTTTCATCGCATTCAACTTTCTCTTCCGTGCATGGCCACTTTGTTACGGTAGTTTGTATCAAGTCTTTCTTGATTTCCAACTTTTCTTCTTCGGTGAGAGTTTCGTTGGATTCCTTTTCCGCTTGAACAATCGCGAGCGCAGCCGCGTGGTTGAAAAAAGTGGGCTTGACCGTAACCGTTTCTACCCACAACGTCGTGAAAACGGTTTTGAATCTTCCTTCGGCGACGTCGTCACCGGAGAGGCAGTTGACTTCGATAGCGAGCTCGCACGAGTCACACGGACTCTCTAGTTGGAAATGAATGTCCACGTAATCCGAAACTCGAAAGGCGTCGGCTGCGATGAATTTGCTGTCCAAGGAAAGCGCGACATCGGGAATGCAGTTGTTCGCAATATTTTCGGGTAATCGCGCGGTAAAACACGCGCCAACTGGGTGTGGCGGTCTTCTGTGCGCGACATTTTGTCCGTCACGTCTGTCATCGCCTTGGTGTCTTCGTGAAAGTATTTCTGAGTCGACTGGCAAAAACCGCTCGTGGTGCGGACGAAACAGTCCTTTTCTCTCCGAGCACGGCATGAAGTCCAGAACATCTTGTTTTGGTTTCGATATCTCTGCGTCGTGTGCGCGAGAACTCGTCGTTCTCGGCGCAACTTGCGCGTTCACACGTGATGATGCAAAGAAGGTTGCAAGCGCGAACAGAAAACACCGCATCATCCTTCTCTTTTTAAAAAATCACGAGATTATTCGACTGACCTTTTTCTCGTTTCGCTTCTCGTTTCGACAAACTTTTTTAAAACTCAATGGAATTTGCATCTATTCCGGTTGCTTTAGCGACCGATTGGCGAGCACGACGGAGTCGACGTGCTTTTTCGTCGTCTCCGTGACCACCAGCACCACCACCACTGGCACTCTCTTCTGCATCTACAACGATACGTTTTTTCCAATCAAACGTAGACGTGTTTTTCCTCGCCGGTTTCGCGGATTTCGGCACTTTCGGTTTCAAAATGTTGGAATTTCCGGACTGGCCCAAGGCATCTGCGATGGCATCGACGAACGGAGAGCGAGTGCGGACTTCTGGCTTGCTCCCGAATCGTCTGCGAGTGCTCGCGTGGCACAGGTACAGCTTCTTTTTCGCTCGCGTGACGCCGACGTAAAACAAGCGGACTTCCTCGTCGCGTTCTTCGGCGCTTTCATTCGCTCGAGCGCTTGGCGTTAATCCGTCTTCACATCCGGCGATAAATACGACATCAAATTCAGCACCTTTCGAGGCGTGCAGAGTCATTAATTTAACGGCATCTGCGCGTTCTTTTCTCGATTCGTCTTCCTCGTCGTCGAACATTTCGTTACCGTGCGTCGCTTCGGAGGAGGAGAGTAAAGAGACGCCTTCCAAGAACGCCGCTAAAGTCGTCTTGGGACTTTTACTCGTAGTATTTGTACCACCACCACCTTCGATATCGTTTTCAGCCAGGTTTTCTTCCGCGTCCGTGGCGAGCTGAATGAGTTCGGCGACGTGACCCCATCGTTCGTTCGCGTCGTCTTTATCCTTCACGTGGTTTTCGTAATCCGTCATCGCGACGACTTTCTTGAGTACCTCGCCGGGATTGCTCACCGTATCCGCCGTCTTCCGAATTTCTATGAGTGTTTTCGCGAATGCGAGGACAGAGTTGCGCGCGCGCGCAGTTATTCCCATATCTTTTGCAGACGGTAGAATCTCATGGTCTGGGTCGTCGCTGTCGCTATTCTTTGCCCACGCGCGATCAAACAACGCCGCGCCGAGCGACGGCGCTTCGCATCGACTCACCCATTCCTCGAGTTTCTCTACCGTTTTTTCCCCGATGCCTCGAGTTGGCGTGTTGATAACTCGTCGCAAACTCACCCCATCGCTGGAATTTGATGCAACTCGCAAGTATGCGATCAAATCTTTAATCTCTTTACGTCCGTAAAAACTTTGGTCGCCGACGACGACGTGCGGCACGCCCGCTCGTACAAACGCTTCCTCCAACGCGCGAGCTTGCGTGTTCGTGCGATACAAAACCGCAATATCTTTCTTCCTTAATCCTTCTAAGCTATCGTCTCTATTACCATTACTACTGCCTCCTGTGCTACTACTATTCGTCTTCTTTTCCGCGTCTTTTAACATCTGTTTCACTTGAGTGGCAATAAACGCGCCTTCCTCTCTTTCGTCGCCGGCTTCCACCACCGCCACGTCTTGTCCGCCTTCCTTAATCGCATCCCAAGACATCAACGCACTCGGTATTTCCGATTGTTGAATGACTGCTCTCGCGGCAGACACGATTGTTGCCGTAGACCTATAATTTGTCGTCAAACGAAACGTTTGCGCGTTTCTAAAATCGTCGTCAAATCTCGAACGGATGTTCGCCACCTCGGCGCCTCGCCACCCGTAAATGGCTTGGTCGGCGTCGCCGACGACGAAGAGTGTCTCTGCTTTCTCACCTAAATGTCGAATCATCTCGTATTGTGCCAAAGACGTGTCCTGAAACTCATCCACGAGCACGTGCGACCACCGGTTTTGTAAGTATCGTTTCGCGTCTCGTCTATTTTCGAACAAATAAACAACCGCCGAGAGCAAATCGTCGAAATCGAACGAGTTCGCCTCTCTCAACTTTTGTTCGTATTCCGACCAGACGATATCAAACTGTTCGCGAAGTAACGCGATACCCGCGGAGGAGGACGATAACGAAGACGAAGACGACGACGACGACGACGACGACGATTTTCTTCTTCTATCGTCGTCATCGACATCACTATTACTACTCCCTCCTCTCGCTTTCATTCTCAACGCGGAATCCATCGCCGTTCTCGCGTTTACGTTTACGCTCGTTTTCATCGAACTCTTCGCGCTGCTAATAAAATTCTTCATCGGCAACGGCGCGGCTGACTTTTTCGTTTGCCCTAACTTTTCCACTAAAATATCTCTCACCACCGCTTTGCTATCGTCGCTGTCGTAAATCGTAAAATCGGCGGTTCTCTCTAACGCTTCGTGTACCTTTTCCACGTGTTTCCTCAAAATCCTCGCCGCGACGGCGTGAAACGTCCCCGCGGTAATCGCTCGACTCACATCCGCGCCCATCGTTCTCTCCAAACGATTCCTCAACTCCTTCGCCGCTTTGTTCGTAAACGTGATGCACAAAATATTCTCCGGCGAGACGTTCTCGTCTTCGATTAAATGTTGCACTCGAGAGACTAAAACGTGCGTCTTTCCGCTCCCAGGACCGGCCAGAACTCTCACGAAGGAGGGATTCGGCGATAAAACCGCGTTCGCTTGTTGCGTCGAAAGATTTGAAGCGCATCGGTAATTTAAAAGCGTCTGTGGGTCTGGGATCGCCTCCGAGGCGGTTTGCGCCCACCCGTTATTCATCGCCTTCGAGCTTGAAGACGACGAAGAGGACGAACAACATCGCGTCGTCGATGCCAAAATCCGACCTCTCGTCTGAATCGTCGTCGTCGCATTCTGAATGCTCGAAGAAACCTTTTTCCTCGACGACGACAAAGACGAAGAACAGACCCCGTTGAGTGGGCGAAGGACGCGCCACCCGCGACGACAACACCGAGAAAAAAGAACGCCACCACCGCGCATCATCATCTTTTGTCGGCGTCTCGTTCTTTGTGAAGATTTCTCATCTCGCTCGTTGGAATTTTGTGCTTCACTAAAATTTAGGGTGTTAAACCCTATCCACGAGGCGTCTCTTTCCTCTCTTTCTTTCGATCCTTTTTTCCCCCAAATCGTCCTCCCCCCTTTGGCATCGCGTCGTTGCTTTTGTCTGCGTCTTTGTGGCATTGCGCGAGCGCGAGAGACGACTAAAACTGCGACGATGAGATCTTCGTTTTCGCTTTTGACGCTTTTTTTATTCGCGACGACGACCTTTTTTACGACAACCTTTTGTGTATTACTCGTGAATGTCGCTGCTCCGATTGGTTTTTCCAACGCGGCTACGATTCGCGACGAAAATGCGGACGACACGAACGAGAATAAAGGGCAGCGAAAAAGAGGCATCAACGTCAACGAGGATCCAAACGTGTACCAATACAAAAGAGGCACGGAAGAACACGTGGAAGTGCTCACGAACGAGAACTTTAAAAAGTTTACCACGAGCGGAGAACACGTGTTGGTGACGTTTTATGCCCCTTGGGATGGACACTCGAAATCGTTCTTGAAGCAATTTCACGAACTCGGGACGTCGCATACGATTTCCAGCGATTCGAGGTTAAAGTTTGGAAAAGTGGACGCGACGGTGGAGAAAGAATTGGCGAAGGAGTATGAAGTGGAGACGTACCCTCAGATTATTTTGTTCCGTCACGGGCAGCCGAAGGAGTACAAAGGGTCGTTGGCGGCCAACGGCGAGGGGTTGCGGAAGTGGTTGAGGAGAAATACGCACCATAAACCGGCGGCGTGGTTGGAAGGGGTGGACGATGTCCACGTGTTCACGTTGGGAAGACCGGTGTGCATCGTTGGTTTCTTCGACGATACCGGGCATTTGGATAATTTCCACGCAGCGGCGTATGATTTTCATTTAGATTTCGGGGAGACGAGTTCGAAAATCGCCACGGAGAAGTACAAGACGCAACGACCGGGGATCATCATGTTCAGAAATTTCGCCGAGCCGGCGCATTTTCAAGGGAATGTGAACAGTTTAGAGGAGATTAAACAGTTCATCGCGACAAATATGGTCCCTAAAGTGGTAGATTACGCGAAAAAAGACCAAATGGAGAGGGTGTTTGAAGGGCCGATTGCCGCGAACGTGTTTTTGTTTAGACAACAAAACGACGAGGAAGCGGACAAGTTGGAGGCGGAGTTTGCAAAAGCGGCGGACCAATTGTACGGGAGGGTACATTTCATTTCCGCCGGCTTCGACGAGCAGACTTTGTATTCGTTTTTTGCCATCAGAGCGAGAGATACGCCGACGGTAAGGTTGTACGCGCACGATTTGAAGTACGCGTATAAAGGGTCGTTGAAGCCCGACGAAGGGAAGAAAGAGGTCATGAAAACTATAAAAGATCACGACGGCAACGATATTCCGAACCCAAAATACGACGAAGAGATGGCCTCACAAACCTCTAAAGTGTTTGAGGATTTAATCAAGTTCGTAGACGCGTACGAGAAAGGAAAGTTGGTGCCGATTTTGAAATCCGAGAAACCTCCGAAGAGCGCGCCGAGCGCGAACGAAGCCACCGTGGTGGTTGGACGAACCTTTGATGAAATCGTCACGCAATCGAATAAACACGTCATGTTGTTCTTTTACGCGCCGTGGTGTCAAACGAGTAAAGCGTTGATGCCGTTGTGGGATAAACTCGCGGAAATGTACAGAGAGTACGACGAGGTGACCATCGCGAAGATGGACGCGACGAAGAACGAGGCGAAAGGTATCCACGTCAAATCCTACCCGACCATTTATTTCTACAAGAGCGGAGATAAGCCGAGACACGAAGAGTTCGACGAGAAGAAGAAGGATTTAGCGTCGTTCATTCGTTTCATCGGGGAGAGAACAAAGTTGGACCCGACCAGGCCGCCCATTCACGATGAGTTTTAATCTTATTTACACGACCTTTGACTCAACATACTTCACTTTTAATCAGAAATGCTTTCACGCTCTTTCCCTACGGCCTTGAACGCCCGTTGTTCGCTCCTCTCTGGACGTCAACGGTATTCGAGGACCTCCACATCCGGACGAGAAAAACGAAATCGACGATGCCAAGTGAGTGCTCTTACAATCGAGTCTCTCCCTACCGTGGAGGAGGTTTTCAATTTCGAGAACGCCGCTGTTTTTCCGTTCTGGATATCTATGATTGGATTCCCCAAATCGACGTTCACGAAAACCGTCATGCTCTCCCCGGCGACGAGCATCGCGTGCGGTTTGATTTACGGATACTTAGCGTACCAATCCTTCTTAGAACCGGAGATTTTAGAGGCTTTCAGCTCTGGCGCCAAGCAAAGTTTATCGTCGTTAACGAAAGGGTTCTCGTACGAAACAACAGTTGCAGTAGGTTGGGCACACTTCATAGCCATGGATTTACTCGCCGGTCGGTACATCTACTTCGACGGTCTTAAAAACGATTTCATCACGAGACACAGTTTAGTGTTGACGTTGTTTTTCGGACCTCTGGGTGTGGTTTCGCACGTCCTGACGCGAGGAATCGTCGGATTGACGAGAAGCGGGAAAGTGGAAGATATCTTAGAGAGCGGATTGAAGAGCGAGTGAGAAACATTCTTCTTAATGCTGCTGCTGTGAGTGCACGTAAACCGTGTTGTCCGTGTGTATATTAATGCTGTGTCTATCTAAATACTACTAATAAATAATCAAGACCCTCCAAACGCGGCGTAATACTGTATCACGCCAACCGCGGCGCCTAAAACGCCTCCGACGACGATTAATTTAATTTCATCCTGCTCAAACACCGGGTGCAAAACTCTCTCAAACTCTGCCGATCGTAAAGCGCCCATCCTCTCGCTCACGGTGACTTCAATCTCCAACGCTTCGTCTTGGTACTCGAAACTGTGAGGGATGATGTGCTCGATATCCCTGACGAGTAAATCGCTCATTTTATCCGTGATGTTCTCGTACGCGCGTTTACCTAAAAACTCGTTCGTCAAATATTTACCGGTGACGCCGGCTTGCGAATCGAAGAACTCCCTGGACGATTTTCGAATCAAACTCTCAAACTTGCCTCGAAACGTTCCGTGCATCATCTCGTCCCATAAATTCTGCGCGTTGCAAAAGTGCAAAAAGTTTAATCGAGAAAACTCCGCGGAAACTTCCACTTGTCGTTTTAAAAACACGCCGTGTAACGTGTAACACCCGCCGAAAAAATGTATCGGTTCGACCGGTTTAAAAATCACCGTCAACGCGACCCAGTTGGTTAAATACCCCGTCGCGAACCCAAACAACGGTAACATCCAAATCCCGTATTCCGGGTGATTCTGGTCGACGACGTAAAACACGCCCATCTGTATCAAACCGAACAAAAAACCAAAATACAACCCGCTCACCTCGATGAATCGAAACTCGCTCTCGCCAACGTCTTTAAACATTTGCACCACTTTATCCTTATTCCCTTCCGCTAATCGTATAACCATACTCTTCAAATCTAAAACCTCGTACACCTTGTCTTTTAACGCGTCAATCAACGTCTTTAAAAACAACGGCGAACGCTCCATCACAGTTTCCACGATTTCATTCTTCACGTACTCCGGCAGCGTCAACCACAAATCCGGCGCGTTTTCCGTCATCACCTCCTCGAACTGTTCTCTCACTTTCCTTCTCAACGGTTGCTTCAACACGTGCGCGAACTCCTGCGAATCCAATTTCGCGAACGTTTCCTTCACGTCGATTAACTTCTCCGTCATCAAATCCACTAAAATTTCCGCCATCTTCCCCGCCTTGGACGGTATGATGCCTTGCCACCCGCCTAACAAGCCGAACGGTTGCCCGGGAACTTGCGCAAACTTAAGACACCGCGGATAAAACTCCAACGGATAAAACGTCATCTTCAACGCTAAAACGTTCGTCGCGTATCCCACTAAACCGCACACGAACGGAATCATCACGTACATTCCAATGGACGTTTTATTTTCATCTTCTGTTTCTTCGGTTGTTTGTTGAAGCGCTCGTCTCGGTAAAGAAGAAGAAGAAGAAGACAAAGCGACGACCGAGGAGGAGGAGACGACGACGCAGACGCCGACGACGACGGCGAGCAACCACGCCGCCGTTCGGAGGAGAAAAACACTTCTCACTCTTTTCATTCTTCGCTCTCGCTCTTCTTCTCGATGAAGCCGTCGTTTTCGTTGCGTCTCCATTTGAGTCCCTTTTTCCCCGTCAGTCAATGGAGAAAAAATGCGTTACTCTTCTCTTCTCTTCAAAAACAAGCGTTGTAAAGAGAGACTGAGAGAGAAAGAAACGTATATTTATACCAACGAGAAGACGAAGAAGAAGAAGAGCTCTCTCTCTCTCTTTATTTGATGATGATGATGATGATGATGATGATGATGATGCGGAAGAGGAGGAGAAAGAAAAGAAAGAGAGAAATGACGCGAGCGAATGAAAGAAAATCTCAGAAAAGTCTCTCGAGTTTTGAAAAAAACTCTTCCGTCTGGAGTTTCAATCAGACAAAAGCACTTCTGTGACAAAGAGTGGGAAAAGGGCGAAAAAAAAAAAAGAACAAAAAACCGGTCGACAAAAACTGACCTCTGTTATTCTCAAACGCTTCAAAAAACGCTTTGCCTGCGACGTACACGCGTTCACTTCAAAACGAGAAGCGCAAATTAGTATTCGTTGGCCCACCACCAAAGGACGACGACGACGGAGGTTTGTTGTAAAAAGAAGCGTCGAAGTCAACGTCGACACTTTTTCCTCCGCTGCGGTTGCTCCGTCGTTGAAATCATCTTAAATAAATATCTGTTTACGGAAAACCGTTAGTTTTTCCCAACAATCATAACAACAACGAGGAGAAAAGATGATGGTTTCATCATCACACTCTCTCAGAAGAGTACCATCACTGGTGTTCTTACTCTTCTGCTTTCTTCTGATGGTATCATTGTTTGACGAAACTTTCGCCGCGATGCGTATAAATGAGATCGCGGATAAAGGGAGCGACAACACCTGCGAAGGGGAAGATTGGATTGAATTGTTTAACGATTCGACCGACGACGTGGATCTCGAAGGATACATTCTGCACGACGACGACTATCCGAAGGAAGTGGGAACGGAATTGACGTTCGGTGCGGGAACGTCTCTATCTGGAGGCGCGTATTTAGTTCTGTGCTGCAACGATAACGATGGCATTAACAACCCCAAGTTTAAGGTTGGCAAAAGCGACACGGTGACGTTATTGGACTCGAGTAAGAACGTGGTTTCTACTTCGGGAAAATTACCGGGTTTGGGCGAGGAAAATGTAACGTACGCGTTCAGTGCTCTAGGCGAGTACGTGCAAACTTGGACACCAACTCCGGGGGAGTTGAACGTGATCACGTCGAAACCGTTAAAGGATTTACGAGCGCAAAATGACGAGGGATCTTCTTTTTTTAGCATGGATGAAAAAGGTTTACCTGTATCTGGCTTTGATGCGGTCGTCGATCTGTATGCAGAGGTTGACGCGGGTGATTGGGCAATCCTGAGATTGAATCCATATGCCGAAACGTACATTGATGTGCAAACATTCAAAGTGAAGAGCTCAACAATTGGCGAACACATTCTTCCGAGTCCAGGAAGAATGAGAACTCGAGGCCAGAGCACACTTTTTTATCCAGTATGCATGGGAAGCGAAGCAGTACCGTTTAAATTAGATTTTGCGTCCGTGAATTCGAGTCAAACTCTATATGGTGTGGAGAGTGCATATCTTCGGACGCATCTGAGTGATGAATCAAAAATGAAAGAGTGGGTGGTTCATCGAATGCTAGCCAACTTTGGTCTACCTCACGTGCGCACGCGTCACGTACGTTTTCATGTAAACGACGATCTTCTTGGGTTTTACACTTTCATGGAAGCCGTTGATCAAGAATATGTGAGCGCGAGGTCATTCGGATTTAACTCATTTGATCAACACAATAATGCTCTTTACAAAGTAAAGTCATTGTCTCTCGGTTGTGGAAACGAAGAAGAATATCAAAAAGAGAGAGTTGAAGGATTTCCGGAAAAATGTACATCACCTGACGGGATGGGTGGATTCGATTGTTGTGCTTCTTATGCGTGGGGTGAGCCTAAAACATGCGCTCCTGGGTACATCGTTAAGGAACAACCTTCGCGAAGTGATTGGGGTATTGAGAATTGCTGGTATACATGTTTGAGCAATTCCGAGGACGAAGTAACATCAGGAGGGCCGTACCAATTCGAGAGAGGAGAACATCGTGAAAAAATAACCCCGAGATATCAAGAAGACTGGTGTTGGGCGGAATTTTTTGGTAGAATTGGCAAGGAAAGATTGAGTGTCGTGCAAGCATTCTATGAGACGGGATACGACACTGCGGATGATTGCGGAAAATTTTTATTATCTCAAGGTCTCGTTGATCGTGATCTGGGAACAAACGAATGGGATTCTGCGATGGAGAAATTCATCAATTCGCACCTCTCCGTTAAGGGCGCGTGCCAGAACAAACAGTGCTCTAATAAAAGGCAAATCTCTGATCTTATTGACGTCGATAATTGGTTGAAAAATTTTGCTGTTTATGCCACTATCATTGAACAAGACTCACCCATGGGTAACGGGAACAATTACTTTTTAGCGGCGCACGCGGGAGATGGTGGGACTGATACTCCAAAATGGAAAATGATACCTTACGATCACAACAACGATGTGTATGCAGCATCAACATTGTGTGATGCGCAGTGTGGGAATAAAGACTTAACAGAATGGTCAGTGATTCGTCCTACGTGTAAGCACTTAAGTGAAAATCCATTAGTCGGGCCTTTGCTTCTCGATGAAAGTTTACACGAAAGATACTTGGTGTTCGTAAAGCAGTTTGTAGAGGAAACTTTCTCAAATTCAACTTTCTTAGAACACATGAAATTGCATTCCAAAGAAATTGAGGCCACTGCAAACGAGTCACCGGACAGTGTAATATATGGCAATATCGATAACAGTAACATTTGGGATTGGATATCTACTCGAGGAGAAAAAGTATCGTTGCAGCTCGCTCGGTGGTATGAAAAGAGTGACAATTCAGCATTTCCAATCGACTCGTCCGTACCGTGCGTCACATCGGATGAAGAATTCTGCTCTTCTTCTTTATGCACAAGTCCAAACGGATTGGGTGGATACGATTGTTGGGCGGGAACATTTTTTGAACCGTGCACGTGCAGCGCAGGAGTAGCAAAGGAAACAGGTGAAAGCACGGAATATTTAGGTCAGACCTATTATTCGTACACGTGCTGCACCGACGGATCTGGAACTGGCCAGCAATGTGGATTGTTCTCGTCTGGAATTAAATCCAATGGTCTTCTTGGTATACTTTTTGCAGGAGTGGTCGCCTTCGCGCTCGTCTGAGTAGCGAGCGCATCAGTCCTGATAGAAGTCAGCGGTGGAAGTAAAAATTATTTATTAATATAATGAGAGAAAAAGTAAGGATCCAATGGTCTTCTTCTTGGTATACTTTTTGCAGGAGTGATCGCCTTCGTGCTTGTCTGAGTAGTGAGCGCATCATCAGTCCTGATCGAAGTCATTAGCAATTTAGAAGTCAAAATATTTATTCACACTTACTTTACTGTAAATACGAAGAGAAAAATTGAGGCAAAAAGGCTGCACTTTTTTTTTATCAAACACCCCGCCTAAAAGACTACGAAATGATTTCAACGACTTTGATGCATTGTTGTCGTTCGTGTCGTCGAAATTCGACCTCCTTTGATGGTGGCACCAGCAAAAACACCACCACCAGCGTAGATGCGCTTCTGTCGAGGAGAACGATTCGACGACGGCGAAGAGGACGACAACACGAAGGCAACAACAGAGAGACTTTTTGTACGACGAACAACGATGACGATTTGACGATGATGACAGAAGAAGAAGAAAAAGAGACGACGAGAAGACGAAGAAGAGGAAGACGCGAGGTGACCACCAAAACCGCGCTGATGATGATGACGACGAGTTTCTTTTTATCCTTAGACCAACCGTGCACTTCAGCCAAGGCTGAAGTAGAATTAGAATTCGCGTCGACGCAGTTGAGCGAGAAAGAGAAGCAGATAACCGAATCGTTCGCGCGAGCGTCGAAAGCGTGCGTGAACATCGTGGACGTGACGTTGTTGTCGCAATCTGGAATACAGAAATCGCAAGCCGGGGCGATAGTTCCCGAAGGGAACGGGTCCGGGATTGTCTGGGATAGCGAGAACGGGTACGTCGTGACGAATTATCACGTCGTGTCGAGCGCGATATCGACGATACCAAAAGGGAGGGAAATTGGCGAGGTGGCGAAAGTGACCGTGGAGTTACCGAATGGACAATCGAAAGTGTATCCAGGCGAATTGGTTGGATACGCGAAATCGAAAGATATCGCGGTTTTGAAAATCAATTGCGAACGAGGCGTATTAACGCCCATACAGTTTGGCGCGAGCGCGGAGCAAATTAAAGTTGGGCAAATCGCGTTAGCCATCGGGAACCCGTTCGGTTTCGATCACACGTTAACGACCGGGATTATTTCCGGTAAAAATCGTTCGGTAGAAACCTTCCCTGGTTCGTTCGTTTCCGGCGCGCTACAAACGGACGCGGCGATTAATCCCGGGAACAGCGGCGGACCGCTCGTCTCCGCGGACGGCAAATTGATTGGAGTCAACGCGGCCATTTTCACCAACACCGGGCAAAACGTTGGCGTTGGTTTCGCCATCCCGGTCGACGTCGCGAAACGCGTCGCGGACCAGCTCATCCAAAATTCCAAAAAAGGTAACGGCAACAGCAACGACGGTTCCGCCGTTCTCGATTTTCCCTCCTTAAACATCGTTTTCGCCGACGAAGCGGTGAAAAAAGCATTGAACAAAAACGACGCGTCCGGCGTCCTCATTCAAGGTTTCCTCGCCTCCTCGAGCAATAAAGAACAAACCAACGCGGAAAAAGCAGGTTTACTCTCAACCCGTCGAGGTCTCTCGGGGATCACCCCGGGCGATTTCATCGTCAAATTCAACGACAAACCGGTTTCCACCGAAGCCGAACTCGTCGCTTTAGTCGAGAAAGAAAACGTCGGCGATATGGCACGGGTGACAGTTTTACGAAACAACGACGAAGAGAAAGTCATAAATGTGCTTCTCGAGAAAGCCAGAGTTTAATACGTACTCCTTTTATTATTAGAGACTAATACTATATTATTAACGCTTTGTAGTAGTTGTCACTTTTAGTCTTTTTGTGAACAAAAAATATCTTCAAAAAGCTCAGCCCCACAAAGAAAAAGCGATCGATTCTCTTTAATAATAATAACAAGAATAAGAATACAGACGCGACAAATATGCGCGCTTCATCGGATTCGATCTCTTGGCGAGGCGCGTCGATCGACGAAGCTTCCGTGGTGTCGGTTTTGGGAACGACGAATTCGACGAATACGAAGAATACGAGTGCTAAACATCAGTGTTTGTTCGCGGCGTGCGTGCCGGCGAAAGAGTGCGATTCGGAGGAAGTGAAGTGAGCGCTTTTGTTTTGTTTCTTTTCTCTGTTTCTTTTCTCTCTCTCTCTCTCTCTCTGCGTCGTCGCGTGCTTTGTCAGACGCGCGTTTCGGAAATGGGTGTCGTCGTTTTGTGTTTTTGCATCATCCGCCGCCCCTTTTGAGCGCGACGAGATGATGATGATGATGATGTTGATGTTAAAAAATCTCCTCCTTTTTCATCACTCTTTATTTACACTTTTCTCTCTCTCTCTCTCTCTGATGATGATGATGAAACGACAACAGGAAACGAGTCGAGCACGCGTTCGAGTCCTTACCTTCGGAAACGTTCGAGCGCGCGATATATCCGGGAGGAGGATTCGCTCGAGCCTCGAACACGGATAAAGTTCAACACGCGGAATATCACGACGCCGCGTTTCTTTTACACTCGGACTCGTTAAAAGTGGACGTGTTGGCGGATAAGTTTTTCCACGTGAGAGATAAACACAGCGACTTGAGACAACGCGCGGTGTCTTTGAAGGAGACGTGTAAAGAGCTCGGGACGCAGCATAAGTTTTCGTTTATCGTTTTAGATTGCGTGGCGAGGAGGGTGTTTTGCGCGGCGACGGAACACTCGGCGCCTTTAAGTTTTGGCCACGGGACGGATGGAACGTTGGTCGCTTTTTGCTCGAGGATCGGGAATAAAAGTCCGTCGAGGTGGCCGTTGAACGGAGATCAGAGTAGCACGTCGATTAGGGTAAACGCGACGCACAGGCATTCTCAAGATGTCCGAGGGATGGGAGCAATTCAAGCGAGCTCGCAGAGAAGGGCGAGCACGGATCCGAGAGCGCAAGATCAAAAATTTACGCACAAACCGAGCGATCCGATGACGTCTCGGCAGTCGATGGACGAGAGCAGACCGTATAATTGGGGTAAAGAAAGTAGCGGCGCTGCGGGTGGTGGTGAGAGTGGTGGAGATGCGATAAAAGTTGCCGCACCGCCAATGTCATCGGACGCTATACCGATCACGCATTTACCTTCCGGAAGATTCGTGTACGGACACAAATATTTACAACCGTTTGAGTTCACGTCCTTTTGGTCGTCGAGCTCGAATAACCGATCAGGCGTCCCAGAGCGTCGGTTTGATGCGCACGAGTTTCAAGAGAATCAGAGATTGATGAATGAAGATACTTTTGTGGTTTCTAAATCCGGCGAGCGCAAATCTATCGACGAGTTACGATGTCCCAACGAGATTCCCAGACGGTCTTTGGAGGAACATCGATCTCGCAAGTGGGCGACTGGGGATCACGTGAGCGATAAAGTGGACAATTGGAGAAGGAAATCGGACGCGACCGAAACCGGTAACATCGCAACTAAGAAAAATGTGGATGGTTCGGTGTTCGCGGAAAGTTCTTTCGGCAAATCTCGCGCGAGCACGGAAAGTAGCAACAATAGCAGAAAAAACAGCATGAGCGCCGACGGGAAGAAGAAGACGTCTGTCGAGGCCACGTCGAAGAAACCGGCAAATACAGCTGCAAAGACAACAGCAACATCGACAGCGACGAAACTCGAATCATCCGCTCCGCCGTTCGTACCGCCGAAGCTTTCTCCCAAATCCGCCCCGTTTGTGCCGCAAACGTTGACGATGCGAAAAACGGACAGCGCAAAGGAAGAAGAGGAAGAGAAAACCGCCGCCGACATGAAACGTTCGAGCAGTCAAACGCATTTGAACGGCAAACCAGACCCAAAAGGCCCGAGCGGCTTGAAAAAAATGTTCGCCAAACTCTTTCGATCGGGAAAAGATGCCGCCGACGACAAGGAAAAAGGCGCTTCTTCAAAAGCCTCCTCTTCCTCCTCCTCGGTGTACGACACCATGTGAAAGAACGCGCTTAAACGCATCATCACATTTGCGCACGTAGCATTCAAAGAAACAGTTTATTATTATTATTATTATTCTTAAGATGTATACTTTTCTATATAAAATTATATGTGTGTGTAAGTGTGTGAGAGCAAAACTCTCTCTCTCTTTCCGCCGTGCTTAGTATTAGGTTGCGTTCTCTCGTCGCTTCGACCACCCGAACGCGCACCCCAACAACCCCAACAACGGAATATAATTCTTTTCTCTTCTTCTTCGTTTAATATTACGCGCCCATGTTAATGCTCATCAACTCCGCCAAGGTTTTCGTCTCCGCCTTCCTCTTCGCTTCCGCTTTAAAGTTATTCTCGGTTTTTCGGATGGAAAACACTCCCCAAAAGCACGCGACGATGAGCACCATCAACATCAACCCGCCTCCGTATTCCCAGTCGGATTCCCCGGGCGGGGCATCCGTGGCGTAGACGATCCCGTCGAGGACGAAGACGAGTAACGCCCACGTCCAGAGGAACCAGACTTTGCTGTTGCGACCGACGAAGGAGGTTTTTTCTTCTTCTCCCGACATTCTTATGTAAAGTTACTCTTAATAGGCGTAGCGGTACTCGCTCGTCTTAAAGGCGGTGTAGATGTTTTGCGGAGACGAGTTCCGCAGTTTCCTTATCTGAGGGGCCAAAGGACGCTTAGGTTTGGACACCCTAAATTTTTAATTGCTTAAAATTTCAGCTTTTTTCGTATCCCTCGTAAGAATAACTACGAAAGAGAGACATTGTTCGTACGTATAGATGATGCGCTTATTAAGAGAAGAGGTTTAATTAAAAGAAGAAGAAGAAGCAGAGGAGTAGGGGTTAAATACTACAGAGATGAACGAGAATGATGAGGGGAGTTTGAGGAGGAAAAACGCGAATTCGTCGACTTTAATGACGACGAATTTTTCGGGAAAAACGAAGAATTCCATCATCGTTGGTGGGGAGGGAGAAAAAGCGGTGACGAATACTACGACGACGAAGAAAAGTTTGAACGTTGTTGAAGAGGAGAATAAAGACGAACAATTGAGCAAGTCCAACAACAACTCGTCCAACTCGTCTGCGTTCAAATCGTTCATCGTCGACGCGCAAAACTCCTTCAAAAATTTAACATCCTTCCAAGAGATGAAGAACAACTGGTCCGATTACGTGCAAAAAACGCACGACGCGCAGATGAAACTACTGGAAGAGAACGCGTTAAAATTCTCGAAAGATTTGAACAAGATGGGATTAAAAGTACACTTCATGCCGGAAGTGATGAAAACGAGAACGGAGATGGAGTTTCGCGGGTTACGGAAAGCAGAGCGAGAGGCGATGAAACGGTTTTGTTTTCACACGGCGAAGTTGGTCAGGCGCGAGATTCAACTGAAAGAAGCAGAGAAGGAGCGGAGGAAAGCGATGGAGGAAGAGCGTTTGACGGATGAGATTGTCGGGAGAGTGAATGCGTTGAAAATGAAAGTGGAAAAGGAGGAAAAATTGAGAGCGGAGGCGGACGAGGCGTTCGCGAGCGCGTACGCGAAGTTACGGGAGAGAGAACAGTTCATCGAGAATAATACGTTCGTGAGCAACGCGTTGGCGGAGAAGCTTTTAGGACCAGGGAATGTAGCATCTGGGAATGGAAGTGATCTGCGGGATAAAAATGGAACCAGTCCACCGAAAAAGAACGCGATGATGAGTGGTCGAAACAGTCCAACCGACCAGGCGGCAGTCGCCGAAAATAGTAAGAAAGAGCTTCATCGTCGTAAAGAAGAAGCGAGCGAAGCGTCGACTTCGGACGTGTTGAGCGACGCGCACACGAACGATGACGACGACGACGACGACGAAACTGTGAAAGAGAGTGGGTACATTCGTAAAGGCAACAACGCGTGCGACGAGGACGACGAAGACGAGGATGGCACGTCATCCGTCGTGACTCGCTCGATATTAACCGCTTTATTGCAAAAGAGACATCTCACGGAGGACAAAAATCCACAAGAGATTATCAAATTAGAAAGAGAATTGCACCAAATTCGATGCGTCGTCGCTTTGCAGCGCATATACAGACGCGAAAAGCACTTGAAGACGATTCGAATGAAACAAAAACGCGAGCGCGATGCGAAAGTGCGCAAAGGTTTGATTACGCTTTTCGTATTCGTATGCGCGTACTTTGGCGTGAAATTCGTGGGACTCGTCCTAGCTATCATTCGTAACGTACACAGACGAGTGTTCGTGATGGAGCCGTACGATAGGTCGATCGTATACGCAGGCAAAGATGCATCGTACCAACCGCCTTGGTATGTGACCGCTGGGATCGTCGACCTCGCGCCTTTAACGCACGCTCGGTATTCCATCGCCATGGACGAACTCGATCAGCTCGCCGCCTCGGAGAAAAAGAAGAAGATGAAGATGAAGAGCGATGATGACGATGATGATGATAATGATGATATTACCAGTAGCAGCAGTAATAGCGCTCTCATCGGTAGCGTAGAGCTCGCGCGATTACGTGCAAAGTACGAAAAGAACCTCGAAGTCCAAAAATTGAGCTTCCAATCCGAAATCGAACAAAGACAGTGCAAAAGAGGAAAAGCGTCAAAGTCGGCGGGAGAAGACGTTCGGGAGACGACAACGAAGCGCATCGAAATTTCGCAAAGAGCGCTCGAACGTTCGCTCTCCCGCTCTCGCCAACGCGAACTCGCCGCCATCGCGCGACTCGACCAAAAAACCAAACAGTTTGAAAAAGAAAAAGAGACGCTCTTATCGGGACAAGGAGGCTTCGCCGCGAAACTCGCTCGCCGGTTTTGGACGACGAGCGTCTTTCTCCTGTTGTTTCTTTCCGCGTGGTCGCTGCAACATCGAGAGACGAATACGACTAGAAATAGGGTATATCGTAGCATCAAAAGCAAGTGTAATGCGGTTTTGTCCGCCGTGTTCGCGTCGAAGCTTTTCACGTCCTCGTCTGAATCGTCGTAGACGAACTAGATAGATAGAGCGCACGTTGTCGTACGTGTAAGTTTATAAATAATGAAGCCATCACACATCACACAATCGCTTAAAAATTCTCATTGTATTCACGCGCATTCGCGAAAAATATAACCCACTCGTCGATATCATCACCTGTCGTTGCTTTTCATCAAAATGCCGTCTAAGCAAAGAACGTCCTCGAAACCGTCCGGGAAGCAAAAGCGAGAGTTGAAAAAGAATCGCGTCGTTGTTCGGGAGAAGGGTGATGATGATGATGATGCCGGCGGCGGGGAAAAAGAGTACGCGGATAAAAAGGTTCCCTCATCCTCGAGGCCTGGTGCATCGGCGTCGTCGGAGAAAAAGATGAAGCCGTCGGGCGATTTCGTCGCTTTGACGACGACGAAGAAGTCTAAGAAGAAACAGTCGTCGAAACCTCGAGTTTTATACGTCGGTTCTTTACCGCACGGTTTTTACGAGACGCAAATGCGCTCGTACTTTGGGCAGTTTGGAGACGTGTTACGAGTGAAAGTTTCCAGGAACAAGAAAACTGGGAAATCGAAGCACTACGCGTTCGTGGAGTTCAAACACGCGGAAGTGGCGGCGATTGTGGCGGAGAGCATGGATAACTATTTACTCGGAACGCACGTTTTGAAAGTGAAACTGATGCGACCGGAGGACGTGCATCCGGAGACGTTTAAAGGCGTGAAGGGCGGCGCGGGGGAGAAAGTAGCCGAGAGGAGCGGGTTTAAGATTGTGCCGTGGAATAAACGGGCGGCAGAGCAGCACAACAAGAAGAGAGACGACGCAGGGGAGAGGAATCGGTTGAAGAAGTTGGCGAAGAAGGAAAAGGAGAGGATGAAAAAGATTAGAGAGAGCGGGATTGAGTACGAGTTTGAAGGCGGATACGAGAAAAAGCTCGCGGAGAAGATGAAGGATTTGAACGTTAAGAAGACGACGGAAACGAAGAAGAAAAAGACGAACAATAAAGCAGCGACGACGACAAAAGTTGAGACGAAGAAGAAAACAGCAGCAAAAGTTACAACGAAAGCGAAGACGCCGGCAAAGAAAACGCCGGCAAAGAAGAAAGTGGAAAAGATCGACGCCGCGGAGGAGAAAGAAGACGCCAAGCCGACGCCTAGAACGGCACGACGAAACCGAGTTGAAGCGCGAGGGAAGAAACGAGAAGCTGAACCTGAAGAGCCAGCCGCTGCGTCGAAAAAATCTGCATCAAAGCGTACGAAGAAGTAGGTCTTTAATCTTATATATAAGTTTTTATTTGCTTGCGTTCTCTGCCGTCATTTTATTGTACATTTTTGTTGATTACACAACATCTAAATCAAATCGACGTTCGTCGTCGTTTGGCTTGACAATACGTTCGCAATGTCGTCGATGAAATTCGCGTTACCCTCTTCTTCATCCATGCGCACCTCGTTAGTATCGTTGTCGTAATCGCTGCCGCTGTTCGCGCTATCGTCTTCCTCTCTTTCCAACGCTCTCTCGTAAAAGCACTGCATGACTTGATGACTCGAAGCTGTGCTCGCGAGCCAGGCGTCGAGAAGCGGAAGTTCCTCGTCGCCTGCGACCATGGTCGAGGACGCGAGTTGTTGTTCTTCTCCTTCTCCTCCTCCTCCTGCTCTTCCTCTTCCTCTTCGGAGAGACGATCTCCCGCTAAACTTATTACTGCTACTAGAAGGAGTAACAATAATATCGTCGATACCGTCGACGAACGATTTACCGCCGCGTTTCTTCCTCTTCGCGTCATCATCGTTGCGTTCGCGAAATATTGAGCTGCCTCGCATGACACTATTCGCGTGATGGTGATGATGATGGAAACTCCCTGGAGGCGTCGTCACACCTCCCATCGTTTGCGGCGACATCGATCTCGGAGGGAAAGCGCCACCGAAATGCAAAGATTTGGACATGACGACACTTTCGTGCTTCGTCGCAAACCTTCGCAAGTTGTCCAAAACTTCAATCCCGGGTCCACTTGGGCTCCAACCTGGATAGGCCTCTGTGAAACTCAGGAAGGATTTTTCCATTTTGCCTTGTCGCGAACGCATGTGTTTCCTCGCGTTGGTTTTCGCGCCGTAGCGTTTATTTCCGTGTTTCGAGAAATCAAACACAGATAGCGAACACACGTCGCCAATACCGGAGACTCGGGCGGTTGAGTTTCTCACAAACTCGACGATATCGCCCGCGGAATCGCTCAAAGGAAACCACAAGACGAATGGACACAGAAAAATACCAATCAACTCTTCGAAAAATGTCGTCGCTTTCAGAGGGAATAGCTCGTTCGTGAATTCATTTTTCACCTCCAACTTGTGCGCTGACTTTCTCCAGTATTTCGGGAAATGGTGCGTGTGCGCGACGACTCTCGCCATCGCCAAGTTTGGTTCAAACGCGACGTTTTCTTCAACTATAAACGCTCTCGAGGTAGCCAAAACCGCGCCCAACGAAGCTGTCAACCAGAACACGTCTCGGTTACCGATATACGCGTTCAATAACCTGTCGTCCACCAACGCTAACAATAAAGCGCACGCGGCAAAAGCGCCCACAATGTACGCCACGAACTTCGCGCATATATCTGTTATAGGATTTGGAAACTGTTGCACGTACCTCGTCGCATATTTATGCGCTGCATTTAAACGCCATCTCGCGAAATGAGGCAGCTCGTTGAACTCTCTCATTTTCCAAAAAGCAATCGAGCTCCACTCTCTCGTTCCAACCGCGCTCGGTTGGTGATAAAACCGTTCTGCGTTGTGCAAGACGAAATAAAACGTCATGAATATCGCCAGAAATGGACTCAAAAAGAAATTCACGACAGCTAACGTCTTAAATCGTCTCCTCAACGCCTCGACGTCGTAGAAATCTTTCCTCACGTGGAACTTTTCGTCAAACATCCAATTAAACACGGCCAAGTCAAAGTTACTCTGAACGGACTTTGTCATCCACGCGTCTTTCTTGCATAAGATAGACACTGGTTCTAACCTCGTGTTGACCACGTCTCTGTTGACCATGCCAATCAAATAATTCTCTTTCCGCATGATCCTCGCCACGATGTCTCTCTCGTCCAACACCGCGCCTCTTTTCCTTCTGAACGTCAACGCCCCGGTCTCTTGCACGTGAACCAACCTCTCCACGATTTCCACCCACGTGACGGTCCAGAAATCTCTATCGCTCAACGCGAGTTTCTTTTTACTAAATTCCCGCATCTCTCTCAACTCTGGCAAATCGTGCACCAATCGCGCCACGTTCCAACACAAATACGCCGTCGCCAACGCTAAATACGAGCACACGATAGAGTCTTTAACGAATCGTTTCGACCCTCCCAGCGGGTGACGCATCACCACGCAGTCTCTCATAATGTCGCACCGTTCCGCGTTTTCCGCGCACGTCGTTCTTAAACACTGCCAATCCACGGAGAGGAGTAAAAACCCCGACATCCAAATCGTGAATAACAGGATGAGCGCGTTCGCCACGCGCGAGGAAACTTGCCCGAGGAATCCTTTCCCGAGAAAGTGCTCGTAATACAAGCGGGAGAAAAATCGGTCCAGATTTTCTTCCTCTTCGCCTTCCTCGTCTGTCTCGTAACTGTCGTCGTCTGAATCATCGTTTACGTCGTCTCGCAGCAAACCACGACGGGGCCGCGCGTGCGATAAACCAGGCGGCGCGCGAAAATCATCGATATCATCGTCGTCGTACTCTTCTTCTTCTTTTTCTTCTCCTCCTTTGTCGTCGTCTGCATCGTCGTCTTTCATCAAAGCGTCCCTTCGGGAAAGCTTTGAATCATCATCGTGCAAAACGAGTAACTTCTCGCGCGCTTGATCGTCCTCGTCCTCGTCGTCGTTACGACGATTCCGCTCGTACTCCTCGAGAACCGAGGGAAGCAACGTTTTCGAGCGTTTCTGGTTCGGGAGCGAAGAGTACATGAGGGCAGAGAGGGTGCTTTTTAGCGCATGTTTTTAGAGCACTTTATCTGATGTGGCAAGTGTCCGACTTTGAATAGTTGTGAAGAGATTTTACAGCGGCGGTACATCTTCGGTACATATGTACGTGTGCAATAGTAATAACATCAATAAATAACAACAAACGCGTGATCTCTCTCTCAATCTCTCTCAATCTCAATCTCTCAATCTCTCTCAATATCTTCCATGAATTCTATTCGCCGACTACCAACGCGTGCACGCCAAACGCGAGGAACAAAATCCCCCCGCACAAACCAACCATTCGTTCGCTGATGGCACCAGCCATTCTTTTACCACCCAAAACTGCCGCGGATGTGCACAACCCGTGGCCACAAATCCCTCCGAGTGTGACGCCGATCGGGTCGTAATCGGCGGCGAGCGCGATGGTGGCGATTTGCGACCGGTCGCCCCACTCGGCGAGGAAGGTCATGAGAAACGCTTGGAGGAAGATCGGAGAGAAGAAGACGGCGAGGATGTCGTTGATCTTACTCCCCGGGCTTTGTTTCTTCGCTTTCGTTCTCGTTCTCGTCGCGGGACCGGTCTTTCCTCCTCTTCCTCCTCTTCCTCTCGTCCTCGACGACGACGACGACGTGTGCTCTTTCAGCTCCTTCTCCACCTCCTCTAACTCGGACTCCGCGTTCGCGTCGTACCCGACCGTTTGGTCGTACACCGAACGCAAACCGAACAAGAAAAACAGACCAGTCGCGACGTAGTGCGTGGTCGTTTTGTTCAACAAGTTCGGCGCGATGGCGCCCATCATGGCGCTTAATCCCGTCATCAGAGCTAACGCGAAGACGGAACCGGACCAAACCTGTTTTGGTTTTGTCGTGGGGGAAAAGAGTGAAAATCAGTCAATCAGTCGTATCGTTACCATAGCACATCTCACGAGAGAGAGAGAGAGAAGAGAAAGAATGCGCGGCACGAGGTGCTGATGCTGACGATGAAAAAGGACAAAAACCTTCGCGTGAAGAATACCGCGCGACAAAAGCGGTTCGTTCCCGCGGTTGTTTGCATCATCACGAAAGAAGAGAGAATTCCAATTTCAAATTGGAATCAACGAACGCATCAATATCGCGTCTCATATCTTACCGTCAAACGACTGTGATTCATGGCCAAAATAGCCGCGATAAAGAACGTCTTATCGCCAATTTCCGAGGCTAAAATCATCGACGCCGAGCGGAGGAACCCTTCGTCTGCGAGAGAGATCATTTTTATTCGGTGAAAGTACTTTTGCGTTCTTTTCTCTCTCGAGAGAATTTCCAACGCGGTGTCACAAAAGTGGCGCATTTAGCAACGTCGTGTGCACATCCATCACGTCGCGCGTAAAAGGTCGCGCTCTACTGTCGAAAAGCAGGCGCTCTCTCTCTCTCATTAAACGCAGCGCGTTCTTCTCGAGCAGTCGCGGCAGTTTGAACGGCAGTTTGAACGGCAGCAGCTCGCGAAAAGCAGGGAAGGAAGAGGCGGAGGAGAAGTCTCTGACGCGTTGTTTTTCCCGCGGGAAGGAAACGAAGGCATTTTTAGTAAACGACGATGAGAGACGCCGACGAGGAGGAGGACGACGAGAATACGAACGGCACGGGAGGCGAAGGAGGAACGAGAGGAGGCGCAAATAGGGTGGTTCCTCCAATGCTCGAAGACTTGCTCAAGGAAACGGAAGAAACAAAATTGGAAATAAAAGAGGTCGAGGCGGACTTCGTCTCCTGTTACGAAGGCGAGACGAACTATCGCAAATACGTTTTATTCCTCCTGTTCATGATCGCGGTGATGCAAAATTTCGACCGGAACGTACCGTCGATACTCTTTCCGACCTTAGCGGTGGAGTTGGACATGACGGACGTGGATACCGGGTTAGTGAATGGGGCGTTTTTCTTACTTGTAAACTGCGCGTTGGCGATACCGTTGGCGAGATTGGCAGATACGAGAGGGAGGAAAGGCATTTTGATTTTTTGTTTACTGGTGTGGTCGCTGGCGACGTGTTTGTCAGCCACGGCGCAAAGTAAGGAGTGGTTGGCGTTTTTGAGAGTTGGGGTTGGTATTGGCGAGGCTGGGTGCGCGCCGGCGGCGTTGTCGTTGATCGCGTGCATGTATAAGCCGTCCGAAAGGGCGAGCGCGATGGCGATACAGGCGTTGGGATTAGCCGTTGGGATTGCGTTGGCGAACGTTTTAGGCGGGATATTGGTAGATAGGATCGGGTGGAGATCGGTGTTCGTGATGGCTGGAATCCCGGGGTTTGTGTTAGCTGGATTGGTTTATTTTACGTTGAGAGACGCGCCGATTGTTTTGAAGAGGTCGAATTCGAAAGCGAACAACGAAATGACGAACGAGGAGAAGAAGAGTAGCAACAACAACAACACTAAATCTATCGCAGTTAAAGAGTTTAGTCGTGCGTGTTCCGATGCGTGGGGGAGCGTTTGGGAGTGTGCGAAAGAGATGTTTCAAAGGAAAACGTTCGTCTATCTCGCCATCGCGTGTTCGTTACAAGTCGCCGTCGGTTTGTCCATCTTGACGTTCTTGCCGACATTTTTCATTCGCTCGCACGGGATGTCGAACCAAGAAGCCGGGGTGGACATCGCGGTCGTTTCTGGCGCGTGTGGTGCTCTTGGTATATTAGTGGGCGGCTTCGCGTGCGATTATTTAGTCAAGAAATACCACGACGCGCGTTGGTATCTGTGGTTCATGATCGTGTGTAACTTTATCTCCACGCCGTTGCTCGTGACGGCGTTTCTAGTGAGCAATAAGATTGCGTCGTTGGTGTTTGCGGCGTTCGCGGTGGCGTTTTTTATGGTCATGGTTGGCCCACCAGGCGCGGTGGTACAAATATTATCGCCGGATTCCATGAGAGCGACGTCGGCGGCGTTGTTCCAAGTCGTCACGAACGTCTTTGGAGGTTCAGTCGGACCAGCCGTGGTTGGCGCCGTGAGCGATCGACTTTCGGATAAGTACGGGGAAGAGAAAGGGTTGCGTTACGCTTTAGCCGGAAGCGCTGTTTTGTGCGTCTTGGGTCAAATCGCGTGGTTCGTGGCGTCTTTAACCATGCGCCAAGACGCGAAAAATGCGAAGGAAGACGCCGAACAGCTACTGATTTTGAAGGAGGACTATTTCGCCCACGTGAATACTTCTTCCCGAGAGGAATCGATGGCGTTACTCGGCGGTAAAAACGTATGATATAGAAGTCAATGAACTATAGTTTTTGTACGTACGTAACAGTACCTAGTAGCGATTAGGAGTTGTGTAATAGTAATAGTTGTGTAGTAAAGATGATGTTATCTTTTGAACGCTCAATAATAATAAATAATAATGGTACACTACAGTATTAACTCTGTATTTCGGAGGCCGCTGCGGCGGCGGCAGCGGCAGCCGCGGCGGACGAAACCGAAGACGAAAACAATTGTTTCATCCTCGTTTCAAACAGCTTCGTCTGATGCGTCAAGGTGGAATTCATCGACGTCGGTTCGATAGGACAAAAATTTTGCAACGGCGACGCGACGGCCGCGACGGTATCTGTCGTCGGATCGCACCGTGATATGATTTCTCTAATTTTCGCCGCTTCGTTCAGTTTCTGCTCAGCCGCCCACTTGTTTCCCATGTTTTCGTACGCTTTGGCGCACATCTCCAACGCGCTTTCAATCATCGTCAATTCTTGCGGCGTCTTTAATTCTCGAGCGGGAGGCGCTGGAGACACTTTAAAGTTCATGTTTTTCTCCTGGGTGTCGGTGAGTTCTGAGGACGCATGTTGCGCGTTACTTTGCGTGACCCGATTGATATCGACGAAACTGTCCGTCGACGCGCTCGGACTACTTCTGGTACTCCCGTCCATCATTACAGACGCGTTGTTGATATACTTTTGCCCCTTGGGCGATGGCAGCAATTCGTCGTCGCTCTTAATATCGCGCATACTATCACTGCTATTATTCGTATTATTGATCCCCAATTGCATTTGCAACGTACTCGCTTCACTCGCCGAGCTCTCGCCGCTTCGTCTTCTCAAAGCCTTTTCGGTGGTGGCTTGGTGGTTGGTTATTCCTCCGTAACTTTTCTTTCCAGAAACAGAATCATCCTCTCCAATCTCCGTGCTAATATCCATTGTTGTAGTTGTCGTCGTCGTCTTCGTCGTCATCATCGTCTCTGCATCGAGAAATTCTTGATGATGGTTTTCCGACCTCCCTCCAACCCCGAGACCCATCGGCTTCCTCTTCAATTTCCCTCCGCCGACTCTCGTCTGCTCCTCCAATATCGCCAACCGCCTGTGCCTCTGAAACCGTAACTTCTCCAAGTTCATCTGAAACTGCCTCGCGTTTATCCTCTCCGCCAGCTCTCGAACGACCACGTTCTCCAATATCGACGCGCACTCGCGAAACTCTCCTTCCGCCATGCTTCGCTTCGCGTTATCGAACTGCTCCTCCACGTGCGACAACTTCTCCTTCAACTTCGCTCGCTGATGTCTCAACTCGTTGCTCGTTTCCAAACGGATTTTCGACGGCGCGTCCATCAGTTTTTCCTCTTGGTACGTGAATTTCAACACCACCGGAGGACCACCGCGCTCAAAGTTGTTGGAATCATTATTATTCGTCGTCGCGGTATTCTTTTTCTCTTCTTGGTCTTCTTCTTCTGCAAAGACAACCACCGTGGATTTGTTACAGAAGGAAACGTGCTTGTTGGTCTTTTTTTCCGGGGAGGAAAAGTCATTCGATGATCGCCTCTTATTCTCGTCGTCGTTACTTCTTCTGTCCGGCTTTGAGGAAGAGTACGGCGACTTGGACGACGTCGAGGAGAGTTGTCGGCGCCGACGCATGATTCTTTTCAATCCTTTCTCACACCGTTTGGGTCTTTTAATTCCCAACAAAAACGAGAGAGGGCAACACGATGATTCAAAAACGAATTCTTCTGTCTCGCGTAAAAAACGCGGGCTTTTTCTCCCTTTCGCAAGCACGCGCTCCTTACCGCGTTCGCGCGCAAAAGTATACGTAGCGGGCGTGAAAGAGAGAGAGAGAGAGAGAGAGAGAGGGAGATCAAACGACGCGACAAAGCAGTCAAAAGTCTTTTCCCAATGGACAGAAAATTCTGAAGATAGCGAGAAAAAGTGCAAAAAGCGCCAAAAAATCTCATGCAGGTGAAAAAAAGCAAAAAGTGCTTTTTCTAAAAGAGTCAGAAGACGAGAGAAGAAGAACAACAGAAAAGAACGAGAAAAATGGTACTACCGCTCCACGAATAAAGAGATCCTCAAAACACTCTCGTGAGTATCATTAAACGGTTTTTGGTCTCTCTCTTTTCTAAAGTTCGCCTTCTTCCGAGCTTTCTTTTTTGGCCGGAGGTGGCGAGGGCGAGCGGCGATGGCTTCGTCGTCCTCCGCGAGACGCCGGAGGTGGCGGTGGTTCGTCGACAAAGTCTCGGTAGTTCGGCGAGGGCGAGCGCGAGCGACCGTAGCCGCCGCCGCCGCGGCGGTCTCCCCGGCCTCGGGTGTCTCGGCCGCCGCGATGAGTGTCGTCGTCGTCTCGGCGATCGGATCGGCGGCGGTCTGGGCCTCTTTCGCGGTCGTAATCGTCGTCGTATCTGCTTCTTCTTCGCGCGGGCGGGCTGCGAGATCGAGATCGAGAGCGGGAGCGGGACCTTCCGCGTTTGCGGTCTCTGCCGCCGCCTCTGCGGTCTCGGTCGAAGTCGTCGCCGTAACGCGGTGGACGTCTGTCGTCCCGGCCGTCTCGACCACCACCACCGCCGCCGAATCTATCTCCTCCTCTGTCGCGATCGTCGTCCATAATCATGCCGGTGCCAAACCTCGGCGCCGGCGCCGCTCCGGGACTTCGTTCGCGAGTATCGTCTCGGCCGCCGGAAAACCCAATACCGCCTCGATCTCCTCTCGACGGAGGAGGAGGAAGGTCTCCTCTGTCTCTCATATCGTCGCCACCACGACCACCACCACCACCACCACCGAATCTTCCTCTGCCTCGGTTCATCTCTCTTCTGTCCGGGCACTCTCGCGCGAAATGACCGGTTTGGCCGCACACGTGACAGGTACGATCGTCACCAAACCCAGCTCTACCGCCTCTACCGCCGCCACCGCCACCACCTCCTCCGGGGCCACCAGGCCCGCCTCGGAAACCGCCACCTCCACCTCCACCTCCTCCACCTCCTCTTCGGGATTGGTTCCCCATCGCTTTCATTCGAATTTCCTTCTTGCTCAACTGTTTGGTGTATCCTCCTAAACCGCCGCCTAAGCGCATCGGTCGCCAATTCGGCGTCGTTCGTCCTCTCTCCGCGTCTACGATGACCCGTTTACCTTCAATTCTCGTCCCATCTGCGCGCGCGAACGCTCGTTTCATGTCATCTTCCGTTTCAAACTCGATAAACGCGTACCCCGTTGGTTTCCCGGTATCCGTATCTCTGACTATTCGTATCGCTTTAATATCGCCGTACCGTTCAAATTCTCGTCGTAACACGTCCTCGTCTTCGCACGCTGCGTACGGTAATCTCGCGACAAACAACGTCGCGTACGGGTCTCCAGTCGCTTTCTCGTCTTTATGCGGATCCCACGCTTTCAAAGCCTCTTTTAACATCTTCTTCCCTTTTTCTAATTTCTTTTTCGTCTTTGCCGGCAACAGCGCGAATTTTTCCTTCTCCTCTTTTCGCTTCCGTTTCGTCTCCTCGTCGATCTCGATGATCTCTCCGTCGTCGTTCACGTCCACGTCGGAGGCATCCTCGTCTGTGTCCTTCTCTTCTCCTAAAATCATCGACTCTCTCTTCTCTTCTCCTTCCTCGTTCTCCTTCTCGCCGAATAAATACAAATACTTCCCGATTCCCGTCAAACGTTTACACGTCTTCCTCGCTTTCGCCGGCGGAAACCACTTCACCGGCGGCCTCGCTTTGAACATGACCAACAAATTCGGCGGCAAACCCGTCGGGTGTTGATTCAAATTAATCGGTCGCATCAGTAAATTCGACGACGGATTTCCTCCCCCCATGAGTGGCATCATCATCGGAGCCCCTCCTGCTCCTGCTCCTCCGGGAGGCATCATGAGCATCGGATTCGGCGGGAACATCATCCCCGGTGGTCCTCCTCCTCCTCCTTGTGAAGGCATCATCATTCCACCGGGTGGGGGCATCATCATTCCCAGAGGCGGTATTCCCGGTTGTTTCATCAGTAAAGGATTGTGTGGTTGCGCATTCACGAACGGCGGTAAAGAAGATCCATTGCCCCCAGAACTCATTTGAGTAATTCTACGGCCACAAACAGGGTTTCTCTCTCTTTCTCTTTTTACTCACTTATATAAGACGGTGGTTTTAAAAACGAAAAGCCTCTGTTGCTTTTTTCGAGCCGCACTGTTTTGCTTGTTTGGGGAACGCAACACAAACACACGTACTAACGCGCGTTCTCACTTCTCCTTTAAATGACGACCACCCCCTCGAAGTGATGAAGTTGCAGGGCTGAAATGCGTCTTCTCGGAAATTAGGGTTTAGAGTTTTCAGATCGTCCTTCAAAATTCAAAATTTTTCTCAAAAATTCCATCGCACAAAGTTCTATCATCGGCGTTGTTTAAACGCTTCATCCGAGCGAGAGAAAGAGAGAGAATTTCGCGTTTTGTTCCCGCTGCAACGTTTTGTTAATACCAAAGCTGCTTTTGAAAAGGAAAACGAGACGACGGTCAAGACGACGCCGATACGAGGAGGATTCAGCTTTTTGCTCCACAAATTTGGAACGAAATTCCGAATCATTAAACAAAAGACGAGAAGTACTACTCCGACCACCATTAATAAGAAAGCGGCGATGATGATGGACGCGACGCCTACTAAAGATGATTTGAAAAAGTTTCAAGTCGTGGTCGCCTCGGATGAACTCGGGGGGATTGGAAAGAACCAAACTTTACCGTGGAAACTTTCAAAAGAGATGAAACATTTCAAATCTTTAACCGCGGACGTCTCGAAACCGATGACGCAAAACGCAGTCATCATGGGAAGGAAAACCTGGGAATCGATTCCGGAGAAGTTTCGCCCGTTACCGGGGAGGTTGAACGTGGTTTTAAGCGCCAGTGGGCGAGTGTACGAGAAATCGAATAAAGAAAACGGTGGCCCCGGCGAGGACGACGCGGAGGGCGGCGCGAAGTGTTTGCCGGAAGGCGTGCTCGCGAGAGCGTCGATCGAGGAAGCGCTGGAAACGTTATCGACTGGGGAGTACAAGGATATCATCGAGAAAGTGTTCGTGATCGGCGGCGCAAAAGTATACGAGGAAGCTTTGAAGTCTGAACAGTGCGAGGCGGTGCATTTGACCGAAGTGAAACCGCCCGCCGGGAAGGATCCGAAGGAACACTTTGCCTGCGACGCGTTCATCCCGTTACCGTTGGATAGCGAAAAGTTTCGATTGTATTCGAGCTCAAAGCTGGTGAAAGATGGCGAGTGTTCGTACACGACGTTGACGTACGTCGCGCAAAATGGACCGGCTGGGAAGTTTCGAGTGGAGGCTGAAAAAATCTTGCCGCCAAAGATTTTGAAGGAGCAAAAACACGAAGAGATGCAGTATTTGGAGTTGATTAGGGAAATAATCGATGAAGGGAACGTCAAAGGCGACAGAACTGGAACCGGGACTATTTCTAAATTTGGTTGCTCCATGCGATACGACTTGAGACGATCGTTTCCGTTGTTGACGAGTAAACGTGTTTTTTGGAGAGGCGTGGCGGAAGAGTTGTTGTGGTTCGTGAAGGGTTCAACGAACGCGAACGAGTTGAAAGAAAAAGGCGTCGGCATTTGGGACGGAAACGGAAGTCGCGAGTATTTGGACTCCATCGGATTAAACCACCGCGAAGTGAACGATTTAGGCCCAGTCTACGGCTTCCAATGGAGACACTTCAACGCCGAGTACACCGACATGCACGCCGACTACGCCGGTAAAGGCGTCGACCAACTCGCCGAAGTGATTCACAAAATCAAAAACAATCCAAACGATCGACGCATTCTTTTAACCGCGTGGAACCCAGCCGCGTTGAAAGAAATGGCGTTGCCGCCGTGTCACATGTTCTGTCAATTCTACGTCGCGAACGGAGAGTTGAGTTGCCAAATGTACCAACGCTCGTGCGACATGGGATTAGGCGTCCCGTTCAACATTGCCAGTTACTCGTTGTTAACATGCATGATCGCGCAAGTCTGCGACCTGAAACCGGGAGATTTTGTCCACGTGCTCGGCGACGCGCACGTGTACGCCAACCACGTCGAACCGTTGGAAACGCAATTGAAAAACGAACCGAGACCGTTCCCGCAGTTGAAAATCAACCCAGACGTGAAGGATATCGACGGGTTCAAGTTTGAAGATTTTGAGATCATCGGGTACGACCCGTGCCCGAAAATTGAAATGAAGATGGCCGTTTAATCATCATCAAGGAAACGACGCTTTCGTCGTCCTTGTCATCGGCATCATCGTCGTCGTCTTTGAAAATGTTATACATATAAATAAACCATTCAAAATACAAAATCCAGAACTTTTCGCTTCATTATTTTTCTCCCTCCTCCTCTCTGCTTCTCTCTGCTTCACTGCGCTCCGAGACAGAATAAAAAGATACCGCAATGACGCACCCCTCCGCATCGAAGAATGCATTCATCCCGACGTGGATGTCCGTCCTTTCCGACGTTCTCTTCCAGAAACTTCGATGCAAACACCTGCCGAAAACGTCTTTGGAAATGGTCACATTTCCCCACGGGAAGGAAGAAAAATCATCATCCAAGAAGACGTTTAAGAAGCAAACCATCATCGTGACCGGCCCAACGTCTGGTATCGGCGAGACGACCGCGTTGACGTTAGCTATGAGAGGTCACAGAGTGATTTTAGCCTGTCGGACGGTCTCTAAAGGCGAGACGATGGTCAAGAAATGGCAACAAAAATACTCCTCCAAAAACACAAGATTGAAACTCGACTGCGTCGTCATGAAGCTCGATTTGAACAGTTTACGATCGATTCGAGAGTTCGCGAAAACATTTACAGATGTCGAAGATCGATTGGACGTGTTAATAAACAACGCCGGCGTGTTTGATATGTCGAATAAATACGTGCTCACGGAGGATGCGTACGAACAGCACCACGGGACGAACTTTTTAGCGCCGAGTTTACTCTCGCTTCTGTTGATAGGTAAAATGTTGGAAACGAAGACGACGGAGGGGTGCGAAACCGCCGCGAGGCAATCGAACAGTCGGATTGTGTTTGTGAGTTCAAAGTTGCACGAATTTGCGAAGAATTATGACATGCAAAAGAAATCGTTTGGGTTCTCCGCGAAGAAGGCGTACGCAAATAGCAAAATGGCAGAGATTGCATTCGCAAAGGTGTTAGAGAGGAAAGTGTGTAAAGCGTTTTATACGAACGCGAAGGATGGAAGGGACCCGTCGAACGCGCCGATTAAAATGATGAGTTTACATCCTGGAAATATTATAACGAACGTTGTGAAAACGTTACCGAAATTGATTCAGTTTTTGTACCGAACGACGATGCGACAGATTTTGTTTACGTGCGACGAAGGCGCGAGGGCGACGGTGTATTGCGCGCAAAGCGAATACGCGTTCGAGGAGGCCAAAGGAAAGTTTGGGAGTTACTTTGATTCTGCGTGCGAGTTGCGCGAGCCGAACAGCTTGAGCGAAATAGAGGAAGAGGGATTGTGGCGAGAAGTCCTGAAAGAGTTTGGGATGTCTGAAGCGCAGTTGATAAAGGAGTGGCAGACGGCGCTCGCGTGAACAAGAGAACAAAATTTTCAAATGACTCTTTGTATTACAATTTTTAGAACCGCATAGTACCGGTGCCGTTGTACGTTTTAAATTACTCCAATTCGTCAAAGTCCATGTCCGGTAAGTGGAAGTTCAAACCTTCGTCTTCATCCTTGACGCCTTCACTTTGCGTTCGCTCGAGTTGTTGGTTTCTGTTTGACCCGGTGGTGGCATCGGACTGATCCGAGAAGATGCTCGTCATCGCCCCGAAGCCTAAGCCGCCCCACAAATCAAACGCCGATCGATCTTCCTGAGTGGCCATGGATAAATGCGAGGGCGTGAGCAAAGGCGCTTGGGATATCTGCTGCCGCTGCTGCTGCTGCTGCTGCATCGCTTGTTGCTGTTGTTGTTGCTGCTGCTGCTGCTGCATGGGCGATCCACCGAACGAGGGAACGTGTTGGAACATACCTTGCGCGTTCTCGAAACCAGGAGGCGCGAAGCCCCTCGGAGATCCCGAAGCAGAAGATAACGGATTACGTTGTTGATGATGTTGCTGTTGTTGCATTTGCTCCGCGCGATGCGTAGACGCGGCAGGTGGCACTTGTTGTTGTTGTCGTTGTTGTTGGTTGAAAGCTGTGTCATTTGCAAGACTGCTGCTACTTTCGGGAACGTGCTTCCTCCCCCACGGCGGAAGTAGGGATTTGCGTGGTGGATCAGCGGACGCATTCCTATCGTCTCTTTTGGAAGTTTCTCTTGTCGTAGATATCGCTCTAGGGGCGACGTAATTATTCAAATCAACCAATTTATTCGCATTTCCAATTCTTACCGGTCTCGAGAGAGCGGCGGCGGCGTTGCGCTTTGCCTCCTCCAAGCTAGCGTCCAAGCTCGGCTTTCTCACGTTTGTTTGCTTTTTACCGGCAGCTTCCGTGTTTGTCGCCGCCGCCGCCACCGTTGCCGCATGAGTAGATGTATCCTTTTTCGATGCATAGGCGACGTCTGTGGCCGAAGCCGACGAGGAACCGGATAATTCGCGTTCAATCGTAACATCATCATTTTTACTCGCCCGCGGAGAGGACCCTTTGGTGCGCGCTTTAGGGGTTATCGGCAGAGTAGGTTTCGATACCTCCTTTTTTGGTGGTAACGGTTTGCCTCCTACAGGATCAACAGATGCAACTGTTGGAGACGGTTTCGGAACCTCTTTGATTGATGTCTTCAAATTCGAAAGTCTCGGACTTGGAAGTTTCGTGGTGTTGGCATCTTTACTCTTTTGCAACTCATGAGAATCTGCCGTCATGTTCGTAGTAGCATGAACCTCTGACGAGGATTCTGTTTTAGTTTCAGCGACGATTACTGGCTTTAAAACGCCAACGCTCTTCTTCTGGTTAATTACCGATATCGCGAAAAGGCACGCCGTCACGACAAAACATACCGCAAAAAATACCGCTAAAAAGTTTGGCGACGTAATCGTCTCGAGCGTTCCAGAAACGTTCAACGATATATTCGCCGAGATCCTCGCGACAAACGCGTAAGTTTTCGTCTTGAAACTGTTTTCGCGTCTTTTCTGAGCTTGCGATGCCTTCGCGGCTTCTTTTTCTGCCTTTTCGGCTGCAAATGAATACGCCTCAGAAACTTCGCCTTCCACGTCTACGCACTCTAACAAAGTGAAAGAGTTTCTCACGCAGACGGAAGATTTTAAAATATGTCCTTTCCCTGCTGCTTTCGGTGGCGCAAAGTATATGCCTCCCAACGATTTTGTCTGACTTGGTTCAATGCAAATAAGACTGTCGCCCTCGTTGCCGTTGATGTTCGTACTTTCAAAGATGAAGGCATTCTCGCCCTCGCGAGCGCTACCAAATTTCGGAGCAGATTTAGAAATCGCCCCAAACGTCACGCTCGCGAGTAAGTTTGAAAACATCCCACCGCCGCGCTTGAGCAACTTTCCGACGGCTAAATCAGGTGTGTCGGCGTGCGAAGCGCCAGGAAACATGTACGGTACCGCATCGAAGCATAATTTTTTAGACGTGGGATTTCGAACTCGAAGCATCTTTGATTTCGACGAGCGCTGACCGGCCGCAACGAAATCGATGAAGGTGGATGACGTTGAATTCGCAACAAGTCCTCCTCGCTCTTCTTCCTCCTCTTTATCATCCGCATAGTCTGTGAACGATGATGGGGAATAGTATTGCACATCATCAGTATCATCGCTCCTCGAAGCGAGCGAATCTATGATACTCGGACTTTGTAAGTTGACTAAAACTGCCACGGTGTCGACGTCGCCGAGACTGGTAGCTTCGTTCGATACAACTACGGTTGCCTTCATGTGAAATGCATTTTTCTTCTCGAGCGAAGCAATTTTATCGAGTCTAGATCTAAGTTTTTTTGCTTCCGCTTTACTGGGTGGAGAAGATACGAAAACTTTCTTCTTCTGCAACAATTCCGCAGCGGATGCTCCTATCGAATCAACATTTTCACCGTCCAAGTAATCTTCTCCTCCCTCACCGTCTTCAAAATCCTCGCTGATCGCGGTATCGAACATCAGATCGTCATCACCGAAGATTTCTTGATGCATTTCCGACAAGTCGAGTTTAACCCAGGCGCTGATTTGCGGCTCTTCGACGTTCGGCTGGATTAAACCGTCATTCTCGTTGTGGCGAACGATGACGCCTTTCTGGCTTCCACGCTTGCCATCCATAGAATGCTGCAACACACTCACCCTGGTCATGACCGGAATGTTGTGCGTAGATATAACTTCGATTGGGACGCTCGCGTGGCGCTTACCCATCGATACAGAAGCGCGCACCACGTCGTTTACAGGAAGCAGTGTACCGGTACTAAAAGAGGCCGTGATTGGTACTTGCATCCAACGATCATCCGTGAGAACGGCAAAAGTGTAGTTTGCTCGCATCGAATCAGACATTCTCTCGATGAACTCGTTATCTTCGCCGATATTAGCTGCTAAATGGAATATCGCGCGACCACGCGCTGGCACCACGAAATCACCCGCAATGATTTCGGCCCATTTTTCAGATTCATCGTTCGCGTATTTTTGGCGCCCATATCGCTCGTGCTCGACGCTTGTCTCACTCTTCCACGCTTCATTCGCGAGAGGGGACCATTCGTCGAGGATGGAATCGTCGTCTGCGAAGCTATTTCTATCTCCCACAGTCTTTCCACTTTTGTCATCTTTTGATTTGTTTTTATCTGCCTTCTTCTCCGTATTAGCATCGACCTGTGTCTTGCTCGCGTAATCCTGGCGGCATCCGCCCGGCATGTCCGAGAATCGTTTCTTGTTCGGGCGACACGGCGCATCGTGCGTGGAGTCTTCGTCTTCCTTATAGTACTCTTCTATCGCGTGCGACCTATCAAACACGTACAAGACTTGGCCGTTCCATCCAGATATGCGCGCAGATTCTGGGTCGAACGTTGTTAATCGAGCAACTTTCGCGCCGGGCATATCCGTCCACGTCGAAACAATCTTTAAAGGTTTCGAATGCGGATTTGTGAGCGTAATCACGCGCGTGCGATTGAAACCGGGTCCAACTATACCAAAAGATATTGGCTGACACGTTGATTCTACAGCAACAACTGTAATTTTGCTGGCATCGTCCGTATCTTCGACGGACTTCTCGTACTCTTCGCGCATGTCTTCTAGCGGCGCTGTCGGATTGTACGACGTTTTAGAATCCGCGTTGATGCAGCGTAAACGCGCATCGTAGCGTTCAATGCGCATTGGAAACTTCAGTAAATTTGTTATTATTGTAATTTCATCGTCCTTTTTATTCAGTTTCCACGATGGAACCGGCATTCTGTCCATGAACGTGAACGTTATTACCTCGCCTGAACTTATTTTTCGGCCTTTCGGATATCTAACAACCGCTGTTCTCGAAGCGTTGATATCAGCAAGTTCAACATTCAAAAGTCGCAGCGGTTGCTTTCCGATGTGTTCAAACGTGACGTTTCTTTCCTTCAAACGGTGATTCAATCCACTGAATGGCATTTCTTTTTCCTCCTCCTTATTCTTCTTCTTCTTCTTTTTCTTGCTTTCTTTTCCGTTTTCGGTGGTAGGATTGCTCTCCTTCGAAAGGAGTTCTCTTTCTTCGATCGTGTTCGGGATTTCAATACTTGGAAACGTCAGCGCGTACTTATCGATCGGGCGGAACGGAACAGACTCGTAAACTAAAGCTCGAACAAGAATTTCGAGGTTGTAACTCCTCCCAATACTATTTTCAACGGACAACGTCACACGTTCGGCCACAAAAGTCTCCGAGGCGGTGCGGCGACTTTTCACGTCGTACCAAACTCTCGCCGCCTCGACTGTTTCGCCCGGTTTCACCGTGACTCCTCGACCGGAGACGAGCTGCGGACGTATATCAGACGTCGGTGAAGAGACGCTCGTTATACGAATCGGCCATAAGTCGCCGTTCGTGACGTAAATAGATCGCCGCTCTTTCAGCTTTTTCGAACCATGTTTTCGATTATCCTCGCTCACGATAATCGTGCCGAAATCGATTTCGTTTGGATGCGTGAATACGGTGTTATCAACCCCTTCTAAGCTAACTGGAAACTCAAAAGCTTGTGAAGATGCCGTAGTTTTGACATACACGATGCCTTGATGTGTGTTCGTGCTGCGAACGCTGTGCACGGACCCGCTGGAAGGTGCGTTTACTTCTCCGTTTCGATTAACCGGCGCGGTGAGCGTCACTCTCGCGAGGCGAGAAAATGTACCCGGCTGTATGGACCAGCCAAAAGAGGCAGAATCTTCTTTGTTGTTGCCGTCAGATGATGGTGATAATGATGATGATGAAAGTGAAAGTGATGGTTGTGAATTTGATGATGATGATGATGATGATGATGATGATGATGGCGATGATGATTTTGACGACGAAGAAGAGTCTTCCTCCTCTTCTCTTTTACTACTCACCCACGGTACGTCAATCTTGATGAATTCAGACCGCGTCCACACGTCCGTAACGTTCAGCACTCTTAACAACGGGTTGAACAACCCTAAATCGTAATCGTGTGGCACGCCGTACACTTGCTTCGTGCTCAGTTTTTGCACGCGAAAATCGTTTGGTTTCGTCAAAAACGTAAACGGCATCAAGATGTCCCCTCTGTCCGTTTGTACGCTTAACGTTCCTCTCCCTCTCCCAGTTTGCAAGGGCGCGTGTCTGATAGTCACTTCGATGCTTCCTGACGGTGGGATCACGAAAATAGGATCCTTTCCTTGTAAAGGCGAGCGCGATTCCTCCATCGTCTCGCCGTCAACCTGCATGATTTCCTCCAACCGATCCACGCTCTTTTGGACGTCAGCTTCGGTATCTCGAATCATCTTTTGCATTTTAGCCACGCTCAGTTTCAGACTCTCGTGTTCTTTTCGATTTTCGTCCAGCATGTCCTCGCTCTCTTTTCTATCCAACTTCTCTTTCGCGGCTATCAACCTATCGTTCAACTCGTCGATGCGTTGCGTCACGTACCTAATCTTCTCGTCGTGTTTCTCCATGTCCCCTCTCCTGTTCTCCAACATCTCTCTCGCCACGAGCAAGTTCTGCTGCATCACCCTCTCCTCGTGCTTCGTTCTCCCGTACGAAATCCCTTCCGTGTACACTTGCACGCTATCGCTGGTGATCAAATACACCCTCAACGGCTTTTCCGCGTCCAAGTTACTCACGGTTAAATTTTTCGTCGTCGGCCATCCAACCTGCGCCTTCTCGAAACGTAACACCGACGGGTGTAAGTTCAAATTGAACTCTTTAAACTTCTTCCTCGATATCGGTTTGAAATTCCGAGGTTTCCACACGTCTTGGGTGGTTTTCGCCCCGTCCGGTAACACGAACGGAAGTTCGTTGTTATTATTATTCTCAGGAGACGAAGAAGACAAAGAAGAAGCACCAACTGCTCCAATTTCATCATCATCCACACCGTCGACGGACGCGAAACTCTCTTTCACTCCTCCCGTGGTCTCAATCGCGTCGCTTCCAATCGGTCCCCACGACGACAGTAAAAACACCGACGAAACACAGAGCGTCGCCGCCAAGAAGAACAAGGTCATCAAAGCGAAAAACACCGACGATACGTTCGAATTGATATCGCGCTTCATCCTTTTTCCGTACTCTCAGAGGAGATCTGTCCACATAATTGGATTGCGATGAAAGCGCTCAAACTTTACGAAACGAGACGCTCTTTTCTCACGAGGAGGAAAAAGAAGAGGGCATCGTGCTTTTATTAAACGAATAATAACAACACCGCTTTGAGCGGGTGATTTTGCGCGTTTAAAAGCGCGCGCGTGTGTATGAACGTGCGTTAATTTTCTTAGGACTTCTTTTTAATAAGATTTACGAAGAGTTAAGACGAATGCTGCTGCTGCTGCTCTAAAGCGCTTTAATAATATTTCGCTTGGTTCCCGTCGACGCATTTTACCCTCGCATCGGGCGTCGGCAAAGACATGCACCGCGTGATGTCTCCCAAATCATCGCGCGAAGAAGAATCAGAAGAAGAGTTACGAATAGCGTTCTCGTCGCTTTGAAATCTTGGTTTCGCTTTCTTCGCTTTCGCTTTCGCTTCCTCGGCGGCTTTTTGCTTCAACGCTGCGATTTTGATCGGTTTCTCCCGAGCTTCTTTCTCCTCTCGCTTTTCTCTCTCTTCTCTTTCCAGACGATTCTTGCGCGCGCGCTCTTTTTGCATTTGGACTTCGTTTTTGAACGTCTTGAGTTCGCCGATAGAACGCTCGACGGGAGCGAGCGCTTCCCGGGCTATTTGCGCGTCTTTTTTCACCTCTCTAATGTTCTCCTTCACGTCTTTCGGTAAAAGAGGGTTGATTTCGTCCGGAACGATGTTACTGATGTTAAAAATTAACGCCAGTAACAACGCAATGATTATGTACGGACTCAACTGTAACGCTAACAACCCGACCGCGACGAATGCAATCGCCGAAGGGTGTTCGTACGCCCATCCCAAAGCGCCGGTGACGAAGGTCCCCGCGCTCTCCGGATGCGATACGACGCCGTATGCAATCAAAATCGCGCCAAGCGGTAAGACTATCTTCTTTCCTATTTGCTCGATCGCCTTCGGTATGATTATCAAAGACGCTAACGCGATCACCGCCGTCAATTCCGGATTCTCCGACGCCAATCGAAACGCGTCCACTTCCGAGACGTCCGATATCAAGGACGGACCAATCGATTCTATTTTCTCTTCTCCTCCTCTGGCTTCTTCTCTGGCGCTCGCAAACTCTGGGAACCCGAAACAATACAGCGCGCCGCCACTACTCCCACCAACGCTCGTTTCAAAGCGCGAAATCCTCCTCTGCGCGTTCGAAACGTCATCATCGTCATCGTTTCTCATCACACCTGTCTCCTCCTCCTCTTTCCCCGTATCTTTTCTCCCGTCGTATCTCTCTCGCGTCGTCGTCTTTCGGTGATGCCTCCTCTTCCTTTTCGTCTTCGGATTGTGTCCGTTGGCGCGCACAAAGGCGGCGCGGTGCTGTCGAGAGAGAGACGACGACGCGTTTGACATGCTTTGCCCGCAGTTTCCTACTCTCGACCCCGAAGCGCTGTTCGTGCTTCTTACTCTGAAGATATTCTTGGGAAATTCTTCATTGAACACAAAAGATGGTGTGCGCGAAGTGCGAGGTGAAACTGAAACGGGTGATCACCCCGGACCCGTGGATGCAAAAAGTCAACGCCTCTGCGAAGAGCAGCGGTACTACGAGTACGAAACTCAACGAAAACAAAGCTTTATCCTCTTCCAAAAACTACGTCCTCGGCTCTCAACAGTGTCAAGTGTGTAAAAAATCGCTCCACCAACCCGGTCTGTTTTGCCAACCGTGCGCGTTTCAGCAAGGGAAATGCGCGATGTGCGGGGTCGAAGTCCAAGACGTGTCCATGCATAACGTCGGCGGGGATTTGGAGAGGAAGTTGAGAGAGAAGACGACGAGAGAGAAGTCGGAGAAGTTGATGAAATTGGAAAAGTTGGAGGAAGAGAGAGACAAGGAGGAGGAAGAGAAGAGGGAAAGGAAAAAGAGGAAAAGAGAAGAGAAGGAAAAGGAGAAGGAAGAGAGTAAAGAAAAAGGCGAGGAAGAGAAGACGGTTGCTAAAATCGAACCAACTGGGGCGACAAACTTGGTCGGTTCGCTATTGCAACAATCCGCCGGTTCGACGACGCCGACGACATCTTGGCAATACGACGGCAAAAGCGGGTATTACTTCGACGCGTCGAAGATGCAGTATTACGATCCGAAGACCAAGTTGTACTTTTGTTGCAGAACGAATAAATGGTTGAAGCCGGAAAACGAAAAACCGAAAAATGGGACGTTCAAGAGCGGCGCGAGAAAGCCGGACAAGTTCGGTTTGTGAGTTTAGTCGCGTCGCGTTCGTTTCGTAAGTTTAGTTTGTAGTCCGTATAGTTGTTAGTTTTTTAAAACGCTGGAACGATTTACGTGTTCGCGAACAACCACTCGGTGGCGGCGGAAATATCACCTCCCGTCTCTTTGATCGCGTCCTTTGCCATTTTCTTCGTGAACCCCATGTTCACGAGCATCTCTACCGGCCCTTCGGCGCTTGGGCTGTTATCGTCCTCGTTATCGTCGTCGTCGTCGTTTTTACTCTTTTTCGATTTCTTCGTCTTTTTCGCGGCTGGTTTCTTCGCCACCGCGGCTCTCTTCCCCGCGGCGACCCCTGCTGTTTTCTTCGCCTCGTTCGCGACGACGTTGGTCACGTCCTTCACCGTAGCGTTTGCGTTCTTTATTGTCGTTGTTGTTGTTGTTGTTGTCGTCGATGTCTTCATTGCTGTCGTCGTCTCGCCGGGTTTGCTGTTCTCACTCGCGGCAGTATTCGCCATCCTCACCGCCAACAACCTTTTCCTCAACTGCTTCAACACCTCCACCTTTTCATTGCTGGACAACTCCTCTACTTTCACTTCGTCCACGTTCACGACGCGCTTCGTCGGTCCCAACCCGCCATTCACGCCGCCTTTGTTATGATTCTTCCCCATGTACGCCGCCGCGCCTAAACCGGCGTCTCTCACTGGTTTTGGAATTTCAATCGCTTCGATTTGCTCCGGAGTTAACCCGAATAAACGCACGTTTTCCTCTCGCTTCGCCTTTAACTCCTCCTTCGACATCTTCCCGCCTTGGTTGGTAATCAACCCATTTTTCCTCACCACGGTTTCCCCAACCAACTGATCGTTCGCTTGCTTCACCGCGAACACGTCTAACTGTAACCCGGTATATTCCGCCAAGGATTGTTTCCCAAGTAATCGTTGCGTTTGCCCGTTCAACTGTTGGATTTGTTTCCCCGGTAAGGCGCCGGAGTCGACGATTTGGACCCACTTCCCGACGCCGAATTTTTTCAAAACGATGACTAAATTTTCAACCTCCGGTTTCGTCCATCCTGTTTTGTTGTTCGATGGGACGCGTTTTGATGTGCGTTAAAGATGAAAAAGAAGACGTTATTAAACGTTTTTAGAGAGAGTACAAGAGAGGCACAAAAACGGAACCGCTTTGAGAGTAGTCTCGTTTTCGAGAGAGAGAGACGACTGCGAGAAGGAGGACGAGAAATCGTATATCGTTTTCACATCATCGTTTCAAAAATTCAAACGCGAGAGACGAACGTCCCCAAAACCAAGACATCATCATCATCATCGCAACACACGCGCGCAGTAAACAAAGAGAGAGAAAGAAAGAACACGCATATAACAGAATACCTGGAGACGGGGTAAAATTCCACAAACTTCTCGCGTCGCCTACTTTTGGTCCTTGTTCCGCCATTATATGTGTAACGAGTTCTTTTTATGAAGAAAACTTTGAGCAAAACGCGAGAGAGGCGAAACGAGAGAGATTTGAGGGTGGAATTTAATTGGCTGCTTTCCCATCGCACATCACACAAAGAAGAAAAAAAATCGAATTTAAACGTCATTCTACATTACGCGGAAAGAGAGTAGTGTAATAAAGAGAGAAGAAGAAGAAGAGCTTTGAGGGTTCAGGGAGCGCAGAGGGTGTTGGAGAGAAGGGAAATGCCTGGAATGGCTGGAAACGTTTCCGCTGGGACGACGATTCAGACGACGCAAAAATCATCATCGTCTTTGGGGGGGGTGACAACGAGGAAGCAATCGCTCGCGTACATCCTCTCGTTCGTCGCTCTGTTCATGCTCGTCGCGTTGTGCGACTGGGAGAATTATACCTCTTCCACCACCATCGGTGGGAATACTAATTTCGGCAGCGCATTCAGAGAAGATTCGATGCGTATCATCAACGATTTGGAAGGCGTGAAATCGGAAAAGTTATCCGAGCGATTGGAAGAGTTGAGAGAGGAGAAGAAAAAGATTGAAGAAGAGATTAAGAAGACGACGAACGACAACGAAGAGGAAACGGAAGAAGAAGAAGAAGAAGAAGAAGACGGAATGACATCGACGAAACGAAAGAAAGAATACGACGAGAATAACTTCCCAGAGGCCATCATCGAGAACATCGAACGCGATTTAGGACACGGGGCGAGAGCGTACCGAGGACCGGAAGAACCGGCGAGGACGATGGAGTTGGCGAGGTTGAGATGCTTAAACGCGCCGGAACCGTGGTCGCCGTTTGATGCCGGGAGGAAGAAGGATAACGACGGGAACGTGAGAGGGAAAGGAGATGGGAGGAGGAGGAGGAGGAGGAGGAGGAGGAACGTGCTTTCTTCTTTTGAGCGAGCGGGAAAAGAAGAAGAAGAAGAAGAAGAAGAAGAAGAAATAATAGATAGTACTGGCGGGAGAAGGAAGCTTCTGGCGTATAGACTTCCGGCGGGGAAATATAAACCTTTACAACCAAAGTGCGCGGCGAGCGAACGCGTGAAGAAAAATATAAGACCCGGCGAAGACGCCGTCGTCGGGTGCTTGAAAACCAACAGGTGCTCGCACGCCGTAGAAGACGTGTTTACAGCCATACAAAATTTGGATGGAATCAAATCTTTAAAAAATTACGTCAGTTGTATCACCGTCAACGGCCAAACGAAAGGGTGCGGCTCGATTACGGGCAACCCGGAAACGTTCCCGTATATCGGCACGAAACCGCCGCCGAAAGCGAAGAAAGAAACGACGCGAACGTATAAAACATGCGCTTTAGTCGGCAACGGTCCTGGTTTACAACGCGAAGGTATGGGAGAAATCATCGACAAACACGATGCGGTGATTCGATTCAACACGTTCGTCTCCAGCGGCGTCTGGCAAAACTATACGGGAGTCAAATCCACCTTGCGCGTCTTCAACAAAAAACGCGCGGAAACCATGAAGAGCACGAAAAACGTCTACATCTCCTCGACGAAAACGAAAGACAAAAAAGACGTCGAAAACGAGTTGTGGATCTTTTGGAACTACATGTCCTTCCCGTTCCTCCCTCCGGTTTTACGAGCGAACAAAAACACCGCCATCATGGCGCCAGACGTCATCAAATACATGGTCAACGGCTACTTCAAATCTCGATCGGATTTACACCGTTTAGGATATAAAGGTTTCCAGTGTCCAACCAACGTCAATTCAGGCATCCACGCCATGTACATGGCCATGCAAATGTGCGAACGCGTCAATTTATTCGGTTTCAGTTACAGCATGGACATGTTGAACAAACGCAACGACGCTCGATCGCCGCGCATGTCTCGATTCCACGATTGGGCGTTCGATACCATGTTGGTCAGATTGTTGCATCTCAGCGGGTACGTCAACGTGTGCACTTCGTAGTTTTAGCTCGTAGCAGTAGCAGCAGCAGTAATAATAATAGTAATAGTACTAATAATAACGCGATGCTAGCATACGGTAGAGATCAGAGATCGTGTTGTTCTCTGGCGCTCGTCGTTGAGTTTCTTTCACTTTTTTCGCTCCCTCTGCTTGCTTGCACGCAAAGTCTCGTCAAAACACCGAAGAAAAAAAGAAGGAGATTCATCATAAAATTCAACGCCTGTTTCTGTTGCGACGATTTTTAGTATAAAAGCGCGCGAAACGAGAGCAGAGTGAGCGGTGTTTTCTCTGCGAGTAGTAGTAATAGTCGCAGAAGATCTGTGCGCAGCAACAGCAGTCGCGTGTGTTCTCTCGTGAATTCTTCTTTTCTCGATCGACTTTCCCCGCTGCCTGCACAAAGTGAAAGTTTTACGAAAGCGTAAAGAAGAAGAAGAAGAAGAAGAAGAAGAAGAAGAGAAGAAATGGCCGGCTCAAAAGGAGGACTCGTCGATGCGTCCGTGTCGGGATGCATACGCGCGATTCTGATCGCCTACGCCGCGTATTCCGCCTACGCTATTCGTTTATTCGCGGTGCAAGAATACGGGAGGATCATTCACGAATTCGACCCGTGGTTCAACTTTCGAGCGACGCAATATTTAGCGGAAAACGGATGGAAAAAATTTTCCACCTGGTTCGATTACATGAGTTGGTACCCGCTGGGAAGACCAGTCGGGTCGACGATTTACCCCGGGATGCAAGTCACCGCGGTGACGTTGTGGAAAGCGATCAACGTATTCACGCCGATTTCGTTGAACGATACGTGCGTGTTTTTTCCGGCGTGGTTCGGCGGCGCGGCGACGGTGTTGACGGCGATGTTGACGTACGAGTGTTCCGGGAGCGCTTGGGGTGGGGTAGTCGCGGCTTTGATTATGGCGATCATCCCGGCGCATACGATGAGGTCCATCGCGGGTGGGTACGATAACGAGTCTTTAGCGGTGACGGCGATGGTGTTGACGTTTTACATGTGGACGAGATCGAATAGAAACGAAAAATCTTGGCCGTTGGGCGCGGTGGCTGGGTTGTGCTACGTGTACATGGTCGCCGCCTGGGGTGGGTACACGTTCGTTTTGAATATGGTTGGTTTACACGCGGCGGCGTTGGTCGCGTTGAGGCATTACACTGACGCGTTGAGAAAGGCGTATTCGTTGTTTTGGATCGTGGGTACTTTGGGGGCGATTCAGTTTCCCGTGGTCGGGTTACAACCGATTAAAAGCGCCGAGCAAATTGCTCCGATGTTTGTATTTTTTGGTTTGAACATCATCGGGTACGGGGAGATGTTAGTGAAGAAGCAAAAGTTGCAAGGCGATAGGAAGAAGGCGTGGCAGTTACGAATAAGGGTGTACACGGGAGCGGCGACGATTGCGTGTGCTATTTGCGCCGCGTTGGCGCCAACCGGGTGGTTCGGGCCGTTGTCCGTCCGCGTTCGCGGTTTGTTTATTAAACACACGCAAACTGGGAATCCGTTGGTAGACTCGGTCGCCGAACATCAACCGGGGACCGCGGACGCGTACGAGAGGTACTTGCACAAGTCCATGTTTATGACCGCCCCGATTGGTTTCCTCTTTGCCATGGCGCACTTCTTCGCGCACGTCAACCCGCAATCATTGTTCTTGCCGTTGTACGCCTGCGTGGCATATTATTTCGCCAACAGAATGGTTCGTTTGATCATCTTCTTAGGCCCGATTGCGGCGAGTTTGTGCGGGATCGCGGTTGGGTACGCCCTCGACGATTTGCACAAGATTTGCAAGAAATACGCCGTTCGATACTTGGAAGGTAAATCGATTTTGTTCCACGTGGATGAAGAAGAGAAGAAAGCCAAAGAAGAGGCGAAGAAAAGAGCGGACGAACCGCCGGCGAAGATTTCGAACACAAAAATGAAGAAGAAGTATTCCAACAACGTGACCTCTTCCTCTTCAGATGCGAAGAATAAAGATTCTTTCGTCAGTGACCCGAGACAAGCCATCTCGAAGATCTACCACTCGAACGTTTCCGTCTTGTTTCGTTTGACGCTCTTGTGTCTCGGACTCGCGAACTTTGCCATCATGTGGCCTGCATTTATGAACTACTCCTACGAGATGGCGCAGGGCATGTCCATGCCGTCCGTAATGTTCAAAGGCCAACTCCAAGATGGCCGGGTCATTCTCGTTCGCGATTACATGGACGCTTACGAGTGGGTGCGAGACAACACGCCGGAAGACGCTCGCGTCATGGCCTGGTGGGATTACGGTTACCAAATCACCGGCATCGCCAACCGCACCTCCATCGCGGATGGGAACACGTGGAACCACGAACACATCGCCAACCTCGCGCGAACGCTCACCGCGCCGGAAGACGAAGCGTACGACGTCATCCGTCACTTGGCCGATTACGTCCTCGTGTGGACAGGTGGCGGTTCCGACGATATGGCAAAATCGCCGCATCTCTTCCGCATTGGCGCCAGCATCGGTCAAAAAGGTGGCACCGTGGACATGATGGACATCCACCGCAAATTCGGCGTCGACCGTCAAGGCCGTCCGACGCCTATGATGGCCAATTCGTTACTCTTCAAACTCGTCTCCTTCCAAGGCGGCGTCTCCGAAGACCACTTCGAAGAAGTCTTCACGACGAAATATAGAAAAGTGCGCATTTACAAAGTCGTCGACGTGGACATGGAATCTCGAAACTGGCTCTCAGATCCGAGCAACCGCGTGTGCGACCCGCCGGGAAGTTGGCAGTGCCCCGGCCGATACCCGCCGGCGTTGAAAAAGTACCCGAAGTTGATCAAACCGGCGTACCCGGCGGAAAGAGAAAAAATGGCCGCCGAAAACGCAAAAAAGATGAAGAAGAAGAGCGGTGGTAGTGCATCAGAACTTTAACGCCTTTTGTTCGCGAGAGATTAGAGAGAGAGAGAGAGAGAGAGAGAGAGAGAGAGAGACTTAAATGTTGTTGTTGTTGTTATTTTACCTACTAGTAGTTGACTACCCTTTTTACGTGTTGACTTTCCCCAGAAATTTTAAACCATTTGCACACTTTCACGTCATGGCCGAACACCACCAAGGCACCATCGCGTCTTCTCCCGCTGCCATTTCAACCAATAATTTAGACCAGTACTTCACCGAATGGTTCCACGCGGCCGATGCCGACAAGAACAATCAAATTTCCGGCAACGAAGCCGTTGCATTCTTCACCAAATTCGACGGTTTAGTGAAGAAAGATCTCATCGAGTTGTGGGAAATCGCGGACGAAAAGAAGCGAGGATTTCTCACCGCGCGAGAATTCATCGTCGCCTGCGGGGTGGTGTCGTTAAAACAAGCCGGGGTGAAAGAAATTACAGCCGCGCACGCGCACTTGTTGAGGAACGGAGAGACGAGAGGGTTACCCACGCCGGTTTTGAAACGTGGGGAGCGTGTAGTGGTAGGGGACTCGAACGAAGAAGCGCCGGCGAGCCGCGCAGCGACAGAAACACAACACGAAGAAGAGAACAAGACGACGACGAGTAGTGGAAGACCGATGTTGAGCGACGATATATTTGCGGCGTACGATCAACCGCCGGGTGTCCCGGTCGTCGCCGCGGGTGGATTTGATGGTTTCGGCGACGCGGGAGGAGGAGCGGACGGCGGGTTTAATGCCGCTCCGGCGAGTTCGTTTAGTGCCGATGCGTTCAATAGTGCACCTTCTTCGTCAGTAACGGTGGGAGGGTTTGGCGCTCCCCCTCCTTCTGTATCTTCTGATTTCAATATTGGTTTCGATTCCAATTTTCAAACGTCGTCGCAAGCTTTCGCTTCTACCGCTCCGGTGCCTCCCCCAAGCGCGATGCCTCCTCTGCCGCAAAAATGGCCGGCGATGGGACCAAGCGATTACCAGAGGTATCAAATTCAGTTTTTGCAAAGCACGAATAACGATCCGACCGCGTCCATTCCGGCGCAAGTGTGCGCGCCGATGATTGCGGCGTCCGGGTTGGAGAAGCACGTTTTGAAGCAAGTTTGGGAAATTGCCGACGCGAGGAAGATTGGCGCGTTGGCGTGGCCGGAGTTTGTAGTCGGAATGTACTTAGCCGACGTCATTAAGACCAGGGGTGTGCAATGTCCAGAGATGATGCCGCCGATGCCGTTCCCTCCGTTTGATCAGAACGCGGCTGGTTTGTTGACAAACATCGCGCCTTCGATTTCGATGGCTCCCGCCGCTGCTGCCGTCGCCGCTCCTCCTCCTCCTCCTCAACAACAACAACAACAGCAAATGTTCGCTGGCATTCAAGCACCTGTCGCGCAACAAGATACGTTTAACTTCATCCCTGGTTCGCAGCTTCGCGACGAGTTCAATACCGTCTCGGCGACGGCGAGTACTACGTCTCATCACACTCACGGCGACGCGACGTTCACCTTTCGTGGTCCGCAACTCGATCTCTCTGCCGTTCCAGACGCCGAGCGACAGTTCGCGGAAGCGCAATTAGACGCCGCAAAGCAAGCCGATGAAAATTTATTCGCGCAAGAAACCAAAGAATCCGAAAATAAAATGTCCGCCAAAGCCGCCCAAGAGGCTTTAGGTAATTTAGCGTTGTTTCGAAGGAAGTGCGAGGCGAATTTAGCCGAGGCGGAGAATAAAGCCTCGGTCGCAGAAAGCGAAGCGAGAGAGTTAAAGAAGAAAGTCGAAGAGGCGATGAAGATGTGCGAGGAGTTGATTCAGAAGAGTGAACAAGGCGGTGACGCTTCTATCGCAAAACGATTAGAGAAAGCGAGAGAGGAAAGAGACGCGTTGCGAGCGCAGTTGGAGGAGGAAAACGCGAAACTTCGAGAATTGAGCGGGAATAGCGCGACGAGTGCTTCGAACACGTCCGAGATGGAACTTGAGATTGAAAATACGGAAAAAGAAGTTGCAAAAATTAAAAGCGACATCGCGTTAGCGCAAAAGCGATTACAACTGGCGAGTGAACGCGCGGATTTGACGACGCAACTGGCCAACGTTTCCCTGGCTGCGGAGGAGAAAGCGCGAGAACAACTTTCTCCTCATCCTCAACCATCAGCCATGACGCCGAACGGTTCTTGGGGAGGCGTGCAAATTCCTCCTTTACCACCGATGCCAACGCCGACGCCACCGACGCCGGAGACCGCTAAAATAGGCTTCGACAAATGGAACGAATGGGACGCGACTAAGACGCCGCCAGTCGGAGGGAAACCGCCGCAACAACAAAAGCAACCACAACTTCAAGATGATTTATTCAGCCATTCACCTCCAGTTATTCCACCAGCTTCGGTGAGTGCAAAACCAACACAGCAGCAACAACAACAACAGCCAAAGCCGACGGACAGCTTTGATTTCTCCGCGCCAACGCCGCGAGATTTCGCCCCTCCCGCGGTCGCCGCCGCGTTGTACTCGCAAACCAGTTCCGGAGGCTTCTTCTCCGACGACGAGACGACGCCGAATCATTCGAGAAACCCGAGCGGTTTGGACGGGATTAACTTTAGCCATACTCACGCCGCGACCGGAGGAGTAAATAATGGCATTCCACCATCACCAGCTCTCTTCAATCATCAACAACAAACCGGCGGCGGCGTCGCCAAGACGCCGGAAAACTTTATCGATCCGTTCGCCGTGAGTGACGAAGGCGACGACGACGACGTCGAGGATAGTTTCGACGATCCTTTTGCATAGATAGAAACGAGAGAGAGAGAGAGAGAGAGAGAGAGAGAGAATAGAATACATGACTAGCGCGTTAAAACTACCACCACCCGCGAGGTGCCAAACCAAAGTAAGAAGAGAAGAGAATGACTTTTTCAGATAAATTTCTAAACCCTAAATATTAGCCTGACCCAAGTCTCCCGCCAATTCTCAATTCTCGTCACACACAGACTCCTCTTTCTTTAAAGCGCTTGCGGAAACACGAAAGAGCCTTCTTTGCTTGTTTGTTGTTTTCGAGGAAGAAGACGAGATATGTTTAAGCGCTCAAAATCCAACAAGAACACCACCAACGCCGGAGGAGGAGGATTAGGAGGACAAGGCTCGGCGGCGAATGCTAATAAAAAGCTCAATTTTACCGTCGTCATTCACGAGTTGATTCTCCCGATACTTGACGATGCGAATTATGTTTCTGCTAAGAATAGGAAGAAGAATACGAATAACAGCGATGAAAACGAGATACCGAAGATTCAAACGACGAACGCGTTGAGAGCTATCGCGTGGTACCGAGGGAATAAGAAATCAGGGGTGACGAGAAGTATCGTCGCGAAACCTTATTCTTACGGAAAGCCAGTTGATGGTGCCAACGCTTCTTTCGAGGAGGAGGAGGAGCAAGTGCTGGAAAAACACGACTTCGAAAACGAATCGTTCCAATTCGAGGCGACGATGACGGGAAACAAAAAGAAATCCTTACGATTTTTAATACTCGAAGCGAACAAGAACGAAGCGGAAGCACCGAAAGAAGGGGTGAAGAAAGTGGCGGGGATGCACGTCGGGACGGTGGATTGCGATTTGAGCAATTTTCTGAAACCGGAACGACGAGGCGGGAGGATGGGCGCGAAGGTGACCGTAGAGGTTGAGTTGGAGCAGAATTTTCTGAAAGGGAAAGGGAAGAGCGTTTTGAACTATTCGAAGACGCCGAGAGGTGGGAGAGCGAGACTGACGATGACGATTCGACACGATAGGGAAGATTCGACGGAAGGGAGCGCCTTCGCCGCGGCGGCGGAAGGAGGCTCGGAGAGTATTAGCAACAATCGGTTCTCGAGAATAAAACAAGAACATCAAGCAGCCAGCACTAGTCGTGAGAATACCCTGAACAGCAACAATAATAGCACTGATGGTAGTAGTGGAGACCAAGATAATCGACCGATATCCACATTTTCCGTGGCTGATGTCGTGAAACCTGGGCAGCGACCTGTTGGAAACGTCTCTGCAAATCGCATGCCACTCGCGAAAGCATCGTCATCCTTACACGCGTCGCGATTTGGCGCTGGTGGGGCTGCAGGGATTGTTGCCAACACTGCGAGACCAGCAATGTCTAGCGAGAACGACGCGATGATGATGGATGCGTCCAAATCTACCGCTAAGATGTTTGCCCGAAATCGATTCGAGAATGTACCATCAAACGCTCACGAGCAACTGCAAGCGGATGAAGCCGATGAGGATGGAGAATGGAACCCGTTTTCAAGTAAGCACGAACATCAGAAACATCAACAACCGAAAGAAGAAAGAGAAAGAACCGAAGAGGAAGATTGGAACCCGTTTGCGCGACGCGGAAACGGCGTGTCGACCGGCAACTTGGGCGCATCGATAAGCGCGGCGGATAAAAGCGAGACGCCTCGCATGGGCAATTCGAATGCGCAAGACAATACTTACAAAAATAATGATAACAAGGAAGTCGATAGCGACGGCTTTCTCCTCGATTCGGATTTAGAAACAGAAGATGATGATGAATTCGATACTGACGAAGATAATGAGGAAGAAGAAGAAGAAGAATTCGATGACATCGACGATGCGCTCACGCATCGCACTTTTCAAAACGACGAGACGTATGACGATGACGATGATCGATGCACAACGCCGCCTCTTACGCCTGGACCTACGCGACCGCCACCGACGCCACCGCACAGAAAGACTTCGTACGCGGGAAGCTCTGTCGATCACCGCTCTGAGTTACGAGATCGCGAGGACTTCGCATCGCACGGCGTTCCTAACGCCGCGGGTGGTCCGATGTTTGTGGACAAGTCTCCTGAATTTAGGAGACGGTCGTTGAAGTTTCGCACGGATAAGCAGTTGTTTGCAGACGATGTTCTCGAATCGAAAGGCTCGCCACCGTTTCGAAACGCGCGCACGAATAGTTTGTTAGTGGACGTCTCCTTGGATAGTAATGGAAACGATTTGCGCGGACGATCTTTGAACAATTCCATGGATCGATCCAGAGGCGATTTTGATTGGAGCAGCATACCCATGCCGCAAGCCGCAGCGGAAAGTTTATTGTTGCAGTCGCAGAGACAAAACAATATCAACAACGCTACTTCTCACACGGCGCGAAGTGATGCGCCTTCATCGCCGACGAAAAATTCTGAACTCTCCATGGTTGAGCGCATTTCACAAGATTGGGATTTGGAGTACCGCGCGGGTATTCGTGTGAGTTCTGACGGCAATCGCTCCGAAGGCGTTCGCTCGTCTCTCATGAACGCGGGAAGTCAAAAAACCACTCGCACGTCGATCGATCATAAGAGCACCGCACAACAACTAGAACAAGAATTGGAAGTGGTCAAAACGAGATACGAGCACGAAATTTCCGAACTCAAAGACGACCTCTCCGAAGAGCAACAAAAGAACCAGAGAATATCCGAGCAGCTCGAACGCGCGAAGAAGAGCTTGGACGAAACAAAGTTAGAACTCGGAGCAACGCAAGTTTCTCACGCCAGATTGGAAGAGGAAAACGAAAAGTTGAAGAATCTCGCGCAGACTTTGAAGCAAAACGTTGCCGCCGCGCAAAGCAGACGAAGCAACGACGAGAGCGCCGATATCGCCGCGGCGCAAAGTTCTTTAAAAGTTGCATCGTTAGAGCGAGATGAGGCGAGAAATGAAATAAATCAGTTACGACAAGTCATCGAAACGTTGAGAACGGATTTAAGCAACGAAAAAGCGAGAACGTCGTTAGAATTTGCCATGCGCAAGTCATCGTTGGGTGACGACCAATCTGATGTCATCATGGGAGAAGCCAGGCACGCGTACTCTTCGACGAGCGGGAACGATTCAGATGGGGATATGATTCCACCGTGGGCAAAAAGAAGCGCGACTGTCGTCACAAAGTTTGACCGCCTTAAATCAACCAGGGCGATCGTGGACGAAGACTCGACGGATGATGAGGAAACGGACGAGGAAGAGGTTGAGGACGATAACGATTTGAAAGCGAAAGTAGTTTCTCATGATGAACAAGGAGAAGGATTGGACCATCATCACACATTGACAAGGACGAAGACGACGACGACGACTGTAACGGAGTACGGCGCGCTCATTGAAGCCGCGCTCGTTCGAACGCCGCAAACGACGGAGAATTTCGTCGTCGCCAAAGCGTTATTTGCGTATGCCTTTCAAGACGATGAAGCGTCAAGAGACGAGAGATGTTATCGCGTCCTCGATGCATTCAGTGGATGTATTCGAGGGTACGCGTTCGATGAACCAAAGCAGCTCGTTGCAATCTGGGTGCAAATTGCCGCCTTTGCGAGAGGTTTGAAATCGAAGGGTAATACTCTATCCACGGCTTGGGAAGATGCCAGGAAATTGAGAGACGAAACGTTCACGTTTGCATTTGAAGCCGTGTGGCGCCGCGCGATATATCCATCCATCATATGCACGAGCGACGACGAGTGTGCGGCGGAATCTTTGGAGAAACGAAACGAACTGAAAGGTGACGGCGAACGCGTTGGGCGCGTCTACGTTCGCGCTTTAGATCGCGCTGCGATTCTTCTAGGTGTCAACGAAACTGCGAACCAAGCGCCCGGCTTGGCCGTCGCCAACGCGGCCATCTTACGAGCGATACTTTCTCGGTTAGATAACGCATTAGTTGGAACCGTTTTATCGATGGAGGATAATACTAGCGATATCGTCGATCACATCGAAGATATTGCTAATCTTGTCCCGGGAGAAGGCGTCGTGAGCTTCTCCGCCGGAGCTCACTTGAAACAGTGCGTCTCGCTCGTCTCTCGATGGTCGGAATCCATAGGCGGCATGTCAACCTCCAACAACGCAACACCATTCGTCGCGCTTTCAAACAGTCGATGCTTAGCGGACGCAATGATGGTCCCAAGAGTCAACTTAATGGATGAATCAGTCCGCTCGGGCATCCAAGGTCAACTCACGAACGTCATGATTAGCAAAATTCTCGAAAAACGAGTCAAGTGCGAATTGGACGACGACCGCGTGGACCCGAACACGGCTGCCGCCATCGCCGAGTGCGTCATTCGCTTGAGCAAAGAAGACGCAGAAGAGGCATCAAAGAAGACAAAAACACCAACAACAATAAACGCCTCTTCCTTCTTAGACTTTAACGCGGACAAAATTGGTGCCGATCAAGTCTGGGACGAGCGTCAGTTTCTCGACAACGAATCCCGAGACGCGCTCGAGCGCGCCAAGGCGTCCTCCTTCCCGCAGTTTGCCGATCGTTGGGAACATCACCCTCGACAACAACAGAAAGAAGAAGAACAAAATATGTAAAATAAAGAATATCCGCAGCAGGTAGAAGAAGAGAATTGAATGTAGTCTCTACAACGTGTATTTTAATGAAAAGCAGAAGAGCAATAGAAGATTACTTGTTAATGTTTCGAGCCAAAAAATTTTCGCCAAAGTGCTTCCAAAGTGTGCAACGTGCAAAGCGCTTTGAGATTTCACCACCTCTTCTTGATTGTTTTCATCTTCGCGTTCTCGGACAAATTTTTCCACCACAAACTGACTCTTGGGAAACAATCATCTTTAAAGATGAGAACGAAGAAGAACAAAAACGACGAGGACGACGAGGACCCTTTACACCACCTCCCGCGCAAAAACTGGGAAAAAGAATGCGCGCTGAAATGCGCCAACATCAGTCGCACTGGCTTTTTCGTCAACGCGCAAGGGATGAAGATACGATGGTACGCGTGGGATGCCTCCGGGAATGATGGTCACGGGAAAAAGTCGTCGTCGGGAAAAGACGCGAAGAAGAACGACGGACGACGAAGAGCAACTCTTGAAGAAAAGGACGAAGAAAAAGACCAAGAAGAGATCGGCGTGGTGGTCGGCGCGCACGGTTCCGGAGCGCACGCCATGTTTGAATGGCTCCAAAGCATTCCAATGGGAACCGCGAGGAACAAGTATAAAAACAGCTGGATTGAAAGGATGAATAAAAAAGGCTTGACGTTTTACGCGTACGATCACCAAGGCGCCGGGAGGAGCGAATGCGCGAGAGGATGCAAGGCATTTATGGAACGCGAATCGGATTTAGTGGAGGATAACGCGCGGTTTATGAAACTCGTGCGAGAGAGGCACTGTGGTGGGAATACTAATGATGACGAGAATAGTCGCGGGAGTCGAAGAGGGAGTCGAAATAGAAACAGGAGTAGCGGCAACAACGGCGGTAGAAAGAAAGTGTTCGCGGCGGGCGTTTCGATGGGCGGGTTCGTCGTCGCGAGAGCGGCTATCGAGTATCCGAAGTTATTCGCCGACGGTGTCGTCTTATTGTGTCCAATGCTCTCGTTGAAAAAGCTGCGCGCGCACGCGTCGAACAGAATCATTCTGAAAATCTTGCGCTTGTTCTCTATATTCACCCCGACGTGGGAAGTTGGCAAAACACACAAGAACAAAAAGTTCCCGCTCTGTCAAAAAGAGATGGAAGACGACCCGCTCTGTTGGCCGTCCGGCGTCCGAGGCATTCGCGCGAGAACGGCATCGGAGTGCTATTTCGGCACCGTGCGCTTAAACAAACCGGGCGTGATTGAAAAGTTCACCCATCCGGTCATCGCGTTCCACTCGGTCGAAGATCCCATGACGGATTGTTCCGGTTCCGAGTCCTTCATCGAGCGCTGTCGATCGAAGGATAAAACCATGGTCAGATGTTCAGATGTGTTTCATCACGACTTGCAGCACGTCAGCGGGTACAGCGAACCAATCGGGGAGGAGATGTGCCAGTGGCTCACGAAACGAGCGTAAGCGAGCGAGCGATGACATATATATCATCACATATAAAAACATGTATAAAAAGAGAGCAGAAAAGAGAAAGAGTTACGCTGAAAAGTGTGACTGTGGTGATATCGCGCGATAAGTGATACCAACGCGCTTTTCCCACCATCCTTCGTCCACTCTTACGCGAGTAGTCTTCTCGTAAACTTGTACGTTAAATAGCCTGAGAGAGAAAAGTTCTTCACACAAAACAACTTCCTCATTTAAAAAGAAACAACGCACCACCCGCTCTCTGATACTCCTATTCCACTAAATCTACTGCACTACTCGCAAAACACAGAGAGAGAGAATCTTTTCTTTGAAATGAACACCCCCAAGAAATCGACTTTAAGTTAACGCGGCGCAAACTTCGAGAGAGAATGATGAAACAATCTTCTCTCGTCGTCCTCTTCTTCGTCGCATCATCCATTCGCGGAGGAAAAGGAGGAGTTTCCTCCGTCGTCGGCGCCTTTACCGAGGAAGGTTTCAGCGCTGAAAGAAGAAGAAATGACTGTCCGGCTTTGTTCTCTGGAAAAGACTGCGCGGAGGTGAAAACAAACCTCCCGGAATGCGTCGACGGTGCGTTCAGTGGAAAGTGGATTTCTTTACACCGAAACGTGGTGCGTTTTCCCCGAAAAGGAGGAGAAAGGGACGAAGACGAAGACGATACAACAAACGCTCATCGGGACGATTATTGGCGCGTACCGCGAGATATATCGGAAGAAACTGCGTCGTTACTTCCCGAATTTGATATATTTGGGATGATGGGTAATAGAGGGAACGACGAGTATTCTTCGAACGCCGCGGCGGCGAAGTCGTGCGCGCTCGTCTCCTCCGCCGCGAGCATGTCGGGGTCAAATCTCGGCGCGGAAATCGACGCGAACGAAATTGTGGTCAGATTTAATAACGCGCCTACGAGAGGTTACGAAGCGGATGTAGGAAAGAAGACGAGTTTTAGATTAACGAATGCCATCTTTCAAGGGTATCGAGAGAATGAAAAAGAGGCGGTGTTGGCGAAGTGGTGCCAAGATAAAACGAGTCGCGTGCCGTGCGGTAAACGCGAAGAGTTGACGAGTTTGATCGAGAAGAAAGCGCACGCCGTGAATCCGCGTTTTTTTGAGTACGCTAATTCGAGGTACTTTCGAAAGCTCGGCGAACATCCGACGAGTGGCATGGTGATGACGTTGCTCCTGTTGCATAGGTGCGAAAAAGTCACGCTGTACGGATTCAACGGGAAAGGATTGAAAAGCTGGTATTACCCGAAGAGAAGGAAAGGTGAAAATGCACCGAAAAAGAAAGAATGGTTGAGAGAGAAGCGGTGGACGGTAGAAGGAGATTGGATATACGCCAAATCATCGAGTGTGGACGGTATGGAAGACGATCCACTCAATCGAGAAAGAGAAGACTTATTAAAGGAGAACGCAGAAGAAAGTACCGGAAGGCGACGAAGAAGACAAGGAAGACGACGCCGCTTCTCTCGCTCGGCATCCTCGTCGTCGTCGTCGTCCTGGAACCTCCTCTCGTCTCGCGTTCAGCGCAGAGGTCTTCTCCTCGCGAATACCAACAATAGAACGAGCGCTTTGCCTCTCCATCCTCCCGTTCTTTTCCATAGTAGTAGTAGTAGTAGTAGCAGTAGCAGCAGCAGCAGCAGCAGCAGCAGCAGCAAACACCGAAGATCGCTTCTTCACGCCGTCAAAGCCGAGAGAGCGTGCGTGCGCCAGTTGCAGTTACTCGGGTTCCTCGAAGAAGTTGACGCGTAAAAGAAAGAAGGAGTCCGTCGCTCGCAGTAGTATTCGTAGGCTTGAAATTTAATTGAACACTTCGTATTTTGTGAAAACGAAAAGAAAAAACGATCCGATTGCCTGAAATTCCCCCCACTTCCGAAACGACTGTTTGAACGACTTCAGTCGGGATGCTGAAAAAAATAGCCATCGTCACCTTCCTGGGCGCGTCATCTTTGTCCGTCAGTTTTGCGGTCAAGTGCGTTTGATTTATCTCTCTCTTTTAATCTCTCTTTCTCTCTCTGTTGAATGTTAACTGACGCGTCCTCTCTTTTTCCAATTCTCAATCTGAACAACAACAACAACAACAACAACGAAAGGTTTGGCCAAGACTTCACGGACACGTTGCACAAGAAACCAGAACCTTTGAAAGGGCCAGAATACTCTCTGGACGACGAAGGGACCGGGTTGTTCGCGGACGACATGCAGCAAGCGTTCGCGCACGGATTAAAATGCGGGTCGTGCTTTGCCGTCCTGAACGAGACGAAGGCGATGTTGACCGATATCGTGGACGAGGCCGGAGGAGAGGCAGAGTTGACGAGAGAGGAGATGCTGGAGAAATTGTTGGAAAAAGTGGACGAGGAGGATTTGTGCGATCAGATTGGAGATTTGTACGGGGTGAAGTACGAGGACGGGTTGACGTTGGCGAAAGCGTGGGAGGCGCTCGTGACGGCGTCCACGCTGAAGGAGAAAGTGGCGAAAATGGATTTGGACGAGAAGGGTGTGGTTTTGGAGAAAGGGGACATTGGGAAGCACGCGGTGTCGGTGTTGGCGGACGCGAAAGCAGACATAGATTTTGGTTTGCACGGGAGAGATACGGTCGTGAAATTGGAGCAAGGCGAGGCGGAGAGGTTCGATCCGAAACGATTGGCGTATCACATTTTCAAGCAACACGAAATCGAGGACAAGGATTTGTCGGAGACGGATAAAGAGAGCATACGAGAGAGAATTTTAACGCACCCATGGTCGAGTAAGAGGCAAAAGATGGTTTTGGGAATGCAATGCGAAGCGATGGTGAAGAGCGCAACCTTTAAGGATTTGGTGAAATTATTTATGATTGACGAGGAACACCACTGGCAAAGTTGTGCCGGGACCGGCGCGTGTAAATGGAAGGGTGGAATTAAAAAAGGAGATAAGATGGTGAATGAGCACGAAGAGTTGTAAAATGATCTTGAGTTTTTGGCATTTGTATTATACTTACTTTCATTTACGCGCGCGGTACAGTTGTGTGTAGTAAATCAAACTTTTAGGAACCGCCACTCGTAGTTGTCGTACTTTTGCATCGTCACGATAATCTTCCTCTTCTTAGCGATGACTCTCACCGACGATCGTTCGGGGATGATTGTTTTGTACAGTTTCGGTAAAAACACTCTGTACGCCGCTTTGGCGCACACGGCCCAAATCTCAAACGCTTGCTCCAAAAATTCCATCTTGACGTTTTCGCTCTCGATTTCCTCAGGGAGAATGAAATAGATTTTGATTTGAAAGCCAACGTCTTCGTGAGAGTAGGTTTGTAAATCAACTCGCGGAAAGTTTTCGGACGGGAGGAGTTTGGAGACGTCGATGATGCCTACTTTTTGCCACAACACGGGAGGGAGTCGCGGATTTTTCGTCTTGTTGGTTTTCGATTTGTCCTCCAAGGCGTTACCCCTGTTTGACGTATTTGAAGACGACGACGTTTTCGTCTCTGATGCGAATGTTCCTAAACCAATCTCGTACGGGTTCTCCGCGCGCATGCGAAGGCTTTGTTTGTGCGACTTCGTGGAAATTGCGGCTATTTCTTTGCCGGCCGTTCGATATCCCAAAGGCAGAGACGCCACCGGGCCGACGTGTAACGCCGCGTATCGTCCAGAGACGAAAACTGAGCATCTAGGCCATCGACACCCGCCGTTCTCTTTCGCCAACGATACTTCGTTTGGTCCGTGTTCCCATGAAAGAGTCGTTTCTACCAGTTGCGGGTACCCGTTGAAATAATTTGTTTTCGGAAGCGAAGAGAGTAAAGGATCGGTCTCGGCGGAAACGGCGGTACCGCAGCAAATCCAAATTTCGTCAAACACTTCAACTTTGGGCGTTTCGTACGATGCTTCCTCGACTGTCATCGTCAGCGCTTGAAAATCATCGTCGGCGTCGACTTCGATGATACTTCGCGCGCGTTTCGCCGCGAGCTCGCGTTTGGCTACATCGGTCAGTTCAATCGTCGTCGAAAACTGCTTCGTCGTTTCGTCAAAACCGATGGACACGATCTCCGCTTTCTCTACCACACGAAGTTTTGGTGAACTACCATCTTGTTCTGTCGATGAGTTTGTCTTCTTCTTTGATGCGACTGAGTGACTTCTCACGCGCTTCCACGTGACGCCGTTAATCGTTCCTCGCTCTTTCGCTTCGTCTATGAATTTTGCGCGGTACTCAAAATCTTCACTATTATGGAACGGTCGCAACCCTTTCGCACCGAAGTACTCCGGTTCCACATCAAATTCGCGTCTTTTGAAACTTTTTCTGTGTAAAAGCGTGACGGATTTCACTTTACTATTTTCCACCGCCCCAGATGCAACCGATGCCGCCGTCATGCCTCCGCCTACTACCAAAAGCCGCTTCCCGTTTAACGTACCCTCGGGATCGAATACGTTTATCGACTCGCTCGTTTTCACCCGACCATTCCCACCATCTTTCACCACGAACGCTTTCAATTTTTCCGGAACCACCGCTTCTTTCCTCGCGCAACACACCACTACCTGCGCGGCGACGAACTCTTTCCCTCCTTTCGTCTTCGCCAACATCCCGCCTCGTTTCAACAACCCGGGATATTCTTCGTTCGCTTCAATCTTCCTCAAATTCACCACCTCATCCTTTACAATCGGCACGGATTTTAAAATTCCACCGTCCTCGTCGCTTTGAATCTTTCTCGCGCACGCCTCGGCGTACAACCTCGTCGACGGCAACGGCGCGAACTTATCGCTCCCAGAATACGCCAGTTCCTCGTTCCTCCCCATCCTCGAGCTGAAACTTTGAATCGCCATGGAACTGCTCGCAAACGGCGTTTGCGTGATTGGATACCGCACGTGCGTCATTCCCAAACGCATCGCGCGGTCGGCCCAAGATTCCAACCACCCTCCGAATCGATCGACGACGAGCGACGCGCGTTGACGGTTTTCCGGGAAATGCGTCAACGTTGTCAATCCGCATCTCCCGGCGCCGATAAAAAGTAACGGGTAAATGTCTTTTTTCGCCATCTCCGACGGCGAGATGAAGAATTCCTTCTCGTCGAGCACGCCGTCGTTGGAAGAAGACGTCATTTCCTTTCCTCGCGTTCGTCTTCTCGTGACCTTCAGAATCCACGCGCTCCGGCTTTAATATGCAGACAAGACGTGTCTGATCTCGGTCTTTCTTTTTTTTTTCCGAGTGGTAATTTTGAGCGTTTTTTTTTTCATTTTTTTCGAAAAAAAAACAAGAAGGCGAAAAGACACCCAAGAGAAGAAGAAGAAGAAGAAGAAGAAAAGGTTGGAATTAGTAATAGTAACGCTCTACTACGTAAACGTGTGTTCTCTTTCAATTAAAACAACTTTATCTCTTCAAAATCTATTATGTATACAAATAATGCGAAAGAAGTCTTCTTCGTCTTCTGACTCTGACTTTTTTTCTCTCTCTGTTTGTTACCGTCTTGTATATTTCATCTCTCGTCGTCGACGGGGATGTGGCTATGATGTAAGTACTATCTCTCTCTTTTATTATAATATTATTAAACAGACTTGATCTTCAACCCCAAACCTTTCATGGTCATTTGATACTTCGCCGGATCTTCCTTCGCCAAATACTTTTGTAATCGCCCTCGTCGGCCGAGGAGTAACTTCAATCCTCGTTGCGTGGAGTAATCTTTTCTGTTCGCTTGCAAGTGCGCGGTTAAGTTTTCGATGCGCTTGGTGAGCAAAGCGATTTGTAAGGAGGCGGAGCCGGTGTCGGAATCGGACTTTTTAAACTCGGAGAGCTCGTCTAAAGATGGGCGCGAGTTTTGGTCCTTGGCGACGATTCGCATTTGAATTTTACGGCCGGAGGAGGAGCGGACTGTTTCGTTTGATGATGATACGTGTGATAATAAAGAGAGAGAAATGGGTCAGCGGCGGTCACCACATTGGGCGGCTTTTTGAGGTTTTCATCAATGCGCGCGATGATTTGCAACTTTCCATCTGTATTCGCGAACGAGTATAAGCGCATCAAACCCGAGAAATGCGCGGTTGAATACCCTCCGCGTGCGTTTCGAGCGTTTTCGCGTCCGTTTTTTTCTCCATCGATCGTTTCGGCGTCGACAGGAGATGACACCGACACGCACGCCACACCGTGGATAAAATTCACACATTTAAGCGGCGATTCGTGTAAAAAAAAAGAGAGAAAGACACGCGACGCGACGTACCGGAAGAGGAGGAAACCTGCGCGGTGCCTCGAACAAAGCTACTTTGTTGCGTTAAAGAAAACATTGTTTAAGTCTGTGGTCGAAAAGCTGTGTTAGAGAAATGTCGCGTGAAGCGTTTATTTGTGTCGTCTTTCCCTCTCTCTGCTCCTTTCGTCATTTTTTGTTTCCTCTGCTGCAGAAGCTTTCAAATTTCTCATTTTTTGCAAAAACGTTTTTTTTTATTTCAAACAAAAATAAAACACATTTGCATTGACTACGCGTATTCTCATCGATCGAGCGATCACCAGAAGAGGAGCTCTTCGCGAGAAGTGCGCCGCTGAAGGGATTTTATGATGCTCAGTCCAGTGAGCAAAGTGATGGAAAGCCAAAGAGAGGAAGGAAGGAGGAGAAGGAGCTCTAATTTGTTATCCAATCATTTGATCATCGATCCAATAAAAGACGGTTCGGACGGGGTGAAACACGCGAAACATTTCTACATCGATCCCAGGAGTAGATTTAAGTTTTGGTGGGATATCGCGAGTTTAGTGTGCGTCGGGCATTCGGTGATTGTTTTGCCGTTCGCGCTGGCGTTTTTACGGTTCGATGGTAACGAGGAAGAGCCGATGTATTCCAAGGCGATCGGGTACTTGGTCGATGCGTTCTTTTGGCTGGATATTGGCGTCACATTTTATTCGGCGTATTATTCGAGCCGAGGGACGTTAGTGGTTGATTTGAAAGTTATTCGCGAGCGGTACGTCAAGACGTGGTTGGCGTTAGACTTGTTGGCGGTTTTTCCGTTCGAGATTTTCGTTCAGTCGCAATACTCGAAGAACGCGGATTTGTTAAAACTGACCCGGTTGTTGAGGATCACGAGAGTGGTGAAGTTTTTAGAGTCGAGGTACCAAAGTTTGCACGAATCCGCGAGATTATATTCTCGCGCGGTGAAAATACTCCTATTTTTGGTGCTTTCGTTTCATTGGATCGCGTGCGCGTGGCACAGTTTGTGTTCAGCAGGGGCCGACGAGTGGTGCACGTCAGAATACGTGCACTTGCACGATAACGTGTCGTTGCAATACGCGGCGGCGTACCAAGTCGCTACTTCGATTATCCTTTCCAACGACCCTTTGCAGACGTATTCTTCACCGAGGAGCATCCTACCCTTAAAAGCGCTATCATTTCTATCGTTTGTGATGCTCGTGGGTGGAGTATTATACATAATCGCCTTAGGTAACGTCGCCGCTCTCGTCACGGCCATAGTAGGGCGCGACGAGTTACAAAGGAGAAAATTTGAGCAAGTTTCCGATCTCAGCGAACACTTGAAACTACCGAGCGCGTTACATTTGAAAATGCAATCGTATTTTGAATACGTCTGGTTGAGACACCGTGACATCGACGAGAAACGCGTCGAGCATTTCTGCGCGACTTTGCCGATCAGCTTACGAAACGAAGTCTTATTGCACGCCCACCGAGAAATGTTACGAAACGTGCCCATATTTCGAGGTTTGAACGCAAAATGTATCTTAGAAATTGTGAACCGAATGACCTCTATCGTGGCATTACCCGGCGATCTGATCGTGACGAAAGGTCATTCGAACTCTGGGTTATATTTCATTTCCCGCGGCGAAGTAGAAGTCATCGTACACGACGACGAAGAAGAAGAAGAACAAGAAGCGCGGAAAACCGCCCGCCCAAAAATCCTCCTCACCGAAGGCGACTACTTTGGCGAAGTCTCGTTACTCTTAAACACACCAGCCACGGCCACGATCGAAGCCGTTTCCTTCTGCGACTTATTCTACATCTCCGGGCACGATTTCCATCTGGTCAAGGAAGCCAGCCCGGACATCGAGCAAACGTTACGCGACGCCAGAAAAGAGTTGTTCGACAAAGTCGGCGACAAAGCCGGCGACAAAGAAACAAAGAAAGAGAAGAAGATGGAGGAGGAGGAGAAGCAGAATGCGGCGTCCTCATCGTCATCAATAATGTCCGCTAAAAAAAGCTTGCGATTTTAACATCGCATCATCATCATCATCGATGACATCATCATCCCCGCCTGCGCTAAAAGTGCTCAGATCTCACACGTGTGATCTCGGGAAAACCTCAAAAACTCTTCAGAAAAGAAACACAAAATGAACGCCGTTTCTGTACTCATCAACCAGCGCGTACAGTTCTCCCGTTTGGCCTCGACGTCGTCGTCCGAGTCGTCGTCGTCACCGAGACGGTCGTCGTTTACGGAGCCTTTCGCGGCGACACAACGACGTACCATCGCGAATGCGAGAAGCAATCGCGCTCGAATTCCATCGAATCGATTTCCGACGGCGGCGGTTACTCGCAGTCACGGGGAGACGATTCAGACGACGAGACGAACGAGAAAGCATCATCAAACGACTCGAAGCTTTCATCACGATCGCGCGGAAAAGACGGCGGTGGTCACTCGCGCGTCTGCGGCGACAACTGGGGGCGGGGCGACCGCGCACACCATTCCCGGTCTCTCGTCCATGAAGAAAGCAGATTTGGTACGACATTGCGAGGAGCGAGGTTTGGACGCGAGCGGGACGGTTCCGGTGTTGAGGCAAAGATTGAGAGACGCGGTCTCATCGTCGTCGTCGTCGCAACCTTTTGTGGAGGTGGTTGCGGAGGAGGAGAGCGAAACTTTGATCGTCGCGGCTGCTGTTGTCGCGGACGACGTGGAAACCGATGATGGCGATACTACGGAGAGCTACTACGTAAAGGAAACGTTCTCGATTAAAGACGAAGCGGACGACGAGGAGCAAGACGCGATCGCGCGAAGACTCGCGTTGGAATTAGCCGTGGAGGCGGATAACACGAGAGCGAAGGATATTCGCGTGTTACAAGTGTCTAAGGCGGTTTTTTACGCCAGGTACGTCGTTTTAGCGACGGCGTTTAATCGTCCTCAAATGTCCGCGGTGACGTCGAAGATGAGAGACGTGGCGAATAACGAGACGTACAACTTGCAAGTTCCGAAAAATGTCGCCAATCAGGGCGATTGGACGTGTTTAGATTGTCGTGATGTCGTTGCGCACGTGTTTACACCAACCGCTCGAACGTATTACGATTTAGAAGATTTGTACCGAGAATGCGACGAGGTGGAGCTGCCTTTCGAGACCGAACGAATGCACGACGGATTTTACGCCGAGGAAGATCAAGAGTTTTACGAGGACGAAGAGGAAGACGAATCGGAGGATTTAGAGGACGAGTTTGAAATCAATTGGAGCGAGAAGTAAAGGTTGAAGGTTGTTACATGTATATGAAACACGTGCTTACAAGTACACAACACCGCGTTTTAAAGCTTTATATTATTACATTACAGATAATACTACATCATACACATACACGCGCGCAGTCGCTTCCCTCGAGCCAACCCGACGAGGACGCCGACGACTCAGACAAAAATCGCAGAGTCACCCGAACGTGTTCAACGCGCCTTGCTCCTTCTCTAAAAACGTCCTTAACCTTCTCGCGCTCGCCCTCGCCGCCGCCGGCGCCCAACTCTCCCCTTCCTCTTCCTCCCTCGCGTTCCCGAGTTCTCTCCAACTCCCTTCTCGCTCGTCGTCGACGTCGCTAAATCCCATCGGGACGTTCTCTAATAAACACGTCCCTCCTTTCTCTCCTTGGTGTTGTCGTTGTAACTCTTTCGCCTCTTTGACTATACCGTCTTTAAATCTCGTTGCGTCCGATTCGTCGACCGCGCCTCTTTCCGTGGTTATAAAAAGGACTCCAGCGAGACGTGTCTCCTCTTTGGCGATGCGAAGGAGTTGCCTCGCGATCGTCGCGTACGGTGGGACCCCGGTCTTTGAACGCACCATGGCGACTGATTTCGGTTCCGCCAAGGAGTGGTAAAAGTTCGTTTGGGATATGCCGATGCAATTCGCGCACGGTTTATCGTTCTCGTTCTCGTTCGTCTTCTTCGCGTCGTCAACGTCACGCGAACGAAAATCGGACGGAATGGCAACCGCGACGATTCTTTTGTACGGTTCGCACTCGGCGAGGAATTTCGAGCCGGATAATAACTTTCCACCAACGAGTGTGCTTTTGAGACGCGTTCCGCTGCCTTGCACGGCGGCGCGGAGGAGGTATCGCGTGCGTTTCATGTCTCTGATTTGTTTGGATAAAATGGAGACATGTCGTATCTTTTTGTGGGAAATGCGTCACTCGTCGTGTCGCGCGGAAACGATGCCGATCAAACGCCAGTTTCGAGGAGACAACAGAGGTGGTAAAGACTCCTCCTCCTCCTCCTCTCGAGAACGACACGGTTTTGGAAGGGGAGGAATTCTTGCCGTCCTCATCGCCGTCGTAATCTCCGAACACCAAAAGTGGACGAAACGAATGGAAAAACAACTCAAAGAGAAACTGAAACATCTGGAGGATCGACACAAGGCGGAGAGGAACGCGGTCGTGAGGTTACAACATCAGCTGAGACACAAAGTGCTCGACGCGACGAGCAGTTTTGGTGGTAATGGTAATGATGATGATGATGGTGATGAGAAGACGAGGAGTAAAACTTCTCAAAATTCGCCTCAACAGTTTGGACCGGCGATTGCGAGAGCGCAGTCGTGTTTTAGTCGCCGAGCGGGGACGCCGAGACAAGGCGGGTCGTTGGTCGCGTCCGCGCGGTGTCGGCTACATTTTGACGTGGAATTTGTCCCGAAAAGAAGCTTGGAAGGGTTAGAGGAGTATTCTCACGCGTGGGTGATTTACGTGTTTCACGCGAACACGAACGCGTGCGGGACGAAGAACGGAGGCGCGGTGAAAGCGTTGGTCTCCGTGCCGAGGTTGAACGGGGAGAAGCGAGGGTGTTTGTCCACTCGGACGCCACATCGACCGCGACCGGTCGGGTTGAGTTTAGGGAGAATTATTAGCGTCGATTGGGAGCGAGGGGAAGTGACGCTCGGCGGGATCGATTTAGTCGACGGGACGCCGGTTTTGGATATTAAACCGTACGTGCCGTGGTGCGATAGCGTGCCAGAGGCGACGGCACCGAAGTGGGTGACCAGAGCGATTGAAGGCGAGGAAGGAGGGGAACCGTTGGCGATTGGAGAGGTGAAACTCGCGAGTCCGGAGGAGGAGACGAGGGAGAAGGTGAAGCGGGCGTACGAGGAACGGTTTGAAATCGATTCGAAGAAAGGCGGGAAGAAGAGGCGACCTTTGTACGAAAACCCGGACGATTTCTTAGCGTTTGTGATGGATACGTTGCGATTAGACGTGCGAAGTACCAGGGAGAGGACGGCAAAAGTGGAGGAGAGGAAGTTTGATACGTATCGAGTCACTTTATGCGACGTGGAGGTGGCGTACGTGATTGGTAAAGAAGGCGACGGGGTGGTGACCATTGTCGACGCGGTGGCTGTAGAGCCGAGCGTTATTCCAGGGAGCGCGGATTTAGATCGACCGGCGATTACGAGGAACGATAACGATAAATATTTCAAAAAGTGAACAATACGATAGTATACTAGGTTAGATATTTAGTAGTGCTCGAATAAATTACAATAACATCGTGCTCGGGTCTTCCATGTACGATTTAAACGCGCCGAGCCATTTGGCGCCGTCCGCGCCATCTACGGCTCTGTGGTCGCAACTCAACGTCGCCGACATCACGTTCGTTTCTTTGTACATCCCTTCCTTCGTTTTTACGATCTCTTTCCTCGTCCCGCCGACGGCTAAAATGCCAGCTTGCGGTGGATTGACGATAGCCGCGAAGTGCTTGATGCCAAACATGCCGAGGTTGGAAACGGTAAACGTGCCGCCGGAGACGTCTTTACCTTGCAATTTTCCCATTTTCGCTTTTTCCGCTAAACTCTTCACTTCGCTCGAAATACCTCTCAATCCCAAGCAACACGCCGAACGCACGACGGGGACCATCAATCCTTTATCCGTTTGTACCGCCACGCACACGTCCGCGAGCTTGTATCGTCTCACGTGTGTCTCCATCCAACTCGAGTTGACTTCTGGCACCGCTCTCAGCGCCGCCGCCGACGCTTTGACTACGAAATCGTTCACGCTAATCTTTTTTGCGTCTTTTTCCTTCTCTAACAACGCGTTCATTCGCGCGCGGGTGGCATTCACCGCGTCCATGTTCACGTCCACGGTGAGATAAAAGTGCGGCACGGTTTGCTTCGATTCCGTGAGCCTCTTCGCGGTTATTTTCTTAATCGTAGAAACTGGCACCTCTTCGTATTCTGGAAAGTATATAGACGCGTCGAATTCTCCTGCAGATTGTTGTTGTTGTTGTTGTTGCGCGGAAGATTTCACGTTGGCCACGCCGCCGCTGGCGACGTACTCCAACACGTCTAAATTCGTGACTCTCCCGTTTGGACCTCTACCTCGAATCTTCGTATAATCCACGCCTTTTTCCAGCGCTGTCTTCCTCGCCAACGGCGAAATGAACACCCGAGTCTCGTTCGCACCCCTCGTCGCGAACGAAGACGAAGACGAAGACGTGCTCGCGCTCGCCGACGCCGCTACTCTCTCCTCCTCTTTTCTCGTCTCCTCCGCTTCGCTACCGCTATCGTTAAAACTACCGCCGCTATCATCACCTCCGCCTTTTCCTCCAACGTACTCCTTAAAGCTCGCCACATCTTTCTCATCCTCCACCATGACTAACAAAGGCGTCCCGACGTCGATATCTTCCCTCCCTGCTTCGATTAAAATTTTCGCCACGAATCCGTCCTCCATCGATTCCATCTCCATGGTTGCTTTGTCCGTTTGAATCTCCGCGAGAACGTCCCCGGCGGAAACTTTTTGCCCCTCAGAAACGAGCCACGAAGTCACGCCGCCTTTCGTCATCGTCGGCGATAACGCAGGCATGGTGATTTCCTGGAACGACGAAGGCAGATCCGAGGAATACTGTCTTCTGAGACATAGATTCGGACGATGATTTTGATGAAACGAAGACGATCGGACATCAAATCTCATCCTCTTTTCGAACGACAACAACGACGGAAAGGAGGAAAGTATTCGACTTTTTGTCGTCGTTTCCGTCGTCAACAAACTCGTCGTCGAAAGAGTGCTGCTCAGATTGCGTCGCGCTGTAATCCTCGCGATCTGTCGCCGCGAAGACGAAAAGAACATTGTATTTTTAAGTGTTTTTTGTAACGACTGCCAACCAATTTTCAGATCTCAAATGTACTTCTTTCTTATTACTAAAAAGCTACTAAGTGCGCGCGTATTTTTCTAGTGCTAAAATCGCTCTCTAATCAATACGAATCGCCTTCCTTTCTCTCGTTTTCCGCGGAGGTTTGAGTCGGTCTGGCGAAGCTGAATATTTGTGCTGCGAGGTTCTGCGATTCTCTCTGCGAGTGTTTTTGTTGGTTTCGATTAGACGTTTCGGAGGACTGCGAGCGTCCCGTTTTCATCGTCTCCTCCGACGCTTTGATCGAACCGAGAGGCATGATGAACCGCTCGCGATCGAGCTTTTCGGCGAGTTTTTTTGCTCGGAGTTGGTCTAAGGTGAGCGTTTTTGTTTCGCGGGAGTCGTCTTCGGTCTCGTCGGCGCGGTCTCCCTTTCCGCCTCGTTGGCCTCGGCCGCGACCTCCGCGGCCGCCTTTGTTTCGAAAGTCGTCGTCCTCTCGCGGCGGAGGAGGTCCCCGTGCGAGTTTGAGAATTTTGGAACGCTCTCTTTTCGCCAGGATTTCGTGTTGTTCTTTCTCTTTTTCTAGCGCGTTTGCGTTATTCTTCTCTTCGTCGTTCGATCCGCGCGCGTTTCCTGGTTTCGAGCTTCGTTGCTTTTGTTGTTGGTTCGATGCGGCGACAGGTAGTGGCTGAGAAGGTGTCGACGGTGCACCAGTGACTGCTCCTTTTTTCGGAGGAAGCCTCGGTTTCGCTCTCGATGGTTGCATCTCCTCTTCCTCTTGTTCTTCTTCGTCGTCGTCGTCGTCGTCGTCGTCCTCGCGCTCTCCCGCGCGACCGCGTCGTCGCTCCCTCTCCAACTCTTTCCTCGCCGCTCTTTCCCTCTCCTTTCTTTCCATCTTCTCTTTTCTCTCCGCCTCCTCTCTTTCCTTCCTCAATTCTTCCTCTTTAACTTTCCTCTCCTTCTCGAACTGTTTCCACGTCTCGTCGTCGAACGGCTGAAACTTTGGCGCTTTACCGACATCTCCCAAGGAAAACCCGTCGTCCGCGAACCGGCTCGCCGCTTTCATCCGCATCTTCTTCTCAAACTTCTCCTTCAATTTCTGGACTTGGCCGCCGAGAATTTGGAAATTCGCGTCGGTATCCGCGAAAACCACGTCTTCGTTCGTCCTCCCGAGAGCGGAACCCCCAGAAGTAGCCTCGTTCAGATCTTTCACCAAAACCTTCGTCCCCGGCGTCAACTGTCGTTCCCATCGAGCTCGCGCTCGCTCTACGCTCGACCATCCAAGTCTTTCCAGAATGACAATTTCCGAGTACCCATCCGTTGCGGTCACTTTCAACATCCTCCTACTATTCGTGCTCTTCTCTTTGTCCTCCTCAAAGTCGTCAAAATCTAACTCGTTCGCTTTCCTCTCGTCGTTCATTCGCGCTTGCGATACGTCTCTCGCGTCAACTATTTGCCACACGAATGGACCTTCCAAATTTCGTTTCAATCCTTCCTGCGTTTTATTCGGCACAGACGGTAAGAATACCCTCTCCTCGTCCTCTGAATCCTCGTCCTCTGAATCGTCCTCCTCTTCGATGAAATCCATGTTCAAAATCTCTCGTTCGATGGTGTCTCTCGATGTCGTAGTAAACGTCAGCTTTTTCTCATTCACTCGCCACCCGTTTTCTTTCAACCACTTTGAGGTCGCAGAAGAGGCTGACGCTTTCGAAGAGGAAGAATCTCTCGTCATCCTCGAAAAAGTTGTCGTCGTCGTCAGAGGCACTTCTTCTTTTTTATCACTCGCGGGCGAGAAACGTGATGGTCTTTTTGTGCATGTTTTCGCGCGATGAAGATTGTGCAGGCACATTCCATTTGCTTCACTTTTTTTCCCCAGAGCGGCTTCGAGGCACCATTTACAAAGACACAAAGAATAACACTCATGGGTGTTCGCGGAGGACAAACGACGACACGAAAACGAGCGAACAACAGAAGGTCCTCGGTAACACCGACGCCTCCGCCGAATTTAATGGCTCCAGATTCAGAGGACGAAGAGGAAGAGGAGGACGACGACACCACGACGGGGAAAACGACGAGAAGGAACACGACTTCGAATTTCAAAATTCATCGACGGAATGGTGGTCGACACGATGGAGGATCGATCTCAACCGCGGTCGTGTTAACGCTCGCGTGTGCGTTCGTTTGTGTTGGTGTGTTTCTGCAAGCGAGAACGGTCGCGAAAATCGTGAAAGGATCCGGAGTGAGAACAACAACAACAACTGAAAAGTTGGATCCGTCGATACGGAAAGAAGTGCAAAAGATGAAGGAAAAAATGGACGCGCAGCGCAAAGAGATGGACGAAATGAAGAAAGTGGTGAACGAGGAGAAACCGTGGGAATTTGCGATGCAAAAGACGATAGACGCGTGGTATGAAGGGAGCTCCGGGAAGAATAGTAAAGGATCCTGGTTTGGCGTGGGGAAGAGGAAACACGCTTCGTCGTCTTTGCCGCCGTGGCAGGCGAAGGACGAAGAGATTGAAAAAGCGACGGCGCAGTTGAGAGCGGATTTGGAGGATGTGAAGTTGAAGTTAGCGAAGAGAGGTGTGTCGACGCAAACGTCCATGCAAAGAATGACGCACATGTTGGCGGATAAGACGGGTTTGGTGGATTACGCCAGCGTGCACGGTGGCGGGAGGGTGTTGAAACACTCGACGTTGTCCCCGTTGGTCGCCAGAGAGAGCGGGCCGATTACCGCGATGTTGATGTACTTTCGAGGGAAAGCGGCGCCGCACCCGAAATCGAACGAGTGGTTGTTGAAACAAACGTTAGAACCGCCTGGGGATTGTTTAGCCTTAAGAGGTACGAAAGGGTACGTGGACGTGCATTTGAAGGAGAAAATTACGGTGTCTGGATTTACGTTGGAACACGTGAACCCGTTGATTGCGTATGATCGATCGTCCGCGCCGAAAGAGGTTAAATTAGGCGCGTGGGGGATGTTTCCGAAAGTTACGACGAGGAGTAGTACTAGCGATGATAGCAACGATAATACCAACAATGACTACGTTGATGTTAAGAAAATGTCGTGGAGATACGAGGAGTTTGGAAACTTTACGTTTGACCCGACTCACGCGGACGGCGTGACGACGTTCACGTTTAGCGAGGACAAGATAGTCGGCACGACCGATCGCGTGCGCTTCTCCGTGGACTCTAACCACGGTAACACGAAGTGGACGTGCGTGTATAGATTGAGAGTCCACGGAAGCAAGAACAAATGATGATAATATAATAACATTTTTTAATAATACGAAAGTATTTAATAATACGAAAGTATTGTATATGCTCTTAATTATGTAAATCGTCGTCATCATTACAGACTATACGCGTGCTATGTAAACGTTTGTTTCTCTCTCGTAAATATGTATATATAAAGATGTCTAAAGTACAAAAAATCCTCCTCTTCTTCTTCTTCTTCTTCTTCTTCTCTTCTTACGTTTAAAACAGAGCGGTCTTCTTCATTATGCGAAAGAACTCTTCCTCGTTCACCTCCCCGTCTCCATCTCTGTCCGCCTCTTCGATCATCTCTTGCAACTCCTCGTCCGTCATCGTCTCCCCTAACTCCTTCGCCACCCTCTTCAAATTCTTGAACGAAATCTTCCCGGTATCGTCGTCGTCGAACAGTCTAAACGCCTTCAATATTTCCTCCTTGCCGTCTCGCTCGCCCATCTTCGCCGTCATCAGTTTTAAAAAGTCCTCGAACGTAATCGTCCCCGATCCGTCTTTATCCACCTCGTGCATCATTTTCGCGATTTCCTCTTTCTTCGGTTCAAATCCTAACGCTCGCATGGAGACTTTCAACTCCTTCGCGTCGATCGTTCCCGAGCCGTCCGTGTCGAATAAATCAAACGCCTCGCGGATTTCCTGTTTTTGCTCTTCGGTTAATCCTGTCGAGGATGAAGATGAAGTGGTGCCTTTTTTCGCCTTTAATAGAGAGAGAACGTTTTGGGGTCAGTATATAATACACACAAACAAACATAAACGCAATCAATCGCTCGTCCGTTTTATCTTTCGCGCGCGACACAAACACACGCACAAAAGACATCACATTTTAAAAATTGACGGGGAAGAACGAGCCGAAGAAAAAGTCCGTTGACTCTCTTCCCCGATTTATAAGAAAATCTTCAATCACGCGAGAAAGAAGAGAGAGAGAGAGAGAGAGAGATGAACGCAACAAAAACGAAAAGAATAAAAAGAACAACACTTGCATCGTCGTCGTCTTTTCTATCGTCGTCCTCGCAAAACTTACCATGATGATGGTCTTTTACGTGTGTGTGTGTATTCAGAGGCGCGCGAAGCAAACGAAAGAGGTTGAGATTTTGAGTCTTCTCTGGAGTGAGAAAAATTTTCTTTTTTTTGTGAAGAGAGACGAAGAGACGAAAAAAAACATCAAAAATGGCAGCCAAAACGAAAAAAATTCAAAAATTTTGGCTCTTTTTGCTCTTTTCACGTTCCACGTTCACACGCACATACATTTCTCTAAAAATCTCTTTGTGTTTTGTGAGGTGATTTTATACATAGCGCACACAAAAACACGCGGAACAGAAGAGAGAAGTTTGAGAGAGAAGTTTGAGAGGGAGAGAGGAACTTGTTGGCGTTTTTTTTTATCTTCTTCTGTTGCTGTGCTTTTGTTGTGTCGTTTGGACGGAGAAAGAGAGCGCGTAATTTTGAATTTTCGTTCGTTCGTTCGTTGTTTCCCCATTGCATCATCATCATCTCGAGACGAGACGAGAGAACGACACTGTTATTAACAACAACAACTCGAGAGAAAGAGAGAAAGAATAAAAGAGATTTGCGGGTTTGGGCGCGCGTTTTTGTCGATTTCTTCTGCCGCGCATCACTTTCATCATCGATAGAAGAAGAAGAAGAAGAAGAAGAAGAAGAAACATCTAAAAAAAATGCCACCGAAGAAGACCACCACCACGGGAGGAGGAGGAGGAGGAGAAAGAGGACAAATAGGAGGAGGAGACGCGAACTTGAAGCAAAAGTCACCGGCGGAATTTTTCCAAGACAACAAAGGCATCGCCGGGTTTGAAAACGCGGGGAAATCTTTATACACGACGTTGAGAGAATTCATCGAAAACGCGTTAGACGCGGCGGAGCACATCGGGGTTCTGCCGCAAGTGGACGTGTTAGTGGAAGAGGTGACGCTGACGCAGTACGAGACGATGATTGGATTGGACGCGCACGTGAGGAAAGACGATACTTTATACGACGATTTTGAGACGGAAAAGGCGAGAGCGAAACGGTTGGAGAGAGAAGCGAAGGTGGAGATGCAACTCGAGAAGGCGGCGGCGGCGAATGCGAACAAAGGGAAGAAAGGAGGCGGTCGCGGGAACGCGAACTCCTCGAAAGGCGAAGAGAAGAAGTCGTATTTTAAAATCACCGTGAAAGATAACGGGAAAGGTATGGAACACAGCGACATACCGAACATGTTGGGGCGAGTATTGTCTGGGACGAAGTACGGGGTGAGACAAACGCGAGGGAAGTTTGGTTTAGGATCTAAGATGGCGTTGATTTGGTCGAAGCAAACGACCGGGTTGCCGATTCGAGTGAGGAGCGCGCAGCCGGGGCAGAATTTCGTCTCGGAATACGTATTGGATATCGACATCGAGAAGAACGCCCCGAACGTGCACAAAGAGGAGAAGAAACCAAACACGACGAAATGGCACGGCGCGGAGTTGTCCGTAACGATTGAGGGAAATTGGACGAGTCATCGACAGTACGTGTTGGCGTATTTGAGACAATTGGCGATTGTGACCCCGTACGCGGCGCTTGGGTTTCGGTACATCTCTTCGCACGCGGCTGGGAGCGCTGCGGCTAGGAATCAAGACATTCAGTTACACTTTGCGAGAAGAGCGGAGGTTATGCCGCCGTTACCGAGAGCGACAAAGTATCACCCGAGCGCGGCGAAAGAGAATCAGTTGTTGGTGAAAGATTTGTTGTCGAATACGAGAGAGAAGACTTTGAGTGGTTTTTTCAACAAAGAGTTTACGTGCATCAACCGCGAGCACGCGAACCGATTGTCGAGAGAATTAGGGGCGGGATTTTCCGCCAGCATGCACCCGAAGAACGTTTCGGACAAGCAAGGCGCGAGAATTCAACAGCTGTTAGCGTCGGCGAGATTTTCAGATCCAAGCGGAGAGTGTTTATCCCCCGCGGGGGAGTATAACTTACGTTTAGGGGTCATGAAAGAACTCGGCCCGGATTGGATCGCGTCGTACGCGTCTCCAGCTTTGGCGTGTGGAGGCCATCCTTTGATTGTGGAAGCGTGCGTGAGTTTAGGTGGAAGAGACGTGAAACCCGGGTTCAACGTCTTTCGATTTGCCAACCGAATTCCGTTGTTGTTCGAAGGCGGCGCCGACGTGGCGACGAGGTGCGTACAACGTTTGAATTGGACGACGTATAAGATCGACAAGAACAACGACAAGATTGGCGTGTTCGTTTCCATAGTATCCACGAAAATTCCATTCAAAGGTACGTCTAAAGAATACATTGGAGACGAAAACGCGGAAATTGCCGAGGCAGTGGATAAAGCTATCAAACAGTGCGCGGCGCAGCTGCGAGGTAAAATCGTTCGCGCGCAAGCGTTGAAAGATCGACGCGCGAGGAAGAAGGCGTTGACGAAATACGTGCCGGATTGTTGTAACGCGATTTTTACCATGATAGCGTCCGCTGCGGATGCGGACACGTTACCTCACGAAAGAGCGAGGAATTACGACGAGAAAGAAATGTTATGGCCGGTGGATGTTCAGTGGGAGGAGGAAGCGACGCAAAAAGCGCGAACGCGAGAGATCACGGCGGAAATTTTACAAAAACGTTTAGAAGAGTGCGTGGAAAAGATCGATAACGAAGAAGCTTTGGAATTTTCCATGCAACAAAACAAAGACGGGTTAAAACAGGACGTGTTTTTGAACCCGTTCAGTAGTTTTGCGCACGAGTACGAACCAGAGCTTCGTCCGGGAGAAAGCGGCGTCGCGTTTCGATTGTTGAAGAAGGCGCGACTGATTGCCTAATAATACTACGTAAAGTACGAAGAGAGAAGTATATTTTTAGCTACTATTTAGACCGTTAATAATATTGATCACAAACAAACACTACTAATATGTTTAAAGTTATACATGTATACAGAGCTCTATAACACCACTACTAACGACGCCGTTTTTTCCTCTTTTCCTCTTACCAAGCGCCCGGCGCGTACTTGGTCGGATTGACGTAGTTCTCGTATCCCCATCTCGTGTCAATCGCAAACGGCTCGGAAATCTCCCCGGGTCCATCCGCGGTAATTTTCGAAAGTTGAAACTTGTTCATCATCTGCTTATCTCTCATCACGCAACTCAACAGCGCCGATTTCAGAAGCTTCTCCGCCTCTTGCTCCGTCATTTCCTCCTTCCAACTCTCTCTAAACAGCGGTCTCGCTAAATGGTTCCCGAACCCCGTCGCCACGTGATCGTCCACGTAGTGTTGCCCAATCATCCCCACGCACCCTAAAAATGGTTTCTTCTCCACGTAATCCCACCCAGAGATAACTAACGAGTTCCACAACGGGTCAAACTTGTTCCGTCGGTTATACATCACGCGAACGAGGTAGTTATAAATCTCCTTCGGCGTTCTCGGACACTCGTCGTCTTGACAGAAATCCGTCATCTCCAACTCGTCCAACAAGGTTGAAATGTAATCAAAATCCGATAACTCTCCCGTAAACCCAACAACTGTATATTTCCCGACCAGTTTCATCCGTTGAATGCTTTTGTACCGTTTGGTCGACCCGTAGCACGCGAGCGTATCGCACGCCATCAAGACGCCGTCTTTGTACTTGACCGCGAGAACGGACGTGCCGGTCACGTACGGCGTTCTGTTGTTGTAATAATCGGAGAGAAAGAGAGGTCAGTTTTCTACTCGGTTTTATGCGCGTTAAATGATACAAAAGCGACGAGTATTGAAAGATTACGTTGTCTCCGCTTTTTCCGCGTCGTCGTCTCATTCGTCCTTTGAACGAACACTCGTGAGAAGAGATCTCGAGAAATCTCTCTCTCCCTTCTCACCACGCGCGCATAAAGCATAACAAACGGCCAAACGAACCGCTTTTACTGAGGTCGCGTCGAAGAACAACAAAAGATCATCGAGAGACGGGAAAAAGAGGAAGAATAAAACGCACTGCGTCCTCGTCATCACCCCGACGTTGGGATCGATCGAGAACGGTCTCCCTTTCGATCCTTTCCCGAGATGAGGTATATTTTTCCGTAAATCGTACTCGCGTTTGACTTCTTCGTCGTATGCGGGGTCCGCGCCTCTCGGGACGACGCCTGGGCCGATGGAGGAGGAGTGGGATGTGCGCGATGGAATCATTTTATGAGTATTCGTAGTAGTAGTAGTATGCGCGCGCGAAACGTACGTTTTGTCTGTCGCATTTGAGGGAAAAAATGAAGGCAAAAGCTCTAGTTTAGGGTTTTATTCAAAACCCTAAACACAAAAAAAAAGCTTCTCTCCGTTGTGGGGAAAGCGCAGCGCTTACTTGCGAAACCTCTTCGTACTCGCGCGCGTTTCGCGGTGTTGTTGTTTGTGATTTTCGCATTTATATCGTTAGTCGTAGTGGTGGTTTTTATCGTAATCTTGTTCTTGTTCTTGTTTTAATACCACTTTATACTGTGTTAATGAGTGGTGATATTGCGGAAGAGTTTGAAGCGTTCGCCCCGATGGAGGATATCCCTACGGCGAATGCTTTCAACAACACTAAAGAAGAAGACAAAGACAAAGAGGAGAAAAGCAACATGGGAAGCCGAAAATCATCCGCACTGGACGAGCTCAACCAAGACGGGTATTTCGGCCACGCGGACGGGAACTGGATCGAAGACGACGCCGCGCCGTTGGTTTTAATGCAAAAGAGTTCAGGCATGGATTCTCCAACCTTGAAAGAGGATTTGAGAGAACTGTGGAGGTTTTACGGGAGGAAAATCGTGGTGTCGATGCTCGCGGTTGGGATTTTGATCGCGTCAATCGCGATTATTTCGATGCAAACGACGACGAGGACGTCGTCACCGAATGGAGATACGCATAAAAAATCGCCGTGGGCCGGGTTCGATATCTCGCCGGCGGAGTTGCGATGGTATTGGGGGTATGCGTGGGAACGGATTCCGAGCGAGTGCGCGATGCCGGAAGCGCCGTACGAAACGGACGATATCGCTTTTTCAGACGAGGATGGGAATGAAATCGACGGTATTTTGGGGAAGAGAGAAGGGAATCGAGTGAATGGGATGGTGAACGGGATATCATCGGACGAAGAGGCGATGTTCGCGGGGACGGGGAGATCGAGACGAAGGGCGTTGGATATGGTGTTTTCGAACGCGAAAAGATGTCCGTTGGAAACGATTCAGTGTGGTTTTAGCGGGGCAGTGAGCGTTAAACCGCAATCGTTCGGAACGTGTGCGATTGTCGGACCGGCTATTTATAAAGGGATGAACATGGGACCAAAGATTGATCAACACGACACGGTGATTCGACTAGCGAGTATGCCGAACGAAAAGTTTAAGAACGATTTAGGCGCGAAGACGAGCGTGATTTACGCGACTGGGGAGCAAACGAACGCGGACGATAGTTACACGCCGTTTGGACCGGTGAATTCGAAAACAGCGGTCAGAGATGGGTGGGTTCCGGATAAATTTTGGATCGTCGAGGACGAGAAGCACCAAGAGGGCGAGTTGGACGGCGTCAACGCGCACGACGGGAAACCGGTGTTGTGGGTGAACAGACCATTTCCATCCGCGACGAAACGGAACTACGATTCCGATTTACAAACCTTCGATTTTCGGTTTTTCGTGAACCGCGTATTAGCCGCCGCGCACGAAAAAGAAGACATGGGCGATGCCTGGTTCACGTTAGGCGCCGACGACGACATTCCGGACACGTACAAAACCCAAGACCACTACGCGTTACTCTTCAACGTCATGTTCTCCGGTTTGTGCGAAAGTATTCACGCGTATGGGTTTGGATACCGACCTTTGAACTCCGAGGACGAAACGCTCGCGGTATCTCAGGCGTATTACGACGATAACCCCGCCACGAAAGCGCACTTCGCGTTGTTATCCGATAGCTGGAACACTTCGAAACGAGACGCTTTGTTAGCGAAAGCGTTGATGACGAATAATACCATTTGTTCCTACGGCGCGAGTTAAGATGAAGATTATGTTGATAATAATAAAACACAAAAGCGCTTTTAAATAGGACTATCGCATAATCATCACGTTCGCACTTTCAAAAGCATCATCAAAAGCACTCGATGACTCCGCGTTCATTTTTCTCGCAGAGAGAGTCAAAATTACACCTCTAAAATCTTCAGTAAATGCGTCCTCGCGTTTTGCGTTCAGCAGCGGAAGCAGCAGCGGCGGCGGCGGCAAAACGACGCGCGCTACCAGTAAATCCAACAACAACAACAACAACGCGAAGTATTGCTGCGATGTACGCCTCTCCTTCTTCGTCTTCTTCCTCTAAAAGCATCCGTTTTTCCGGCGGCGAATTCGTTCGTTCCCGAAAAGCGAATTCCAAAAGACTTCCCCGCTATGCTGCTGCTCTTACTGCGGCTCGCTTTTCTGCGCGTGGGACCACCATCGAGGAGGACGAGGAAAAAGAGGAGCAAATGAAACACCTTCGAATCGATCAAAAAGGAATAGTTTCCGACGCCGGCGTCTACACAACCAAAGAGGAGAAAATGTTCCTTAAAAACGCCATCCAATTAAAAGGAGGCAAAAATGCCTTCATTTTAGGCATCGAAACGTCCTGCGACGACACCGCGTGCGCGATTGTCACGAAATCCGGCCACGTAGTTTCGGAAGCCATCAAGTCGCAAGTGTCCATACACGAAAATTGGGGCGGCGTGGTACCAACTTTAGCGAAAGAAGCGCACCAAAATGCCATCGATGATGTCGTGGAGGAGTGTTTGCGCAAAGCCGGGGTGACGGATATCGGGAAGCAAGTGAGCGCGGTGGCGGTGACGGTGGGTCCTGGGTTGTCCATGTGTTTGAGAGTTGGGGTGAGGAAAGCGCAGAAAATTAGCGGGGAATACGGGATACCAATCGTTCCGGTGCATCACATGGAAGCGCACTGTTTGGTGGCGAGAGTGAAGGAGGAAGAGTGGAACGCGAATAGCGAGGAGGAAGAAGAAGAAGAAAATGGGGGGGTTGCGAAGTTCCCGTTCGTCGCGTTACTCGTGAGTGGTGGGCACAACGTGCTGTTGAAAGTAGAAGGTGTCGGGAGATACACCATATTAGGTCAAACGTTAGACGACGCCATAGGTGAAGCGTACGATAAAACCGCGCGACTTCTCGGTTTGCCCGTCGGTGGCGGCGGCGGTCCGGCGTTGGAAAAGTTAGCCAAAGAGTACGAAGAGATAGTTTTAGAACCGCGACGAGAACAGTGCAGAAAGGAAACGGAACAGGAAGCGCACATAACGGACGAGGTGTTTGAGAAAATTGTTAGAAAAAAAGTGAAGAATCCAATCAGATTTACCGTCCCGTTGCGAAAACGCAAAACGTGCGATTTCAGTTTCGCCGGATTGAAAACCAACGTCCGATTGGCCATCGAAAAGCACCTCGGTGCGGTCGTCGACGAGTCGATACCAGAACAGAAAGTGTTACCTTCCGAAAACTGGGACGGCATAGAAAACCGAGAAACGCGCGCCGCCATCGCGCACGCGTTCCAAACCGCCGCGGTAACGCACCTCGAAGACCGCGTTTCACGAGCTTTGGAATGGGTGGAATCCGACGGCGTCTCGCCAACCTGCCTCGTCGTCGCCGGCGGCGTCGCATCCAACCAAAAAATCCGAAAAAAGTTACTCCAAATCGGTGCAAACCATTCCATCGACGTCGTCTTCCCAAAGCCTTCCTGGTGCACCGACAATGGGGTCATGGTCGCCTGGGCCGGCATCGAAAGACTCAACTTAGCCTTAGGCGTGGAAAAACCCGTCCCGAGAAACAGCGAAGCGTTTGCGAAAGACGAAAAGGACCGAGACGTTCAGGTGCGGTTAAAACCGAGATGGCCGTTGGGTGAGATGGATGAGAGAGCGATCGGTGAGGTGAAAAGTAGTAAAGTGAGCAAGATGGCCAGGCCTTTGGGGAGCAGCGACTGATCAAAGCAGATTGATGATGACATTGTTGTAGTATTAATTGTATAGTAACTTCCTTCACAAATTCTTCCCCTAAAAGTCATCATCATTTAAGAGAGAGAAAGAGAGAGAACGGTGGTCTCTCTTTCTCGCTCTCTCTCATTTCGACGATTTCGACGACGATTTCTTTGACCACGAGGCGTTGCGCTTTTTGCGCCGCTTCTTCTCTCTCCTATTATCGCAAAAGTCTTCGTCACATTCGATTCGGAAATCATCAATTTTCACCGCCAAAAACGACGTCCCCGACGACGACAAAAACGACGGCGACGGCCACGAAGGCAGCACAAAGACCGATACAAATAAGGAGGAAGAGAAACAGAAGTCTCTCTTTTTCAATGAGCAGCGTGCCGTCGGGGGCGATTGGCCCGAGGGATAACAATAACAACAACGACCTTTTACCGAGGCATTCGCTCGTCCAACCACCAAATGTGGAAATCGACTACCAAAAATTCGAGAGCGAGTACCTCGTCCATGCGATTTCAATCGATCGAACGAAAGTCTCGAAAGCGACGAAAATCTTGAGAGGTTTTACGCTCGAGGAGAGAGGAATACAAGACGTGGTTTTGGACGAGACAGATCCGGAGAAGAGGAAGAGATTGGTTTTGTTGAAGCGAGAGAGCTTCGCGGCGAAAGCGGTGGCGGATTTTTTACCGGAGGATGTGAGGAAGAGGTTAGAGGACGAAGTTGGAATTTCGTTGGTGAGTGGTGATGGCAAAAATGACGAAGAGAACGAAGGGGTCGTGAAAGAGCACAGGATTACGTTAGATTATAAATATCACACGGCGGAGTACGTTTTGAAACAGCTCTTGCCAGACGGGATGGAGACGCCGAGCGCGTTTGAACAGGTGGGGCACGTGGCACACGTGAATTTGAGAGAAGAGTTTTTACCGTATAAATATACGATTGCGAAAGTTATCGCGGATAAGAATTCGAGAATTCGAACGGTAGTGAATAAAGTAGGCGCGATTGATTCGATGTTTCGAGTGCCGAATTGGGAGTTGTTATACGGCGACGCGGATTTGAAAGCGACGGTGAAGCAACACGGGTATTCCTTCGAGGTTGATTTTGGTAAAGTCTATTGGAATTCGAGGTTGGAAACGGAACATAAACGGTTGGTGGACGTGGAGTTTAAGAGAGGTGAGGTGATTGTAGATGCCATGGCCGGGGTTGGGCCGTTCGTTGTTCCAGCGGTGAAAACGAAAGGGTGTCGAGTCTACGCGAGCGATTTGAACCCGGACTGTTTCGAGATGATGCAAAAGAACGTGAAATTGAATAAGATTGAAGACTCGGTGAAATTATACAACATGGACGCGAGAGCGTTCATCAAATCGTTGTTAGAACCGGCCGCGGGAAAGAGCAGTGATGATGCGCCCGAGGAGATGTGGGCCCGCGAACTCTCCGCGTACGAGCAAGAGTTGAAAAAATTTCGAGAGAAGATAAAAGCGAACGAAAAAGGAAACGAGGAGGACGAGAAAGAAACCGAAGATAATAACACGAAGAAGAAATCAGAAAAGAAACGCAAAAGATTAGAGGAAACGTCGGTACCCAAACCAAACTGGTCGACAATGACCGCACGGGAGGAGGCAAAGAATACATCTGTGCCCCCAAGCGGAGCGACATTCGATCACATCGTCATGAACCTCCCGGCCACCGCGGTGGAGTTTCTCGATTGTCTCAAACACTCGTTCGATCGAAAGACGTGGGAGAATAGAAAACTCCCAACTGTACACGCCTACGCGTTTCGACCGCCAGGACATACCGATCGAGACGTCATTTCTCGAGCGGAAGGTCACTTGGGATGTCCGATTAAAAATGCGAAAGTGTTCGAGGTTCGAGACGTTGCGCCGAACAAAGCGATGGTGTGCGTCTCGTTCCAGATTACCGAAGAGCAAGCGTTTGGTTCTTCGCCTAGTTAGTTTAATACATAATATACTATTCCTATTGTCTCTACCTGACTATTAAATGCCCTCTGGTGGCGTCTCGCGCGGCGTTCGGCAGGTGCGCAAAACTGCCGACGAAGGCGACGTGCGCATCTGGGCGACAGAGAATGACCTCTGCGACGTCGTCTGCTCTCGATGTGTTCTTGGCGTTGTATTCCTCGAGGATGCTCGTCCACGCGGCGTTCGATGGGTCGGTGTAGATGGCGTAGTTGTCGCCGCCGTTGTCTCCTTTCTTCTTCGTTGTTGTTGTCGTTTTGGGCTGCTTCTCGTCTTTTTTGTCTGACGACGATGAAACGACGACGAGTTTTAATGCAGCGCCTTTAGGTAACATTTTTCGAGCTTCTTCCAGAGCATCTTCGTCTACGTTCACCGATGACGACGTTATCGCAAAGAATTGGCACTCGAAGTTGCTGTTTGAACCACCTAAATCGATCGTAGAGATAGTGCCTCCTCCTTCGTCGGCGTTTATTAACGCACAGTGCGGGATGCGTTTCCCCACGGCGAGGACGTTCGGATTTGTCGCTTTGACGCCTTTCGCGTACGAAAATCCAAGCTCCTCGTTGAGAAATTTCAACTTGAGCGTCTCTCCCGAGGTGCCGCACAACCGTTTCACCGCTTCGCGACGGTACTCTCCCAATGGATTCTTCTTATCGTTTTCGAGAAGCACCGTTTGCATGCGTCCGGCGCTCAAGATTTTTTCAAACGCAAACGATTTCAGCGCTTGGGGCACGGGCAACGCGTTGGATGCGAAAACGAGCGCATCGAGCGCGCGAGGTTCTAAACCTAAAGCTCTTGGTATCTCTAAAACGCGTTCGTAATTGCTCACGCTTAACGTTTTGTTTTCCGAGGCTATTTTTTTTCGTTCGTTTGCGTACGAGTTGAGCAGCGAAGAGGACAACGCGTCGTCATCGCGTTCATTTTGTATCGCAATGGCGAGTTTCCACGCTAAATTGTGCGCATCTTGAATCCCAGTGTTCATGCCAAAACCACCGGCGGGAGGGAAGGCGTGCATGGCATCCCCGGCGAGGATAATTCTCGGCGCTCGCTCTTCGTCAATTACGACATTCGCCACCGTCGCGTCCATCGTCCACGATTTTACGTCGAGTACTTCGATATCGTCAAGTGTAACGCCATTTTTATCACCAACATCAATACCACCACCACAAATCGCGTTTCGAACAAACATCTCGCATTTTTTCTTCGTAAACATTTCTTTAAAATCCTGAACTGGCGCGTGGTACGGCAACTGCAACGCGAATTCTCCCTCGCGCAAATCGTGCGCGACGACAACCCCTACGATGTTTTTATTGAACACGAAATACAACATCGCTTCGTTACTTTTCTCTTTAATTCTCTTCGCCAGCGAACGACTGACAAAGTGAATATTACCTAACGTTTGTGTCGGGAAAGATTTGTTGTTTCCTTTTTTCTTCGTTTCTATACCCCCACTATTCAATGTTCTCGCCACGACTGAACTCGCCCCGTCGCACGCGACGACGTATTTCGCCTCGAACACTTTGCCTGATTTCAAAGTCACTCGGCACCTATTGTTACTACCACCACGACTGCTACTCGAACTCTTTTCGCTACGACTACGCATCACCCTCTCTACTCGAACAACCTCGTCGCCTCTCACGAACGCGTCGTCATCATCATCGTCGTCATCATTCTCCCTCCTCTTCTTCGCCTTCTCCAATGCGTTTTCCCACAACATCGGCATCAACCGGTGCTGCGGGAAATGCGCCACTCCTTCCGTCGACGCCGTCGTCTCCCCAACTTCCATCCGTTCTGTTGCAAAGTGATCCACAGACCCGAGTTCTTCGTTCTTCTCGTCTAGGATACCAGTCACGTACCTAAAATGCCGCCAATTTACGACATCCGACATTTCCTCTCTAACGCGCGAAGCGACGGTTGTTTTCTCACCAAATCCGAACGCGTTTCGGTCCCTTAAAATCTCCATCGTTCTTCTGTTGATAAAGTGCGCTTTCGGATGTTTCGACGGCCCGTTCGAGTATCTCTCAATTAGGAGAACGTTTTTCACATCGAACGAGGATAACAAGGCGTGTAACGCGATTCCAGTTGGTCCTCCACCGACGATGACGACGTCTTTTGTTTTGTCTTGAAAAGCGTCCGTGACGTTCCCCGTGGTGACTTCGTCATCTCTGGTCGACGCGTGCGAAAACAAAGACGACGACGAGGAGAACTGTCTGTATTCGCTCATAAAATAACAAAAAGGATGATGATTTCTTCGACGTCCGCGAGAAAGGAACGCCGCGACCGCCGATCTAGCGGCGGTCATGGCATTACGCTTTTCCGGTGAAGAGTTCTGCTTTATAAAAGTGCCGCTTTTTTCCCCACTTTTAGACACTTTAGATACGGGAAGCGAAGAACGTTAAACGCTCGCTCTTTGGCGGTGGATGCGTCGTGGTGGTGATACGAATAATAATGTCGACAACAAAAACCTTATCGGTCCGAATCTTCCAACATTTAGTCCCGTACGCGCGCGCGCAACAGTTACAACACGCGATTCACTGCGCGAGGAAAAATGCGTTCGTCCCGGATACGCTTTTAATTCTGCAACACCCTCCGGTCGTGACGGTCGGGAAACGAAGCGAAGTTGGCATGAAGTCGATTAAAACGAGCGAAGAGAAGTTGAGGGAGTTGAAATGCGACGTAATTAAATCGGATCGAGGCGGCGACGTGACGTATCACGGACCCGGGCAAGTTGTCGTGTACCCCGTTATCCACTTGAGGGAGAAAAAATTGGGGGCGAGGAAATACGTGGAAAAGTTAGAAAACGTGATGATTGAAGTGGCAAAGAAATACGGAATTACGAACGCGAGAGGGCAAATGAAGAACGAGGAGGATGGTTCGGACATGTCTGGCGTGTGGGTTGGGAAGAAGAAGTTAGGTGCGGTTGGGGTGAAGATTAGCGGCGGCGTGACCAGCCACGGGTTCGCGCTGAATAGCGAGACGGATTTAGAGTTTTTCAGGGAACATATTTTGCCGTGCGGATTAAAAGGAATGGACGTGACGAGTTTGAAAGATTTAGTCGGGGAAGAAATGAAGATGGAACGAGTGGAGGTGGAGATTGTGGACGCGTTTGCGAAGGAGTACGGGTACACGGAGGTGTACACGAGACGATGTTAGCGAGAGAAACTTAAAAAAGTAGAGATCGAGAGAGAGTGTACGATTATTTATTATATGTAAAACGTTGTTGTTGTAATATTAATACCAGTTTTTAGCACGCGTGGTACTACATATACCACACAGTAATACTTTCACATTACAGTCTCCGTAAAATCCGTTATGAGCTTCTCGGTGACCTCGCGCAATTGTTCTCGCAGCGAACGGTCGCGAGAATGTTTTGAGCTCTGGAAAAAATTGCAATCTGCCAAATAATACCCGGCGAAAAAGGTTGCGTCTTCATGGAACGCGGCGAAGCAGGTTGTCGATGCGCCTTCCTCGACGGTTTTTATGAATGGCTTCGAAAGCTTTCGCAAGAGCCGGCCTTTCCACCCATTTTCGTGCTTTTTGGCCCCAGGAGTTTGGATGGCTCCCGGATGGACTGAAAAGAACAAAATTTCACTTTCGAAGGCGCGTCTCGAAGCAGCCGATAATGCTTGCATATCTCGGGTAAAGATAATCTGGGCGAGCTTAGATGTACCGTAGCTTCTCGCGGTGTCGGATTTTACGTGCGCATTTGCACCAGTAACTTTTGAGAAATCGATGCCTTTGCGATGCGTGAAAAAATGCACGTGGCTGCTCACCGAAACGACACGAGCGCCGCCCACAGCTTTACGCATCAGAGGAAATAACTCTCGAACAATCATCGCGTGCGCCAGATAATTGACTTGAAACATCTGTTCGTGTCCGTCGACAGTTCTTTCGAATTTGTCGCCTCCCATTACGCCCGCATTGTTGACCAAAACATGTAAAGCGTTGAAATTCGATCTCACTTTCAAGCAAAACTTATGCACACTTTCGAGCGAACTCAAATCCAACTCGTACGCATAAGCGCGGGGTTCTGAATCTTTCGGTAACAGTGAATTCAACTCTTTCGTGATTTTCGATGCTTCTGCGATGTTTCGACACGCAAAAATGACGTGTGCTTGATGTTTAAACGCCGCAAGGGCTGTTTCTTTACCGATGCCGCTGTTCGCTCCAGTCACAATGACGAGTCTATTCGATAGGTCAATATCCTTCAACACGTCTTCTGGCGTGGATTTTGAAGAGAATCCCGTTGGACCAACCCAACCTTTTATCGTGCCTATGGGCCAGAAGCACCTCTGCGGTGGGGGAAACGTTTTCATAAAATGCGTTTTTTTTCTCGCTCCTGTCTTGTCGCTTCAATTCTCCTCTTTTTTGCGAAAAAGCAAAATGGAAAAGCGTTTTTTTATTTCTACCGCATAAAAAAAGTATCTTTGACGCACAAATGCATTACTTTCTCTCTTTAATATCTCTCGTCCTTGTGTTGCCGTGCATCACAGCGCAAGTTATCGATGGTTCATCGACGAATGGTAACTTCTTAGAACGCGCGTTTGCGGAAATCAAAACCGTCGCAGAAGAATTTTCTAGATTTTCAACCAACAGCTCAGCTGTGTTTGGCGACGAATCACTCTTAGAAAAGCTCGCGAGATCACCACTCACAACGTCGTCTTCAAGCAGCAGTGGCGATGATGCATCTTCTTCGAGTGTAGAATCCAATTTGCAGAAATGGGTGGACGAAAACAACGAGTGGTTGAGCTCGTCTTTTCTTCTGAGAGACTTGAGCGACTCGTTGAGAAGCGCCGTCGAAGTGTGCAGACCGGCGGCGTTTGCGGAACCAAAGTTGATTCCTCAAACCGTAAAGTTTCCCAGTTACTCGATTATTTTGAAAGGCGCAACGTGTGAACTTTTCGAGAATGGCGAGCGTCGGTGCGAGGACGCAAAAATTGAACGCTACCAATCCCCGACGAGAGTAATTCCAGAGCGCGTGTCCCGGGCAGAATATCGAGGTCCAACCTGTAACATCCAAGCGTGCTTGACTGCCGGCTTATTCCCTGGCAAAATTCCTACCTCAGAATTAAATGATGGCGAACTACTCGACGATTTTACCACCGTCGTTACCTCCCGTTGCGGAAACCCAACCCAAAGAGTACTCGGCAAGACGACGTTTTCGCTTCTCACCGTGCGTTGAAATTATTGTTTGTTGTTTGCAACGTCACTCACTATCGTTCACACTCATAACTTCCGTGTATTCACCCGCTAATCTCTCCACAATACCATCCACGTGCGCTAATCCAACTACCATGACGATTTTTTCCGCATCCTTTTCTCTCTTAATCGCATCTGCCATTTCGTCGTCTCTTTGATGCACCATAGCTGACATTATGTTGGGAAATTGAAATTGCATGTATTTCTTCATTTGCCCAACCGCGTTCCTATTCTTCATCGCTTCCATGTTATCTTGCATCTCTGTTGAGTTAAATCCAGCTGCTGCCATTTTCTCAAACTCTTGAGGTAATGTCGGCCCGCCTTTTTTCTCCCCGTATACAAACCAACCGAAAACGTCCGCGACCGATACGCTCTCCCTCAACGCCTTGAGCGTCTTGTTCACGTCTCGATCCGCGAGGACTAATCGCGCGTTCAATCGCTCAGCTTCCCTTATCGCCACCCGAAATTCTTCGCCCGGTTCCATCCCGCTCGATTTTAAAGACGCGTAAAACGCTTTCAACCCAATCGCTAAACACCGGTCCAGAGCGCCCAAGTCGCGGTTCGAGGAGACATTTTTCACGATGGCGAGAAAATCTCCCAAGAAGCTTCTCTTCTTCTTTGTCTTCTTTGTCTTCTCTTCTTTGTCTTCTTTCATTTGCTCTTTCAGTTGCTCGAACCTTTCTTCGCACAGCTCGACTGCAATCACGTCCGGTTTCACCAATCGTATCAACTCCTCGGTTTCTCTCGCCGACGCTTTCGACACGTGCGACGTCCCGACGAGAAATATCTCTCGCGCTTCGTCGTTTTTGCGTAAATGCGCGACAGTTTGTTGCGAATGATAAGAAGAACAAGACGTCGAGAGGATGGAGGGAACGAGGGAACGACGCGTGTTGTTGATGTTGTGAGTGTTGGAGCGCGAGAGGAAAAGTCGGAGCATCTCCGCACACCACCGATAGCGGGCTTTAAAGTGAAGAATGTGTTATGAGTTGTTTAGCAGTTAGTTGCTGGAGTCAAATCTAGTAAATATATCATTCTAATGTTTCTCTCTCTCTCTTCTCTCTCTCTCTCTCTCTCTCTCTCTCTCTCTCTCTCTCTCTCTCGTTCTCTCGTTATCTCTCGTTCTCTTTTTGTTCTCTCGTATTGTTATTTTCTTTTCTCATGTTTAAGTCAATGCTGAAAACAGCAGACGACGACGGTGACGTTATCGCTGCTGCCTCTCTCCAACGCCTCTTGCGTCAACGCCTCGGCGGCTTCGCGACAGGCGTCTTCCGAGAATCGACCTCGCAAGATGGATCGACACAGCCTGACGGCGTCCTGGTCGCCGATGACGTCCCATAACCCATCCGTGGCGACGATGACGTTTTCAATTTCGTCGTCTAAGGTTACTCGAGCGACGTCTGGGGTTGCCGTGACGCCTTTGTTTTCTGGACGCTTAAAGTCGATGTCGCCGATGGCACGCGAGACGGCTAAAGCCGCGCGAACGTTGCGGCCTCGGTTTTCGGCGATGACGCGCCAGCAACCGCAGAATTCAACGCGGCCGCCTTCGTCGTAGACGCGCTTGCGCTCGCGCGGAAGCGAGGGTTTGTGATCTTCCGTTAAGGCTTTTGCGCGGACGTCGTGGTGGCCCACGGCGCGTTTGCCCACGACGATTCGGGTATCGCCGGCGTGCGCGACAAAGAGGTGGTTGGCCACGCGCAAGACGACCGAGGCTGTGGAACCGTCCCGTCTGTTTAAAGCTTTTGTACCGTCTAAGATTTCTTCGTCTAAATCGACAAACGATCGGATTAAGGAGCTCTTCACGCCGAGTTCAAACTCTTCGAGTTCGTGTTGCGGCGCGTCCGGCGCGATGCCGTTGGCGATGAACGCGCACTTTTCCAAGTGCGTGTGCATTTTCTCCTTGGCGTACGAGGCGGCCCAATCGCCGTTGTGCCCATCGTACACGCCGATGTACTGTTTATCGCTGATTATTTGTTCTTGTTGTCCGTTGTTCATGTTGTTATAGTAGTTGTTTTGACTCATTTTCCCGGCGCACTCAAATTTCCAATCTTCGATGATTGCGTAGCGATCTTCCATGTACGGTCGCTGTCCCTGCGCTTCGTACACGCCAAAAAGGACGCGCGCTGGAGGCTTCAAAGTTGCTTTGGGTTGTTTTTTTGCCAAAGTAGTCGATTCATTCGTCGCGCCGTCTACCGCGGATCGAACGGAACCGTCCGAGTGGCCGCTTCTATCCAAATTCGCTCCTCCGTCACTCTCGCTCGTTTGTTTCGATTTCGTCGTCGGCGAATCTACCTCTTTCTCTCCTTGTCGTTGGTTGTTTCGGTCGTGTGCTCCGACATCCACTTCTTCGTCCGTCATCAGCGCATCCTCGTCGTCTGTGGCTTCTAAACTGCCCTCCGCGCTCGAACCGCCGCCCATAGCTGCCAAATCCGGTTCCGCCCCGTCCAACGTGACCATCGACCGAACTCTCAATAACTTTGAATCCATACCTTCGGCAGGGCTCGGCGCTCTTGCCGCGTGCGCATCCAACGCAACTCTCGCAACTGCCGAATTCTCCGCAAACATTGTCGTTTGTTCTCCACCACCGTTGCCGAACGCGTCGTGCTTCGGCGGTTTGCCTTCGTTCGCGTTACTACTAATAGCATTGTTGTTATTATTATTATCATTATTATTATTGTTGTTCGCGTTGTTATTACCGCTCACAACTCTCTTACTCTTATTCAAATCAAACGTCGCTTGGTTCAAGTAATCCAACCTCGTCGTCGGACTTTCGCCTAAACTATTCGACCCATTCGACACGTTGTTCGCCATCATCATACCGATATCCTCGCCGCTCATCGAACCCAACTTGTTGTAGTTGTTATTCGTCGGCCTCAAGCTCTTTCTCTCTTTCTCGCCTTCTCTTATCGGAAGGTCCGAGGACGAGGACGGACTGTGCGAGTACGACGGCGCGTTATCGTCGTCGTCAATGCGGCGGTGATCGCTCTGAAACGGATTGTTGTGGTTGTTGTTATTCTCATTCATGCTGTTCTCCGCCATCAACCGGTCTGCCGCAATAACTGCATTACTATTAGTATTAAACTCCTCGTTGTTGTTCTTGTTGTTTTCCAACTTCTCCTTCTCTTCCTCCGCCGCCGCGAGTAAATCGCTGCGACTTCGTTTCCCTTGACTCGACGCGATGGATTGTCCGGAGCTCTCTCTTCTCATGGATGCAAAATCGACTGGAATGGGTTTAGTCTTTGTGGTATTATTCGTATCGTTGCGTTCTTCTTCTTCTTCTTTCTTGTCGTCGTCTTCTTTCCTCGAGAGGGGGGAAACGACAGCCGATGACGAGCGCAATCCTTCCCCGCGCGATGGATATTCTTCTTCAGACATAATACTTTTAAAATAATATGCTAATAAATACGTCGCAACAAACTCTCTCTCTGACTCTCTCTCTCTCTTTCTCTTTCTTTCTCTTCTCAAACGACAGCACCACCTCCGAGGTGGTGGGGGTGTGAGGCCATTTTCGTTTTCCCCTCTCCCCTTTCTGTTTTTTGGGGCTTGCTTCCACTGAAACCCTAACATTTAGGGTTTTCATGAAAAAAAACGCTTTGCCGTGATTTTTTTTTTCCTTTCACATGTGTGATCTCATTGAGATCAAAAACATCAGAACATCGGGTTTGTTTTATTGCTGAGAGCGCATATAAATGACGAAAGGAGACTTTGAAGATGAGAATATGAACAACAATAATAATCCGTACGATGTTTTAGGCATCAGTCGAACGAGTTCTTCGGAGAAAGCGAGGAAAGTGTTCCTGGAGAAGTGTAAACGTTTACATCCGGACAAAAGAAAAGTTCATGGAAGAGAGGAGGAGGAGGAAAATAACGCATCGTTCGAGAGGATGAAAGCGGCGTACGAGAAGATACTCGAGCGAGAGAAAGAAGAGAAGAGAGAGAAAGAGGGAGAAGAAAAACGAGAGGAGGTTTTGGAGGTGAACGATATCGAGTGCGGGCGCGTGGCGTTTCAGGAGAAAAAGTTTGACACCGCGATTGAGTTTTTCCAGAAAGCTTTGAGTTCGTCGTCACATGTGGAAAAAGCGAGAATTTACGCGAATTTATCCGCGTGTTATCTGAAAACGAACAAGTTTAAGTTGGCGTTAGAGCACGCGGACGCGAGTTTCGAGGTGTCCAAGAAGACGTTTCCGAAGGCGTTGTTTCGTCGCGCGGAGGCGTTGGAGAAGATGAGAGAGTATCCGCGCGCGCGAGAGGCGTTGGATCAAATGTTAAGGATGGACGCGACGTTCGTGGACGAGGTGCATCCGAAATTGCGAGAGCTGGCGGTGAAGGAGAGAGAGTACGAGAAAAAGTTGGCAAAGAGCGAACGCGAGAAGGAGAAGAGGAAGGAGAGAGGGAGAATGGAAGGGCAGCAACCGGGGACGATGCCGAAATGGGAGATTTCGAAGACGACGGCGCCGAGAGGAATGGATGATATTGATGCCGAAGAGGAGGAGACAAACGAAGAACGCGGCGTAGAAAAAGAAGAAGATGAAGGAGAAGAAGAAGAAGAAGAGTTGTACGAGAAACCTATGATTGACGGCATGGGATTGGAAGCGATTGAACAGATGATGACGTTGGCCCAAATTAAACGCGAGGAGGCAAAAGCGATGGAGTACTCTGACGATCCGGCACCTCTTGCACCAAAGGAGGAGAAGAAGAACGCGAGTAAAGATTTCAATTTTAAACGGTGCAAGATGTGTGGGAACGTTTGTAATGTCAGGATGATGTCCTGCTCATCGTGCTGTTTGTCTCTCGCGGACGCCTCGAGCTTCACGCCGGTGTACAATCTCCCAAAAGTTGCCTCGGGCGAGAACGGCGACGGAATGGAAGAGAACGACGACGAAGATGACGACGATAAGGACGCGTACGCATCTTCTTCGAGTGATGACGACGACGACGAGGACAACGACGAGATGATGCGTCAAGTACTTCCGTCGGTAGCGGCGACATCGGAGAAGCAAAAGAAGAGTCTCGAGGCGCTCGCGCGCAGACGCAACGAACGACAACAACAACAACAACAGCATCAACCGATAACCAACGAAGTCAAAAGCAAGGATGCTGCATCATCGTCTTTATGGTGGTGGCAAACGGACCCAATGTTTGCACCATATCTCGGTGGAGCTCCCGAACATAAGAGAGGATACGATCCATCGTTACAGAGCGCTTACGACGAACTGAAAATCCCGCTCGGCTCGGGCGAATCGCGAGTCCGCGACGCGTACTTGAACCAAATAATGGCGCGTCACCCAGACGCCGCCGGTTCGAAAAAAAAGCTTTTAAAAGCACAACAAGCGTACGAAACTATCGCGAAAGATTTCTGGAGGCACGATTCCGGATGCGCGAGTATGCGCAAAAAATTTGACCAAGCGCTCAAAAATACGACGACGGAAACGCAATCGTACGATCCAACTAAGAGGACCATCTTTGTTTCTCTCCGCGTCTACCGCGATTTAGAAGCCCAACACACGCTTCACTCTTTATTCGAAAATGCCAAGGACCCATCGCGCGTGTTCGTCGGCATTTGTTGGCAATACAAAACGGAAACGACCACAGAAGTCTCTTCGAAAACCGGCGAACGCGAACGGTGCGTCTGCCGCTTGCACTACGCGGTCAATCGCATAACCGCAAAAGCGGAGGAAGAAGTGGCTAAGATGAAAGGCGAACAAGATCCAGAAAAGTATTTAACGGTGGACGTGAGAAAAGTACAGTTGGAAGTGCAAGAATACGAAGACGAGAAGGAGAAGAAGGCGCACAACGCGCGCGCTATTTTCGACGGCATAAAAAACGAGAAGGAAAAGGAATGGTTGAAAAACGTGAGAGAAACGCACGTGAACTGGGATTCGTCGGATGGGCCGTGCTATTCGAGACACTTAGCCGATCGATTGTGGGGTGGCGAATCGCATATTTTATACGTCGACGCGAAAACGGCATTCGACGCCGATTGGGACGAAACGTTGTTTCGCGAGTTGGAAGAAGCGGAAAAGGATAACGAAGCAGACCACAACAATGATAACGGTGTCGTCTTAACCGCACATCCATTAGGGTACGATCTGGAAACTTCCCCCGTTTTGAATCCGGAAACGTACGAGACGGATCACCACGTGTTCATATACGGCAAAAGAATTTTTCCGTCGAAAGAGGAAAGAAACGCTCCGGCTATGCTCACCGCGCACGCGTTCGGGAAACATTTCCCGCACTTTTTCGCGTCCAAGTTACATGCGAAACCAGAGAGGTCGTTAAAATCACCATTCGTGTCGAATTTGTTCACGTTTGGTCCGAGTGAGGCGTTCATTCGAGATTGTCCGTCGGATGTGCACGCGCCGTTTTTGTATTTAGGCGAAGAAGTGTCTACGTCTATCAAGTTGTTTACCAAAAATTGGGACGCGAGAACACCTCCAATCGTGCCGCTTTTACACTGTCACGATCCGCAACACAGACGCGAGTCTTTTCTAGAAGACAGACGCAAAGGTCGTTTGTTATACGCGAGCATTTACGACGCCGGATACGGGACACCTCAAGCGGTCAATCGACGAACGCGGTTGAACGAGTACTCCTGCCGGCGTATTTTTCAAATCGTGTGCGACGGCGCAGTTTCAGAAGACGCCGCCGGCGGGAAGGTTATCGTACGCGATGACGATAAGTTTAACATCGGAAATGGAAGACGCGCGAAAGAGTTCGAATCATTTTCGGGCGTGTCCATTCGCGAAAAGCGCATCACCGAACGCGCGAAAACAGCCGGATTAGAGCGCGAAAAATTCGAGAAGAACGAGAAACGTAAGTGTAAGTTTCTCGTACCGATAAAAACGATCAGCGGGACATCGCAGGTAAAAGAGTTTTTATACGCGAGCGCCGTGAATGATGCCTTCTAACGATAAATCGTGTTTGTTGTGTGTGCCTGTACAAATCCACATCCGTCGTGTAGAAAGAATAATAACAATAACAATAAATAAGCAACATTAACACCGAATCAACACTACTTCTACAGCAATTTTTTTCTACGTAGACGAGGCCTCCTTCTTCACGCCTCCTTCTTCTTCTTATTCCCGCCGCTAACTACTTTCCAAAACGCGCCCATAATCATAAACCACCAGTACACGTTCAACATCGCCGGCACTGGCACGGTAAAGAACGCGAACGGCAACTGCCACCTCGGCACATTCTCTGCGAACCAATCCGCTTTCGCCATCGAGCGAACGTGATCCAACAAAGGCCACATCCTCACCCAAAAGTACACCCCGACGAAATTCAACTGCACGATAACCCCGTAAATGGTATCTAAAATCCCCATCCCAATGCATACAGTTCTCAACCCCATCGCGGCTTGACTCAACTCCGACCTCACGCCCCACGCGACGAAATACTCAAACGTCCCGTACCGAGTCGCCACCGGCCACATCAACAGCGGCAACACGTGGTGCATGATGTAAATCATATACTGTCGTCTCCCGTGCGCTCGGAGCATGTTCTTCCGATCGAAAATAGTCAACAACAAGAAATCATACATCAAATACCCGCACGACGCCGCCGTCGCGAGCACTGTCGTCCGTCTAAACGTCACCGCCTTCTTTTCTCCTCCTAAAACTCCTCCTCGCGTCAACAGGTTCAAAAATCCGCCAAACAGTCCTCCTCCTCTCGTGGTGGTTTCCAAGCGTCTCCCGACGTCAAATTTCCCGTTCTTTTTCATCGCGGACGGAAATCGTTCTAAACTTCCCCTGACGACTTGCCCGGCGAGTAAGCCGTTCAAAATTTGGTTCGGCGCGTGCACCACTTGCGCCCGTCGGTGTTTCGCAAGTTTCTCCCATTTCTTTTCGCCGAAAAGATACTTCGGGAAGATCGACGCGCTCATCAGATGTAAAAGTTCGTGCGTCAGAAACGAGAGGAAGGCGAGGGAAAAGAAATATCTCAAGATTGTTTCTTCCGTGTACTCGTGCGTGAGCACGTACGATTTTAAACAATTCATAACATTCATCATCGTGATGATGAAGTGTTCTCGTTTGTAGTACTCTGCGCGAAGAGGAAGGAGTCGTCGCGTATTCCGCGCGTGTTATTCAAACTACGCGCTCTTAAGAAAGGGGATTGAACTTTAGAAGAGAGAAGAGAGGAAAAATATTCCAAAAAGGAGAGCTTTTTCTCCAATGTGTTTAGGGTTTATTTGTTGCCCTAAATACTGGAGAAAAAACCATCTCAGAAAAGCGAAAGGCTTCTTTCTCTCTTTGTATATCTCTTTCTTCTTCTTACGACGAGGACGAGGAAAACCGGCTGAAACGATGAAATGACGACATGAAAGCGTCGTCAATATCGTTTGCTTTTTCTAAGCGCTCCTCCTCGGGGGCTCTTCTTCTTTATCTGTTTGCGCGAAGAGGAGGAGGAAAAGAGAGAAGGATTCTAACGAACGTGCATCACCCGCTTCAGATGAGAAGAATTTCGAAGATGATGATGACGACTTCTTCTTCTTCTTCTCACGACGAAAAGGAGGAAAAGGAGGAAAAGAGCTCGGAGAGCAGTTTTAGGAAAAAGAAAAGGAGGGCGAACAAAACGAAGGGACCGCACGCGGCGACGAGAGAGGAAAAGAAAGCCGGAAAATTTGCCAGAGAACATGTTGCTGATTTTACTAACGGTATTGGTGATGATATTGCGAATAGAGACGACGACATCGCGTTCGCGTTGGACACACACAACCGAAGGATTTTATACGTGGCCAGACGGACGAGCGACATAAAAAGTTCCACGTTCAACTTAATATGCGGGTTAAGAGAACTCGCGTTTGAAGCGAAGGAGAGTGGACGGGAAAAGAGGAACTACGGGGACACGAAGTGCAGAGAGAGGATGTTCGTCGTGCGTAAAGGAGGTGGTCGCGAGGATGATACGCGTTTGGAAGAAGAGGCGAAGAAGAAAACGAAGGTTTTGACGTTGTCTGAATTTGATCGAGCGGTTGTGAAAGTCGGTCACTCGAAGGTGTGCGTCATACAGGAGGAAGAGATGGAGGAGGTGGAAAACGAAAATGACGACGAGGGAAGAGAAGGCGTTGGATACGAGTGCGTGGACGTGACTGAGTTTAGCGAAAGAGCGTTGATGCGAGGCAAAATCGAATCAGATAGAATGATTGAAGATGAGTTCGGGAGAGCGGAAGAAGCACAAAATTCTTCGTATCCGAGCGACGCGGATGCGTTCTTCGTTCGATTTTCCTCGAATTCAAACAGAAGCCAAGAAGAATCGAAAGGAGACGAAGAAGAAGAGGAAAAAGAAGAGCGCTTCGAGCGCGCCTCTCACAGAAATGTCGTCGCCGCGCTTCGAGACGACGCGACCGGTAAAATCATATCCTTGGCTAAAAACACAAACGGAGGGAACAAAATCTTGCACGCCGAGATGAACTTGCTCTTGAACCACGAGAAAACCGGTACGAAGAAAACGCTCCTCGTCACTTTGCAGTGCTGCCGAATGTGCGCGGCGTTATCGCAGCGCTACGCAAACGAGTTGAGCGAAGTTGTTTATTTACGCGCGGATACAGGTCCGTTGGCGAAAATGACCGCGCTGCAAATCTGCGAGGAAGGAAAGTTGCGCGAGAGAAAACACGCAGAGTGAAATAGAATTTGATGAATTGTTATAAAGGCGCGAGCGCTTTACTCGTATTGTGTAGGTATTGAAGTCCTTCTCTTTGCCTCATAAGAAACCATGCTCCTGCGCGTGAATCATCATCGCGCCATCGATATTAAAAACAAGAAGGACGATGATTTCAAAAAGAAGCCGAGCAAAAAAGCTCTCGTCGTAAAAGGCTTTCGTTTTGGTGCGTCTCGTTCTTTTTCTTCCTTAAACTCGTCGTCATCGCGCTCATCCGATTTATCCACTTTTAGGGAAACTTGCGCGGAAGAGGATGACGATCGAAGAAGAAGAAGACAAAAGAGAACAAAAACCACGAACTCTTTCCTCCTCTTCGTGAACGCAATGTTCTTAAACGCAGAACCCGCATTTGCGAGAGAGATTTTAACCGCCACGGGTGAAGTCTTCCAAGGCGGGCCGACGGCGCCGGAAGGATTCGATTCCGGGGCGAACTTTGTGGTTGTTTTCGTGACTGTGCTTCTCGCTGGGTACGGGATGGTGACGTCGTTTGAAAATCAAGCGGAAACGACGGAAGCGGCGACGTTAGATCGAGTGAGTAAGCAGAAGGAGTACATGGAGAAGTACGCGGGGAAGAGTGGGCGTTTGGGGATGGTTTCTTCGTCGATAATGAGCGATGATGGTGATGACGACACGAAGAGCGAGGAGGACGGGGCGAAAGTTTTGGAGGCGCGAGGATGCGTCGGCGTGGTAAAGGTCCTCTCCGAAGAGACGTGCAGAGAGCTGTTGGAACACATCAACTCCGCAATCGCGAAAGATTCCGAGGACAGAACCAACCCAAACTTTGGAAACGTGTATTCGCGGAAAAATAGGTTTGATTACAAGTTGGATTTGAAACAGCCGACGGTGCGCAAAGCGGTCAAGGAGGCGAGCGCGAATTTGAGACAGATCCTCGCGAAAACGTGCGGGAATAGAAAGATAGGCGGGACGAGTTCCGACGAAAACCAAATTGAACTTCTAGAACTCGCCGCTTTAGTCTCGGATCCGCAAAGTTCCAGACAACCGGTTCACCCGGATACGAACTACCGCCAAAACCTCTGCGCCGTGACCACCTTCATCGCCTTGCAAGACGTCTCCGAAGCCATGGGTCCTACCTTATTCATCCCGGAAACGAACACGTTAGAGGCGCACAAATCTTTCCAAGAGAACTTAGAACTCGGAGGTCCAACCTTGTTAAAACCAAACGTCAAAGCGTTGCTTAAAACCGGCGATGGTTCCGTCTTTGACTCGCGACTGTTACACTGCGGTACCGAAAACGTCAGCGAGAGTAGACGGGTGTTGTTTTACATCACCTACGGGCCCAAAAACGCCGAGAATCCAAACCGAGGGTTTAGCACTATTCGAGAGGAATTTCGGGGGAGGTACACTTTAGAGGACGTGTGCGCGTAATATAGACGTTTAGCAGAGAGAAAGAGAGAGTTGTGATTTGTAGTATATAGATTTGAGCTTCGCGTCGCTCGATTTTTCCTCCTCACAAGTTTGCACCATGCGTTCGCCTTTAAAGACGAATACCAACAAGAATAAAAAGTTTCTCGCAAAGTCACCACCATTACCACCACCAGGTGTGCGTCACGACGACGACAAAAGTAGTATCAATAAACAACCTCTCTCCTCGGTCGAATTGAGGTACTTAGACTACTTGAAACGCGAGCTACGCGTCGATTTGCGCGGGTGTACGATTGGATACTTTCGAAACAGAAACGGAGGAACCGTTTTCGGCGGCGGCAATGAAAGCACCACGAGTCAGTCTTCGAGATACTACCGAGGGTGCGTGGCGACGGAGGATATTAAAGAGGGCGCAGTTATTGTGTCCGTACCGGACGATTCGGTTTTATTGGCGGAAAGTTTGTCCGCGTGCGCGTCGGCGGTCGTGGAGTTGAATTTAAGGGACTGTCAGAAGGTTGTTAAGGAAACGGAGGCGGTCGGGCGGCATCGCGGAATGGTGGAGGAAGGGGAAGAAGAAGAAGAAGAAGAAGAAGAAGAAGAAGAGAGAGCGGATAATGGCGAACCGAGGTTACAGCGAGAAGCTTTAGTGGTCGCGGTAACGTGTGAATTAGCGTTAGGTAAAGAGTCTAAATACTACCGGTACTTGGCGACGATGCCGAGAGTCGAAAAATTTTCCGATTGTTTGCTCTCGTGGACGGAAGCCCAGAAGGAACGTCTCAGAGGGACGGATTGCTGGACGAGGTTTAAATCGTACGCAGACGAGGAGAGCAAAGAGGTGCCGTCTCTGACCCAGTTACACTTTGAGGAGGTCGCGAGACCGTTTTTTGAGGCCATCGCGAACGGCAAAGGGAAGGTTCCGAAGACGTTGAGAGAGGCGATTGGGCAATTATTGAAGAACGAGAAGAGGAATAAAGAGAGAGAGGTGAACGTGGAGATGATGATGTCGAGTGAAGACGACGACGATGATCGCGGGAACGTGAATAATAATAATAATAATAACACTAGCAAGAAACGAAAAATGATGAAGAACAATAACATGAATAAGAATAGCGAGGATGATAGCGAAGACGAAGAAGACATCTCGTCTTCGAAACCGGCATCGAACGCGTCGGAGGCGTCCCATAGTCATTCGCTCGCGCGTTTGTATCGAGATGCGGTAAACATAGTCGCCTCGTATTCATTTACTCTCGGTGAAGATGAAACGGAAACACAAGCGTTAGTGCCATTTTGGGACATGCTAAACCATGCGCATCCGGCTTTAGCCTCGGTAAAGCTCTCCCACGACGCTTCTACCAATCGCTTGAACATGATTGCAGTTCGCGACATTCGCAAAGGTGACGAAATCTTTAATACTTACGGCGAATTATCCGATGGTGAATTGTTGCGTCGGTACGGGTTCCTACCCACCTCCAGCCGTAACCCGCACAATTCGGTTACGATATCTTTCAAAGAGCTCTTCGCGGCGTGCGATAAAGTCTACGGATTTGAGAATCCACGATTTGTGAGAAAGAAAGTCTTCGAGCTAACTAACGAAGGTACAACGAGTCGATTTAAGGTGCACCCGAACGGTCGGCCGTCGCGAAAGCTGATTGCAATCGCTGACGCCATATTCTCGGTCGAAGAAGACGATACCGACGACGAAGAAGAAGAAGAAGAAGCGTTCGAACTCGAAAAGAAAGACACCCGCGCCAACGAGATCACCGAAGCGTTAAACCTCGTCGCCATCCGCGCACTCACTCCAGGCAAACGCTACCCGACCGCTCGACGCGAAGCGTTCAAATCCATCCAAACGTTACTCGACCACGAGTCGAGAGCGAAACCGAGCCAAGTCAACTTTCGGGAAAACCGCGTCGATCGAAGACGCGTGACGATGGCTTTACGCGTCCGTCTGAGCGAACTTAAAACGTTCTCCATGCTCAGGAAATGGTTGAGAATGGGTAGAATGAAGAAATGGTTGTTGTAATACTGTTACTTAATAATGAACCGATCGCGCGAAGACCGAAAAGTCTTTATCCATTTTCACCACATTTTCCATAAAATCCTCCTCACTTCTACATTGTGTCACACGCGTATTTTAACTCTTCATATATATTATGTTTTTCATCGAGTGAGAGAGCTCTTCCTATGATAAGAATGGCAGAGGAGGAAGAACAGGAGGGAAAGAATCCACCTTCAGTCCTCCTCGTGGAGGCCATCTCGGCGGACGACAAAGACGACGCGTCGATGATGCAAATGATGATGACGACGAACGTGTGCGCGTACATTTCCTACTCCTACGCTAAAGTCATTAACTTCGCGGCGCGAGCCGTGCAAACGTGGGACCCACCACTCGACGACGACGCGTCGATGATTGAAGGGAAGAGCAAGGATGATGATGAGGTGCCGATGACGGAGCGACAAAAGGCGAGAGGGAAGGCGTGTTTAGGAGGAGGGCTGATTTCGGTGGTGGTGATTGCTTTGTGCGGGTTGGTGGTCTATCGCGGAGGAGGAGGAGGAAGACCTGGGACGGACGGAAGGATGTACTACTACGGGGGGTCTTCGTCGTACGAATCTGAAGTATCGAGCGGCGCGTCCGGTGGTTGGTTGGAGCAAGCGAGGGCGTTCTTGAGCAACGCGACTGGGGTGGAGGCGATGTTAGGGACGACGGATAACGAACACATGTTTCCTACGATATTGGAGGAGATACACGAAGACGCGTCGGCGTGCGACGCCAGAATTCGAGCGGCGCAAGTTCCGTATTTTTATAATCGACACTGCGCGTATCTGGGACGTTTAACGTCCGCCAACGCCGGCGAGGAGAGAAGGGATGCTTTGTTTGAACATTTAGCGAGAGATTTAGAGAGCCGATTCGCGAGGAATTACATCGCGTTTCTCGCAGAAACGAACGCGTATCGCTTGCGAGGCATGGGGAAGACCGATTGGGGGGTGGATGAAGACGCCGAGGAGAAATTAGGGATGTTTCCTTCTTTAATAAGAGAGGCGTTGGAGGAAGACGAGGAGAAGAAAGCTTCGGGGATACTCGCAGAGGAAAGCGTGGAGGAAAAGATCGAAGAGGCCGTCGTAGATACGTTAGCAAATAGCGAAGAGAAGAGAAGGAGCAGGAGAGCGTTGCTCGGTAGAAGTAGAAAACGCGCGCAATCCCGCATGTCGAAACATTCCGCCCATTTAAGGGACCTCGTTCGCATCGGGAACAACAATCATCTCGTCATATTAGCAATTGGAGCGAAAGAAGCGCCATTCGCGTTAGCCGCGGCGAGAGCGCTTCGGAAAAACGCTGTCCCGGGAGTGGCGAGAATATTCGAAGGCTCGCCGGAACAATTCTTCGCGTTGGAGCAAATGAAACTGGCTTTGCCGAACGTAAAGGATGCGAAACGATTGCGATTAGTCTCGAGTTTTGTCGGGAAGGCGAGGAAAACGAAGCAAGTGAGCAAAAAGGAAGTGTTTGGCTCAATCGGTGAAGCCGATTGGGGGCGGACGCAATATTTTGGTTCCGGTTTAGACGAAGAAGGAAAGCGAAAAGGCACGAAAATTGAGCTGTTACAACTGTCGCCTCGAGAAGCGATGGTAGGTGGCATTCCGATCATCTTATCCGCTGCGGACGAGCTACAGAGCGGTGTTCTCGATGGTTTGAGCGCGACTGGCGCGCTAGGCGACGGTATGCCTTCGGTGATCATCATGCGCGCGCACGCGTTGGGATTTGCCCCGGAGTTTAGTCAAAGATTTCCGTATTTCGTGTATGCCATCGCTCCTGGAACGCAACCGGACGAGGAAGAGAACAAGGACGAACCAGAATCGATAGAATTGTTTCGAGTGGATCATTTAGTGTGGTCGAAAGAGCTCGCGAACGTGGCCAAGCAAAGACGCGTTTTATTAGTCGCGTTTGCCAAAGATCGGTTCGAACCGTTTCGAAAGTGGGCAAACGATAGAGGTTTGTTCGCGTGCGGCGATTGCAACACGGGGACGTGTGACGTGACGACTAGAAGCCAAGAAGACTCGAAATGTGCGGAACTTGAGAGTCAGAAAGGCATGGACCAATGGGCCGAAGAGCTGAGGCAGTTGGTGAGAATGCGTGAAATAGGCTTTTAATGCTATTTACGCTTGTGTGCTTTGCAATAGTTTAATTGATTAGAAATCATCGATTGAGATCATCGGCGGATCTACGCAGGTGAATTTCCCGCTCATCCCGTACGTGCCCGCTCTCCGAACGATCCAAATCTTTGTAATCGCTTCAACATTTATCGTTCCGTTTATGCGCACAAACTCTTCGTTAATATTTCCATCGTTCTCATCGTCGTCATCGTCGTCGTCGTCGTCGTCTTCTTCTTCTTCTTTTTCTTCTTCTGTATCATCTCCTTCTTTCGTATTAGTATTAGTATTAGTATTAGTATTATCATTACTTTCATTCACCTTCTCGTCGACGTTCTCCTGATGTTCGCCCCGGTCTTCTTCCTCGCTCGTGCTCTCGTTCTCAACTTTATTCCTATACTCGTCCAAAACAATCTCCACGTCTCCATTGAGCCGTTCCGTTCTTAACTGCACGATGTAAAAAAATCCTTCCTCGTCTTTGTGACACTCGTTCAATTTTTTCTTCATCGCTCTCAGCGAAGAACACGCTTCCGTGCTGCCAATCTGTGCAAACTCCTTCGAAACGTACGTTTTTTTCTTCCTCCGATTTTCATGTTGCTTACTTTTCGACCACAACGAAGAAGAACTCACACTGCTGTCCGCGTTCTCCGTCAGCGGCAGTTGCGAGTGAAAATACTGCGCCTCGCACGCGTGATACAACGCCGTCCCTTCCTCGCGCTCCGCGAGTCGCTTTGCCACTTTTTCTGGATCAGCGGACTCCTCCTCTTCCCCGGGGGGGTGCAAATCTAAATCATCTAAATCGTGCGGCGCGGAATACACGCCAGGAAACGCGCAATAGCGGCGATAGAGTTCGTCGTTGCACAAACCGACGACGTCGGAGGCGTCTAATCTTTGCATATTTATTATATTAGTAGTGCTGCGAGAGGTATGCGCTGTGAAAGTAAGTGCAGTTGTATTTAAGTGTTTTGACTTTTTTTTCAAGTGGTAAAATGAAGCGTTACGAGTGAAAAGAAAGGAAAAAATTGGACATCATCACGCTTTAGAGCGCATATCGATGGAGTTTTTATGCGACAAAGATGGACGACGATTATACGCACTTTCATTCTACGTGTAATACTTTGACTTCTCTTTTTTACTACATCATTATTCTTTCTAAGAATCAATCACTTTTTGCTATGCATGTATACGTTTATATTACCCTAACATTTTCAAACACCTGGTTTCCGAGTGAATCTGATTACACTTCCTGCAACAAAATCTCATGCCGCAACGCGAGCACGTGTACGGGCTCGGAAATCCGCACACGGAGCAAAACTTTCTCGGCGCGCCGCTACTCGGCGGCCCAGCCGCGATGGACGTGTACGTAGGTATCCCGACCGGCGCTCGGTCTAACGCGTTCGCCTCTAACAGTTGATTGAACGTCCTCAGCGCTTTCGCCGATAACGCTTTACTCGAATCCCCGCCGGCTCCACGCGTCGCTCTCCCACCACCCTTCGCATTTGACCCCCCTCCTTCGCTTCCTCCTTTCTTTTTCTTCTTCGACGCCGGAACAATCTTCGTCATCGCCCCGTCCAACTTCGGTTCCTCGACCACGAACTCCTCGTCCATGGTGTCGCCTCCTCCTCCTTCGTCGTCGTCCGGTAACGCGTCCCGTTCTAACGCGTCTAACCTTGCAGAAATCGCCGCCTCTCGTCCAGCCGCGTCGACTTTACGCAACGCTTGCGCGATATTTCTCTGTCGAGAGGATTTGAGTCTCTGTTGGTCCGCCATGTTTACGTGTTTCTGTCTCTCTCTCTCCCTCTCTTTCCCCGCTTTAAGTGATTGGTGATTGCACCAATGAGACTCTGTTTTGCTCTGTTTACGCTTACTTACGCGCGTACTATTTATTCTCTCTCTCTCTCTGAATTCTCTCTCTCTCTCTTTCTCTCAAACAACGTCTCTGTGCGGTGTTGATCTCGCACGACTCGCGCCCGAAAGCAGCAAGCAACTCAAATATAATGAAGAGAAAAATCATCACTTTTTTCCCCAAACAACAACCCACTTTGGAGGATGATGATGACGATGCAAACGACTCCTCCTCACTCTGCAGGACGAACGAACTGCTTTTTATCCTCCTCCTTTTCCTCCTCGACTTCTTCTTCGCGTTCTCGTCGCGATGACCACCATTACCACCACCCCGCGACGACGACGGGGAAAAGAAGACGAACTCTGCGTTCGAGGAGGAGGACGAAAAGCAACGACGACAACAACAACAACAAAGCGGATGAAGAAGAAGACGAAGAAGAGAAAGAAGAAGAACTGAAGAAGACGAGGAGAGCGATGATGACGAAAATGGTGCTCTCTCTCTCCTCGAGTGGTGTTGGTGTCCTCCTCGCAACAAAAACAGAGGAGGCGAATGCTTTGCAACTGGCACCTCTGGGAAAACCAACGCGAATAGGAAACGAGAAGCGAACGGATGCGTCCATCGAAGAAATCAAAGAAATATTAAGGAGAGATTTACAACCGGTGGAGAAAAACGCAGATGGGACGTTCAGAGGCGCGTATTTCGTCACCGGGAACGTGACGCCGGAGATTTTCGAGGACGACTGTCGATTTATCGACCCGACGAATACGACGAAATCGCTGAGCAAATACGTCAACGCTTTGAAGATTTTATTCGATCCGGAGAACAGTTCGGTGGATTTGAGAAGCATAGAGGTGAAAGACGAGAATACTATAGTGGGTATTTATGATTGCGAGGGGTATTTAAAGCTGCCGTGGCACCCGCGAGTGAAACCATACACCGGGACGGTCACGTGGAAGACGAGCAAAAACGGTTTGATCGAAAGCCAAACGCAAGAATGGAGTGGTGTATCCGCCGCCGGCGCCATCATGGAGAGTTTTACGCCGAGTTAATGCTTACGTAAGTGGTGGTTTTTCGGGACGCGAGTGGTCTCGCCGTGATAATAACACAACGTCGTCATAGATTTAGATGTATAAATTTTACAATAGTAGTTTACGGCACGGCGACTAATATGCTCCCGGTCATTTCCTCTACTCGCGTCTTGAACACTTCGATCGGTTTCCTCTCTTTTTCCAACGCCTTCCCCAAAATCGGCACGCCTTTTCCAATCAATTTCGGACACCACTCCCCTTCTACCTCTCCGCTCTCCATATCGAACGCCGTCTGATGCGCGGGACACACGATGCACGGCGCTTTCGACCCTTCTCTCTTCGGCGCTTCCAATCCAGCGCTCAATAAAGCCGTCTTCCCTTGCATCGAAATACCTAAATGCGGGCACTTGTTCGAGACGCAATACAACTCGTCCATGAAATATTGTAACAAGACTTTCTTACCGTTCACTTCAACCACTCGACGCTGTTTGTCGCTCTGTTTCAGTTCCGAGACGGTAACGCCAGTCGGGTAGTACTCTTTTTCGTTACCCTTTTCCGTACTCTTTGTCGTGGTCTCGTTATTGCTGTTGCTCCTACTGCTACCGTTGCTACTGCTACTCGTACTCGCGTCGATGTTGTTGTTGTTCATGTTGTTCGTGTTACTTTCCCCGGCGGCGGTTCCTCCTCCACCTCCTTTCTTATTCACGTTCCTCATCCTGGCCGTCCAGACGGTCTCCCCTAACCCTTGCTCCGCTCTCGTCATCGCCGTCTCTCTCTCTTTCGCCTCTTTCCATATCCGTTTCAATCGTTTCGCTCGTCCTCTCAGCTCTTCTCTCCACAGTAAACTCCCCACGATCATCACGCACACGTCGCTCGCCGCCGCTAAGATTGGGTTTTCCAAACTCGACGATTGCTGCAAGATGTACACCAACTGCGCCGCCGCCACGGACGAGGAAATCGCGTACGTGGCTAACCGTGGGCGACGGAGTGGGACCGATTTGCGCTCGGCTTCGATGATGAACTGAGGGACCCCTTCCGCGCCGACGACGGTTTCGTCCGAAGAGGACGACGGACGGAAAATGTTAAATTGATTTTTTCCATTTCCGTCGTCAGATTCCTCCTCCTCGTCGTCGTTTACTCTCGCGTCGTCTGAATCGTTCCCTTTGCTCTTCCTCGCGAAAGTGTCGCTCTTGTTCTCGTCGTAATAAAGGGAGTTCTTTTGGTACCTCCTTCTCCCTCTTCGTCTCCCTCGATGATGATGAATACTCGATGGATAATTCGTCGAAGAACTCGTCGACGTGGAAGAAAAAGCGACCATTTGTCTGTTTTTTAATGACGATTTGAGAGAAAAAAAAAGCTTCCTGTCCAAAACGAGTGCGAGAACAACACTTCTTCGTCGCGACGACGACTTTCAACACTCTAAACGCATTCATGATTATGTACGCGCGGTATATACTATGGCTAAGAACGTATTCTTTTCTAATGAGTTTTACGTGTTGTTTGTTGTTGTTGTTCTTGTTGTTTCAATCGATCGACCAACGCGTCCGCGCTCGTTTCCGGTTTCGGAACGTTCAAGGAAGAAAGCGCGAGTAAAGTCGCCGAGGGAGAGTTCTTCACGTCCAATCCGTGGACGTATTTATCACCCCATAATTTTTCCGCGAGTTCGCCTTGCGTGCTTTTTTCGATGTTTACTCGACCGACGGCGTCGTCGACTCGCATTGGGCAGATATCGTTCCCGCAACAGGCTCGCGTGATCGGGTACCAGTAGTTGTTTCCGTAGGTAAGACCGTCGCCTCGATTTTGCCTTTGGTAAGCTTTTAACAGAGCGCCTTCGAAACCAAGTTCGAGTAATTCGTCGACGGTTCGTTTCAAGTGCGTGGCGTGTTCTTTTCGCGTCATTTCGTAGACTTCGTGGACGTCGTCTTCGGTCATCTTTTGGATTTTGCGTAAAAAGGGTTCCACGCCTTTCGGCCAATCGAAACCGACGAAATGGTCTTTGGCGTGGCATCGGTAGTCCATGGCGACGATCGGCGCCGTCCTCTCGCCGGCAGGTTGTGGACACGATAACGGGGTATTACCGCAACACACCGCGTTGTACCCTATGCGGTAGACTTCGAATTTCTGTCCGCCTGGAAGTAACAAAGAATTCGTCGGGCCGAAACAGCCTTCGGAGTCGATGAGCGTGACGTCGCCTTCTTCGGTGACAAATACGTTTTGACCGTGTCTGTCTTGCTCGGAAAAGAGCAAATCAAACGTGGCAGCTTTGATGACTTCTTCGTGTTTGATGTTTTTGAACATCTCCACTGTGTCTTGCGCGACCGAGCTTCCGTAAACGGCTTCGATTGAGTAGCCTTTGGCGACCTCGTAAAATTGCGAGCGCACGTCAATTTTGTGGCCTTGGACCGCGTGTCCGTCCCACGGTAAAAAGGTTTTCACGGAACCAGTCCACGTTCGAGGGACGACGCCGGTTAAATTTGAATCTACAGTCAGTTTGTCGAGCGCGTTGAGAAATTTGTAGTTGCACTCGCCGTACGCGTGAATGCCGCCTTTAATCGGACACTGGGTGTTTTTCGATTGCGTCTCTTCGTTGCACGTCAACGGATGCTTCGCGGCGGTTTCCGGGTGCTGCTTGTACCCACCGAAATCGCACCAGGACTTTATGATCACGTTGCCGTGTTCTTTCGTGTACCCTCTCACGACGGCTGCTCCGGAAGCGCCGGCAAACATCTTCACTTTCTTACCGTGCAAATTTTGATTCGATTCCAACCGCGACAAGACGACGTTACACCCGAAGCACTTTTTGCAGTGGATTTTTCCATCGCGCGTCGTCCCCGACGCAGTTTCCTTCGCTTTCGCCGCTTTCCCCGTATCCACGCCTTTTGGCGGCTCCTCCACCGAGCACATCTCGCACGTGTCGCACGTGTCGTACGTCCCGTACGCCACCGTCCCTGCCGCTAACGCGCTTTCGTCCACCGGGACGAAACCATCGTCGTCGCCCTTTTCCCCCGTCGACGGGGCCGCCTCAGCCACCGACGCTTCCCGCGCGACCACCACCGCTAACTTCCTCTCCTTCTCTTTCCTCTCCTTCTCTAACAGCTCTAACTTTCTCCTCGTCTCTTCCTCGTTCCTTTCTTCTTTCCGGTTTCCGGCTCCCTCTTCCTTTTCCTCGGCCTCCTGCTCCTTCTTGAAATTCTCCAACGCCCTCAAAATCTCCTCTCTCTTCTTCCGCGGAATCTTTCGGAACAGTTTCAACGCCAAATCGGACTCTTCTTCTTTCCCTGCTGCCACGTTTGGTGATGTTGCTTTTCCAGCAATCGCGTCGTTGTTTTTGTCGTCGTTGTTGTTCTTCTCGACGACTTTTGCTCGATGTTCCCATCGATCTTCCCACCCAGACTTCTCCTCCTTTTCCTCCGCGCTCACGCTCTGCGCTTCTCCTTCTCGTCGAACCAATAATCGCTTCTCTTTGAACAGCTTGTGGTGTCGGTGCCACTTCGCGATGGTTTCCGCCGGGACGACCGGTTTCTTCTCCGCGAGAACGACCGGGATTTCGACATCGAGCAGGAGGAGGAAAAGCACGAACGCGCAACAAAGAAAACTTCCCCGAGAAAGGAAGAAGAGTAAGACGCGCATCGCGACGACGAGAACACGGACGAAACCACGAAACGCGAGGAGAGTTTTAGCGCATCATCCGTCGCGCTTTTGAGCGGTGCGCTTCTCTTCGTCTTTCTTCTTTGTCTTCTTCTCGTGAACGACGGTAGTGCGCGTTTTTTTTGTGGAGTTTTTTCTGTAGGGGAGAAGACCAGAGTTCCTGTTATACGAGTAGCTTGACCTTTTACAACGCAGGCGAGAGGTACGTTACAAACACTATCTTAACATCTCTTCAATTCTTCATCGTCATCGTTCTCTGTATTAGCGAACTTTGGTTCTCATATCTTTCAATGTGCGCGCGATTTCACACATGCTCGGTCGATCTTTTGGCGTTCGTTTCCAGCACTTTTGAATCAGAAGTTTAGCTTCTTCCCAGTCGCCGACTTTCTCGCAGTCCAAGCGCTCGTCGTTGCAAACGGCGAAGGCTATTTGTACCGGGTGTTGGACGTGAGACCAAGGAGTTTCGCCGGAGAGGCATTCCCAGGATAAGATGGCGAGAGCGTATACGTCGATGCCGAATGTTGTCGTTGGGTTTGTGTCCAAGGAGCGGTCGAAGAGTTCCGGGGCCATGTACGCCGGCGTTCCGACGACGTTTTTATTGTTGTTGTTGTTGTTTTGCTCTTTCGGGTCGTTGGTTCCTTTGGTGTTTTGTAAGAACGCGATGGATTGTTGCGTGGTGACCATGCCGGTGATTTGTGCGACTCGAGCGCATCCAACGTCGCATATTTTCGCACCCGATCCGTTCAATAATACGTTGTGTGACTTTAAATCGCCGTGCGTGATTTTCAATTCGTGCAAATACGCGCATCCCGCCGCGACGTCGGAGGCGACGCGGAGAAACTCCAATCGAGTCAGTCGCCGGTTTTTCCTATTCTCGCGATCGTTTTCGTGTAAAACCTGGAACAGACTTTTTGACATGAGTTCCATGACGACGCAGAGTTGATGATCTTTATCGTCCGTACACGCGCCGTAAAATGTGACTATGTTCACATGCGATAATCTGCTGAGAAGAGATATTTCGCATTCAAACGCGGTTTTTTCTTTCCGCGATAACGTCGATTTACCCGCGTGTAACGTTTTCACAGCCACTGGAAAGCCTTTGTACGTACCTTCACACACGACGCCGTATGCGCCGCGTCCTATGGCGCGTCCGATCTTAACGTCAGCGAGTGTAATTTTGAACTCGTTCTTTCGCAACTCGTGCGCGCGCCATCCTTTTTTTTCCTTGCCGGCAGATTCTCCATCTCTGTCGCGACCTTGAGAAGCGAATAAACCAGTATCAAACATTCGAGCGAGCGATTGTACGTATCCGTTTATACTGTTGTACGTTTCAATCGATTGCGACGCGTACTTTAAATCCATGAGTTCCGATGAAGAAGATGTTCCTTCGTCTCCCCCGGCGCCTTCGTCCTTATTACAATCCAGCCTTTTTCGCGACGACGCGACATCGCATTCAAACTCCATGGTCATCGTTCCGTCGTTTTCGAAGATCGAAGTGTGCCTCGATTGAGGCCTTCGTAACGCGTGCACGGTGACTGTTTCGCTGACATTTGTGTGATGATGATGATGTGCTTTTGAAACTATGATGCCTTCGAGATCGATATCGACCGAAACATCCGTTTGACCGGGCAACAAGTGCGTGAGCTTACGAGAAATCTCGGGAGCGCAGCTTTCCAAATCTTTCGCTAAACGTTTCATGCATCGCCTCGAAATTTCCGTAATTATCGCAATCAAAACTAAACCGATAACAATCAATCCCGAAATTGAACCAAACGTACCGATATTAGATGGAAGCTTTGAACTTTTGGGCATTCGAGCGCCTCGATCGAGCGCTTGCGCTAAAGGCGAGAGCGGCACGACCTTTGAATTCTGAAAAGAGGCATCAAAAACGCTCGGCGATGAGTGTTCGAACGTATCAAATGCTTCTGTTGGTCCAGACATGCTAGTAACGTTACCATCGTCCGAAGGTGAATTAACTCCGTTCCCGCCGATTGGCTCGATGAGGATTCGAGGCGGCGGAGGAGGAGGTGAAAGAAACTGTCCGCAACACCAAGAGTACGACGTTTCTCCACACGCCGTTGTCTCGCTCGAGACTCTATCGCACCATTGACCATTATATGCTAAAGATACCAAATTTCCAGCTCGTTTTGTGGAGTTGTTGTTCGACAGCGCGCCTTCCTCGAACATCGCGGAACCCAAAAAACCAAACTCATACGTCCCCCCGTCGCCGGCTACTCCTCGAAAGAGCATTCTGTTCACCGCGCGAGCGGGCATACCGTTCGCGCCACCAGGATTGATCAATACCGCGCGATCATCGACTCGACCATCGGCGATGCCTTGTCCGTACGCGAAAACATAAGTGACCTGAAAAGATTTGTCCTCTTCCAACTTATTATTTCTCCAACGAATGGTCGCGGGAAAGGTGTACTCCTTATCTTCTTCTTCTTCTTCTTCTTCTTTTGCGATACTCGAAGAGGCTTCCGAGTTGTCGACGAAAGTATCTGCTCCACTATTCGTCGATGCACCATCGCTTATTATCGACAACGGACCGACGCCGTACTCGACATCTACCGAGCACAGCCGAGATAATTTTTCAAAAGGGTCCTTACTCGCGACTGCGCTTTCGTCGCATAAACTAGACTCATCAGATACGGACGAGAACGACGACGACGTCGTCGGTTCTCCCACAACTCCCGTTTGAGAAGACGTTGCGAGTAGGGCCGCACTCGCGACGGTGCAAAATGCTCTTCTCGTCTTCGCGCTCCGCATAATGCCGGGCGAAAGGAAATTTTTCTCTTCGCCTCGAAAAAATATCAAAAGCAATATTTCCCCTAGTTGCGACAAACTCAGCATTTTTATTCATCATCCGCCACCACTCTTTCCTCCTCTATTGCATCTTCGAATACTTCTTCTTTAACGATACACTCACTCTCAGCTTTTGACGACGATGATGTCCCGAAACTGCTCTTCTTTAATATCCCCCTTGCAGGCAACGGCGGCAATCCCCCGCCCGCCTCCTTCGATATCGCCCACGGCGCGACGCCGTCCCCTCCGCTCATAGATTTGCCAACCATCCGTCCTAACAGACTCTTTCCTTCTTCCCTCTCTTTCATCGCACTCTTCTTCTTCTTAGAAGATGATGATGTAAACGCATCGCCGGAACTCTTAAACGCTCGAAACTGATGCTCGTTGGTCTTGCCTCTCGTGCTCCTCAGCGGTTGCTTAAACGCGTATCTATCGCTTTCGTATCTCTCGCTCTCCCTGTTCAGTTTCACCCACACGTTCTCCTCTCGGTCTACTTTCACCTCGTGCGTTCTTTGCCTCCGCGCGACGGTTTTGCGTTCTTTCGTGAACGCGTCGAAGTACACGCGTTCCCCGCTTTTGCCGACGTCGATTTTATAATGGTGCCACGGGCAAACAATCACGCAGGATGACGAAGAAGAAGCATCACTACAGTTGCTCGCGCTCCCGAAACTGTTGCCGCTGCACACATCGTCCTCGATGTCCGCGTGCAACAAAGGCGCGCCCATGTGGTAACACGTCGCGTCGAAGCATAAAAATTGTTGGTGATGATGTTGGACGTCATCTTTATCGTCGTTTTCATCGTCATCCTTCTTCTCGGCCTTCTTCGACGGCGAGAAAGGGTTCACCATCAAAACGACGAATCGATTCTCGATTTCCAATTGCATTCGATGATTTGTGTTCCTTACGAACGGGTGGACCGTCGTACCGGCAAAGTGCCAATTTGTATCGTCGTCTTTCGGAACAACAACGACAGAATCTTCTCTTTGGTCTTCCATTTTGTTCATCGCGTGGTGGTGTTATCGATTCATATTCACGCGTAGTATTATGAATAGGGGAATTTCCAAAACGTCTCCTCATTCCTATCCCTCGAAATGTTCTCGCGCGGTGCGCACGCGACGACGAATACCAACACTAAAAGAGCGCACAAAGCGAGAGCGCGAAAGTTCTTCGTTTTAGTATTCTCCGCTCTTTTATTGTTTTCGTTGGCGAAGGTGTTTTTGCGTGCCAAAGAGGACGACGATGTTGATGTCGCGCGAAAGCAGCAGATGCAGATGCAACAGGTGCAGATGCAGACGCGGGGGAAGAGAAGAAGAAGAAGAAGAAGGAGCGGAGAACAAGAACAAGAAGAAGAAGAAGAAGAAGAGAGTGTGGCGATGGATGCGTCGAACAACGCGAGCGGGAGAAGGAGAGATCATGACGACGACGGAGAAGAAGAAGAAGAAGAAGAAGCGCCTTCCTTTCATCCACCACCACCAACAACAACAACAACGACAGCGCCATCATCGCCTGTGTCTCCTCCAGCAGCAGCATTTGCTGTTTCATCGAAGAACCGACGTTTCGTGGGCGACATCAAACTGCACGCCTCCCTGGTCTCGCTCGTCGAGCGGAGAGCGACGCCGAGGAAGAAACAACTGATTTTGACAACCTTTGACGAACGGTCGTACGTGTTCGCGTTACATCACGCGTTGAATGTGGAGAGGGTGTTACGGGAGAGCGAGTTTAGCGATAGTAGTAGTAGTCGTAGAGGAGGAGAAGAAGAAGAAGAAGAAGAAGAAGATATTGGCGGGTGGGTCGCGTTGACGTATAAGGAAGAGACATGCGTCGAGTTTGAACGGTTGTGGAAGTTGGCGCACGAGCACAATTATCGCGACGAAGACGTGGAACGAGGGAAGGAGAGACGGACGTTGAAGAGTGAGATTGGGTGCGTTTGGGATTCTCGGTTTAGCGGTCCAGACGGGACGGTATGGACGGCGTTGAATTATATTCACGAGAATTTGGTGAGAGCGGTGACGGAACACGGACACTTGTTGTGGATGGCAAGGTGGGATTTGATGGCAAGGATTGCGTTAAGAGGCGTTCAAGTGATTGGTTCCGATGCGGACGTGGTCTTTACGACGAACCCGTTCCCGTTTTTGACTGAAGGCGCGTTGGGAAAGTTTACTGTGATGATTGCGGAGGAAAGTCACGAAAGTGGCCACGCTCAGTGCGGGATGTCATTTTTAAACGGCCAGAAAATGAGAGCGGATGGACCGAGCGTGAAGTTGATCGCGGACGTGCCTTTTATTTTAAGACGCGTGATTGACGCGGCGAAAGACTTTCCGGATTTTAGGAGGAATTACCTGTACAGGAAGATTACGAGAGAGAAAGATATCGGCCACGGGGTGACCATCTTCTTCGATCAACATTTGTTCAAGGATTCTATAATCACGCACGCGAGAGGACATCGGTCGTTTACGTTTTTCTTTGGCGATGGAATCAACAACTGGGGTAACACGAAAGATTTCATGGATGCTGGGTTAGGAAGAGATCGTCAGCACAGTCACGGAACCGGCGGGTATAAATGGGAACGAGAGGTGATGAGCGAGGCGAGCGGGTACGACGAAATGCAACTCGAACGGTTCGGTATTTACTCTGACGACGTACAAAAGCATCACATTTTATGGACGCCGCTGACAAATAAACCATTAGGTAAGGAATCGATCGAAGACTTTAGTTCGTCTAATGTTGGTGAAGGTCCGGATGACTTTAAGAAGATGGTGTCGTATTTGAAGTCTTGGAAAGAGAAGAAGGAGAGAAACGAGCTCACGCAAGACGACGAGAAGAGAAAAGCGGAAGACGCGATTGGCGCCTTGGAACGATTGACGGTTGGCGCAACCGACGAAGAGATTGCAGAAGGCCCGTTCTTAGGTAGCAAAGGATACAATCCGTTGCCTCCAATGGATAATTTCGTGCCGAATGGTAATTTGCTCGCGCGATCGTACATCCTCGAGTTAGAACGCGAAATCCGAGAATCGCCACTTCCGAAACGGCACCCAAAAGGCAGAAAACCTTCGAATGACGAAGAAGTAGAGGAAGATGATCAAGAATTGTTCGCTTTCTTACCGCAGTGGCTCGTGCAAACGTGGCGTGTGGGTGCTCTCGGCACTTTTGTAGACCCGTCTAGATTACGGGACGCGAAGAAGGACGCGAGAGCGGTGGCGTTCCACGCGACCAACGCTTGGGATAAAGTAGGCACGTTAAAATCGATTGGGTTATGGGACGAGCGCGTGGATGTTGCTTTACGAGAAAACACCGCGCGTCACAAATTGGCACACAGACAACGCGTCAAAGCGGTCGCGTACGTACCTGAAATCGACTCGCAACCGCAAACCTTTTTACAATTTGACGTCAAAGAAGATTTCGTCCTCGCTGGCTTTTACGGTTTAGCGATGGTGGCAAAGAAAAGCGGTCGAGAAATGGTGGCGCCTCGACCACCGTGTGCATCTAAATGGATTCGATATTTCACCGATCAGAGAAGATGGTTGGAGAAACCGTACAAGTTCCGCAAGTGCACGCACCCGTTTTGCGACGAGTGGAAAATCGTCCCGGTGTTGCGCAAGAATTTCAACGAACACGAGGAACGCGAGGAAATGGATTTATCGAAGAAATATAGGTGCGAAATTCAAGGCGAGTCGATTATTGACGAAGACCCGGATCGGAACAAGAACAAAAGATTAGCCTGGGGGAACGCGTGTAAACATAGTCGCGACAATCCGAAAGGTTTAGCGCCTTCAGATTTGGATTTTTACATGAAAGTCTTCCCGGACGTAAAACCAAACGGCGGTGCGAAAAGTTTCGAATTGCAAATCCCATCCTCAGCGGTAAAAGATGAGAAATCAGGTATTTACTCGCTGACGGCGCAAGAGCTTTCTGATATGATTCGAACTGCGGACGAGAACGCAGACGTGTGGTACCTTTCGAAACCTATAGCGCCTGATTTTACGAGAAACGCGACGACGGTTGAGGACAACGACGCGAACACGATGATGCGATTCGATGCTTTGCATTATTGCACCGTTTAGATGATGATGAAAAATTGTTATGTATTTAGGAAGTAGTATTTTAGTCAGAATTAAAATCTGTCTGGTCGGTCTATATGTACAAAAAAATGATTCGTGTCGCGTCGTCGATGAATGTACGTTAAATCATATATTTCTCTCGCGCATTCGCGCACCGCCTTCCTCTTCTTATTTCTCTCTATACGTTCGCTTCTTCTCTTATAAATATTAATTATAATCATCCAAAAGGCAGGAGAACAGAACAGAGTTCCAAAATATGTGTCTTGAACATATTTACATCTTGTCGCTGACCTTGGCGCACAACAAAGCCATGCCGCCGCAAAACGCCGCGTTCGCGATCAACTGTTCCGGCTTAAAATCGTCCTTTTGCATGGCCATGATCGGCAACGCGGTACCCCACGCGACCGCGGCGCCTTGCATTTGTTGCTTCGTCGCGACTTTTCTCGACATCAACATCGTGATGCCGTTACCGACCAACGCTTGGCCCATCCACGCTTGCCACTTCGGCGAGGCTTCAACCGCGCCCTTCTTGTAATAGAAATCGTTCGCGAATTCCGGGGCGAGGAGCATTTGCGCGCCGTAGTTGCACTAATGTTTTAATAATTAATCGTCGTTCCATCAAAATCATCGTTTTTGTCATCACGACGGAAAGAGAGAGAGAGAGAGAGAGAGAGAGAGTACAAAAAATGTCAGCACACGTCAAACCCAAAGGGGTCGACAAAACGCAAAAAAAAGGAATAAATTCTCTTTCTCATAAAAACCATAATTACGATCGGAAATGCGCGTCCTTTCCGCTGCTCTCCTCAAATCGATTTTCTCGAACTTTATCCATAAACGATCGAAAACGAAAAAGTTCTTCGCGTTTGTATTTATTTATTTTAGTCGTTGGTCGTCAGAGAGCGCGCCGCCGCCGCCCGAGAAAGAGAGAGAGACAAAAAGAGGTTCGTTGGTTGGGGGAATTCGTTTTTAATCCATCGCGCGAAATCCACAAACACAAAACTCTTCTTTCGTCTCGAAAAACGACTCCTCCGAAAACGAAAACGAAAACGAAAGCAAAGTAGGAATAACAAGACGCACCATGCCGACGCCGGCAAGAGTCATGGTCGTTTCTGGTGATGGTAAAGATGGCATTTTTATTAGAGAGTAGTTTATAACGTGTGTGTAGTTGTGTGTGAATTTGTGAGCAACACGAGGTAAAAAAAGACGTGTCGAGATGAGTCACGATGACGTTATTCGAGTAGATATTTTCCGAGGCAACCCAAGGAGAAAAAAGACGCTTTTTCCTTCTTTTTCACTTTTTTTTGTTGCAGTCGAACAACACGCACTCGAACAAAAACAGAGAGAAATGTTGCATTTTTCGAACATTAAGAAGTGATATATTACGCACAGACAGACACGCATCATGTACGCGCGCGTTGCATAAAAATGACCCCGCGTTCTTCTTCTTCTCACTCCCGCTGCTCGTTCCTTTTCTCCCTCTTCTTTTTCTTCCTCTGCGTCTTCTTTCTTTTTGACCGACTTTTCGGTTTTGGATTGGTCGTTTCGGGAGGAGGAGGAGGAGGAGGAGGAATGAACGAGGAAACTGAAACTATGACGACGACGACGACGAAGAATCAAAGAAAAGGGGAAGAAGAAGAAGAAGACGGAAGAAATATGCTCGCATCCTCTCGAGCGTTTCCAGCGCCAGATTTCCTGAACGTCCTTTCCAGACGCGATTTATTCGACGATGTCGGTTGGTCCAACCAAGTGCCGATTAATGCGCTCACGGCATCTGGTCAGGAGGTTTGGCCCATCGGGTACGCGGATGTGTTCGGGAAACAGAAAAAGAAGAACAAAACGGGGAGAGTACGACGACCGGACGTGTTTCTCTCGAGTAAAAACGGCAAATTTGACAAAATAACATTGTACGAGCACGTGGCGTCAGACGACGGGAGAACGTTCGCGCCGTTCTTTTTCCGACGGAACCACGTCACGCATCCGTTTTCCGGATTGAAACCACCGAAAGCGAAGTGCGTTTCGCAAAATAAAGAGACGAAGGAGATATTTGGATTCTTCGTCGTGGAAGGGACTATTTTGGCGAGGAGCCGGTACGACGAGGCGAGCGGCGGGTTCGTCGGGAGGAAAGAGATACACGTGACTGGGATACGAGGGAATTGGAAGGAGATTGAGAACGTGGTGTGCGTGCCCGGGAGGACAGATTTTGTGTATTTATTGGTGAATGATTACAGGAAGGTGAAAGGGAGAGAGTTTGATCGAGAGCGAGCTAGAATCTTGTGGAAGTACGAGGCGCCGAGGTACGATCCCACGGACGGCGGTGGGGCACGCAACGAGGAGACGAATAGTAATAGAGGTAGTGTTAGTAGCAGTGGTAGCAGTAGAGATAGCAGCAGCAGCGATAATGATAATAATAGCGACGCAGATAACAACAACAAAGGAGACATTGAAACTTCAATTTGGAAATTGGAGGTTGGCGAAGCCGAAGACGCAAAGGACAGCGCGCGAGCGAAGAAAGCGAAAATGCCGCCGCCGTCCGCTTCGAGCGATGACGAAATCGATCGGTTACCGATTGTTTCTGCTTTTGGATTAGAAGATGGAAGTATACTTCTCGGCCACTCGGGTGGTGAAATTACGATGTATAGGAAGAATCCGAAAAGTACCAGCGAAGGTAACGAGAATGAGGATGATTTCATCGCGCACGAGCGCGTTTTAACCGCTCCCGGGAACGCGCCGTTGAATGCACATCCTACGCCAAACGCGGTGCCGATGCCGTATCCGTACGCGAGTGACCACGACGATGACAACAATAATAACGATGCAAACGATGGTAGCAAGAAGATGAGGATGACTTCGTCGTCCGTAATGCCGTTCGATCTCCTCGTCGGCGGCGTTGGAAGTTTGTACCATTACAAACGGTACGTCGCTTCTACTCCTTATTCTCGCATCAAAAAATCCGCAGCCTCTGGGTTGAGCACAGAAGCCACGAATACTAAAATGGTTTTCTATCCACCGCGCGTTTGTGGAGAAGAAGATGCGGATACGTTTGTTGCCTCTTTAGGTACTATATCTCTCGTTGATCTCGATAACGACGGTCGTGAAGATATAGTTTCTGGCAGCGCAGAAGGCGTCTTGTACGCGCTTAAAAATGTTGGCACGAATGCGCAACCGTCGTACATGCCTCCGAGCGCGATTGAGACGGAATCTGAAATACTGAGACTCGTTCCAGACGGTAGTAACAAAATATCTTTGCATGGACCGCGTGAGTCTCGATTTGGTTACACCACCGTCGCGACTTTCGATTGGAACCAGGACGGTAAATTTGACATTCTCGTGAATGATTTTTCCGGAGAGATGTCACTCTTGGAAAACGTCGGTAAACCGTCGGCGATGAAATTTGACGCGTTGAAGAAACTCTACCGAGAAATGGAAAGCGGTAAAAGAGAGGTTTTCAAAACAGAATGGCAAGTGAAACCGTTCGTCGGCACGATTGGGAAGAAAATCATCGTCGTCGCGCCGTGTCCAGACACGAGCATTTTGCTCGTTTTTGAAAAAATAGGCGACGCGTTGGTGAAGAAAATTGGCGCGTTGAAAATGAACGACGAAAAGGAAACGCGCATTTCCACGCACACGTTACGCGGTGGGGCGAGAGGACGTCTATCGATCGATATCGTTGATTTCGATGGGGACGATGTTTTGGACGTTTTGATTACGGCGCCGAAACACGCGAGCGTTCCGGATCCAGAGCACGGTTTGCCTCTACACGTCGGGCATTATCAAGCCGCGCTTCTGTTTCTGAAAGGTTCATCCGATATTAAAGGAGATACCGAGAGTGATATAAACACTGTGCGTTTCAACTTTCCGGAGATTGTCGAGTACAAAGGTGAGCCGATGTACGTGGGCAAATTGCAAGGTTCGGTCGTGGCGACGAGCGTCATTGGAACTTCGTTATCGGAAACGTCTAGTTCTCTACCTAATCTGATGGTCGTGTGCGACGCCGGGCGCGTGTATTGGTACGATCGCAAAGACCTGTCGACGCGTTCCATCAAATCGTTCGTTCAGGCGACTTCATCGAAAAAGAGCAATAGCAGTAACGATAAGAAAAAGAATAAGCCGGCGTCCCGAGAACTCGAACGGGGCTGGGCTGTTCAATTTTTATCCGGCACGGCTTCGCCGCAGTGTAAAGCGTTTGACGGCGGACTCGTCGACTTCTCCGCGCTCGCCTTTGATGCCGCGACGTATACTGGTAGTGGTAGTGGTAGTGATGGTTCTTTCGGAGATAGAAATACTGCGACCGCATCTACATTCTCGACGGTTTTACTCTTGCTTATCCTTTTCGCGTGCGTCGTCATCGCCGGCGTCGGCTGGTCGCGATTCTGGTTTTGGGCGCGAGGTCAAGTCGCTGCAAGATTTAACGTCAGTTTAGGAAGAACCGAACGCCGCGAGGTGTAATGATGAAATCATGTGGTTAAAATTGTAATCCTGTCGAGCGCTCGCTCTCACCTAAGTAGCTATGATATCTCTTTTACAAATCTACGATGAACTCTCTACTCGCTCACTTTTTCTTGTCTGCGAGACTTTCATCCATCACCACGTACTCTCTCGTCGACGAACCAAACTGCACGCAATCCGACCCTTTCAATCGGTAATACTTCTTCGCCTCGATGACTTTCCCATTCAATTTCGTCTTATTCGTGCTCCCGTTATCGTACAAATACCCAGCCACGTCATCTTTCGTCTCTCCGTACACGTCCGTCTTCCTCTGGTTCCGAAACTGCAACACCGCGTGTTGCTTCGAACAACTCGGATGGTCCGTCGGAATATCCACCGCGTCTCGATCCCGCCCGAAAATATACCTACTCTTGTTAGCTAAACTTATCGGTTTCTCAATCTCTTCGTCCCCTTTGAACGTGTACAACCGTAATCGCAATCCGTAGCGTTCAGGTGCGCACTTGTCCTCTGGTTCGTCGTAATCGATAAACGTCCCTCGTTCGTTCGCGTTCGCTTCTTGCCGTAAAAGAGACGAGAGTTCAAACGTTGGTTTTGCCTTTGGGAGTTCAGGAAGGTTTTCTGTTTCCGGAAACGCGTTCAGGTTGTTCCCGTTCGCGTCGACGCCAAACAACACTTTTGCTCGGGGTTTCTTCCTCTCGTTTGTATCGTCATCATCATCATCACCATCGTCCTCCTTCTCCTTCGCGTCGTCCTTTCCGTCGTTTCCAAAGACCGGCGGCGAATTTGGCGCTTCTTCTCCCCTTCTTCTTCTTCTCCTCCTCTCGTATTCTTCGTCGCTAGAACGACCGCTCAACTCCGCGTCGGAGTCAAAATGGTGTCTCCACCTCCTTCTGTTGTCCTCGGGAGGTGATGCGCGCGAGGCGCTGCGGCCAGGACGAGAGTCTTCTCCCATTCGATCAGTAGGGGAAAAAAAGTGAAGAGACGGACACTTGTTGTCTCCACTTTCAAGACCCCTCAAACATCCATTCATCGTCTCTGTATCATGTCTCCGTCTCCTTCCTCTGCTGGCGCTGCGAGTACCCAGAACGATGATGATCTAGAATTTGGCGGCGGGAAACCAAAGACGAGAACAACAACAATAACAAAAAGACGAAGACTCACATCGCTCAAAGCATCCATTCGCAATTCGCTTTCCAATCAACTGTCCATTTTCACGAGCAAGAAACACTTGCGCTTGAGGAAGCAAGGGGAGTTATTCACACAAATCGTGTTTCTAGTGTACGTGACGAGCTGCGTGATGCTCGTTGGTAAAGAGAACGTGGAGAATATAAGCGCGTGTGGGTATAATTCGGTCGTGCCTTGGTACGTGGGGATTCTGTTTTATGCCTCGGCGACGGCGAGCAACCACTCGTGTTTGTGGTACGTGGTTCGATCGGTGAGAGCGGATGAGAACACGAGACGAGCGACGATGAGGATGGTTTTTGGTATGATTTCTGTCGTGAGTTTGTATTTGACGATGTATTTTCCGAGGTGTTTTTGGCAGTGTCATCAGACGAGCGTCTGGATGTGGGCGATATCGACGAGCGCGTTGATGACGATGAGAGGGGAGGAGACGGAGGATGCGAAGAAAAGTAGCGAGACTAGAACGAAGAGTAGCAAAAACGGTAGCAAAGCAGATGCTCGCGAAGGTGGTGAAAACGAAGGCGACGACGACACCACCATTGCCGAGAACAACATCGGCTTAAAACTATTGGCGCAACATCACGCTCTGACGAAACCGCCGGTAAAAATGTACCTCTATCCTTTCCTGTGGTTCTCCGGTTTCCTCATCTGCGTCGCGTTATACTACGAAAACAACTACTACTTCTTCTTCGGAGAATCCATGGCGAGCATGGCGTACAGCGCGTGGGTCATGTCCAAGCACTTAGGCAGCACCGAAGGAGGAGGAGGAGCAGGAGGAGAAAAGAGCAGCGGTACGAGCGGTAGTAAACTATGGCCGCCGCGAAACTACGGCCTTCGCGAATACCTCTGCGACGCCTCCGTGGGATGTTTCTTATACTACCTCTGCGAGGTTATAAATCGCCCGCGAATGTGCCCGAGAGGTAAAATCTTCGCCGGACCTTCCTTGCTGCCATTTTTTATTTAATTTAGTCTTTCTAGCGTTCACGTTTATTAGTTGATTGATGATGCGCGTAAGAGCGCTTTGCACGAGAGAGTTTGTGGGGTGACACGTGGCAAAAACTTTCATCGTATCATCCAAAACACAAAATCAAATCTTCACATTCGAAACGCGTTTAGTCATCCTCCCTATTGTATTGTAAAATGTTTGCCTCGAAAGCGCAGCACTTGCGCGGTTCTGCCACCATTAAATCCGCAAATTCTCGACGCTCTTTCAAAGTCTCCGCTGTGTCGGTAAACACGGGCATTAAAAAAACCGATCTGAAAGACGGCAAGTTTGTCTTTGAGAGCGACACCAAAGGTCGAATCTTGATCCAAGAGTTCATGGGCGAACTCTACGCCATCAACAACAAGTGCCCGCATTTAGGTTTACCGCTTCAAGGAAAAACGCCGTTGCTTTCTGCCACGTGCACGAAAAACGGCGGCGTCGTGTGTTCCGTCCACGGTTCCGGTGCGTTGTTTTGCATTTCATTTTCCATTCATATCTTACTCATAAAACATCATCTCATCATCTTAATCAAAACGACAGAGTTCGATTTAAAAACGGGCGCCAATGTGGGCGAGTGGTGTCCTAAAGTTCCCACGTTGCCGGTGATTGGGAAACCCATGGCGGGTGAGCCGAAACCAGCCGAGGTGTACCCGGTGTCCGTGGACGAAAACTCCGGCGAGATTGTTTTAGAGTTGTAATAGTATTCGTTTTTCCCCCAAAAGCATCTTAAATCACCACAAAAAAACACATCAATATATCACGGCATAAACATCCCAGAAGAGCGCGCGTCCGTCTGCCCGTCTGTCTGAAACGCGCAGAGCAGAACACGGTAAAGTATGAGATCGACGAGCTTGGACGCTCCTTTATATTGGACCGCCCTCGTGGCCTTCTTTTCGTGCTTGGGATTTTTAGTCATGGTGCTTAAAAACAACTCGTCGTCCTCGTCTGTTTCAACTTCGGATGAGACGATGAGAATGAATGATCAATATCATCTGGGATCCTCCTCCGCGTCTTCACACACGCACCCTTTATCGGACGCATCTCGCCTCGCTCGAGATAAATTCGAACGAGGGCAGTGGCGATTCGAGGACCGGCCGAAACCGTTGTCCAAACCGCAAAGCGAAGAGGTGCGATTTTTAGGGTGGACGTTGTACGAGGAAAGCGGGAGGGACCACGCGAATAGGAAAATGCAACGGAGAGAAGAGATGGATTACGAAAGGAGGAATCGAGTCATCGGGGAGAGAGATGTGGACGTGGTGAGGAGCGAAGAGGATGAGGAGGAAGAGGAAGATGCGTTTGATGGAGATGGAGAGGAGGAAGACAGGCAGCGCGGAGGAGCGGAGACGAGGACGAGGACGAGCGCCGATCATCGAGAAGGAACGGACGAAGAGGAGGAGAATAGCGATTTTGGAGGAGAGAATAGTGGTGGAGAAAAGAAATGCGAAGCACAGACACCGTGCGGGGTGGCGTTCGTGAACAAGCGCGAGTGCGTGGATTTGTGTCGATCGAGTAGATTTGAACCAGAGTATATGCCGAAAGCGACGATGCGAGAGAAAAAAGATGCGTTTTATTTGAAGACGCACTTTGATTTTTTCCAAAGGAAAAGACGGAGTGGGTGCCCGAAGAACGGTTTAGATCACACGTTGGTCATTTATCACGCGCCGGAAAGAGTGTCGGTCGGGAAACACTTGGCGTCTGTGGCGAGCGGATTAGCCAGAGCATCGGCGTTTAATAAGACGTACGTTCCCGGAAGATTGAGCATGCGACAGTGGACGTCGGCGAAGAGGTGCGGATTGAACAGGAACGTGATGTGCTTTTTGAAACCAATCGGGAAATGTTTGTTGGACGCGAGAGATAAGGAAGGAAGACAGATTGGCGCGTCAATGGTTGGAACGAGCATGTTTGGCGCGAGTGGGTTGATTGATTTTAGCGTGTATAGAACGAAAAGAAGAGGAACGTTGATGTACCAAGCGGAAGCGTTGTCGTACGTGTTTGAACCGAACAAACAAGCAGAGGCGGTCATTCGAGCAGCTTTTCGAGACTCGATCCGGAAACAGGCGGAAACGATATTGCAGAGTAGTAACGGAGTTGGGTCGTTCATGGGAAACGGACAACAACAACAAGTCTTATCCGGAGAGGCTTTAGAACGCGACTCGGGACATCCGTTTGGGAAGTGCGTCGCGGTGCACGTTCGCCGATCCGGGTGCGTGAGAGACATCGAGAGTCACGAAGAGCCGAACCGTTTGGAAGGTTTGTGCGTCCCATCGAAAAAATACTTAGAAACCGCGAAAGAGTTCGCGAAAAAGTACAACTTACACTCCATTCTCCTCATCTCGGACGATTTAAATGTGGCTGAAAAATGCGCCTCCAACGCCGAATTGCCGTGCTTTTACACCACCTCCACGAAACGATTGTTACACGACGCCGAAAACGACGTCAACGACAACCTACCGAGTTTCAAAAAACGAAGAAGAAGAAACTTATTGTGGAAAGATTCCGGTAAAGACCGCGCCGTCTCTGCCGCTTTAGCTACGGTCATCGAACTCGAAGCCGCGCGAACCTGCGACGCATTCGTCGGTCAGTTTTCCTCCGGGTTCAGTCGATTGGCGTACATGTTGATGAGCGCGAGAATGGCCACGCCGGCACCCTATCGCAGCTTAGACGGCGTTCCTTTTAAATTAGAGTAATACTACTAAGAATACTACTACTAAGAATACTACTACTGCTACTACTCATAAATACGCAAAAGTCTCTCAAAACTCTTGTTTCGTCACATTTTCGCACATTTTTTATGTGGAGAAGTCGACTCCTAAATCGCATCTTCGTCCCTATCGCAACAACTACTACTCCTAATACTGTGACTACTCCTACTGCGACTCTTTCCATGATGGCGAACACCGCTGCGCCTTCTTCGTCGTCGTTTACGTCGTTATTATTATTCTCGTCGAAGGAAGGACGACGACATCACAATTGGAAAAGAGTGTCAGCCGCCACTCGATCGAATGTCTTCAACAACTTTATGGTGAAAGACAACAACGGCAGAGCCGCGTCGTCTCTGGCATCCTCCTCCTCTTCTTCTTTGAAAAAGGAAGAAGACGAAGACCAAGCGTTGCTGATGGCGTCTTTCGACGATTTATCCGCGGACGTGCGCGAGGCGTTGGAAAACTTAAACTTGCAGTCGCCGACGGAAATTCAATCCTTGGCTATTCCGTCCATCCGAGACAAGGGCGGAAACGTGTGCATTGCCTCTCACACCGGGTCAGGGAAAACGCTGGCGTATTTGTTACCCATTCTGGACGCGTTGAAAAGAGAAGAGATAGAAGCCGACGGTGATCGATTGGCGAAGAGTCGACGACCGAGAGCGTTAATCGTCTCGCCGACGAGGGAGTTGGCGGAGCAGATATTCGCGGTGACGAAGAGTTTGTCGCACTACGCGAAGGTGTCATCGAGGTTGATTTTGGGTGGGAGACCGTTCGCGTTGCAAAAAGATAATTTGGAAGCGCCGGTGGACGTCGTCGTTGGGACGCCGGGGAGACTCGTGAAACACTGCGAGGAGAAGAGTTTGTTTCTCGGGAGTTGTAAATTTGTCGTTTTGGACGAGGCGGATACGTTGTTCGAGGCTGGGTTCGGGGAAGACGTGGAAAGGTTGCTGAGACCGGTGAAAAATCGAAACAGAGGAGGTGATGACGGAGACGAGAGTAAAAAGAAATCAACCACCATCGTTCTCGTTTCGGCGACTATGCCGGATAGATTGAAGAAATTAATCGACACGTCTTTACCGGACGTGCAATACGTGAAGACGCAATCGTTACACAAATCTGCGCCTGGACTGAAGCATAACTTCGTAAACGTCCCTGGTTCCGAGGATAAGATGAAATTTTTGGAAGATATCGTGGTTCCAATGCACGAGAGAGGGAAACGCGTGATGGTCTTTTGCAACACGGTGTCTAGTTGCGTCGCGGTTGAGAAGACGATGGCGGAAAGAAACGTCAACACGGTTCAATACCACGGCGACATGAGCTCGGAAGAGCGCGTGGAGTCTATGAAAGCGTTCTGCGATGCGGATCCCGAGGACGATAATTTGATTTTAGTGTGCACAGATTTAGCAGCGAGAGGTTTGGATTTTGCCGGCGTTAAAGTCGACAACGTCGTGAACTTTGATTTCCCGTTGAATCCGGTGGATTACATCCATCGCTCGGGAAGAACCGCCCGAGCGGGTGCAAAAGGCATGGTCACAAACTTAATATCAAAAAGAGATAAAGTATTAGCGAACGAAATCGATGTTGCGGTTAGATTGGGGAGACCAATCGACGACGCGACGAGCTCGAAAGCCGTCGCGGAAATTCGAAAGATGAAATTAGTCGACGAACGCAGACGCGCAAAAGGCAAAGAAGTGGACACGAAGAAGAATTTTAAATCGAGCAATCGAGGGAGACGAGGGAGTTCGAGGTACGAAAGAAACGAAGATGCGCAAGAAGGGGGAGGTAGAGGAGGAGGAGGTAGAGGAGGAAGAGGAGGAGGTAGAGGAGGAGGAAGAGGAGGAGGCAAACCTCGAGGGAACGCCAAATTTTCCTCCAGTCGCTAAAAAAAAAATAGTAGTCGGTTAGTCGGGTCCGTTGTATTAAGATGCATTGTTTTTGTATTGAGAATAAGAATAGTAATGAGAATGAGAGCCAGCGCAACCCGCCCCGACGTCACATCGTGGTCATCGTTATAATCATCATCGATATTATTCGGGTATTTGTATCGTTTAATTCCGCGTGTGCGTTGGAATCGGATTCCGCAGCGGTGATTGTTGGTAAAACAATCCGGAAAAAATACAAATGAATAACGCAATCAACCCTTCCATGCTCGCATGTTTATCCCAAATCATGCAATTAATAATCACAGTCCCAATCTTACACATCGTTCCAACCACGGTAAAACTTGTCGCTGAAATCAACCCTCTCAACAAAAACTGCGAGTACGACATCAAAACCCCCGCGACGCACGACGCGCTCAACGCGAAAATCGAAGCCGTCGACCACTCAAAGTCGGTTAAAATCTCGTGCTCTCTCGTCACCACGCCTAACAAAAATACCGGCACTACCGCCAATAAGTTGGTGTAGTAACTTCTCCCCCACGGAGTCAGTTTGACGTTATCCACCGCAAACTTAATGTACACCTGATCAAACGCGAACACGACGAACCACGCCATCACCCACGTGTACGCCTTCACTTCAAAGTTCGAATCCGTAAACACGTACGCGATCGCGCCCATCAATATCGCCATCAGCGATAACCAACTTCGCATATTCGGTAACTGTCTCCCTAAAAAAACGTAATCCAAGAACGCGATCAAAATCGGCGTCGACGATCGAAACACGATGAACGTCTCCACGTTCGCGTATTGCAGCGTTTTCACGTTGGTATACAACGCCCCTAAAAACGCAATCGCGACTAACATGAACGGTTTCACTTTCTCCGCGATCAACGGGTCCGATTCCACCAATCCGCCTTCGTGCATTAACTTAATCGCCACCGCGGAGGTGAGCAACTGGCAGAACAAAACCACCGACGGTGCCGGTAAAAACGTCACCGCGAGTTTGTTTATGATGAGCATCATGGATGAACACGAGGCGTAGGCTATTATCCCGAACACAATCTTCGCGTATAACGCCGCCGCTTCTTTCTTCTCCAACTCGGAGGAAGAATTAGAAGACTCTTTCATGTTGTCTTGCTGATTTCCCGCGTGATTTTTCATCTCCATCGTGGTGGTAGAGGTGTGTTCTCGTCGTCGTTTATTATTATTATTGTGAGGCAGGCCGAGTGATAACAACGAGTGAGGAAGAGTTGTCTGTGCGACCCCACAGACAGAGAGAGTTTCAAATGCTCTCAATCGAGTCGAAACTACTGTGTCCACTTTACTCGCTCTTAAATTAATTGCTCTTTGTGTTGGTCTGTTCAAGAGACAAAACATTTATCTTCACTATTATTCTCGCGAGACGTGCACACGACGACGCGTTCAAAGAGTGCTGCACTTATACTACCGCGCAACACGGGAGAAGAAGAAGATAAAGCGCGCGATATCCCATCGTCGAGAGGAAATTTACAACAATGCGCAGAGAAGAAGTTCCGCGGATACAGTTTTAAAAGAGACATTCATATCCAATTGGGTATAACGACCGTTATCTGATACAGAGAGATACGAAAAGAATGAAATTCTTGGAAGACCGAGAGTTGGCGCAACTGAACAACTTCCTATCCCACGTGAACTTAGGCGACCACGAAGTCACCGGACAGTTGGAGAATTATTCGTGTACGTTTTATGAGTATTCATACTTTGTCTGCTTTGCGTTCGTAACCTTTGTTCGTCTTTTTTTATTCCTTTTTTCAGCTTCCACTTCGGAAAGGACGTGGGTACCCTTGATGAGACGAGAAACGCGCTGGGCACATTTTTTACTCACTCTCTCTCTCCATCATACTTACCACCGCTGCTTGCTCTCCTCCTTCTCTGAATACTACTATAAAACAGGCAAACTCGCGGGTCAAGATAAGAAAAACTTTGGCGCGATTGAAACCGACGTGGTGGAAGAGCTCAGCTCGTCGCCGAACTTGTACTCGACGTCGCCGGTTGGACCTTTGACGGATTCGCACTCGAGGAAGACGCTGATTTATTTAATCTTGACGTTAAATCAAGCGTATCCAGATCACGATTTCTCGAATTTGCGACCGAATAATTTTAGCAAAGAAGTTGGCGTTCCGGAGTGTAAAGAAGAAATCGATCAGATGTTGTACGACGTGGGTAAAGTGTACGATCAAACTCGGTTATACGGCGCGAGCGGCAGCGGAGGCAGTTTACCGTTTTCGGATGAACTGTGGAGGTGCATAAACAGCGCGATTGAGTTACAAGACGTGGACGTGTATTCTTACGCAGCCATAAACGACGGCGACCCGTTCGATGGCGACGGGAGTTTGTGGAATTTCAACTATTTCTTTTACAACAAGAAACTGAAACGGATCTTGTTCTTTTCGTGCGCGAGTAAAATCAAAAGAGACCAAAGCTTTTACGAAGACGAAGAGGAAAACGAACACGTCGGAGTGAGAATGCGTTCGTCTCAAATGACGCCGACGCCGCCGTTGAACTACTCGTCCAGAGGCTACGCGGCTTCTTTCGACGATTTGGCCATGGACGACATGCAGTGAAAGAGGCGAAGGAGAAGGAGATTTTTTTTAGTACTCAGCAGTGTGAACAAACAAATTCACTTCATTTTACTTGTATATTATCATCATTCAAAACACACACGCGCGCGCTCGGTTGTTGACAAAACAGCAATAGAAAAATATGGTGAAATGGCACGACGTGTGTGAAAACGTGAAATTGGCGCTAAAAAACGACGGGTTCGATCTCGTCGCTCCGTTTCGATTGAGCCAGTACAACGCGCTTTTTGATACTCACGATGCTAAAAATTCTTCCATTAAAATCACGGACGCCCCGGAAGATTGTTTATGCGTCGTCATCGGCAACACCAAACGATTGTGGCCGATATTCGAAGAGTATTACAAAGCGAACATCGGTAAAGAAGATTTAATGCCGCGAGAGGAGAAGAATCCGCTGGATTTCTACGTGAAGAAAAAAATCGACTCGATTTGTATCGCCGATTTTGTAACCGCGAGATATCAGACGGACAGTTCGTTGGCGATACAAAAAATGGCGAAGATTAGCGGGATGGCGATTTTACACGAGGCAACGCACATGTCCGTGAACAGAAAATACGGACCTTGGATAAGTTTAAGAGCGGTGGTGATTTTTCACTACGTGAAAGGACCGGAAACGCCTTTACCGGCGCACGAGGTGCCGACTTTAACGAGCGAGATGGAACGCGAGAGCAAAGAGGCGTTCGAGGAAGCGGCGGAGTATTATAGAAAGAATAGCGAAGGTTCTGGGAGTTTGGATAAGAGTAAAAGCGCGGAATTATGGATTAAAGTTCGAGATTGTTTGACCTCGGACGCGCAGAAGGAGTTTCGTTACGACGAGAGGCAAATGAAGTACCATTACGACATCGATCGGAATTTAGAGTATTTGGTGCCTCTGCAGATGGAGGAGGAGCCGGCGTCTTGAATCTAATATGTATACATCATGTATTTTTGCTATAGTATTGTTCTCTCTAACTATTCTTCTCCTTCTTCACCTGTTCCTCGTTTTTTGCCATCCATTCTTTCAATTTTCTACTTCTTTCTTGTTCCATCGGGTCGCTATCGGTATCGGACAGAATGTCGTAATCGTACTTTTCCATCTCCGGAGGTTCGTACCATTTCTGTCTATTCAGCCAAATCTCAAAGTCGCGTTCCCAAATCATTCTTCGACTCGGCGGCGTCTCTAACGAGACTCCATGCGGGCCTTCAACTTCCACGCCTTCTTTGCTGTGCGGTTGAAACCAGTAATTCAAAGCCATGTGGCCTTCGTACCCTTCTTTGGTTTGAAACACGTTCTTTTCGGAGGAAAACACTTCGTGGAACCATCCGGCGGGTAAGTACAACATCTCCCCAGCTTTGAGTTCGCACGTCAACTTTTTCGCCTGCTTGAACTTTGGAAACCGATCGAGGTTTGATCTATCCACCGTGCTAAAACTTTTCGGGAGAGGTTTTGACGCTCTTTTCTTTCCTCTTTCATATGTTTTTTGGCGCTTGTTGTTCGCGGTTTTATCCTTCTCTTCTTCTTCTTCTTCTTCTTCTTCTTCTTCTCCTTCATCCGAGTCTACGTAATCGTCCACGAACGTGTCTTCGTCAAACTCGAAATCTTCGTCGTCCTCCTCCTCCTCCTCCTCTTCCTCCTCCTTCTTCTCTTTTTCCTTTTTCACTTCACCTCTCTCTATCGCCCACTGCTTCTCCAACCTTTTTTGCTCTCTCTCCACTCTCTCTTTCGCCGCATCAAAATCCTTCCCGTAACTCGGCGTCTCGTCGTCGTAACAAATCATCCCGTTCTCGCACACGCGAGTCGCTCGTCCTTTCAAATACATCTTCTCGCACTCGCTCGGCGCGTACAACTCGAACCGCTTAAACCCTCTCGCTAGGACGTACAAGTTATCGTGGAAATCGTGATGTAAACCACTGCTCGTTTCTCCTCTCGTGCCTCTTCCCATCCACATATTCACGGTTGAAACTGCCGACCAGCCCATGAGTTTCGGTCGCAGCGGCACTTTACCTTCCCCGTCCAACGCGGTCAAATCCCGCTCGCGCTTTTCGTTGCTCCATTGCTTCCTTCTCAATTCATTCCCAAAGAGCATAAACGGGTTTACTAAACTCTTTAAAGGTACGGATAATATCTCCGGTCGTCCGTCGCGCTTATCGCACCGTTCGCCGTTGCTGGCGGAGAGATATTTCGAGTGGTCGCCTCGTTCAAACGCAGTCATGAAATCCGCGAATTGCATTCGCTCTCGAGTGCCTTTCCCGAATTCGCTTCTTCTTTCCTCCCCTTCTTCTTCTTTGTCTTCTTCAACATCGTCGTCATCTTCTTTAACCTCAACAATGACCGTCTCCGTTTCCTCTCGGCACTTCTCTCGCAAATACGCGTTCGACCAACTGGAGAGGCACTCAAATTCTGTCTCCTTAAACCCTCCGATGAGTTTACACGGCGTCCTCGTGTTGATAATTTCCTCTCGAAACGAATTTGGATTCTCTTCGCACTCTTTTAAGAGTACTTCTTTGACGAAATCCCGGTCCGGTTCTGGTTGCCATCCGGAGTAGCTGTTCGTTATTCTTGTTTTTGCTTCTTCAAACATTTTCGCCGTCGTCATCACTTTTACGAGAAGGAGGAGATTTCATTATTATGGCCACGGTCGAGTCGTTTCTTTTGCTCGCTTCATCATCTAGAGAGGAGATAAAACGCGGGCGCAGTAGTGGAGTAGTGTTTTATCACACAAAAGCGGTTAAATTTGTGGTGTTGTTTTCCCGAATTCATCCTTTTCGTCACTTGATTTACGCGGAAAAGTCACTGATTAACCTTATACTACTCTACACGCAAGACACACAAACGCACAGAATGACCGAGCGACGACTACACGACATGGCACCATCATCCTCTGCGGGGCCAGGTGATGATATGCACTGGGAACGCAACTTCATACACCAAATTAAAACCTTAAAGTCCGGGTCCAAAGACCAATTGGATTCGCTGACGGATTTAGCAATCAACGACGCTTCCAAAAGATACAAATCAATCGTCAACATCGTTTCAAAATACTCGCAAACGATGAAACCGAAATACAGGCCATCCATGATGTACGTGATTAGCTCGCTGGTTATGCACGAGAATGAAAAAATTGCGAGCTTATACCGACAGAGATTTGCGATTGAGATTTCAGTGTTGGTGGAAAAGATATGCGAGTGTCGGACGGAGCAGTTGGAGAGGGTGCGAAGGAACATCGAGCGATGGCGAGAGAAGGAGTGCTTCGAGAGCTTGGTTTTGGACGAGTGCGAATATCACGTGCAGAAATTTGAGGAGGCTGGAAAGGAGGCAGAGGAAGAGGAGAGGAGGAAGGAAGAGGACGGGTTGTTGGGGATGGAAAGGATCGAGACGCCGCCGCCGCCAGAGGAAGAGGAAGAGAAGAAGGTAGAAGAAGAGGGGGAGAAGCCAACGACGATATCGACCGTGAATAAGTGGCCAAAGTTGATGCCGGCATGGGGAAAGAACGTAAAACGGCAGCAGAAGCAACAACAACAACAACAACAACAACAACAACAGAAGAAACAGAATAAGAAACGGAATAGAGAGAAGTTTACGAACGGTAGTTTGAGGCAACAGCAACAGAACATGCAGCCGATGAATCAGCAACAGAAGCAACAATCGCAGCACGGGCAAGGTAAGCCAACCAAGAAGCAAAAGAGAAGAATGCAAAAGAAGAAACAGGGGGATAAGAACGATAGTAACAAAGAGCAGCGGCAGCAGGAAAAAGGAGGAGGAGGAGGAGGAGGAGAAAAAGGCGATCAGAAAAAATCAGTCATCGATAGGCTCACGTGAGATTTAGTGTAGCAGATGTGCATGCGTATGTCTCTCTCTTTTGTAAAGTAAATGTACCCAGTATGTTTCTATGTAATTTTGTTTTCTCTGAAAGCAATCGTGTTTTTGGAGCGACTGGGAGATCAATCGTGCTTAAGTAGAGACCTTAAGTATTCGAGGCATGTATAACGTTTGAGTCTTTTCGCTTCTGCACATGCTTCGGAAAGTATCTCTGCGCCTTCCTTCAACGTCATCTTCGCGTTTTCTACGACATATTGCACGCAATTGAGATGACCGTTTCTGGCAGCGTCAATGCACGCTTGTCCTAGGAATGGGTATCCTTTCGCTTCGAGAAGAGAATGGATGTACTTCAAGCACTCCAGAGAGCCACTTGCTGCGGCATTACGTTCCTCCATGTCTCCTTCGTCGTCAAAATATCTTTCACATATTTCCCGCTTCATTACTTCGACGATATACTTTAGCATTGCAAAGTTGCCATTTCTGGCCGCCTCGCCGATGTCATCAGCATAATCATCCTCTACTTCCCACATGCTAAATCCTCCTGGATCGGCGTGTTCTGCACCATGTTCAAATGCATATTGTAAGCAGTCAAAGTGGTTATAAAAAATCGCATACTCTGTCGTCAGCGATCCCCATTCCGCGCCCGATTGATGAGCGAGCTCCATCATCTCCCGGTTTCCCATTTTGGCACAGTGTGATCCAACACCTAACCAATCCTCGGAGATATCGTCCCAGTCATAATCTTGTGCAAACGATGCACCATTTGCGAGTGCGTAGCGCAGCATAGCCAAGTGATTGTTTTTAGCGGCGTATTCGCACGTGAAGGTCGACCACGGGGCACCATGCTCGAAACAGTACTGAACAATATCTAGCCATCCCATAGCGGCTGCATATTGCGTAACGCCATACCAAAACTCATCCCCGTCATCAAAAATTTCAGATCCCTCATCAAAATCGAAAAATGACCATGACGCCCCATTTTCGCATGCGTAGCGCAGACAATCTAATGATCCCGAAAACGCTGCACTTTCCATCACCCATAGCCCCCATGCACACCCTTTCTCTCGACAATACTTGAGACAATCGAGGTGACCGCCAAGAGCAGCAGCTTTGCATGATGTAAAACTAAGTAAATCCGGTTCGTCATCATCGCTCTCGCCTTCTGGCCAATCTAACTTCGCCTCTTCTTTAGCCCATTTGAGGAGTTCGAGGTGTCCTCGGCGAGCTGTGAAATCAAGGACATTGTCTCTATTTTGACAGTTACCAGAGCAGCCGCATTTCTCCTGGAACGCAAACTTCAAACATTCCAGTGAACCATTATCTGCGGCTGCGTTACAAGCACAAGCACCATGTCCCTTCATCTCGCAGACTTTGTTCCCTGTGTTTGGATTCTTCCTCGATCGTGCATACTTCAGCATCGCAATATCGCCTCGAGACGCCGCGTATGTACACACTCGGTAATCCCACTTCATAAATTTTCGACACCATCGAACGAACGACAAATTGCCACTCATTGCTACGCTGGCAAAAAAGTCCTCCTCGTTGCCATCGAAACGATTAAAAGCCCACCTTAAGCTCGCAACTGATGTCAACTCGCGTATTTGAAACTTTTTTTTCAGTTTCTCCATCGCATGCGCCTCTTTGACGACCTCCCTCGACGCTCGATTTACTTCTTTAAAACACTTCAAATCCTGACTCGTCAAACGTGGGATCACGTGCGTTACGAAGATATCCTTGCATTCCGTCACGAGCTTCCAAATTTCAAACGGATCTCCACTCCTCGCGGAGTCTCTCCAAAATCTCTTCTCCAAAGTGAGCGACAATTCCTTCGGCGACGCAATCGCCTCCAGAACACCGGCACACTTGCGCACTTCACCGGCACACTTGCGGGTGTTGATGCAGCGAGAATCGACCGCATAAGTACCGAAAAACGTCTGTTGACATACTTTGCAATAGTAGTACCCCTCCGCCGAGCGCTCTGCCCCCGACTCCTTCGAGGACATCGCGCCTCGCGCTCGTCTTTTTTTTTGTGAGGTACGACGTGTGAATTTCGAATTCAAAAATATGCGAAGACAAAAACTATGAAACAATTCAATTCTAATTCCTACAAACACCTACTATATATTATATACTCAAAAATACTACGATATGTGTCTTATCTTCAAAAGACAGTAACCATTTTTGGTTCGAGTGGCCATTTACTTTTATGATACATTGCACATTTACGCGCCGCCGCTAGTTTCTAAGAGAATGTTCTCGACGTATTTGTCTCGTTCCGATGAACTTTGTAACTGACCCCACTCATCGAAGAGAATAACGCCGAGACGCAAACCTAAGCGTTCTTTTAAGAGGAAGTTACGCATGGCCGTGGAACCGAGTAAAGTTCTGTGACCGGTCGAGGCGGAGATGGCGAAGTGGTGCGGACCGTCAACTTCTAGGACGATGTCCTTGGTGAGATTTGCGTTCGGTGATAGTGTTTTGCGGTGACCGAGGAGGAAATTCTCAACAGCGGCGCTTTCGATGAAGAAATCGGGGCGCATCAACCCATCTTCAAGTTCACGTTCTTCAAAAAACTGAACGTTGAGTCGTCTGAGAGAGTCTTCGACTTGTTGCTGTAACTTTGACGTTTGCGAATCTTTGCGCTTTTGTAAAATCCACTGCTTTTTGGCAACTTTCTCGAAATCTCCCGGCATAGCCTCCTTCGCCGCGATTTGTAAAGAAGTGCCTTTCAAGAGGAGAATGGACGCGTAGCACGCACCCAAGCCTTTCTTATCGAGCGAATCAGCGCGAATACCACCGTTGGGTAAGATTATTTTTTCGCAGAAATTATTCAAGGCAGTCTCGACGACAGCTTTTCCCTCGGATGTGGTTGCAACGCAGGCGTAGAGTAACGAAAGCGACCAAAAAGTCATCCACATCGAGACGGGTGTCCAAAACGAAGCCGCTTTTTTCGTAGGTGGTGTCGTCAACTTGAGTAAAAGATCAGCAGACGGTAATTTACCGAGCGTTGCGTGCGCCCAGATGAGCAACGACGATCCTTCCTGAAAGTCTCGAAAATTGAGTCCGTCCGAGGAAGGATTGAGCCATGCGGCTTCAATCTTTTCCAGCGTTTCGTCGCTCGGGATGTACTCGAGTTTCGTAAACGACCACATGATCTGTGAAGCAACGGTTGGACGAAGCGATTGCGCCGAACTTTCGCTCTGAATGATTTTTTCGCACTTATCGATGAGCATCATTCCAGGATTAAATTTATTCTTTGCGAAAGAATTGAGAAGTGGCGCTATGTGCACGTTGGCGTCAAAGCCACCATTTTTGGCCAACTCCTCAGCTCTGCTCACGGCGTAGGCAAGGTATCTAGTTGGGTTATACGTCTCGTTGTTGTAGTTCTTTTTCTTCTTCTCCTCTACGCTATTTTGCGCGTTCCCTAAACTGTACGTGAAATATACCAAATCTAACTCGTTAAGCGCATCCAGATTATCAATCGCGTAGTCTTCGCACTGCTCTAGAAACTCAACTGGGATTTTCGCGCGCGATTTAATCGCAGCCCAAAGCAAATTCGTGTAGTCTCGCGTTTCAAATTGTGCGAGTACGTTGGCATCTGTCGTGCACGCCCGAAAAATACTTTGCAAAGCTCGTATGGCGACATCAAATGAAGACGAGCGCAGGCGCTCTTCGTCCTCGCTCGGCGTAGAATTCTGGATTTTCTGCACTTCTCCAATATCTCCAATATCGATTCCAACATTCTCAAGTAGACTATCGTGCCCCTTGTACCAATTTGACTTATCTCGCGAGAATACAATCCTAGTAATCGCATTCGCACACTGCGCCAACTGTTTTGGCTTGAACACCTGTGGCGTTTTGATGATTTCGTCAAATATCGGATCCAACGCTTCCATCAATGCCCTGTCGGTATCTTCTTCGCTCTCTCTTTTGCTCGCGCCATCGCCGCTATCAGTAGTACCGCTGCTACTAGTACTACTCGCTAACCCAACGAGCATTGCGACGACGTGTCCATATTCGCGCGTCCCCATCTTTCCCTCGTTCTTTTTATAGCTCATATCCCTCGCCGCTTTCCTCGCCAATTCAACCACGAAATCAGCGTAAAAACCACTACTCACCGCACCGCTCGCTGAGACCAATCTCGCTGCATTTTCTAAGTGCATCTCTTTCTCAAATACTTCTGGTTCTAGCAAACGCTCTTTTATGCTCTTCCAATACTTGTTACGATTCTTTGCGGAAATGTCCACGCCGTATCGCGTCAACCCCCACGTCGCAACGGCGATATCCCCGGCGCTACACTCACTAATCTTCTTTATGACGATAGACTCGATGGCATTTCTCAAATGTTCGGGTATGACTGTTTTTCCTACGCTTGCATACGCCCACACTATACTCGCGCAAGATTTCGGGGGCATGTATTCCGGAAATATCTTTTCAAACAAGAGCGTGCGTTGCTCTTTGCACACGCGCTCTAATCCATTCTCCAAACTCACCCAGACCGATTCAAACCCACCATTTTCCACAAACGCTACCTTCCCTTGCTTCATTCTCGCTATGCTCCATAATATCGTCGATACAATCCTCGAGCTGTTCGAGAAACCATCTTTTTCGCACCGCGACAACACTTTCTCCCGAAACGCCTCCGACGTCATCAGTCGCTCAATCGCGAGCGCGTTCCATCCGCCTAAATCATCATCACCATCATCGCCATCATCCGTCTTAGTCTTCTTCTTCTTCTTCGAGTTACACTTCCTCCCTAAAAGAGAAAATATGGTAGATACGTTCACATCGGACAGCGATACGTCTTCCTCTTCCAAAATCTTTCCAATCTGCTCCGCCGAAGCGCATTCCAAAATACGCGCGTTCAGCGCTGTAAACATCGCCCTTTCCTTTTGGCTCAATTCTGGCTTCCGTTTCGTCGGTGCGTTTTTCGCTCTCCTCCTCTTTATCGGCGCACCAAAAGCTAATGGTTTCACCGCTTGCAGCTCGATCTTATTCTTCTTCTTTTCATCCTCCTCCTCGTTCTCATGCGCTCGTGGTATTAAAGCCCAGGTCGGAGCTGCTCCTCCGCGACGACGATGTTGTTTTCTCGTTCCAAGAATTCCCCTAATGCTACTCTCAGAACATCCACTCTTTCGATGATGAATATACGAAGACGAACAAGAAGGCGATGATAAAATCAGCGTCGTCATAGTGTCTTCCCCTTTTGAACTCGATGATGTATTATCTCTCGCTCTTTTTTACTCCCTCAACCATCGCAGTAGCAGTGGTAATACTACTAAAGATAATGGAAGAAGTTTGACTTTTTCCAGTAAAGGAAGACCTGTCACCTCATTCCAATCAGAGCGCAACAAAGACACACACAAATATAAAACCATGAACGCGAACGCGCCGGCGTTCGTTCCTTGGGGTGGTGGTAGCAGGAAGGAAGTCGAAGAAGAAGAAAAAGAAGAACGAGGGGGTGGTTCGACGACGACAACCTCGCAGAATAGGCTCGGGAAAGTTGAATCATCATCATCATCGTCCGCTTTTAGCATCCACGCTCCTCCTCCTCCTCCGATGGCACCACCACCACCACCGCCGCCACCACGGTCTCCTCCTCCTCCTTCTCTGGTAAATAATAATAACGAATCGATTTCGACGACAACATCGACGCTCTTTTCACCGTCGCCGCCAAGGAAGTTAAGTCAAGACGTCCTGACGAAATCTGGGAGTTATTCACGTGATGATGATGAGAGCGAGGAGAGCAGCAGCCGCGCGGGGAGAATGATGACACCGACGAAGAAGAAAGAAGATGCGAACGCGATACCAAAGTACGATTTGGAGAAGCACTTTAAAACGGTGTTACCGTTAGGTCCTCCTCTGAAAAGAGAAGAGGACGAGGCGACTGGCGCGCTCGATAAACTCGGCGTCGAGGAAGGTCGATTGCCGAACGGTTTGCGATACTTCGTCGGTCAGTGTAAGAAACCGGAAAAGCGAGCGGCTTTAGCATTAGCCGTAGACGTTGGATCTGTGTTTGAGAACGAGGAAGAGCGAGGCGTGGCGCACATTGTTGAGCACTTGGCGTTTCGCGCGACGACGTCGTACGAAACGTTTCAGATTGTGAATTTCTTGGAATCGGTCGGCGCCGCGTTTGGGGCGTGTCAAAACGCGTACACGAGTTCAGACGAGACGGTGTTTGAGTTGACCGTACCTATCGACGATATGAACGTACTGGAGGAGTCGTTGAAGATATTTAGCGAGTTTGCGAGGGGAGTGCGGATTTCCGACGAAGACGTCGATAACGAACGAGGTGCGGTGTTAGAAGAATGGAGATCGGGAAGAGACGCGAGAGGGAGAGCAGCGCAAGCGTATTGGGAAGCGTTGTGTGAAGGGAGCTTATACGCTGATCGCTCACCGATTGGCACGGAAGAGGTTATTCGAAAAGCGCCCGGAGAAATCTTTCGTAACTTTTACCACAAGTGGTACAGACCGGAGAACATGGCAGTTATCGTCACCGGCGATTTCGAGGACGTAGGCGTGGTGAAGGAGAAAATTATCAGATTGTTTTCCCCGCTAGCGCCGGCTGAGCACGTTCCTGCGCCGCCGAAATTTATTCGACCGACATTTCCAGAACACGCAAAACCGCGCGTGTGCTGTCACGTAGATCGCGAATTATCGAACACGGTAGTCAACGCAACCTTTCACGTGGAACAAAAACCAATCGCGACTCCGGAAGATTTTTTCAAACAAACTGTTCAAGAATGTTACCAATTGTGTTTGGATAATCGATTGTACAAACTGATGAGACGACCGAAACCAAACTTTTTTAGCGCCGGCATCGCTTCTGAACATTTGTCGCGAACGAGCGCTTTGTTATCCGTACAAATGACGTGCGAAGCGAGCAAGGTGAAAGACGCACTCGAGAGCGTCTTGACTGAAGTCTCGAGAGCGCGCTTGTTTGGATTCAGCGCGCAGGAATTGCGCATCGCCAAGTTAAATCAAATAGCGGATATGGAACAGTTGTATGTGGAAAGAGATCAAACGTATTGCACGGACGCTCGCGATGAGTTGGTGCAACACTTCTTACGCGGCGACATGGTCATCGGTGCAGGATTAGAAGCGTCTCTGGCTATCGCTTGCATAGAAAAAGTCACCTTGGAGGATGTCTTTCAATACGCGCAAGAAGTGAGCGTGTCAAAAAGCTGCATGATTCGATTACAGGAAGGTAGGAAGAAAACAAATGAAGACGATTTACGGGAAGCAGTGAATCGAGTGGCGGAAAAGGAGCGACGCGGAGAAATTGAAGAAAACTCGGAAACGTTCGTCGTTCCTGAGCGTTTGATGGCGGATCCGCAACCGCTGAAAGAAGGCGAGTCGGCGATAGCATCCACGCGGACGCATTCAATTTCAGACGTAACCGAAGTTGTTCTGAAGAACGGCATAAAAATAGCGTTGAAAAGCACGAACTTTTTGGACGACCAAGTCTTGATGCGCGTCGTCGCCAGAGGTGGATTATCGGAAGTCCCAAAAGAAAAATATAAGGACGCGATCTTCGCGGGTACTGTTGCTCGCGAATTGGGCGTATTTGGATACAGACCGGAAGTTTTCTCCGACGCCATGGCGGGGAAAAGAGTCGACGTTGTTCCAAATATAGGTACGTATAAGAGATCCATCGTTGGCGAAACGTCGCCAGATCACATCGATGTGCTTTTGCAGTGTACGCACCTGATCTTCTCCAACAATGTGGAAAATCAGTGCAACGAGGACGATTTGGAAGTTTTGCGCGAAATACAAAGAGAGCTGGTGAAGAATGCAAAGAGAGACCCGATGAAAGTATTTGCAGAAATCAAGCGCGCTTTGACGTACGGCAACTCGTATCTTTCAGAACCTATCACGCTCAAAACACTCGCGAAAATGGACGCGGAGAAAGCGTGTAGATACTTCAACGAGTGTTTCGTGGACCCTTCGCATTTTACGATGGTTCTCGTCGGCGCGTTCGATATAGAAAAGATTTTGCCTTTATTGGAAAAGTACATAGGTTCTATTCCGCGCCCGATAGATTCGAAAGAGAAACTCTCTCGAGTCACACCGGCACCGTTTGAGTTTCCTAAGAAAACAGTCAGTAAACGGGTGCGATTGAAAATGATTGAAAATCAAGGCGTGGCGAGTTTAACGTTTCCGGTGATGATTGAAAATCCAGACGCGAAGTTAAAGCAAGCTGCGATCGCAAAAGGTGAGGACTTCAACGGTCCAACTTTAGCCGGCTCTCAGGTGATAGTTCGAAGCAAGTTTCTCACGGTGATTTCTGCCGCCATCATCGAGCGCCGCTTACTCGCTCGCCTGCGATTCGAACGAGGCGAAATATACAGTTGTGCCGCCAACACCTCGTTCGCGTACCAAGACCCGAACGCAGCGAACGGCGAATCTTACAGAGGCGATATAATGGTTGTGTTCGCGTGCGACCCGAAAAGCGGAGAAAAACTCTCCAAAGTAGCCCTGGAAGAGATTGAACAGTTAATTAGCGAAGGACCGACCGAGGAAGACTGCCAAACTGCGAAGGAAGTCGAACTGAGATCCATCCAAGAACACAAAGAGGAAAACTCTTTCTGGGTCAGCTACGTGGACGCCATGTTCACGTCTCAACTCTTACCGGTCTTGAACGGCGACATCGACAAAATGTATGTAAACACGGAACAAATCCGCGGCGACGTTTTAGAAACACTCTCGCCAACCATCATTCGCGAACATCTGGCGAAAACCTTAGCCGTCGAGCGCAGAGTCAACGTCGTTTTAATTCCCCAAAGACCTTTGTTCTTACGACTGATTGCCCCTAATATGGACGATATTAAAGGATTCTTTGAGTGGCCGGAGACGTTCGGCGAAGCCTGCGGTAAACTCGCCTTGTTAGGAGGCGTTGCCGGCGCCTATTTCGCGTACGCTAAATCCAAGGAGAATAAAAAGGACAAATAGGTAATAATAATAATGTCCTCACATAATAATAACTCTTCATCAACGATCAATCATCCCACATGTCCTCCTCATCTGCATTCGCAAGCGCCGTCCGTAACTGCGACGAGTGCTCCTCGTCTTCTCCGGAAAGATTTCAAGAGTTTCTCGACCACCTCGTGGACGCGTATCATCGACATCACCTTGCGTCAACTTTGACGAATTGGAAAACAGGAAAATTGATGGCTCGATTGCACTCGAAACTGTTCGGTGATGGTGAGGACGACCGCAAACCACGAGAAGGAGGAAAGAGCCACAAAACAGTCTCAGACGAGGAGGAAAAAAAACTCGAAAGATTGATCGAGCAATTGGCGACGGATGCAATCTTGATTTTGAAAAAAGCAGTTGGCCAGGATTGGACGGCGGATGCCTTGGCAGAGAAGTTATTGAAGGAATACGAGTGCGGCGCGGAGTTGGCGAGTTCTATGCACGAGATTTTTTCGAAAGATAAAGATAAGTTACAGAGGAGTTTCGCGAGAGGCACGTTTGGAATGGTGAAGAGATTAGAGTCCGCGTGTTGGAGAACGCAGGTTAGTTTGTATGATAGTAAAACTAGTAAAAATAATACGGCGACGAACACGGATAAAGGAGACGAAGTGACCGCGGTGTTGGAGCTTCGCATGGAAAAGAACGACACGACGTCGATAGAGTTTAAGAAAGAGGAATTGTTTACGTTTTTCAAGGAGTTGGAAACGATTCAGATGAAAATAGATGACCTTAGTTAGTTTTTATGTACCAGTTGGTACTATAGTAGCGCATCACAAAATCTCAAGCGAGAGAGAAAACAAACGAATCGATTCGTTCAAATCAAATCTCTCTCTCAATAGTCCATCACGGGAGATTTTAAACCAGCGCCATCGTCTTTGACTTCAACTCCTCCAGTTTCGTTATCGAAGTCGTCTCCGGTAACTTCATCCATGGTATCGCCATCTTCTTCTCTGTTCTTCTCTTCTTCGTCCTCTTCTTCGTCCTCGGAGTCGGGATTGTCGTTCTTCTTATCGTCGTCGTCTCCCGTCTTTGTCATGCCTAAACCACTTCGACTGCGCTTCATCTTTTCTTTTTTGGACAAATAAGCGAACAAAGCTGGCGCTTCTTTTTCGGTTATGCCAAAATTCGTCATGAATTCAGAATATTTCGTTCGAAGATCGTCCATGGTGAATGGCGATTGAGAACCAGCGCCAGGTTTGCGAAGCGCCAACGCGATGGTTTCTTTGCTCTCTGCTGGCTTCTCCTCCGTCGCTCCCGGTGGTAACGGCTCGCATTCCCACGTGTAATTTTTGCTCGCTTCTCTCTTCTTTCGCTGCACCCTGCGCGTTTTTTTCGTCGCGATGAGTACCTTATCGACAGCTTTGCCTAATTCTTCCGCTGACATTTTATTTCGTCTCGATTTTTTCGACGCTTCCGCTAGAATGTCCAATATTTTTTCGTGGATATCGTACGAACCAATGGAAGCTTTCGTCAAAGCAATGCCGACGCAAGCTCGCCACACCTGATTTGAAGAGCTGAAAGGAATCATAGGGTTTTGCGAACCATTCGTTTCCTTCTTCTTCTTCTTCCTCTTGCCTTTTGTTTTGTATTGAGGGAGGTTCACACTACACATACCGCGCACTCGCGTAGCGAGCATGAGATAGGTGTCTTTGTCATCAACCACGTCGATGTCTTTGGATGCTTTTGCGACGGATTCAAACATTAATCTCGCCGCTTTGCAGGAGATTTTATCCGGAGCTTTCAAGCAAATTATTCCGTACATGAGCGCAAACTTGCGAATTGCCGGTGACTCTGTAATCATCTCCGCCAGTTTTTCAATCTTTTCTTCCAAATCCTCGTCGTCGTCCTCATCGTCGGAAGCTTCGTCGGAAGCTTCGTCGGAGCCATTATCATCCGCATCGTCGACCTCCTTCGCCTCTTCATCGTCTGACTCATCTTCGTCGTCGGAATCTTCCGAGAGCATTTTTTCAATCATTAAATCGGCGAGCATCGGGAAAAATGTTCCTAAAATCTCAGGAGGTACCGCGGATACCACAGCCATATCACCTTTTTGCAACAATTCTCTTGAATTAAGCGCTAAACAAACAAATTTTGCCAACTTTTTCAATCTCGTATCGGTTTTAGGTTGTCGTTCGTCTTTCACCACGAATTGTAACGTGCGCATGGTCTCGTGTAAAAGCAAGTGAAACACCGGAGGATCTCGTAAAATCATTCCCATGTCCCCTAAAATCGTTTCCGCTGGTTCCACCACATCCTCAATCTTTTGAACGCGAGAAACCGCCGATGCGCCTCCGTCTGATTCCGAAACGGTTGGTTTCGCGGCAGCACCAAACGTGAACTTTACTTTTAATTTCTTCTTTGGCGGTTGCCCCTTGCCTTTATTCTTCACGTCGTTCCTCGAGGCTAACTCCGCAGAGTCTAGAATGTTCCCCATTTCTAATAATCTTCTATTATCTAAGTACCTGTCGCGAACGCAGGCATCCATGAGCCACGCGAGTCTGTGTGAGGGATCAATTTCACACAATTCTTGCACCTCGTCGTCGTGAAATGCCATGAGAAATTGCGAGCGTAACGCGCACGTGGAAGGATCCCCGGTATTGGCATACCTCGTCCGGATCTCTCGGACGACGGCATTATACAGCGTGATGTTATCGCCGACAACCTTACGTAAACGATGAATTGCTGGAGATTTCCCCCGCAATATTCGCCTTGGTTGCACGTCCTTGTTGTCGACTACGTCCGCGACAGCTGCGGCGGCAGCGCTCGTTGTCTTCGCCCCTGCCGTCGTCGTCGCTTTCTTACTCGCCTCTTTCCTTGCTTGCATTGCATTCGCTTTACTACTCTTCTTGCTATTCGCTATCTTCGACGCCCCTACTGCTGTCGCTACTTGTTTTCCGCGCGATTGTCTTCCTGTGCCACCCAAGTCTTCCTCGGACTCTTTCCTCGGCGCGCTCCAATCCTCCTCGGGGACTAACGGCGCCAACTGCACGTCCTCGATGGACGAGTGTCTCCTCAAAACCTCCTTCTCCTCTCCGTACGAATCTAAAACGCTCGACAAATTTTTCCTCAGCGTCCCCTTATCCATCGCCCACACCTGTCTCTGCACTTTCAACGAGCACTGCCTAAAAATACTCAAATCCCTCGATATCAGTTTCAAATAGTTCGCCGGCACCGGACTCAATCTTTCGAGAATAGTCAACGGGATCCGTTTCAATTCCTCGATGCCGATAAACGGGAACGAGGCTTGCAATAAACTCAATAAATTTCCTTGCGGTGCTATTTTAATCCTAGTCAGTAATTCTTCCGACGCGTCGTCCAAGATGTTTTTATACGCCAGCGGTCGCGAAATCTCCAACTGATCCAACAAGCCGAGGTATTGTTCGCATCCGGAGGCATTTTTTAACGCGCACGAGGATTGGACTTTTTGCACCGCCGCTTCGACCTGTTATCGTCATAAAAAGAAGAAGATGAAGAAGAAGAAATCAGAATTTATTACGCTTATCATCATCGTACCAACGCAAGAGAGAGAAAGAGAGAGCAAAGAGAGAGACAACACGATTGAAAATCCGGGGAAATGGGGAAATGAAATCTAAAACGCTCTCGTTTATAACGTGTCACACACCTGCGCGCTCGTGCTCAGCGTCGTCGCCACGAAATCCTGCCCTTCCCCTCCGACGATCGCGGAGTATAAAGAGAGAGGCGTGTCCCTCCCTTCGGTTTCTTCTTTCGAGTTGTTCATGTTATTCTCGTTCTTGTTTTTGTTCTTGTTTTTGTTCGTCATGATGATGTGTCTGTCTCCGAGGGGGCGAAAGAAGTAGGGGATTCGTCTCGCACGCTTCAAAGAAAAGAATGCGTCACACACACACACGCACATAAACGCACGCCTCACAGATTTAAAATAATGAGCGGCGGTTTTGTCTGAAATAGAAGAAAGTATTCTCTTCATTACATCGTTTTTGCCCGATGAGTAGCAACAACAACAGCGCGAAAGCCGCGGGACGGGCCAAGGTACGCGCATATGTTTCTCTCTCTTTTTTTTCCCACAAACGTCTCTTCTTTTGATGGATGTAATTATTAACGAGTTTTGTTGTGTTCACTTCTTATCATAACAACGGTGCAGTTGGACGCGTACAGAAAGAAGAAAGCGGCGAAGAAGGAGAAGAAGGACGTTTCTTCAATCTCTGGTTTGAATTTTGCGAAGAACGAGGACCACCAAAACGCGTTAGGGGAAAGGGTGGCGTCGAAACCACCATTTTTAGTTGCAGATGGTGATGAACCAAAAAGTGATGACTCGATGAAAATGACTTTTACGACGACGCCGACGACAAACGAAGAAGAAGAAGAAACAGCGAATACGACCGAAACGTTTGCATTTACGATGGCACCAGATGCGGTAAGATATAGTAATGGTAATACTAAGGGTGAAGAAGACATTGTCGCGCACGCATCGCCGATGCAACCTGCCGCTCCAGCTGAACAACCGCGACGCGGAATGGAGGAAGAAGAAGAAGAAGGAGGCGTTGCGGCGTTTATGTCCCCGCCTCCGCCTCGATTTTCTTTCGACGAGAGTTACAATGCGGCTGGGGGTAGTATGATGGAAGAAGAGGCGACGCCGCCGGTAAAGATGAATATGCGTGGCTTCGAAGAGCAAGAGGACGCTGACATTGATAGAAAGAAGATGTCGTCGTTGGATGAAAGTTTCGATCCAGAAGAGTACGTGAATCGATTCGTGACTCCGGAGAAGAAAATGGCTCCACCGACGAAGCAGAAGAAAGCCACGATTGACGTGCCGATGGACGAGTTAGAAGCGATTTTCCGCCCGACGAAGAAGAAGGATGGGTACGACGACGCCGACGACGTGCCGTACTCTTTTTCCAAGTTTTTGGAGAGGGAGAAGAATAAAAATGAAGAACAACGGCTCTCGAGTTTTGAGAGGGGAATTTTAGAATCCAAACGGAGGAAGGAACAAATGGGAGGAGAGGCTTCGATTTCAGATATGCTCGGCAGAGGTTCAACGCTGACACCGTTTGGTGGTATTAGTACGGGTAACGGAATGTCCAAGCTCGAGCAAGACGAAATCACCTCGTTGCAAAACATGATTGACGATTTGACGACTGAAAAATTAAGTCTCAAGCGCGGGATGGATAAAAACCAAAAGATCATCGAAAGTTTGATGGAAGAAAACGAATCGTTAACGAGCGCGTTCAACAATGCGAAGAATAGAAGTACGGCGTTGGAAAACGAATTGAACAAGCTTTCGAGCGAGATGATGTTACACTCGAGCGTTCAACAGAGCATCTCAAACGACAGAGACGCTTCAAGGCGAGGGTATATCGAAACTCGAGAACGCGCGAACGAGTTAGCGAGAGAAGTAGTCGAATTGGAGGAAGTTGTTTTAGAATACAAGTCAAAGTTATTCTTGTACGAGAACACGCAAACGGATGCGTTGGAGCGATCGAAAGAGTTAGAGCGAGCTTTGTATGTAGCAAACGAGGATCGGGTATACTATCAAAATCTCGCGGAAGCTATGAACGAGGAGAGAAGGGAAATGCAAAGACGCGTTGGACAATCGAACGCGATCCAAGCGCTGATTGAAAGTGGAGACGTTCCCATCGTTGAAATGTTACAGAGCTGGTTGAAGCAGGTGCAAGCTAAACCCGTATCTCAGGAGCAAAACGTGTCTTCGTCTTTACGCTCGGCAGAAGCAGAACAACAAAACGAGTTTCTCGAAATGTCCACGTCCGAAGCAGATTTTGTGTGCGAGACGAGAACGAGCGAAGCAGTCGCGACAACAAAAGAACTTATAGATGCTTTAACTCGAATGGCGAGTGGCGATACGGGTGGTAGTAGCAATAATAATCCCGATGAGAGCGCCGCTACTTCAGACGGAGAGGACGACGACGACGAAGATGAGAATGGAGAAGAGGACGGAGTTGTTATCGACGAGGCGCAAATTCGGCTCATCACTTCGATTCACGAGTTACTCGCGGAAATGGAAAAAGAAACTGCAATCTTTCGTGTGAAGTTGAAAGATGCCGAGCGACGAGAGATGGGTTTACGGGCTGCAAATGCAGCGTTAGAATCTCGCCTCGCAAGATCTGCGCCGCAAGCAAAGACGATGAATACGAACACAAAGGAATCCGAAGGGAGAGATGACGTCATAGCTGCGATGCGAAGGATAAACGCAGGGTCTGCAGAGCCTACTCCTAGAACGCGAGAGAATGATAGTAGTGGTGGGTTTAGATTTAGAACCGGGTTAGTACCGGATGACGATTAGATACTTTTAGTCGATAGTTTTAGCGACATGTTTGCATTGTTATTTTTGGTAGCGCGTGACGATTTATTTCTAATTCAGTGTCCATTCACTCTTTATTTGAAGACTTCCCAACCTGAGACGACGACAGCTGCTCAGGTGGTCCACAGTTTTCGAATATTCTAATTTCACCGCTGTAACCAGCGGTAACTATTATTTGTCCGAGACCAGCGGCTTTGCGAAAGCTCGCTTCGCACGTTTTTTTGGCCTCGGCGATTTCCAAAGCCCATTTCGACGCTTGAGCTTTTATGCTATTTGACGAAGACGCCGGAGTATCCTTTTTATCGTCTTTTTTCTCGTTTCCCTCGGAGTTCATTCGCAACTGTTTTACTTGTTCACTCAATTCTTTCGCCGCTAGTATTCGCAAGCTCTCAATCTCCTCTTGATCGGACTTTCTTCTCGATACGTAAGCGCTCTTTTCATTTTCTGGCATTCGCGCCATGATGACTTCTTCTGGGGCGAATACAGCCGTCGTAACGATGTCGGTTTGTGCGGCGAAAGTTTCGTACGTCGCGTGTTTGTCTTTTTTATACCCGCCATGAAATGCGCTCGGGATGAAAGTATTCACCGTCGGCCAAACAAAAAGGTACTCAGTTTCGGAACCGCAAATTATAAAGTCACCGCGTTCGCTAAACGTCGCTTTGATTTGCGAATTCTTATTCTTATGCCCTTTATACTTTGTCTTCAACTGGTAACCGTCATAAATTCTTAACCGCGAGTCGTTCGATGCGACGAGTAACTTGCGATCGTCACCGGGAAAGAATTGTAAGCCGGTAACCTTTTTGCCCATCGGATTTCTTTGCCGGCGATTTTGAATGTCGAGCAAAGTGAGATACTCAAACTTGAAGCCGACGGTTTGGTAAAAATGACACTTCCCCCGATATGATCCGGCGACTACGCATTTACCATCGCTTTGAAAACACGCCGCTGTAACCATTTCTCCAATATCCACCCAGTCAACGACTCTGTGATCGGGAATGTTCCATAATCTCAACTTACCGTCTAAACTCCCAGAGACAAAGTATTTATCATTCACCGGGTTGAAATCAATCGCAGTTACGAAATCTTGGTGCGCGAAAATTCTCAAGCATTCATTCATAGTCGTGTACCACAATCGAACGGTTTTATCCATGCTCGAAGAAAGCAACCAATCCGTGTGCGACCAGCACAGATCTAACACGTCCCCTTTGTGACCGACGTATGCGCGCAACGGAACGTCTTTGAACATCGATTCTCCACGCTTTTTGAACGAACACGTTTTGATCTCGCCGTCTTCGTGGTAATTTTCCGACTCGTCTGCATTTTCCGGCGCTTCTGATTTCATGCACTGAATAGTCCACACGCGAACAATTCTATCTTGACCAGCTGTGGCTAAGAACTTGCCAGTTCGCGAAAACTTCATGCACCAGACGGCGCCTTCGTGGCCTTTGACGCTTTGAATCACTTTAACTTTTGAGAAATCTTTGAACCCTTTCCTATTCACGTGCACTTTGAGGTACTGACCAACTTCTTCGCAACCAGGTTTGACTATAGTTTGAGCGTGGTGTGAGCTATTCTCTTCCTCTTGCGCTCTTCTCTCCTGTTTGCGATCCTCGAGCGAATGCTGCAACTGCGACTTGGTCTCTACGATTTTCTCCGCCGCGATTTTACTCACCTCCTTCGTTTTATTCCAAGCCTCGGTCGATCGTTTCTTCAACCACCGGCCGGGATTCCTAGGTTTCGTCGTCGATTTTTTATCACCGACGACGTCCGCTGTTGTGCTACTCGTTCCTTTCTTCTTCGTCTTACCGTCGTCTTCGCTTTGCTCTCCTCCTTCTTCTTTCATCGACAGCCGTTCTCTCCTCTCGACTTCGTTCAAAATCGGCGACGTCACCGCTTCAATAGCTACGTTCCGTTCCATTTCCACCACAGACATGACTGTCCCAGTCGTTAAGTCTGTCACTGTCGGTGCATTTTCCCTGTCTTCGCTCCTCCTCTCGCCGCCGCCGCTTTTTTCTTTCTTCTTCTTGTGCAACAAAGCGTTCGCCGCTTCCTCTCCGACTAAATATTCCGCCCCGGTGTCTAAATTCTTTAGCGTAAACTTCGTGGGATCTCGCAACTCCGCTTCTATCCCTCTCGGCGTCCCGCCTCCACTCACGCTTTCATCCATATCTGAATTCAAAATATCGTTGTTCGGGTTCGTCGGGTCGGTTTGTACGCTCGGCGCCTTCAAGTCTTCCGGGTCTAACGAGTTTTCGTCCGCGCACGATTGGCCCATCGCGCTCAACTGTCGATCTAAAACTTCCGCCAAGTGTCTGTCCGACCCAGAAAATTGCGATAAGGAATCTCTCGGTTCGTAATAATCGCTCTCTTCGCCGTCAAACTCTTTATTGTTTTCTGCCGATGTAATATTTCGTGCCGCGCATTCGTCTCCGACCGACGCAAAATCTTCATCTTCGTCTGAACTCGAGTGGTCCGAGTACGTGTGATTCGAGCCTGTAAAAATCGATCGCGTTTCCGTCGTGTTCGACGCCGTTTTCTCTTCGCTGTTGTTGTCTTCTTCTTCTCTTCTTTCGTGCTGGTCGTTTGTATCGTTTTGATTGTTTTCGTGAGTATTCATCGTTTCTCTTTCCCTCTCTGAAATGATGTTGACTGCCTCAGCGTTTTTCTCTTCCGGGTGCCTCTCCAACGTCCAACGTTATTAAAAATTCTCTCGTATTCTTTTCTTTTGTCTCTTCTTCTTCTTGTTGTTGTTCAGAGAGAAAGAAAGAAAGCCCCGTCGAAAACCACCACTCGCAATAATAAAAGTCTCTCTCTGTCTGTCTCTCTCCTTCTCTCTCTTTCTCTCCGCGTTCACCCCGCGTTCCCCTTCCACCACTGCTTTTGGCACTCGAATGAAGTGAAGACGCACGACGTGAAAAAATTTTGATTTTTCGTTTTTTTTTTTGTTTGTGTCGTCCTTTTTTTGTCCTCACTTTTCTCTTCTTTTCGTCTCAAAATTCAAACACCTGTTTGTGTACAGACAACAACATCGAATAAGAATGGCGTCGAAGAGAGCGACGGGAGGGAAGTACGAGTACCTCTCCCTGGCGGAGTTGTATCAAATCGAGGAGAAAACGAACGTGAAAACGCAACGCGCGCACGTATACGGCATCGTCGCGGAGAAATATCAACCTCAAATCACGAGAAGTGGTGATACGTATTTAAAACTCAAACTGTTCGACGAATCGTTAAACTCGGATTATAACGGGGACGAGATGAAGCCGAGGAAAGGGATGAAACGAGTGAATCCACCGTTTATTGAAATCGCGTGCTTCGCGAATAAGAAGGAAGATTTACCGATATTAGCGCAGGTTGGAGATGTGATTCGATTTCATCGGTTGGAGGTGTCGTTTTACCGACCGAATAGTAGAAATAACCAACACTACGGAGGAGGAAGAGAGGAAGGGACGATACAGTTCGTCGCGAAAATAGGCCAGTTTACGAACGGGAACGCGTATTCGAAAACGCACTTCGTTCTGTTTAGCGGCGAACCGGCGCAGATTGTGGATGCAGATAGTGCGAAGCAGAGATCGTCCAATGATATAACGTTTACGGACGAGGATCAACAAAGGATTGAAAATTTAATCGCGTGGAAGAACACGCCGGAATGTTTGGGAATGCCAAAGATTGCGTATTTAGGGAAGTACGACAGAAGGATTCAAGATATTCAGCGAGAAAGAAATTACGATTTGCACGTGAAGATATTAGACGTTGGGTACAGAGACGGGTATCCGGAAGTGATTTTCGTTTGGGACGGTTCTGATGCGGTGCCGATGAGTTTATCGACGCCGGATTTTCCGCAGCTCGTGGACGATACGAACCAAGCGGAGGCGCTCGGGCCCATGTATTGGCTTCCAATAGATCAAGACATCAATCCAACGCAAGATGTCATCGAACGAGGCCAGGATTTCCCGCCGTCGACGAGACGAATGCTCGAAGAAATGGGAGACGCCGTATCCTACGGCTCGGCGTTTCCGGTGTACATTCGAGGCTTTGATTTTAGCGACGAGATGCCAAAGAAAGGGCAGTGGGTGAAATTAAGAAATCTTACCGCGGGTGTTCACGGAGCGCAGTTAAACGGCGCTTTCTTCGCAAATTCAAAATGGATGGTTGAAGCGAAAGGCCATCCGACGTGGTTGGACCAAGTTCAGTTTCGTCAAAAGGCTAATATCGTAGCGAATTGGGCGCCAAACGTAGGCGTGGATGCACCAAACGTTACCATGATTATGCATCCGCAAGTGAAATGGGATACGATTCGATCCGCGCTTTTAAAAGAGGCACCGAATAGACACAGATTATACGTTCGAGCGCAAAAGTTCTGGCCGGAAGACGAGAAGGAGTGGTGCGTGAAAAATCCAGTCACGAACGAATGGGAGTACGTTTTCAAAATATTAGTCGAAGACGCGACGGGCGTTTTGCGCGTGACGGTATCGCCAGAGGAAGGTAAGTACTTCTTGAGAGGGTTGCCCCCGTGCGATTTGAGCGCGAATAGGGCGACGTTGCACCAGCTGAGAACTAGAAAACATACGCTCTTGAATGGGAGCAACGGCACGGATAACTGGATCCAAATATGTGTTCGACAGTACTTACCGGCGCGCAAACGAACGCGAGGTAATGAAAAGCGAACGTGGGAGTTATTCGGTACCGCCATGGTTCGCGAAAAATTGTAAAAATACGAATAGCAAACAAGTTTTAGAAAACGAATCGGAACGAGGCGCCTCTCGCCTGTATAAAAGGACAAGTATATTACATCACACGTTTACTATTCTTATTTGAGAAAGTCTGTGACTTTTTCCAACCAACTCGTATACTCTTTCTGTTCTTTATCTATTCTCTTCTCGACGATGTAATCCGCCAACGCCGCGTTTATTCCTCTCTCTTCTAAATACGATAAAAAAGCATCCTGGACGCCTTTATCCAGGTCCTCAAAATGCGGCCCGGGATAGTTGTTGTCGTCAAACTCTTCGTCAAATAAAATACCCTCGCCTTCTGCATCATCATCACCACCACCGGTTCCTCCTTCTCCTCCTCCTCCTTCGTTCCATTCGAAACCTTCGTATTGAACGTGTTGAATCTCAATCAACTCGCCATCCGTGACGCAAAAAAATTCCAACTGTTTCCCGCTTCCAGTCTTCGAAACAGTCACAGAAAACTCCTCCTCGATATCCTCGTCGCCTAAACCTTCGTCGATGACATCGTCCACGCCGTTATCGTCGTCTCGTCCGTACTCCGTTTCCATCGGATCGTCCGAGGCGGAAAAGTGCACCAAAATCTCCTCGTCTTCGCCAAATTCCTTGGACAAGTACACGTCGCAATCCCCTTCTCTTTCGCTCAGCGTCCACCCATCCGGTGGTCCACCTTTCGCCGTTTCCGACTGTTCGTACGATTCTGCCTCGTGTTTAATCTCCGCTCTCAAAATCGCCGACAATCGCGCGCTCTCAGACGAAGAAGACAAAGAAGAGGTGGTCGTTACGACGCCTTCACTTTCCTCGGACGACGACGACGAACCAGCATCCGCACTGAACGATCTCCTTCCTAAAAATCTTCCTCTTCCGCCAATACTAACACCACCACGCTCCTCTCCTCTTCTTTGATTCTTCCGTAATTGGTATTGTTTCGCGTCGTCGTCGTTTCCCTTTTCCTCGAAACTCGCGGAAGAAGAAGTTTTACAAGAAGAAGAAGAAGAAGAAGAAGAAAAAGTACTCCTCTGATGCGCCGGCAAAAATGCAAAATTCCCAAAACGCCGATGATGATGATGATTTTGAAGAAGAAGCGCTGTTGTTGTTCTCGCAAAACCACCGCTGAGACTATTAGTAGTATTCGCAAACGCTGCTGCTCCCACGCATCGAGCAGCCGCCGAACACGACGTCGTCGTCGTCTTTTTAGAAGGAGAAGACAATCTCAGCAATCTCGCAGCAAACATATTTGATTTTAGTTAAAAGAGAGAGAAAAGAGTGAAGAGAATTTTCCGATCAAAAAGGGCAAACGAAAAGAGGAAAAAAGAACAAAAAAAGCGAAGAAAAAGACACGAGTGCTTTTATTTTTCATCAAGTTCGTTAGTTTTGTGTGTGACTCTTCTTTTTTCTCTTCTGCTTGTAGAGACGAGGAGAACGAGAACGAGAACGAGAACGATGACGACGACGAGAGCAGCAGCGGCGGCGTTATTTTGTGCCAACACTAGGAATAGGAGCAGTAAAAGCGGTGTGAAAAGCTTTTTGTTTTTTGGGGGAAAGAAGAGGAGCAGCTTTTGCGGGAAACATCATCACTCTCGTTTTCGATATCTTTCAAAATCTTCGTATTCTTCTCTCGGGACGGAGGAAGGATGGATGCGAGGTAAACGACGCAAGGACAACAACAACGACGAGAACAATAATTCGTCGTCGTCCTTAGATGCAATCGTAGTCGTAGCCGGTGGATTTACTCCAGATAATTTGTGGCTTCCCGAGTGGGTCCTGGAGCGTTTGGACTATTGCGCAGAGGCGCATAAAAAAGCGAACGAGAAAGCGTACATATGCATAGCCGGATCGGCGACGCCGCATAAACCACCTCCGTTACAAAAAGGAGGATTTATTTATCACGAATCGACGATGATGGCAGAATATTTAATCGATACGCACGACGTCCATCCCGGGAAGATTTTGAAGGATACGTCGAGCATGGATACCATCGGTAACGCGTATTTTACCAGGTACGTGCACGCTATTCCGAGGGGGTGGAAAAACGTAGAGGTGGTGACGTCTAAGTTTCACATGCGACGAGTGAAAGCGGCGTTTGAGTGGGTGTGGGGGATGCCTTTAGAAGGGAATGGTGATGAGGACACGCAAATCCGATTCGTTTCGACGAGAGATTCGGGATTGTCCAAGGAAACTTTAATAGCCAGAGAGGAGAGGGAAATCGAATCCGAGAAGCAGTTGAGAGAAAATGCGAAAATGTACGACACGCCGGATAAATTCGCCGAGTGGATGTTTACGACGCACAAGTGTTACGCGGTCACGCGTCAGCACGAGATTGGAGATTTTGAGGCGGTTAAGAAGGAGCTCGGCTCAAACGCGGAAAAGTTAGGATATTAGTGGAAGTTGTAGCAAAAAATTGTACTTTAATGACGTTGTGTTTGTTTTATTGATATTACTTTTACAATTTGCCTTCGCCCGCCATGAGTTTGTCTAGAATCGAATTCATTTCCTTCTGCTCGTTCCTAGCTTCCATTTTTCCAAGCACTGTCATGACTTCGTCGCGCGTGAATCCCATGGACGCGAATTCGCCGACTATGACGTCCAAAGGGATGTCTTCGTTTTGGACTTGAGGCGGCGACGGAGGAGGAGGAGATGGATACGAGCTCGCGAGAACTTGGGGAGGAGGAGGAGGAGATGGGTGATACGTTCCGTACGGATCGTGCTGCACGTGTGAAGGCGGAGGTGGATGGCCGTGGTGTGGAGGTGGCGATGAAGGACCGCCGTGATGCGGCGGCGGAGGCGACCGATGAGGATGAGGATGAAGATGATGGTCGATGCCCGGGTAATGGGCGGCGGACTCCCCCGAGGGAGACCCGCTTCTCTCGTGCGGAGGAGGAGGAGGATGCGGATGCGGAGGACCGCCTCTTCCTCCTCTCGCGAATGACGGCGGACCGTAAGGATCCTGGTGGTGCTGATGATGCGCGTGAGGAGGAGGAGGATGGTGCGGAGGGGGATTATGCGGAGGATAATGCGGAGGATGATGCGCGCCTTCAGGCGTCGGCGGTCTTCTACTTCGCCCGCTCCCTGCTCTGAGAACGATATTCTCTTTAATCTCCTCTTCAATCTTCTCTTCTTCTTCTTCCTCTTCTTCCTCCTCTTCTGACGAATCAACTACCGCGAACAAATTCGCGCTCGTTATCGGTTCTTTCCCGTTTTCTTTCCTCGCTTGTCCGACGATGAATCCGTGCAGAGCGTTTTCCACCCGCGCGACTTCCTTCGCATTTCTCAACGCAACTAACTCTAACGCCTCCAAGCGTTCGAGAATTTTGCCTAAAGTTGTCAAGATGACTTTCGTTTCCGTGCTGAAAGACTCGATGGTTGCGTTTACTTTCGCATCATCATCATCATCGTTCTTCTTCTTCTTTTGATCCTCATCCGTTTTTGTGGACGACGGGGCTTTCGATTCGGGGATGCCCTTTACTCCGTCGTTCATCGTCATCGTTTTCTTCTCCTCTTCTCCAAACGACGTAAACGACGACGATTCCAACGTGGTCGACGACGGTTTCATCATCATCGATTTCATCATCGCCTCGGTAGTGGTTTTTTTCCCTGAATTCAGCGCGTTTTTCTCCACGCCGATTTTGAAATCGAACGGGTCGTCGTCCTCCATTCTTATATTCTTCTTTTAAGGAGATCTTTTTCTTCTTCTTTTACGACAAAAGGACGGGCGAGAGGATGAGAGAGAAGACGAGAGTTTTCGTATTCTTTGAGTCGTGGGAACGACGAAGAATGTTTTTTTTTGAGGTGCCTTTGATTTTTGCGAAAAGAAACAGACCAAAACAATAATCACAAGCGACATGATACTATCATTACTCTCGTATACAAATACACTATTACATTCTTTGCCCTTACGTTTCGATGGACCCCCACTCGTTCTCTTTGGTTCTCGTGCAATCGACGTACCTCGTATCGTTTCTCGCCGCGGCTTCGACCGCTCTCAATTCCATCGCTCTCTTCTCCCTGAGGACAGCGGCTTCGCCTTTGAGCGTCGTCGCGGCTACGGAGGAGAGAAGACTGGCTAATCCGGAAACTTGGAAGGCGACCCGGTAGGTTCCGAACGCATCGAATAAGATCCCGCTGACGTACGGACCGAAGAAACCGGCGACGCAAAAACCGGTGAAGATGCGACCGTAGGCTCGGGCAAAGTCACCGTCGCCGGCGACCCGTCGGACTTCGCAAGGCACGGCGGTTTGTAAAATGCCGTAAGATAATCCAGTCGCGAGTAACGCGAATCGAATTGCCGAGAGTGGCATGATGACAGAGCCGATGATGGCACTACTGGTGCTGCTCGCCCAAAACATAGCTGCGGCGGTGATTAACGGAGCGAATATTAAAACCGATTTTGCTTTGAAGCGATCGCAAAGTGACCCTCCTATGATTCTTCCGGCAGTTGTCGCCAAAGAGACGTACATGACGCCAGCGGCAACGTTCGCGGAAACGGTGGCGTCCCCTCTAGACAGTAACAACACCGCAGCTTGCGAAATGACTGAGATTCCTGCAAAACATCCCAGGGTGTTTACGAACCACATCTTGATCGTGTGCGGACGCAAATCGGTCAATCTTCGCAAGGTTTCTAAATCCGTCACCGCCAACTTATTTCTTCGTCGTAAGCCGAGAGGAATATCTATGGATGCTTTGTGAAAACACAGCGACGCTACGGTACCTAAAACGGCAATCGCGTAAGACAAGTTCCTCAACGCAACGTCCGGGCCGTAAAAATCCAGCTTCTTTTCAATCAACGGCGCGTACACGAAAGCGCCAAAGGCTCTCGCCGAGGTGACTAGTCCAGTCCCTAACCCTTGTCCAAACGGTGCAAACGAGGACATTTGCTGCGATAACCCGTACCCGAGACCACACGCGATGCCAAATAGACCGGCAAACCCGATATATAAAGGAAAAATCGACATCGCGGTCGAACAAAACGACGCCATGAACACGCCACTCGTCGCCAATATAGTCGCTAAAATACACATCGTTCTCGGCCGAATCCTCGATATCAACGAGGGCACTATGAACGACAGAGACAGCGTAAAAAACAACGTCGCCAACGAAAATATCGCCGACAACTGCGCCCTCCCGACATTCAACGAGAACTCTAAAGGCACCAAAAACAACGACCAACAGTAAAACGCGCCCAAGGATATTTGCAATATCAGCGCGCCAAAGTACCCGAACCGTTTCCTCTTTCTCTCCTCTTCTCTTTTCTTCTCGTCCCCGTTTTCCTCCTCCTCTTCCTCCTCGCTTTCTTCATCGAACGATCGGTCCCAAATTCCAGACATAAACCGCAGAGGTTCCGGTAATCGTTTCTTCGTAAGAATTTTTCCTCCTCTGCTCATTAAAACGCCTTGCGTCCGGTGTTGTCCTTTTTTCGTTTTGTTCTTCATCACCTCTCTTTTGCTGCTTTTTCCTCCTCTGTTTTTGTTGTTGTTCTGTTGTGTATTCCCAACTCCTCCTCCTCTGCTTCCTCCTCCTCTGCTTCCTCCTCTGCTTCCTCCTCCTCCTCCTGCGCCATCGATGGACGACGCCGACACCGGGGCGTGTTGTTGTCGTCGCTTTCCTCTAAAAGTTCCTCTTTCTAATGCGTTCGAAGAAATACTCATCCACCCTCTCGTCGTCGCGTTTAATAAATTGCTCTCTCCTTTCCCGTTTGCGCTTCTTGCCGCCGTCGTCGTCGACGCTTTTTCGTTTAAACTTTTTTTCCACAACCGATGATAACGACGACGACGACGAGAAGACGTAGAAGACGCGCAAGACGCACAAGACGTGGACGCAAAAACAACGCGAGAAGATGTTCGAACAGTAGCGGCACTACCGGCGCTGTTGCCAATCGTCGTCATCACCGCGCGTCCTCCTCCAAAAGGCCGGGATGGTGGGTTAAGAAGCAACATATCTGCTCTTTTTGTGTTGCGTGGAAACACAAAAAAAGCGAAGCCGGGTCGAAAAATGGTGATCCCTAAACCCTCTTCTCTCTGCGTTCTCTTATCAATTGCACGCCCTTTTTTGCATCATCATCATCAAAGAGAGAGAGAGCGACGAGAGCTATTTGTTGTCGCATAAACACGCGCAAACACACCCTCCTCTTCTCAAACTCCCTGGCTGCTCTCCCTTTTTCCTTCAATTTGAAGAGACAACAGAAGATTGAAAATCGATATCCGATCTTTGTGAATTGCTGAATTTTGTGTTTTTGTTAACCTCAATTGAGTTTTAGAGGCGAGCGCTTTTCTCCCTTTTGTCTTCCACCCAGAAAAAAAAAGGGCAGCAGACGTTCGATATAGTATAATTCGACGTGCCTCTCGGCGGCGCTGGGGGAACCCACCACCCTCGGTTGAGCGCGAGACACACGGACACACACACAGACACACACAGAGAGAGAGAGAGAGGAAGCGATTTATGGCTGCTTCGATGAGGTCCGGGAGAAGTACCACCCAAAGTTCTGCTGGCGGTGGGGGGCCTAGGAATACGACCACAGAGGACGAGGAGGAGAGAAAAAAGAAGGTGAATATCGCGGAACCGACGCCTTGGATTAAACGAAAGGTGGAATATTTTGGTCCGTTTCGATTAAACATTAAACAGTTTCTGAAACTCGCGACGCCAGACGCGCGAGCGACGGAAGATGGGATTTGGGGGTACACTCTCGTGTTGAGGACGCCTTCGACTTCGAAAGACCAACCGGCGCACGAGACAGTTCTGCGGATATATGAAGAGTCCACAGAAGTCGAAGAAGACGAAGAATGCATACACTGCGATTGCTGTAAATGTATCGGGTGGCATCATCACCCGGTGAACAAAAAACAGTGGCACTTCATCGTCCACACGGATTTTAAAACGAGAGGAAAACCAGAGTTGGCCGGGAAAAGAGTCTGTCAGTTGTGTTGCTGCGCCGTGCCGAAAGGTGAAAGAGTGTGTACGGTGTGTGGAGAAATCGATAAAGAATGTTCGATTGTCGATCATCAGACGCATTTGTTGCACGGATTACTTCACGGAAATGGGTGTGGACACTTAAAACGTATCAACGGACGAGAGGCGGGATCGATGGTGTTGAGCGGATCGCAATTGATGGGTTTGTGGGAGAATATTTGCTACACGTTGAGAGCGAGAGAGGTTTCCGTGGAGGACGTTTCGCAGAAATACGGAGTTGAGTATCGATTGTTGAACCCCGCGAGTAGTGGGAACACGTGGTACGGGACGTACGGGTACGTGTTTGGTAAAGGTAGCTTTGGAAATACGGTGACTTCGCATAAACGAGCAGGTGCTGATTTTCGAACGTTCCCGTTGAAAAACTTAAGAAGCGATTTTGTCATGACTGGAGGCGAGGACGATCCAATGGTGCACTTAATCGATAAATACGTCAATATTCTTACGCTCGAAGCAGAAAAGAAGACGGGCGACGAGGATGAGGAGCAAGAAGATGATGAACTCGAGATTCCAAAAACTTTAGGCGATTTAGTCAAAGCTTTGCTCCGATTGCAAAGAAATATTCGCAGAGAAGTAAAAGAAGGCATCAGGCCGTTCGAAACGTTAGCAACGCACGGCGTAGGCGCCGTGTTGGCCGGAATTTCAGATGTTGCCGAGAATAGACCTCAAACGAACCAAACGACTCCCCGGCGTCACTCTTCTCATCATCATCATCATCATCATCATCAACAAGAAACAAAAAATGGAGCAGGGGGCGGGGCGAGATCCAACAAGAAACGCGCTTATCCGGAAATTAAGAACGAGGAAGAGTTCATAGAAGTAGCAGTAAAAGAAGAAGAAGAAGAAGCAGAAGAAGAAGAAATTAAACGAGAGGAAACGGTGCACCACGACTCGGTCTTTGCTTCGGCGGCGAAGAAACTAAAAATGGCTGGAACCGGTCTAGCTTCTGCGTTTGCGCGAACGCTCAGATCACCAACTTCAATAGTACAGCATAACGGTCACCAAGAGCAACAGAAACAACAAATGCCTATGGTCAAGCAAGCACCTCTTCCAACCGAACCAATGGTCGAGTGGAAACGAGGTCGCTCGAGTAATCCGAATCCGGCGGCGCAGACGAGATGGACGCTCGCTCGCGTCAATGTCGCGGCGAATGCATGCGTGATGGTTTTGGCGGATAATAAAGGCTTCTGGTTAGGTAGACAAGACGTTCGAAACCTTGCGCGTCTGAAAGGTGTTGGAGATACGGGACTTTTGGATCACGTCTTAAAGACGATTGCGGATCATCCTGTCATTATGGACGGTAAAAACGGAGCGAAGGATGCAAGAGCGAAAGTGCGAAGACGGAATAACCCGATAAATTCTCAGTTAGAGTATCAGTTGGAGATGCCGAACTCGACGATATCGCCAAATTCGCCTACTTATACGGCTCCGCTCGACTTTATGAACCCATACGCGAACGCGCCAGTTGAACCAGTTATGGTAGGGAAATCTCCATTGAATAACATTCGCGTACTGCGCAACGGAACGACGTCAAGAGGAGCGACTCGCCAACAACCAGTAAGAAATCAAAGAGAAACGCGTTCTGCAACGGCAGTGTTAGCGCCTCCGTCTTCGATGAAAGTGGAACGAAAAAGTCAACAAAAACTGCCGACGATAGCTCCGGTGACGCCACAAATTCGTTCGAATCCAAACGCGAAAGCCATCTCAGAGCTTACTGCGTACGACGTCGATAAGGATTTGAGAGCGGTTTATCGAGACTGTCTGGAAAGCTACAAACCAGCACGAGTTCAGATCGGGAATAAGATTAGAGTTACGTGTAAAGGTGCACATCTCACAAATGCAGCTCGAGTATTGTTGGATACGAAACAATTTGTCAAAACATACATAGATATCGACGACTTGTTGCACTTGAGCGTGCCTGCGAATGTCAAAAATCTTAAACCGACTCGCGTACTCGTTACTGCGATCATCGATAGATCAAATTCAGGACCAAAAGTCTCTGGTTTAGGTGGTGCAATTATGGGTAAGAATCGGCGGAAGCTTGGCGTCGAGTCTAAGCCACCGCCAGAGATTGTTCTGCTTCCGGTTCCGTGCACGTTGGGCGAGTTGAAAAAAGAAGCGACGAAAGCGTTTGCGGATTTATACGTTATCCTCTCAAAATTCAAAGTCACCGCGATTAAAGGGTACGAAAACCTTCCAGACTCGACGAGATTGAACAAGAATTCGTTGCAGTACGCGCACGCCGAAGTTATGGGTGAAGGCGCGGACTTAGAGAGCGAATACCGTTACCAAGGCGGACTCGATCAGTGGGTCGTGAACTGCCATTGTGGAACGAACGACGACGATGGGGAGCGAATGATTGCGTGCGACCGGTGCGAGATTTGGATGCACACGAGATGCGTGGGCATTGAAGATGAAGCGAAGACGCCGAAACGATTCACGTGTCACGAATGCGAAGGGATTTCGATCGAAGACTTTTTAGAAGCGAGGAAGCCAAAAGTCAAAGCTGGACGACCGGCGCCAAAAGCTAGAGGATAGTTGTATAATTTCGAAACACAAAAAATGTAATTTGTATTCTTTCTTAAAACGCTCGCTTTACTAATTGATTTCACTCTCATTCTTTCTCTTTTAAAGATGTTAATTACTCGTTCCAGCGACCCTTTTGCTGCTCTTCCGTCGGCCCTTGTTGCGCCTTTGCGAAACTTGTCGGCAACATCGCAAACTTTTGCATCTTTGGTACGTACGCTCTTTGCGTGAAGTTGTCGTATCCGTTCGCCTCGATGGCATCTAAAATATCTCTGTATACGTCCAGCGCGGACCATACCGGCCATCTCGCGTCTTTATTCAAACAGTTTACGCCGGCTTCCGCGGAAGCAAAGCACTCTCGCGCCCTCGCGATTTGAAACTTCATAAACTTCACCCAGCGTTCGTCCACTTTCCCGTTTTGTACCAATCCCGTCAACACTTCACCTTCGGTGATGCCAAACTTAGCCAAATCTTCCAAGGGAACGTAAATGCGATTACGCTCTCTCGCATCTTCTCCAACATCTCTGAGAATGTTCGTCAACTGGTTCGCTAATCCCAACGATAACGCCGCTTTATACACCGACTGTAAGTCGCCTTTATAGTTTTCATCCACGCCCATAATCGGCATGGACATCAAGCCAACAGTACCAGCCACGCGATAGCAATACTCGTACAACTCATCGAACGTTTCGTACCGTGGTTTTACCAAATCCATTCTCATACCATCAACCATATCTCGAAACGGTTGGATATCAACCGGAAACTTACTCACGGTATCCGCCAACGTCGCATCGATAACGTCCATCGGTTTCCCGGCAAAAATATTCTCCAAGCGCTCCTCCCATCTATCCAAAGCCTCTGGCGTAATGTGCGACGCGTTCGGCCCGTCTACTAACTCGTCCGTACGTCTGCACCAGACGTAAATCGCCCAAATTGCCCGTTGTTTCTCCGGCGTCATCAATTTTGTTCCTAGATAAAACGTCTTCGCGTACTCTGCGGTGACTTCTCGGCAACGCTCAAACGCTGGATCTAATATAGACGGCACGACGTTCACTTTCGGAGCCAACTGGCCGCTCTCCTGTCTTTTCACGCACGCTTCTAAGGCGAATAGTTCAACCTCTTTCCCATTCGATCGAACGACATCTTCCGGTCGTCTTTGGAACGTTTGTTCTTGTTGCGATGGCTCAGCCACGGCGTCGCGCGTCGTTGAAGCCTTCCCTCCTCTGCCTCGCGATCTCGGAAATGGCATCGCGATTGTCTTTCTCGACGATGAAGAAGTACTCGCTTGAGTAAAATTGACCGTCGACGACGTTCGCGTCATCCCTTGTTGAAGACAAACGCCGTGCATTTTTGTTTTCTATCTAAGCGTACGCCTAAGTGTGACTCGTTAAAGCGTTGCTTTAAAAGTGGTATAATCAATCCGAACGGAAAGATGAAGCGCGCGCTTAAACAACAACGATCAAAAGTGTGTACGAATCGATATCGAAGACGTGTATTTGCGACAAATATATTCTCTGCGATGCAAATGTGTGCTCGACAATCGATGAATCAGATCGCGACGAGTAAGTAGTGCACACGTTCCCGTTAGCGCGTGGAAAAATTTTTTGTGGAGTAAAAGCGGCCGTCTCGAGGCGTAAAAAGAAGATAAAGCTCAGCAGTTAGCGGTTAGAAATCGCTTCTCGCTTCGCTTCGCCTCGAGAAAAAAAACAAAAAACTGGTGTGTGGATAAACAACAATAATAACAAAGGGAGGAGGAAGATGATAATAATAATAATAATTTAAATAATACATGTTTATGCGGCTGCTATATTCGTCGATACGTTTTCAGGAGCGTGTTTTCACTCTCCAATACTTCTCGTCCTTGGCGTGCGACTTAAAGCTCTTTTGTCACGGTCAGGATGGCATTTTTACGCCGACGGTTCGTTTCGGTCGGTGACTAAAATCAAGTGATAGCCAAATTGCGTCTTCACCGGACCTTGCAATTCCATCAAAGGCGCTTCAAACACCACCGTATCGAATTCTTTAACCATTTGACCGGGCTTAAACTCCCCGAGATCCCCGCCTTTAGATTTTGAAGGGCACGTGGAGTACGCGGACGCCTCTTTCGCGAACCGGTCCAGTAACGTGCTTTGAGGCCCTTCCAACAAACGCTCTTTCAACGAGACCGCTAAGGACTCATCCGCGACTAAAATATGCGAGGCAGAGGCTCTGGGTCCGGGTAATACGAACGAGCCAAAAGATTTGAAGAGGGAGACGCCGATAGCTGCCACAGTCAGTCCAATAACAGAATACGTCGCCAACGCGCTCGCCGCTTCGGCAACTTCAGCGATCATTTCTGGGTTACTACTCTGCGCAGTTGCCGCGTGCGCGTCCAAGCACGTAATGAACGACGCCGCTAATGAACCGATTTTCACACCGGCATTTTTCAACGACGAGGAGGAGAACGAGGAGGAAGTTGACGTTGATGATGAGGCTGGTGCGTACTCAACTTCTACAGATGATTCTTTCGCGAATGCAAAGACGGGGCCAACTCGTCGTCTCCACGCGTGGTTGTTCGTATTCTTCTTCGCCTTAAAGATGCTACTGATGATCTTCTTTCGCTGCTTTTGCGCGCTCGTCGTCGTCGTTTGGGTGTGCGAGGAGAGTAATACTAAACCAGATGAAGTTGACATATTCTTCGTAGCAGTAGAGAGAAGAGAGATATTAATAAAAATGAGGGGAAGAAGATACGGAGGAGACCGAGGAGAGAAAGATGAGAAAAAGAGGAGAAAAAAATACACGGACGAAGAGTGATTAAAGTATTAGTATTATATTTTATTCGCATCATTGTTTTAAGTCATCGTTGTCGTGGCGAGAAGGACGAGGACGGAAACGACGCAGGAGACGAGCACTCGGCGCGTCGAAGAAGAACTCGCAGACGACGACGGCGACGAGAGTTTTTCCTCCTCTTCTTTTCCTCCTTCTTCTGAAGAAGGAGGTCCGTTTGTTTTCGCAACAACTGAAGCGTCGTCTTGTTGGTCGTCACCACCACCGTCGTCGGGCGAGGAGGAAGATGAAGGCGATAACGAAGGCATCGTTTCGTTTCGTAACCATTCCGTGGGTAATCCTGGAAATGGAGGCGGGAACGTGACGTTATTCAGAATGTCTGTGGCCAAGTTGCCGGAGGTAAAATCGCAGCTTTGAAGCGCAATGAAAGCGAGCAGTGTTGCTCCGTTTTCTAACAATTGTGGAAGATTTTCCAATAAACATCGCTCGATGGGCAGCGCGTTGATTTCCTCGACGGAGTAGCCGCCGTCGACTATTTTCTGTACGATGGTTAACGGGCAACTGGTGCAGAGATTTCGGTCGTTCGGATCGCTGCAAGTTTCGTTGATGCCTGTGAAATCGAGGCGCTCGATATCGAGCGGGCACGCCTGTAGCAACGTTTGCGCCTTCGCTCCTCTCGTGAAAGATGCGATGGAGAAATAGAAGAAGAAGCCAAGTTGCAATAATAGTCGCATTGTAATTGTATGTATTCTAGCGTGAACGAAATGGTGTGTACTGTACGCTTTACTCTTTACTCTCTCCTTCCCTTTTTTTATTTTTTGATCTCTCGTATTCTCGAACCCAAATCCAGCCTCGAAACGCTCATTGAAATCGGCGATACATGAATATCGCAGAAGCCATGTAGACTCCAATTACGATGCACAAAGCGACCAAATCTCTTCCAATATTTGCTGGATCTACTCCTACGACGTTTAGATATGTTTGCCCGCTCACAGTCACGGCGACGTCTGTCCCATCGAAGTCGGCATCGAACACGTATTTCCCGTCGTTCATTTCGCTTGCTAGCATTCCGCCCCACGCGTAGAAAAAAGCTGAAAACCAACGAATCCATCTACAAAATCCTGGCAAGGTGGGAATATTTATGAGGAACCCGCCGAAAAGACTTGAAAGCAGAATGCAAACTATTCCAACCAGCGTTGCGATCGCCGTGGATGCGCAGAGCGTCTGGATAAAACTCATTAATGCCGTAGATGTCGCTGAAAATAACAACGCGAAACTCAAAAAGACAAAGAAGGCGCCAGGATCCACGCGTAAGCCCATCAGCCAGTAGTAACTTATTGAAGTTAGAACGACCGACGTCCAACGCAAAACGACTATCTCAACGATCATCTTTGAAAGATAGTACGTTTCGGCTCTGTAGTACCCCGCTCTTTTCTCTCGCAGGAAGACGTTTCTCGACGAGAGAAAGGCATCGCAACACGATACGCTCGAAAGAGCGAAAAAAAAGAGGACGAAAAATATGCTGCCCATCCGATTTTGGAAGCCGCGAAGATTCTTTTGCACGTCCAAATAGAGCAAGCCGATGAGAATTCCAACCAAAATAGCGGTGACCGAGTCCGTAATGAAGCGAGAGATGTTCCGTTTCACCTCTAAAAACTCTCGCCAACAGAGGACGGATAGCTCCGTCACGAACGAGCGCTCGCTTTTTTCGTAAAAGTCGTGCGAGGATTGATTATCAACGACAAAAAGAGTTTCGTTGGTTTCCGATGAGCTGCTGTCTTGTTCTGTGTCTCCTTTTCCTTGAAATTCTGTTGTTTTGAGAAGAAGTTGTTTGGACATTCTTTCGTCGCTCGCTATTTCCAACAACCACTCCGGTAACGAAAAAGTTTTTGGACACGGCATTTGTAAGGACTCTAATAAATCGAGAGAAACAGAGCCAAAATGTAAACGATCACCAGTCGAAGAAAGTAACAAAACAGTATCAATTTGTTCGCAAAGAGATCTCGCCGATGGTGCGTGGATAGTACATAATACGGCACGTCCACGAGAAGCGATACTTTTTAGCAGTTCCAATATCGTATCTGCAGTTTTCGAATCGAGGCCAGACGTCGGCTCATCTAGGATGAGTAAGTCGCTATCAATAACCATCTCCATCGCGATGGATAGCCTTTTTCGCTGACCGCCGCTTAAATCAGATACACGAGTATTTCGCACGTCGACAAGGCAGAGTTCGTCAAGAAGTGCGTTTACTTTATTCTCCTTCGTTTGTTTTGAAACATACCACGGAAGGCGCAAAGAAGCTGCGTATAAAATTGATTCGCTCGTCGTCAAGAATTTGAGCAGGTAATCGGAATGTTGCGGCACGTAGCCAATTCTATTTTTACCGGCAAAGTGAGCGTTTCCAGAGAGATTAATTTTGTTCAAATCGATGTCGACGTGGAAACCAGTGGCAGAAATTAAAGATTTCACCAAAGTGGTCTTTCCAGATCCAGAAGGTCCCATAACTGCACACACAGATCCCTCACAAACTATCCCGGATATACCACTTATTATGGTTCGTCGGGCGGCAGATATTTTTGCTCCTCCTCCTCCTCCTCCTCCACCACCACCTCTGTTGGTTTTCAATTGACAAGTAATGTTTCGAAACGATAGAATTTCGCGAACTGGTCGCGCAGCAACTGGCACGTTTCTCTCTGCATCGTGATTTCTTTGCACATACAGGGCGTTGAGCTTCTGTCTTTTCTTGTCTCGATGTAGCGCGAACAGAATAATTCCAGCAAAGCAAACGACAATAACGGCCATTGATACAGACAGGCCGACGATATCAACACCCTTTTTCTTCTTCTTTTCTGCCGCATCTACCGCGTCTCCTTTCTCAACGACGGGCGCAAAGGCACTTTGAACCGCCCTTCCAATATCTCCCTCTTCTTCGGGAAAAGTAACGTTCTCGTACATGGAGGCGTCTCGCGGGCAGGCTGAAACTTTCAAAAACGAATCGATCGTCGCTCCGTTTGCCAACAACGTCGACAGATTCTCCGTCGCGCACGTATCTAATGGCAACGCGTTCAATTCTTCCCTCGTGTACCCCGCGTCTACGATCGCTTGACCGAGAAACGCGATGCATTTCGCGCACAACTCTGCGATGGAAGTTTAAACATGTAAGAAAAGAGATATAAAAAAAGTACCCGGATCGTCGGCGTTACAAGCGTTTCCTAACCCGCTCAGATCGATTTTCGCAATGTCCAGAGGACATTTTCCCTCCTCTTCTTGCGCGTTTGAACACGATGGAAGAAGAAGGAAAGAAACGAGGAGGAGGAATAAGTAGAAGAGGAAGAGAAGACGATGCGACTGTCGTCGTCTCAACGTCATCGGTCGCGTGTTTTTGTTTGAAGAAAAGGTCTGTTTTTTTTTCTCTTGATTTCTTTCGCGTATTTTGTGGTCTCTCTTGATCTCGAAAAAGAGCACATCAATTTCTTCTTCAAAATTATAATAATCGTGTGCGCGTGCATTGGACACACACACACAAACACAAACACACACACATCTCTCGCGCTCTTTTCGGTAAAAGAATTCATTCATTCGCATCTTCGAGAAACGTGAGAAGAATAATGACCACCAACGAAGGAGACGTGGACGACGGCGGGTTAGCTGAAGCTGCAGCAGCCGCCGCACCGACGAATCAACAAAATCGAGAAGACGATTCCCAACAACCAAATTCGAACGAAGACCACGGCGGCAGACAAGAAGAAAAGAAAGGTCCGCCGGATATTTCCAATTTGCACTCGGTGAAAATCGATAACTTATCGTTTGATCTGACCCAAGAGGAAATTACGGACATGTTTGCGTCGTACGGCGAGATTGGAGATGTGTATGTGCCCAGAAACCATCACACCCAACGAATGCGTGGGTTTGCTTTTGTTCGATATGTGGAAAAACAATCCGCGGACGCGGCTATTGACGCGATGCACGAGAAAGAGATTGCAGGAAGAATTATTCGCGTTGGGATGGCAGAAGAGAAGAAACCAGATACGAGAGGGCCGTATCACTCCAGAGATAGGGGAGGATACCATCGCGGCGGCGGCGACCGAGGAGGTGGATATAGAAGAGACGACTATAATCGAGGAGGCGGGTATAGGAGAGACGACTATAATCGAGGAGGAGGAGGAGGAGGAGGAGACCGGTATCATGATCGAAGGAACGACAGTGGCCACGACAGACGAGATGGAGGATATTCTCGCGGAGGAGGGAGAGATTACGATGACCGCCGAGGCGGGTATGGGGGCCGGTATGAAGACCGACGAGCTGGAGCGGGTTACGACGATAGACGAGCTGGAGCAGGTCATGACGATCGAAGAAGATACGACGATAAAAGAGGCTACGATGATAAAAGACGCTATGATGATAGAAGAGGCTACGACGATAGAAGAAGTTCCTACCCCGAAGATAGAAGGGGAGGAGACGGCGGGAACAGATACGAAGACCGACGAGCTCCTCAGTAAAAAAAAAAGAGAGAACTCGGTATCCAACTTGAAAATTCAACACAAATCTACTATTAATACTACTTTTATTACACACGGCTACATGTAATTCATCTTGCTATTTTCGCTCATACTATTACTATTTTCCAAACTTTTTCATCAAATCTTGGATGGAGGCTTCCTCTTTCTGTGGCACCGTGGGAGGCGCGTTTGTTGTAATATTTGTTCCGGAAGGAAAAGCGCTTTGCTTCTTCTTCTTTTTTTTGTTACTCATTGTCGGTCTCGGGACGTTAACAGCTCCCGCGCTCATCTCACTTCCGACATTGGCTTTCTTCGTAACTTTAACGCCATGACTTGGGGCAACCATGCGCGTCGGACCGGCTTGGATTGTCAACATGCCGTCTTCGTCTTCGACCACTTTGCCTTTAAAGTTGTTTTTCAAAATTTGGACTGAGTCTCCTATTTGAGCGAGTTTACTTGGCTCGTTATCCCAGACGTCGTAATCTTCACCAGAAACTCTTCTGCTGCCATCGCTCGAAGAAGCATTACTTTTGCCGTTTCCTAGGAGAGCGTCGAATTCTCGAGCGGCTCTCGAAGGCGAAGTGGGCTTCTTTTTCACTCCAGCGAAAGTTTGAGTAGAGCTCGTCTTCACCGACGAAGTCGAAGATGACGACTTCTCCAGCTCGTTCAATTTAGCTTCCGCGACAATAAATCCTGCAGCGACCGTTACGATTTCGCCAGAAACTTTCGTCACCTTCCCGGCTAAACCGCTCGCTTTCAAAATGACTTGGTCTCCAACCGCGGGCATTTCAGTACACTCTTGATGAGTTTTTTCTGCGCCTGCTTCTCCATTCGTGGCGGCTGCTTTGCGCTCTTTAGCTAAACGAATTTCACGCTCTCGATCTGATTCTCCGGCGGCACTTTTCGCAATCATCGACTTTTTCGTATTCGCCGAAAGTTCTTGTCGTTTCAATCGCTCTTCGCCTTGGATGCGAATTTTAGCCTCCCTCGAGATTCTTACGATGGTTGTCGCCTGCTTCATCGCTACGTCCTCCTTCACTCGTAAGACCTTTTGCTCAGCGTTTCGTGCTTGTGGGATGCGCTTTTCTACATCTTTCAGCATTTGCATAGCTTTTGCAACGGCTTTATCTGCATCTTTTCGCGCGCCTTCGAGTTCTGCGATGACATCGTCCAGCGTTGCGAAACTTTGTCCCATGACCTCCTTCGCCGAGTTGATGACATCTTCGTCTAACTTGTTTCTCTGCGCAATCTGTAAAGCTCTTGAACGACCAGGAACAGACCATAAGAGCCTATACGTTGGACGTAATTCAGCTTCATCGAATTCTACCGCGGCATTCTCAAAAGCACCGGAATCTTTGTGTTCGTACTTCAACGCTTTCAAACTGCCTTGATGGGTAGTCGCAAACGCCAACGAAACGCCGAGTCGACGAGGAAGTAATCCCGCCAAAGCTTTTAAGAACGCGCGAGCTATCGCAGCACCTTCTAAAGGCGATGTGCCTGTCCCGACCTCGTCGATCAAAACTAAAGATTGAGGGGTAGCACGCTTCAAAATAGCTTTCTGCGTCGTCAAGCGCGCTGAGAATGTACTCAAATTCGTGAGTAAATCTTGGTCGTCTCCAATGTCGCATAAAACGTAGTCAAACCAAGGCAAGTGCGCTCTTTCCGCGGGTACAAACATACCAGCTCTTGCCATTAATGCACTCAATCCGAGAGCTTTCATCGCCGCCGTTTTACCACCCGTATTCGGACCAGTAATGACGACGCATTTTGTTCTCGCCTCCACGAAAACGTCCACCGGCACCGGTCCTTTCACCCTGAAAGGATTCGAGTCGCTTGAGTTTTCGTTTTTGCTGTCGTAAAGCCAATCAAAGTTGTCGTCGAAATCGAATTCATCTTGAGAATTCAATTCGTTCTGGAGTTTCTTACTCTTTTTTTTCTTCGATTCTCTCGTGGCGATTTTAAATCTTGGTTGCAAACTCGCATCGTCTTCTTCTTTCCTTCTTTCCCTTTCAGCTGCCTCGCGACGTTTATCTTTCGCAGCTTTCACCGCTTGCGACGCCAGCACTGGCTGACGGAGTCCGGGAAGGTAGACTTTTGATTTCGCAATTTCGAGTTCGGCTTGAACGAATGCATTCTTCGTGCTTAAAATTTCTTCTTCGTCGTCGTCCTCACCCTCCTCACCTTCTCCGTCGTTCATTTCATTCCTCGCCATTTCCTCTCTCAATATTTCCTCGATGGCGTCTTCTAAATCAGATTCTCTTGCAAACGTCGGACGCACCGAATTCAACGCTTGTCCATGACGACATCGCGCCGCAATAACGTCTAAATCAATCGTCAATTCCAAACACCGTAAAATCTCCTCGGCGACTTCCATGATGACTCTCGATAATTCTCTTTTAATACCATCAATCGCTGACTCCTCGTCGTCCTTTGCTTTTGCCAATTCTGTGTTCAAATTAACCACTGATGGAGGTTCAATCAGAGTTAATCCACTTTGCGTGCCTAAAACGAGCGCATTCTTGGGAGCACTCTCTGGCGAAACCGCTAAACACATGCGTCCTCGAAACGAAACCGCACTCCCCGGCATCCTTGATAACAACTCTTTCAACTGCGTTTCTTTACCGGACAGATGCGCTCGCGCCCTGCGTAATTCGGGACTCGCGTTATCTTTGAACGATCCAGTGTCATCAACTTTTGATTTAATGATATCCGCCACCTCAGAAAATGTTTCCATTTGTACCGCAATATTTCTCAGCGGCATCATTGCTCTCGGTACCTCAATCTCGCCCGTCTCGTCGTCTTCGTGGGAGACATTTTCGATGGAAAGTTTCAATCGCCGCGCGTTTTCTAAAAAGTTTGCCACTGCCATCAATTCATCTCCACCCAATGGTGCTCCTTGCGACGCTTTGTGCACGCTTCTCCTCGTCTCGATTGTGAGCATCCCGCCAAAATCCAACGAAACGCCCGCGACGGATTCCATGTACATCGCTGATTCTGTTTCATCCAGAAGCAACTCCGACATTTCCTGCGAATACACTTCCGAAATCAAACTCTCGCCTTCACTTGACGACAATCGCGCTTTCCCTAAAGCCGTGGAAGTAAACTCGCTGACGAACGATAAGAGTTCGAACCATCCAACTCGGTCTAAAGAATCATACTCCAAGTCTTCTTCTATCGTTTCGATTTCCTCTCGGGTCGGGCCCCAACCTCTTTCATTGCCCGCGCTTTCCACCGTAACAGCGTTCACCACGGTATCCTCTGATGATGATGACGATGATGATAATAGTTTTGATAAACGCGTTCTTATTTTCGTTTTTCCTCTTCTTCTTCTTCTTTCTCTTTGCGCGGCAGTGATTGATGATGTCGTCGCATTCGTCGTTATCTGAACGTTGTTGTCGCGACGACGACGAAGACGATGAAGATGAAGCGAAGGCGACGAAGAGGACAAAGAGGACGAAAGCAGCGCTCGTCGTCGTCGTCCGCTACACGAGGCGCGAGAAGCACCAGCCTGACGATAATGAATACTACTACTAATCGTCGTCGTCGTCGTCATTGTATGTAGGTAAAAAATGACGTTTCTGGCGCCATTGAGAAGCGCACGAGGAGGAGCCAAAATACGTTGTTGTGATGTCGTCCCCGCGAGACGCGAATAATCCTCTGAGGAATACAAACGTCCACTATCAGAGACCGAATAATAATAATAGTAATGCGAACAACCCGACGACGACGACGACATCGACGAGTGGAGACGACAACAACACGACAAAATCTCCTTCTTCTTCTTCGTACGGGGGGTTGTTGAAAAACGCCACCGTTTCTCACGTGGACAAAGACGGGCGCAAACGGGCGATGCCTGTCGTCGTCGCACCCGTCAGCGCGGGGACCCACGCGTCCTCTTCTTCAAAGCAACAACAGAAAGTGGGCAAAGTGCAGTTAGCGCCTGGATATTCTCAGATGGATTGGATGCGATTAACAAAGACCAAAAACAACAACTTGAACGGTTTGGGAGGAGGGAAGAAAATAAATGTCTCGAAAAGAGTGATTACTTTAGAAGAAATCGCACAACACAACACCGAAGAAGACGCTTGGATTGGATTTCGGGGGAAAGTGTACAATTTAACGCCGTATATTCACTTCCACCCGGGCGGGGCGAAGATTTTATTGCAAGCGTTTGGGACCGACTGCACCGCGTTGTTCGATAAGTTTCACAAATACGTCAACGGAGAGTTTATGATGCGGGAATGTCAAGTCGGCGTGATGCCAGGATTTGTACATCAGGACGAGGACGAGGAGGACGAGGAGGACTTTTAGAGGAGATAGAGATAGTATACGCGTGTAGGTTTAGGATGTTCAGGTATTAGGATTGTAAACGAAGAAGGTGATTTCTCGAATGCTTTTTTCCTCTCTCGTCAAACTTTACTCGTACTCTTCTTCTACGCGGTTTTAAACTACGAGGTAGGTGATGACAATTATTTTACACTATATATAAACTTCCTTCTTCTACCAAAACCCGGGTCGCGAGCCTTTTGGCACGTATTTCTCGTCGTGAATTTCTTTCGTGTACTCTTCTATCCGCGGTAAATCACTCTTGTCTTCTTGGTCGCCTGCGATGTAGGCAAAGGCTAACAGAATATTCTTTTCCCCCTGTTCAACTGGGATTTTCTCATCGTTTTCGTCGGTCAATAACTCCACCTCAATCACGCTTCTTTTGTACAAACCCGACGCTATGTTTTCTAAAATGTCTAACTCTGCTAATTTTTCTTCGTTTACGGTGTATACTTCGCCTCTCACGGCCGTGTTCGAGGAAGACACGTCTCCTTCTTCGTTTTGAATGAGATATGGAAATCCATAGCTTGAAAGCAAAAGAGAAAACTTGAATGCTTTTGACGTCTCTCCGACGCCGATAAATTTGCCGCTGTTTACGCCTTCTGCAAGTATTTTATGATTGAACATCTCTCGTTTGAGCGTGCCGTAGACGAATACGTTGGAATGTGCCGTGTTCGGGATGGACATAATTTTATTCCTCGACAGAGGGCGGAACTTCTTTTTATGGAGCTTGGGTGCTCTACTTTTACTTTTTTACAAGAATCTTCTAAACAATCCGACAGACTCGCAGCTACTGCCCTTAAAACCGGTATAGTTGTTGGTTTCACTTCCAGTGTTGTAACTACTGTTGGTGTTGTCATCATTTAAGTTGCTCTCGCTTCTACACGAACTCCCCATCTCGCTACTAAACTCCAACTCCTCTTCCTCCAGCGTCCACCCTCGGACTCGCATTGGCCAACTGTAATTCGTATTCGTGCCACCATATAGAGGCGGCAATATCTCCGGACGACAAAAAACGGGGTCCTTAAGTAAATCTTTCGGATCTTGCGACAATATGAGAAAGTGCTTCGCCATCGGGCCTGGAAAAGCATACGGCTTCACCGCCCTTAATAAAAACTTCATGAAATACAATGGTCTCAATAAGCAAATCTTATGGACTTTGCACGGCAAGAAGCGGCTAGACATCAAAAGGTTCGATCGCGTAATCCGTAACGAAAAGTTTTCCAACGATAACCCACCCATATCGCAAACATCTATGAACCCATTCTTTTGCGTCATCGGATAGTTCTTTAGCGTCCTCATGGTAACGTAATGAAACATTTTTGTAATCTGCAACGCGTCCGAATTGAGCCCAGTTCTTATCTGGTTATACTGCATAACGCGCATGCATCTACCTTTAGCGTCGCAGTTCTCAAAAACATGTACTATCCCAGACTCTACCATTTCTCGTAGCTCCGAATCATTCGTCAAACTCTGCTTGAACGATAATGCGCCGAATATTTCCACGTAAAACTCAAAATAATTCTGCATTCGAGGTATCGCCGTCTTCATGTCGCAATCCGTAGCTCTCAACAGAGATGTTATCACCAACTCCACTAACTCTGGATTCTGCCTTCGTTCCTCTTCAAACATTCGCAAGCAAAAATCGAATCTTTTCTGGCCAATTTCTGATTCGAACAAAACTACGTTTCCCTTCGCAGCTCTCTCTTGAAGCGCCTCTTCGGAGTTTTGTTCCGAGAACGAGTGATCGGGTCTGATGAATTTCCAAGAGAACGCAGGAATGGAGAACGGAGCCCTTGGGTCCCATCGGTTATCGAACTCTAACGATTTTCGTAGCATCATCTTTTATCACGCGCGTTTGTTTCTTCTTCTGATTATTATTAAACTCTCTTTGTTTTATACCCGTACTTTCTTTCTGATTCGATAATTCGATTAGAATTGATGTATAATACTAAGCGTGGAATAACGGCGACTCTTATTGTGTGTCGTCCTTTTACTGCGCAAAATTTTGTTAGTAATCCATCGATTTATTATATGTACGCGTCTGTCTGTCTGTCTGTCTGTTTGATTTCCAAGTGAGCCGTGTGATAACGCACAAAAAATCTGACGAGGATGGGATGTTTGAATCAAAGAAGGAAGGATACTGGACATTCTGACGCAAGGAGGAAAATCTAAACCAACAATTAATTGTATTTTGTTTGGGAGGATGCGGTTTTGGAACGAGCGCCGGGAGCTCGAAAGATCATGGTGCAGATTCCAAGTAGTATTTGTATCATACACTACTTCACGCGCTATTTCTACTCTCTAATTCTTCATCATAGCTTCGCGATACGGCGGGGCTATTGGAGGCATGACGGGCTCGCTAAACTCGTATCTGCCGTCCTTCGATTCTTCGTTGAGCGAATACGATTGGTCGGCATCGTAACCGCTCAAATCTCCGCAGGCGACGAACGGAACCGCTATTGTTCGTTCGAAATCGTCCGGTAATCTCTCTTTGCCGTCTTGTGTGAGCCCCCATCTAAACTTCTTTTCTAAAACGTCTCTTAAATCGTTCGGTTGGAAATTTTTCGGAGGCGAATAGTTCTCGCACACCACGAACGCTTCTATGCTTGAATTCCGACTCGATTTCGGTTTCGCGCACGTCACCTTCGGAAAGAAGCACTTCAACTGGTTATACAGCAACCCGATATCTTTCCCGCGGAATATTTTCGCCACGTACGTCCCTCCTTCCTTTAACACGTGCGCGCACACTTTCAAACCGGCTAAAATTAACTGCGCTTGCATGAACTCGTCTAAATCGTGCAATCCAGTCACGTCTGGCGCGCCATCGCCGACGATTAAATCTGCTTTCTCGCCTTCAAATTCAGATATTATTTGTCTCATGCAATCGACGTTGGTAATGTCCCCTTGAATGCAGACGACACCTTCGATGGGCGCCATGGGTTGTAAATCAACCGCAACGATTTTCGGCGGCTTATTGGTCGTATTCACATCTTCTTCTCTCTTTTCTCTTTCGTTCAGCGTGGGTAAATACAATTTCCTGCTCAACACTTGCGACCAGCTCCCAGGCGCGGCGCACAAGTCCACCACGTTTTTCACGTTCTCTTTAAACAGGTGAAAACTCTCGTCTATTTGTATCAACTTAAATGCCGACCGCGCTCTCCATCCTTCCTCTTTCGCTTTTCTGTAGTATATGTCTCTCTTGTCTTTCGATGATTTGCCCATTCTTTTTATTAACTAAATGGAGAAAATCATAAAAAAGTGACTTCTCTTGTGTGAAGCAAATCGCCAAAATCAGAGCCGCCACCTAATAAGTGCGCAGACAGACGCCTCACAAACACTACTATTTAGTAGTAAGAATAATATCAACAACAAGAAGAAGAAGAATGAGGAAGAAAGTGGACTCTCGAATTCGAACGCTCGTGGAAAATGGAGTGAAACTGAACGAGCGAACTTTATTCGTCGTCGTCGGGGACAACGCGAGAGAACAAATCGTCAACATTCATTACATGCTTTCCAAAGCCATCGTGAAAGCGCGACCGAGCGTGTTGTGGTGTTACAAGAAAGATTTATACCTGAGTTCGAACAAAAGAAAACGACAGAAACAAGTGAAAATGATGCAAAACAGCGGGGCGATGGACGAAGAGAACGAAGATCCGTTCAACTTGTTCGTTTCGAGCACGCAGATTCGATACTGTTATTACCACGAGACACAAAAAGTACTCGGGAATACGTTCGGGATGGCAGTTTTACAAGATTTTGAAGCGTTGACGCCGAACTTGTTGGCGAGAACGATTGAAACCGTCGAAGGAGGCGGGATTATCGTTTTATTGTTGTCGAATTTAGAGTCTTTGACGCAATTGTACACGATGTCGATGGACGTGCACGCGAGATTTAGAACCGAGTCTCACGATAAAGTAGTCCCGAGATTTAACGAACGGTTCATTTTGTCTTTGGGAGCGTGTCAAACGTGCGCAATTATGGACGATGAGTTGAATATTTTGCCGATTTCTTCGCACATTAGATCGATCGCGCCGGTGACGAGCGAGCAAGCAGCACAGGAACACGCGGATTTAACGGATTTGAAAGAATCCTTGAAAGAAACCGAGCCGGCTGGGCCTTTAGTCTCGCAGTGTAGAACATTAGACCAAGCGAAAGCAGTGGTGACATTTTTGGATGCCGCGAGCGAAAAAACGTTGCGTTCGACCGTGGCGTTGACTGCGGCGAGAGGTCGAGGGAAATCTGCCGCTATGGGTATTGCCATTGCCGGCGCAGTCGCCATGGGATACTCGAACATTTTCGTCACTTCGCCGTCGCCGGAGAACTTGAAGACATTTTTCGAATTTGTATTGAAAGGTTTCGATAAGCTTGGCTATAAAGAACATTTGGATTACGATTTAGTGGAATCGTCAAACCCGGCGTTTGGAAAATCAATCGTTCGAATTAACGTCACGAGGAACCATCGACAGACGATTCAGTATATATTACCTCAGCACCACGAAAGAGCGGCGACGGCGGAGTTGTTGGTGATTGATGAAGCTGCGGCGATTCCTTTGCCGACGGTGAAAGCATTATTGGGGCCGTATTTAGTCTTTTTGTGCTCGACGATTAATGGCTACGAAGGTACTGGGAGAGCGTTGTCGATTAAGTTAATTGGGAATTTAAGACGGGAAGCTTCGTCGAGTTCTTCCGGGCAACAAGGCAGGCACGGAAAGAATAACAAACATAATAACAACAATAGCAATAAAGGAGAAGGAGGAGGTAGTGGTCGGTTGCTGCGAGAAGTGCAACTCTCGGAGCCTTGCAGATACGCTCCAGGAGATCGAATCGAGTCGTGGTTGAATCAACTCCTCTGTTTAGACGCCGCTGATGCTTTACCACCGCTCATTAATACGATCCCACCGCCATCAGCGTGCGAGTTGTACGAAGTCTCCAGGGATACTTTGTTCTCCGCGCACAAAGCTTCGGAGCAGTTCCTTAAACGCATGATGGCTTTGTACGTTTCATCGCATTATAAGAATACACCAGACGATTTACAGTTGATGTCGGACGCACCAGCACACAGATTGTACGTGTTATTAGCACCTGTCAACGAGCAATCAAACGCGTTGCCGGAGATTTTGTGCGTCTTGCAAATTGCACTCGAAGGTGCCATCTCGAAAGTGTCGGCGAGAGCGTCGTTAGCAGCTGGTAGCGCACCTTCAGGTGATTTGATTCCATGGACAATCTCTGGGCAATTTCAAGACGACGCATTTCCTGGTTTAACTGGAGCGAGAATAGTTCGGATTGCGGTCCACCCAGATTTGCCGAGGCAAGGATACGGCACGAGAGCACTCGAATTACTACACGAATATTACGAAGGAAAACTCATCGATATGCGCGAAAATATGGATATTGGTAAGAAAAATAAAGATAAAAACGATGGAGAAAATGGGCACAACAAAATGAACGGTGGATTAAGTAGCGAAACCGTAAAACCGAGAGAAGATTTACCGCCGCTTTTAGTGAATCTAGCCGAACGGGAACGCGAGCGAGTGCACTGGACCGGAACGGCGTTCGGTTTGACCTCTGAGCTCTATCGATTTTGGTCAAAATCAGGGTATGAACCAGTCTACGTGCGTCAAGTGCCGTCGGATATAACTGGGGAACACTCGTGCGTAATGCTTCGCGTGTGCAATGCGAACGACGACAACGACGACGACGCTCCGGAAGGGGAGTGGCTCGCACCATTTTCGGACGATTTCAGAGTCCGATTCCGTTCATTGCTCGGAGCACCTTTTCGAGAACTTCCACCTTCGTTGGCACTATCCGTGTTAAACCCGCAGGTTCAATACGACGATAATGATAAGCAAAGCGGAGCAGGAAGAGACGCGGTTATTCGAACCGATAACGAAATTTTATCGCCGCACGATTTACGACGTTTGGAGAAATACTCGAGTTCCTTGGTAGATCATCACGTCATTACGGATCTTGTTCCACCGATAACGCGAGCATACTTTGCTAAGAGAATACCAGTGACGCTATCGTACGCGCAAGCAGCGATATTGTTAGGCATGGGGTTACAACAACGAACGTTGGACGATAGCTCGAAACAGTTGGATTTGCCTCCACAACAAGTGATGGCGCTGTTTAACAAAGCTATGCGGAGAATATACGGGGCATTAAAATTGGGACGAGTCAAGGAAATAGAAGCAGCGCTTCCGAGTTACGTCATGCCAAACTTAACACCGCACGCTATTGGTGTCGATGAAGATTTGCAAGAAGGGTACGTCTCTTTTTTTATTATATTTATTTGTTTCGCGTTTCGCGTTCTGCATCGAGATTTCAAAACGGAGGTGATGGATTAAACTTTAAGGGATTTATCTGAAACACACGCTTGGCGGCGCCACCATGTATTTGGGGTTATAAGTCGTCGAGTTACCATGTGGCTAAATATAAAGCTCAACAGATCTGATCCGTTTGATTTCATTTCTATGCTTTCTCTCTTCTTATTCGTTTCGCGAGCGAGAGAGTACTAACTAACGAATCGTAAAAATTCTTTCATACACACACACACATACAACAGGGCGGATAAAGTGAGCAACGAAGTTCGTAAAAAGCAACAAGAACTACTCCAGGAAACCGAGCTTCAACGTTACGCCATCGCTGGTACGGACCGAGAGTGGGCCGCCGCCATCGACGCCAAGAGCGCTCGCGGCGACGGTAAAATCCTCTCCGTGCACAGACAAAAAGACTCGATGAAAGACATCCCGTGGGACGCGAAGAAGAAAGAGAAGAGCAGTAAAGACGGCGACGACGATAAGGATAAGAAGAAGGATAAGAAGAAAGATAAAAAGCATCATCATCACAAGTCGAGCAAGAAGAGATTGAAAGGAACGTAAAGTCAGAGAGAGAGAGAGAAATTTTACAGGCTTTGAGAGAGAGGTCTCAAACCTAAATTTTTCACCTGAATGTTAGAAGGAGAGTCCTTATTATAAATCAACACACTCTCTCTCCCCAAAAAATAAATATCTCTCTACCCATTTATCCATCTCCCAACGATGAACGCGTCTCCCTTAGCGGTCTTTTTCACCGCGGTGGTGTTCACATCCTCTTCGTCGACGACGTCCACCTCCTCCACTTCTTCCTCCTCTTCCTCTTTCTCTTCCTCTTGGTCGCGATATGGAAACAACAACAACAGAGCGATGATAATGATGCCTTCTTTTGCTTTTGTGAACGCGTATTCACCTCATCAATATTCATCATCGAATCGACAGAGCACAAAGAAAAGACGCGCGATGCCGTGTCGCACGCACGCGCTTCTCAAAGAAGGCGGTAATCCGAACGATTTTTACGACATTCACAAAATCGCCGGTGATGGTAGATGTTTGTTTCGTTCGTTAGTCGTGAGTAAAGGTATAGAAGATGAGAACGCTCGATTGAGCGCAGAGCGAGAAGTGTTAGAGGCGGATACATTGAGAGAACAAACGATTAATGAGTTAATGAAAAGAAGAGAGGAATTAGAATGGATCGTCGAAGGTGATTTTGAGGAGTACTGCGCGAACATGCGATATCCTGGAGCATGGGGAGGTGAACCAGAAATCTTAGTCGCAACGCATGTTTTGCAACGCCCAATCGAGGTGCACATGGCCATGGCCGGGGAGCCACTTCGTTCGATTGGTATCTACGGTAACGAAGATTATGGAACCACGAAAGATTCTAAAACGAAATTAATGCTTTTATTCCACGGACAGGGACATTATGAAGCTTTGAGTAAGTGTTTGAACGAGTGAAAAAATAATGTAGAGGAGAGTTTTAGAGAGACCTCCACTTTTAGGCTTTTTAGGTGAATCGCGCAGGCGAGGATGATACACGTCACGCGCCAATTCTATTCTACATTCTCTGAATTCCCTCTACTATTTGCTCTATTATCTTTGCCACGTACTATCGTCTTTGCAAGGTTTGCAAAATAACGTCTGCGTGTACGTCATGTCTTTCTCTTCAACCTTTGCACAGCACGACCTCGAACAAGTACCGACGACTTCGTTACCTAACATGTAAATTGGATTCTTTTTACACTCGCCTCGGTTCGCCCAGTTCGCGCATTCCTGGTGAAGATCTTTGCAATCTGGTTTCCTCCAAGTCGCCGTATCGAAAGGTCTTTCGTGTATCCACATTGTCGCCGTCCACTTCGTCCCCCCTAACGTCGGGCAACTTGCGTGCATGGAATTATTGTCCGTAATCCCGGCTTCGCTAAAACTGAAAAACAAAATAGCGTCCCCGACTTTTGGTTTCACCGCAAATCCTTTACCACTCCTGTATCCACAATCGGAAAACTGATCTTTTGTTCTCTCGATTCTCTCTTTCACTTTCCCTAACGGATTTCCAAGCACAAAACTCGTCTCTCCGCCTTCCGTCGGTTCGTGGAGAAACATCAGAATAGTCGCTATGCGCTTTCCGCCATTTTCAGAGATCAAACCATCCGTGTGGTCCGAATACTTTTGCCCGTCTCGGTATCTCAGCAATTGCATTTGCTCTTGGTGTGCCACGGGAATCCCACTAAACACCGCGCACCGGTCTTCAATCTTCTCTAAAACTTCGTCGTACTTTTTCGGTATGAACGTCCCAAAAGACGTCCGAATATCGGAAACGCGTCCGGTTTGTCCACCAACGACCGTCGACCGCGTCACTCTCGGTTCGCCTAAATCCACCAAATGTTTCGCCTCTTCTTTGCTCAGAAAGTTGTGATATAAAAACGCTCTCGGGTCCCAACTCAAAGCCTCGATCCACGGTTTTGAACTGTTCGTTTCTTCTTGCGTGTTGACTTCACCGAGCCAACCGATGAGACGTTCGTTTCTCGTCGCATCGTAGGCGTTCGTGGAGAATAACAGAAAAGATGAAGACGACAACAAGAGCAGCAGCGGCAGCACGAAAAAGGAAAAGGACAGGTGAAGAGATTTTGTTGCCGTCGTCGATGTTGTCATCATTGTGTGTGTGTGTGTGTGTGTGGAGAGTGGGGAAATTGATGAGCTCTTTCTCTTTTTTTTGGTTTATCGAAAACAAGCAAACAACTCCAAACTGCTTTCTTGTTTGTTCCACACAACCTTTTCCCGATAAAAAACACTGTCGTCAAATTAACACAACATCGCGTCATCATGGTGAGTACAAATTTCCTATCTTCTTCTTTTTCTTCTTCTTACTATTCTTGGAGCCATTATTCGCTGTTAGTATTGATCATCGTGTGCTCAGTCAGCGCGCGAGTTTTTTTCTCATCATCATCATCCACCAGCCGCCGCCGGAAACTGACAAATTTGCTCTTCTTGAATGCGCACACACACACACACACGACAGGTTGGTACGCGCCGTTCTTCTCGATTGAGCGGAGGTGGGGATAAGGATTTAGCCGAATTACCCTTAACTCCGGTTTCGAAGCGGAAAACACCGACGAAGAAAAAGGCTGAAGCTGCAATATCGAATAAAGTTGAGGACGGGAAGAAAAAAGAAGCAGAGGAAAAGAACAAGAAGAAGAAGAGCGACGGTGATGCTAAAACTCCATCATCGAAGGACGAGAAGAAGAAAAATGCAGATGCGAAGAAGCCACTGCCGGCGACGAATGAAAAACAGTCCTCCAAGAAAGGAAAGGATGCTTCTTCGAAAGAGAAAACGGTGACGCCAACGCCGACTATGGGCGAAATCGCGGCAAAGGAGAAAAGGAAGCTCGATGAAATTCAACAGTCTCGACAACAACAGCAACAGCAACAACACGAACATCATCACAGCAAGAAGAAGGTGAAAAGGCAGCAAACCCCAGAACAGATTGAGAGGGGACTGGAGAAGAAGAAAAAGAAGAAGTCCAAGAAAGCGCGAAAAAGAGAACGCGAAGCGCTCGCCACCAAGGAAGCTGGCCAGGACGGCAACGTAGCTAAGAAAGCTAAGATTATTCCTTCGACAGAAACAGCAGTGAACGGTACAACAAAGTGGTCTTTTGGTGACTGGACGTGCAGAAAATGCGGTGCGCACAACTATCGGAAGCAAAAAGATAAATGCTTCCGATGTTCTTACCCAAAGGCGATAGAGACCAACATGAAGCAAGGTAACCACGGGGCGAGAGAATACTTGAATGGAAAGTTAAAGGAGGACATAAACTGGACGTTTTTAAATCAGGAACACGAATGGTGCGTAAGGAATGCATCGTTTGACCCTTTAATGAAGGATGAAGTCTATGATTTGTTTCTGAAATATCTGGAGAAGATGGAGGCAAAGCATCGCGACAGAGTGAGAGACGGGGCGAATGCAGTCATCGAACGAATGAAGCGAGCTCTCTCTGTGTTGGAAAAATTTCCAACGCACGAGGAGGAAATAGATGCTAAAAGAGCTCTCTTTACTGAGGGGATAGGTGCCCCTGATGGAGAGAAGAAGAAAAAGAAAAAGAAGCGCAACCGGAAGAAAAAGAAGAAACACACAGATGAAGAAGCGCCTGAAAAATCAGCTTTGGGTGGAGAAGAAAAAGAAAAAGAAGAAGCACAGAAGTAGTTTTTCTATATCGAATACTCTTAGGTTAGTATTCAATATCCAACGAACAGTATTCTTAATGATTCCTAACGTAATATTTCTGCATCTATATGTTATTATTCTCTTGAAGCGGCTCTCTCGCATCTGCTCCACGACCAAAAAAAGTCGCAGCTTTCCGAAAGACGTAATTCAAAGGCGTCGCGAAACCGACGCTATTTTCCTTCAATAATGTCCTCTCAGGCGTTTCGGGCGTATAGTCTGGATCGTCATTTTCAGTCGATTCTATTTCCTCTTCACCGTCGCTATCTTCGGCGGAAGAAATATACTGTTGAGATGCAGGAGATTTTTCCGTGCCCACAAATTTGCGACGCTGAGGAGTAGTGTCTTCCAATGCTGGGACATCTTTATACAACTCCTCGTTAATCATCACTTCTTCTTCTTCTCCTCCTCCTCTTCTAGAATCTTTTTCTGTTTTACCATTAACATGTGTGTCCAGAGAGCTATGCGTTTCATTTGCAGAAACATCCTCGATTTTCAGAGATTTTTTCTCCGCCTTGACAGCAGCGTTGAAAACAAGCTGGAGCAGCTGCCGAGCTTCACCGAGAGCTCTAACGCCAGCCCAACGCCGTGCTACACCGCCAGTTTTGTCTTCTATTTCATCCGCTCGCGTGACTTTTTCGTTGATTTCAGCGATTAATTCGTTCGATACAGTCGTGTCTCCCTTCGCTCGAAGTGCGTAGAGTTCGTCAAGTTTCTCACGCATTGCTAGTCGGGTAGCAGCGGTTTTAATTTCCGCATCGACCCATTTGCGACGAGTGCTCAATGACGCAGATTTGATTAAATCATTTGCAGGAGCATTTGTGTTGTTCTTCCGTATCGGAGATCGGACGTTAGCTAAACTGGAGGCCGTGTGTGATTGTATTCTTCCTTTCATCTGAAGGTCGTTTAATCTTTTCTTCACAGCCTGCGCTTCTTCCGTTCGTCTTTTCAACACCAACGACTGCTTTTCGGACTGGTTCTTGAACTTTTGAGCTTCGCGCTGCATTTTCAATCCTTCTTTCTTTGCCTGCATCAGCGCTTTTTCGGTTTCTCGCTGTTTTGCTATGCGCTCCTTTGTCTTTTCTTCCATCTTTCGAACCAACTCGACGCGAGACCGTTTCAGCTGCAAAATATCGTTTTTCAGCTGCTTTTGCATCATATCAGATTGCTCTTTCGCCCGAAGCGTCTCTTTATGCGACTTCAACTGCTTTTGTAATCCTTGAAGCTTCATCTCCAATTCTTTTAACTTCCCACCTTGCTCTTTCTCGACTCTTTTCTGCAACACTTGACCACCGGTAGATTTCGCTTTCAGAACCGCTTGATGAACGCGCTCTCGCTCCTCCACAAGCAACTTTCTTTCATTTTCAACTTCTTCTACTAACTCTTCGTAACGTTTTCGCAACTCGTCCGCGCTGCTGTTTGTTCCAGCTTTCTTTGCGAGTTCTAACATCCGCTTCTCTTTCATCCGCAAAGTCTTTTCAACAGAGTCAAGCTCGTTTTGATTTTGCTCTTCCTCGTCGTAGTCGTTGTCGATGTCCTCCTCCTCTTCCTCCTCTCCCTCCTCGTCGACGCGCTCTGAGATGCATTGTGTTTTGTATTCTTCATCCTCGCTTTCTAAATTGCGTTTTACCTGTCGTCTCAAAATCTTCACTTCCGCTCGCAGTGCTTGAATGGTCGCGTTGTACCCACGGAAAATTCCAGTATCGTCGTCCTCGGCTTCTTTGCTTATACAACCTGCTGTCGTTGGATCGATACCTCCAGCTTTCTCCAAAGCCACTCTCAGGGCATCTCTTTCAGTAATTGCCAGTAACTCTTTCTCCGATGCTTCTTGCTGAGCTTCTTCGGCAAAGGCGAGTTCTGCTTTTAACCTTCGAACTTCTCTTTCCGACGCGGCGAGTTTCCCAGAAAGTTCATCAGAAACTACAACTACTTCGTCCTCTTTTACTTCGCCATCGCCACCTTTTGCTTTATTCAAAGCTTGCGTTAACGCGATAACTTGCGACCGCATCGCTGCAAGTTGTGCTTTACACCGGGAAAGTTCAGCTGTCGACGCTTCTTCTTTATTCTCACGCACCATATTTTTAATATTGCGAGCACGGTTCGCGTATTTCAAAGTATTGAGTGTTTCTTCAGCATTTGAATCTGCTGGAGACGCGCAAGCAATAAAGACAGTTTGCGAATTCCCTCCCAATGAGTCTTGCAACACGCGTGTTAACTTCGAGTCTCGGTATGGGACGTGTCCATTCGCGGCTCGACGCGTGTCATCGCCCAAAGCCGAAATCACGTTTCCGAGCGCTAATAGTCCTTTATTAATATCGATACCCTCTTGTAACCTCTTTCCTTCTGCTTTCGTTCGCTTTTGCCTTTCAGACCCAGCAAGATCGACCAAGTGCAACTTTGCCAACGTGACTTCGCTCGACGACTCCGGTGATGTGCTCCTTCGTTCGAGATAGATTGTGAAAATTGCGTGACTTCGGCTCGACGTCTTGTTCATGTTCGTCGAACCAGTCGCTCGCGTTTTCGCTCCTGACGAAAGCAACTCGGCCATTTCGCTTTCATCTTTCACCTCAATTTCGCTCGCTCCATTTAAGCATATCCCTCCGTTGGCATTCTCACGTAACGTGATGACAGTTTGTACCAGTTTCTTTGAGGCCGTCGACGAAGAGGAGAGTAAATCCCGAATCTCTTCCTTATGAATCTCTACGAAGCCAACGCGAATGGAAATCGTATCTGTACTTCCACTCTCTGTAATTTTATCCTTCTCCTCGAACAAGGCTCTAACGACTCTGGGCACGACCCCAAACGTAGCCCCCGCGCTCGTTCCCATCGTATACGTCTTCCCGCTTCCGGTTTGCCCATACGCCAATACCGTACCATTCAAACCGTTAAGTAAACCAGAAACAAGCGGTTCAACGCAGTTATCGTATAATTTCTTTTCAGACTTCTTATCTTCTCCGCTATACACGTGGTCGTACGTGAACGTGTGGTCGGATGTTGCGCAGGATATGCTTTGCTTCTCTTCGTCCGCGAATATCGCAATGTCGTTACCGTCCACGAGTTCTTCCTCAAGCATTGGTCGGACCATCACCGCAACTTTTACTGACATGACTTTTTCTTCTTCTTCATTATGTTCTCCTTGTTTTTCCTCCTCTGCTGGTTCTCGCATCTTCGCGTGGTTCGTGGCAGCAGTCATTTTGCCTTCTTCTTCTGTGGTACCAGAATCTTCCTTCTCATCATCGGGCGATGTTGATGATGATGATGATGATGTCAAAAGGACATCTTCTCTTCCCCCCCGCATTTATTTTTTGGAGGAGAATGTTTTGTGAGGAAATTTAAGGAGAACAAAAAAGGGGGTGCTTTGCATATTATTCCTTCTCGTACACGAAAACTTTGTGATGATGATGATGATACACAGTTGTACAAAACAAAAATCTAAAACGGATGATTTCTCTTTCTATCTACAGATGATGATGATGATGATGTGAACACATCATCACTCCTCTTTTTCCTCGGCCGTTTTCTCCACCACGTTCGGATCAGCTAAGTCAAAATTCTTCCTCGCTTCTTTCAAATACTCGTTCATTTCCATCAACTCCTCGACTCTTCTCAATTTTTTCTCGTCGTTTCTAATCACGTACAACAAGTCTTCGTTGGAAAAGCGACCGCCTCTTCTTTCCGCGCACTCCATGGCTTGATGCGCGACGTTGGTGATGAAGTCTACCATTAAATCTTCAACTAAAGCGACGGTTTCGTTGTTCGGGTCGCGAACGTCGCCGAAACCGTACATCATATATCTCAAGTCTCTCGCAAACATCCCTCGTTTCCTCTTCGCTCCCATCCCTCCTCTGGCGTCGTATTCTTGCTCGTCTCCGTCCTTCTCCGCTTGCTTTTCTGCTTTTTCTTTCGCCTTCATCTTCGCCGTCATCTTTTTACCTCCTCCTCCTCCTCCTCCTCCTCCTCCTCCTTTCTCCAACTCTTGTTCATCCACCTCCTCTTCGCCTTTCCGTAATATCGGTCTAGGCACCACCGTTATCAAATCTCTCCTCGCCTTAGGCTGTTTCGGTTTTGGAGGCGGCGCGTTCGGGTCTCTCGGTTTCCTAGGGCCGTACGGGCCTCGTTTCTTCTGAGGTTCGTTCCCATCACCCCCAGCCACGCCTTTCAAACTCTCCGTCGCTGCTTTCAACATTCTTCTTCTTAAAATTAATTCTTCTTCTTCCTCTTCTTCTTTTTCCTCTCTATATAACCACCAACCGATGCTTCCTCTTCTAAAAACGAATCTTAACTTACTCGTTGTATTTCACCCCAAAGCGCAAAGTCGCGAGGTGAGGGCGGTTTTTCTTTGTGTTTGTAAAGTTTTTAATAATGTAAAAAAAGTGTGGGGGATCGGTTTTTTTACAGAAGAGTTCTATTTTTCTCTGCCGCCACATCCAAACATCTTCCTCATTTTCTCTGCTGGGTAAACTCTATAAACGCATCATCTCTTTTTTTCTCGAGAAAGATGACTATGGAAACAGACAATGCGGAGGAGAATAAAGATGAGGCGATGGTGAGAATCCCAGACCATCTCCTTCTTTCTTCTTCTCAAACTTCTAATAAAATAATGAAAGAGAACGATGTCGTTTTACTTCACATGAACAACAGCCGGTGGCAATTTGTGAACTTGAAACCGAAGAAAACGTGCGCGGTCGGGAAACATAAGAACGTGAAATTAGACCCGCTCTTGAATTCTATTCCCTTTGGTTCTTTGTTTGAAGTCGATCAGAAAGGGGTATTAGAACACGTCGGCGTGGAGATGTTGGAAGAGGATGAAATACACGCACAAATTCCAGTCGAAGACGAGAGGTCGAATAAAGCCTACGACGACTTGAACGGGAAGGCGCAAAAGTTGAGCGATAAAGAGATACAAAGAATGCAACAGTCTGGAGTTTCCGGACAGGCCATCGTGGATGAGCTCGTTGCAAATTCAGCGACGTTTAGCCAAAAAACCGCGTTCGCGCAGGAAAAGTACAAGATGAAAAAAATGAAGAAACACTTGACGAAAATCATCGCGCGGTGGCCGTCGCCGAGGTACGTCTGCGAGGCGTATTTTTACAAGTCACCACAAATTACGAATAGCTTAAGATTTGATATACTAGGATTGATGATGAATTTAGGGAACGTTATGGCAAATTCGCAGCCGCTGATCGTGGAGGATTGCGGAGGGGTCATAGTTGGAGCGGCGGCGACAAGAATGGGAGGGAAAGGCGTCGCGTGCGCCGGGTACGTAGGGGAGCATCCGAGTTCGATGGAAACAATTAAACAGATGAATTTAACAGACGAAGAAAGAAGCGTGATTATGACTATAAGTTTGAGAGAGTTGGCGAAAGAAAAGAAAAGATGGGAGGAGGAACTCGAGAATGGTTTGGAATTGAAAGAAAGAGAGGAAGATGGGAAAGATGGAAAAGATGCCACTGCGAACAACAAAAACAATAATAACAATAATAATAATAATAATAACAACAACAATGGTAACGATAGCATTCCGAGCAAGAAAAAGCATTCAAAAGCTACAAAAGCAGACGTGGAGTATTTTGTCAGACAGGAAAAGTTCACCTCTTTGATACTCGCGCACCCGCAGTTGGATCCGAAAACAACCCTACCACAATTATTGGAGTTTTGCGCAAACTCAACGCCTTTCATCGTGTGGAGCATGACCCTCCAGCCTTTAGCCGATGCCATGCATGTTTTGCGAAAAAGAGGTCTTGCTGTTTCAATGACTATCTCTGAGCCATTTCTGAGGGATCATCAAGTGTTGCCAGGGAGAACGCATCCGGTTATGACGACCGAGGCAAACAGCGGCGGGTACATCTTAAGCGGCACGCACGTGCGAAAGAATAAGAACAACAATAGCAGAATAAGCGATGTCAAAGCGACTGGAGAAGAAAAAGTAGAAGTAAATATAGAAAAAAAGAGAAACGGCGACGATGGAGATGATGATGATGATAGCGAGAACAGAGAGAGTAAAAAGCCTCGACGCGAATGAAGTTTTTTGTATTTAGTTTTTTAGGTGATTAAATATTGTCAATAAAAAAAATTGTTCTTCCCCCATAAAAGAAGCACGCAAAAGAAGGAGATTCACACTTGCTTAAAGTGAGTATGGTTTTCCTTCGCGACAACGTTTCGCTTCAGAAGCTTAAACAGCAACATAAAAGCGCGGACGATGATCTCGTTGACGACGAACACTCCGCGTTAGAGTTCGCAATTACTGTCGGGAAAAACGAAGGATTAGACGTCCAATTCGTCGAGAAGAAAAAGAATAAGAATAATAACAACAACGATGGCGAAATGGAATGGTGGGTGACCAAATGCATCTGCCGCGTAGAAAATACGGGCGAAACTATCGAGTTAAAAATGGAGGAGTCTGCGACGATCGCCATGTTGAAGATGAAACTCAGAACGGAGATGAATAAAAAGGCAAAGAAGATTTACTCCTCCTCCTCCTCTTTAACAACCTCTACGACTTTTACGAAGAGAAACGATTTCACCGGTGCTAGTACCGCTTCGACGATGAAGGGGATGAATGCAAGGAATGGTGAGAGAAACGTAAGCGGAGAGCAGCAGCAGAATGCGAACGAACCGAGAAGAATAGTCTTGGGTGGAGGGGTGCCTTCCGTTTCGTTAGCTGGCCAGAATACAAACATGACGAGAACGAACGTGGATAGCATGAAGGAGGACGACTTTAGAGGATTTGATGACGACGATGATGGTGGTGAGTATGAAGATTTAAGAAGAGATATGAGCAGAAACAACCAACAACAGCAGCTAGAGAAGAATACAACGAGTAATAAGAAGAATGAAAATGTTTTCTTGCGAGATTTGAGCGAGTTCGCTAACGAGCTGGTGGAAGTTGTCGCTCCAAAGCCAAAGGACCAGCCGATTCATCACGATAAAATGGGAGAAAATAAGAGCAATAGTACGAGCAAGAGCAACAAGAACAATATAAATGAACTAGAAACGATGGGAAGTTGGGAAAAAGTTGACGAATGGCAGGCGTGGGGAGAAATCGGACAAGTTCAAGTAAAGCACAGAACAACAACAACAACAACAACAACGCCAACAGCGGCAATTCAAACCCCGAACGTCACAATAAACGTAAAGAAGGTAGGAAGAGGAAAGATAGAACCGATGAAGCTGAACGCGACAAAAGTCTCTCAATCGAGGAAAAAGATGAACTGGTCGTCTTTGTCGTCGCTCTCTTTCGTATCTAACATCCAGGACTCTTTTACAAATATGGCGGCAATGTCGACAAAATACAGCACGATGGTCGCAGAGCTCGCTCCTGGCTTCGCATCACACTCGCTTTCTGCTCACATTATGATTTTTGTCACCGTTGCTGCAATACTCGTGAAGTTGATGGGTTTTACTTTTTGGTTACTGTGCGTTGTCCTCGTCTGTTACGCTCGAGTGCGATCAGAAGAGAATTTGAGAGCTCTCGCGGAGAAAAAAGCGCTGGATCTACAATCGAAATTAGCAAAAGTTCAGGATGATTTGGAGCAGTTACAATTTGCAACAGCAACCGTCGCTGCCAATACGGCCTCTCGAGGCGGTAGTCTTTCGAGCGGATCCGCAAGCGTGCTCAACAATGGGCAAGCTGTAGCGGACGTTTTATGGATGAACTCGACGATAGCAGCGTGTTGGGATGGTTTCCTTCGAAATTGGCTCTCTTCGCTGGCTGGAAACTTACTTTCGGACAAGCTCTCCACCGCAAAACCATCAGTTCTCGAATCTATTCATTTAGCTTCGTTTGAAATGAATCACAAGCCGCCGAGCTGCCGAAACGTGAAAGTCCTTCGCTCGAGGAAAGTTTTTGAAGGCGTTATGTTGGAGTTAGGCGTGGAGCTCTCAGATATTGCATTCAATATGACTATTCATTCAAAGCTCGCGCAATTGAAGATTCCGTTGAAACTCGCAGTTGAACTCGATGCGACCAATCTATTATTACGCACGAGCGTTCTGCTCATCGATAAACCACCGTACGCGGGTTTGCTGAAAACATCATTCGCGGATTTACCAGAGACGAAACTCAAGATCATCCCTGAAGGCGTAAGCGGAAGAATGGGTAATATCGCTGAACTTCCAGGGGTTGATGTATGGATTAAGAACTCGATACAGGATGCGCTAGTTGAGAATCTTCTCGAGCCAAATTCATACACGTGGAACATCGAAGAGTTTTTCCAAATGTATTATAAATAAAATAGCATTAGTTTAGAACCGCGCGTAAATACTGTAAACTAAATGTACAACATGCTAAACATAGCTAAAGAAATTATTGCTACTGCTCTGAGACTAGATGTGCAGACTAAAAACATTCCTCTATTCGCCTATCTCCGCGTGAACCACCAAAACACGAATATGAAGAAGGTGATGAAGAACATTCCTCCGTAAACGATGATTGCATCCATCCGTTGCCGTCTATCGATAACTTTCAACACAGATTGAGAAACGCCTAAAGTATCTAACACGCTCAACACTTTTCTTCGCGCGGATTTTAATCTATCCTTTTGTTCGTGCAAACTTCCTAAAATGTTCGCCCCCGAGTCTAACAAGTCGTCCACCATCTGACCGCTTCGGCGCATAGACATTCCCGCGGAAGCTTCGGCATCGTAACTCGAACCCATATTCAACGTCACGTCGCCACCTCCGTTATTCATGTTCCCTCCACCGCTTATTCTTCGCATCAACTCCTCTCTCTCTTGTTCCTCTTGCATTCTCCTCGATTCTCGCGAACCGAACCGGTCCAACGCTACTCGAAACTGGTCGCACTCCTCGGAAATTTGACTCACTTTCCTTTTCCACGTGTCTCTTTTCGATGGATTCTCCTTCACGATTAACACTCGAAACTGCGATTCCATCTGTTGGGAGATTCGAGTCATCTCTTGCAGCTTGTTCCTCTGCTCTCGAGCTTCTTGTAAAGTCGCGTTTCCTCCGTGCCCTTTGCCTTCCAAACGTTCCAAACGAATTAATCCTTCCTGTAATTCGAACGATATTCGTCGAGCGACGGAGTATAAATCCGAGAGCGAAGAAGAAGAGGAGGAAGAAGAAACCGGTGGTTGCGTTGGTTGGGAGAGTGGCGGTGATTGTGGTGGTGGTCTGTCTCCTCCCACGCCTACTCCCATTGCCGGATGATGATGATGATGGTGCGAGTGCATAATTTTTGAAGGCAACCAATCAAGAGACCCCTCCCCGGACTGGACGAAAAGAGAAAATGGCTGAAACCTAAATAGCTCGTAATTTTCTTCTCCCCTCCTTTTCTCCAAAAGAAAAGTCCTCCTCCTCTCTACTCCTCTTCCTCTCTTTTGTTGTTTGATACACGAAAAGAAGAAGAAAAGCTTCGTTACAGCAGCACGCACGACACAGATCTCCCCAGTAGTGACTTCGAGTCCTATAGAGCATTCATAGCGCGCAGAGCATCATCCCAAGAAGAAGAAGAAGAAGAAGAAGAAGAAAATGGTGTTTCGCATCCCGCAAGAACAGAGACAAGATTTGATCGATAGAATGACCGATAACTTGAGCGCGATTGGGTTTCACTGCTTCGGCGATAGCATCGCAAACGCTCGAGAAGTGTGCGAAAACATCGAGAAGAAAGCTTTCGGCGTGGCTGATGTTGCATCGACGACGACGGTGGAAGTTCATCACAAAGAAGGTGTTTCTGGGGATCGACCGATGAAGGAGTCCATGTCCTTATACATCTCCAAAGCAGCGGAGTTGATGAAGGAGGAGTGCTTGAGACGAGCTGACAGCGCCGATAGTAAAGGCGGTGGGGCGTCAACCTCAGAAGTAGTGTCGTCAAAAGCGGTGCAAGATAAAGACCATTTTGATGTCGCTCTAGATTCTACGGACAGGGAGTTTTACACCGGTCCGAGAGCGGAAGAAGTGCTCGCGCCGTTGTTGCAACCAAACGCCTCGTTCAAGTTTGTGCGATTATCGACGAAGAGTTGGGGGATTGATGCCGCTAAAGTTGCCAAGAAAGCGTTTGAAAACTTGAAGGGTACTTTGGAAGTCGTTGATTTAGCGGATACGATTGCAGGAAGACCAGAGGTGGAAGCTTTGAAGGCGATGGAAATCATGTGCGAAGGTCTCTCTGTGTGTAAGCTGAAGGAGGTAGACTTATCGGACAATGCCTTTGGTGAAAAAGGCGTTCGAGCATGTGCTAAACTGTTGCAATCGCAATCAACTTTAGAAGGTATTTCTTTTTTAAACAATGGCATCTCTGAACAAGCTGCGAGAGCGATTTCGGAATTGTTAGCCTCGCCGGCGACGCTGAAAAAGTACCACTTGGATAAGAACATGACGGGAGACGAAGGAACCGTCCACGTCGCCGCTGTTTTAGAAAAAGCGACGGGAATAGAAGATTTCAAGATGGCAGGTTCGAGATTTACGAGCGATGGCGCGCTGATGCTTGCAAAGGCTCTGTTACATGGAAGCTCGTTGAAAAAATTGAACCTGACCGATAACAACGTCAATGAAGAAGGTGGCGAGGCATTTCTTGAAGTTTTTAAGAAGCACTCCAAGCTGGAATATTTGAATCTCGAAGCGACAGCGCTTGGCGAGGAAATTACTGGAAAGGTTACCCAAGTTGTCGCCGAACATTGTCCCGACCTCGAAACGTTGATATTATCTGCGAACGACATCCTTAGAGAAGGGGTAGATTCTGTCGCTGAAGGCATCGCAAAGATGAAGAAACTAAAAGTCTTGAAAATCACGGATAACGAGTTAGGAGATGCCGGTGTGGCAAAAATATGCGTCGCACTACAAACCTCCGCTGCTAAACTCGAAGAGCTGGACGTCTCGTGCAACGAAATTTCTAAGTCTGGTGCCGAAGCGGTTTCAAAATTAGCTGCGACTAGTCTGAAATCAACCATCAAGAAAGTTAACTTGGATCAAAACTGGATTCAAGAAGACGCTATTGAAAGCATTCAGAAAATATTTGCTGACGCGGGATTAGATTCTGTGCTGCAGGCGCTCGAAGATAACGACCCGGACGGAGAACCAGATGAAGATGAGGCAGATGAAGTTGCGAATTTGATAGCGAAGTTAATGGTTTGAAAATTTAGGAAAAACTACGATATATATCTCTGATCGTTATCAAGTTTACTAATATTGTCGTTGTAATTGTTGTTGTTGTTATTTCTTCCCAGTCTCAAAAGATTGTTGTTGCGTACTAGACAAACCGGCGCGTTGAAGTTCAACGCTTCCATCGATTGGTATGTATACGACCTCTTCCAATACCTTCGTATTCTCTGAAAATATGATAATGAACTTCTTTCTCTACTATCGCCAAGTTCACGAACAATGACAAAGTCTGCTTCGAATTGATTGACTGCGTCTGATATTTGCTCGCGCCTCTCTTTATTTATCGTCGCCATATGTTCACGTCTAGTGGCGAGGTGTAAAATCAAAGACGTCAGTGGTACAGTCTCTTTCGGTCTTTCGATGAGAAAGCCTCGGAGTTTATCTTCACAAACAGAAATATCCGACAGTTTTCGATTAAACTCTGTCATAGAACGAAAGAATGTGATGAGTTTAACACGGTCTGTTGGACGCAGAATATATTTGAGCGCGTACTCCACGATTGAGACGTCTTCGAAAACGCTTTCTTTCGATGAAATATCGATCACTATTATTACGGTTCGTACATTTTCAGCGAAGTCCGATAATCCAAGATAAGCGCTTGAAACCGAATCGGACGCGAGCATGGTCAAGTTCGAGTAATCTATCATATCCACCACAATCGTGCTGATTGGACAGAATCGTGCCATATAGTTTGATAACGTTTGTTTTTTAGCGCTAAAAATACTGGTTTCACTCGGACTGCCATCGAGTGTTCCGTTCATTCGACCGAGAACAAGAAAGGTGGATGAATAATCGATTTCATCGACCAGCTCTGTCGCGAGGTAGTGGAGAATCGCCTCGCCAATATCTCTCGATGTTTCAAGGACGCATACTTCAAACTTCCGCTCTGATCCATCCAACATTGCCGGGGTTACGAGGTCTGCAAGTTCTAACTTTTGATGATGGAGATCTAGGATGATAGGCGATCTATATTCGAAAAGCGAAATGTTAATAGACGGTTTCATGACGTGTAAGAAAATGATTCTATCATTTTCTTGAATAAAGTTGACGTTACTCCAACGGACGGCCGCTTCGGTATATACATTTCCACGCAAACCAATGAGAAAGATGATGGTACGCGTGGTCATTTTTTGTATCGAGTGACGAGTATCGCGTATTTTTTTCAAGACGAAGAGGGTGGTGGATCCGAGACAAAGAAAAATTCTTGGAAGCTACTGCTATTAGAATTTGTTGTGTTTGTATTGACAATGATGAATGAACTCTCACATCAATCCAAAATTTTTCTTCGATCTCGCCTCCAATCGCGCTCGAGCAGCCTCGCGAGCATCCAACGCTTTTTGCTCCTCTGTACTCACACCCGTGGCTTTCTTCTTTTTCTTCACTTCCGCTCCGGTATCTTTCGCATCCTTGGAACGCGCATTAAAAGTTGCACCTCCAGCAGCTTCGTACGCCCTCTTTCGCCCGGCGTTTGTTTTTGCTTTTGCCGCTTCGTACGCAGGATGATTTGATCCGTAACCTAAATTGAAATTGCTCGTAGTTATGTTGATGTGCATTTTGTTTTGTTTCCTCTTTAGTTCGAACGCTTCCTCGACCGAAGTCGGTTTTAACTTTTTTGCGGCTTGCGACATTACTCCCACAGGAGCGACTTTCTGCGATAATCCTGCCGCTGCAATTGCAGCCGCTCCTGCTTTTTGCGCCTCGCTGTATGCATTGTTATTGTTGCTATTGTTATTGTTATTATCGTTGCTATTTATTGGTTTTGTATGACCCGATGCGGCGGTCGGAGAAACGCCAACCGGTTGAGTAGTCGCTAGATGGTGTTCAGGAGGTGTTGGCGCAGAAGGTGCGTTTTCTGGACAGTTTTTCGACCATTTCTTGGTTATGTTATCGAAAAACATTCTACTCTTTGGATCAAAGTACGTTGAACTCATCCCGTGCCAGTAATACTTCGTGCGCTCATCCCAAACCCAGTCTCCGTATTTTTGTTTTAATCTGAACTCCATCTCCTCTTTTGCTCTCAATTCAACTGTAATTTCTTCCTCTAAAGCTTTCCTTTGATATTCTCCTTGCACTCGCGCTCGCTCGTGATTGCCCATCGGTCGGCTCGCATTTGCGCCTCCAATATCCTTTTCCGCAAAGGCATGCATCGCCTGATTCTCTATGTCTTGAATCTGTCTCTTCAAACTGTCGTCGTCCGACTTTTTCTTCGCCGTCTTGTTCGCGATGTCCTTCATCTTCCTGTCCATCGCGTCTTTATGCTTTTGTGAACGCTCGTGCGTTCGTTTCTGAGAGGCTTGGACAAAACATTTACACAGCGCGCACCAGTTTGCTGCGGATTGAGCGGAGATGCTGTATCTCTGGTTAGGAGCACCCATTCTTGATTGCTTCCGCGTGAATGAAGAGAATATGGTAGTGAAAAAGTGAATATAATTGAACAAGAGCAAATAAAGGTCGCATAACGCATAATGAATAATGACACATCTTCATTACACATCATCATCGTGATTGCAAATCATCGAAATTCTTTCTAATCTTCCGCGTTCTCGACACTAAGAGCTAAAAACATTTCCTGGACGTCCTCGCAGATTGTTCCCACGTCCTTCGCATCTATGAGCATACACATCCGCATCGGCTTTGAGTCTTCAAACTCCTGCGGCTTGTCCTCGCCGCCGGCTTCCCACATAAAACTCCACTGCGACTCTTCATAAAATATCTCATCTTCCAGATTTGGAAACACTAATTCGGTAACTTCTTCTTCTTTTTCTCCCTTCTTTCGTTTCTTATTGTTATTTTTCTTGCCACCACCGGCCACGGACGGCGGCGGTGTGAACGTATCCAAGAAGCAACGCGATACTAATACATACTGATCGAAATCAAACTCTTTTTTCTTTTCATCCTTCACTGCCCATTTGATTTCATCGAACAAGTGTTTTATCAACGGTCCACCGATATCTTGCGGCACGTTGACTAATCTCTCTGAAAGAATCAAACCAGTTTTCTTGGCGTTCAGAGCGTCTCGAACCAACTTCGCTTCCTCTTTCGGGGCCTTTTTCACAATGTGCGCTTTGATTTCCTGCAAACACTTGAACTCTTTCGCCTTATCCAAACTGATCACCGTCATTACGCCCAAAGGATCTTCCTCTTCTTCCGCGCTCACTCGAGAGGCAATCACCGAACCGACGTCGTCTTGTTTCAATATCATATCGACCAACTCGGAAACGTTGTATTGACTCCCGTCGCAATAGGCAGTGAGATAGGATTTCAAGTTTAAGAAGTGTTCCTCTTTCGGAGTGACGAATTCAATTTCAACGTCTATAAACGTATCGTCGTCGTCTTCGCCGTCGACGTCGGATTCATCCTCGTCTTCTTCATCGTCTTCTTCCTCTTCGTTCGATTCCGAATCTTCACCACTGTTGGCGGCTTTTGTCGATTTCGGCGCCGTTTTACTCTTTGTCTTCTTCTTCTTCTTCTCCTCCGCGGCAGAAGCGGCGGCAGAAGCTGGCGAAATCTTCTTCTTTTTGCTTTGTGGAGGCATCGTCAAAGCTCTCTCTCTCTCTCTCTCTCTCTCTCTCTCTGTGTGTGTGTGTGTGTGTGTGTTGAAGCAAACAAAGTTCCTGCTTCTCTTTAAATAAAATAAGGAGAGAGAAGAGAGAAATTTTTATGCTGTTTTCCTGAAGAAGAGGTGAAAAGAGGAGAGTCAACGACTCCACACAAACCAAGAGAAAAGAAGAGGGAGAAACTCATCATCATTTCATCATCTTCGAGAGAAAAAGTGCTCAAAAAAGAAAAGCGCGCACCATAGAGAATAGATGATGCACAACGGGGCACGCACACAGAGAGATAGATAAACGTGATGCTCTTCGGGGGGAACCACCGACGGGGGACCACGACGAGAACACCGCAAACTCGGACGACCGTTGTTCATAATACTAAAGGAGATTTTCTCGTATCTGAAACGACCGGTGGTCTCCCAACGGCAAAAATGCATCACCATCATCACCGTTCGGACGAGGAAGCGACGACGAGGAGAAGAAGTTCACCAAGAACGACGACGACGACGACGACGAACGCGGAACGATTGTGGGAATTACAGAGAGAACTCGCGAAAGAGTTAATATTCTCGGAGAACGATACCGCTTCGAAAGAAAAGAGGGGAGCGCCCAGAGAACGAAGAAAAGGGAGGACCAGAAAAGAGGAGGAGGAGGAGAAAAATTCGAAAATAATAAGAAACGACGAAGTACGCGAAGACGAGAGCGCTTCTACTTCTTCTTCTTCTTCCTCGTCTTCGCCGGCAAATTTTCATCACGAAGAACGCATTTTCGATCGTGAGAACAACAACAACGACGACGTCGAAGACGAACACGAAGTAGAAGAAGAAGGAGATGTGTTCGAGCGAGGCAGCGCGGTGAGACAGACGAAGGAGAACGACCATCAACACCAACGGCGACGGCGACGCTCAGTAATCGTCGACCGGTACGAAGACAAAGAACAAGAAGGAACGACGTTACGATGGAGCGATGAAGAAGAAAGCACTGAATTGCGAAGAATATCCTCTACGTTTAGAAACGGAAGCGATGATGACGATGAATGTTGCAGCACGAGCAGTCGCGACGAGGAAGAGAATCACGACACGAAGCCGCCGCAAGTGAACGCAGAGTTGGAGATGAAACTAAGACGGTACGAATTGAAGCACGTCGATTTAGAGTTGAAGCTTTCCGCGAGCGAAGAAAAAGTAAGCGAAGCGGCTCTCGTATTAGAAGAAGCCGAGAAAACGCGAGATATGTATAGAAAACAGTGCAATCGCGCGTGGGAGGAAGTGAAAGAGTTGGAACGCGTAATCGAGGAAGAAAGGAAAAGTGCGGCAGAAAAACTCTCCAATGAATTGCTCAAACAAAAACAAAATAAAGCTACGAAACGTGCCGAACGATTCAGGCTGAAAGGAAACAAATCGTACGCCGCGGGTGATCTTAGCAGTGCGGAAGGATATTACGCCGAAGCTATTTTACTGTTAGAATCGAGTGGAATGGGGCTGATTGATAAAAACCATCTGACATTGCGAACAAACAGAGCGGCGGCGTTGATGGCACTTGGAAGAGACAACGATGCTTTACAAGAGTGTTTGAACGTGTTAAATGTGGACGAAGAGAACATCAAAGCGCTTTCGCAAGCGGCAACGTGTGCGTTATCCCTTTCGAATTTGAATAGCGCTAGAAAATACATAGCGAGGATCGTCTTGTCTTCGACAGCCTCAGTAGACGATTTACAAAGCGCGCACCAACAACAAGAAATGCTGCTCCGCGCGTGCATAGAACGCGATAAGTCTTTTGGAAACGATGCTTATAAACGTGCTGACTACGCCGAAGCTTTACGTCTTTATACCGTTGCTTTGAAAGACGCGAATGATGTCACGGATGTTACCGACGAGATCCAAAAAATCAAAGTTGGTTTACATTCAAATCGTGCGGCTACTCATATGATGCTCGGGCACCCATTAAAAGCCGCGGAAGATTGTTGTGTGGCTTTGAAGTTTCATCCTGGAAACGTAAAAATTCAGTTACGATATGCCCGATGCCTATTGTTGCTTGGAGATTTCAAAGCTGCTTTCCAAGAAGCAAGCGATGTCTTAACCCGAGAGAATATCGATACCGTCATCAAAAACGAAGCAAACGAAATACACGAAGATATTCAAACTTCTGAAAAAGTAGTTCGAGAAGTTGGCCAAGTTTTAAAGCGGTTCGAGGAGGAGAGAGATGTCGCGGATGAAAACGAAGCCAAAAGAGTAAGCGAAGAAGCGTTGGAGAAATTGAACAAAGTCATGCAAATAGTGACAAAAATACCAATGCTCATCACTCTGAAAGCCGAAGCGATGAGATTTATGGGTAAATACGACGAAGCCCGTTCACTTTTAGAAAGTAACGAACCTTCCGATGATCCGAGACGACGTGCTTTGGAAGCGCGAATATGCTTCGATCTCGGATATTTGAGCGCCTGTATCGAGGCAGCTTTACCGGTGACTAAGAGTGCTTCCTCGTCGTCGCCGTCGTCGTTAGACGCGTGTGTTCCCGACAGGGGGAAACTAATTCTCCTCGTCGAGCAAGCTGTGAACGCACAGGCCTCTCGAGAGAGAGGCAGAGTTTTATTCAAAGAAGAGCAGTACGAAGAAGCTATGGGTGTTTACAGAGAAGCGTTAGAGTCGTGCGCGGCGGATTCGCCCGTGCTCCAGGCGATATTCTTGTCCAACATATGCGCGTGCGAACAAGCTCTGGAAAGGTATGTCGACGCTTTATCTTCCGCTTCTATCGCTATTTCGTTAGCTCCGACGTTCGCGAAGGCTCGTTCTCGTTTGGCAACTCTGTATGGCGAATTGGACATGCACAAAGAAGCTATCGAGGCGTACGACAGCCTTCTCGAGCTTCCGTTGGATAACGAGGAGAGGAATGTCGCCAATTGGAATAAAAGGGAGGTTGAAAAGAAGAAAGCAGCCCAACCGAATTGGTATAAACTTCTCGGATTGAAAGATTTCGGCTCTGCAACGACAACAAGCGACGTGAAGAAGGCGTATAAAAAGCTTGCGTTGGTACACCACCCGGACAAAAATTCGGCTCCTATTAGCACCAAGCTGTTTAAACTCGTCTCGGAAGCTTCGAGGGTGTTGTGCGACGATACCGAGCGCGAAAAATGGTGGAGAGAACAGCGCAAGAAAACGTCAACGGCGAGTCATTCGAGCAGGCGAACGCCGGGCTCTGCTTCTTCTAAATCTTCTTCCTCAAACGCTAGTTCCTCTCGATGGCACTCATACGAAATTTAGAGAAAATATGCCAAAAACTTTTAATTCATTCATTAAAACCAGAATACCGCAGCAGCGATACCTGTAAAGCAAACGAATCCTTGTTCGGTACTCCTTCTAGTGTCAGAAACTTTTCTTCGTTGTTGTTGTTGTTGTTGTTGTCGTTGTTCGAATGTATCCATTCCTTTATCTTTCTGATGAGACTCTTATTCCTACTCTCACTGTTCTCGCCACTTTTGTCCAGAGCACTTGTGAGAGCGCTCGAGAGCTCTTCCGCAGTAAACAAATCGCAAACGACGACTCCATTTTTTTTCTCTTTTTTTCTATTTCTATCGTTTTCGTCTATTTTTGGCTTTAATACTACTCTACTTTCGCGGCTATCGTTCCTGATGCTATCGAACGCGTCTATTTTCGCCCTAATTCTATCGAACACCGATGATGTACTTGTCTCCCCTATGCTTCGGTTTTCCGAAATCTGCCTAGCGTCGGTTGCGTCATCTTCCCATGCTGTTTCAACCATATCAGTCGCTTTCTCCACCGCGTTTACGACTGCCGATAAGGCGTGTCGTTTCAGCCCTTTTCGGACGACTTCTATGAGATCCTCGGGGACTTTGATGTTCTTCTTGGCAAATGCGTGCCGAAACGCATTTGATTTTATTGCAGTTTCAAGAGCCACTGTTGAAGAGGAAACGTAGCAGGCCTTTCCTTTCTTGTCAAAACTTTTCTCGTAAACATCTGGGACGACCCACCACGTCGTCGTCTCTGATTTTGTGCACGTATCGTTTTCCTTTTCTTCTCTCGCGAGAACGAATCTCACGAGCAAGTCGCGCGGATAGAGCGCTTTCATAGCAACACACCGTCGAGGTGGAATTCGAAGAAAGAAGTTGTGCTCCGCATTCTCATGGTTTCTGTTCATTAAGTCCTCCTTTCCGTTGACGTGCGAAAAAAGTAAACGTGCAACGCTCTCGTTCGTTGTTGAGGAAAAGGAAGAAGACGATGCAAGTGCATTACCGCGCGTTCTGTTCTTGTTTACATAGCGGCATACTCTCGGAAACATGGATTTTTGTAAAGACAGTTGAAAGCAGAGAGGGGCCTAGAGGAAGAAAATAATTTTATGTTTTTCATACACCATGAAAAGATGGTAAATCATTCCCTATATTTTACACGTACGTTCAAGTTCTTTATTGGAGCATAAGTAAGTCGAATTAGATAGTATTCCAAATTAATTAAAAAATTAAGATGTAAATTTCGCATTCCGAATTAAAAAATCCTTTTAAAATCCTTTTTCTTTTCTTCCAAGTTCCCCACTTGTAATATTTTATCCAAAAATTAAAATTAAAATCACATTTAGAATATATTCAATAGCGAAATACGTGAAGTTTTGGGGATATCAGGATCAAAACTGTCTAATAAAAGCGAAATGTATTTTTTAATTTTTAAATAAATTAATTTTAATTTTAAAAGCAGTAATGAGGCAGAATTGCGTAATAATTATAATTGCAATGAGTGCAAATAATATAAAGTTTTGGAAAACCAACTTGTTTCGGGATTGGTTTGAAAGAACGGAAAGGTTTTGTCTTTTTGAAAAAATAAGCTCCTTCCTTTTGCTCCACCCTCCCAATGGCCTCTTTTCCCGCCCAAAATAAAATAATTTCCGCACATCGAAAGTTTCAGAAAACAAAAAGAGAGAGGAAGATGATAAGTCAATCATCCTGAAGGAAAGGCAAACGAACGTGCCCACATGTGGTTTATCGCAGCAGCTCCGATTCATTCGCGAATGACGTTTTCGTGTCGTTCTTTTCCCGTCGCGGAAGGACGTTCCAAGAAGATATTTCTTCGCAGATCGAAAAACGACGACGGTTCGACGATCAAAAGGAGTGTTGTCACCCCACGCTGTAACAACAGCAACAATAAACGATCGGTAAAACGCTCCTCCTCTTCAAAAGGAGGAAGCTTTGAGAACAGCATCGTGTTCTCGTTGGCGTGTTTAGAGGAATTGACGAAAGTGGAGATGAAACGAGACACGCCAAAGTTGATCGATTTATGGATGGAAAAGTACACGGAGGCGTTAGAGTGGAAGTTGGCAAACGAAGGGTCGTTAACCATCAAGAAAACCGACGACAAAGTACCGTTGGCTCGATGGATCACTTACCAACGAAAACTGGCTCGTGAAGATAAGCTCACACCGGAAAAGTATGAAGCTTTGAACGCGTTGGGAATGTTCGACGTGAAGAGGAGGTCGAAAGGAGAAGAAAACAACGACCGCTCGAACGACGGTACAAAGAAGAAGAAGAAACAGAACCAACGGCCGAAACAATCGTGGGAGCAAACTTTCGAAGAACTCATCTTGTTCAAAGAGATCAACGGAGACGGGACGAAAAACCAACTTCCGATCAAATTGAAACGTTGGTTAAACGCGCAGAAAAACACGAAAAGTATGGAAAAGAGGCAATTATTAATCGACAACGGTTTCGAGGAGTATGTAAATCCAAAGAAAAACGCCCGAAGACGCGCCTCTTGGGACACGCGTTTCACCGAACTGAGACAGTTTCAAAGAGAACACGATCACTGTAACGTTCCAGCGACGTACCGATTAAATCGTCCGCTGGGATATTGGGTCGCCACGCAACGTAAAACCCATCGAAACGGAACGTTGAAGCCCGAGAGAGAGCAGGCTTTGACCAACCTCGGTTTCGAGTTTGAGCCTTTGAAGACGTGGTATCGAAACGGACCGAGAAACGTGGACGAGTTAGCTGGAAAAGTATCCGTCTCGTGGATGGGAAGAGCTGCGCCAGCGTACGAGGAGAAACAAAAACTAGTCTTTGAATCGTTACGAGAGAACTTTAGAGAGTTCGATATGCGATTTAACCATCGATTAGGGAGACTCGGGTCGATTAAGCCTGACATCGTCATCGAAGTCAACAATTGGGCGATGATTATCGAAGTGGACGAGTTTCAACACAAAAAGTACGAGCGAGACGGTGAAGATGATCGTTTAGAGCAGTTGAGAGATTACTTTAATATACCGTTGAAAGTAGTTCGATTTAATCCTGATCCGTGTTCGATGAAGGACGAGAGAGACTTTGAGGAACGCTTGGAGGTGTTAAAAGAACACGTCCGAAACTCGATCGAAGTCGCGCCTATTCGAGACGTTGAGATTGATTACGTCTGTTTCTAATCGATAATAGATGTTGTAATAATGTAGATGTAGTAGGGAGCTGTAATTTTATTGATATTAATATATTATGTGTATGGTAAAAAGGTATATAGTAGTTCTTCGCCCCATCGCTTCTTCTCTCTTCTCAGAGACAGAACAACTTTTCTTCTTCTTCTTCTTCTTATTGTATACGAAAGCTTCTTCCTTTAATTTAATACAAAGAACTTGCCGCCACGAACAGTGCGAGGATGCCAAACTCCGTGACAACAGCGGACGGACTGGAAAGACCACCTAACGGAACGATATCAACTCTCAAAATATTCTCGACGCCGCCGCCGACGAGGCACCCGATGGTGAGCATCGCCACGGTGATACCAACCGCTCTCGAAAGGACGACGTTTCTTTTGTTCATCAAGTAAATCGACGCACACACCGCGATGGCTGTTTGTAAACCGGGCGGATTATCAAATCCTGGTGGATTGGAAACGCCTTGGGCCAACACCCAAAGGAACAAAGCGCCAAACACGACGCCAGATTGCGTCAAAATATCTTTGGATCCAACTTCAAACACCGGCATGCCTGGAAGCGCGCTCGACGCGTCCTTCACGCCTTGCGGAATGTTTCTTTTAATCTCTTGAATCGGCGTCAAGACGTCCGCATATTTTACTTTCTCGTCCACGCCTTGTCCACTCGTTCGCTTCGTGAACGATCTCAAGAGTAAAACATCGTACGCGGCGTCCACCTGTTGTCTCTTCTCTTCGTCGTCCGGGAACTGCGCCAAAACGTCGTTCTTCGCTTTCACGATTTCCTCCGAAGTCGCCTCTGGTTTTAAACCGAGAAATAACAGCGCGCCTTCGTAATCGTACGGAGTGGAAGACTCCGCTGGAGATTTCTCCCCTCCTTCGCCCATTTCGCTTCGAATGGGAGTCACAATAAGTCGTTTTTTTCTTCTATTATTCTGTTTTTGTTGTTGTTGGTATCTTCCTCTCGAAAAGCTTCTGCAGGAAAAGTTGTTCGTCGTTTTAAACATTTTGTCTCTAGAGGACGTGGAGGTGGCATTCACACGCGTTGAGGAGTACGCTCTCGACGTAAACGACGACGATGGTTTTGATGATGAAGCGACGACGAAAGTCCTCATCGTTGAAGGAGTTCCAGTTGTAGTCGTAAACATTATTATTTTTACTGTTGTTAAAAAAAGAAATCGATCGTGACGTGATGATGATTTTGGATTCCTTCCTGAAAACGATGAATTCAAAAACAACAACAACAACAACAACGACAGGTTTAAGTCCGTAAAAGAATCTCAAATCGTACTCTTCCTCCTACTCCTACTGTTTTGCGCAGATGATGATGAAGATCGACAAAAGACTTTTTCGTCGTGTGGTTGTTTATGTGATGATATATAGAAGACGCACAACAACAAACAGAGTCGAAAAAGGTCTCTGATACTTTGAGAGGAGATATTTTTGAAGAGAGAGTCTCTGCGTGCTGACGAGAAAAAGAGAGCTCTCGAGAATATCTTTTCATGCGCCATGGAAAATAAACTTTTTTCTCACTTCAATACTCTTACGAATGCATGAATGATGATGAACAGTAGTAGGAAACAGAGAATACAAAGAGAATAAGAAAGAGAGAGAAAATGAGGCCCACGACGACGACCACCGCCCCTTTTCCTTCTTCCTCTGGCGGCGAAAACGTGATGAAGACGACGGCTTCGTCGTTGGGGGACGACGATGACAAACGAGAAGAAAATGTAGATTTGTTTCCAGTCGTCACCAAACAAGTGCGAGCAGCCTGTCGATATTCCTCGACTGCTGATGCTCGTGATGCGAATAATAGGAACGAGAATCAGCTTTTGATTTCCGCGTCAAACGTGGACGAACTCATCTCCTCGGACGAGAAGTTTTTAGTTCTCAAAAGAACTTTGAAACACTCAGACGAGAGAGTGTTGAAGCATTCGCACGACTTGATGTTTGAGACGTATTTACGAGATAAGAGAAACATCGAGACGAGAATGAAAACGTGCGGGATTATACGGAAACTGAGCGTACAATCGAAACTGTTTCGAGAACTCACCATGGAAAGACTGAACGAGTTCCTTCGGTTCGGGTTAGGCGTAGGGACGTGCGGCAGGAACGGAGCGAAACGAAGCGCCATGTTGAGCGAAACCAACTTACCGGGGAACGACAAGGCGAAGAAAGAGACGCTTCGCCAGATTGGATACGAAACGTTAGAAAAATGGGGTGTTAAATTCGGGGCGCAGTTCCCACAGATTGAAATTGCGAAGAGATTTGTGACGGAAAATCTCGGCGACGAGGCTCCCGAAGTGAAGGCGAAGAAGGCAAAGGAGGAAGAAGCGCGAAGAGAACGGGAGGTGCAAGAGCGCTTGTTACAAAAATGGGAAGAGGTGAAAAATGACGTACCGTCGCTCGTGGAGGATTCTCACGAGGTTGTCTTTGGTGCCAAGGCGTGCTTTGAAATCTTATTCGGTGCATCGACCGGGAAAGGAAACAATAAACTTGAAAACGACGAAGACGAAGAAACAGAGTGGGAAGACGTAGAAGACGAAGAGCACGCAAACCTCGATGGACATAAAAATGACGACGCTTCGACTCCAAAGAAGAAGAACGAGAATAATGATAAAAATTATGACCACAATAACGCCGACGATAATGATAACGGAATTTACTTGTGCGAAACAGAAGACAACGCGGCTGTCTTGGAAGACTTGAGAGGATTTTACGTTTCCGCTCGGCTACAACTATTGCCGAAGTTTTCGTCTCACTTGGCCTTTCTTGGTCGTTTCACCAATCACTCGTTACAGGACGAACGGGCAAGATGTATCAACAAACTTGGTGAGGTGAAAAAGAAGATTGTTGATATCATCGAGCGCTGCGACGCGTTGAATTTAATACCACTCGAAAAGAGAAAACAGTTGAAACAAGTTGCAAGCGGTAATGAGAATTGCAAAGAAGAAGAGGAAGAGGAGGAAGGAGAAGAAAATCCAATCGTCCAATCGGGATTGATGCCCAATTTACAAGGCGAAAACGCCTTGCGTCAATCTTCGAACATCAACGAACTTCTCGAGAGAGCGCACCGGCGAAGGAGACGAGCGTACCAGCCTCCTCCGAAGAGGCAGAACGTATCAGCTCTTGCCGTCGAAAGAGCGGCGAAAACGGTCGTCGCGCAAGAAGTTCGAGACCATAACGAAGAAATGCTCGCTATTGCCGGAACGAGAGCGGAAATGGGGATTTGTGAGGAAAATGCGGAACAAATCCTAGAGCAAGAAAGGTTAGCGACGCGACTTCAAGAGGAGGAAGTCCGCGAGTACAAAGAGACGAAAAAACGAAAGAAAGGATCGGTTAAGGATCGAATCACGCAAAAGCTTCGAATGTTGAAACGTTCTAACAGAGCGGGAGGACGATAGAAATGGAGGCAAAAGTATAGATAGATAGATAGATAGATAGATAGATAGATGTGTAGTGTTCGAAAGATTGTAAGATATAGAGGTGTTGTTCTATAAGTAAAGACAACGCTAAAAAAATGTGCGCTTATATCACGCTTTCTTCGTCTTTAACTTCCGTCGTCTCTGATGGAACATGTAAAAATACAGTTGCGCGAACATGAACGGATACACCACCAACACGAGATACAAGAACCACGAATAATCAAACGCAAAGTTTAAAACGTTTGGCATGTGCACGTAATACATCTCCACGCGTTTGACGAAACCGATGGAATCGTACATCAGTTTCATTTCCGAGGCTGCCCCTAAAGGATACAACGGAATGAAAAGCGTGTACCGTAAATAGAGCAGCCACTTTGGAGTGGCATTCAAAATCCCCAACGCATAGCACGGGTACCTCACGCACTCAGTTATAGCCCAACATAAAATCAACACTCCCGCGGCGGTTGTTTTTTGCAAGGGAATAACAGAATCGGTCACGCACATTAAAACGTGCGTCCTACCCATCCATTGCAAGACGCTCGGAAGTACCGGCGATCGAACAAAACCAAATACAGCGTGCAAAGTTTCCATCAGAGATAAAATCTGGAACGGTTTGACGAACATCGACGAGTGGTCGTACACCGTCGTCAATCTCTCCTGCCAATTGGTGGTGCGTCCAAAATTTGATGAGGCGGGCAACAAAACTGCTCTGAGTGCGCTCGCTAAAACTGCGGTCCATCCGAGCGATTGTATCAAGTTGTACAGTAACAGGTACCCGTGTATCAATCCCTTCTTTCTGCTAAAAGTGTTACTATTTCTATTATTATTAGTATTATTATTATTATTACTATTCGTCCCCATTGTTGGTTTTGCCTCTGTTCGCTTTTTTGGCGTGTTAAAAAATTTTGAGGAAAGATGAAAGAGGAAACATTTTTGCATTTTTAGGTCGGAGGAGGTCACAGGCGACAGGAGGAGGGCAGGAGATGGTTGGAAAAAAAAGTTGCCTTTTAAAAAAATTGCGCTTGTATTAGTAATTGAGAGGAGATGAAGAAGCGAGGAGGAGGAGGAGGCTTCGGGAGCAAGCAACCGGCTCTGACGATGGTTGAGAACATCCCGTTGGTTTCTTTTCCCGCGTCATCGTCATCATCGAACGAAGATGATGAAACAGAAGTTGAAGAAAAACGATTGGCTGATGGACCATCATCGATGATGAATCCAACGACAAGAACAACAGTTACGAGAAGACTACAACAGATCATTCGGTTACACGTGAGAGGAATGACGTGTTCAGCGTGTTCTGGAACCGTCGAAGGTGTTTTGAGTTCTATACACGGGGTCGAGAAAGCGGCGGTGAGTTTAACAACCGGACGAGCCGTCGTTGAGTTCGCGAGTTCACTCAAACAAAATATCTCCGACTTTGAGGCGCTTTTAGTGTCCTCCTTAGAAGACGTCGGTTTTGAAGCCGAAGTAGAGAAAGAGACGTCGATCGCGAACATATTTCTATCCGTAGAGGGAATGACTTGTTCGGCGTGCACGTCGGCAGTTGAACACGCCTTGAACGATACGCCGGGCGTCTTGAGCGCTTCGGTCGCGTTGTTGCCTCGAGGGTCGGCAAAAGTTTCTTTCGATTCAACCGCGACTGGACCGAGAACGATTATAAGTGCCGTCGAAGATTGTGGGTTTGAGTGTAATTTGTTATTCGTCGGCGATGGTAAAGAAGGCGGGTCGAAGAAGCGGAAATCGGAAGCCGAGGAGTACTGGTCTTTGTTGATTTCGGCGTTGATGTATACGGTGCCCATAATTTTAATCAACATTGCGTTTACTCACGCCGATTTGCTTAAAAATTTCATCAAGACGCAGATTCTCGACGTGAAAATATCGACGTACATGCAGTGGGCCTTAGCGACTCCCGTGCAATTCGTCGTTGGACGACGGTTTTATACCGGAGCGTACAAATCGCTCCGACACGGCAGCGCAAACATGGACGTGTTAGTCGCCATGGCGACAAATGTGGCGTATTTTGCCTCGGTGTTTACGATATTTCATTGCATTACGATTGGGCACAACTACGGGAAAACGTTTTTCGATACGAGCTCGATGCTCATTACGTTTATTTTGCTCGGAAAGTATTTAGAGTCCTCGGCGAAGAAGAAAACTTCAGATGCGGTTACTAAACTACTCCAACTCGTGCCTTCGGAAACTATCTTATTGACTTTGAACAAAGATGGAACGTCGTACTCCGAGAAAGTCATTTCTGCAACGTTAATCCACAGGGGCGATATATTGAAAGTAATGCCTGGAGCTCGCATCGCCGCAGATGGCGTTTTATTAGATTCCGAGTTGGCCTACGTGGACGAGTCGATGTTATCGGGAGAAAGCATGCCGATAAAGAAATGCGGAAAAGATACCATCACTGGAGGTACGCTCAACGCAGGAGCGGCGTTTCTCATGCGCGCGGATAAGATCGGCTCAGAGACGTCGTTGTTTCAAATCGTAACGCTCGTTGAAAACGCACAGCTTGCAAAAGCACCGATTCAAGCGGCGGCGGATTCCATCTCGAATGTCTTTGTTCCGTTCGTGATCATCGTGTCCGCTTTCACGTTCTTTATGTGGTATTACGCTGGCGCGCAAAATAAATACCCAGAAAGCTGGCTTCCCGAAAACGAATCAAGATTTATCTTTGCCATGCTCTTTGGTATCTCTGTCCTCGTGACTGCGTGCCCGTGCGCTTTAGGGCTAGCAACACCGACCGCGGTAATGGTTGGCACTGGCGTCGGTGCAAGTAACGGTATTTTGATCAAAGGTGCAGACGGTTTGGAACGCGCGGCAAAAGTGAACAAAGTGTTGTTCGATAAAACCGGAACGCTCACGCAAGGCAAGCCGAAAGTCTTGGAGTTGAGAGTCTTTAGTAGTACTTATTCGCAACAACAACTTGCTGAAATAGTGGCCGTTGCAGAGAAAGATAGCGAACACCCGCTTGCGCATTCGTTCGTGAAGTATGCGGATGAAACGACAAAAAGCAACGACGAACCAAATAAAGATAAAGTTATCTCGTCGCAAGTTATTCCAGGAGAAGGTTTAAGGTGTGTCATGGAAAGTGGAATTTCTGTGCACATAGGAAACGAAAAGCTCGTCGGTGGTGCCGAGAACATACCTCACGAAGCGCGGAAATTCGCAGGGGAACACCAAAGCGAGGCGCATACGGTCGTTTTCGTCTCGATTAACAACGCCGTGGAAGGTGTTTTTGCAGTTTCAGATCCAATCAAACCCGAAGCGGCTGGTGTTGTTGCCATGCTAGCTAGAATGCACATAGAATGCGCGATTGTCACCGGAGATAACATCGAAACCGCGAAAGCAATCGCGAGCGAATGCGGCATTCAGAACGTTTACGCTCGAATGTCCCCGAAAGATAAGGCCGAAAAGATTGCCGAAATGAAGAATACCAATCCTGACGCTGTCATAGCAATGGTTGGAGATGGTATCAATGATGCTCCAGCGTTAGCTTCGGCGGATGTTGGAATAGCGATAGGTTGCGGCACAGAAGTTGCCATTGAGGCGGCTGATTTTGTATTGATGAAGAGCGATTTAGAAGATGTCGCGGTGAGTTTGGATATTGCTCGAGAAACGTTTCGAAAAATAAAAATGAATTACATCTGGGCCCTGGGATATAACATCATCGCCATTCCATGGGCCGCTGGTGCTTTCTATTCGAGAACTATGTTTCAATTACCGCCGTGGGCAGCCGCCGCGTTGATGGCGTTGAGTTCAGTTTCAGTCGTGTATTCGAGTTTGAGTTTGCGAAGTTACAAGCGCCCAATCGCGACGTCTCTGAGTGCGATCCGAATTAGCGGCAAAAGTATCGAGCTAGATTCAATCTCTTCCGACTATCAGTAGTTATATATTTCTGTGCAAGTTAATGATTTTTGTGTATGTATTTAGAGCGATATTTAGAGATTATAGTGGTAGTGTATGCAAGCAGTTAGTACTCGTATATTTATATTTTATTCTTCTTCTTCCCTACTTTTTGTTTCAAATCAAGCAAGCCAGGAGGAGGGGTGATTTCAATCAGCCCTTGGTCGACATCTACAACAGGCACGATATCTTTCACGAACGGTATATACACGTAATACTCCACGACGTCGATTTCGACTTCTCCGTTTTTATTCGTCTTCGTTTCCATCTCTGGTTGCATGAGCACCTTCATCAAATCCTTCTCGCCGGCGCCGCGATATATGTCTTCAACCACACCTACAACTTCCCTCTCGCCTTCGTGCATAATCACCGTTAAACCCTCCAAGTCTTGGCAGTAGAACGCATCCTCTTCCTCGATTTCCGCTCGACTTTCTGCCCCGATGTATATGCGTCTTCCAATCATCGCCTCCGCCGTTGTGCGGTCCGAGCATCCTTTAAACTTTACAATCGGTTCTGTTCTTCCTTTACTCGTCACCCATCGTCCGTTGGCGATGCGCATGAACTTCCCCTCCGCTATGGGTCGATCGTATCCGTCGTTTTTCGACGATCTTCCTTGCGCAACATTTTCCACGTACAACTCCACCCCCGGGTTCATAAAACGTTCCTCGATAAAGTCCGTCAGAGGTAAAACTCTGACTTCGCCTTTCAAACCGTGCGCGGCGACGACGGCGCCGACTTGGATTAACGCACCCCTCGCGTCTGCGATTTCCTCGTTAATCTTTTGAGAGATTTCTTCAGCCATGGTTTCTTTGATATCTTCTGAAGATGTTCCCAAGCTGTTCATCAAAAGTGTTCTCTCTCGCGTTTGTTTTTTCCTCCTCCCGTTTCTCGTCGTCTGAATCGTCGTCGTCGTTTTCAAAGTGGGTGGTGGTGGTGATGAAAACGAAGACGAGGACGCGAAGCGATTGGAGTGCGCTCTCTGTTCACACATTGGTCGAAAACAGACGGCGAAAGATTGCATCATCGTGTCGTGTGCACTCTGCGGGTTTGTGTGTAACGCTGAATGCCAAGAACGTGCGGGGGTGGCGGCGAAAGCGAAAAGTGACGTTTTGAGACCAAAATTCTGCATTACACATCACTCGCAAAAGCGGATATTCACTGATGATAAATCATCATCGACGATGACTTATAGACGATGATGATGTCGATGGCTACTGGAGGAGGAAGAGAAAGAGACGTCGAGAAGAAGACAAAGAAGAAGAAGACAAAGAAGACAAAGAAGCACAAAGAAGAAGACGAAGAAGAAACGATGCTTTCGGAGGAACTTTCCGGAACTGTCGTGTTACTCCACGCGAAGAAGAAGAAGTCGACGACATCCAAAGAACCTCCACCTCTTCCGGAAAAGAAACTCTCGAAATCGCAAAAGCGGAAACTTTTGAAGGTGGAAGAGGACAAGAGGAAACGCGCGGGAAGGGAAGCCGTGCTCGAGTCGTTGAAGAAAAACACTCTCAAAGAGGAGGAGATGTATTACTTTGAGAAGTCCTCGACGCTTGGAAACAAAGAGACGAGGAAAGAGAAACTGACGAAACAAATGAAAGCAGAGCGAATGGGGATATCGAGTTATTTACCCGGGCAGAGAGAAGAGCAGGAGAGATTGGCGAAACGGGCGAAAACTGCCAACGAGAAAGACGCGGCGGAGTCTTCCGAGGAAGAGGAGGACGAGGCGCGAGAGGAAGACCGCGCAAAAGCGAAGGAAGAAGAAGAGCCATCGAAGGAGTTAACTGAACAAGAAAAGGTAGATTTAGAAGCACTAGGTGATGTGGACATCATCGAACGGTCTAAGATTGGCGTACAAACGCTCGATGGAGCCACGCGAGCGTTAGTTTCAGCTTTGAGAGAAAAATACAAGCTGAAAGAAGACGCCGCCGACGAACTTGCACTGCAACCGCAGCAGAAATCAGAATATCACGAAGTCTTCTTCGGCAGCGCGTACGCCGTTCCCGTAGAAAGAGATGAAAAAATACAAGAAGGACGCCTTCAGTTGCCCATTTTAGGCGAAGAGCACGAGATTATGAACGCGATTAATACAAATCCAATAAGTGTGATTTGCGGACAAACCGGATGCGGTAAAACGACACAGGTTCCGCAATTCCTATACGAAGCCGGGTATGGAGATCCAGGTTGTGTGGACCATCCGGGAGCCGTATGCGTGACACAACCGAGACGAGTAGCCGTGACGTCGACAGCGAAAAGAATAGCCGAAGAATTGAACGTGAAATTAGGAGGTGATGTCGGGTACCAAGTCCGTCACGATAAACGCGTCGGCGATACGCCTCGGATTAAATTCTGTACCGATGGTATTTTACTTCGAGAAATTCAAGCAGATTTGTTGTTGCGCAAGTATTCAGTCGTCATAGTCGACGAAGCGCACGAGAGATCGGTAAACACGGATATTTTGCTGGGTTTACTGTCGAGAATTGTGCCTTTACGGGCGGCTCTGACGAAAGAGAAGAATAATAAAAACGTCATCACGCCTTTACGTCTTGTCGTCATGTCTGCGACTCTGCGCGTCGAAGAGTTTGTGAAGAATAAAAAATTGTGTCCAATACCACCGGTTGTTATGAACGTTGCGGCGAGACAGTTTCCCGTGACGATACATTTCTCGCGAAGAACGGAAATGGTAGATTACGTCTCCGAAGCGTTGCGTAAAACGCTCGCGATTCACCGCAAACTACCTCCGGGAGATGTTCTCGTGTTTTTGACCGGTCAGAAAGAAGTCGAAGACTTTTGCAAACGGTTAAGAGGGAATTATCCCTTGAAGAAAAAAGTAAAGAAGAAGAAGAAACAGACGGCACATAGGATAACGTCGGAGCAAGGAGACGAGGACAACGACAATCAGGATGATGATGATGGTGAAGAGGAAGAGGAAGAGGAAGAGGAAGAAGAAGAAGAAGAAGAAGAGGAGGAAGAAGAGGACGATGCGATAGGTGATGCGTATGATGTAGATGCCGCCGATGCTGCTGGAGAAGTTTTGAATGATTTCAACGAAGACACGTTCAAAGATGACTTTGACGACGACGACGATGACCGCTCAGATATTTCCGAGGAAGATGAAGTTGTCGTAATGGGCGACGCGCTGACCGAAGAAGAGACAAAAATAGCCGAGGCAGATTGGGCACGAAAATACGCACCGACTGCCAACTTCAAAGTCATCACTGATGATAATACCGATGGCAAAAAGAAAGAAGAAGGAGGTACTGATGAGAGTAACAATCGTGAAAATGACGATGATGGTCCTGGGCCGTTGAACGTTTTACCTTTGTATGCCATGCTTCCGCCTCAAGCGCAAGCGCGCGTGTTTGCGAAAACACCAAAAGGGTATAAAAGAAACGTCATAGTATCCACAAACGTAGCCGAAACATCGCTTACAATCCCTGGAGTTCGATATGTCGTCGATGCTGGACGTCAAAAGGAGAGAAAGTACGAAAAAACTTCTGGCATGTCTCGATTCGAAGTTGGATGGATTTCAAAAGCATCGGCTGAACAGCGCGCTGGTCGTGCTGGAAGAACTGCGCCTGGACACTGCTATCGCCTGTTTTCGTCTTCGCACTACGTAAACGATTTGAACGAGTTTGCTGCCCCGGCAATAACGACTGCACCGGTCGATGGAGTCGTTTTGAGCATGCGCTATTTAGGCATCGACAAAGTGTTGAATTTCCCATTCATCACGCCGCCGGATTTCGAGCAAGTTCGACTGGCTACGCGTACTCTGGAAATTCTAGGAGCAACTAACCAAATAGGCGAGCTTTCGGATATTGGTCGAAGAATGGCACAAATTCCAGTCAGTCCGAGACAAGCAAGAATGCTAATAGCCGCTTCTGTATCGGGCGTAAAAAACTGTTTGATTTACGCGATAGCGGTGTGCGCCGGTCTCGGTATGGATTCACCGTTTTTAAAACACGTCGAAGCAAACGATAGCGAAGATAGAAACGATAGAAACGACGACGACGACGAAGAAAAGGAGATGAAAGAAGGGAAAAAATCGAACGCGCCGCCGCCGCACGTCAAGTTTCATCACGTGAACTCAGACGCCTTGACAGTTGCGCAGTGCTTGTTGGCGTACAACCAGTTTGTAGAGGCAAATGGTCCATCGAAAGCGCACGTGTTTTGCCAAGAAAATCGTTTGCATGAACGCACTATGCGTGAAATGTCAGATTTACGCAAACAGTTGTTCCGGGTATTATCTCGAATAGGTTTGATTGAAGAGGATGAAGTCGCTGAGAAAGTCAGTGTTAGCAAGATTGTTATTAAACCGAATTCGGATTTAGATAAAGCGCTACGAAAGGCTTTGTGTTGCGGATGGATCGATCAAGTCGCTCGACGTTCGAAACAGAAAGAGCTCGAACAGTATGCTCGAGATGCAGAAATCAGAGGCGAAAATCTGGACTCGATGTCGCGAAGCACGAAAGCGTTGCGATACAAGCCGGCGTTTGATTCTTCGAGCAACGGTGGTCTCGATGACAACAGACCAGTTTTCTTGCACCCATCCTCCGCGTTGCACAAAACTGCGTCTGAGTTCATTGTCTACAACGACTTAATCCAAACGCAGAAGCGACCGTATGTGGTTGGTGCGACGACAGTTGAACCGAGTTGGTTGTTGCAAAGTGAGTGTTTATTAGAAGGCATGGATAGAGTATTAGACGACCCGATACCGAGATACGCGCCAAATCGCGATCAAGTCGTGTGTTGGGTAGCACCTCGGTTTGGACCGCACCTTTGGGAGTTACCTCTGAAAGCGATGAACGTGACTGAACTCGAGAAAGCAGTCGGTCCGTTTGCGACGGCGTTGCTTCTCGGAAATGTCTTCCAGTGTTTCGCGGAGATCAAAGACAAGTACGCGGCTAAGCCAATTCTGTGTTCGCGAATTGAAGGTAGAAGTCAACCGAGAGTTCAAAACTTACTGTACGAGTTGAAGAAAAAAGGCGTGTGCACAAAGGAAAAGTTGGCGCGAGAGTTGGCGCGAAACCGCGACTATTTGCGCAAAGAAATCAGCGCTTGGTTGAAAGCCGGTAAACAGCACACTCTAGATAACATTTGGGGGAGATGGAAATAGAATTATAACATAGTCCCCGTTAGAATTGCAAACGAATTGTGATAGTAGTATTATACATTATCAGTAGTGATTTGTTGTACGGCTTTATTAGTCTTCGAAGAAAATTGCTACTTTTATACTTTCCTCGTTCAAGAGGTATACTGATTTAGGAAGAAGAAAGGGGATACTAAAATTATGTGGTACTCTCTCTTGAATTTGAATTTTGAAAACGATAAGAAGGTGTTATGTGTGAATAATGATTAATCTTATATAGCGCAATGAGGCACTTTATTGTGTACTTATGGTGAAGATAAGAATCTTCAATTTGTTTGTTTGATGGTTGTTTCAAAGGCACAGCGTTAGTTAATAACTTACGCACGTTCACCTCTGATTCTTCTCGCCAATTGGACATCCTTCGGCATGATGGTGACTCTCTTGGCGTGGATCGCGCACAAGTTGGTGTCTTCGAACAAGCCAACCAAGTACGCTTCGGACGCTTCTTGCAAGGCCAAGACCGCGGAGGATTGGAATCGCAAGTCAGTCTTGAAATCTTGGGCGATTTCTCTGACCAAACGTTGGAACGGCAACTTTCTGATGAGCAATTCCGTGGACTTTTGGTACTTGCGGATTTCTCTCAACGCGACGGTACCCGGGCGGTATCTGTGCGGCTTCTTGACGCCACCAGTCGCCGGCGCAGATTTGCGCGCGGCCTTAGTCGCGAGTTGCTTTCTCGGGGCTTTGCCACCGGTGGATTTACGAGCAGTTTGTTTGGTACGAGCCATTGTGTTTGATTTATAATGAAGATTTCTTTTGTGTCAAACGATTCATTTGACTCTCGAAAACGGAAAAAAGGTTTGAAATCAAGATTTTACGTTTGGTACGACATCAGATGTATCACTGATTCATATTAATCGAAACTTCTTAAGAGGAAAGATATACTGAATATCTATCGAACAAGCCCAAGCGCGTTCAAATCCGTAAACAGTAACATACCTTTCAGCGCGCTTAATGTCGCCGATTATTTAAGGTCTTGCATTTTCGAGCAGTTGCGAAAAAAAAGGTGCACATTGTACACCATCATTTAGGGTTGTACATTCACAACAGTCGTTTGTATTCGATGCTCACGGAACTTGGAGAGCAAAAGAAAAGCTAAAAAGTTCTGATGCGATAGATATGGGGATGATAGATGGTTACGAGGAGTTATGTTGTATAATTATTTCTTTTAAAACGTGATACGCGTTCCAAGTGATAAGGGATCGAGGTTGTTCTTTTTGTTGTATTTTCTTGTCGTTGATTGAATTTCGTCTTCGTAGCTTTTTCACGCTCGACCTTCTCAAACGCTCGTTCGTGCGACTCGTTTCACTTCATATAGCAAAATTGAGAAGTAACCCCTGCAAAACAGGCCAAAAAACACAAAAACACACAAAGAAACGGACGAAAACGTCCGTTCAATCGTCATTAAAAACAAATAATACATATTCACAATGTCCGGCAGAGGTAAAGGTGGTAAAGGTTTAGGTAAAGGTGGCGCCAAAAGACACCGCAAGGTGTTGAGAGACAACATCCAAGGCATCACGAAGCCGGCGATCCGTCGTTTGGCAAGACGTGGTGGCGTCAAGAGAATCTCTGGTTTAATCTACGAAGAAACCAGAGGTGTCTTGAAGGTGTTCTTGGAAAACGTTATCCGTGATGCGGTTACGTACACCGAACACGCCAGAAGAAAGACGGTCACCGCCATGGATGTCGTCTACGCGTTGAAGAGACAAGGCAAGACCTTGTACGGCTTCGGCGGTTAAGCGTTGTCATTTGTATTCTTTCCGCTCTAAAATTCGGGAACAGTTCAAACAACGAAAAACAAAAATTGAAGATTCTTATCTTCACCATCCATACATCTCGTATAAGATACTCTCTAAACACACACGCACATGACGTACGCGCTTTCTTTGTTTTCTTTCATCTTCATCGCGTAATTATTATACAAAACAACCTTTTAATATTACGCGTATACTATTCTTCTAATACAAAAAAATTTCTAAGAATAACCAACAATAACAAAATCAGCGGTTCAGAAACTTTGGATTGTTCCAACTCAAGACGTCCGGATGTACGCTCTCTCGGACAACCTCCAATCGAAATTTCCATCGTTTACTCAGATTTGCATTCAAAGTCTTTTTATTCAGCTGGTACATGCTTTCCAACGTCGCGAACGTTTGCGCAAAGTGCGGCGAGTTTGGGAAAATACGCATTGAACTCCTGCAATGCATCAGTAAAAGTTTGAATAATTCGACGCCATCCGAGCTCTCATCGTCGCAATCTTTAACGTAGTCTAAAACAGCCTCTCTGGTGACGAATGCCTGCCAATGATCGTCTCGCATCAACGCTTTTCGCATGAATCTATACACTTGAATAGGCGTCAGCAGTTTTTGCGATAACGCAGCTTTGGCAAACTTATATCTCCGCGAATATTTCGTTCGACGCGATTCGTTCCATCGCAACAACTCGTCGTCTTCGGACGCGCTCGTATCGCTTTCATCGCTATCATGTGAATACTCGTCGTCGTCGGAAGAAAAGTCGTCGTCTTCTTCGTACATCGAGGAAGAGGATGAACTACTCTCTCCTTCCTCTTCGTCTTGGTCACTCTTGTGGTGATTTCGACGACGGTGTCTACGGTTTTTCCTGTGGCCATTCTGTATCATCAAGAGCGAGGCATCTATGCTTAGCTCGCCGGTATTTAAATCGAAGAGCTTTTCGAATCCAGTTTCGTTAGAACACGGCATGTAAAACCACCTCGGATCCGTCGGTGGTTTCGCCACGGTGGATATTTTCGCCGTCAGCGATACTTTCGCCTCGTCTTCGCATCGCAAGCAGTGGCATTCGAAACCAAACTGTTTCCTAAGAATACCTCGTCGAATATCTACGGGCACCCAAGTTAAAATCGGCCCCGCGTAGTTAATAGTCAACTCTTCCCCGGCGCGAATATCGCGCAAAGTATAAATCGAACATGCCTCGTCGACCGTGTTTGATACCGCGCAATTCGGATGACAGGAGTGATTAAAATGCTGAGAAACCGTATGCGTGCTCAAAAGTTTGTAATGCACGTAAGAGTTTCGCTTTTCGACGCCACCGAATTGCGTAGGTTTCAAAATATTTCGAACTTGGCCAATTGCGGTCTTCTCGATTTGCTTTTCTACTCTCTCCCACGTTTCGCTCGATATCGAGTACTCATCCTCGTCTTCGAGTTCACCTTCTTTTGCTTTACTACTAATATTATTATTATCACCATTTTTTGCCTTGGCTTGCTTCAGAAGTTTATTCCTTCTGTTTTCCTCTTCTTCTTTGCGCAAAAACGCGTTTCGCGCCTCAACCTCCAACGCTTTTTCCGTCAGACTCGCTTTCGCCGCCTTCAAACTCTCGTACTCTCCACTCACCTCTACTTTCACGTATTCTCTCACGAGCTCTGTAATCGCTGGCACGGTCGTTTTTGCGATAACTCCGACGCCTTTGTGCGACATTTTCTCTCCGATAAACCTCACGCTTTGTATCTTTGACCAGTTTGGTGTCTTTTTCACATTCTCTTTCAACTTCAGCTCGCTCTCGTCGTCCGGGGCTATTTTCCTCGCGTGTCGTCTCCGACTGTCCCTGCGCCTCTTTTCTTCTTGTTCGGAATCGTTATCATCCGAGAATAGCAGCGAGGTTTTCCTTTGCTTCGTAGTATTGGCACCATCGTCGCGTTGTTCATCATCATCGTCCTCTCCTCCTCCTCCCAAGGGTTCCCAGTTTCGTTCATTTCGCGTCGTCGTCGTTTCAACGCTCGTTCCACTCGCCATCTCTCGACGCTTCAACCTTGCGCTTCACTCTTTGCTCTCGTCGCCATTTTTTCACGTTGTTATTTTTATTATACGTATTCTTCTTTGATATTTTGCGAAGAAGAAAGCGTGGTGTGTTCTGTTGCATCCATCGCGTGTTGGTGCGTGTTTTGAGGAGGTGGTGTTCGTGAGAAAAAAGCGAAAAAATGTATGAAAAAGCGTTGCCGTCCGTGTGCACACATCTCTGTTTTTTCAAGAGGGCGCGATTTTTTACGAGGAAAAAAGTCGCTCTCTTCATTGCGCTCTCTTCATCATTCACGACGTTTTTCTTCACTTTTCAAAAGGAAGAGAGAGAGAGAGAGAGATTGATATTTGTCGAGAGGACAACACTTATTATAATAAAAGCACACGACGCGCGCGCGCACAAACAAAAACAACGAAACGGGGAATACATAAAATGTTCAGTTCCCCATTCAAGTCGTGGAATCGACAACACACGCAGCAGGAGGACTCAGAGATGAGAAAAGACGGGGAGAAGTTGTTTGAAGAGAGTAACAACACGAACAACACGAACAACAACAACAACGCGGTGACGTACAAGGCGCGGTTGATGACGTTTTTCGGTCGACGGAAGAAGAAAACTACGACGACGGTTCCTCCGAAGAAGAACGAGAAAGATGATACTAATGGAAAAACAACTCGGGGGGGGAACAGGGGGAACAACGACAAAGAGAACGACGGGGTTGGTAGGAGTCTCATAAACGAGAAAGAAAGAACAAAAACGACGACGCAATCCACAGAGCAGCAGCAGGAAGCGGTCAAGAAACCGATGCAACAAAAGCGCGCGCAAAAGTTGAAGGACAACGTCCAAAAGTCAAAGGAAGAGAACGCCGCGAACGCACGTTTGCGAGAACAGAGAGATTACTTTGACAAAATCGATAAAATGTCGAGTTTGCAAAGCGAGAGCGAGTGTTCGCCTCTGCCGGCGCACCGCGGGACGATGCAAAATAACGCGGGACGAAACATGGAGCTGTCACCGCTCGGCGTGATTAAAGCAGTTGGTGGATTAGAGTTTGACGGCGTGGATGCAAAGAAGGCGATAAAAGAAACGCGCATGGAACAACAACAACAACAACAAGCGAAAGACGAAGAAAAAGAAGAAGAGCAGGAAGAAGAGTTTTCGTTCCCGACGCCGCAGCAACAACCGCACTTTTTGCTCGGAAACAACGCGACGCCATCGCCGGCTTCGCAAGACAGACGAACGGCAGAGTGGTTAGCTTCCTCGCAATTACCGGCAGTCTCGGAACACGCGCTTTTAGAAAGCGTGAGAAACTTAACTTTAGAGGAGAAGATCGACGAAGAGTGCGAAGACGAAAAGGAAGCGCCGTCGTCTTCCTCGTCGCCATCTTCGATAAGGGAGACAGAATCCATCGCGCAAACAAAATCGCAGTCGTACAAGTCTCCGTTTAACAAATCAACTCGTTCGTCGCGACGAAGAACGTCCTCGGTGCACTCGTACCATTCGATTCACGACTATAAACCAGTCTTGGCGACGAAGAACGCGCATCGCGTGAGCGAAGGAAGTTTGCCAAAGGAACAAAGACGCTCATCGCTTGGCGGCACGATACGAAAATCTATAGTTGGTCTCCAAGCTACGGTCGCGAATGCAGATATACAGTCACCACTCGTCGAAATCGAGAACGAAGAAGAAGAAGAAGAAGAAGAAGAGGAGAAAGAAGAGGCTGCAGTTGAAGAGACTGAGGAAAAATTCCTCACGAAAGAGGAATCGAGTGAGCTCGGACCACTCGAGGCGCTTCTCAAGGAATGCGAGCAATCGCCAGAAAACGTCAAGACCGTCTCAGATGAAATTAAGAAAGCGAAAGATCCAAACTCGAAGAAAAATTCGCTCACGATCGAGAAAATTGGAGAAGGAACGTACGGCGAGGCATACATGTGCGACAATGTCGTTTTGAAAGTTGTGCCCATTAGCGACGAGAAGAAGGAGACTAGTGCAAACACGAAAAGAGGTAAAGAAAACGTCGAAAACGGCGCAGAAGAGAAAGAAGGAGAAGAGGAATACCCCCAAATGGTCGCTTCGGAGATCAGAGCGGAAGTTGCAGTCGCAAAACGCTTGACGAAGTTACAGCCGCACCTCGTCGCGCCAAAGGCGAAAAACGTCACGGACGGCTTCGTCCCGCTCGACCGCGTCGCCATTTGCAAGGGGCCATACGATAAATTACTCCTCAAAGCGTGGGAATCCTTCGATTTCCGCAAAGTTTCCGAAAACGAAAACCCGTCCATGTGGCCAAAAGATCAGCTCTACGTCGTCTTTAGCACCAGAAACGGTGGCATCGACTTGGAAAATTTTAACCTTCATGATTGCAAAGAAGCGTTTTCAGTACTTTTGCAAATCACCGTGGCTTTAGCCGTCGCCGAAGAGGCTTGCGGCTTCGAACACAGAGATTTGCACTGGGGTAATGTGCTCTGCAAACGTGATAAGGTTGATTTGGAGAACGACAGCACGAGAAAAGCGCGATTAAACGGCGTCGACGTGACTTTAGACACGTACGGCGTGACTGCCTCGATTATCGATTTCACGCTTTCGAGAGTTGAAATCAAAGACGAGTCTGATGTCGTCTTTTGCGATTTGAGTTTAGATCCGGAGTTGTTTGAAGGTCCGGAGGACGACGCGCAAAGCGAAACGTACCGCAGAATGCGGAAAGCGTTGAACAACCAGTGGGGCGCCAGTTGCCCGCAAACCAACGCCTTTTGGTTGCACTATTTAGCAGACACGCTCTTGACGAAGAAAGAGTTCAAGATGAGCCCAAATCAAAAGCAATCGCTCGGAAAGTTCCGAATGAACTGTTTGCAGTACGAGTGCGCCGCAGACGCGATTTGGGATCCGCTCTTTGCTGGAATGTGGTCCAGCGGAAGGAAATAAAGTTTTTCAATAGAGTGCTGCGAGAGGAACGAAGCGAAAGCTTCTCGGAGCGGCGAGGACAAGAGACTGTGTGAGAGAGAGAGAGAGAGAAACAGAAACAAACAAACACACAAAATACTTAATCACCATGTAATTCTACTATATCTATACATATCATTTCACTCACTACTCACTAACTATTTGCGCGACCTCGAAAGGCGTCCCCCCACTTCTCCTCCTTCGTTTGCGTCTTGGTAAGCACCCATTGCGACTCCCCCGCGGAGTTTATCGTTTTCACTCGCACGTGGAACCGCATGTTCGGTTGTAACTTTTCGATGAAAAAGCTCCTCTCCGTCCCTTCGTATATTGGCATCCACGACAGAGCTCCGAGCGCTTCTTTAATCTCTTTCCTTTGCGGTTCTATCTCCAACTGATAATAATCACAGTAGTTATACTCCGACGTCTCTTCTCCGCATTCCCAAGATACTTTTAACGTTGTCGAAGTTGCCTCGACGCGCACGCATTCAGGCTCTTTGGGAGGCACAGAGTACAAGCGCGAGAGCAAGTACTTCTTCATCTTTCGATACACTGTGCCTATATAATTCATGCTCTACTGCTACTACTACTACTCCTACTCCTACTACAACTACAGGTACGAAAAGAGGATGGATTTTAGAAGATTTTTCAGTCAACAACAACAGACAAACATCACTTTTTTCTTTCTTTTCATCCAAACGAACACAGACGAGAACGAGCGGGCGGGCGGGTCTTTTTGAGACGACGTTCGAAGAGGTCATGTCTTCTTCGAGAAGAAAATCAGAAATAGTCACCTTACAGTTTGGCGAATACGCCAATCACGTCGGCGCGCACTTTTGGAACTTCCAAGACGAGCTGATTGGATTAGCGTCGTCCATTTCCGAACGAGACGAAGACGATTCAGACGACGATTCAGACGACGAGGAGAAAAAGTTAGTGAACCAAAACCGGTTCAACGCGATCGACCACGAGTGCTTATACCGCCAAGGGGAGACGAGACGAGGGGAAAGAATACAAACGCCGAGAGTCGTCGCGTACGACTTGAGGTCGAGTTTAGGCGGCGTCAAGCAGTTGGGGTATCTCTGCGACGAAGGAGATGATTTTTTTTCTTCAACTGTTTCTTCTTTGTCTTCTTCTCAAATTGCGCTGAAAACGTGGACGGGCGAGATGCGAGTGCACGAACAACCGCGAGCGAAGAAGTCGGAATATCTGAGACGATTAGAAGAAGAAGAGGAGGAAGAAGAAAAAGAAGTAAGAGGAGAGGAAAGAGATGCTGAAGAAGAGAAAGAAATAGAAGAGGATGATGATCGAGAAAAGAGGAAGGAGAAGAACGGTCGCGTGGCTGTAGTCGCGGCGGATGACGTTGAAAACGACGGGTCAGATATCGACCGGCTCGTTGAAGCGGCGAAGAAGCTCAAACACGACGCAATGCACTGGACGGATTTTTCGAAAGCGTTCTTTCATCCGAGGACGGTACAAGTTTTGGATGGAATCTTTGAAACGTCGTCGGAGGGAGTGAAAAGCTTCGCTGGATTTGGCGAAGGCGCCAGTTGGGCGATGGAACTCGATCGAAGAGAAAATCTCAGAGAAGACATCAGAAAGTGGGTCGAAGAGTGCGATTATTTGCGCGGGTTTCATGTTTTTGTGGACGATCATTCAGGATTCGGAGGTTTATGCGAAAAAGTGCTCGAAGAGGTGAGAGATGCGCACGGTCAAGGCGTTTCCATTCTCACGTTTTGTTGCCGCAGACCGCGCAACGATGAAGGAAGGAGAAACCATGAAGAAATCAAAATAAACAACGACGGGGACGACGACAATAACGAATTTTTAGAAATCACGCAGAAACGAAACGATGAGCGACGCCTCATGTTAAACGACGGATTATCGCTCGCGCGAATCTCGCCTCTCACGGACGCGTACATTCCTCTGTACGGTTCGCAACCGAACGGGCAACGGCACAGCGCGTATCAAACGTCTGCGAGAATTGCAACTGCTCTCGATACTATCACGACGCCGTGGCGACTTAAATCCACGGATGGATTTGAATCTTTCGTCGGAGCAGAAACTGTGGCAACGTTTATCGGCCGCATGCAATCGCAAGCCAACGCACCCTTCCTCCAGACGTCCATGTTTACGCGAAGAGGCGACTTTGCGTTTGAAGAAGACAAAATATCATTAATGGAGCCGCTTTTTACTTCTTCTTCTTCTTCTTCTTCTTCTTCACAACGAAGAAGAAAAGCTTCAAACGAAAGCGATGGAGAAGATGAAGACGCAGAAGAAGCTTTGGCAGAATCGCACGTCATTCGTGGAGCTCCGTTTGGCCAGTCTCGCCGCGTGTGCGAACAACTCGAGGAACGCCTGCGTTCCGGCCAACGCGTGGCCGGAATACCAATCGGGAGATGTGTTGCTGGTGCGTCTTTACCACTTCCAATGACGTATCCTACTGACGATAACGTCACGAGTAAATCTCCTCTACTCAGCGTTCACGCGATGACGAGACAAACGAGAACCCAGGAGAAGATGCTTTCGGAAAAAGCAAACAACTTTGAGCGAGCGTCTCGCAACTCTGGCGGGAAAGCTATGCTTTCGTCGTGGGGATACGACTTTGACGAAACGTGCGAGGTTGTCGAGCGCATCAGAACAGATGCAAAGCGGTACGTGGACGACGACTTATAGTAAGTAGATATTAGATAATTAGGTGTATACAAGTATATAATAGAATAGACAATCCTCAAGAGCTATAAAAATTTATGTGCGCGCGGATCCAAGGAATTCCAAAGTACAAGGGTGGTGGTGTCTTCTTTTGCCCTCGTATAACGAAAAGATAAGAAGAAATCCAACATTGCATTTGTAATCTTCTTTCCGCGCACACCGACTACAACAAAGAAAATACGATGATCCATCATTTACTTCTTCATTCTGTTCCACGTCGAGTGCGTTTTACCCGCCGGGGCCAAAACCTTACGTCCTTTCTTCATTCTTGCCTTCAAAACTCTTCTTCCGTTTGGCGTCGCTTTTCTCGCAAAAAACCCAGATTTTCTCGCCGTCTTTCTTCTGGTACCACCCAAAGTGCAACCAATGGATCGGCCACCGGCCGTAATGACTAAAGCACCGCGTCCATTACTCGCCGACGGGGTGACTCGTTTGTTGAACGCAAAAACGGACGCGTTCCCAACCGTTTTCTTCGCGGACAAAGACGTGGATGCGGCTGACGTTGAGGTTTTTGAGGTGGAGGATTTCAAGCTCATTCTCGTCATCGCCGCGGTCACGCAACTAGTAGCAGATAAAGTAAAAGCAGACATTATTGTTTGTTTTCTCTAATAAATTTCTTAATTGACTCGATTATATTATCTTAACGCGCGTGTGAATGTCGCGTGGTGTGTGATATGTGATGTTACCGCGTTCTTTTTTTTGACGGAAGATTTCCGAGGGCGTTTTTGGCAATTAGTCCTCTATCCTCTTCTCGTCCCAAAGGCATTTTTTTTACGACACCTCCTCCATCCAAAAACACGCAGAAAGAAGAAAGCAAGAGCAACAACCGACTTTTTCATCATCGCGAAGAAGGGAAAGAGAGTTTTTAATCTTTTTCGGAAAGCGCGCTTTAAAGTTCACACCCGAAGCGAGAAAACCTCATACACGCACACGCAACACAGATAATAAAAATGTCTTTCGCAGTTTCCTCCTTTGTTGGCACCAGAGTCGTCGCCAAGACGAACGTCCGCGCCTCTGCTTCCTCGAGAAGAGCGTCGGTGCAAGTCTTCGCCGAAAGAAAACTTTGGTACGAGTTCTCGTTCTCAATTTTTTTTTTGTAAATCTGCGCTTTTCGAGCGCGCGCGCGGTTGAGAGTAGTGCGATTTCACCTAGATTTCACTCGATCTGTCGACGGAATTGAATGCCGTAGTATTCGACGAGCGTTTTCACAGTATCGGATTGAACGAGTGGATGTCGCATCTCGCCTCTTTTCGCGCGATTGAACATTATTTTTTGCAAGAACCATCTCGAAGCGGAGAAGATACGGAGACGAGAGAGTATCTTTCAACTACAGAAAGGCTGTCGAACGCTTTTCCCAAAGAATACGATTTTTTCCTTTTCTCGCGCGCGCTGGCTGTTGTTCCTTTGATCATCATTATTTGCTGACTATAACGAAATCTCCTCTTCATTCACATAATCATCACAGGTTGCCGAACATCAAGACTCCGGACTACCTCGATGGTACCATCGCGGGTGACTACGGTTTCGACCCGCTCGGTTTAGGCTCCGATCCGGAACGCTTAAAATACTACCAAGAGGCGGAGTTGATGAACGCTCGATGGGCGATGATGGCGGTTGCCGGCATCTGCACGACCGAAGCTTTGGGCATCCAATCTAAGTGGTACATGGCTGGCCAAGAAGACTACGGTTTCCCGATCAACGCGCAGTTGGCTGTTTTGTTTCCGACCATGGGTTTCTTGGAAACGAAGAGAATCACCGGCTGGTTGGCGACGGGCAAGTCTGGCATCAATGAAACGTTTCCGTTTGACCCGTTAGGAATGGGCGCTGACAGTGATTCGATGAAGTTGAAGGAGATCAAGAACGGTCGCGCGGCGATGATTGCGTTCGTTGGCATCTGCGTCCAAGCGTTGGTGTTGAGAGAGGGTCCGTTGGCTGCGTTGCAAGACCACGTCGCGAACCCGTTTGGTAACAACTTAGCGACGAACGTCATGAACCTCCCGATCAACTTGGCGTAAATTTATACACACATAGAAAAAGAGAGAGAGAAAGAGAGAGAAAAGGAGAGAGAGAGAAGGAGAGAGAAAGATAGGGTGCAGAGAGAGAGAGAGAGCAGAGAGAGAGCAGAGAGACAGAGTTATGCTGATAAAACTTGTTGTAACAAACCAAAACTATAGATGCAAAATAAAGAAAGACTTTCGTTACAAAACACACACATCGCAAAACAAAAACAAAAACCAAAATGTCGCCGACGACGGACACTTCTGTCGTCGTCGTCCACTGTAAATTCGCCTCCGAGGACGAGTCGAAGACGATTTCGATATCGTTACCTCCCTCTGTCCCCGCGACGGTTCGAAAAGTGTGCGAGCAATTCTTATCCGAGCGCGCGGACGTTCAACAGTTGATACAAAAGAAAGGAGGCACGTTTGAGGGATTTAACGTCTGCGCTTTACCGAGGAAAGAAGAAGCGACATTAACGACGACGACAACAACAACAATAAAAACAAAGAAGGAAGAAGACGAAGAGGAAAGAAATCAGTCCACCATCAACGGGTTATCCGTCAGCGAAGCGTCGACTGTCTTAGACGATGCGAAAGTGTTACAAAACAACGATCGGGTCACCATGGCGTTGACGAAAGAATATAACTTGAAGAGTTTGAATCCGGTGAGGAAATATACGGTTGGTTCTTTCCACGGGACGAATTTACCGAAATTTAAAAGCGGGAAACAAGCTGCGGTAGAATGGCAAATGCGAAGGACGATCGACGAGGCGAACCCGACGGTAGCCTCTGGATTATCTTTAGTTGGAGGAAAAAGACAAGCGTTTGTCGGCGCGAAAGAGAAAGGACAAAGCGCAAAGTTTTACATTTTGAAAGCGCAAAACACGAACGATTTCTGCGCGTTGCCGATGGAGACTTGGTATAATTTCAGACAGTTGATGTCGAGAAAAGTGCTAAATTTAGAAGAAGCGGAAGAATTGATGAAGAATAAGCAAGATAGGTTGTACGAGACGTCGGCGAAGTTTGTCGGAAGCGGGGCGAACAACGCCGATTTAGACCGGTTTTCGGATTCGGATTCAGAGGACGATATCGTCAATCCAAAGTCCAGACGAAACAAAAAAAGGGGAGACGACACGGACGACGAAGACGAAGAGAACGGTGGGAAGAAGAGAGGAAGAAAGCGAGGCGGCGGCGGCGGGAAGAAGAAAGGCGATGACGAGGACGAAACGAAAGAGAAGAACGAAGACGGCATCGGCGAAGGATGGGAACACGATCAAACGTATTCCGACGACGAAGGCGGAGAAGTCATGGCAACTGCGGACCCGGAACAACAAGAAATAGATAAGCAAAACGCACCAAAACCTCCGACGGCGGATTCCGACGATGAGCTCGATGAAAACGCGCAGAAAATCAAAACGTTGTTAACGAGGCAAAACGCGATTGAAAATAACATCACGGCGGCGGCGATATTCTCGGACGACGACGACGATGATGACGACGACGATATTCCGGAAGATTTCGATCCCGATAAGGAAGAAGTGAACATCGGGAAAACGCGATCCCTGATCGATAAAGTGAAGCAAAAAGAAGTTAGAGATAAACAAGCGGCTAAGGAAGCGGCGGCGGCGGCTAAGGAAGCGACTGCCGAGCAACAGCGAAGAGCGTTAGCGCAGCAACAACAATTGCAGCAAGAACAGTTACAGCAACAAGCCACCGCAGCTTCCCAAGGTGTGAAAAGAACGGCATCGCAGGCTGGCATGACGAGTCAAGAAAACTCTGCTCGGAAATCAGCGCAGCGTCCGTTGTCTCGAGGAGCGAGCGCTCTGGGGGTTGGCGGAGACAAAATCAAAGACGAATCGGCCACAAATCCAGTCGAGAAGATTATTCGCGAACTGTTAAAGAAAAATCCCGGTCGCACGACGATGAAAGACATCACCAAAGCGTGCAGAAAGGCTGGATTGGTAAGTTCAGATGCGGGTAAAGCGCAACTGAAGCAAACGATCGAGCGCATATTGAGATTTAGCCAAACAAGCGACGGCGTAATGGTCGTAGCTTTGAAATGATAATGGTAATTGAATCTGTCTTGTGTTGTATTTATTTGTACAAAGAATTTTTTAGTTCGCCAAGGCGTACGTAAACAACCCAAGCATCGCCCCGCTGATGCAAAAGTTAATTTTCGGTCCGATAACTTTCGCCTTTTCGATAAACACGCGTCTCGCGGCGGTTATGTTCCACCAAGCAAACGCCGCCACCGAGGCGTACGCCGCGGACATTTCGTCTCCACCTTTAAATGCAGCTTGGTACGTCATGGCGGTTAAACCGAGAACACCGCCGACTAACCCGTGCGCGACGTACGTCGTATTCTTCGTGTATCCAACGCCGTGATCTTTAAGACTGTTGTTTATATATTAGTATTTTGATGATGATGATGATGATGATGATGGTGATGATGATGATGATGATGATGCGTTAGTGCGTACTCATCATAACGAGACCGGGAACAACAAAACAAAATTCGATCGTCAACGAGAATTGAACGAAAAAGGTAAATGTGCAAATTCAAATTCATTTTCGCACGACGATACGAGAAGAAGAAGAAGAAGATCTATGTATATATATATTAAAAGCAAACGTACTATTTCGCCGGCATGAGAATGACGTTGGACGCGTACGCCGCGCCTACGATCGTGTTGATTTTCAACACCGTGTTCAGCGTGATGTTCATCATATATTATTTTCTTTCTTTCGTGTTGTGTGTTTTTATATTCTTCGAAATGAAGAGGAAGTGAGTGAGAGATGATTTTTGTTTTTTTTTTGCTCTTCGCGAAGAGCTCGTAAAAACGTGGGGGGTTTGCAGGTTTGACATGAGTAGTGCAACAGAGTTTTCGATGGCATCGCCACCAACAGCACCGAATGTGGTATCGTTCGAACAAATGCCGGAAGGGGCAAAAGTCCAACTCGAATTCGATACCAGCTACGCGAATTTCAAAGTCGAACGGAAAGCGGACGAAATTGGAGACGCGAACTTTCCCTCGAACTTACACAACGTCGCCGAGTTATTCGGTCAATTACACATGTTGAAAAACGTAACCAACTTACACCGATGCGTCGAACGGTTTAAGACAATCTTGAAAGAAGGACCGGATGGGAAACAGAATAATCGCATGGGACAAGCAGCCATCGTGTGTTTCAACTGTGGATGTGTCGCTTTGCCTAAAGGTGGCGACGTTGGGATGGAGTGCGCAAACTGCGGGGAGAAAGAGCAGACGAATAAAGTGGTCTGTAAACGAGAAGATGGATCGATGGTTCCTTGGATTGAAAACGGAGTGAAACCGATGACGGAAGAGGAGAGGAGGAAGAAGATAGAGGCGGACGTGGCGATGGCGAGGAAGTTACAGAGTCTCGATGAAGACGGTAATAAGAATGGGTAGTGGGGAAAGGGAAATGTACTAGCGTAAACTTGCATTAAAAACTTAATCATTCGCCGCGTTCGTATCTTCGCCTTCTCTCCTCACTCTCACCGCTACCACTGCTACTACTACTGCTGCTGCTACTACTACTACTCCTATTGCTGCTCCTATTGCTACTTCTACTACTACTACCACCAAATCTACCACCTTGTTCTCTTCTCCTTGTTCTCTCGAATGGCACGTCTTGTCGTCCTCCTTGTCGTCGTCGTTGCTCCCGTTCTTTGAGCTGTTGCGTTCGTTTTGCTTCATCCGCGTTACCATCCGAGTGATTCACGAACCAATCCGGCAAACTCTCTCCGGACTCCATGAAAGCATTTCTTAATTGTTTATAGATTGGCCCGTTTCCAACCTCGTCTTCAAATCCAGCCACGTATAAGCTCGTCGATGTTCCTTTCTTCCCGGCTCGAGCGGTTCTTCCCAATCGATGGACGTACTCTTCAAAGTCTCGTTTATCCGTCGGCAAGTCGAAATTAATCACGTGCTCGACGAGAGGAATATCCAAACCTCTCGAAGCAACGTCCGTGGCAACTAATAACGATATTTTCCCATCTCGAAAAGCTTCTAACGTTCGGACTCTCGCGCCTTGCGTCAAATCTCCGTGTAGCGCTTCGACTGTAATTTTTTTCTTTAAATCCGAATCCGAATCCGACGACGACGATGACATGGACGATAAACGTTCCTTGAGCCAAATTGCCGTTTTCACTTGTTTGCAAAACACCATCGTTTTTTCGTCACTTTTATTTCTACTTTCTATGGCCTCGAGAAGTAACGGGAATTTATACTCCTTCGGTTCCTTCTCATCCGTAGCGTTTGTTTTGACGACTTCTACCAGTTTTTGCGTCACGCCGCGAGCCAACGCACCAACGCGTCCAACAGATATCCTCGCGCGATACGGCGACGGGCGCGTGTATTTAGAGGCCAAAGTGAGCACTTTCGGTGAAAACGTTGCGGAAAACAAAAGCGTTTGTCGTCCATTCTCTTCCGTTGGAATCTTGCCCCGGTTGCCCAACAAATCTCTCAGTTGCGGTTCAAATCCAAGATCCAGCATGCGGTCGGCTTCGTCCAATACTAACAGTCGAACTTCACGCAAGTCAACGTATTCGTCGTCGCAAAAATCGAGCAAACGTCCTGGCGTGCACACCAGAATTTCCGGTCCAAATGCGATGTGTTCGAGCTGTGGCTTACAATTTTCTCCTCCGTGCGCGCACGCGACTCGGAGACCGGTATCGAAACACACTTTGCGCACGTCCAAGTAAATTTGTCGCGCGAGTTCGCGAGTTGGTGCTAATATAACCACCGAAGGTTGACACGGTGTCGATATTGTCGCTATCGTTTTTGTCGTTGCATCAGTATTGTCCCGTTCCTCCTCGTTCGATGATGTTGAAGTCGTCATCGCCGCACTCTCTCTTTTCTCCGCTTTCCTCTTCAAAGCAATTTCAACAGCCGGTATCGCAAAAGCGAGCGTTTTCCCACTCCCAGTGTGCGCGGAACACACTAGATCTAATCCGCTCATCGCTAACGGTATCGCGTGTTTTTGTATCGGCGTCAATTCGGTGAGCCCCATTCTCTTCTCCACGTTGGTGACAACCGCTTTGTCGTGCACGGCCAAAGACGACTCGCTCAAGCGTCGAACGGCAGTTGGCGACGATATCGTGGTGGACTCTGAATCTACCTTTACCTCCACGTCGTCGTACGTCGTAAACAAATCTCGTCGCTCGTTCTCGACTGTTTCTCTCGGAAATAACTCGCTCTCTTGGTCTGGTAAACATCTCCCGTGACTTCTCGCGCCACTCAAGACCTCCCCGCCAGTCTTCGCCGCTTCTACTTCCTTTAAGAAAAACTCCCTCTCTTCTCGTTTCCGGAGTTTGATTTTCTCTCTCTGCTTCGCCGTCAAAAACTGTTGTTGTTGTTGTTGTTGTCGTTGTTCTTTGTGTTCGCGTCGCGAAGACGAGGAAGACGAGGAAGAAAAGGAAGACGAGGCGTTTATTGTTGTTCTCGTTGTTCTCGTGACGACGGCGCATTCTCTCCGCCTCCTCCTCCTCCGATGATGATGATTTTGGTCGTGATGATGATGACCACGACATCGAGAAGAAAAAGAGCAACAATACCCACCAAAACAACTTTTACTAGTATTATTAGTAGTATTAAGCATCGTCGTCTGAATCGTCGTCATCTTATCGCTGCTCTTATTATTATATAGACTCGCGCGTGTCGTGTGTGTAAATTAGTGTCGACAATTGGGTAGACGCCAAAAAGAATTCTCCAGTTCTCACCCGTCTGTCTCAGGGGAACATGACGACGACAGCAGCGAGTGTTGAGTGGTGTTGCGCGTGCTGTCCAAGCAGTCGTCGTAGGAATAGTAGCAGTAGGAGTAGTAGCAGCGATAACAGAAGAAGAAACAACAGACGAGGATCATCATCAATCTCATCATCATCATCATCATCATCATCATCATCGTCGTCGTCATCAACGACGTCAAAGACGAATTCGAGAAAAAGTGATAAAACTCCTCCTCCTCCTCCTTCTCCTTCTCCAAATTCTCCGAATTCTCAAACTCCGTTTGTAAAAGTGGACGCGAGAGTGTTCATCGTCGGCGCGGGCGTTGGGACGGGTTCTATACAAAACTTAACCATCCGCGCGGCGAACATCTTGAAATCCGCGGATGTGGTCATTTACGACGATTTAGGCGTCGATAGCGAGGAAACTTTATCTCTGTGCGGACAGAAGTGTAAGAAAATATACGTCGGTAAGAGAGGCGGGAGAGCGGAAAAGAACACGTCGCAAGCGGAGATTAACAGTTTGTTGGTGGAGTTGTCGGCGAGCGGGAGATATAAACACGTCGTCCGGTTGAAAGGCGGAGACCCGACTATATTCGGTAGACTAGGAAACGAAATAGAAGCGCTGAAGCGAGCAAAGATAAAGTACGAGATTGTCCCGGGAGTCTCGAGTTTAGTCGCAAGCGCAGCCGCGGTAGGAATGCCGCTCACGGAAACCATGCGAGGTGGGAAACACTTCGCGTGTATTTCCGGCCACGACGCGAAAACAAACCCAGACGCGTTTAGAGATTTAGCCGACGTAGATACGGTCGTCGTATTCATGGGCGGAAAGAACATCGCGAGCGTAGTGGACGCGCTTTTAATGAACCCAACGTTTGGTAGCGAACAAGCAGCCGCGACGACGAAGAGTAGAGGTAGCAAAGCGACCGCGTCTTCCAAGAGAACGAAAAGCACGCCGTGCGCCGTGGTCAGAGACGTAGACGGCGCGAAAGAAAAACGATGGTTAGGTACGCTCGGCGATATCGTCGAGAAAACCGAAGGCGAAAAGTTAAGTCCGTGCGTTTTCATCGTCGGAGAGATTTGCAAATCCGCCACCTTGCACGAGCGTAACGTTTACTTGTGATGAAAGAGAAGAAGAAGATCTCGTAGTAGTAGTCTCAGTCGTCTCTCTCGCGTGATATTTTTAGCTTTTTATTTATTTTTGATGAAAAAACTTTGATTTAAAAATACACGAAAGGCGCACACTTTATACTAATAATACTACGCAAAAGTACGTTTACTCTTCCTCGCGGAAGGATGCACGACGACGACTTTGACGATGAAAATCATCACGGTTCAACAGAAAGACTGTGCAGCGACTCAAATTTCGCCCCGCGAGCTCGACAGCTCCGCGTTTTCGCCGAACGTAAAAACAGAACGAACGATTTTCTTCGCCAACTTCGCGCGACGAAGACACCAGCGGCGCTTTCGTCGCCAGTGAATTCGACGAGAAAAAAAGAAGAAGAAAACAAAGGAAAGAAGTGTACTTCGAAATGGAGCTCGAAAGCGAAAGCGAAAGTGGACACGCGACGACGACGCGAAAAGAAGCGCGAGCTCGATGAGTCGAAGGAAAAGAAGAAAAAGAAGAAGAGCGTCGTCGAAAACGTCGTCGTCGTCGACCACGCCGTTGAGAAGGAGGTGGAGAAAAAAATCGAAGAAGAAAAAAACGCGACAACAATGTCGTTGGATGACGACGACGACGACGACGAAAGAGAACCGTTGGTGACTCGAAGAGCCAAAGAAGCGGTGAACATGTTGAAATCTAATCCGGTGTCGCCGAGAGAAAACGTGGAACGGTATTACGAGTGCATAGAATTATTACGCGAACGGAGGAAACGCGCGGCGAGAGACGCGTTTCAAAAAGCAAAGAGTAAACGAGAGGAACGGCGAAAGCGAAAAGAGGAGGAAAAGGCAGCGAGAATGGCTGCTCTAACTACCGCAGCTGATGGAGATTGCGGGGACGAGGGATGCAAGGACGAAGAAAGCGCGGAGTCCTCCGATAGCGACGAAGGCGAAGAAGACGAGGAAACGCGGAAAAAAATCTTCGAGAAGGAGCTACAGTATGAGTTTAAAACGACTTGGAAAGATATCGCGCACGAATCGAAAGACATGATGAATAAAGAAACACAAAGAAACGCGATTAAAAGTTTAGAGTTGGAATTGAGACGCGCGTACATTTCCGCGCGATTGATTTTCAAGCATTACGCGCTTTTGACGAAACCGTTCGACGAAAATATCGGCGCCGCAGAGCTCGGCTCGATGACGCTAAACGATTGGTTCGCGTTTTTGAAAGATTGCGATTTAATCGGGGCAAACTCAGTGGATGGAAATAATAAAAAGATGCTCAAAAGTAGCGCCGAACTGCTCTTTATTCGATTGAACTGGATTACCGATGCCTCGGGGCGGAAGGTGAAAAACGCAGACACGACGACCAACTCTGATAGATCTTTAGTTATCACGGAATTTTGTGTCGGTATTCTCAGACTCGCGAAAGCTTTGCGTCCGAAGAAGTTTAAGAACGAAATGTTATCGGAAACTCTGGCGAGATTTATGAAAGAACGCATCATTCCTCGCGCGAAATTCGTCGATGTCGAGCCTTTTCGTAGCCGCATGCGAGCGAAGCGAGTTCGTAAAGTTCTAGAGAAGAACGAAACTTTAATCACGCACGTGTTTGAAAAATACGCCGCGATTGGAACCTCGACTTCTATCGGAGCCGCCGGTCTGCGAACGATCGATTTGAACGAACTCGTCGGATTAGTCAAAGATATGGTCGCTCACGTCGCGCGTTCGCAACCAGGAGTTCACGTAAAGTTTCTCGTCATCCAGCGCTGTTTCGGATTGAGTCAGAAAGAAGTCCTCGGCGAGGACGCCGGGGAAATCGATCGAGAAGAATTTGACGAGCTCGTCGGTAGGTTGGCGGAGGAGTTTTACGACGGAACGTGTTTTTCTTTCGCGACGACGACGACGAAGACGACGAGTGAAGTGAACGATATCACCACTACTACGTTTACCTCGTCCTCGCTGGCGGATAAAATTTCTTGGTTCATTGAGACGCATCTCGCGCCCGTGTATTGATTGATAGATACCTTTTGATAGATTGATAGATTTGTGATGATGTGAGAGTATGTTGTGTGAGTAGTAGTAGTAGTAGTATTTTTACGATCGTGTACTGTGCTCGTGTATTTTTTGCTTTTGCAGAAACCAAACAGCTGCCCAAAAAACAAGCCCAAAACGAGAGGAAGGAAAAAAAAGAAAAAAGTAGGGTCGGAGGTTGAAAATGTCATCACATACTAGCACGCACTCGACACACAGGAAAGATGTCTTCGCAATCCGTGCAAACTTTCGGACGCAAGTACGTGTATACTATTAGTAGCTGAATCGAATCGAATCGTTCGAGACGCATTTTGTCGTTCGCGAATGGTGGTGAAACCACCTTTTCGCGCGCATCATCTCATTTTTACAACGCAGAAAGGCTCCGCCTTTTGTAGGCGGAAAAGGTGGAAAGGACGATGCGCGCGAGAATTCGTCTCGTTTTAAACGCACACGCGACCATCGCATTCGAACTATGAACTTACCATCGCGCGTTTTCTTTTCTTTTCTACCCGTTTACCTTTTCAAACAAACAAACAGAAAAACTGCCGTTGCCGTCGCGCACGTCAAACAAGGGAAAGGTCTCTTGCGCTTGAATGGGTCGCCCATCGAGCTCGAGAAGACGGAATTACTCAGAACTAAAGCTTTGGAGCCGGTGCTCTTGTTGGGCAAGGAGAAGTTTGCCAACGTTGACATCCGCGTTCGCGTGAAGGGTGGTGGTCACGTTTCACAAATGTACGCCGTGAGACAAGCGATTGCGAAAGGGTTAGTGGCGTACACTCAAAAGTACGTCGATGAGGCGACGAAGAAGGAGTTGAAAGACGCGTTGTTGCAGTTTGACAGAACGATGTTGGTCGCCGATCCGAGAAGAATGGAACCGAAGAAGGCGGGTGGTCGTGGTGCGAGAGCGAGATTCCAAAAGTCGTACCGTTAATATATGCGCACGTGTGTATGTTTACGCGTACGAGAGTAAGTAGAATTTGAACCTTAGCAATCATAGAGAGAACCAAAATATTAATATAAAACGCAACTATTCACACGGTGTTTTGGACGAAGACGAAAGAAGAAGAGAAAGATGTGTTGTATTCATCATCATCGACCCCGCGTAAAAACGGGTTTGCGCAGACCAGCAGGCACAACCACGCTTCTTGGTGGAACAGTCGTTTTAGTCGTTTCGTCCTCCAATAGCCCCACCACTCTGTCTCTTTTTTCCAGCGCTCTCTCTGCCTCTCTCTCTTTGTTGTTTGTTGTTGTGGGAAGCTGTTATTCGTTGTTGGCTTTTTTCTTCACTTTTCAATCTCTTCAGAACATCATGGCGCTGTTAATGAGACGGTCGTGCTGCTTCTTCTCCTCCTCCTCGTCCTCGTCGTGTTCGTACTCCTCCTCTTCGTCCTCTTTTCGACGAGCAAAAGCAGTCGTCGTTGCCACCGTGAGCACCACCACATCGGGTGGGAGTTTTAAAAGTCGTTTCACTTCGTGTCGGCGAGAAAATCATCAGCCTCCTCGCGGAAACAATTTTTACATTCATAACAACACGCGCATAAACAGAAGAAGACCGACGAGAACGTTTGCGTCTCATAACGACGAAGAACGAGAAGATGACGAAGAAGAGGAAGAGAAATGGTCCGATTTGCTCGAGCAGTTCGATAAAGAAGCCGTCGTGATTGCAGACAGAAACAAAAAAATCATCATCCCACCGCATAAAGTGGCAACGTTGGAACGAGCGTTAGCCGGCGGGAGAAGGACGTTTCGATTGAACGAATTAGCGAACGATTTAGGATTGGAGAGACGAGACGTGACGGCGTGGATGAAAGAGAACCAACACAGACAAAAAGAGTTGGCAGAGAAGTATCCGCAGGAACAGTTTCGAAACGAAGATATAGACGAAGATGAAGTCGTCGGGTTGTTATCGAACAGAGCGAAAGAAACGGTGAGGAGAGACAAATTGCACGACGTGAAAGCGCCGGTCAACAAAGGGAAAAAAGACGGGGGTCCAGGTGGGATGCCGGCGTACAAAGGATTTAAGAAAACGAGACTAGGCGCTTCAAACGTGGCGACGTTGGAGAAAATATGGGAAACCGGGAACCATTACCCGGACGACGCGACGATTCAAGGAATCAGAGACGCGACGAAATTACCGGCGAGTAAGATTGTGAATTGGTTCAAAGAGAAAAGAGACGGGGCGAGGAGTCAAAGACACCGAGACGCGAGGAATAGACAAGCGGAAAAGGAAGGCTTTGAAAGAGGAGGACGAAGACGCGAAGGAAGAGGAGGAGGAGAATACGGGAAACAGAACCACAGAAAACAAAGAGACGTCGTCGAAGATTGGGGAGATGATTACGAGTAATACCCGTCTGTATATGCATACTAGTATGTTCTATTAAATATATATCACTGCTACAACTACAACTACCAACTATTACGTGATGCTCACATCACATTTGAACTGCTCGTAATTCGATTTTGCCCTCCTGGAAAAAGAAGCACTTCGTCGCCTTCGTCGACGTCTTGAGCGGCGTGAAACGAATTGCTCACATTCAGTTCCACTCCATTTTCTTCTTCATCCTCGTCGTCGAATGTTGTCCTGTGTACCGCGCGTACGCTGACCGCAAATCTGGCGCGCTTTAATGCTTGCGTTGTTTTCCATAGCGCGTAGCACGTGCTTCCTAAACATACGAGCGATAACGCGAGCGCGACCGTGAGCGATTGAATCCGATACTGGTCGTTACTGCTTGATGCGACTCCCCCTTCCTCGTCGTCAATCTCAGTAAACGTCAACTTTTCACCACCAATCCCGGTTCCCATTTTCCTAGTCTCGCATTTGTTTTCATTCTTGACGAACACGTGCATATCAACTGCTACATAAGGGTTCTCGCTCTTATCTTGATCTGTTCGACAACTCGAAGCCGACTCGCCATCGCGCATCGACCAGTACGTATGATTCAAATCTGTGGTGCCATCTGGATGAACGCACGCGTTTCTTTCCCATTTCCAACTCATGTGCGTATCGTTGTGCACGATTAAAGAACCCGCGCCGAAAGAACCTTCGCGAAATGCCGACCAGGACGGTTGCGGAGTCATCCAGCTCGAGCCGTATGGTCCTTCGTAGTTTCCTCCGTCGCCGACTACTATGTGCGTTATGCCGCACTCGTCGCGTTGATTGTTATATACTGGATAAGAACGCTCGTAACTGTGCACGTGCCCATTCAAGGCAACATCGACGCCAAATTTGTATAAAATCTGTTCGTACTTCAGACGTTGCGGTTCATTCTCTTTGTAATGCGCAGAGTTGGAATTATACCACGGCGCGTGAAAGACGGCGATAATCCAAGGCGTCTGTTTTCTATTTACTCGCGCTAAATCGTTCTCGAGCCATGTTTGAAATGTATCAGCTACGGCGCCATCGAACATTTGTGTCGAGACGGAAGAGTAAGAATCAATGTGCACGACGTGCGCCTTACCGACGTTGAAGGACCAGAAATTTTTGGAATACGAGGCACTTCGTCTCCAAGGTGTCTCGTAGCGTTTCTCAAAAGCCGTATATTCTGCGCCGTTATTCACGACGTCGTGATTCCCGCTCGCGATGACGACTGGAACCGAACTAAACAACGCTTCAGATAACTCAGCAAAGGAATCCCATCTAGGCGCGAAACCATCGGCGTAGGATACATCACCGGTATGAATCACTGCGTGCGGTTTCACCACGTCTTTCACGTGCTGAAAAACTTTCTTCGTCACTTCGGTTTGTCCGGTATCTCCCATGACGGAGAGTATTGTTTCTCCTTCGTTGGTATTACTACTGCCGCGTTTCTTAAACGATCTGTACTTTGTTTCTCCATTCTCATCCTCGTCGTGCGGTAACACATACACGCACGCATCAAAGCCTCTTTCCTTATTGAAATCTTTAATCTTCGCTTTGTGTATAAACGGACTTCGATACCACCCGCCGTTGGCGTTTGCGTACCCCAAACACACCGTCTTTTCCCACGGTTTCTCCATCGTGAACCACGCATCCGGCACGACGTCTTTAAAACTATTCACGACGTTATAATTCGACGCATCTCTATCCGCCCAACTCGACGTATTCGCCAGCTTCGCTAAAACGTCTCTCTTCACCGGCGTTTTCGGCCCGCCCATACTCGGCGCGGTTAAACTCGTCGCCGACGCCAAACACATCTGCTGCGTGTACGAAGACGACTCGAAAACTTTACCTATATGCCACGTTGTTTGCGTCTTCGAAGAGACCACTCTGTCAATCACATCTTTCTCCTCTTCGTCTTCAGAGTTTCTCTTCGCGCACGCGTATCTCACTTCAAAGTCTTCCTCTAAAGGCTCTCTCGTCGTCCACACGACGGTGACTTCCTCGTCTCCGGATATCGACAAGTGCACTTGCTCTGGTTTTAAATGGGTTTCATCTTCTTCTCGTTCATCAGCAAAAGCGATCAAACGTCTTCTTTCACTTCTTTGTATTCTTCTTCGCGTTGGTTCCAACTCGACCGGTGCTGACGCGTATTCCGGTCTCGAATAGAACGACGTCCTTCTTCCGACGATGATTTCGTCCACGCTTTCGTCCACGGTTTCAAAGCCAGAAACACCACCACGCATCATAAAAAGCGCCAACACCAACGCGCGTGGAAAACGGCTTTCAGAGGAGGAAACTACTGAGGCGCTCGTTCTTCTTCTTCGGTCGTTCGTCGTCGTCATCATGCGTGTGAGAAAATATTCCTTTCTTCTCTGTTGTTGTTTAAAAATCCACACAAAAGAGCGGCTGTTTTTGTAACGAACTTTTCTTCTGCGATGAGAAGATGTCGACTCAGATGTTAGACGATGACGACATATGGGACAACAAACACGAAAAACGCAAGAAGGAACAACAACGAGAGCAGAGAAGACGACGAAAAAGTTTAGTTTTGATTCTTTTAACGCTGTGTCTCTTTCTTCTCGTCTGGTACGTCGAGCACAACGAGAGAGACGCGTTTTACGTTCGGGAAATCGATGATGATGTCTTCGACCCCGAGGACGGGAAAGGAGGAGGAGGAGGGTGGAAACGGTACGCCGTTCCGGCGCACGAAGAAAAAGAGGAAAACGAATGCACGATCGATCGATGTCACATCCGAGACCTTTCCTTGGCAAAATTTAATCGAAAATACCGAGAGAAGAAACCAGTCGTCGTGACGTTCGACACAAAATTCGATGATGAAGAAGAGAAAAACGAGAGGGAGAGTGATTTTTTTTACGAGATGAATAGGAAGGAAAATGTCTTGAAAACGCACGGCGAGAAAACGATTGTTTTATCCTCCGCGAACACGTTTAGCTACGAGAAAAAAGAGGTCAAGTTAAAGGACTATTTGGACGAAAGAGGAAAGTATTTGAAACCAGTCCAATTGCATCAAAGAGCGGATAAGATTTGGTACTGGTTCGGCGATAACGACCACGACGCGTTTGGCGATTTTTTCCCTTCGTTTAAGAGGACGTCATTGATTGGGAAGAAATACGTGCCGGATAATGCGTCGGTGGCGTATTCGTACGGCGTGGGAGGGCCGTTGTCTGGAGTGCCGTACCACATCCACGGACCGGGATGGTCGGAAAGTATTTACGGAAGGAAAAAATGGTTTCTGTCCCCGCCGATGTTTGAACCGGTATTTAACGGGAACGAAACGGCGGCGAGAGCGGCGATGCGATTCAAAGCCAACGGGAATAAGGCGAAGTTTAAGATGAAGACCATGAACATGAACGGTAAAAACGAAAATAATAAGAAGAAGAATAAGAACGGCATCGATGTGGATAAATACGGAAACGAGAAGAAAGTGCTCGCGTGCGTGGTTCACCCGAATCAAGCCGTATATTTTCCCGATAGATGGTGGCATGCTACATTAAATTTGGATGAAAGCGTATTCATAAGCTCCTTCGTCAACTACTAATATTAGTGGGTGTTAACAGTAGTAGCGATAGGAAATAGGAAATAAGTAGTAATAAATATAGTGACACGACCTTTCTTTTATTTAAAAATCCTTTACTTTTCCGTGAGTGCTCGGAAACCGCTCCAATCGTTCGGCGCTCGATAGTTTGTTCGTTCCATGACGGCCAAAAGACTCTTCGTAGGTCCATCTTCAATCTCTTCTCCGTTATGCGAAACTCTTTTTTTTATTTTTTGAAGCAAATTCCTCGCTTCGTTCCATTCGCCGCGTTCGTATTTTTGAAACGCACGTTCGAAATCGGTCAAAAACTCCTTCGAAACGCGTTTTCGCATGAGCGCGACGTCCGGATGTTCCAAGAAAGGATTCTCGTAGAGTTGGAACGAATTCGTTTCGTCTTCGTAAGAGCGGCCAGATAAAATCTCTTCTTGCGTCGGCACAGGAATTGCCTCTACATCCACGTCGCACGTGTATAATTTCAACGGCTGCTCCGAACCTTTCACCGTCACGTGGTCTATTTGTCGGCATTTCGTTCTCGTGCTCTCGGATAAAATGTTCGCAAACTGACCGGTGAACAACAGAGGCGTTTTAAATTGTTTTGTCGCCGCCTCTAAACGCGCAGAAATGTTTACGTTCGGTGATAAATAACTCGCATCGACTTTGTATTCCGAGCCAATCGCGCCTTCAATGGCCCATCCGACGTGTAATCCAAAACCCATTTGCGTTTGGAAATTCGGCATGCGTTTATTCAGCTTCTTGTTCGATTTATACGAGGAAAGTTTCGCGCTTCGTCGTAAACCAGCCATGACGGCTAAGAAGCTCACTAAAGCACCGTCGGCGATTTGCTCCAAAACAAAGAGCTTCTCTTCGTCCTTCAACAGTCCTTCGCTCGCTAACTCGACGTCTCGTGTTGTTATATTCGGAGGAAACTTCCACACGAGAAGGAACGCGTCGCCGATATTTTTGTTCGCGCTGCCTCCGTGTAAGTGCGCCTCCATGTGCACGATTTTACCGATCGTGTTTACGTATTCCATGACTTCTTCTTGCAAAACTTCCGTGGAATCTGTGAATTGGCGAATGTCGCAAAAGCCGAAAATAGCGACGACTTTCCGTCCCGGAATCATCGGATTAATCTCGCCGCCTCTCTTCATATTTTCCGCGATGACTTCCGTCCCAGCCTCGCCGAAACCGACCGATAATAACGAACAGATTCGCGCGATACTATTTTCGAGCATTCGCGTTTCCAGCTGCTCGCCTTCAGATTCTAATTCGTCGTCGTGTGGCCGGATAGAAAATTTCGTCAGCGGATTGGCTGCCATGGCTTGAACTTTTAAAACCATGCGTTCGATTGGTCGCAAGACTAACACGTTAGCGTCTTTAGAGAATAAGAGCGCGCCAAGGAGCAAGACGATGCACACGAAGATTGTTTTTGCAATGTTCAACACGGACTGCAACTTGTAAACTTTCGACACGTCAAAGAACGCGAAGGAGAGCTTATCGTACTGTTCGTTTTCGCCGTCACCAGAGTACATGGCGAACTCAAACGCCTCGCACCTCAGTTTCGGATATTGAACACCGGAAAGATTCAAATATAAATACGACAACGGGTCATCGTCATTCAAGGCTCCGATAGAGTTGGAAAAGTTCCCATTTTGTTCGTAGGAGGTGCCGTTGATGACCAATCGATACATTTTTTCGCCCGTATCTTCGTAATATCGATTCAGAGCTTGAAAAAATCCAAGTCTCGCTTGGTCGTCGTTGGGGTCGAATCGCGCCGAGTCGTGGACGATTTTCAAGCCGCCGTCGATCAGAGTGTTCGTTTCGCCGGCATCGAAGAAATCTGCCGCAAAGATAGGCATCATGAATAACATCAATAGAACACCAATTATCACGCGTCTCGTTGAGAGCTCGGAAAGTCGCTCTCCGACTCTCGATTGCTCCAAATCGTCGTCGGACATGTCGTCAAACTCTTCCGCTTGCGTCAGCGAGTTCTTCTTCACCAGGGGCGTCTCGAAATCACCACCACTTCCTTTTGCGCTAACTCCAGTAGACGAAGAGTTCACAGACTCTAACGATTGCACGGATGATTTACGCACCTGCAACATTTCTTCCCGAATGTCTTGATTGTGAATTGATGACGAAATTGACGACGCAGATGAAATCATAGAACTTCGAGCGATTGAAGCCCGTCGCTCCTTTTGCGCTTCTGCGTTTTTCTTCTGTTGCAAAGAAGAGTACAACTTTACGACTCGAATCAATCGAACGACGCGAACGAGTCTTCCTGCTCTCGTCCCCGCTCTCGATGCTCTACCTGCTCTGGCGATATCACCAGAATTCTCCGATTTCGTCCCGTATCTCTCGTCGTACGCTTCGCCTTCCAGACCGGTGCCGTACGAATCCGTTCCTTCGCACGGATCCATGCCGACGAATGCCATGAACTCGGGCACGTCCATAAACAGAGACAAACACGCGACGACGTCCAACCAAAAGTAAAAACCAAAAACATACTTTTTGCCTTTTGCAAAACACGACATGGTCGTCTCCAGCGCGAACAAAACAATCAACGCGATCGCGACGCCGACAAAAATCTCGTCGTACTCCATCGGAAAGGCCAACACTCGCACGTCGTCGCCGAACAACGCCCAAATAGTCGCCAGAGTCATAAAGATAGAAGTACATTTGTTATCCAGAATCTTTCGACAGACTTCTTTCCCTCGTCTCCGAAACGTGCGCCAGGAGGAAAAGTGAGATTGGGAATAATAGGAGGAAGAGGAGGAAAGTTTTTGATGCTCTCGTTCTTTTTTCTCTCTCTTGAGGTCCTCCTCTTCTTCTCCTCCTCTTTCTCCTCCGGTTGTGATTTCCACCATGGACGCGCGCGACCCCAACGCTCTCCTCGTAAACGACGACATGGTATTCATCGCGTTTCTCTTACTCTTTTGTTTCTCGTCGTGGTCGTCAACGGTTTTTTCTTCGAGTTGCATCGCATTATTCACTCTTTGGTCTTCGAAACCACCTTGCGTGGACGCGTCGGCGAAAGTCACCGATCTCCTGCCTCGAGACGTCGACAGACGTTTAATCGCATCGTCATCGATATATTCTTGTTCTTGGACCGACGGCGTTTCGACCGTCACCGCGCGTAAAGAGGAGTCCATCTGTGAGGAAAAGAAAACGAGAGAATATCTAAAAATAAAAAAAAACGTTTTTGTTCGAAAAAGAAGCGTTTTTGCTTTTTTTCCTTTTCCTACGAAAACTTCTGCTCCTACCACTACTCAATCTACTTTTTTATTACATGCGCTATGACTAATGTATTCTGTTTCTGACGTGATGTTCGTTGATCAACTGCAGAGTGATGTTGGTGACGACGTGGGAGAGCATGGCCCCGGATGGAGTGTCCAACGCGCTCGCCTCGGCGTGGTCTCTGACGTCTGGATCTTCGCACGCGACTTTCAAACATCTTAACACGGCGTCGGCGCCGAGAACTTCGCCGGCGGACAACGCCAAATTTTCCAAGGATTTTGAAAGCGCTTTGATGTTTTCATCGTCCGAGAAGACGTCTTGAATGAGTCGGACGAATAACGCGCGGGAAGATTCGATGACGATGGTTTTTGCCGCAATCGAAGGGACGGCTTGTAACGCTAAAGTCATGTCTTGTCGAGTGGAGGAAGGATCGCAACATTCTCGAGAGACGTTTAAGATTTCGTGGCTGGTGAGAACGTCGTCGGTTGTTTTCGGCGTGCGAGGAGTTTCCGGTTGTTCGTGGTGGTTTTCCTTCAAGCGATGGATGGGAGATTTTGTGTTTGTCTTTCCACTTCGAGAAGAAGAAGAAGGATGTTTCCTCGAATCGTCCTCGTCCATTTTGTTGCCTTCTCCATTTTTCTCGGCGAGGAGATTCTGTTCGTGCATTGCCATCGCCGCCGCCACGTGTCCAGTCGAAGCGCGAGTCATTTCTGCACGTTGATCGTAATTTCGCGTCGGGTCCAAACCGAGCAAGTCTAAACTCTCGAACAGTTCCATCAACTCTGGGTCCTCCGAGAAGCAGTTAAATTCGCTGTCCAGCAACCCCGAGACGATGGCTTTAGCACATATTTTCTCATCTTGAGCTTCGCGTTTTCGAGATTTCCCGCTTGGATTGTAGAAGAAAATCGCGTTCACATCGCTCGCATTGGATATTTTCGGGTATACTTCTTCGTCGTACAACACTTCTTCGGAATCCGAGTTTGCTTCTAAAGAGTGTTGTTGTTTCAAAAGCTCCAGTTTCGATGGCGGTTTCGGCTTTACTTCCTTCGCCAATTTCGCGAGGATTGCCGCTTTCTCTTCGATATTTGCCGCGTGCGCGTTGCCAGAAACGACGACAGACGACGAAGACGATACCATCGGTTGCTCACTCGTATCCACTTTACATAATTCGCGAACCTCCTTTCGCTTCGTCGAATCTTCATCGCTCGAGACCTCGAAGCACCAGACAATCGAACCAACGCTAGATTCTGCTTCAATCGTAGGTTCAGTCGCTGATTTAGTGAGAAAGAAAACAGATCGCCCAGAAACTGCAAAATCTGAAAAACCAGACGCGAAATTTCCTCGAGCAATTGTTTCTGGTTCGCGCAAAGGAAACCACTCCGCGACGGTTGCGCGCGCAACGTCTACGATGGCGACAGATTTTTGTGCCACGGATAAACACATTCTGTTATCGTCACCAAAGGGCGTCAACGTACCAAACTCGAATCGCTTTTGCATGCGTTTGATTCGGTCTGAATTCGACTTAAACTCGAAGCAGCTTTCGGGATAGCCGAGGATGGTCGGCGTCGTTGGCCAAGGAAGATCCGGGCGTAAAGTCGCAACAACATCAACTTTTGGAACCACCTCATCACCTTCGTTGACTTCGACGGTTGTTATCCATAGTCGTCTTCCCGGTCGCGAACAAAGTGCCCACTCTCGTTTCTTTTCCACTCCTTCTTCTCCGTAGTCCATACCAATCGCAGATTTGCACATCTCGTGAAAGCATGCGCCAAACGAACCGTCTCTCGGTTTCGTTCCAATCACCTCTTGTTCTCCTGAATTCACCGCCAATACGCTCGCCTTTGAACGCGAGGAAAGTAAAGTCGATAGATTTGATTTTGAGCAATCAATCTGATAACACGCTTCTGAACCATCCTCCATGCCTGGAAGAAGCGAATCGCACTTCACAAACTTCGCGCAGAAAATCGGTTCAAACTCGAGAAGCTGAGACTCGTTTTGTCCGACGCTGTTGCTATTGTCTTTATTCCCACCACCCCCGCTTTTGTTCTTGTTATTACTGCTACCGCTACCCGTGGATGTTCCCGCGATTGCGTCATCCTTCTTCTTTTTCAAAACATCGCTTCCGTCCCCGGTTTTAAAATATTTTGTAAACGCCGATATGTCCGTCAAAGTCACCATCCCGGCGTCGTCGCCGCAATACACAACGTTCCCATCGTTAGACCACGTCAAAGCTGTTATAATTTGACTCGCGTGCGCTTTTCTCAATAAAGCAATCGTTCGCCCAGCTGGCGGCGTGCTACTATTACTACTATTATTGCTACTACCGCTTTTAAAAGAAATCACGTGCAGCACGCCGCTCGCGTACGCAATCGCAGCCATGTTTCCATCCGGACTCAATTTTACCTTCTGTATGACTTGCGATGTCACCATCGTTCGGCCAGTTTGTGCGTCTGTTCTTTTGATCGATTGCGGAGAAATCACGGCGAGAAATCGTAATCGGCCTTCTTCGGTTGAAGAAACAGAGGAATTTTTCTTTTCCTCTTCCTCCTTGTCTCCATCTTTCTTCTTCTTGGTCTTCTTCTCAACGTACGTTCTCGCGAAGCAATACACGCTCCCGGTATTCGCGCCCAACGCAACCACTCTCTCGTTGCAATCTATGCACGTGAATCGGACTCTCGGTCCGCACACGTCCGAGATGTCTTTGGACGTTGAATAAAAAACGTTGCGGAATTCGGTTTTGATTTTCACTTCTTCTTCTTCCAATTGGTCTTCTTTTTCTTGTCGTTGTTCGCCGCCAACCCCGCGAGGATTTTGGATCTTCGCCTTCTTTGACGACAAAGACGAGGGAGACGACACGTCGGAGGACATGGTGTTTGCCTTCTCTCTCGAGAGATTTGTCAGAGAGAGAGAGAGAGAGAAAAGTAAAGAAAAAGAATTTGATTGAAGCACCTACCTAAGAAGCACGAAACGAGGAAAAGGGAGACGGCGGCGAGCGTTCGTTTGTTTGCGAGGTATTCCTGATCGGATGTTAGTATCTCTCTACTCTTTGCGTATATCTGTGTTTATTATATTAATGAGTCTGCTCTACTGTATCAATTACCACCTCCGATGAACTTCCAATTCGCCACGAGCAATTTCTGCACGCACACGAGACTCTTCGCTTTGACTTCTTCGTCCTCGTGGACCATCAACGCCATCGCGGCTGTTTTAGCGCCTAAATCGCAGGCTAAAAATCTCCCGGCTGGGTAGTGCGTGGCAAATTCGCCGACGTCGTGACAGGCGACGGCTAACGTGCGCGGATCGACGTCGCGACTGGACATCATGGCGATTAAGTTTCTCAAAACGAAACAGTTGTTGTCGGTGAGTTTTGAGCACTCGTTTCGCCAGAACCCCTCGTCGGTGTGCGACGGGGACCAATCCAAGGAGCCACTTCTGACTTCGGTCAAATAGCGTTCCCAGGATGACGCAACGACGCGACGTTTGGCTAAGCCTTTCGCGAGTTGTTCTAAGTTGTCCACGAGCTCGGCGTCTTCAAAACCTCGGTGGGCGAGGTTTTCGCACACTTTTTGGAGCGATTCGCGCTCGATGCAGGTTTCCGCAATCGGGCCGAGCTCGTCGTCTTCATCGTCTTTGTCGTCGTCTCTTTTGCCGCCGACGTGAGCAGCAGATGCTGCATTTTCTTTGTTGCTATGTCGATCTCCTTCCCCAGACTTCATCGAAGGAACTTTTTTCGCGTCGTCGATACCGCTATCTGCTAATCCGATGAGTATGTTCTTCAACGCCATGATGGCGACGCGAACGACTTTTTCCTTCGTCGCGGTTTTCGCCGCGTTGATTAATTTTTTCACCACAATAGCGTTATCTATTTTCAAAGCTTGTTTCCTAGCCTTAGCATCAAACGAAAGCAGCCACGCGCACAACGCAGCCTCGTACAACACTTGCACGCGCGAGTTCGGGTTGAATTTTTCCGAATCCAATAAAGGTGCGATCAACTTATAAGCGCCTAAATTTCTCGCCAACGGTCTCGTTTTTCTGTGCTGCAAAACAGATGCCAAGGCGTGAATGGCTGTTGGAATAACTCTCTCTTCGTTTTCTTCGTGGTTCTCGTCTCCTCCTCCTCCTCTTTGTATCGTCATCGTCCCTCCCGGGCCGTCGCCGCCGCTAGCATCGACTAAACTCCCGTCGCCGCCGCCGAGTAAATCTATCGACCACCTTACCACCGTCCTGGCCGTTTGCATTTCTTCCGAGCATCGCTGCTCCTCTCCTCCTTCTTGTTCTTCTCCTTCCTCGCCGCTAAAAAACGATTCGTTGCGCAAACTTTCGCTCTTGCTTAACAAAACGCCCAATATAAAACTCGCCTTCTCTCTCACGAACCATCCGTTCTTCGCGTTCAACATCAACCTCGTCAACGCTTTATACGCGTCGATGTTCGATAACGTCACCGTCTTGTTAATCTCCGGCATGAAGTACTCGCTCGAGACTTTCGCCAGTTGAGGGTCACCGAGCATTTTGCACACGTTCGCCAGCGCTCTTTCCACCGCCTCTCGTCTCGAAACGTTTCTAAACACGTCCAAGAATGCGTTCGCGATTAACTTTCCATCCGACGATTCCATCAAACTTTTTGCCGTGTTCATCGACGAACCACCACTCGCACCATCTCTTCTCCACGTCTCCTCGTATTTTACGATCAAATTACAATCCGTCGGCGACACCAAGCGTCCGTGTTCGTACGCTTTCCAATCGAAGTTTGCCTCCAACTTTTCTTTGATCTGTCGGTCGTTGCAAAACGAGAACAACGTTTTCGCCGTCGTCGTCGTCGCGTGATGATTCGTATTAAAATTCGTCGTCGTCGTCGTCGTTTCTTCCATCTCGACTTCTTCTTCTTCAAAGTAAGATCCACTTCCTCCTCCTCCTCCACCGCGCATTTAAGTATACGTATAAAAGCGTGTGTGTTTATGTGCGCGTTTTAATAATGTGTTCTTCTTCTTAAGTGCGTGTATCAACAAAGAGCTAATAATCTGTTTTGTTGTTTGCTTCCAGAGAGAGAGAGATTATCTCTTTATCTTTCGTTGGTTCGAAGAGAGTCTCGCGTGATTTCTGACTGAGGTTTTTTTTGAGTATCTGTTTTTTTTTTTGATGGAAGAGAGAGGCACCTTTTTTTTTTCTTCCTCTTCTTCTTCTCTCGGTTGAAAACACACCAGAATAAACAAAAAGAGATACAAAACTTTGAGAATACGTACTCTCTCTTACACTCTTTGTCTGCTATTATTAAACGCGCTGTTGTTATAAAGAGAGATGTTTTCGCATTCTTCTTTGTCTTTTTCTCTCGTCGGGGGTAGCGTTTGGACGAGGACGAAACGACAACAACAACAACAACAACAACAACTGAAGAATACTAATTCGAACACGTTGCAACAGAACAACAACACCAACAGAAAAACGACCACGCGAATACATTTATTCGGAAAGCCAAACACCGGGGAATCAGCCACGAAGGAGAGTTTAGAGTACGAATTAGAGAAAGCGAACAAATGGAGAGAGGAGTTAGGGGAAGAGTTGAGAGAGGCGAAGAAAGAGCGTGACCAGGCGGTGGAGAGTTTAGATTTGTACAAGAGACGATTGAAAGAGGCAGAGAAGGACGTGTTCAAATTGGAGAAGCTGACTCTAGAGCAAGAGCAAAAGTTTAACGCGTTTGAGATTGTGGTGAAAAATCAAATCAAACTGTTGGAAGGGATGGTGAAAGAACGGGACGAGCAATTGGCAAAGACGCAACCACCTTCGAAGGAATAAGTTGTGTATACGTATCCAATTGCTGTTGTTGTTGTTGGCTGCTTTTTATTATTGCCGCTGCTGCTATTTTTTGTGCACTTTTATAAACACATCATCTTCATCATCTGGGATCGCTCTTTTTGTTGTTGTTTTCACCAACCTCCGCCTTCGCGTCTTCCTCTTCTCTGTTCGTCGTCGGAGCGTTACAATTCGTGCTTTTCGTTTTCTCGAACAAGTCTTCGCGGAATATCGCTCCGATCAACACTTTGGTCTTTTCGTCGACGATGGCGACTGGTACTTCGTTTGTATTCTCGAAGCACGCCAAAGCGACTTCGCCAATCGTGGACGTTTTCAGAGTTGCGGAGACGAGGAGCGACGAGTTCATCAGCGTCTCCGCGGACGCGAATTCCTCCACGTCTTCTCCTCTTTCCTTGCTGTTTCGTTCTAAAACACCGATGGGTTCGCCAAAGCCATCTAAAACGAGCACGTCTTTTTCGCACTTTGCATTTTCGTCCGCTTGCTCTAATACTAAGCGACCAGAGTCCATGCGTCGGGCTAACATGCTCATTTCGACCAACTCTTCGCAGGAATATACTCGCAAAGCGTCCGAATCTCTCGCCTCTTCGATGGAATCGTTCGGATTCAAACCAGCTTTAAATGCTAGCGGAGAGACGTTTCCGAACTCGACGGCTTTTTCGTATCCTTCTTTTGGAGGCGGTTTCGGGAACTGGCCTTTCCCGGTTTCCTGATCGAATTCGTCGTAACTCCAAGCGCCGTCGAGTAAACTCAACGCTCTCGCAACGTTTCTCGCCTTTGGCACGTTCTTTGGGGACACATCTTTCTCGTCCATTTCGTTTTCAACGAACAAAGCTACCAAGACTTTCTCGCTCGCTTCTCTCAACACCTTTGCGGCTTCGGTTTCGCCCACGTTTTGCGCGCGAAAGATGGCATCTCTCGCGCCTTCGACGTCGTTTGCCGCCGCGAATGCCTCCGATTCGTACAAAGCTGCCTCAGATCGCAACAAAGCGGTGTCTTTGGGATGCTCGCGGAGCATTTCGGAGAGTTTTCTCACGCCATCGACGTCGCCTTCGTTTGCCGCGTGTCGCATGACCAAAAAGTACGAGTTTGGCGAAACCGCAAAGGAGGAATCTCTGGCACCTGTTTTCGACGTTTTCTTCTTTCGAGACGAAGACGGCCCGTCATTTCGCGCGTGCTCGAGAACCTCAATCGCGTAGTTCGTTTCGCCTCTGCGCAAAAACGCGGAAACGAACGCACCGTACGCGATTTTGTTCCTTCTTGGAATTTCCGTGTACTCGCGAAACAATCGCTTCAAGGTTTCCACGTCGCAGGCGTAATCCGATCCTAAAATCCCGCGAGCGGCTTGCGTTTCTCCAGCCGCGCACGTCGCGTACGATATTGAATCTGGTTTCAATCCATTTTCCTTTGCCTTATCTAACATGTCTCGGGCCCAATCCGGTCGACCACCTTTAACGCAGGCGGACATGAGAATATTGTGCGCCAACAGACTGTTCTTCGTCTCCGTTTCGTTCGTTTTCAGCATTTCCTCGAACGCGCTCAACGCTTTCAAAGGCTCCGAACTTCTCGAGTGCGCTTTCAAAAGAGAGCACCATGCGCGTTCAAAATCGTCTGGATGTTTTAATCGTCCTTCCCAGGATAATATTTCGCTTTTCATATCGATGGCGCGACGAACGTCTCCACATTCTGCGCAGGCGTCCAAGAGCGAAAACAACATTCGACTCGGCGCAGTTCGTCGCGGATGCCATTTCACGCCGACGCGGTCGTGACGGTTGACACCTTTCGGGACATCGTCTACGCTCCATAAGAACGAGTTTGCGACAAACATTTTGCCGTTCTTATTCGCCGACGCGCCAAACTGCGCGCTAATTGGACCTCTTCCTTTCTTCCACCACTCGAATACCGTCAAAGCTAAATCTAAATCGTGCACGCGGCCGGCTTCAATGATGATGGACGAATACGCCGCGGACGAAACGCCGCACGCGAATGGACCTTCGGCGGCTTTCAAAAGCATCGTTGCAAACGTAAAGTCTCTGCATTTCGCCGCGGCTGCTACCGACGCCGAAGCAATTGCTCTGCACAGTTTCTTATTGCTTTTCAACGTCGCCACGAATGCGGCGTTTTCGTCTAAAAATTGGAGTAACTCGTCCAATTTTCGCTTCTCGGCTAATCGTTTCAGTCGTTTCAAAAATTTCGAAGCGGTTTCTGCCGAGCTCATTTTCTCCGCACCGCCGCCGCTGCCACCGCTGCTGCTCCTGCTGTTCTTCTCATCATCTTCTACGTACGCGTCGAAAATATTCTTCGCGTCTTCGTCCACGTCTTCGTTCTTTTCGTATTTCTCACTTTCCTCGTCGTCGTCTTCTTCGCTGCTCTCCCACGGGCACTCGTGTTCGTTTTCGTCGTCGTCGTCCATAGTTTCGCCGGTGCACGTCAAATATTGCCACGATTTATTATTGTTGTTGTTATTTAACGCGTTCGTTGGTGCTCTCGATGACGGAGTTGCGAGCATTCTCACCCTCGTCGTCGACGACAGTTCGTCTTCGCTCTTGTTCGTGCACTTCTTACCGATCGCTTGGACGAAACTCTCGCCCGCGCCGCCGCCGCCCACCCCGCCGCCCTCTCCTCGCGATTGGTACCGTCTCTGTTGCTCTTGGATCGATGATGATGGGGAGTTCTCGGGGTACATTTGCTGCTGCTGCTGTTGCTGCTGCTGCGCGCTCCTTCCCCTTTCGTTCTCGTCGTCGCTTCTTTCTGTCTCGCACACAATCTTCCTCGCGTTTTGTGCCCCGGGGCGACGTCTTCGTCGACGAGAAGAAGAAGAAGCGATGATAACGCGCCGATGATGATGATGAAGAAGATGATGATATAATCGTCGTCGCGAGTCAGAAGAAGACCAAGAGAGAGAACGCGTCGTCGTCTTCGTTCTTCTCGAACAGCTCATGCCGTAACTGCTGCTCGAAGAAGAAGAAGACGGGAGGGACGTCGTCGTCGTTCCCGCCGTTCTCATCATCATCTTTCCTCTTTCTCTCTGCTCTAAAACGTCGTATCTCTTCTTGGTGTCATCATCATCGTTTCGCCGAAACTTCTAAAATAAACAGAGCAGACAGAGAGTACTTTTACGCACTTATCTCTGCTCTCCGTTTTTGTTTGAGAGAATCGAAACAGTAGGCGCGCCCCGCGTGTTGTGTGCTTTTTATGCGCGCGTTGTTGTTGTTGTTGTTGTTGTTGTTGTTGTTGTTGTTGTTGTTGTGTGTTACTGAACGCAAAAGTCTGAAGACTGACGTTGTTTCTTCGACGGGACAAAACACAAAAAAGAGAGGCCCTCGAGAGAGAGTTTCGTCGTCTCAATCGAGAGCGGTTTTCTCTGTTTGACACCCCTTTTTTTTCTTTTTTTTTCGGTTTTTTTGATTTGTTTGACTCTTCTTTTTTTGTATTCTTCATTCTCAACTTTGAGAAGGGGATACTAACTAGTAAACTACTCCTACTCCTAAACTGACTCTTAAAAGTATTAAGAAAAGAATATCAAATGGTTGAAGAAGAAGAAGATCCACCACCGTACGCCTCGTTAATCGCGATCAGCGACGACGCGAAGTCGATCCTCCACGTGGACCAATCGACGAAACAGTTTGACAAATTCGGCATAAAGAAAGTCCCTCTCGATGGTCCGACAATCTCGCTTCGATATTCGAACTCGATTCTCGGTCGCATCTTGATGGCGAAAGATAACGTGACGAGAGCGAAGACGCAAGTCGCGGATTTAGCGTTGGATTTACCCAGTGGTGAGTTGTGGATTTTCTTTTCTCTCTCGTCTCGTCGCGCGCGTAGTATTTATTATATATAAATGCGTAAACGAAGAGCGCGATACGATTCATTCCTCCGAGATGAGAGCATTTTCGTCGTTTCTTTCAACGTTCGTTTTTTCTGTTTTGAGGCGTAAAGTGCTCACATTTATATAAAGTAGTATAAATAATTACCTTTACTTTTGTTTTGAATTCTGTTATCATCATCGAAAATCATCATCAAACAGTGTCCGCGGAACACGCGAAGATCATCTGCGTGAAAGATTCTTCGTCGCCGCTCGGGTACACGGCGACCATCACCGATTGCAGCCGAAACGGGTTATGGGTGAACGGAGTCAAGTTGGTAAAAGGGGAGCCGAATTTTTTGAAGGACGGAGACTTGATTGACTTTCCGTTTCAGTGCGTGTTTAAGTTTCGAGTGAACGAAGGCGTGGAACCGAATTACGGGACGCCGAAGCACCGATTGAAGAAGGGAGAGAAAAGCGCCGCGGCGTCGAAGAAGAAGAAAGAGGAGGTTGGCACGGCGCCGCCGCCGAAGAAAGCGGCGAAGAAAGAAGAGGAAGCGAAGGAGGTCGTTCTTCCAGTTCCTGCCGCGAAGAAACGAGCGTCGCCGGAAAAAGAGAACGTGGAGCAGAAGGGGGAGGAGGAAGAAAAGAACGAAGAAGGGAAAGACGCGGAGACTGGGCTTCCGTTGCCGCCGTCAAAGAAAGGAAAGAGCGTCTGGGCGAGCAAAACGGCCCCCGATGAGGAGCAACTCCAAGAAGAAGGAAAAAAAGAAGAAGAAAAAGAACAACAACAAGTTTTGGTCGAATCAAACGAAAACCTCGCCAATGTGTCAGCTTTGGAAGAGGAAATCGCGAATTTGAAAAAGTCCAACGAGACTGTATCGCGAGAGCGCGACGAGTTTGCGGCGATGAATAAAAAGTTAAAGACGAAAGTTAAAGAGGCTGAGGAGAAAGACGCCGGAACCACGAAGGCGTTCGAAGCATTTAAAGCGGAATCCAAGGAAGAAATGGAAGACTTGGACAAGGTGATTGAACGATTGACCGAGGGGAATGGCGAGAAGACGAAGGAAATCGAAGAGGCGCGCGCAAAGATCAATTCTATGGAAGAAGAGGTTACGGAAATGAAGGCGGCGATTGCGAAACACAACGAAGAATACGCGAGCATGGAGACGAACCTGAAAGAGTTGACGCAAAGACTCGAAACGTCTGAAAAAGAACTCGACGAAGCAAAATCGTCGCTCGAAGCGAACAAAGATGCGATCGAGCGCGCGGAAAAAGCGGAAGAGAACGAAAAGGCTGCCAGGGAAGAGTGCGTAAAATACCAAGAAATTTCCACCAAAGCTTCCAAAGAGTTAAACGACTGGGCGGATGTCATTGGAAAGTCTGAAACTTTACAAGCGAACCTCGAAGAGGCCGTGAAAGCGAAGGAAGCGAGCGAGAAGGAGTTAGCGACGATGAAGGAAACGCTCGCGGTTTCAAGAGCGGCGTTTGTGGAAGCGCAAAAAGCGCTCGTCCTTGTTGGAGAACGTTTGCACGTTAGTTCGGACGAAGAGGAAGAGGATGACGTGAAAGTCGATGAAACTATGGAAATGGACGAAGACGACAACCAAACGCACACCACGAACGAAGAAGAAACGGAGAATGGTGATTTCCACGCCACTCAAGTTGCTCCGCCGGTGAACGAAGAGGAGGAAGACGAAAAAGAAGAAGAAGAAGAAGACGTTAACGGCGGCGAGGAACATAATGAACAACAAGCGGCGGCGTCGGCTTTCGATCCACAAACGCAGGATTGCGTTGATATTGAATTTCCGGCGACAGAAGTTCAAGAACCTGCGAAGGAAGACGAGGAGGAACAAATCCAAACGCCAGCTAAGGACGACGCGAGCGAAGAAAACGAGGAAGAAGGAGATGACATGGAGGCAAAATACGCGAGTATGATGAAAAAAATGACTCCAGCGCCTGAAGGAGCAGCAGTGGTAGCAGCAGCAGCAGCAGCGTGTGCAGCGTGTGATGAAGAAGAACCAAAAGAGGAGCAAGAAGACGAAGAACTCGTGCGAAGTACTCCAATTGCGCAAGCGCTCGTTGAAAACGCCGTCGCGAACATAATCGCCGCGGATGAAATGGTCGAAGATGATGTCAGAAAAGCATCGTTACCGACGCCATTTGAAAATAACAAAGGGTTGGGATTCACGCAAGGCGATGAAGACGAAGAGAAAGCCAACGAAAAGGAGGAAGAAGAAGAAGAAGAAAAAGAAGAAGAGGAGGAGGAGGAGGATTTGACTTTATGCGGCGAGGATTTCGTGGAGAAGACGGAAGAGATTCCAAAGTCTGCTTTGAATAAGGCGAAGCATTTTCGTTTTCCGCAAACGCCGTTGTCACCGAAGCACTTAGTAGTCGAAGGCGAAGAAAACACGCCGGCGAGTAGTGAAGGTAAAACTTTCGAAGAAGGTGGAGAAAAAGAGGCGTCTCAAAAGCGTTCTCCGCTGGCGACCCACAGCCCGATCGTGCTCGATTAATAATAGAAAAAGCAAGTCTTTTCAATTCTATACAATCTGAGTTTTACATCCAAATAAATAATACATTCTATTTTTAGTTAATACATGGGCACGCACGCTCTTTTCTTTGTCACCTTTGCATTCACGGAGAGACGCGGAGAAAAGAATCGTTTTCAACCAAAACGCACGTTTTCTTATCGTCCCCGTCGGAGTTTTTGCGGATGATGCAATCGAATACGTCGCAGTGCGCTCCGCCAGAAACGTTAATATCAGTGCTCCCGTTGTTATCGATGAGGCACTCTTTCAAGACGATTCGGTGCGTTATCGCGTAGCGTTGTCTCTGCGCTAACAAGAACGACATGAGCTCGCTTTCATACTCTTCGTCGTCCGTTTCGTTTCCTCCGATTTCATCGAAAGCGCCGCCACCACCGTAAGTAATGTAATAATCATCGCTTCTTTCCTTTACTGCGCCTAAGCAAGAAACGTCCACGCCAGTGTGCGAGTTTTCTCGAATCTCGCACCGAAGAGCTTCTCCGTAAGCACCGCCCCACACGGCAAATCCAACGCCTGTATTCAACGCGATCAGATTTTCAAACATTCTAATCCTAGAGTTTTTACCGACGCAAACTCCACCACCTTGGTTATTTGCAATCAAGCATCCACGTACAGTAGCGTTGGCGCCATCGAGACACGAAATACCGTGGGAAGAGTTCAAGACTATTCGACTATTTCTCACATCCACGGAAGTTTCGTTTCCCCCTTTCGCCGAATCTTCATCACCCTCGGAACCCAAAATGACGATCGACGCGTACACTCCGCTCGCGGACGAAGATTGACTATCGATCGATATCGCATCGTCCTCTTCGCCCTCATCATCCGTAATAATACCAAGCATTTCGAGATCATCAGCCTCATCAGATGATGAATTCGAAGACGCTTCCGAATCGATGTCGATTTTAGATTTTTGATCCTTGGCGATGGCAGAAGTCACCACGCAACCCGAGATGTCGCCGTTTCGCAAGATGATGCCAGATAAGGCGGTCGAAACGTCGCAATTTATGATTTCACAATCGTGCGCGACAACGCCCTCACCCGCCGAAACGATATCGCACGTCTCTAAAGATAATTTTATATTTTTGCTCTCAGAGTGCACGCAGGCGGTGTGTTTTGGATGATGGCCAAAGCATCCGATAGATCCGTCTCGAGCGGCGCGGTGTCTCCATAACGTTACGTTGGAAACCATTACGATGTTATCGTTGCTCTTTCTAGCATTTTCAACGCCCACTATTGCCGGCTCGTCGTCGGCTACAATATGCACCAAATCTTTTTGAGACGATTTGATACCGCGCAAATGTACCCCAGACGGAACACGAATCGATCCGTAATAAGTCCCAGCTTCTAACAAACACACGTCTCCATATCTCAGGTTTTTGATGCCTTCGTTTATATTTTCTACCTTATCTTTCGTCGCGCTAAATCTCAAGACTACTCGTGTATCATCATCACCATCATCGAGAAAAAACTTCAAAACTGCTCTCTTCATCGTGTTTTTCCACCCCTCGGCTGGTGGTTTGATTGCCTTTTTTTGCAAGCCGCTCGAGAACGGTAACGTCGCCGCTAACGCCCACCCTTGTTCCTCGGCGAAAGGTCTCCATCGGTATCTCTTCCCGTACAGATTCTTCCAACAGTGTTCGCTTTGCAAAAGGATCTCTCTGTATTGTTTCGACGTTTGCTCCAAACTCGACACGTCTTTCGCGCTCAGATATTTCGCACTTATCTCGCACAAGACGTCGTTCGGCAAGCGCGAAAGTGCGTCTGTCCTTTCTTCTTCTTCTAGTTCTTTTTCTTCTTTAGTAGTAGTAGTAGTAGTAGTAGTAGTACTCGTAGGTGGTAACGGGGAGATCTTTATCTCTTCTTCTTCATCTTCTCCTCCTTTTTCTTCTCCTGGAATCAGAGGAAAAGTTTTTTTCAAAAAGAAAGGCTCTTTTGGAGGACTCGCCGGTAACGACGTGAACCCACCAGTACCACCACCGTAAACAGAACGACGATACGTACTGCTCTCGCTCGTTGTTCTCGTCTTCTTTTCAATCGTCGTCTTTTTTTTCGCCTCCTCCTCGCTTTTGTTGTTGTTGTTGTTGTTCTCGCCCCTCCCAGATTGGTGATCTTGTTTTTCATCTTTTCTTAACCGTCGTCCTCGTCCTCGTCTACACGTCGTTTCAAAACGGGCGATGATTTCCTTTTCCATTTCTCTTCGTTGTTCTCTCTCTCTCTCTCTCTCTCTCTCTGTATATATAAATATAAATATATATATCCCTTCCTCTCTGGCACGAAACTCTATAAATCTACTAACACTCGAGCGCAGCAGCAGTCATGATGATGATACTCTAAGGCGCGCGTAGTAAGAGTTTGTAAATATAATCAATGTGTGTCGTTTAAAAAAAAAGTTGAGTGTGGGTGCCTTTTGAAGCAAAAAAAGATTCCAGTCGACCTTTTGTCGTTGTTTTCGTTCTTCTTTTTTCGGACAGAAACAAAAGCAAAAAAGATTTCTCTCCTTTTTTTTGTCTTCTTTTTTTTTTACTCTTCTGTTTTGTTTTGGACTTCACTTTTTTCTTCAATCTCCTCCCCTCTCGCTCTCTTTCTGTTGTCGTCGCGCTTTGGTGGTGGTGGTGGTGGTCGTTTTTGTCCTCTGCGGTTTGAACCCTCTGTTGTCTTCAGTTCTTTGTCTTCAACACGACGACTCGAAAACGAAGACTATATATAATAATAATGTGCGGAATATTCGCGTACTTGAACTGCGGGGTGCCGAAAACGAAGAAGGAAATCGTGGAGAAGTTACTCGTTGGTTTGAAACGATTGGAATATCGAGGGTACGATTCCGCCGGGTTTGCCATGGACGATAACGAGAAATGGTGCGAAGACGATGATGATGATGATGATGATGAAGAAGAAGGTGGAGATAAAAAAAGACACGACGCGAAGAAAGTCATCGTGTGCAGAGAAGTCGGGAAGATTGCCAACTTGGAAGCGCTGGCGAGGAAGGAACTGTTTGGCGAAGACGATGATGACGAGAATGAAGTTAAGGCGTCTAAAAGTAAGAGCAGCAACGGGAGGAAGAAGTCGTCGTCCTCGATTAAGCCTTTAGATTTTTGCGCGAGCATCGCGCACACGCGGTGGGCGACGCACGGACCGCCGAATAAAATCAACACGCACCCGCACACCTCGGACTCGCGAGAAAATGAATTCGTGGTGGTGCACAACGGAATTATTACGAACCACGCGCCGTTAAGGGCGATGTTAGAAAGAAGAGGGATGAAATTTGAAACCGATACGGATACGGAAGTTATACCGAAACTCTGTAAATTTTTGAGCGATAAGTTTGAGGAGAGCGGCGAGAAAGACGTGACGTTTCGTCAGTTGGCGATGGAAGTAACGCGACAGTTGCAAGGCGCGTATGCGTTAGTATTTAAATCGACAAAGTACCCGGGAGAACTCGTCGCCGCGAAGAGAGGCTCGCCGTTGTTGATGGGCATCTCCGACGACAGCGGCGAGGTTTCCTGCGTCATCGACGGAAACCTTTCCGACGGCGCAGAGGAGGACGTTCTTCTTAAAAAAGCTAGCGGTAATAAGAAGCGGAAATCTATGACAGGAGGAGCAGCAGCTGCTGCAGCAGCAGATGCGGATACGACGACGACGACGAGAATTACTACTACTACTACCACTACTACAAATAATCCAAAAGTTGAATTTTACTTCGCCTCGGATGCGAGCGCGATGGTTGAGCACACTAAACGCGTATTAGTTCTCGAAGACGACGACGTGTGTCACTGCCACGACGGCACGTATAAGATTTATAAAGTCGAGAAGCAAAAGCATCCGCACCCTGGGTACACCTCTGGGCACGATTCACCGGAGTACGGGTTATATAAACCGGTCGTTTTGAGTAAAGAAGTCGAACGCACGATTGAAACGTTAGAAATGGAAGTCGAATCAATCATGAAGGGCGAATTCGATCACTTCATGCAAAAAGAAATTTTCGAACAACCGGAGGCTATTTCGAGCACCATGAGAGGACGATTGGTGTTGGACGTTCTCGGTGCAGCAGAGAGAGTAATGCTAGGGGGCATGTCCCAGTTCGCGGCGACGATTCGGCGCTCTCGTCGCATCATCTTGTGCGGTTGCGGTACGTCCTACAACTCCGCGATTGCCATCCGACAGCTGTTCGAAGAGCTCACGGAGCTTCCGGTAACTTTAGAGCTTGCGAGTGATGTTTTAGATAGACGGTGTCCATTTTTTAGAGACGACACGTGCATTTTCATCTCGCAATCGGGTGAAACGGCGGATACGCTGAAGGCTTTAGAATACGCCAAGGCAAAAGGCGCGTTGTGCGTCGGCATCGTCAACACGGTTGGGTCGGCGATATCGCGAGCGACGGATTGTGGCGTCCACATTAACGCGGGTGCCGAAATTGGCGTAGCGAGTACAAAAGCGTACACTTGTCAAATAGTCGCGATGGTTTTGGTGGCTTTATCTTTGAGCGAAGACTCGCGCTCGAAGCACACGAGACGGGATGACATCATGCAAGGTTTGCTCAAACTTCCCGGGTGCGTGAAAGAGTGCTTAAAAATGGACGCGATATTGTTAGAGTTGGCGCAAGAGTTAAAAGAGGAACACAGTTTGCTCATTTTTGGGAGAGGTTTCAATTACGCCACGGCTTTAGAAGGCGCGTTGAAGGTGAAGGAAGTTGCGCTCGTGCATTCGGAAGGTATTCTCGCCGGCGAAATGAAGCACGGTCCGCTCGCTTTGGTAGATAAGCACATGCCGATTATTGTAGTGTGTACGAACGATGGGAGTTACGAGAAGCAACAGTCGGTCGTGCAACAACTCAAAGCGCGAGACGGGCGGTTAATATTAATCGTTTCAGATGACGACACGGAGATGGAGAAAACGGCGCCAGACGCGGTCATTCTGCGAGTCCCGAAAGTCGAAGATTGTTTGCAAGCGGTGGTCAACATAGTTCCTTTACAGTTGTTGAGTTATCACTTGACCGTCTTGAGAGGGCATAACTGCGATCAGCCCCGAAATTTGGCAAAATCCGTCACGGTAGAGTAAAGTAGTAAATAAATTACTAATAAAAAATACTGGTATAACAAACATTAAACATTACAACAACTCAAAACAAAAGTAAACTATCGGCTTTGATGCCGAATATTCTTCATACAGACGTATGCGACTATGATCCAGAACCAATACAGACCAAAGACGGCGATTAAATTCGAGGTAATAGTACCGCTCGCTCCGTAAAACTCAATAATCCCTTCCATTTTACCTTCTTTCGTTTGAAAAACCTTCGGTTCTTTGTTGTCGAAGTGATTAATCATCTGCGCCTGCCATCCGTATCGCACGAAGAGCGTGTGCGAGTACCACTCCCAGCCGCTCGGCATGTCAGCTCTACGTATCAACATCCCAGAAAATAGAAGCTGAATGACGTTATAAACTGGCAAAAGCGTATTGGCGGCGTCCATGTTCGGAGCGACTGAAGCGCATACGTACGCGAGCGCTATGCCGCAACTCAACACCATATAGTTACATATCCAAAAGATGGCGAACGAGCCTTGCAACGCGCACCCCAAATACAACGCCGTTTGCGCGACTAGCGTCACTGGTATCGCTAAAACACCCTCTTCGATGAACTTATACGCAACGTACGAAAAGAGCGGGTACGAGCCGTCGTCGACTTCGCGATAAAACACCGCTCTCTCGAGTACGATGGATGGCATGTACCCACTCGCGCCAAACGAAGGTAAAATATTCAACATGTACAGTAAACTCGCGACGTTGAGTTGATTCGCTTGGTCCATAGCCTCGCCTTCTGCCTTGCCAATTTCCAGGAACAAGGTGAATTGTACGATGGCGAACAAAATTTGTCCAGCCGCGCGACTCATGACGAAATCAACAGATTTGTAATTTCGGATCGTGCGGTATTTCAAAAGCGTTTTAATCTTTGCAAACGCGCCTCTCTCCGCTTTCGCTAGTTTTGGTTTCGCTGGCAACAGCATTTCTTTCTCCAAAATCGATTTTGTCTTTGTCAGCGCGGCTTTCCCGCATTCTGAATTTCGAAACGCGTCTTCAAAATCCAAATCCTCCGAAGCGCACGTCGTGGTCAAGAAATCCGCCAAATTTGATTTCGTGTCCCATTTGAACCCAATTGATGCGAAATAGGAAATCGCCGAATATTTACCTCCGGCGGTTTCGTCAAATATAGGCCCAGTAAACGTCATCTTTCCGTTCTTCAACATGCACAGCGTATCGAAATATCGAAACGCGTCCGGCGTCGGCGAGTGAATCGTCGCCACGACCGTCACGCCCGTATTCGCCAAGTTTCTCAAAATCTCCACAACCTCCACGGACGATTGCGAATCCAAGCCGCTCGTAGGCTCGTCCAAAAACAACACGTCCGGGTCCGTGACTAAAGCCAAAGCGATGTTCGTCCTCTTCGCTTGTCCGCCGGATATCCCTCGGTTCAGCGCGTCGCCGACGACGACGTCTTTACAACTCGTTAAATTCAAGTGTTGCAATATCTCCCTCACTCGTTCTTTCTTCAACTCCGCGTCCGCGTGCGTTCTCGCTTGCATTTCGCTCCAGTAATACAGCGTCTCTTCCACCGTCAACATCGGCAACAAGGTATCGAACTGTTCCACGTACGCCGCGCACTCCTTGAACGTTTTCTTCGTCGCGTTTTGCGACCCAAACATCACGGTCCCGGAAATCACCCCTCTCGTTTTCCTGCACGAGAGAATGTCCAACAAGGTTGTCTTCCCGGCGCCACTGGGCCCCATTATCGCCGACATCGACCCGTTCTCGAACACCGTCGAGACGTTATCCAACAACCGAATGTTTTCAGACGAATTTGGTGTCGACGACGACGACTTCGTCCCATTTGGGATATCATAGCACACCGAATCGACAATAACCGGCGTCGAGTGCCTCGTTTTCGTCTTCGAGAAGAATTCCGACGCCGAGGAGGACTTTATCATCTTTATGTAATTCTGTCTCTCTGTCTCTCTGTTCTGTGTAATTTTGAGGAAAAATCAATCCCCTACACGAGAAATGTCGAAAATTTTGTCGAAAATTTAATTTGTCTGTCGAAGAAAAAAAATCAGAAGAGACTTTTGATGAACGAGACGACTGATGCACTGAAAAATTTCAAGAAGAACGGGAGAAAAAAGAGTCCTCGACGTACAAAAAAAGAATTGCACCTTTCAACACGCACCTCTTTCTTTGATGAAGAAGATGATGAGAAAAAGAAGAAGAAGATATTAATAAAAAGATATAAACGACGAGACGATGATGCACCCACCACCCTCGCGCTGCTCAAACTCGCGCCATGATGGCAAACGAGAACGATTTCAACACCAACAACGAAAAGATCAGAATCAGAATCACGTTTCTTCTTTGCGGCTCCCGATTCAGAAACACGAGAGAGAGATTTTGTATCTCTTGGAACGACATCAAGTGGTGATAATAATAGGCCAAACTGGATGCGGGAAAACCACGCAGATCTGCCAATACTTGAGAAAGGCGAAATGGACCATTCCTGGCGAGAAGATGGTGTGCGTGACGCAACCGAGACGAGCGAGCGCGCAAACCGTTGCGATGCGAGTGTGCGAGGAGATTTTTGCTTCTAATTCTTCTTCTTCTTCGCAACGGTGTTGTTTAGGCGGAACGGTGGGAGTGTCCGTGCGATTTGAAACCATGAAATCATCAGAGACGGAGATTCTATTCTGCACGGATGGGAGTTTACTGAGAGAACTGTTGGAAGATCCTTTGTTGCAAAAATATTCGGCGGTGATGGTGGACGAAGCGCACGAGAGGAGTTTGAACACGGACGTGTTGCTGGGGTTGTTGAAGAAGGTGACGAGGAAGAGGAAAGAGTTGAGGGTAATTGTGAGTTCGGCGACGATTGATGCCGAGGCGTTTCGGGAGTTTTTCCGCGCGGAAACAGAAGAATTAGAATTAGAGGAAGACGAAGAAGAAGAAGAGAAGGAGAAGAAGAAGAAGGGAAACGACGACGGGAAATTTTCTTCCTCGTACGACCAACCGGCTATTCTTAGCGTCGAAGGACGAAGGCAACATCCAGTTCGAACGTTTTATAGCGAAGAACCGGTGGCAAACTACATAAAAGCAAGCGCGGAGTGCGCGATGAATATAGTCCGGTTAGATTTGCGGAATAACCCGGGCGATATTTTGATCTTCTTGACGGGAGAGAAGGAGGTGGAAGAGTGCGCGGATATCTTGGAGGAACATTTGCTCTCGGAACGATTGGATAGAGAAGTTCTCGTTTGCCCGTTTTACGCGGGATTAAATAACGCGAAACAAGCGAGAGCGTTTCGCGCGCCACCGAGGAATGCTCGCAAAATTATCATAGCCACGAATATCGCGGAAACGAGCGTGACGATTGAAGGCGTGAGTTACGTCGTCGATTGCGGCTTTGTGAAAATCAAAGCGTTCGATTGCGAGAGGAATTCGGAGACGTTACAAGTCGTGCGCGCGTCGAGTTCATCGGCAAAGCAAAGAGCTGGGAGAGCTGGACGCGTTCGGCCTGGAACGTGCTTTCGTTTGTACCCTGAAAAATATTTTGCGAGTTTGGATAAAACGTCCGCGCCGGAAATAATTCGCGCGGATATCGCCGGAACGATTTTACAACTCAAAGCGTTAGGAATCGATAACATCGCGCACTTTGATTGGTTCGAAGCGCCGCCGGTAAAACACGTCGTCGTTGCGTTGGAACTTTTACACGCTTTGGGTGCGATCGATGACGACGCAAAGTTAACCTCAGTTGTTGGCGCTAAATTAGCGGAGCTTCCGTTGGAACCAAAGCTAGGTAAAGCGTTGTTAGCCGGTTGCGATTACGGGTGCGCCAATGAAATGCTCACAATCTGTTCGTATTTCTCGATTGAAAACACGTGTTTTTTACCAGCGAGAGGAGGCACGACGTCGAGAAATCTTCTGGACGAGGCAAAAGCGAATTTTGCCGCTCGAGAAGGCGACGGTATCACCTCTTTGAACATTCAGAGAGGGTACGCGTGGAACGACCGCAATCGTAGGGGATTTTGCGAGGAAAATTATTTAAATTTTCGCACCGTGCAACGCGTCCAATCCGTTCGCGCGCAATTGAAGAAACTCTTGACGCAAAGACTCGATTGTATGCTTATTGACAATAACAGAAGTAACGATGAGGACAAAGAAAAAAAGCTCGAATCGATATTGCGCGCGATATGCGCCGGTTTCTTCTCCAACGCGGCTACTTTGGCGCCGTACGGCGGCGGCGGAAGCGACGACGGCGCGGCGAAATATTTGACCATTCGTAATAAAAGGACGGTTTACGTGCACCAAAGTTCAATACTCTACGGCGTGAGTAGTGGGTTACCGCAAGTGGTCGTGTACCAAACCGCCGAAGTGAATAACGAAAATAAAGAGTACATTCGAAACGTATCTTCAGTTGGAGATTTGCGCTGGTTCAAAGACGTCGCCGGACACTATTATACCTTTTAATACTAGTACATCATAGTTAGCGAGCATTAATAGCATTATGATAATAGAGAGTTTAGTACTAGATAAGAATGCAACATCATCAAAAAAAAGAGGTTCTCAGTCGAACGCAAGCTCCACGCACCATTGATCCCACCTCGAATTCAGAGTGGCACCCCGCGTGCTGCTTACTACGCGGCAGTTTTTCTGCTCAGTTTCCTGCCATCGAAGACTTTCCGCTTTAACGACGACAAACGCCTCCTTCAAGAAACGCTCGATCGTCGATAGCAAGCTCACGCGGACCTCTCGTCAACGTTCGAGAATAGGTAGAACGCTTCGCCAGGACCTCCTGCGCACAACCGGGAAGTTTAACCTTCCTTACAGCTTTACAGCCCGGACGATGTGCGCTAATTAGGGTTTAGGATTGCAAATATGAATAAAAAATTTAAAAGAAGAAGAATTTCTCTTCGTCACACACACTTTTCTTCATTTCATCAGAGAAGAGGAGAAGAAGAAGAGATGGTGTGGCGCGCTATTCAGCGCGGCAACGCATCGGATGGCCCGCCGAATTCAGTCACCCAGAGCGATATCGACGCGCCGCACGTGGAAGCGATTACCAGTCAACGCTACGAGCGATGGATTATCGACGATAAACCAAACGACGGGTGGAGTTTAAACACTCCGGCACCGTTGCTGGAGATACAATCGTTTGAAGAAGATTTAGACGAACTCTCTTCAAACAACAACATGAATAACAACAACAACGCTGGTGGTCGAGATGAAAGTGGTATTAATAGTGTTGCGCATTCGAGGACTGGGTCCGTGTTGTCCTCCTTAAACAACAACAGTAACAACGGTGGAGAAAGAGAATACGCGAGGAGTGAAATTTCGAATCTCAGTCGAAGCACTCTCGAAGAGACCAGCGCTATCGAAAACGGTACGAGTATTCCCACGAACAACATTAACAACAACAATCGAAATCAAAATCAAAATCAAAATCAACAGAGAAGAGCGCCGGCATCTGTGGTCGATGGTCTTCCGTTTATGACGTTATACGACCCTTTGATACGAGACAAAATACCCTTCCCGGGCGCGCACGCCGTCACGGCGGCGCCAAAGACGGCGTTGCCGCGTTCGCCTTCAGAAGCGCCGCACGTGAGCCAAAACCAAAGGGCGAGAGAGATGAACAGTTTGCGGTTTTTGTTTCGGTTACAAAGCATCGATTTCGAGGTTGGAAACTACGAGACGATTGAATGCGTCGCTTTCTTGATTGATTTACAGCAGAAGAAGAGATTGTCGGAGGCTTTTTATTTCAGTTGGTCGCCGGGCGACGAGAGGGACGGGAATCCGGAGAAGCCATCGGCGGTGTTTGCGATTCCTCATCACAGATGCGCGGCATCGGTGAGGTTGTTCGTGCAGATTGCACACGTGACGCCAGAATTCGGTGGTTTGGATCCGAAAGTGTACACCATGCGGGACGACAAGAAAGCGAAATCGTACGCGGAAAGAGAGATTTTAAGAGTGAAGCAATTGAAGTACGGAAACACGGGAGGAGGAGGAGGAGGGATGCAAACACAACAACAGGCGGCAAATGGGAAGATATTTTCTATAGATGACGATGAAGATAGCAACAGTAACAATAAAGTAGGAGCTTCAGATGATGAGGATTCTGGAGACGACGGATCGGAATTGGACGATTCGAATTCGGTTTCGAAAAAGATGCAAAATTTCCGAAACGTCGTTCGAAAGACGGCGTATTCATCAACGACGACGAGTCAAAACGATGATTCGAGCGTCAAGAACAATAATTTAGGAATGGACAGAAGAGGAGGAGAAAATAGGAACGACGACGACAACAACAACAACAGATTTTCATCAACTTTTGACGAAGCGTCGAAACCGCGTTCGTTAATCGGATGGATCACCATGTCCATTTTTGAAAACGCCACGGATGCAAACGGTCGACCTTCTTTTAGAGTTCGCGATACCGCAGAGTGTTCGCAGTTGTATCGGGTGAAAGAAGCGTACACGGAAAGTGCCATCATCGATGCCGCGGCTTCAGCCGGTGTCAGCCATCCGTTGAAATCGCACAAACCGATTCGGTGCAAAATTTTTGCGGAAGTTTTGCGATTACGCTCGATAGCACCACAAAAGCAGAAGCAACAAGACAAACAAGAGCAGCAACAACAAGATACGAGTGCAACGATGCTTCCAGAGCCTAGATTACCTCCGTACGTCGTTCACATTAAGGACTTGTCGGAAACGAGCTCTCTGAAATCCAACTGGGAAAGCGCTTGGGGCAACACGCTTGATTGCGGCTTGCGAAGAGAGGTTTTCATCGACATCCGGAACATCGACTTGTGCAAAAGAAAAGATTTGCGCGTGAAGATGGAACTGCGCGACGATGATTTGAACATCAACGCAAAGGGATTGCCGGCGACCTTTCCTTCACCGGATGGGAGGAACAAAGTGAGCGAATTTTGGACGCCACTCTCAGTCGGGAAAACCAAAGGTGGCGTTTTTTGTTCCGAAGCTCGCGCGACGCTACCGGCGAGGCTAAAACCGTCGCATCATTTGATTTTATCCGTGTATGGAACGGATCAAAACGCTAAAAACCTCTTCTTAGGTTCAGTACAAAGTGAAGAAGAATTGATTGGACATTCGGTGATACCTTTGTGCGTGGCGCCAGAAACGCTCGCGCCGAATATCGCGAGTGCCAATAATCCGAACGGCGTTGAATTAGGTTTAGTCGCGGTGAAAGAGCTTTTGCCAAAGTATCTGCAAGCGAACGTAAGAGCGCATATGCCGTATTGGAACGAGAGAGTGCCGTGCGTGCACGTGAAAATGCGACTCGCGGACACGTTGCACACCGCGGATGGGAGAATAGGTAATTTCTATGCGGCTACTGCGGCGTGGGCAGAAGGTGCATCCGGACGAGAAGCCGTCGATAGACTCTTATCCGCCACGAGAAACTTACCTTTAGCTGAAGGAGCCGCGTTGTTGGCGCATTTGCCTGCGATATTTAAAATGTTATTGAGGTTAACCAGGTTGGAAGGCGCGCTCGACGATGTTTCGCACAGTAATAATTACAATAACCAAAGTGCGATTGATGAAAGCTACGGCGCAAAAAATGATAGCAACTTGAACGGGATAGATGCGTGGAATAATTTAGCCTCCGACGATAAAAAAGTTCCTGAATTCGCACACGTAGTCGGCGATTCGCGTTCAGAACTCTCCGGAAGCGAATTCCGAGATTCCGCGTTTGGCGGAAACTCTTGGTCGACGCGCTCAAAATCTTACGTTTTAATAGAAGAAGAGGATGATTTGAACAGAGACGTGGGCGACTTAGCATTCAGAGCTTTGATTCGTGTTGCCGCTAAAGTGCAGACGATCGAGCCGGGAGAGGATTTGGGTGGAGGTCTTGCGCCGCACTCGCCGCCTTTGGAAGCTTTCGTCACTTTAGCGTTCGGCACGGAAGCGTACAAATCTGGGTACATAGATAAGCTCGATCGATCGTTGCCTAGAAGTAAAGCAAGCGTTACTCCGATGCATACGATATTAGCGCGAAGGTTTTCAGCCGTGTTGACAGACAGAACTGGTGCGAGCCCTTACGAAGATGCGCTTTCAGTCTCTTGGTTTGCGCTGGGATTGATTTCAAGAGCGTATGCATTGGATCGTGCTCAAATCCCGCGAGATGCCGTTTCAGTAGATAAAGATGCCACGCCTTTGAAAGGCGTAGCTGAAGCGCTTTCGTTGGAAGTCTCTGCTCGAGCGAGTCGGGCAAACAAGAACACAAATCCAAGGGAGTTGATGCGCGTTCGAACGCTCAATGCCAACTTGGCGGCGCTCCTGAGTGATATTTTGGCTATTCCAGGAATAAAATCGTCCAAGAACAACAAAACGTCTTCATCTGAGAAAGCCACGGGCGAGAAGATTGGCGACAGCGGCGATCACTTTCGCCTGGGAAGTGGCTTGGCTGGACCACTCGGCCCGTTATCGATTGAGCTCGCCGCGGCGCACGCCCGAGCGCTCGCCGACGGGACAGCGGCGCACGCCGCGTTACTCAAAGAATTTTCTGAATTCTTAGCCGCATCGCCGGCATTATTGGATATCATCACCGCGGATGTAACTCGTGCGTGGGATCCAGCTATCACAGCTCGTGAAGAGCGGGAGATAAGGTGCGATGGGAATTACGATGATCGACCGCAGGATGATTTTTCGTCTTCAGGAATTCAGCGAAGACCCCGCGTTAGCGTTAGCGATGATATCGATGATATCGAAGACGTGGGCTCTTTGGATGATATTGTCGATGGAGTTCGAAAAACGTCTCTGGATAGCGATGTGTCTTTACCTGCGAACGCAAACATCGATGTCAAAAAACACGATGGCTCGAAAAGTAAAGCCATTGCTTCTTCGTACGACGGCGTGCGAGATGTTACGCTCGTGACACCAGGAGAGGCGTTCGTCTTTGCATTGACGGCCAGCACGGGGAGAGGATTGTCGCAATCAAAAACTGATGCCGCGCGCGCAGCGTGCGCAACCCGAACCGTCGCGTGCGTCACCGCGAGACACGGATGGAATGCTGGCTGGCAAAAGCCGGCGGCACGTCGAGCAATAGCTGCAGCATACGCGCCAATGTTACGTTTAATGATTCGTGCAAGAGATGTCATCGCGAATTTGCAGTCTTCGTTGGCAAAGAAGGATGCATTGGCTGTGTTTTTGGCTTTGGCGAGAGACTCAGACCCAGCAAAGCTGTGGGGATGGTTGTCGCAAGATCGTGAGCGAGTTCGTTCTTTCATATCGTTGTTGCGGGACGCAGCGGAAGCTTTTGAAGTAAAGCCTGACGATGAATTTATGAGCGAAGAAAATCCTGCGGTACTTTCCGGTATAAGCCAAAGCGGTGTCTTATCGTGGCTACCGCGTGGCCCAAGCACGAGGACAGAAGCGTGGTCACGAGAAGCTGCTGGGCACTTGTCCACAGCGGCGACGACCTCTATTTTACGTTTGTTGAGAGATGCATGGAAACGCGTCGACCACGAATCACAGTTTAATAAAAGGACGCAAGAGATGAATTCCCCCGCACTTCAAGGCGCGAAGGAGGAAGACATCTTTTCCGAGCCGTTATCGATGGCATCCTCTCTGCTAGACAGCAAAAGTGAGCTGGCGCGTAAAGGAGTAAGCGGTGGCATCGGAGCACACGGAGGAAGCGAATTTAACGTTCTCGAAGCTATCATGGGTGTTTTAGCTGCTTTGCTTCGTCGTTCGCAATCTACCACGGGTTGGGTTTTGCAAGCACCGCTTCTCAATGCAGTTATAAGGGAACGCAAATACGTACTCTTCGAGCCTCTGTACCGCGCGCCGTGCGAAGACGTGGATGGCGTTTTCCCTCCTCTCGAAGCTCCTTACCCGGGTGCAAAGCCGTTTGCATTCCTCGAATCCGCGTGTGTTGCTCTGTTGCGTTGCGCTGCGCGCCCTCAACCGGCGAGATCGCTCGCTGTTGGTGGGCTTCGTGCCCTCTTGGAATCTGCACTCGATGTTGGAGGCGGCGTCGAGTGTTTGAGACCAACTTTGACGTACGCCTTATTACAAGGTTTGCAGCCATTTGGTCACAACGCTCGCGCAGGAGGCGTTTCGAGAGCTCTCAGAGCGCTTTCGGAGCCAGTTTCATCGACCAACGGTTCGAGCCAATCGCCGGCGAATTGGAAATCTGCAACAAACTCTCTTATTCGCGCGATTGCTTTTTCAGAAGCTCGCGTCAGAGAGGTGGCTTTAGCGACGACCGGTAGTCGAAAGACATCGGATGTATGCCGCGCCGTTGAACTCGAAAGCGCTTTAGCGTTAGCTTTGGAAGCGTCATCATCTGCACAGATAAAAGTTCTCTCCTCGTTGTGCAAACGTTTGGAATCGGAGGAACATTGGGTGGAAGCCGGCGAAGCCGCTTGCGCGGCTGCTGTCGTTTGCATGCGCGCGCTGGCGTCCGTGGCACCGGATACTTCTACGTGGACGGCGGAAGATGCCATCCAATTACGAGATGCCTTTTTTGGACTAGGTCCGCGAGGTGCACCCGAACCAACCATCGCAGCGTTACGAGTTGGTGCCGAGGAAGTTGGTGAAAAGCGAGTGTTGGAACACCTCGCCGCGGCGGCGAAATGTTTCACGAGAGGTGGTTTCGATGAAGCCGCAATCAGAGTTGTGAAGGCAAGTTTGAAAGCATGGGAGAGGAGAAGAGATTTCAAGGCTCTCGCTGCGGCGCATCACACCTTAGCAGATTTGCACTTGAGATGTCCGATGCCTTTGTTGGATGAACGGACGCACTCGCGAAACGACGAGTTCTTCACAGACACACCGAAGCCGCCGAGGGAGCCGGCAACTTACTGGCGCGTGCGAGCGCTTGGTGAGGCTTGGGGATCACTTACTGGAGCGCAATGGCTTTATCGCGATGCGCGTGATCGAACGTTAGCAGATATGTCGAACAGAGTTCGGAAATGGTTACAGTCGTACGTTCCCGCTGGAATAAAGGTGAGTCAATTACCTACAGCCGGCGATCCAACGCCAGGATTTGGCATAGCCGGCATCCAAGTCACGGCCGTATTACCCTTCGATTTTGAATCCGAAGTGAAAGCATCATCTTCGAGCGATAATCAAGACATCAACGAAGCGTTTAAACGAGCGCTTCAGAAGCTCGACGAGGAGGAATTCGACGAGCTTGATCAGGAGGCTCGGCGCATCAACGGAGGCGCCGTCGGAGGATCCTGCTTCGAACGAGCACGAATCTTCGCATTCGATACGCCTTTTATGGTTGAAAACAATGCACGTCGCGAAGGTAGCGATGGCAACAACAACGGCGTCTATAACGACTTGCGATCGAGAGGTAGGCGTCGATTGACTTTGGCCACGAAAAAGGCGTTTCCAAGCTTTTGCCCCCGGTCTGAAATCGCCTTCACCAGAGTCGTCGAAATGTCACCGTTGAGTTCAGCCGCGGAGATGTTACGCGCGCAAGGACAAGCTTTAATGAAGGCGGCGAGACAAAGAAATGTGAATCCGGAAATGTTGCAAAGATTGTTGCAAGGATCGCTCGCGGCTGGCGTTAACGGAGGCGTTCCGGCGCTGGTGCGCGCGTTTTTCCCATTCGCGTACGAGGGTACTAATACCAACGTAGATTCCGTGCCGCCGCACGTGGCAGACGCGAACGCACACGTCGTTGGCGGTTCTGCGGCGACTTCTCCGGAAGGTACGATTAAATCCGGCAAGGCTGGTTTTCAGAAGAAGAACTCTTCCGTTCTAGGGGATTTGCTCGGAAGGCATAAGCGAGGTATTTCCATGTCGGATAATTTTGATGGCGTTCCGCTCGAAGGCCCGGATGGAGATATGCACTCGAGAGACCAATCTAGAGCAGAACAGGTCTTTCTGAGTCCGAGACATTCGTTTTCTGTGGATATTTTAACTGCCACGCCCGATCGCGCAAACGCAAAGCAAAACCCGCTCGATTTGACGGCGCCTCTCGTCGAGCCAATCTCGCCTTCGATGTTGTCCGGCAACGTCGACGACCCGAGCACTCCTCGAAATTCCACCAACATGGATTCCAAAGATTCTAAGGACTTGGTAAACGCCTTGTGGGAGCTCCGAGACGCGTGCGCCGAAGCTGTAAAAGCGCACGAAAAGTTGGACGTCGTCAATCCCCAGCTGCAAGGTTTGTTCGAAAACTCCTTAAGAACCTTAGGCAGCGACATATCGAGAGTCGCGCGAGTCCAGCACACGGCGAAGATGAATAGCAATAACAACAACAACAACAACAACAACAACAATAATACTAGTAATACCAATAATAATAGCAATAGCAATACCGTTGGCGGTAAGTAGTAGCAACAACAACATAGAGAACGACATGTATGTATTTTGTATAATAATAGACCATAAGTCCCCTGTCAGTGCACCAAAACGCGAACACTCCACCCAAAAAACAGGGGAACCGGTCGACAGGCAAAAAATTCACAAAAATGATCGACAAAGACCTCAAAATAATCTACCCCAATTAGTATTTGTATCTCAAATGTCCGCATCGCTCCACGGGGCATTCTTCCTCTCTCTCGCGCTTTTCTCCTCCTTCTCGAACTCCTTCGTTTCGGCGGCGTGCACGCACGAGTACGGGCAGGCGACGTACGGGGACATATATCAAAAGTTCCAAGGGTTGGAAGCATCGGGAGGGTCGACGTATGCCAAAGGGGCCAGAGCGAATGGATTGCACATATACATCGACCCGACGGTTACAGAAATCGAAGAAACGGCGAAGGTATCCGTTCACGAATACGTGCATTTGTTGCAACAAGGGTATTTGAATGAAGAATTGGTTTTGGATACTGCGCCAACAGGCGGGGTTCCTCTTTCGGATTCTTCTTCTTCCGTTGGCAACGGCTTGAGATTTCAGGCGATCAACTATTGCGACGTCGCCGAAGCGACGGTGACGAAGCATTTGGAAGCGTTGAACGCCATGCCGGACGACGTGAAATTGTTCGACCACCCGACGTTTGTTATTTTCTACTCGCAAACGCCTGGAGAAGGGACGGGGAATTGCGACGCAGCGCAGACGGAGACGTTCGCTCGAGACGCGTTTAACGCCATTTACGGCGAGGACTGCCCCGGCATGGAAAGTACGCCAATGATTTGGGAAGCGAATGAAAACCACGTCGTGGCGGAAGGCGAAGCTGAATTTTTGGCGACCAACGTGTACACTTCTTCGTATACGTCTTTCAACGGAAAGGCGTATTGGGAGCAAAAGATCGCGGACGGAAAGACGGACTGCAAGCTTCCGGGTAACAATCCGAATTTTTACGTGCACTCTGGAAGTTCCCAAGACGTTGATGACATGAAAGATAAGATGCAAAATGCGGGCGTTTCCCCGGCATGTTCGAACAATGCTATTGGCGAGTTGATGTACGCGTCTTTCGTTAATTACTGCCTCGAAAAAGAAGGCACGAACGCGCTGGACGACTATTGCACACCCGAAGCACTCCGACGGGTGTGGAAAGCTGCGCCCACGCAAGGCTTCGATTGCGCATTCTTTAACCAATATGGTTGGACGTGGGGAGAAGTAGTCGCGAAAATGTACGCCGAGTATCAAGTGGATACCTCTGCAGTCGCGACGACCGTTCCTTCGTTGTGTTTGTACGATCAAACGTGCTCGGGCGAGCCAAAACCGTGCAGACGTCTCCCCTCGTACACGCATGACGAAGCCTTGGCGAAGTGCCCATTTGAAGTTATTGCCTCGTGCGGCGATATTTCGTTGAGCTCTGCGTCATCGTCGTCGTCGTCGAGATCTTCCCCAACAAACGCCGCGATGATTTCCGCAGCTGTGGCCGCGAGCGTCTCCTTCTTTTTCGCCTTCTTCCTCAATTGAGATGGTAAAAGTTAATCAATAATATTTAATCGTGTTGATGAAAGTAAGTAGTAGAAGTCTATTACATCACATATCGTATCGTATCGGTTACTGGTTAGAAGTTTCTTTCTTTCTTCTCTCTAAGTAGCAAAGCCCCAGCTATCTTCGCTCTCGTTGTTGTTGTTGTTGTTGTTGTTGTCGTTGTTGTCGTCGTCGCAAAAAAACGCGGGCGCGAGGCTTTGGCCGTTGCCATCATCACCATCGTCATCACCACCCGCCCAGTTACAGCCCCACAATTCGCGAAGAGCAGCAGCGGTGTTGACACCTGTTTCAGCACCAGTGATGGTAGTGGCGGTAGGATTGCTCTTTTTTTCCGTCGTCCGCGGAGTAATATTTTTTTCATTCTTCTTCCTTTTCGGCGACGGGAATGACGACGGAACCAACGTGGTTTGCTTCGTTTTGCGCATTTGCGCTAAACCTACGTCGGTTCGTTTTTGAGTTATGATCATATCACCATTGTCGTTCGTCTTGTTTTTGTTTCTGTTGTCTTTGTCGAAGTCGTCGTTCTTTCTCTTTGTCTTCTGTGTTGCGTCGACATTCATCGTTTTGGCGGCCACGACGCGCGGCGTGGCTGTTTGCAAGCGTCTCCCACCACCCCCTTGAATCTGGGCACTTTCGCGAACGTAATACTTCTCCTTGGGTAGTGTTGGAGGGAGAGTAGTTTTACTACTCAACGCCCATCCAAACGCGTCTCTTCCCAGGACGCCGTCAAAAAATACTCGGGCGAGAAATTTGACCGGCGCTTGAGATCGAGGCAGAGATTGAGCGAAACATTTCGATTCTAAAACGAGACAATCTTTTCGATTGTTCAAAACTCGTTCGGTAATCGTCGGAAGCTTCGTACGAAGTATTATGCTGTTATCGTGTTCACATCCAACGATGAGCACGCCCGGGTGTTGTTTTGGAAGTCGGACGACGCGAGGAGGAAACAGTTCGGCCTCCTCTTCCTCCTTCTTGCCGGGTACGTTGCCACCAAAAATGTTCATATCACCAGGAAAGGAACGTTTAGATGAAGCAAACTCTACGCGAACATTAACTGAAGGAAGAACAGCGTTTGGTTTCTTCTTCGTTCGCGGTGTTTTTGTTGAAGAAGGCGACGGCGTCGACAGGATGTCATCAGCGGTATCGTTAATTTCCAAAGATACGCGCACTTCGGACGGTAACAATTTCACAGACTCTTTGAGGTGATGAACAAATCCTGGTTGTTGTCGAGTCATGGTTCTTTCAATCGCTCGAGCGTCGGCGTTTTCGACGTCGCTGAAAGTTTGAATGCCGTTGTTCATGAGCGCGGCGACAGTTTTTGGCCCGCAACGAGGCAGCTGCGAAAGGATTTCCTTCGAGTCGAACCATTTTCTCGATTCGATCGATTTCATCAGTTGGTAGGCGCAAACCGCATGGAAGAAATCTTTTCGAGAGACGTAGAGCTCGTGAGCTGCTTTAAGCAAACGAGGCGCGATGTTCATGACCGATTCCACCTCGCGCTTTAAACTCGGCAGCAAGGCGTTGTTTTCCTTCTCGTTCGTTTCCTTCAGTTCAGTTTGTGTTAAAACGTATAACTTCTCCCAACCGAACTTGATCGGCGTGTTTTTCGTGATTCGTTTGCCCTTTTTATCGCAATGAAACAACGGCACGCGAATGTTGTTGTTTAATGCCTTCAACGTCGTCTTCTCGTCCCGACGAATGCAGATTTCGCCAAACTCAATAGCTTTACACGTTGCGGATAAAATCGAGCGCAAAATTTCCGCTTCGCTCTTACCGACGACACCAGCAAGACCACTTTGGTGTTGGAATAACGACGACACATCGGCTGTCGGCGTGACAAGAACGTCTTCGTACGTGTCTTTTGTGTGGGTTGGTTCGTTGCTGTCCACATCTGAAGAGGAAAGCAGCACGTGTTGAAATCGCTTGAAAGTTTCGAATCGCACGTATCGCGTAGACATAATTCGTCCTTCCTCCTTCGCAGTGACAGTGCGAACCCCAGACATATCCGGGGACTCGTTAAATTCGCAAAGATTCGCTACTTTCATCTCGCGCAACGTTTTTACAGCCAACGCTTTCGCCCAGCGAAAGGCTTGAGCTTCCGGCGAAGAGGAAGAAGAAGAAGGACTCGCCGCGTTATTCGTAGACGCTCCGAGACCAAAAATCGGTACATTTACCGGAGACGCGAGCGCGTATTTCATGCGCGTAAACATGAACGTATTCGTTAGCCACTGAACGCAGCTCGGCACGGAAAATATCACTCCGGAAGTTACCTCTGCGTTGATCGTTTCTGGTAAGCTCGCTTTGAGTTCACTCGTGATCGGCTCGATGTTGTGAAGAAGATTTTCAAACGAAACTTTCGAGTGCGTATCTGTCATCACGACGACGACGCCTCGTTGATCAAGACCTGGTCTCCCAGCTCGTCCGGCCATTTGCAGAAGCGTGCCTCGGTCAATGTCGGCGTAGATGCCGCCGCCTCGATACGTTTTCGTCCCGCAGACGACCACGAGCCGCGCGGGTAAATTGACGCCAAGCGCCAACGTTGACGTCGAGCACAGCGCTAATATTGCCCTTTCTCGAAATAGCGTTTCCACGAGACTGCGATCGTGATATTCGAGCGAAGCGTTGTGAAAAGCAATACCTTTTGGAAGGAGCTGTTTCAACGTTTTATTCTTCGCTCTTTGCGCCGCTTGAACGAGCTTCATCTTCGATTGCTCATCGGTAACGAACGGCTCGCGGAGAGTATTTCTTCTCTGCGCGATATCCTCTTCCAGTTTTTTCGCCGCTTTCAAGGTCGCGTCGCGCGTCGTGCAGAAAATCAAAGACGGACATCGTTCGTAATGGTCTAAAACCACGTCGAGAAGCTTTGCGTTGAGCGTCTTTTCAAACAAGTATTCGTTCTTGCTATAACCGCAGTCGCGACATATTGTTTCCAGTCGCACCGGTCTGTACTCTTCGCCAAACTCCCACGTCGTGGTGATGGCGTTCTTACCACCGCTCAGCCAGTCGCCGACCTCCCCCACGTTGGGCGCCGTCGCCGATACGGCCACGAATCGGCACCGACGCAAAGCCGCCTCCTCCCCCAAACTCTGTCCGATTGCTTTCAACCTCGAGACGATCGCCTCCAACGTCGCCCCTCGCGAGGAATCGCCAACGACGTGTATCTCATCGATCAAAACAACCGAAATAGATCCAAAAAAGCCAAAACTACCGTTCGAGTAATTCCGTCTCGACAGCGAGTCCAGCTTTTCCGGAGTCGCCAGTATCACGTCCGCTTTATCTACTTCTCTCCAAAACTCGCTCGATCGCGCCTTCTCGTCGTCCACATCCCCTGTCAACAAAACGAAACTTAAATCTAACTCCGTCCCTCGACCGAATCGATTTTGCCAATCGTTCAGCTTTTCCGCCACGAGCGCTCTTAACGGCGCCAAATAAACGACTTTGTTGCTGCAACCTCTCCGATTACTGCCGCTCGACACCTCGTCTCCTCGTCTACGTCTCGCCCCGTTCGTCGTCGTCGTCTGGAACAATCCAGTTAACATGGCCAATTCCAACAAAACCGTTTTCCCCGACCCAGTCGGGGCGCTGCACACGAACGACGCCTCCGTTTTTGTCAGTATAAACTCCATCATCTCGCTTTGCATCGCGTTGAAAAACCTGTTTTATCGTTAATGTTAGTAGTCACGCATTCGTTCGATTTAGAGAAATTTTCCTTCGTGTATTTTTTACACAAAAACACTCGCTTCCTCCGCAGGAGAAATCAAAGAAAAAAACGAATCTCGCGCAGAAAAAAAAACAAAGCTCTTTGATATTCTCACCGAAAACTTCCTCTGAACGCGCTCTGAAACAAAAGCGGCAGGTCTTTTTCCACGCTTTTGTTCGTCGTCGTCGTCGTCTGAATCATCTCGTCGTCGTTGTCGTCGTTCGTCTCAAAGTTCTTCTTTCAAAGCGCAAACACAATACACAAACTCTTCTCGTTGTTGCTTTTTTTCTCTCTTTTTTTTTGTGAAGCGTCTGCTTTTTTTTTTCTTTCTTTTCGTTTCCTTCAAAAAAAATGTCTCGTCCAAGAACTTCCTCTTCCCCACCTGATGAAAACTTTAACGAGAGAGATGATGATTCAGACTTTGACGTTTATTCAGGAGAAGATGTAGGGACGATGAAGACGATGGAGTTAAGAAGAGCAGCAAAACGAAGAAAAGAAGGGGGCGTGAATACTACCACCACCACGACTGCCGATGATGATGATGCGATAGATTTTGATCGGACGTTAGCTTTAGGTAAACGACTTGAGATTTATATGATTTTATTTCTTACTCATTTTTTATATTACACAGGATCTTCCGGATGGCTGTTCATATACTACGTCGGGGTGATTAAAGTTTTGAGAAGAGAAGGTTACGCGGAGTACGTTTTTATGTGTCGTCGTATATACCTTTTTTTAACGACGAGGAGGAGTTTACGTCGTGGTTTTGTTTCTTTCTTTCGTTTCGCGAAACGACGATCTTTTGTTTTATTACGAGAGAGACGATGAGAAAGAAACGGTCGTCAAAGTCTTTGAAAATTTTCCTCTTCTTTCGCGAGCTCTGTGAATAGAGAAGAGCGTGAGTTAAGTCATGAATCAACACTCGCTCACTAAAATTCCCTTCTCTTTCTTCTCTTAAATCGTTTTCGCTCTGCGTGTTATTACTAAAACAGAAACACGAAAGTTATTGGATGTTCCGGCGGCGCTTTAATCGGCTCTTTACTTTTTATGCCGACGGTGGATTTGGACGCGTTGGCGGTGTACGCCTACCTGTGCGCGACGCGAGCGAGAAGTTCCATTTTAGGCGCTTTCCAGTTAAGATATTACGTGCAAGGCGCGATTCGAGAGTTTGCGCCGGATAACGCGCACGAATTGTGCACGAATAAGTTGGAGATGAGCATCACGAGAATGACGCTGAGAGGATTGAAAAATTTACGGTTGAAAGTGTTCGAGACGTACGAGTTTTTTGTGAGAGCGTTGTTGTGTTCGTCGAACATCGTGCCTTTGAGTGGGTTGCCGATGTGGCTGAAAGGTCACGGATTGTGTTTAGACTAGACGGTCCCCGGGGCCAACTCGCTGATAAGGTGCAAGTGGGTAA